TTAATTCATTATTACATCCAAGACCTGAATTGGAGTTCTTGTGCACAAATATTTTGAGATGATGTCATTTCCAGCCTGTCATGAGTGATGTAGTTTTATGAATAATTGCAATTGTATAAGAGTTCTAGTTCATGTTTTCTAAATGAGAATACAAAAAGTCTTTCTTTGCATTTTTATTAAAAAGAGAAATGATGTATATTAACTATCATGTATTTCTCATAGTTAAGCAATTTAGTAGCCCTTTTATTCCATTTTCGACAATGAGGATGCGTTCTAGACATAGTAATTCTGAGCTATCTTATAGTTAGTATCTTTCGCTTATGAGGAAAATAATAACTGCAGGTCTTGTTTTTAATTCACTTCATTTCTCATATATCAAGATATGTTCGTTTCATTTTACTGGAGTTTGTGAAGTGTGTTTATCATAGATTAATCACATTAATCATGAAATATTGTAATCATAGGATTATATTCGGAAACCATATTAAATAGTTTGAATTTTGAAATGCAAAATGAAGTCCCTAATCACGTTATTTACACGTGGAGTTCATATACTCTAAATTTCTATTTCGTGATCTTATAGGTCTGGATTACTTTTTTTCTTTAAGATAGAAAAACAAACAAAATATTAACTTTACATTTCAAAATTTCGTTTTTCTATAGATTTCTAAAGACTAAAGTTGAACTAAATGTATTTGTTAGAATAATAAACTAATGCATATAATGTGAAAACAACTATAAAGGTATATGATAATGAGCAATGGTTTACCTGATTATGGATTAATTAATTGTTCCTATTTTATATTGTTATGATTTAATTATTTGAACAGTAAGTGTTCGATACTCAATAATTTCTCCATTGATAATACTTTAATAGTGTAATGATAGCCAGTACTAGTGTTTCTTAGTGTTTTTTACTCGAAAATATAGCAGGCTTTATAGTTGCATGTAGCCATATCTGTGAGAGAGATTTCTATGGACAATATTCTCTAAAATCATTGATGCTTACCTTTCGAAAGTTTAATAATTTTCTTCCACTTTGGGAAGGAAATTGAGAAGTAATTTGTTGTGTTTTAGAAGACAAGCAGATTAGTTTAGTGAAACAATAAACAAGAAAACATCTAAGTCTTGTAAAATTACTCACAGTTCCCATCATTTCTAGAAAATGAAATTTTTTATCACCGTCACTTAGAAAAATAAATTTTTTATGATTTGGTATGAAAGCAAAAAAATTACAAAAAAAATTCAATATTACCTATGTGAGGATGTAAGTCTGTTATATGACGTCATCTTTATGTTTTCCAATGAAAAAGATTAAATATTAAAAACTTTTTTTTCGTGTAATAAATGCCAAACTGAAAATGAAAAACTTAATTTTCTATTTGTTAGCGCATTTTGTTAATAATAAAAATGTTCACGAAAAAGGTCTTTCATCTTCGATTCAAATAAGGTATCGTTCGCTCTAGATTAAAAACGATCCTGAGAAACCTACTATTAACATAAAGCAAGAAATATTTATTAACTTAAGCAAAAAAGTTTGAAACGTTCCACAAGATTGATTACAGTCTATGTTTTCAATCCCTTCCGTTTTTTAATTATTTTTAACCACCTTTTAGTTATACCTTACTTATAGTAGAGCAGGTACACTTTTCTTCTCCTTGAATATTTTATTCTGTAATGATACTACATGATAACTTGAGTTGTCTGAACACTGTAATGAGAGAAATATCAGATATCATTAGTTAGTCTTTGCAAGAGTACTTTTTTCATGAGATATATTCCAAGGACCCAGAATAATATATCGCATCTTAAAAGTGGTTACTTTGTGCAGTGATACAAATTAATAGATTATCTCACTACTTTTAAAAGTGTATTCCAATAAAATTGAAATGAACCATTTAAACACTTCATAAACATTATGACCCTCTAGTGGTACTGAATATCACTACGTAATGGAATCACACTGTATGGACCCCTAAGTAAATGACATACATCACATATTAGTAAAGTATTCTAGATTCTAACAAGCTTTATATTATCTTTTAAATTACTACTTGGTCATGTATTAGTCGTGTATTTTACTTAAAAAAAACTATCAGATTTTTAAATACACCTTGAAAATGTAAGAGTCACATATATTCTTTTTTGTACGCAATAAGTTCACTTTGATTTTATTTTGAAATGAAACAAGTTATTACAATTAATTAATGGGCTAATGCTGTGTATATTTGGGTCTAGAACCTAGCTGTTCTAAAAAATTATCGGAGATCGGTTGACAAGGCAGCCCTCTACATGATAACATATACGGTAAAAGACTTGTTGGATGTTTTACATGTGCTAGTTCATAGGACCCCGGTAGTTAATAATGTACGTACGTACCAAATTAAAAAAAGCAATAATGACGTAAAGGATTAATACCGAAATCTTACCACTTTATGTAATAAACTGGTAACAAAGGACAATAATTACCAGATTCTACCTTGAATTACTGAAGTGCTGTAGTTTCTCTAATATAAGGATACTGTATCAAGAATTGGTTGAGGGTTCTTTCAGCCGTTATATTACCGAGGCAAAACACCAACCAATATCTGTTACAAGTGTCAAGTATATGAAACGGCTACATTTCTTTTTATTTACCAAGAAACGGTTAGTTAACCCCTTCTTGGTTTTTCTTGGCTCACATTTGTAATACAGCCGTTTACTCTCTAGTTTCTCACACCTGTGAGGAGAAATTTTCATTATAAGAGGGGAAGAAAAAGAAAGAAAAAACATAATATTGCTCTGCACCCTCTTGAGAGGAAAGCTGTCTTAAAAAGACATGGAGAGCAAACCAGCTCTATACGTTGAAAGTGATATTAAGGGGTTTGTTTTTTGCCTTCTCTTAAGGGGTGTATTTTGTCATCCAGGCACCCCCTTATCAAAAATTACTTGGGTAAAAGTTGTTTTTCTTATTTTCTCAGGGCTAGCTAACAGAAATTGGGGAGAAATGTATATTTTTGATAACTTTCCAGAATATTTCAGTAATCTATTCTGTTCCTTGTTAGGCAACATGGTTCTTGCTGCAACACAAACCTATTCTAACAACAAAGAGAGATAATTGTCTTTGAATAGAAGAAATGAGAGAGACTGAAATTGAATTAACCCTCCTGGAATTAGTAACTTTGCCGTAATACCAGATTTTCTTTCTAAATATTTACTTTTTCTCCTCTACACATGTTGAGTAATTCAGGGATCTATCTATATTTCCGGTTGTGTGATGCAGACTTCTCTTAGTAATAGGGAGGTTTTAGAGAGTCAAATAATTAGTATGAATTTTGGTTCTCCAATATGCTTATGGTGACAACTATGGTTTTCAATTTCTCAATGCTGGTCAATATGCTATGAATAACTATGTCAAAATTGTAATGTGCAAGTTTTGTTACAGTTTAAAATTCTATCATTGATTTTTCTTTCTTTTCGCAATACCGGTGTTATCGCAAAACAGTCAAACTATCTTCTAGTGCCATGAAACAATTTTTGAATGCTCTGACAAAATCAATGGAAATAAGGAGTATTGAGAAGAGGTGATTTAGTTCATAGTAAACAAATTCGGTAATGTAATCGAAATGGATGATATCGAAATAAATGTATAGTATTTCCACTTGCAAATCCTTATATTTTTCATATTTCAACCTATTCTCAAAATATATTTTTGAACAGTTTTGAATTTCCTTGCCTTTAATGATCTGCGAAGAAAACAGTTGGCATGGATTAACTTTTCTAACAAAAGAAAATCAACTGTTATTTGCTACAGCAGTGAGCATGATAGTAAGTTAATTATAGGTGACATCATAATTACTTGGAATTACTTAGCATATTATAATGATTATCTGACATTCAACTCCAAAAAAGAACAATAACTTGATTCATAACTATTTTCATTATCTATTTTGCTGTATGCAAATACTAACATTTCGATTAAATTTTACAATGTTCACATTGATCAGTAAATCGTGCTAAATTTCACTGACACTCCTAAAAAATTATTAATTTTCAAAATATTCTATGAACAATTTGGTAATTGTCTTTTGGGAAGTTGTGATTGTGAACATTTCGAAAATTATTTCGAGAACTATGATCGATCTGCTTCAAATTATCAAAGTATTACGTTTAAATTCTAGTTTAGGTAAATCCTCGATTATGTTTTCACAAATTTCTGACTAAACACATTTTTGAGCAGTATAGTTCTATCCAAAATGTTGAAAATTATAGGTATAAAAGGATAAACAAATTTGAAGACTTTGATCAGATATCTCTTCCATTTTTACATTAGATAATAGAAGACAATATAAAAGACAAATAAATCAGAATAACCATCATAATCGAATTAAATTGATCAGAAAAAGTTACAAAAGAAAAAAAATCAATATGTTCAACTGGATTATCGTATGTTGTCTATTGATTGTACAATTGGCACATGCCAATGATCTTGGCTTTTCATTATTTGAAAAGCGAGAATTAAGTTCCCAGAACCCATTTGGTTATCCTATTGGATGTTCTCCTCAGGATGTTGCAATCATTCCTGGTTTGACAATGGAACTTTACTCTTACCCTATTGTCAGTGGTACTCCTCCCAACTGTTATGATGCTTCTTATGTTGACCCTGAATATCCTCGTACTGGCTACCTAAAGAGAAAAATGGTAGGTAAATCAACTGGAGTAACTGGCAATTTGAACTACAAATATAGCGTTGAGAAAGCTTGTATGGTCAAATATGGAAATTTGCCAGCAGGCTACAATTACAATGAACCATTGACAGTTTCTAACTTTACTATGATTTTGTATGGTTACTTCAAGGCTCAAACAACTGGTCTACACACTTTTTTTGTTAATGCTGATGATCTGTTGTACATTAATTTTGGTGCAGGTAACGCCTTTGATTGTTGCAAGAGGGAAGATAGCAAAACTAAACTAGGAGAATACGTTGCTTACGATATTTGGCATGTTGATAGTTCCAAAAATAAAGTAAGTCTATTTTTGGAAAAGGATCTCTATTATCCAATTCGGATGTTTTTTAACAATATTGGTAAGGACTCATCCTTAGATCTTTCTTTTAGTGTCAACGGTGCTACTGATCAAATTAGTGACTTTTCAGGTTATTTGTATTCTGTTCCTGATCAACCTGATACTTGTCCTGCTCATATTGGCTACGATACTACATGCAGGAGTATTGATTCGACAACGACATACAGCACAAATTTTATTACTACTAAGCCGGCTGAAAATGTTGTTCCTGTCACCAGCACCATATACTACATTGCAACACCTTGTAGCAAAAGTCAGTCCCAAACACCTAGTTGCCAAGGAGGATTTCTAGATCCATTGAAAAATACATGCTACTATCCAAAACCCGAGGACCCAAAACCTGAAGACCCCTCACACAACCCATCCTCTGTCAACCCATCTTCTGTTAACCCATCTTCCGTCAACCCTTCAAGCAAGCCGGCTGATCCTTCTCCAGCTGACCCATCACACAACCCATCTTCCGTTAACCCATCATCCGTCAACCCATCTTCTGTGAACCCATCCTCTGTCAACCCTTCAAGCAAGCCAGTTGATCCTTCTCCAGCTGACCCATCACACAACCCATCTTCTGTGAACCCATCTTCCGTCAACCCATCAAGCAAGCCGGCTGATCCTTCTCCAGCTGACCCATCACACAACCCATCTTCTGTGAACCCATCTTCTGTGAACCCATCCTCTGTCAACCCTTCAAGCAAGCCGGCTGATCCTTCTCCAGCTGACCCATCACACAACCCATCTTCTGTGAACCCATCTTCTGTGAACCCATCTTCCGTCAACCCATCAAGCAAGCCGGCTGATCCTTCTCCAGCTGACCCATCACACAACCCATCTTCCGTTAACCCATCCTCAGTCAACCCATCTTCTGTGAACCCATCCTCTGTCAACCCTTCAAGCAAGCCGGCTGATCCTTCTCCAGCTGATCCATCACACAACCCATCTTCCGTTAACCCATCCTCAGTCAACCCATCATCCGTTAACCCATCTTCTGTGATCCCATCATCCGTCAACCCATCTTCTGTGAACCCATCCTCTGTCAACCCTTCAAGCAAGCCAGTTGATCCTTCTCCAGCTGACCCATCACACAACCCATCTTCTGTGAACCCATCCTCTGTCAACCCTTCAAGCAAGCCAGTTGATCCTTCTCCAGCTGACCCATCACACAACCCATCTTCTGTGAACCCATCCTCTGTCAACCCTTCAAGCAAGCCGGCTGATCCTTCTCCAGCTGACCCATCACACAACCCATCTTCTGTGAACCCATCTTCCGTCAACCCATCTTCTGTGAACCCATCTCCTAGCATTGTCAGTCCTTCAATTTCAACAAGAATGGTTACTTTATCCAACGGTAGCACCACAACTGTTACAGTTACTGTAACCCCACCTTCTCCAAATGGCGGTAGTTCAAACAGCAACACCGACTCCTTCTCACTGCCTCCACCATACACCACAACCGTCTCCAAGAGCACCACCACAGAAACAGACATCGTCTCCTTCTTCCCATCCACCGACTCCGACGGCCACACCCGCACAGGCACCACCACCATCACCCTGACTGGCAGCAAGCCCAGTAACAACGGCAATGTTGGTACTTCCAGTGTCCCACCAGTTGGTAATATAGCGATCACACCTTCAGTCTCGACAAGAACGGTTACTTTCACAAATGGAATAATATCAACCATTACTACCACTATTAGGCCACCATCTCCAAACGGCGGTGGTTCTGGCAACAACGGCAACACACCATCTCCAAACGGCGGTGGTTCTGGCAACAACGGCAACACACCATCTCCAAACGGCGGTGGTTCCGGCAACAACGGCAACACACCATCTCCAAACGGCGGTGGTTCTGGCAACAACGGCAACACACCATCTCCAAACGGCGGTGGTTCTGGCAACAACGGCAACACACCATCTCCAAACGGCGGTGGTTCTGGCAACAACGGCAACACACCATCTCCAAACGGCGGTGGTTCTGGCAACAACGGCAACACACCATCTCCAAACGGCGGTGGTTCCGGCAACAACGGCAACACACCATCTCCAAACGGCGGTGGTTCTGGCAACAACGGCAACACACCATCTCCAAACGGCGGTGGTTCCGGCAACAACGGCAACACACCATCTCCAAGCAAGACAACTTTTCCAATTTCCTCTAGTTCTGTCTTTAATATCCCTAATTTTTCAGAGTACAAGGGTAAAGCTTCGAAGCCCATTGAAGTAGCTCCTGCTAAACTATTAATATTGGTTTTGTGCACTTTTTTTCTGATTTAATTCTGTTCCCTTAATTTCTATTATGATATTGTTTCTCTTTATTCATTGATTAACAATTTTTGTTCGTTTTTTATCTTATACCCTTTCTTTAGGCATTTCACTTGATTTTCATGGCTTTCCATACCATACCCAACTTCTTTTTGAGTTCGTTCCGCTTAAGAAATACCATTTCAAACAATTACTTAGGCCCCATATATTATAAGTTTTCTAATGGATTATAAATCCGTACTTTTTAGTTCGTTGATGTTATTTAATAGTCGATCAGAAGTAAGGTTTGTTTCTTTTCACTCTTCTATAATGTATCTAGTTCATATTTTTAATAATGCAAGAGCAATGTGTTAAACAGTCAATCCAATGCCGATATTTGGTGAAACTAATAGTTGATTATTGTGAAACTTGTGTTCTTTTTGACAATTTATACAGCAAGCACGTACTATAGATACAATTCCTTTCAATTCTTATTCAAATAATTTCAATTTGCTTTTAGGGTACATCTTCCTTTAAAATCAGAAGAATGAAATGAAAATTCAATTATTTTTTTTTTCGTATCTAATCAGTCAACACTATAAATCAGTTGGCAGGAAGTACTTCCAAAACGAGTAATATCAAGGAAATAAAATTAATGTTTCATAGAGATATGCAAAATTAGAATATAATAAAAGACTGTAAAATATATGAGCCACAAATAATTTATACATGTGTTAACTCGTTTGTATTATTAAAATATATCCCAATCATTCGAAAATTTGGTGCTTGAAAATACAATTTTTCTGCATGGATTAAAAATATAGTATTCGCCGATATGGCAGTATCAAAATATTGCCTAAGAAATTGGGTAACAACATTTTCAGTTAATATATTAATATTAAAAAGACTACGAAAGACAAAGCTACTTTATATACTATAGAATAATTCATTATCGGAATTCAGTTTAATTATGTATTATTTGTTTGACCAAGCTGAACATTTTGATTTCTTTAGTTAGCATAATAATATTTACTATAATCTACTAAGTTTAAGTAACCTTGAGTTAAAAACTAAATAAGAGTTGCTGTTCATGTTATACCAGCTGCATAAAAAACACACATGTAATTTCAATATCAGTATACTTCTTGAAAGTATTGTTACATTGGAAGGTAACTTTAACCTAGTAACTGTCCAAGAAATAACACCTTTCCTTTTAATGATGTGTGTTTGTGATCGATTAAATAGACTTAATGGTACATATTTCTCAAATAATAAACCAAACCAGAACTATTGAAGATACAATACTATTAGAATGTTTTGTTGGTGCTATTTAGTATTGAGATCACTTAGTTATACAAACAAGCCTGGTGTTCTTATTTAGTTGCTACCAGTAGGTTTACAAGCCTAATTCAAACAAATTTAATATAATTTCTTACCTCTATATAGTCATATGGTAAATGATCAAGCACTTTAAATTAAGTTAATATTTTTACGATAAGATATTGCATTTTGAATATTACGAAACATCCACCACTGAAAACTCAGATATTGAAATAGCCACACGGCTGAATGATAAATCATAAACTGCGAAATATTATTCGATCAATACTATACAAATCTTTAAAATTCATTATTAAAAAAACAACTAGACTTTATCTTCCTTTCAATTATCTAAAATAAAATACACAAATATGATGTTATATTGATAAAGTTGTTCTTGATATCATTCAAATTTCTGCTGTAGTCATCAGAATTTTCCATTTCTTGAATAAATTCATTTTTTATATTTATATCATTTGATTCATAAGTTGCACAGTCAGCTTTAGATGAGTATTGGAGTCACTCGAATAGCATAAATTCATTTCTGTACCACCCCTACCTGGTTATTTCGACAGGTTTATTTCCAAAAAGTATCAAATACAGTTAATAAAATAATGGCCTAATTGCATATTAGCCTCTGAAGACATTAGTACTCCATCCCTAATATATTATTGACATTTTAAACTGAGCTTCCGAAAATACAACTTTATTCAGTAGTGGCTGAGAGGCCAGAAGGATATAATACAAACTACTGTGTTATATACGGTTACATAAGTAAAGTAAGAGTTAGCTTCTCAAGGTACTACTTGAGAAATTAGGATGATGAATTTGCTCTTTTTTTCCAATAATATAGTTTGCAACTCTAAATAATATTTGAAATGTAAAAAAACTCATATTTTGCAATCATTCCGATTACTTTTACCTACTAAATCATACCAACCCAGTTTGTATAATCCATCCCTTTTACAGCTATTAAGTTTTATCACCATTATAATATGTCGAATTTACTACTTATGTACCTGGATTTATATATCTGATAATTTGATTTAGTGCTGACATTTTTTTTAGATTAATGAAGCATTATCTGCCTTATCCTAATAACTTCCATAATTTCATGATATATATTGTACTCTGATAAGGCTTTTATGAACCGCTATGAGTTTACATCACATATTCATCATTACCCACTACAACAATTAGTTCTAAAGTCAACAATATGACATAAAATAATTAATGAATTGATGTAAATGATTCTTCAGTCTTTAATTGCGTACCTGGCAAGATGAGAACCTTGTTGCCTTGGCAATGTCAACAACAACGCAGATTATTATTCTTAACACCTGAAATATTTCAACTGAACGAGTGATATATGGATTATGGCATAGTCACTGTGAGGTCGTATGTATACCACATCACAATGAATAACATAAGCTAATATCTCTATTTCGTTGCGTAGCAAATTGTCTCGGTATATATGTACCGTAAATTCAATATATTTACCCAATGATATACCATATTTAAAGTTGTCTGCATCGTAATTGCTTTATCAAAATGCCATGTAGATAATCTATCTTCCCATTTTGTGCATGCTTGGGGAATATTCACAAAGCAGCACTTCCTTTGCTTATACAAAAGTATTTACTCATTTTAAATGAAAGCCAGGAAATTAGCACTGTAGTAGTCACTATTAAAAAACTCTGTATAATTTTTGCTTTAAGGGGGGTCCAACTTATAGACCAAACTTTCTACCTCCTAGCATTTTTCATTATTACATAAAATTTAGTCAAAACAAAAATCCCTCCTCCTTAAAATAATTTCACATTCTTTGCGTTTTCCATCCAGCCAATGCTAATACTTCTAATGCAAGGAAATGTTCACTAGAAAACTCGTACAACATGAAACTTTCCATTATAGAAATGTGGAGGAAAGTACACCATTATTCTAAGACAAAAATAATTCTTAGGTAATGTTCTAATCACAAAAGTAAGGGTTAAACCATGATGAACAACCTCCTAATTCGGTTAGTGGGTATAAAATCAAGTAAGCAAATATTGGATATTAAACCTCTGCATAATCAAAGTGGTAATAGAGGATATTACTCGTCTAATGATTGTAACTTTTACCTGAAGATATTGATAAAAAAAACCCAACTTTAGACTCTCCAAAAAACAATATACGTTACCATGGACAAGGAAAATATAGGTATCTTAACTGGACAAATACAGTCAACATCAAATAAAGTTCAATTGTGGTTGAAAGTAACTCTTTATGATATCTGTGGTATTCATTACTACTAGATTTCATTTTGAATGATAGGCAACACTAATTTTTGAATATGGTAATATCTTTATATGTTGTTCATTCTGGTAAAGCACAAGGCTTTCCAAAGATTTGCATAATTGTACCATATACAGATTTACACTAAGATTAGAAATATAAAACTTAGTCATTGAATCTATTCTTTATTGTTAGTTGTCTGATTGGCAGTCTCGACCGTTTCATATTTCCTTAAATTATACATGGTTGATTTGATGGTGATTTTTCTTTGTCAATCCATGTTGGCTCTTTGTTTGTTCCTTGATTTGAACAGAAGAATTATATGAAATTTAAACTCTATATTGCTATAGCTTGTATTATACCTAACACTCGCTACAATAATTCATTGTAGAGTTCACAAGGTAATTAGATTATATCAAAAATAGGGCCACCTTAATAGTAATAACTTGACTTCAAGAAGACGGCTCCACCAAATTAAGCATTGGTGTCTCTGTGTGTGTCTAGTTGGTGCTCTACATAGGTGAAATCTTATATCATGAGTTCTTATACAATATTTGGATATTTTTTCAATACAGTCAAGTATAATTAGTGGGGATAGAGGGAAATATTAAATGCGCATTTTCAAGAGTTCTGAGATTTCTAAATGATACTTTTATTAACAAAATTGTCTAGGATTTGGATATAGAATAAATAGTATTAATCTCGACTTATAATCAATACTGTAGCGGCAATTTATTACCATTTCTCGTAGTTTCATTCTTATATGTCACTATAAATCGATACAGGAAAACCTTTCTTTTTTACAGATAAGGAAATTTAGATCCTAAAAGATGAGAGTAAGTTCCTTTTTATTTATTTTTGAAGACTTTGTTATCATTTGTTTAACGTATCGGCCTACCAAAACAAACACGGTAAATCATTTCCGTATAACATGATGTGAAAGGTAAATCCTTATCATATGAAATACAAATGCTAGATTACCCATGGAGAGAAAGCACCATCAAGACCAAAAATTAGTACCTTATGGGTCATTTAGGAAATAATATCTTATCATTCATAGTATTACGTCACTGTGGTGATAGCATGATGCAAATGCAACTGAGTACTTGTCTTTTTACAAGGATAGTAAATTTTTAGAAGATTGGCGTGATTACGCTCTTATCGGGATAGAGCAGACAGCTTTCGAAAGTTTTATGATAAAGAGACTTTTACAACTTCTTGCCAAGAGAGAGGTTCATTCAAATTAATTTGTAATCAAGATGAGCACACATGTACAGGATGCAGGTAATGATTAGACCCTTTTTTAATTTAGGCAAAGACCATTAAAAAGATGTAAGGGGCTTTTTGTTTCTGTATGACTTTATGTAATAACATCTTACCATCAAACAGGTGCTTAACAATAAAATAATATTCAGTTCTTGATAGCCAAATGCTACAATATTGCGCATGTCAATCTTTACCTACTAATTCGGCTTTGGTTTTTTTCTGAAGTCCAGACTTCTTTTGTGCCAATGTGATTTCTGATACAGCGATCATCAACAAAATAAAATGATCCCCTCTTTAAGAGAATTAATGTTATTATATTACTCCTTGTAAATCTTCACCTTTCATTAGTTGCTATTGAATCATGAAAAAGTACAACATCTAATCAAAATCTAATCTATTAGCAAGGATTATACAACTTGCTAATAGGTTGTCTTTATGGTTTTCGATAATTCTAGATCAAAATTAGGAGTAATGTGTATTGTATATGTCACCCTTAGTTGAAATAAAACGAATAGGAAAAGAATACCAGTTAATAAATTACACGGCAATAGTTAACAGCGGTGATGAAATTACTTACTATTTTCATAATTTAAAAAAAATAGATACGAAGGTATTTGTAAACTGTCTCATTTTAAAACTATAGAAAATCAAAAGCTTCGAGACCCTCATTAAACTTGGAAACTGAGATAAGTAATCTCCACTATTTTCAAATTAAAGAGAATACCTTGACGATACCATGCTATTTGTGACTAAGTCAGTAAGGTAATGATAATTTGAGTATCCAAAATGGCAAGCAATATTCATTCAAAAAAAAACAAAAAAAGTATATATAAAAGTGAACTCTTGCCAGTTCAACACCCAATTTGGCATCTTTAATTTAGATGGAAATTTTCTCTTATAATTACAAAAAAAAATATCATACAAGAAACATACTATTTGAACCTAATATGAACTGGAAAATAGCACTGTTTTGTTGGACGTTCTTTCTGCAGGCATTGAACGCCCAAAATTTAGGTGCAATGCAAAGTGATAAATACTTTCCTAAATCCAAGGATCCGACAAGTTTTCCAATGGGTTGTTCACCCCAAGTACTAAAAACACAGCCGGGTTTGGCTGTGAAACTGTACTCCTATGGGCATCCAGTACCAGGCTGTGCATATAATACCTACCAATATCCAGATTTCCCCAGGTCAGGCTACAAAAAAGAGCGCAAACTCGCTGACATTACAGGAGTAAACGGAAGAATTGATATTGACTTGAAGCCTAACGATCCTTGTCGTGTGTTAAGTGGTAATCTTCCAAGCAACTACAATTATCAAAACACATTAACTTACACAAACTTTACAATGATATTATATGGCTATTTTCAGCCAAAGGTGACCGGCTACCACACGTTTAACCTTGAAGCCGACGATTTGTTATTTATGAATCTTGGTGCTGGAAATGCATTTGATTGTTGTAGAGCCGAATCAACGTTAGACAATTTTGGTAATTATCAGTCGTATTCGATTTGGGGAACTGACAAGGCTACAGCTGATCTTACTGTATTTCTTGTTTCTGGCATATACTATCCTATTAGATTGTTCTATGTGAATAGGGACAACAATGCAGTTTTAGATTTTTCTTTCAGTACAGAATTTAATAAGGAAATCATTCATGACTTTACCAGCTATTTTTTCTCTGCTTCTGATGAAGAGCAATGTCCAGGTAATATTAACTATAACTACCACTGCGCTGATGTGAAATCATCAACTATTTTAACCTCTAGTACAACTGTTGACAAACAGGAAGGAAATATTGTCCCTATTACAAAAACAATTTACGAAATTGGTGTCCCATGTGATCCAGAACAGCCAACACAAAAATGTGAAGGTGAATTTTATAACCCCATTAGAGATGTATGTGAACCTCTTCCAACACCAAGTCAAGAAAATAAATCATCTAGCAGCTCCTCCTCATCTTCCAGCAGCAGCTCTTCCTCATCTTCCAGCAGCAGCTCCCCCTCAGTCAACCCATCATCCGTTAACCCATCCTCTGTCAACCCTTCAAGCAAGCCAGTTGATCCTTCTCCAGCTGACCCATCACACAACCCATCTTCCGTTAACCCATCCTCAGTCAACCCATCTTCTGTGAACCCATCCTCTGTCAACCCTTCAAGCAAGCCGGCCGATCCTTCTCCAGCTGACCCATCACACAACCCATCTTCTGTGAACCCATCCTCTGTCAACCCTTCAAGCAAGCCAGTTGATCCTTCTCCAGCTGACCCATCACACAACCCATCTTCCGTTAACCCATCCTCAGTCAACCCATCTTCTGTGAACCCATCCTCTGTCAACCCTTCAAGCAAGCCGGCCGATCCTTCTCCAGCTGACCCATCACACAACCCATCTTCTGTGAACCCATCCTCTGTCAACCCTTCAAGCAAGCCAGTTGATCCTTCTCCAGCTGACCCATCTTCAGTTAACCCATCTTCCGTTAACCCATCCTCAGTCAACCCATCATCCGTTAACCCATCCTCTGTCAACCCTTCAAGCAAGCCAGTTGATCCTTCTCCAGCTGACCCATCACACAACCCATCTTCCGTTAACCCATCCTCAGTCAACCCATCTTCTGTGAACCCATCCTCTGTCAACCCTTCAAGCAAGCCGGCCGATCCTTCTCCAGCTGACCCATCACACAACCCATCTTCTGTGAACCCATCCTCTGTCAACCCTTCAAGCAAGCCAGTTGATCCTTCTCCAGCTGACCCATCACACAACCCATCTTCCGTTAACCCGTCTTCTGTGAACCCATCCTCTGTCAACCCTTCAAGCAAGCCGGCCGATCCTTCTCCAGCTGACCCATCACACAACCCATCTTCTGTGAACCCATCCTCAGTCAACCCATCATCCGTTAACCCATCTTCTGTGATCCCATCATCCGTCAACCCATCTTCTGTGAACCCATCCTCTGTCAACCCTTCAAGCAAGCCAGTTGATCCTTCTCCAGCTGACCCATCACACAACCCATCTTCTGTGAACCCATCCTCTGTCAACCCTTCAAGCAAGCCGGCTGATCCTTCTCCAGCTGACCCATCACACAACCCATCTTCTGTGAACCCATCTTCTGTGAACCCATCCTCTGTCAACCCATCAAGCAAGCCGGCTGATCCTTCTCCAGCTGACCCATCTTCAGTTAACCCATCTTCTGTGAACCCATCCTCTGTCAACCCTTCAAGCAAGCCGGCTGATCCTTCTCCAGCTGACCCATCACACAACCCATCTTCCGTTAACCCGTCTTCTGTGAACCCATCCTCTGTCAACCCTTCAAGCAAGCCGGCCGATCCTTCTCCAGCTGACCCATCACACAACCCATCTTCTGTGAACCCATCTTCCGTCAACCCATCTTCTGTGAACCCATCTCCTAGCATTGTCAGTCCTTCAATTTCAACAAGAACGGTTACTTTATCCAACGGTAGCACCACAACTGTTACAGTTACTGTAACCCCACCTTCTCCAAATGGCGGTAGTTCAAACAGCAACACCGACTCCTTCTCACTGCCTCCACCATACACCACAACCGTCTCCAAGAGCACCACCACAGAAACAGACATCGTCTCCTTCTTCCCATCCACCGACTCCGACGGCCACACCCGCACAGGCACCACCACCATCACCCTGACTGGCAGCAAGCCCGGCAACAACGGCGACTCCGACTCCTTCTCACTGCCTCCACCATACACCACAACCGTCTCCAAGAGCACCACCACAGAAACAGACATCGTCTCCTTCTTCCCATCCACCGACTCCGACGGCCACACCCGCACAGGCACCACCACCATCACCCTGACTGGCAGCAAGCCCGGCAACAACGGCGACTCCGACTCCTTCTCACTGCCTCCACCATACACCACAACCGTCTCCAAGAGCACCACCACAGAAACAGACATCGTCTCCTTCTTCCCATCCACCGACTCCGACGGCCACACCCGCACAGGCACCACCACCATCACCCTGACTGGCAGCAAGCCCGGCAACAACGGCGACTCCGACTCCTTCTCACTGCCTCCACCATACACCACAACCGTCTCCAAGAGCACCACCACAGAAACAGACATCGTCTCCTTCTTCCCATCCACCGACTCCGACGGCCACACCCGCACAGGCACCACCACCATCACCCTGACTGGCAGCAAGCCCGGCAACAACGGCGACTCCGACTCCTTCTCACTGCCTCCACCATACACCACAACCGTCTCCAAGAGCACCACCACCATCACCCTGACTGGCAGCAAGCCCAGTAACAACGGCAATGTTGGTACTTCCAGTGTCCCACCAGTTGGTAATATAGCGATCACACCTTCAGTCTCGACAAGAACGGTTACTTTCACAAATGGAATAATATCAACCATTACTACCACTATTAGGCCACCATCTCCAAACGGCGGTGGTTCTGGCAACAACGGCAACACACCATCTCCAAACGGCGGTGGTTCTGGCAACAACGGCAACACACCATCTCCAAACGGCGGTGGTTCTGGCAACAACGGCAACACACCATCTCCAAACGGCGGTGGTTCCGGCAACAACGGCAACACACCATCTCCAAACGGCGGTGGTTCTGGCAACACCGGCAACACACCATCTCCAAACGGCGGTGGTTCTGGCAACAACGGCAACACACCATCTCCAAACGGCGGTGGTTCCGGCAACAACGGCAACACACCATCTCCAAACGGCGGTGGTTCCGGCAACAACGGCAACACACCATCTCCAAACGGCGGTGGTTCTGGCAACAACGGCAACACACCATCTCCAAACGGCGGTGGTTCTGGCAACACCGGCAACACACCATCTCCAAACGGCGGTGGTTCTGGCAACAACGGCAACACACCATCTCCAAACGGCGGTGGTTCTGGCAACAACGGCAACACACCATCTCCAAACGGCGGTGGTTCTGGCAACAACGGCAACACACCATCTCCAAACGGCAGTGGTTCTGGCAACAACGGCAATGGTAATCTATCACCTTCAATATCTACTTCTATTACTAGTGTGCAATCTGTACCATCGATATTCAAAGGTGAAGGATTTAGGGCTGCTCATTTATCGTCAATATTTATCTGGACTATCATAACAGTATTGGTTGCTCCAATATTAGTATAGGATCTCAATAAATTCATGTATGATGGCATAAGATCGATATGTCATATACATGTATAATGTATGTACCTGTTTGTATTTTTTAAAATAACTAAAGAATGTCAGATAATATCCCTAAAAACTTTTTGTTTTTGAATGTCTAGGATGTTTAGCTTCTGGATTGTTCAATATTTTCAAGGACAATTAGATTATCTTTTTTTTTTTGTTGTACTTTCCAGAGTATCAACAAATTTGAAATGAAATACTGACTTAGCTAGTGTCTTTTTATATTGCATTCGTTAATAGTTGACGACATTTGAGTGGATGTGACAATGAGCAGTTATACCATTTTTCAACATATTATAAAAATTTTATCAGTACCTAAAATTCAATAAACTCTACCAGATTTTAAGTTGTATTATTCGAAATTTTCGAGCAGTGTTTTGTTGCAAGTCAGACTCCCTAAATGGGACATCTAAAAAAAACGAAAGTTATGTACTATATAAACAATGTGGCCCTCTATATGATGATAAACTATTTTTTAGATATAACAATATGTTGGACACTATTCTACAAATTTTTCGGAAACCTTTTTGAATGCAATTGAAACTTATGTGAAGGTGTTTTATTTCATTTAATCTTTGTTTGGGCACTTTGATATATACTGCTTTACTGATATCAATCCAGTTACGATTCTGATCAATTTATTGTATTAAAAGAGATTCTTTACTTGGACTTAATTATAATAGTTATGTTCATTACCAATAACATCTTGCTTGATATCAAAGCTATAATCTATACTAAAAATTATTTCTGAAAATTTACTTGTCTTAGGCCGTGTTTCTTGCGAATACACTACCTCTATACATTTGGATATTTTAGTGTATGATTTTGAAGACATTGATAAGTCTAAACTTAATATCACAATATTTTTAACCAACAGAATTTGGTTTTGAACTTTGAGATGTTATCGAGGACAGTTGTTCGAGCAACAAGACTCTCTTGTGATCATTTACAGATTATCAGGAATGTAGTATTAGAATTAATCTAACATTAGCTAAAAAAAGTTTTAGAGGCGATTAGAACACTGGATTTTACATAGATCATAAAGCTTCCTGTTAGCAATCTATGTAACTGCTTACAATTGGGACTGCCCTAAACTGTTATATATGCTATACGGCCATGAGATTATCTTCTTGAAAGAAACATATCGGGTGCAATAATCTGACTTATCATGTAAATTTCGTAATTACAGTTTTAATTACTTTTATTGTTTTGGTCAATAAAATTGAATATGCTTTACACTAATGTTTAAGTGAAGATAGGCCCCATCACTACTATTCGTGTTCAAGTATCTATCACACTGTTTTGCGATAGTCTAAGACGATTTTGTGGAGTAGTTAGTTCTTGTGTCCAGTTATACTTAGAAGACATGATGATAAGATATTAATTCAAAACTCTAAGGGTATATTATAGAAATTATACTGGTTATCCTCTTTTATTATACAGAATAAGATACTAGAACTTTGGTCTAACTTCATGGACTATTATCAATGAGGGCTCCTTTATACCTTTTATCTTTGGCAGATAAACTGGTTCTAATAAGCCTAACTCGGTTTCTTTTCACCTGAAAGATTACAATAGTCCGTTACCTACCTAGTTATATCTTATCTTCTCTTCTCCTTCGTTTATATACTTCTGTGCCTGTATGAGCGGCATGTTAAGCCTTGCACCATAGTCGTATAAACTCTCATATTCGTGGAACGGTATGTGCATATGATCATATTCGTTTAGAATAATAAGTTGTTTCGAGTTTTTTTTGACAATTGACCTATTATGGAAGTTTAATTCGAGATTTCTTATATCTTCTGGATTTTCGTGATTTGCTCTAACTTTCTCTTGCTTTTGAAAATCGCGAAAACAATGGTCCCTGCTCAAAAGTTGAATTCTCTGGGAGAATAGAAAAGGCAAATTAGGCTTCGTATGTAAACCAAAAACCCTGAAACTTATGATACCACCCGAAGTTTTTTATAATATCTCTCATTTCAAGTGTGACCAGGAATATTATTTGTATAAAGCTCTGATATAAAGGGTATTGATGATGGATGCTACCTAGGCAATATACACTGTTAAAAACGGATGGTGATGTGATCCGCCTGCAAGAAAGATTGCAGTGAAACAAAACAGCCACCACAGCTTTTACAATGCTAAACTATGGAAGTTATTATATTTCCTGGTTTTAGGTCCCTATGTTCATCACTATTATGCCTATCAACATAAGCAAAAGTTGAGTGTATCCCATTCTAATAGCATTTCCTTCTCCTTCGAAGTGGAATGTACTTATACTGACGATGTTTGTTGCTATTGTGTTCCTCGCTGTTTTATTCCTCTCTTCTGTTGATGTTAAATATTGCATCATTTTAGAACTTTCAGGAAGTACTGTACGCGATGGGTTCACTTCAGATATTTCCAAAAATGGTAAGGTGTCATTATTCTGTGGCGAATATACTTTACTTAATGTCAAAGTTAATGTTGTTCCACCTAAAGACTCATAACTGTTGTGTGAAGAGCTTGCTATGATAATTGAACTACATTTGAGTGTGTTTGTTTGATGTGATTTGTTCGATGATTCTACAGCGTCTTTGGTTTCCTTGATTACGCTATGCTTCGAAGAGATATCATTACTACTAGTCTTTCTGGATTTATCGTTGGATTCGTGTGTATTCTCCACTGCTGTTGAACCTGGATTGTTTAAGCTTGTTATAGTTGTGATAGTTGTGAGATCTGAAGTTTGGTAAGATGGACTGGCTGTTTTAATTGTCTTAAAGGATGAAATGTAGCCTATAATTGGTGCTGATGATATTGATTTGTTGGGACTGGAAGTGGGGTATGAATGGAGGCCAATAGTATTGGAGGAGGATTTTCTTGCGGTTTTTATTTCAAGTGTTGGTATTGTTGTAGTAACAGAAGTTTTCAAACAGGATTTTGTGGTATGTTTGTTATTCAGGCAATTAGTATCATTGATTTTTAATTTAGTTGAGACTAACGAACAGTCATAATCAACACCTTCAGATGTGTAACTACTAGTTAGTAGATATGATGGGGTGCTATGTACCTTGCGACATGAATCAGCAGTATTGTAACATTTAGAATTAGAACTAGCGTAACTGCTAGCCGATTTATTATTTCTTTGTGATAAGCTGGTCATGATAATGCCTGCTGATGAAAAAGGTGTTGAGCGCACCGTTTTGCTGTTGGAGGTTGAGGTAGAACTCGTACTGGCATTGCTCTCGGTGCTAGATGAGAAGGGTACGTTTATAGAGGTTTCATTAGAGCCTGCTGATGAAGGAAGTGTTGAGCGCACCGTTTTGCTGTTGGAGGTTGAGGTAGAACTCGTACTGGTATTGCTCTCGGTGCTAGATGAGAAGGGTACGTTTATAGAGGTTTCATTAGAGCCTGCTGATGAAGGAAGTGTTGAGCGCACCGTTTTGCTGTTGGAGGTTGAGGTAGAACTCGTACTGGCATTGCTCTCGGTGCTAGATGAGAAAGGTACGTTTATTGAGGTTTCATTAGAGCCTGCTGATGAAGGAAGTGTTGAACGAACCGTTGTGCTGTTGAATCTTAGGACAGATGAGCTCCAGTGATTATTCGAATTAGATATTGAAGGTTGAGTTATTGAAGCACAAATAATTTCGGTTTTGTTTGTAGAACATACAATTGTAGGATTAACAGGATGATAATGTGTATCTTTATCTGAGGATATTATTGTTGTGTTATTTTTTAATATGGTACTGGAATTACTGAATAATATACTGGTTGTTGTACTAATTGAATTGTTCAAGGTTTCAGTTGAAATTTTATCGGAGGAAGTATGCATTGAAGTCGTTGTATAGTTTTCATTGTTTGTTGAGGATTGGGATATTATAATACTTGATTGTGTAATACTATTGCTCATTGATGTTGCAGTTGAAAATTTATCTGTAGAAGACTTCGATGTAATATTTTGCTCACTAAGGCTAGTGGAGAAAATACCCTGAGAGATAGAATACGATGTAAGACTGTGTATAACAGTTGATGTATAACTGCTACTATTCAACGAACTATGTTTCTTCGTGTATGGCGAATGGGAGGGTGTACTAATCACATCTGAGAAAGCATACTCGCTTGATGATATTTCTGATGATGTTTCCATTTCTGTTGGTATAGACTGTGATTTTATTGGTCCGTATGGGCTAGGTATACTCTTGGGAATTAGAGTCTTCTGCGAACTGATACTTGAATGAAACGAAACTTCTTTGGAAGTTGTATGTGAAGTTGTTTTTGTCACAGATGAAGTAGATGATGTGTTTATTGTTACACACTTATTTGCTAGTGGATCGTAAAACCCAGAGCCACATAGGGGTGTAGTAGTAGTACCAGTACATGGTATTCCAAGATGATAAATTGTTTTGGTTATTGGAACTAAGTTTTCATTTGGAGTCTCTGTATGATAATCAATACCAATTATTTTAGATGTTTTAACAGAAGCACAAGAAGAATCGTAGCTGATTAAACCTGGGCAGCCCTCCTCTGTGTCATCGAGAGAGAAAAAATACTCTGAAAAGTCACTAACAGTGTTTTCGTTTGATTCTGTTTTAAATGTAAAACTGAGTGCACCATCATATTCTCTGTTATTATAAAATAACCTAATAGGGTAATATACGCCCGCATCTAAATGTACTGTTAGTTCATCTTTAGCTGTTTTTGAGCCCCAGATGGCGTAGGCTTGATAATTTCCGAAATGATCTGCGCTTGAATCCCTTCTGCAGCAATCAAAAGCATTGCCAGCTCCAAAATTTACAAATAATAGATCATCAGCAGATATGGTAAATGTATGGAAGCCAGTTACTTTTGGTCTGAAGTAACCATAAAGTAACATAGTAAAATTGGTCATTGTTAATGGCTTAGGGTAATTATAGCTTGCGGGTAAGTGACCTAATTGGGGTGTGCATCCTTTAGTTGCATGATAATAGAAATTTATATTGCCGGTAACACCATCAACTTTTGCTAGAAGTCTGTGGCTTTTATAGCCAGTTCTAGGGTAATTGGGATCTAAATATGCTGCATCCCAACATGGGTACGAACCCTTCTTCCGAAAATCATAGGAATAAAGTTCCATTGATAGTCCTTTTTTGGGTGTTGTTATATCTGGTGAACACCCTAGAGGAAAGGTTGTGGGATCTTTTGATGCTAAACTGATATCATTGGAAGATGTAGCATAACCACCATTCGTTAATAGGAGCAAAATGAGAGTAGTGTAAATGCATACACATTTATTCAAAAATAGAGCTGGATTTAAAATCATTGTTTTAGTTTGGTTAATTGCAAAGACTAAATCTCAAGAATGAAGAAAAAGCTTTGTGAAGGCAAATGTGAATCTGATAATTGAAAATGATTTGGGTAGACATGTTTATATAGTAAAGATAACGGTCCAATATGCATACCGAAATAATATTCATTTTCTCAATGCTCTAATTCATATGTATTTCAAAAAAGAAATAGTAGGATAGAGTAAATAAATCTGCTAATGGTTTTAATTGTTTGTATCAGCGATATCGCACAGCTATTTTGAAATAACTTTCGAAATACAGAGAAAAATTTTCTAGTGTTCCAGTTTAGAGTTAGAGTCCATATTATGATCGCATGCTTGCGATGAGTTATTAGAATTTGGAATAAAATTTCTTTTTATTCTAATTGTTGGAAACCGTTATTTGCAATTTGTAATTGATCCTGCAGCTGACGTGGATGATAAAAACGTTATATGTTTGAAGGTTTCTCTTGGTTATTTTACTGTATTATAATAAACAGATTTAATACTGCCATTCAGCCATGGAACCTTAGTAGGTACGTTGATGGATTTAGATGTATTGCGTGGAAAAAAATAAAAAAATAAAAGTCAGCTTTGAATAGAGTGGATCTGGTACTTTGATAGTAAATTTTCTATATTGTGAAACCCATGTGAATATAATACTATACTTCAGAGACTTATTCTAATTGTACGGAATATGCTTTCTAGCGTTTTTTGCTAACTTCACAATTCCAGACTTCTATAATTGAAAAAAAAAAAAAAGGGAAATGTACTGATTTTCACTAATGTTCTTTAAATCTCTATCTAGTAGCTCCGTTATCTTTAGAACATCGGATTTGTAAGTTTTATTTCCTCTTGGATGTTTATTTCTACATCAGATTGTATTGAATTGATTCTTGTATCTTTTTAGACAGCTAAATCGCAACTGGCATGTACTGGATAAAATTCGGTAAGTTACTAGCAAAAGAGCGTCCTTCCACAGAAAAACTTCTCCGTGCCAGAACAGGTAATTGGTATTTTACTAGATATCTAATAATATGCAGTAGCGTCTCTGTACCTATGGAAGAATGCCATCGAAAGAGCAGAAAAAGGAGATCGTTCACCGAGTATTCAGTACATAATGCTTACAAATTGCTGTATTTGACTGAGTAGATAGTACAGGTCATAAGCCCACATTTAATGAGTTGTTGATAGCTGCTCAGATTCAGAATTGTGGAAAGTAAATGCAAACATTGCTTTCATTGACGTATTTCCCCGCTATTTTCTGTCATAAGTGCATTATTATTGCCTACAAAACATAGCATGGTAACAATAGGAAAAAAAGAAAGAAAGAATTGCAAGGCTCGTTTTGCAATCAAATAGCTTGAGTTCTGTAAATGCTGCAATGCCTTCTTCGATGATGTTTGTTGATGTTCTTACGATGCCCTTTTCGAAGCCCTTTTCGATGCCCTTTTCGATGCCCTTTTCGATGCCCTTTTCGATGCGGATGCCATTTTCGATGTTCTTTTTGGTACCCTGCTAAGTGACACATACAAGTCTGAGATGAATTTTTCTTCCCCAGTACAAAATACCAAAATTCTGCATTGTCACAACATTTTCTTAGTATTCCATTAGATTTTTTCTTGTTCTCTTCGATCACTTTCCAAAAAAAGTAAAAAAAAAGAAAATGCAAATTCCTTGACAGTGCGGAGGTTAATCAGCTAATGCCGAGTAAAAATTTATTATTGATATTTTTTAATGTCATTATCAAATTTTTCAGTAATATTCTTAATTAGGATTATTACCGTTAACAGTTGTGACGTTAACTAGATATTTTTTGTGTTGATAATTCAACTCGTAGTGATGTCATCTTTAGAAAGTTGCGGTGTCCAGATCACAAGCATTCATTGAGATGTTTTTGTTATTTGCTTTCTGCGTTACCAATTTAAGGCGGTAGTAACTCAAAAAGGTTCAGTATACAGCTAAATTTCTTATCTCTCAATAAAATCCATACCGGTATCATTACATTTATGGTTTCAAATCACATATTTTTCAGAGTTGCTTTCTAAAGAGACTTTATGGTTTAGGCCATAGTAGCTTACTTCGCTAGACTTTCATGGATATATGGCTATACGTTATGTTTTCGTCATAAACATCTTAATACTATTTGATTTATGGTATTAACTACTACTATTGGGCTGACACACCAGTATGTTTTGCAATTTTCACTGTAAGTATATTTTTAAATGTTTTAATGTTCAAGCTTGACATAATACATTAAACATAAATATGATGCTTTTAGAAAAATGTATCTATTTTTTATTGCTATATTTGATATCAACTATAAATATTGACTTCGATCTAATCTCTTCCTTATTAATAAACTCGATTTAAAATGAGCACCTTTAAATGTTAGCCAAGAAAAGTTAACAGCACAAACCTATGCATTAGCCAGGTACAATTCTCATATTTTAAGTGTGTTCGCGAGTTATCTTGAAACTGGTAGTAGAGTGAATTGTTGAGTTTCAACACCTTTTCTGTTCTTTCCAGAAGCATTTGGTGTTGAAAGTGATCCAATAGTGTTCCTTAACGATCTGTCATTAATATCTATCTCTCTATTGACAATTTACGAATAGTGATTATCGAAGTTCATTAATAGTATCTAGTTGAAAGGTTGACTAGATGTATTTTTATAACGCAGACAATGCTTCATATTTTACCGGAAACAAGAATGTTGAATGGTATCATTCGACAGAAAGTGTTACTTTCTTTCCAATATCTGCTGTCAGATGTATTTTTGTATAGTATATTATGAATTAATATCTAAAATCGACAACAAATAGCGAATATCACAAACATCGAGACACCTATATGTAAAACTTTGTTACTTAGCAGATAAGATTAGGTTTCTCATTATGTATATGTATGAGTATATTTATTGTATTTGTTTATTTTTATGTATTGAAAGCTAAGGTAATAGCTGCAACTTTACGCATAAGTAGTGTTAGATAGCTTACGAGTATTCAGTGGTTTTTTACTGGTACTACATTCAAGACAACATATTCTTAACGGGGACGCAATGATAGAATATCATCTAAAGCCCTCAATAGAAATCTTGAACACCACACTCTTTGTTATGTTTTTTTCCATCCTTGTATTGTATTACTTTGTTGCCATTAAGTTGTCAGGAACCCTCGTCTATGATGTTCCAACGCTTTTTCTAGCTAAAACTTCTCACAGAGAACATCTAGTGGTGAATATGCGCACCGTACCGAAAAATGCAAGATCGCATCTGGCAGGCAACAGTGACATGAAAGAAGAAAAAAGTAATTGTGACAGACAAAAAGGAAAAGAAAAATGAAGAGATGAGAAAAAACTCTTCTGTACCCTAGATGACGTAGAAAAGCTGCTACCTAATGAAGAAACAAAAAACTAATATGAACGAGGTATTTTAGACCAATTCTAGAATCAAGAAATTAAATATTGCTGTTGTTTGTATTTTTTTGCTATTCATTACGTGCGAGGCTTAGCAGTATTCAGGAAGTCAGGAATTCTATACTTTTATCAGTAATTATAGAATGCTAAAGTAACTAGAGAAAAAATGGCAGAAATTCAATGTGTCAAAACTCTAACTAATCATGCATTTCTGGAAAACTATTATGAGGGATATTACAGAATAGTTCGCTGTTATCTAAACTATTAACCTTTTATAAAATACAGTGCAAAGGATAACTAATCTAAATAATATTTGTGCTTGGGGATGTAAAATTTAATCTATAGATATTAATTAATGTGTTATATTATATGGTGAAAGATAAAAAAAATGGCAAGGGTCCAGTAAGGTAGAATTACTGAGCTTCCCATATTAGATTGTTGTTCTAGAATCTGTGTTTCAGCTTGTGAATGGTTTCTATAAGTGGGCAGTTGTTCAACTTCGACTTGAGAAGTAATTACACTAGATAAAGAAATTGAAATTTTCCCTGATTGTTTGACAGGCAGACTTGATGTGGCAGTAACCGATCTAGATGAACTTGCCGGTGGAACAAGTTTTCCTGACTTATTATCAAGAGTTGTCCTTGTTGTTGTGCTCGTTGGTTCGGTCTTCACAATGGTAGATAGTTTGCTTGAGGTATTGGTAGGTTCCGCTTCAGTACCTTGTTCATAAATAGTCTTTAGTACCTTTTCTGTAACAGTTCTGTCAATATAATCATGAATAGCTGTAGAAATTGCATCAGTGGTAGTTGTTGTTGTAGTAGTTATTATGTTAGCTATCGTTTCTTGTTCAATGGATTGTGAATCGATTTTGCCTTGCTCTGGTTTGTTAAAACCTGTGTCATTCAAGTAACGGCTGCTATTTACAAGGTTATCACTATCTTTTGGTTGGAAAAAGCTTGAATAAGTGGTGAAATCATTGGAACTTATAGTGTCGATTAGAGTAGTGGAAGTGGTTGCATGAGATAGAGGACAGTCGGTAGTTGTGATTGTATCAACAATTTCTATAGTGGTAGTAAATATGGAACACTTATTTTCACTACAATGAGTCGTTGTCTTAGTAGTAAACGTTGTAAGAGTTTTAGTGGTTGTAAAATCAGAACTCGATTCACTGGCTGTTAGGTTTTGATAATTTGATTTATATTTGCTACTCGTCGATGATGTATTAATTTTGGAAGAAGTTCTACTGTCACTGCCATCTGAAGGCAAGACAGAGAGAGATGGGTTTGAACTGGATAATATACCACTACCAGAAATCGTATTTTGTTCAGTAGAGGAACTATGATTCACAAAAGAACTAGAAGATGCACCTTGAAATACAGGTTGAGCATCTACTCTTTCTCTAAAGTAGGCGGTTCCAGTAGCTTGTACGATATTGCCATCTGGTCCTGTTGAACCATAATAGGAAACAATTTTCTCTACAAACCAATCATCGGAACTGTAATGTGTTGTATAAGTTGATTCTAATATTGGATAGGAAAAACTTTCTGAGGCACTTGTAGTAAATGTAGAGTTATGAGCAATACTTGATGAATGTGCAGCAGGTGTTGAGCTTGAACTTGTAGGATACGAAGAACTTTTTTTTTCAAAACTTGAAGAAAATAAAAACTCAGATGAGGTTGGTTCTAATAGAGACTTTGTTGGAGTTTCAACAAGATATATTGTCTCAATTGTCTGCTTACCATCAACTCCTACAAAACTTCTAATTTCAGTGTTAATTGTGGTTGTATGAGAATTTGTACCATTTGTAATCATTGTAGATGAGATGTAGACTGCAGGTGTCTCGACAAAGTATATTGCTTTGACCGTTTCCTTTCCATCACTATCTATATCCGTCGTGTATTCTGTGTTCACCGTCGTGGTAGCAGAGCCTTTTCCAAGAGTATACTTTGTTGTAGCTGTACTAATAACAGGGGTTTCAACAATAAAAATTGTTTCGATTGTTTCTTTTCCGTCTTTTCCAGTAAAAGTATTCAATTGTGTTTCTACAGTTGTAGTTTTGGACCCTTTACCTAAGCTAAATTGAGTGGACGCTAGTCGAGTAGCTGGTGTTTTAACATAATAAGTAAATTGCTCTGTAACAGAACCGTCATTACCAGTTTTAGTTTCCACCTTTGTTGAAGCAGTTGTAGTTTGAGAACCATCATAACCTTCATATTGGGTCGTTTCTTCGATTTTTGGAATCCATGGTATATGATCAACACAAGGTAAGCATTTATCAGGTTTATTTGCACCATCTGGGATAGGTCCTTTGTAGTAAATGGCATTATTCACTAATGTTGGAGTACAATGGTTATCGATTTGCTTCCAATCAAATTTGCTGGAATCATAACCTAATCCTATATTAAAGATATGAGTCATTGAAGGCCAGACTTTAACAGTTAAGATTCCGGTTTTACCATCATAAGACCATTTGCCTCTAAATGGGTCAATCGATGTTCTAAATGTAATAACATTCCCATTACCAAAGCCAGCAACAACAATATTGTCGGTCTTAGCATCACTCTCTGCATATAATTCGGAAGAAGTAGAAGAAAGGTAAATCATTTGTGAACCAACAGTACCGTGAGAAATTGACAGCATATCATATATTGAGTTCTCTCCAATAACAATACAACCACTGCCTGAAATAGAACTAATAGTTTGAGTTTTCATGTTCTTCAGACAAATTGTACCTTCGTTTACTAAAGATGGTGAGCTTACGCTTCCAACCGCATCCCAGTTTGTAGGTTGTTGGGTGAACTGGATTAGACCTTTGTTTACCAATTCAGTCTGGCCAGTCAACACAAAAGAGTTTTGGACAACAGCGGAGGCACCATTAAAAAACATAGAACCATAATTATTAAAGGTTTTTGCTGTCCATGATACCGAAGCTGCATCAGAAGAGTTTCTATTGTCCAGAACGATGGTACCATAGTTGTTGATGTCACCATTTATTGAGAAAGTAGAGCTAATTGCACCATTTGCAGCATTCTCATTACCAATAAAAACACTTGCATCTTTATTGATAGTCAAAGGACCTGCAAAATTAACTGTTTTGGTGTTAACCAATGCTAAAAATTGGTTTGAATTAACAGTGAAACCTTCAGAAGGTAATTCACCCGAGTAATATGTATTCTCTTTTATTGTTGCTGCTCTAGCCTGGTCTATGAAAATAGTGAGAGCGGCAACTACAATGTTGCGAATGTCAATCGCTTTCATACTGTTGTAGTTTAGTTTTTGATAAAGAATGATAATTGAATGCTTTACACTAATTCATGGGTATCAATCTTTGTATATAGGAGATCCCATTTGTTGAAGGTAGTTTTTTATCAGATCAGAGGCATTACTTTATATACTCAAGATCTGAGCACTCGTAGATGTATAGCAACGTTTAAACGATGCCATGTTTAGCTGCTATTTTCATAATAAATGAATATTCGTTTGAATAAAGTACAATATTATATGATACTTTATCATTACAATTATGGCATCAAATGATGTATAGGTTGAAATCCCCTCACGGTAGTTGTCTCAAAGATATATACATGCCATTTCATCATAATAAATAGCCAGTATTGGAAGAATTATTGTCAATCAGATGGACTCGTTCACTTAGCATTCAAGCAGTCTTATGAACTGGTATATAAGTGGGAAGCTCGTAAAGGTTGCATGGATTAATCAGATTATCTAAAAACTGTCCAAGACAGATTACTTATTGCCTTCAGATCATACCTACTCTTAGATTTAATAGTCCAAGCATAACAACGAGAATTGAAATTTCTCTGAATAGATAAATAGATACTGTTATCTAAACGAATAGATACCATTTGTTAAACTATATCTTTAGATCTTAACTTTTTCCCGTAAGGCCGGGGTACAGGATTCCCACGATCTTGCATCAACATAGCCCAAATGGCAGTCAAACTGTAGCTAAATTTCTTGGTAAACCAGAAATTTACCCATTTAGGACATAGACTTACAATAAAATAGTTGGCTAGGACTTCGTTTATGGGTTTAAACGTCGGTTGAGGTATCAATACCATCTCTAATAAGGTGCTCCAACATTTTGAGATAGTAACAATAATATGCACAGCAGAAGTTTTTTTCCATTGTTGGCTATGGGTAAGAAGGTCTTCTGGTAGCTTTTCCGTTAAAGCTATGATATTGCCTGATTATGTAAACTCGTAAAAGTGCAAATCGCAATGGCAATCCGGATAGAAACGCGAAACAACAATATGCAAATTTGCATCTTGCTGAAATTTGTCAACACTGTGAAAATAAAAAGAAACGAATTAAAACGTTACTAGTTTGGTATGATAGCATTTTTTGTTCTACAGGAATATTACCAGCTTTTTTCAAGTATAAGTAGTACTGTCGAACGCCATTACTAAAACTTGGTAAGGGGGAGGGGAAGTTTTAACATTACAAAGGTTTATATACGTCCTAACATTGCTTCGATTGATATACAAGCCCTTTATCGTAATAATTCGGCTACGTTTAAATATCTTATACTTCCATGGTTCTATTAAACTCTCTGTTGTAAGGCTTGTATAGCTCGATGATTATTAACAATACAGCTAACAGCTGGAATACTGTCTCACGCAATGATGGTAATATATTGATCTAGTTGCTAATCAAAGAAGTGAATCAAGAGAAGCATATGAAGCATATTGAAGGATGATTGCGTATTGTTTCTCAGCAATATGGTATTACATCTCTAACCTTCCACTTATACGTATTGTCATAAAAATAAATCAGATGCACATACATACCTTGACTGTGTCTATAACATTTTGGTTGTATCTAGAACCTCCATCTATTCAGTTCTACATAGTGACACCTTGTTGATTCACCTTGTTCTAAATTATATACTTACACTCGGTTTTTAGATATGGAAGTTTTAATGATAGGCCTCGCCAGCACAACTCAAATAATACTTTCAAGGACTAGCTTGCTGCGGACTCTATAACGATAATAATTAAGTAGTTCTAACATTCTGATTTTACGATAAGAAGTTAGGCAGACATCTCTTCAAGATATCTCTTTGAATCCTTTACCTCATGTTGAACCTCCCATAATGCTCTGATTTCAGACCTTCCAAATAGGAAGGATATCATGCCATCTATAACACCAGTGACTGCAACAACTATTGCAAATAAAACCCAAAATATCGATGACCACCCAGCTACATTACTGGTGAAAGTTGTAACAACAGCACAACTTATCATGAGAAATACTGACATCCAAAAATGAAGCCCACGTAAAAATTTTTGTTTTCTTGCCGTTATTAGATAATCCTCTATACATAACTCCAAGTCTTCATGGATCTTAATGCGATCAGATAATTCTGTCTGCAGTTTTTTAACGTTATTGTCTCTTAATACCTCTAGTGTGCAACTATAAGCAAAATGATCCGAAAAACTACCGACGCCATCAATAAGCTCCGTAAACTTGATGCCAGTCTTAATCGTAGTCAATCTTCTTGGATCAACCAAAGCATAGTCCAATCTACAAGCCTCATCAGGTCTCCTGTTGGCTCTCCAAGTATTAAGAGTAGAATCACATGTTGTGCAGGCATAAACCAATTGATCCATTGCATTCATCGTTCTAATCTTTTCTAAATCTTGTTTTCCATGCAATTGTTCCCAAGAGTCAATTAATCCAGCCTCTTTCGTTAAAATATTATGAGGTAACGATCCTGGACGAGAATTCAAATCACCAACAATAACTACAGCATAACCAGCCTCTCTGTATATTTTTGCCAATTTTGCAAAGTCCCACGCTTGGCATGATCGATGACAACTATATGCAGCATCACCAGTCAATGAATAAGGTGCATGCATATGACTATTCATAATGACAATGGGTGTAGTCGGATTCTCTCTGTTACGTAATGTAGTAATTGCAATCGATTTGCCAACATACCAATCCCCTCTATGAATAGCACTTGGTCTCCCATTAATTGGATATCTGTACAAAAACGTTGATTCAATCGGAATTTTTGAAAGTATTGCCAATCCAGGGCCTGACAGTATTCCAGAATAAAACCATCTATAGTAAGGAAAAATCTTACCACATTGTTCTACAATATAATCCCAATCTTCCTTGCACCAGATTTCCTGTAGTGCAACTATATCATAATCCTCAAAATCATTATCTGCATAGAGATCTTCACTATTAGGTAGTGATTTAATGTTGCTATTCTGATGTCCTGCTAATTTTTCTGCCAATGCCCTTAATCTTGCTCGTCTATGCTTTGAAACATACTTCAACCCCCAAGTATTGAAAGTCAAAAATTTTATTCTTTGCGGCTCAGAATGCATCATCTTAAATATTCTGAATTCTGAATTCTTGGCTAAATGAGTTGGTGTAGTCAGGCGTATAATTTCTAAGTTAATCTGAAGCACTAACACTAATGAGGGCTTGTATTTTTTTTATCCAGTTAAATTCAATTACAATATGTTAATAATGAATGCGTATGAACCGATTTAAATAGCTCTTCAATAGACAAAAACTACTTGTTTTAGATTGTGTTTAATCCCTATGCTATATGATAATCGCTGTTTATCTAGCGGTTCAGATCAAGTGTCTTCAATTCACGAAAGCGAGAGTTTCCCAATTCACGCAAAATCTGAATTTTTCCATCTGTTGTTGTTTGAGAAGAAAATTTGCGATGAGCTTGAAAAAAGTAAAATTCCTTTATGTAGTTATATATTCAGAATTGTTGTTATTTAAGAGTTGGGAAGAAATATCTTGCAACCTTATTAGTAATAATAACACATAATTCAATAAAAAAGATATCAAGTTAGACATTATGGGTAAGCCAAGAGGGAGGAAACTGGAAAAGAAGATCAAGGATCAAGAATTTCATCCAGAACAAGATAGTGAGAAAATAAGTGAGAATTACAACTACGATGGTCATCCAGAGTCAGATACTAGTAACCCACAAATGTTCTTTGGTGTGTTAGATAGGGACGAATTAGAGTACTTTAAGCAAACAGAGGCTACCTTATCATTAGACACTTTTGAAACTGAGGAAGAAAAGGCACAATTTGTCACTAATGTTATTCAGGAAGCTGAGGGTAAGGAATTGAAACTTGTTACTTCACAAATATGTTCTAAACTAATGGAAAGACTAATTTTAAATTGTAATGATATTCAGTTAAAAAAGCTATTCCAAGCTTTTAATGGTAACTTTTACAACATATCCTGTCATAAGTATGCATCACATGTGGTCGAAACATTATTGGTCAGAAGTGCATCTTTGGTGGAAAAAGAACTAATCACACCACATTTTGATAATATGGATGCCTCTGTTGATGGAAGTGATGTCTTTGCTCCTATGGAATCTTTATTTTTATTTATGCTCAATGAAATAAAGCCACACTTGAAAAGCATGATTAATCATCAATATGCTTCTCATGTTTTGAGGCTAATAATATTAATTCTCTCCTCGAAAACATTACCAAGTACAACCCAAAATAATTCAATAGTACGTTCAAAAAAATCGAAAATTGCAAGGAAAATGATTGATTTAAAGGATAATGAAGACTTCAATAAAGTATATCAAACACCTGAATCATTTAAATCTGAGCTGAAAATGATGTTAAATGATTTATATTCCGATTTAACTGGCCATGCAAAACCAAAAGCAGAAATTAACCCAACGGTTATAACGAAATTCAGAGAGTTTTGTGTTGATAAAGTAGCCTCCCCTGTTATCCAGCTTATCATACAAGTTGAAGGTATATTTGATAGAGATAGATCATTTTGGCGACTTGCTTTCAATACAAATGATGAAAAAGACGCCAAGGAACAATCTTTTATGGAATATCTACTTTCTGACCCAGTAGGATCTCATTTTTTGGAGAATGTGATAAGTTTTGCTAAAACAAAATATGTGGAGAGGCTATATCGAGTCTACATTAAAGATCAAATTGTCAGGTTAGCAAAAAGAGATACTACTGGTGCTTTTGTAATTCAATCTTTGCTAAAAAATATGAAAGATAAAGAAGTAAAGGAAATCCTAGATGCTTTACTTCCGGATTTGAGTATTCTTTTGAATTCAAACATGGATTTTGGTACAACAATCATTAATGCATGTATCAAGCAGAATAACTATAAGAGGGATGAAGTCATAGGTCAGCTCATGAAAAAGTATTATCCAGACGGTTCATCGGAGAAGAATATTCTGGAAAGCTGTCTTTTGCTGGCTAGCTCCACATTGGGCAATACCAAAGATGACTGGCCAACTGCTGAAGAAAGGAGAAGATCGATATTTTTGGAGGAGTTGATTGACTTTGATGATAAATTCCTAGAAGTAGCTATTGAGAGTATGTTGAATCTTCCAGAAGAAAGGTTACTGCAGATGTGTTATCACGGTGTTTTTTCTCATGTTGTTGAGCATGTATTGCAAGTTCAACGTGTTGATATAATCAAAAGGAAATTGTTACTAAACATTTTAATTAAGGATATTGTAAAGTTGGCATGCAATGCTTATGGATCTCATATTGTCGATAAGCTTTGGGATTTTACAGCAAAGCTGACATTATATAAGGAACGGATTGCAGCAGCTTTAGTAGAGAACTCTGAGATGGTGAAAAACAGTGTTTATGGAAGACAAGTCTGGAAGAATTGGCAGCTAGAGAAATATATACGGAAAAGGTGGGAATGGAAGAAGATTATTAAGGAAAGTGATTTGGAAACCTTTCCCAATATGCGTGTTCTTCAACCTAATATGCAAGAAAGGGCAGCAATCAAGAGAAAGAATGATGACAAAGCATTTGATAGCATGAAAAAGTCAAGAAAATAAGAAGTTAACCAATTAATAGTGATATTGACAGCTTACATAAATAACTTGATTTAATCTGAAGCCTCGGCACTTAGTTAATTATCACCTCCATAAATTGCATATATTACTGATTGTAACTTACATAAATTGTGGATTTTGTATCTAATACAGTTATCACCTCAAATATATCACACATTGATTTTCATTTAACGTACTATCACTTTTAATATATTTAATTTAATGGTAAAATAATTAAATGTCTTAGAATTAACTACAAGCTCAGTAGCATTACCAGATACCTGTGCCTCTTCTTGAGCGCAATCCGAGATATCTTGCGATATCGTTGAAAGCATCGTCTAGTTCATCCTTTGATAACTTCTTCAGTTCTTTGGTGATATCTTCGTCAGATAGTTTACTGATGTGTAGATCTTCTACCTTACCTTCTAGAACTTTGTCAAAATCTTCCTGTTCTTTCATAGTCAAAGGCAATTTTTCATAAAACTTGGCCAGTCTGTACAATCGAATATCATCCATTTCCTCAAATTCTTTTAGTGTGTGAGGGAACATTTCATCTGTTAGAGATGGTGCTTCCCCATCAGCGTTGGGTATAGGTGCCAAAGTAGCATCTTGATCAGTCTTAGTAGAGTTGACCAACCTTCTGATGGATCTCTCCTCTATCACGTTCAACTCACCTTGTAATTCGGCAACCAATTGAACTAAATCATCGTTAGTGGCAAAATCGGTGGAATCGAATTGAGCAGTTACTTGTGCCCTAGAAGGACCAAAATTGTCCACATCACTTTTTTGTTTTGCAATTTGTAACTCTAGCACATTCTTACCAGTCTTGGAGATAAGCAAGTTCTGCTTCTGGACCAGCTCTTGTAAGTCTGAGACCTTTTTTTTTAAAACCTCTAATTCGGAACTCATTTATTGTTTCTATTTTATACACAACTCAGAAACCCTGTTGTAGTTTTCTCTGATATGTCAAGTTTAGGTGGATAGGCAGACAGTAAAAACGATTGCACTAACTATTTAATTTCCTCTTTATCTTTACTATGATATGTATAACACAACACTCCTGGTTTAGACGAAGAACTGTAAGTCATTCTGACATTTTTGTACTCTTAATCCCAACCCTTTTGCAGGAGGTCCTTATTCCGTGACTGAAGACTCAAAGGTCATGAATTGTAAATGCTATTCTTTCACCATTTTGAAACGTTAGTACATCAACGAAAGGCTAGGGAGAAGAGAAGGGGGTCGTAAGAACTACTATGATAGAAGAAGCAAGGGGTTGGTGAAAAAGTGCCGGCAGGGAGACAACTTACAGGAATAGCAGATAGTTTCTCAAGTGTCATACATAATACTTTTACCTTTAGTTTGAGCTTAATTGCGGGTGAGTAGTGATATAAAGTACAATTTGTCAATTATAAAATCGAAATACAGTTGGCTGGTACTACCATAAATATTGTATGATTGTCATACCATTGCAGATGAGGCAAATGTGTATTGAGTGCGTTGCTTTTACAACAACTATCAGAAATGAGGGAGTCAGGTAAAAAATTGGAAATGTAAATAATTACTGTATATATGACTATTTTCTACATAAGTGGGTAGTAGTCTAGTTGTATTGCATGTAGCGAGATGTTGAACTAAACTTCTTGTAGCCGTTGATGACTTTATCGACAGCTTTCAAGAAATCTTTTTCTGTAGCCACTTTCCTTCTAGCCCTGATTGCAAACATTCCAGCCTCTGTGCATACTGATCTTAGTTCTGCACCAGTAGAGTTTGGACATAGTCTTGAAATCAGTTCCCATCTTATATTACGTTCAACGCTCATAGACTTTGAGTGGATACGGAAGATGTTAGCACGACCCTCCAGATCAGGAAGTGAAAACTCGACTTTACGGTCAATTCTACCTGGTCTTAATAGAGCTGGATCTAAAGTGTTGGGTCTGTTGGTAGCAAACATCACCTTAATGTTACCACGAGGATCAAAACCATCTAGTTGTGTAATCAGTTCTAACATTGTTCTTTGCACTTCATTATCACCACCTGCACCATCATCGAATCTGGCACCACCAACTGCATCAATTTCATCAAAAAATATTATACAGGCTTTCTTTGTTCTGGCCATTTCAAATAGTTCTCTAACCATACGAGCACCTTCACCAACATACTTTTGAACTAATTCGGAACCGATAACTCTAATGAATGTGGCATCTGTTCTGTTAGCCACAGCTCTTGCACATAAAGTCTTACCTGTACCTGGAGGTCCATATAATAAAATACCCTTTGGTGGATCTATACCTAATGTGGCAAATCTTTCGGGGGATAATAGCGGTAATTCAACAACCTCTCGTAGCTTTTCTATTTGCTCTTTACAACCACCCACATCACTATATGTAACATCTGGTTTTTCTTCCACAGTCATCATTGTAACTGAAGGATCGATTCTGGGTGGTAATGGTAATTCTATGTGATATTTGGATCTATCAACACCAACTCTCATACCTTCTTCTATGTCTGTGGGAGAGACTCTCTCACCCAACCCTACGACAAATTTTGCGATTTGCTTCAAGTTAATCACGTATTTGGCATCTTCGTCATCATCACCTTCAGCGTCTCCATCGTTTCCTGAGCCAGTAGTTGCTGAGTTTGTAGTATTAGCACCGTTAACAGCGGACTCATCAGAAACCTCATTAGAAGCACTACTTTTTATGATTTTTGTGCAACGAGCAACTTGTAGTGGATGTTCCTCACTTAACCTTTGTCTGTCACCCATAATATCCCAAAGATGTGACGGAGCAAGACCAGTGTCACTCTCTTTAATACCAGATTTTTCCTTGATTCGTTGTTCAATCTCCTTCAAATCCTTCTCTGTTTCCTTAAGTTTTGCAGCATATGGAGCAGCACCATATGTCTTTAATACTTGAATGTCACCTTCAGTTAATGGAATTGACTTGTCATCCTTCAGTTTATTATCATCGTCGGATTCTACGGGAGCCTTATATTTCTCCCAGTCTTCTTTTGGAGCCATATTATTTGTACTGTTTTGGAAGGTTTTACTCACACTCAGTTAGTGTATGATAAAAATACCACGCTGTATAATGGCAATTAGCCTTAATTTGGGTTATGTTATTCTCTCTTTGTTTCTAATACACCTTAACGGAGACGAAATTGCCTTATCAAATGTATAAATGAAACAAACAAAGCTTAGATTAATGGTTTGCTATTTTGTACCAGCTTGAATTCGAGTAAGTGTAGGAATTACAAAGTTTCCAATGGTTGCTTATGTCTGCAGTATACTGTCGGCTTTCAGGATACTGATCTACCCTTTCTATTCCTATTCATGTGCTAGTGTACTGAATGAAATTTAAGCTGGTGGCAAACCAATGTATTTCGTTACCTATGATATGATGCAGTGGTTGAACCGTACATTGATAAATATAACTACAAGTTTATAAACCAACAATTATTCATATAATTAATAGATGGGTTAGAAGGGTTATTACCTATGGCTAAGATTTATAAATAACCTATATGTAATGTTGATAAATGGATACTGTTTGTATTAATATCCGTAGTTTAACTTTCTCATAATTATTTACATGTCGGATAATGATTATTTAATTTTAGTCTCTTCATAAAACTCGAGCTCAATAAGTGCTAATACAACAATAGATAAAATTTTAATAAATGCTCCATTTTCTGCAATCTCTTGACTTTTTCCATTAATTGAGCCACATTCCAATGGTTTGAAGAGATGTGTAGATCATTACTATAATACCGAAAAAAAGGAGAAAAATATCTGAGGCCATAAACAACTTCGATTTATCCTTCTTAAAAGCTTTGAAATGTAACATTGGTGGATATATGTAAATAAGAGGGATACATGCAAATGAACCTACCAATGAAACAAACTTATCAAGATCATTAGCGCCAGCCCAAGCAATAAGGGCAGAGAAACAGACAATTGCTGCTCTAAAGTAATTTTTCAACCACTTTACCTTAGGATTGTGCTTTCCTGATGAATGAGGAGAAAATGTCCAGTTCTCTAATATCTTTATTGCTGGGAATAATTGGAGGGGAGTTGATAACAATATCGCTAGTGCATATAATAGTTGTACGGCTCTTGTATAGATACTTTCCTGTGGAAAATTTAGTAGCACGACAGTTTCTACATCCGCACCAAAAGCACAGTAGCAGATAAGCCCACATGAGATAAAAACAACAGTTACAACGCACATGACACCTGAAAGTGAAGCATGAAAATGTTCAGGCTTCTTCATTGATTCTTGTATCGGTATTAATAGTCCAATACCTTCGAAAGTAAAAATAGCAGTTCCGATGAACAAAGACCAATCAGCCTTATTAAACATTAGCATTGTTTCAGAAGCAACACCATGGGTTGAAACATGACTAATCGAAAACCAATACACATAAACTAATCCTAGCAAAATGAAAAGATCTGCAATCAAGGCAGTGCCACTTAATTTGGCAATATTTCTTGTAAGCGCCAATGGCAAAAAAAACAATACCTGGATTATGATAAAGATAGTTATTCCATATTCTTGCTTGAACACATTGTTCGTGAATACTTGTAAGTTGGTAGCAGTGAAGACAGTATAGGCTGATGAAAACCCTATCTGAGAAAGAGCAATTGACCATAAGATCGCTAATTTCATTGATGAACCATAAAGGTGGTTACCCATATCACCATAACCATCCAAACCAACGTGATTTTTCGTGTCTATCAGAAGGACAAAGCACCAGTACGATATTAATGCACATATTAACAATACGGATGAACTAAACCCCCAACCTCCATTATGGAAAGCACGAGGAAGGAAAAGAACACCAGTGCCGACAAAGGATTTCAATAAAAGAAGCACCGCTTTGGTAGTTGATGATTTATGACCATGAACAGCTGGACGATGTTTTCGCGATCTGTGAGTAGATAGAAGGCGTGTGGATTCTGTTTCAAGAGCTTCTTCATCATATTCACCTTCAATGTCGCTTTCCTCTTCAGATTCTGATAAATCTTCGCCTGCAAAGTGGCCATAAAGAGTTAGAAACTCAATAAAATTTCTAGTGATAAAATTATTTGGTGGTTCCTCTCCGTTCTCCTCTATATGTTTTTGGATCAAGTACGACCTTCTAAATCCTCCTGGCGCTCTAATATCTTCATGGGACATCATTATTTCAGGCAGTTCATTTCGTACTTGACGGAAATCGTTATTCGTATTATAATTAGATATACTGTTCATGGCGGAGGAATGAGCAGATACAGCAGAAAAACTCATCGATCTCTTTCTTTTGAATGCATTGGGGTTGGTAAACTCATTTGGAGTTGAAATATTTGTAAACTGGTTTCCACTGGAAGCTAGCATGTTTTCCGAAGAAGCTGGTGGAGGAGAAGACGGGTGCTCTTTGGCCCATTTGTAAAGATCTCTAGTCATATCAGCACCTTGCATTTGTAAATGATTCGGAGTGCTTGATAAGTGCCTAGTCACAGCATCAATAACTTTTGGTGCAGGATTTCTTATGTCAATGTCTATGCTTACAGGTGGTATACCCTTGGTACCATAGTTTTCTGAGGGATCTTTCAAAAGGGCAGCAGTAGTACTCGATCTCCGGCTAGCAAAATCATCTCTCGAGAAAGATGCTTCTATGCTAGGTGACTTTTTCTGACTCCCTGAGTGCTTCCTTATTATTCTCTTATTTATATCAGCAGTTCTAGTAGGACTATTAGACCCACATTCGTTTGAACTTGTCATCAAAATAGTGATTTATAATTAATCAATGTGTTAGATTGGCAACTAGTCTTAACCTTATAATATTTCCAAAATGATCTAACCTCGAACTTTAGTTGAATATGAAGGCTGACCAAAGGTATTAACTATCTGGTTACTATTCGTTTGTTCAGGAGAATGCGCTAAAACTGACGACGTGTATTTCTGGTGAGCACAACAATGAAACTTAAAGTTGGATTACCACAAGCACACCAAGCTACCTTTATCTATCTTTATTACCAAGGTATTGCCCTAACAATGAATGAATTTTCAGACATTAGTTATTCACTGGATGTATTTATATATTGATAAGATAAATTGTCATCTTGTGATTTTTACAATTATTGAACTTTGATCCGAGACAATTACCGTAAACTTGAAAATAATCATCGATGAGCATGCAATGCCTGTTTAGAGCACAGGGTAACGAAGAGAATGAAATTTCCTGTTTTATTAAATATAATTTCAAATAATAGACAATTCATCCCATTGGATCAGCCCATTGTTGGAGGTAGTGGTTGGTTATGAATGAAAGAAAACTACGGATTGCTGTTCAAGGTTGTTGTCATGGTGAATTAAACAAGGTGTTTGCAACTGTAGCAGACATGCATAAAAGAACACCCATAGACTTATTAATAATATTAGGTGATTTTCAAAGTATACGTGATAATTCAGACTTCCAATCTATCAGTATACCTCCAAAATATCAAAAGCTTGGTGATTTCCATGCTTATTATGAAAATGATTATTACAGGGCTCCTGTATTTACCATAGTGATAGGGGGGAATCATGAGAGTATGCGTCATCTAATGCAGTTACCTTATGGAGGCTATCTCGCAAATAACATCTATTATATGGGGTACTCGGGTGTAGTGTGGTTCAAGGGTTTTAGAATTGCCGCGTTAAGTGGTATTTGGAAGGAATGGGACTTTGAGAAGAAGAGACCTTCATGGAAATTCCTCGAAGAAAATAATAAATGGAAGGATAGTGTACGGCAACTTTATCACATTAGAAAAGATGATGTTGCACCTTTGTTTGCCTTATCTGATAATATTGACATATGTTTAAGTCACGACTGGCCCTCTGGTGTTGTACATTATGGGAATGTTAAGCAACTATTAAAGTATAAGCCATTTTTTGAAAAAGATATTAAATCTGGTAAACTGGGTAACCCTATTGCTTGGAAATTGCTTACCAATTTAAAACCTCGTTGGTGGTTCAGCGCTCACCTGCATGTTAAATACGAAGCGGAGATAACACATAATAAAAGGAGACTTGCTGATAGTAAAGGTGCTAAAAAACTAAAGTCAAACTCCGATGAGATTGAATTGAATTTGGATGATGAGTCATCTCTTGATTTAAGTTGTCATGATGACAGCTTGGACTCGGCTGAGCATACCCGCTTTTTATCACTGGATAAATGCATGCCTAGAAGAAAGTGGTTAGAAATTGTAGAAATTGAAAAAAGATATGATAGTATACCACAAGGTTTGGATTGTGATAAAATGTATTGGGATCCTTCTTATATAATAGCTCTACAGAATTTAGAAAAGCAGTCTAGATTGGTTGCGGATACGCCATTCAACGAAATCATTTGGAGTAGATTCTCTTCTGGACACATAGACGACATTAACTGGCACAAATATGAGATACCCAAATATGAATCCGGATTACAAAGAGATGAAGCATCTCAAACAAATTACTTTTTAAGTAAACATATGCTATCAAAAGGCAGTCGATAATTATATTCTAAATAATAGTCCCAGGGAGTATTTCAGCATGCCCGATAACTGAATTATATATCTTCCGGAGTATAGTTTCGATATATTGACAGATATATTTGATAGAGAATGGAATTTGAATATATAGATATATGAATGGCTTGGGCCACGTATGTGTTTGAATAAGTCCCTAAAACTTGAATACTTGATCTTGAGAATAACCCAAATCTTTCAAAGCACCAGTTAGGTCACCTTGTTCCATTGGTGACTTCTTTTGACCAGATAAAGAATCCATGAATGGTGGAGGACCGCAAACAAAAACTTGCGTTTTTTCCTTTGGACCTGGGGCATTCTTAGCTAAGAAATCCTTGGTGATGAAGCCCTTATTTCCATCGAACTTTCCGGTGTCGTCCTTGTCAACAAAGTATTGAATGTTGAGTTGTTCTGGGTATTTCTTCTGTAAGTCATCTAATTCTTTCTTTAACAAGATGTCAGATGGTGTCTTACTGCCGTAAAATAGGTTGATTTTAGTCTTGTCTTCCTTATTTTGGGTAATGTGGTGAACTAATTGATATAATGGAGTAATACCAGTACCACCACCTAGCAAAGTTATAGTATCAAAGGAGTTTGGCTTCCATTGCCATTTAGGGATAGGGCCCTGAAAAGCCAAAGTGTCCTTTGGCTTTAATTGGAACAGGTGGTCAGTCATCTTACCACCTTCATAATGCTTGATTACAAACTCTATGTAACCCTTTTCTGACAAGTCACTAACTGGGGTGTATGGTCTGATAACAGGGTTGCCTTTTGGAGTCATAAACTTTGTTAGCACAGCAGATGCAAGAGTCAAACCACTGACTGAATCATCGGTTGGTAGTTTGAAGAAAAATCTCTTAGTGTCATGAGATTCCTCAATGATCTTTTCCAATTCTAGGTCAATCCATTTTCTATCACCGATAAAGACCTTAGGGTTCTCATTCTTTATGGTATTCCAACCATTCAAATATAGAGCACCAGCTGTGACGGCAACAGCACCAATTGCAAATGGTAAGAATCTCTGTGTAGGGCGTGCAAATCTAGCAAAGGCCATATTTCTTATCTAGCTAAAATAACTATTTTTTTGATTCTTTACTAACCAAGTTAACAGTAAGAAACTTACTTCCCTTCTGTTTAAAACCAATTACAAAAATTACGAATAATTGCTAACCCGATTTATAAGAGCTTATATAGTAAAGGATGCTAAGACTTAGAAGTAAGTCACTGAAGGTCAATTCTTACAGGTCGAGAAACAATTACCTAAAGGTTTGTAAAGAGCAAAGTAGGACTAAAGGAGTGATGATCGTATTCCTCCCTACAGGTGATACTTAGAATTGTAAATATATGCATTAAACAACTGTGTACGTACATTTTAGTTGACCTTTTAGGGTGGAGCTGCGTAATAGCATGGCCTTAGGTTGCTTGTTACTGGGAGTGGGCATCGAGGAGGTGCTTTCGAAAATTAGTGGAGTGTATTTGTTAACCGTTGGTTCTGTTATTAAGGTGCCATTCCATGCCAAAAAGTTGGATAATAGGTAAAAGCATATATCAGATAAAGAGAATCAATAGTGAGTATACATATGGAGTGAAGAAGTATTGTAATTCCATAAGATGCCTTATTGAAACTACCCCTTTGCCCACAAAGTGAACTTTAGGGGAGTTGAGAAATGTGTTACACTGTAGTACTGAAGTGGGGATACACCTCACTCTTGTGATACTTGAAGCCTGTATATACAAAGTTAGCGAAGTTCTAGGAAGCTGATTGGCCAAGATGATACTAGGTGGAAATTGTGGTAAGGAAGTTTGTTTTGTCAGGCACTCATTTATCTCATTGTACATCAATATGGAGCACAATTTGATAGTAGATGTACCTGCAATCTTTACTTTTCAGAGGTACTCTGCTGGAGTTTAACAGGTCATTTGTAGGACGCAGCAGGACAACTGAACAACAGCCAATATAGACGTGATGATCTCATTCCTTCTGTTCCTTAAAAACATTACACGTCATTGTGGTCACTCTCAGTTCTACGTAATATCGGATATTTTAAGACTTATTTTGTAAATCGGTTAGCTTTGGCTATCTATGGATTGGGCATAATAACATACCATCTAGTTTTCAATAGATGGGCAGGGCATATGGAGATGACTGGGACACAGAGAATTGTGCAATGACTGAACTTCAAATGTGATGTAAGATTTGTATTTGTATATATTTCGAAAAGTACTCTTTTTCATCTCATTCAGCTTTTGATCAAGACTAAAATGCTCGGCTGTCTGGTTTTGAGTTGAATATCGTATGTAGAGGTCTCATACGACACTTTACATGTGGATACATTTGTGTGTGTGAATGGCTAGATTTATTTATTAGAATTGCGGCAGTTGCTGTTCCTTGTTTTTTGAGTTCGACTTCTGTACTCACAATACCTACTTTGATCTCATTAAAACGACAATCATGTGGTCACCCGTATTGAATTTTTAGGGGTTGCTAAATGCGATGAGTTAGAAGTAACATGAATTCATAAAGCTCGAAAAGTTAATGAAGGTTTATGCCCCTGAGTATTAGACATATTCCAGTATACGCATACATTATATATTTACCATTATTATTTCACAAAGTATGCTTTATATAGAGTAATATAAAAATAATAGACAGCACTTTTATAGCCAAGGATTTCATCTTTCTTACATCAAAACGGACTAGACAGGTAAAAAATTTACTTACTCAATTGAATAAAATGTTATCAAAGCTCTCGCATAAAGAATTGCTGAAACTAGCACAGAGGCAATGTATACCGCCATTATTGTCTACTTTTCATAAGGGTCAAGCAGGTGGCAGGGTCTGTATTATTGGTGGATGTGAAGATTACACAGGAGCGCCTTATTTCAGTGCCAATGCCACTGCACTAATGGGTTGCGACTTGACACATGTGATATGTGAATATAATGCAGCTACCGTGATAAAATCGTATACTCCAAATCTAATGGTTCATCCTTATATGAGAATGAGCAATAGTTATTTACCTAATGGCGACCCTGTTCATTCTGACATGGACAAGATTAAGAACCTGCTACAAAGAATGCACGTTATTGTTATTGGCCCCGGTTTGGGAAGAGATAAAGATATGCTAAAATCTATTAAAGAAATAATCAGGTTTGATTTAGAGCAGTTGGGAGGTCAATTACCCATTGTAATTGATGCAGATGGCCTATTTCTAGTGAGTGAGGATCATGATACCAGAGCTCTTCTAAAAAGGTTTCCAAGGGGAAGAATTATATTAACACCAAACGTCGTCGAAATGAAGCGTATAAGGGACTCATTAAGTAAACAGTGCTCGAGTGAGATCGATATAGTGAATGAATTGAAGTGCATTTTAGTTGAGAAGGGTACAGAAGATGCAATTTACTCACCTGGTGAAGGTAATGATATTTTGAAGAATAAACAAGAAGGGAGTAATAAAAGAGTAGGTGGTCAAGGAGATACTTTGACTGGGACAATAGCCTGTATGCTAGCGTATTGTAGGGCAATCTATGACTTTAAGGTTTATAGGCCTGATCATAATTCCGAGTATTTAAAGGATTGGATAGATTATGCGATGTTAAGTTGTTATGTCGGGTGTACCATTACTCGTGAAAGTGCCCGATTAGCATTCAAGCAAAGCGGCAGAGCGATGCAAACCACGGATGTAAATAACCGTGTTGGTGAAGTGTATGCTAGATTATTTGATTAGTATAATTAATATAGAAAGCGTATCTTTAATAGACATAGGAATGTAGATACAAATTCAGATTCAAATCTGTACTCTTAATTGATGTGACAGCAATTATTATTTCTTCTTCAATGCTTTTAAAAAAAAAAAGCATTTAAGTTATTTCAAAAATCATGTCAATTTTGAGTCCCAAAACATAAAATCTATAATTTGCATTTTCTCTACTCTTTCCAGCATGCCGGAGTGTGTGTTATCACCCTCAAGTGAAAATATATGGATGCCAAGGGCTAGTAGTCAAACCATCCAATTTACCCGGCTCAGTAGTAATAAAAATCCCGAAAATGAGAAATTGCCCGTACAACTTAATGCGGGTAACTCCCACTAACTGCCCCAAGGGGTATATGGAGTATGTGAACTCGGGTTTTTAAAGCATGCTAATAAATGTTCTGAGTATGTGCGTGTGTTTTACTAAGAGTGCCAGCTTCCACTGAGATGGTTTCGGACGGCGAGATACACTCATATACCTAACTGAGAGGATAGCCAACTAAAAACAGCTTCCACTACGTCATCTAGTGTGAATAGAATTGTTGCCCTGTGATTTTCTGAAATGAGAGTACCTACACTAGTGGTCCTCCCTTTTTTCTTCCTTATTTCTTTTTTTTTTTAATTCGATTACACAGAAAAAGGAATCCCTCCATGGATGGGACAATGGGAAGCAAAACAGCAACGTACGAGCTCAATAACATGAGTAGTATGAAGAAGAAAAATAAAAACTGCACAACAGTGGAATCCCAATTACCCGGCTATAATATTGGGTTCACAGCTGTTTATTGTAGGAGCTGGATACTTCATCATTGCGAGAAAAGAAAATTCAAATTAACGGGATTCCTGTATTCAATAACATGAGATGGGAAGCTCTACATAGCACATATGTATGAACTACACAGTTGATTTATGCCCTCCTCCTCTCACTGTAACACCAACCAGAATTCCTATCTCACCCAAACGCTAAATGCAACAGTCTAAGTGTTATCCACCCCGTTTTTACCATACCCATTGTGGACTAGTTCTGTGGGCCCCACTGTCGGATCTTAGTAAACACTGCAGTCCAAAACAACAACTGTGGATTGTGTTTTTCCGTTTTTCTTTCTTTTCCTTAGCTTTAGAGCACCAAGACAGTGAAGAGCCCGATCTATACACACACAGTATGTATCTTTCGAACATCACTCCCGTGAGATACCTTCAGTTCGACCTGAGTGAGCAACTTGAAATTCGTGCTACTCTGTACCACTGCTATTGCACTTCTGCTTGAATTAGCTACCTTGGGGGCTTGCAAGAACTGCGACTGCCTATAGCTAAGCTATACACTGAAGCATTCCTTCAAGGTAAAGCTTCACTTGCTTCTAAACATATGTGAAGTTGTGCAATAAAATAAGTAAAATCAAGAAACAATGAACTGGACCTCTGCTGATCCAAAGTTTTAGGCATTGGAAGCTCTGGGAGTGAAGTCGAATGGCTCTCTTCTTTTCTTTCTGGATCAAGCTAACAAAGGATTATAAAATTTTTAAGATATCTGAAATTGTATATAAATATCATTGAAAGTTGCTTTCTCTTAGGTACCAATTGACCATTTGGATATTTATTTTAAGTCGTCTTGTTCCATTTCTTTACAGTTTACCTTTTTTTTCTTGTTCAATTATTATGTTTTAGCCTCTTCTTTATAGTTCTTATTAAATTTTTTTCTTCATAGTAAAGAAGAGTAACCACACTATCAAATACATACATAGCAATGCCAAAGTTAGTTCTAGTTAGACACGGTCAATCCGAATGGAATGAAAAGAACTTGTTTACCGGTTGGGTCGACGTTAGATTGTCCGCCAAGGGTGAACAAGAAGCCGCTAGAGCCGGTGAATTGTTGAAGGAGAAGAACGTCCACCCAGACATCTTGTACACTTCCAAGCTATCCAGAGCTATCCAAACCGCTAACATTGCTTTGTCCAAGGCTGACAGATTGTGGATCCCAGTCAAGAGATCCTGGAGATTGAACGAAAGACACTACGGTGCTTTGCAAGGTAAGGACAAGGCTGAAACCTTGGAAACTTACGGTGAAGAGAAGTTCAACACCTGGAGAAGATCCTTCGATGTCCCACCTCCAGTCATCGAAGCTGACTCCCCATACTCTCAAAAGAACGATGAAAGATACAGAGACGTCGACCCAAATGTCTTGCCACAAACTGAATCTTTGGCTTTGGTCATTGACAGATTGTTGCCATACTGGGAAGATGTTATCGCCAAGGACTTGTTGGCTGGTAAGACCGTTATGATCGCCGCTCACGGTAACTCCTTGAGAGGTTTGGTCAAGCACTTGGAAGGTATCTCCGATGCTGACATTGCCAAGTTGAACATCCCAACTGGTATTCCATTGGTCTTCGAATTGGACGAAAACTTGAAGCCATCCAAGCCATCTTACTACTTGGACCCAGAAGCTGCTGCTGCTGGTGCCGCTGCCGTCGCTGCTCAAGGTAAGAAATAAGCTCCCTGAAATTAAGGTCCTGAATAATTTTTCTATGAATATTTTTTAACTCAATTTTATGAAGCTTACAATTACTTTTATAAAACATGCAACAATAGCAGATACAACTTACATATGTTAATGAGCCATATATAAAGATACACTTTTCAATAAAGAAGTACGATTTTTTTCACTTGTTTTGCTTTGCTAATATTATTTTTGGACATAAATCACGATTATTTGAGAAGTAGACATTATTTTATTTAGCATGTATTTTGCTCTATTGAGGATGCACGCCAGGAACATTAGAGATTCAGCTTATCGTATAGACCATGGTCATGTGAAGAAAATCACGTGACCTACTTTCAGGTTTAGAAAATATATTGGAACTGAGTTGTCAATGAGTTGGTGATCTTTTGATGGAATTTGGCAGAATGCCTTATAGAAAAATATCAACAATATTCGACGGATTGTTGTAAAGCTGCGGTTTAAGCTCTTATAAAGAGATCCGAAACAAACCATACAAGTTCTGACATAAACATTGCGCTAAGACATTGAAATTATAATGGAATGAAGAGATTATTTCTTGATGTCTTGTTTTTCGTTTATTATTGCATCTGGCTTATGCTCCCGCTACTGGACCTAGAAGGTAAGTGGCCTTGGCTATTTCCATTACCTAGCCAATATGCTGTATTCCTACCTATTTTTCTGTTGCTTCTTGGCTTTACAATAGTCGGGACTTACCTCTCTTATCTTCTACTCCGGAAGCCACGAAAATTAGATCATTAGAGAATCTGAAGTGTGCTGAAGAGCCTCCAAGACATACTCATAATCGTATGTTATTAAGTACAACTATTATGAGTAGACTGAAGCACTTGCATTAAAGCAAGTAAGATAAACTATCATTTGTCTATATGTTTCAATTAAAGTCTCATACGCACATAGATTATCTACAATTTTGTGCTGGTCACGATTTTATCGGTTTATCAATTATTGTATTAGTTCAATATTATTACGTTTCTGTTTCTGTTTATGTAATCAGTTCAATATATGTATAATACATAATTACATGAAGGATGAAATTCTATCAATATTCATTCAAAATCATAAGCTATACTTATTCAAACCAGATGACTTCCAACCCACTCCTGCCATGTTGTAATTTTATTCTTATGTACGCTTCCCGCCAATACTTCAACATTTCCCTCGAGGTAGTCAAACTTAAACCCCTTTGAAATATCGAAGGATAGATCCAAGTTTTCGTTTATTTCATCAACGTCACCAATATCACGTTCTATATTACCGAGAGATTTTTTTTTCCTTTCAAATATCCTAGTAATCTCATTTTCTAAGGCTTCTTTGATTTTCAATGGCTGTCTTGCTGTGAATGATTCATTCTTGTTACAGGCTATTAATATATCAATTGGCTCCCGAATTTTTTCCAATATTAGCAAAATTTCGGTAAGGTACTCTGCTGTTTCAGTTATATTCTTAGGATCGATTGTACTGTCTAGAACAAACAAAATACCTTTCAAATTACCTTTCAAGTCTATTATACCATTTTTCAACTTATATGCCAACTTAACATGACCAGGATAATCAGCCAGAGTTGTCATAGTTCCTTTATATTTTAATGCAAATGACGGCTCTTGAGACATGACCGTTAATAACTTAGCGTTTGTTTCATCACTAGTTAATTTATGGAACAAGCTTGTCTTACCGGAATAACTAGGTCCAGCAATTATTATGGTAGGAACCTTTTTCACGTAACTGCTACTTTGACTACTCTTGTGACCACTTACCAATGTCTTTTTGACTTGGAAGGCTATCAGTAATGTAGTTAGTATCACAAGGACTAATGCAATCATTAAACTTGACGCAACCATAGTGATTTGAAGAAACGATAACTCTGCCTCTGTTGTCTTCAGTACCTAATATTATCGTGCCGTAGAAACAAGTAGTTAACCCTTCCTATAAGGGTTACTGTATTATTTCTCTAGTCAAAATTTTCCTAGTTTCTCTATTTATCAGTGATCATAATGTACTTCAAATCGCCAATTCCCAGCTCTAATACTTGTCTCCTTCGCTTCACAAAAAATTAGTGATTTTTGAAAATTTCTGAAAAAAATCTCGATGGTTAGTGATTTAATCGCACAAGTCTTAAGAAGGCTAGTTATGAAACTTGAATCAACAACATGATAATACTGTGTGCACTTAGTACCCATTCATTTTTGTTTCCAAAACAAATATCCACATTTAATTATAAGAAATAAACTCCCAGAGATAAGTGTCTTTTCTAATCTCTTTTTATAATGTCTCTGCGGCTGTTTAATTTAAAAATATGCACGAGTAACCTTCAAACGCTACACAAGCAATGGAGAAGGTATAGTGTTATAAGCAAGGAAACAATCAAGAATTTTGATATAGATAGACCACGTAGCGATGATCATTTAAACTATAATATCAATATTGGAAGTAATGCCCAAGAGAAAAGATTATTACCGGAAACTTTAGAAGGTAGAAGCCATCGCAACATAATAGAGCTTAACTCAGAAGTGGCGAAATGTATCAATAACAATATTTTGAGCCTACACATTCCAAATAACATTAGAAGAGTAGCTAAAAATTACTTTGAAGAGCTTCAAACAAAGAATAGCATACATAGATCAACTAAATCACCGATGGAAGTCGACGCTCACATTGCTTCAATATTCCTACAAAATTACACTGCAATTTTTCAGACACTTATGGAACTCAAAAAACGTAAGAAATCTTTTAGACCCAAAAGAGTCCTTGATATAGGTTTTGGACCAGCAACAGGTATACTGGCTTTTAACGATGTCATGGGACCAGATTACAAATGTGAAACTAAAGATTCAGTTATTTATGGACACATAGAGATGCAAAAAAGAGCGAAATTACTTCTAAGCAGACAATACAATGAAATACCAGATAATGATGAAGCTGTATCTGAATGTAGAGAGCAGAATGTTGATGATATACCTGAAGAGGATAGTTTGGTTGGCGCTGTCATGACTAAAAAGATAAACATTAATACAAATTTGCGGACTAATTTACCTACAGCTAGCGAATATGACTTAATCATAATGACACACCAGCTATTGAAAACAAAAGAGAAGTTCAATACCGAAGTTGAGGAGAATCTTTCTAACGTATTGAATTTGCTTGCACCAAATGGCCAGCTGATTATTATTGAAAGGGGTAACCCAATTGGCTATGAAACTATTGCCAGAGCAAGACAGATTATGCTTCGCCCTGAAAACTACCCAGATGAAAAGGGTAAAATCCCAAGGCCTTGGGAAAAAGGCTATATCCGGAATAGATTTAGAGAAAATAGCAATTCTATCCCCCACGAGGACTATGCATCGGCAAAAACTGATTACTACTTATACGAAATTGCACCATACCCTCATCATGGCAAAGACATTCTTCAAACAGGAAAACCAATATATTACGAATTGAAGGAGGGTAAAAATTTGAAGTTTATCAACTTCCAGAAAACGGTACGCAGACCTAAGTTCAGTATCGAGCACAAAAGGGGCCAACTTCTATCTGCTCCATGGGACAGAAAAGGCGATAGATTTGTTGATCTCAGTGGGTCTGGCCGCAGAAATGGAAATGACTACGAGATCGTGAATTTTTGTTATATCATAATGGAAAGGACATCTACAGACAAAAGCACCCTAGAAAAAATTAAACGTGCCCGAGAAAATAGTAAGAACAATCATACAGCAGCTGACTTCAATTTAGAGTGTTCATCAGTAACTTGGCCTCGTATCATAACAGAACCTGTCAAACGAAAAGGCCATGTAACACTGGATGTAGTTACTGCAACAGGCTTGATTGAAAAATGGACAATACCGAAGTCTTTCTCAAAAGAAATTTACCATGATGCTCGAAAAGCGATCAAAGGAGATTTGTGGCCTCACTCAGCTAAAACGAAAATTTTAGGCATGGCTCCAATGAAGCTAAACAAATTAAAGGAAGCTGAAAAGAGAGCAATTCTCGAATCAAGAAAAGAATTTAAACGTAAAGAAAGAGAAGTTGCGCTAAGCTTGAATGAAATTAATAATGCTACAAATGAAGATCATCTCTCTAAAATTAACGACTCAGATTTGGAAGGGGTAGATAGGATGAGAGAACTGGCAAATGCTTATGGCTATTATTTCGATAGAAGGAAAATGTAAATAAAGCAAAATAACGATATCCAACTACGTTATGGACCTTAACCTAGATCTCTTAATGCTGTAAATACTAAATGAGTTTGTAAATATGACTGAGTTGTGAATTATACACGGCCATTAATATATAATTACAATGAAATGCTATGGCCGCATATATACATGCTAAATAGTATAATAACAAAATAAATGTCAATAGATGAAAATAAATTAAATGTCACCTTGCAATAAGACTTCCGAATATGATATTCGAGATATAGTAATATTACAGGCATGCTAGTTTGATGCATAATTTCTTCAAGAAATTATGCATGAAGTTGATTTGAAAGGTGGCGTCATTTTTGTATCCTTCTTATCCTTTTTTTGTTTTTCTTTTCTCTTCAATACCTTTTCAAGATTATTATTAACAGATTCTCTAGAAGATATTGGCTTGGGAGGTGTTGAAGACTTGAACTTTGGGAATGTTTTAAATATCGGTGAGATTTTCGTATTTCGCTCATCTTGTGTAGTGTCATTAGTTTCTGAATGGTCTGCACTAATTATACCGTGTTGCAACTCTTTCTTTGTTTCGTCTCCCCCTTGTAATTTCATTGTTCTAGTTTTTGTAATAAACTCTGAAGGAATAATTAAATCATCCATTTTTAGGTACTCATCTTTATTATCGCATTTAGGATAGAAATTTCCCCTGGAATCAGTAATTCCTATTCTATTTTCATCCAGGCTTTTCAGGGAGTTTGAATCAGATTTATTACTTCTTGAACTAAAAGGACTATTTGGCTCGTAATGCGAAGGCGTAGGGGAAATTTCCAATGTTTCACTTTTTAACGCCTCCTCTTTTTTCTTCATTTCTTTATTTGTTTCAATGCGGTACAACAGAGAGAACAAAAGTTCTTTTACATTAATATTATGCTTGGAAGAAGTTTCAAAGTAATCATTCTCGTAATCCAAATCCAATTCAGCAAGGAAGTTTATGAGCTCATTGAATTCTACCTTATCTTCCATCAAATAATCAATCTTTGTATTACATATGACAACCGGAATTTGTTCCTCACCTAAGGCATCTTTGATTGTGTTATAATACTCTCGTACATGCTCAAAGGTAGTTTGACTCTTCCCATCGAAACAAATCACGATAGCGTCAGATTGTTTTACCTGCAGACTCCTGAGTTCATTAGAGTAATATTCAGATATATCATGGATATTGGCGTCAAGGATTTCAAGTTTAATCAAATCCTTATTTGTATATTGGAATCTATGTGAATTATCCAAATTAAAGTCTATCACATCCTTTTCAGCAATTAAGCCTTTATCATTCAGAAGTCTGAAGGAGTAGTAAGGAATTTTCTTTCTATAAATATCATCGGAATAAGTAGCTTCGTCACCGCTTCTATAATTGTCGGTAAGCCACTGCATAATCATCGATGTCTTCCCGACCTTTGGATCACCTAAAACCATAATTCTGAAATTACTATCATGATGTCTAGGACTATTAGACCAATCAGCTTCATATAATAAAGGAATCATTTTTATATTTTTGCATTTATAATTTTGGAAATAAAATAGGTCTAATATCTATTCTTCCAGTTCTAATCAAACTTGAACTCTATTATGGTAATAAACAAATGCACACCTAAATACCACAATCTAAATTTTGTTACTATGCAGTATACTTTTTTGTATCAATTTGACAGAACAAGAACGCAACTAATTATTTCACTGATTGTTTTAGAATATTAATTTGCATAAAACTGCAATTCTATAGTACTCAATCAAATATGTGTTCTAAAAAATGAAATTGTTCTTGAATATATTTCAGTGTTATTTCAGTGTTATTTCAGTATTACTTCTTTAATGGAGCACTTATATAAATACTATCATCAACATCAGGAAAATATATAATTAGGAAAGAAAATTTTTCTTTTATTATATGTTAGATAATAATTGCTACATCAAATGAAATTTAGTCAGTTGCATTGGTTCGAATTTTATTTTTTCTTCTATTGACAATCTTGATGCAATAAAATGATAAACTGTTTACTAAAAGGACATTTTCTTGTAGAGTATATTAGACCGACTGATGATGTGCGGTGGGATAATTGCTATTCCGCAATGGAATTATGCTAATTATGACTGAACAAGGACGAAAAAAAGAAAGAAAGAAATGTTACTAGCGATCTCGGAACTTAACGGAAAGAACGGCAGACAGCAAAGAAACTTAAAATATATCTCAGATCTGGCCAGCATATCTCGACTTTTCTATGTAGAAGCAACAGCCTAAATCGCAACAGTTTTTTCTCTGCATTCAACCCTTCACAAGTCCTTTAGCTTCGCTTTGTCAGCCTTACCGTTTGTAACAAACAGCACATAGAAAAGAAACAGAAGAAACCGAATGCCAATTGCTACTCTTCTTTCCTAAGAAGGCCTTCCATTTTGGGGAGGCAAGAGAGAGAGATACAGCAATTCAAAAAGAGAAAATGATAGTTGACGTTCCACGCCAAACTGTAAATCAGCAAAAGAAAGGATGCAGAAACGATGAAGAAAGACTTGAAGCAGAGGGTGCCAGATTCAGAGGCGTAGTAACGAAGATCTGCAGAACTGCTTTTTCGCATTGCTGAACTAAGAAGATTCTATTTCTATGGAGCTGATACACTCTTTCAAAAATGGAGGATGATAAAAAAATACAAAACATCACACTGAATTGCACGTACCCTTATAGAGATCCAATACTCTTCTATGCCTTCTAGATCTTCTTTCTCATCTACAATCGTTTTCTTTCTTTTTTGTCTTTCAAATCGTTATCTTCAATACCTATTTCCTACGTCTGTCTTACTGTGAATGACATCCTTCCAAATTTTTCTTCTTTACTTTGCCTTTTCGTCAATTATAGAAGATCTGGATGCGGTCTTAGATAAGCATGTACACATATTTAGTAAAAGCAGAAGAAGAGGTAACACAGGCTTTTCAATGTCTCCATTGATGCATCGTTGCACATTTCAGATCTGACGTTCCTGAAAACTGACTGTTTATGGCTACTTTTCTTCACCCAATCTTCCTTTCTTTTTGACTCCGACTCTTCTGTCTTTTTGCCCTCTTACAGTGTTCATCTGCTTACTTTCTTTGGAAAAGAGGGGGTAATGAACTGACAAATTTAACGGAAACGTGTTAGATCTGGTCCGAGATAAGAGAAGAAAAGCAGCAGATTGCATTTTCGGAGACTACTTGGCTAGCCGGGATAGTCCCGAAGCAATTGAAAACCCAACACGTGGATCTTTCTTTTGTCCTCTCCTCTCTTTCCTTATTAGTCCATTATTATGGTGAAGTTTTCACAAATTTACCCGTATTGCATATCTGGCTTGCTATGGCTAGTCATTAACTACTGGATTAGTGTGAAACCAAGGACAGAGAAGAAGATGTAAATATCAGATACTTACGAGACCGAAGATACGAGGAGGATTGCAGATTGTTTCTTTCTGGCGTGACCCGGTTTGTAAAACACCAGACCGAACAAGTAATTGAACACTGAATTTGAAAGAGTACTGTCCCATCTTCCTCCCTTTGATCGCTGCTAAATTGAATAATAGCTATACAAACCGTTACTTTCTATAGAATCTATTTTTTCGTATGTGCTTTCATGAGGAGTTTGACGAATGCTGTTTAACATTACATCCATATGGACATTTTATAAGTGTCCATTACTACCTACAGTAAAACATAGGTAGTAGTATCTGTACCAATTCAAACTCCATCTCTGGGAATGTGTTCATCTTTTGCACCACCAGTTTGCACATCTTTCACGTAGAGAATGTTTTTTTTTGGTTCTCTTCAGTTACTCCTTTAGGTTAACAATATTAACCGGAAATAGATATCGATGACAAACCGTAGCGAAAATTACATTCCTCAGCAAAAACAGGTACCTGAAAAAGCGATCATTGTTTCAGCCTTAGGGTGCGATGTTTCTGTGCTTCAATCTTTCCAGTACATGGGATGCATACAGAACGGACGTGGCACAGGTAGAATACAATGACTGCACTGGGCTTTCTATTAACAGCTCGCACTTGCTCCACACCACTTAGTAAGATACGATGAGTTTCACTGGTATTTAAAACTACTTTGAAGTAATGCCCAGTTCTTAAGGCAGTGAGCTTTCACATATAAAATAAGTGTTCATGTTTACGGTACCTAAGGAACTATTCTGAGATATTTATCGTAGATGGCATTGCGTCAATTTAGCATATATATATGTGCTTTAAGGTGCTGTAAACGTAACAAAGGGCAAAAATAGTAATCGTCAACATTTTAAAAGCAATAATAGCTCACAGAGATAGGACAAGCTTTGGAAAATGACGGTTATTAAGTAATGTGAAAAGAAATAACACTTTCTTACATACATAATTCAATTCTGCTACAACTTGAATGGCAATTGAACAATCAACTTCTAAGCCCAAACAAGATATAAATAGCAATTTTTAGGGTAAACTAATTTGTTCCAATATATTTACTGACAGTTAACGTCAAATGCAAGATATCTAGTCCAAACAGACATGGCTGTTTGAGAAAATATTAATGAATATCTTATCCCTTAGAATGAACTGCAAAGTTATGTTCTAAAAGCTGAAGATTGAAGTTACTGGTTTAGTAACTATTCTCTCTTCCTTCCTCCCCCTTTTTAAATATTCATGAAATGCTTCAACACATACGAGTAGATATAATGAGGGAATACTTAATAATTTGCTGGTCCAACAGCACTCAAAAATAAAAATTTACCAAAAATCAAGGTACCACGGCAGGCAAATCCCCCCTTTCTGGAAGTAGAAATTTGTTGCAGGATAGTTATGTCAATATTTGGAAAGCTTCAATCCCAAGAAATGTCAAATCTCAAATTAAGAGACCAGAAAGAAAACAACTTGAACTACCTTGGTGTTTTTTTGCTGAATATGGTGTAAAAGTTCATATGAAACACATCGTACTTATATGCATCAAATATTATATGAAAAATTGTAATGAGTTCCTGTAGCACGATTTTGGATACTTTTAACAATATTTAAAGGCATAAATGAGTATTAAAAAGCTTTATGGGTAGGCAAAAGTCTGGATTACTATTTACTGGTCTTGACGGTCTCACAAAAACTTGATAAAATTCTCTCTTTCTAATAGAACCTTTCATGTAGACTTTTTTTCACTAACCACTTCGAAATTGTCCTTACTATCAACATAAACTGATGCAGTTACATATAGTTTGAATATGAACGAACTATTTATTTAGAACGGTTAACTGACGAAATAGTAGAACATTGATTCAAATGTTTTTGCTAGTGACCGGAATTTTCGTCAATATATGATGATCAAAATTAAAAACAACGTGTATAAACTAACCAAGACAGATTTTCTGTCATGGAATAAAAGAGCTCCATTAATTTTGGATATCTTCTAATCCACTATTGCCAACTTGAAGGTATGACGATTAACTTTCGTCTGTCTTGATGAAGGAAGTAGCTTCAAACATTCCATGAAAGAACAAGAGCTAATCCATATATTTGATATGATCTAACGAGTTTCTTGACAGCAAACCACACAAAAAAATTCAGCCTGAGTGGAAAGTATCAGATTGTAACCGTTGCCATATTACTGCTTTAAAAATAGCACTTGAGACGTAAAAATGTGATCTGCTCGATTTTACCAAAATTCGACCTTGCCGAAAATTAACAGTAAAACTCAACTTTCTTGATGGCAATATATCAAAAAGAGTTTAAACAGCACATAGAAAGATCAATGTAGGTATCATTCACGATTGATAAACAAATAAAGATACAAGACTAATGGGTAAAAGAAAGAAATCAAGTAGAGGTCCAGTTAAGAGAGTGGTACAGAAGCTAGATACTAGCTTTAATTGTTTGTTCTGTAATCACGAAAAATCAGTATCATGTACACTGGATAAAAAGAACTGTATAGGCCATTTATCATGCAAAATATGTGGCCAGTCTTTTCAAACTAGGATTAACTCTTTATCACAACCCGTTGATGTCTATAGTGACTGGTTTGATGCTGTTGAAGAAGTGAATTCAGGAAGGGGCAGTGATTCAGAGCATGACAATGATGATGAAAACTCCGATAGTGATTATGAAAGTGACTCTGATGAAGCTGCGGCTCCACAAGATTCTGATGAGCAAGAAGTTGATTCTGATGAAGATGAAAGGATAGGTGCTTCGAAACGTGGTAGGGGTGCCTTGGTGGATAGCGATGAAGAGGAGGAATCTGAATAGATAGCATTACCAACTTTTCTCTAATAAATTATTAATAGTATGAGCAGTTTTGTACTTGTTTGCTTCAGAAGTGACGAGTTTTTAATTCAGCATGAATCAGTTTAGACTAAGTAGTCTTCCCATCCCATTATGTTACTGAATTTGAATACCGAAAACCGTTTTCGACAGTTGCTGCTTCAATCTAGCAATATCTATATCACTTTATCTGTCTCTTCTTGTGTACTTATTATTCTCAATTAATGACATTTACCGCATGACATATTTATAAATTATTAAAAACTGTAATTTCCGTAACCCAAAATCATTCCAAGATCGCATTATGACAGTTCAACGCAACATTTTTGTTTCCAAAAATAGTTATGAATTAATCTATTTAACCAACCATGATAGGTACTCACTCATCAATATCATCAAATATAGATTTTGGTGGCAATGCCGTTCTTACTCCTTCAAGGCCAGGACCACCATTGTTATAATCATCACAAGTATTCACAGTAATAGTACCAACTTGAGATTCAATAGCGACAAATGATGTCGCTTGTCGAAGTATCTTTTCTGGTTGATGCGCGTGTGTTTTGAAGCTAGGTTTATCCTCGCACTTGCTATAATCAAATTCTGGTGGTGGGGAGGAAGGTGGTGATATTAAAAATAACCTCTGATGTTCTGGTACTTTCAAGTAGTCTTTCTTAACGCTACTATTATTCTGAGAATCAGTAATGGAGTAATTGAATATTAAATCAGGAAGGGGAACTTTCAATTTTAGTTTCTGCATGACAGCGTTTGAGACTGCATGGTCAGGACATATAATCAGGCACCTTTTGAAATTTTTCAAAAGTAACAGTTGTATCGGATTTGCCGGTAGTACTTGAATATTTGACAATACATTGTCTTCAAACCATGAGGCCAATATTGGTAGTATTTCCTGTCCTGTTATGTCCCTTTCATTAGACGTGAGTATTATCGTATCAGTGACAAGACTATCCATACTCTTTATACCACTATATTAATCTTTTATAAATAGTAGACAATAAAAGATTTGTCAATATCCAATAAATATCCGATAAGAATGTTCAGATGAAGTTAATATCCTCTCAAAACTGGACAATAAATATACTACATTAGGGACCTTATAACTTTAATGTCACATTACAATTCATAACTTGCTCATCACCCATACTGGGTAGGTCGAAATCCTTCAAAGTAATCGTTCCCAGTGAAATAGCCGTACAACATTTGTATATTTCAGAAAATTACGTACCTTCGACTCCCACCGACTTCCTCCAGATTGGCAAAAATACCGACCCGATGGGAGAGCTCTGTGAAGTGTCTTCTAGGTTGCATATGGACGGGAAAGCATAGCTGGTACACCTTAATAAACCAATTTATGTCTGATATAGGAGCTAAAGCTATCAGATTCAAGTATTATTTACTTAGTTCAATTCAACTATACCAAAAAAAGCTTATTTGGATTACCCGTTTTCCTCACTCTGTTACTTTGAGATTGCGAGACATAATTGGACTATAACTGCTGGATTTGAAGTTTAGTATTGATAAGGATATAGAAAACCTGGGACCTGTATATAGTCCACAAATTACCTGGGAACTATAGCAACCTTGTATATTTTGGAAAACTGAACAAGAATACTGCGTCGGGAAGCCCAGTTAAAGAGAGATTGACTAAACAGAATCAATATTTTTAAAGTCACAATACCCCAGATACTTTTAAGAAACATCTTTCTATTTTTCCTGTTTCATCTGCGAACATGTTTCCAAAATTAAGCTTAAAAACTGTTGCTAGCAGTTTTGCTAGGCTGCCAGCAACAAGTTTTTTGAAAGTTACAAAAGCGCCTATAGCAACGTCTATAGTTAATGGTAGATCCTTCTTCACAGATACAAAATATAAGTGTGGTAAATGTGAAAGACAGAAGGAAATATCAAAAACTATCAGGTATGTATTACAAATTATCCCGAATAATAAACACTCGTCTAAACTTCCTTTACTTACTTTACAACGTTTGCTTGAATTTAGTTTCCGAAATTCATTCTCTAAGTGGAACTTCTCAAATATCGAATGCTATCTGTGATAAGACTTGAAAAAATGCATTACATGCAAATATTAACAGTATTCATGAGGACAAAGTATGGTTAAGCACCGGAATAGATATGACCCTAAATCGTTTCCATTCAAGCAATATACGATCATGTTACAACCTCCACCATTACATGAGGCCTACAGACATATTGATTGAGTACTTATTCGCACCTCTTTACTCAACGACAGTAAACCATAACTGATTCTTCACCATGCTTTTAGTATTGCGTTGTCATCTGTCAGAAATGCCCATCTTTATGGCATACAGAGTCTAATGCCTTCCTTATTATGTCCTTTCCCGACCTTTGTAATTCACGTGATACTCATGATCTCATGATCTCCATGATCTCAAACTACGAATATAGGGTATAGGGTGGCCATTTTTATTGTGATTTCAGTCCGACAGATTTTCGGCAGTCACCTTCACCTCAGTGAGAATGGTGCGAGAAGAAGTCGTTCCTTACTGACAAACTGCTCTCCCTTGAAATGATTGTGCGAACTGGAGTAAAATCTGAGAAAGCCTCTGTCAATTGGAAAAGGGTACAAAACACTTTGCGTTGAAGAGTTTATCAATTAAAACTATTGAGAAAGGAACTAGACATACAATTGGATATATCAAGGATATTATTTTACTAACTAGTCTCAACAAACTAAATAATCTCTTTGCTTTCTATTACCACTAGTCTATTGCAATTGAGTTGGAAAATAAGAGTAAAGAATTAAGTTTGCCAATATGAACAGCGAAAACAGGGAAGTTCTTCCAACTAACGTGACTCCAATTCACTATAATTTATCTTTGGAACCAAATTTTGAAACGTTTAAATTTCATGGTTTGGAAGAAATTAATCTGAAAGTCAACGACAAGACAAATGATGTCATCACTTTGAATAGCATCGAGATTGACATTCATAGTGCTAAGCTGGACGATGTTGAACCTAAGCAGACGAAGTTTGACCATGACAAACAAACTGTCGAATTTGTGTTCCCTGAAGGTACTTTGGCCAAGAGTAATGATCCGACTTTGAAGTTGGATTTCACCGGTATTCTGAACGATAATATGGCTGGCTTTTACAGAGCCAAGTACCAGGACAAGAAAACAGGCGAAACAAAATATATGGCAACCACTCAGATGGAACCTACTGATGCAAGAAGAGCATTCCCATGTTTCGATGAACCAAATCTGAAAGCAACTTTTGGTATTACATTAATATCTGATCCATCTTTAACCCATCTATCCAATATGGATGTCAAGAATGAAACCATCTCTGAAAGTAAGAAGGTCACTACTTTCAATGATACTCCAAAGATGTCTACTTATCTAGTTGCATTTATTGTTGCTGAGCTAAATTATGTTGAGAATAAAGAATTCCGTATCCCTGTAAGAGTCTATGCTACACCAGGAGATGAACATTTAGGCCAGTATGCTGCTGATCTAACGGCAAAGACACTAGCATTCTTTGAAAAGACTTTCGGCATCAAATACCCTCTACCAAAAATGGACAATGTCGCAGTGCATGAATTTTCTGCAGGTGCAATGGAAAATTGGGGTTTAGTTACCTACCGTGTTGTTGATTTATTATTAGATGAAGAAAACTCTTCTCTAGACCGTATTCAAAGAGTTGCCGAAGTAGTTCAGCATGAGTTAGCGCATCAATGGTTTGGTAACCTAGTCACCATGGATTGGTGGGAAGGTTTATGGCTAAACGAGGGGTTTGCTACGTGGATGTCTTGGTACTCTTGTAATGAATTTCAACCAAGTTGGAATGTCTGGCAACAGTATGTCACTGATACTTTGCAGCATGCTCTTTCTTTAGACGCTTTGAGGTCATCCCATCCAATTGAAGTCCCAGTGAAGAGGGCAGATGAAATCAATCAAATTTTTGATGCAATTTCATATTCTAAGGGTGCTTCTTTATTAAGAATGATCTCTAAATGGTTGGGTGAAGACGTCTTCATTAAAGGTGTCTCGAACTATTTGAACAACTTTAAATATGGGAATGCAAAGACTGATGACTTATGGGATGCTTTGGCTAAAGCTTCTGGTAAAGATGTTCGTGGTGTCATGAATATTTGGACCAAGAAGGTAGGCTTTCCTGTCATTTCTATCGAAGAAAATGGCTCTGAAATTCAATTTACCCAGAACCGCTATCTCACTACTGGTGATGTAAAGCCGGAAGAAGATGAAACTTTATACCCCGTATTTTTGGCATTGAAGACAAAATCTGGTGTTGATAATTCGTTGGTGTTGTCGGAGCGTTCCAAGGCAGTTACTATTGATGACTCATCGTTCTACAAAGTCAACACAGACCAATCCGGTATCTTCATTACAGCGTATCCAGAAGATAGATGGGAAAAGTTTGGCAAACAATCTGATTTGTTGTCAGTAGAAGACCGTACAGGTCTTGTCGCTGATGCAAAGGCCCTTTCATCTTCTGGCTACATAAACACTACAAGCTTCTTCAAATTGATTTCTAACTGGAAAGATGAGAAATCTTTTGTTGTTTGGGATCAAATAATCATCAGTCTTGCATCATTGAAGGCTGCATGGCTTTTTGAATCCCCCGAAGTGAAAGATGCTTTGGAAGCCTTCTCCAGAAACTTGGTAGCAGACAAGGCAAAGACATTAGGTTGGGAGTTTAAGGAATCCGACTCTTTTGCTACTCAACGTTTGAAGGTTGCTTTATTCGGAGCTGCATGTGCCGCTAGAGATGAGGTTGTTGAAAAGGCAGCATTAGATATGTTTGAAAAATACGTCAGTGGAGACAAGAAGGCAATTCCAGCACTAATTAAACCATCTGTATTTAATGCAGTTGCTAGAAAGGGTGGTAAGGATAACTATGAAAAGATCTTTAATATTTATAAGAACCCTGTTTCCACTGACGAAAAATTGGCTGCCTTAAGAACTTTGGGTAGATTTAAGGAAGCAGATCTACTTGACAGAACATTGGGCTATCTGTTTGATGGAACTGTCTTAAACCAAGACATTTACATCCCAATGCAAGGTATGAGAGCTCACAAAGAAGGTGTCACTGCTTTATGGAAATGGTTACAAGAAAACTGGGACGAGATTGCGAGAAGATTACCACCTGGCTTATCTATGCTGGGTTCTGTTGTTGCTATTTCTACTTCTGGATTCTCTTCATTAGAAGCTGTTGATGAAATCAAGACATTCTTCAACACTAAGTCAACCAAAGGTTTTGACCAAAGTTTGGCTCAATCTCTTGACACTATTACCTCTAAAGCCCAATGGGTTGATAGAGACAGAGAATCCATTTCCAAGTATTTGTCAGATAATGGTTACATGTAAATTGAGCCCATCCTAATTGATATAAGTCTAGCTGATATCCTATATAATTTAAGATAATAAAATATTCCTTTTCTTTTTATATCCTAGAAAATAGGTTGTTCTATTAACGTGTCGTATTATTGTTTTTTTTAATGGGTAATATACATGCTATCCTATTTATTGAAGAAGAGAAAAACTACCATAAAGACTTCCAATTTGATCAAATTCATTGCACTGCGTTTATTCTGATCCTTTGGTATTTAATATCAGAGCAATAATCATACCGTAAAGTCCCAAGACTTCAGAAAAGATAAGGATTAAAACAATACCGACAAACAATCTTGGCTGATGCATATACTTTCTAACACCCACATCGCCGACAATACCAATGGCATAGCCGCTGCTTAGGCATGCAAATCCTACACACAACCCGCAGCTTAGATGCATAAAACCGTTAAACAACGTATACTCTTCAGTAGGGGATAAATTACCTGCGATAAGTACAGCTACCACAAGCCCGTAAATGGCCAAAATACCACTCATAACAACCGGAATCAAAGATTTCATTATAAGTTCTGGCTTGAATGTACCTATACCTGCAATACCTATACCAGATTTTGCTGTACCGATGGCTGCACCCAAACATGACAGAATCATTGCTAAAGCACAGCCTGCAAAACCAAAGAATGGTGCATAGAGAGGGGCATACACGTTATCAGAAGCCACCATATCCATAATGTATTTTTTCTAGCCTTTCTTTATAGAAATAGTATCGTTGCACTTCTGTATTCAACCTAGTATGCTAAAGTATATTGCCCGATGAAAACTTATTTCTTGAGCAAGTAGTTGCAATTAAAACCTTCCTCGTTCTAATAACACTATAACCTGATCACTGAGATAACTGAAATACCACTTTGAGTAAGCCTTTTCGATAAGAATGACGATACAGAGAGAATATATGACTAGAACACTTGAACAATTAACTCAAATACTCTTATTGTAATTTCTTTGATTTCAAGGTTTTCTTTTAAGGTCGAAAATTTAGGAAGATATCACTGGGGGCAGGGCCCATGTTTTGACAAAATTAGAGACAATAAGCAAGAATCAATTTAAATGCTCGATGACTACGTAGCCATGTGCTGCAATTTTTCTAAGACTTGTTGAATTTATATGTTTAGTGTATTGTTGATAATGTTAGACTGTGTAGACTAGTTTTAAATTGAAGGAAACAATATTTCTGAGTAGTCTGGTGCACGCAGCTGGTGAGTGAAAGATATTAACGGAAGAGGTGAAAACATCATAATATAAGATTTGTAACAGCAGCATTAACAATGAATTACGGGACTGGTAAAGTGGCCTTGTCTGTTGGCCAGTTGCGAAGCGTCTATGGCCAGCTACATAGCATACTGGAGGAGCGAATGTCTTTAGTGATGCCTGGCGATGGTGATGCTGAAGGCGATGAGGATATGGTTCGCAGAGAAGTGCAATTGAGACTGCAGGAGTATTTGCTACGTGTGATGGAGATGGCAGGGGATTCCATAGAAGTCACAGATGCGGACCCCGAAAAGAGTATACGTGAGCTGATCATGGAATCACGTCAGAAGTACATGGAACCCTTCGATCTTGATTTGAACGAACGTGTTAGAGAGCAATACCATAAATGGGAGGATGCTAATGTCAAGATTGCCCAATTAAGAAGACGCGGTCCCGAAACAGTCAGGTCTATGTACTTGGAGGAACAAGAGAAGTATCTAAATGAAGTTGATAAAAGGATCGATGCTTTGGAGGATACAGACCAAGAAACATCTGAGGATACAACACAAGAATACGTACCAGAGGTGATGTCAGAAGAGGACAGGCAGCTGTTCCAGGAAGCGCTTAAATCAGTCTTGGATACCCAAGCTAGAATTCCAGAGATTCGTGGTGAGCTTGCTAGCAACAACAATCTTTTGAACTACCTCGACAAAACTTAGCAACCGCAGCACTACAGTCCAACATTCAAACAGGTACGATAGTCGAGAAAACTATGTAGATCACATGCAATATTATCACAAAAATCGCACAACTGTTGCTAAAGGTAGTTTCCAACCACCCTCATATGGAAAACGTAAGTAATATAGATCCGGGGTCAAGAGGCTTGGGCTAAGTATGAAAGTTTAGCATTCGTATGCTACCTATACGACAGCTCCTGCAGAGGGAACCATAAAACTGGTGATCATCCCATCGTTAGACACAATCGTAGGCAACCTGGGCTGGAAATACAAACTGAAAACACCAGCTTAGTTTCCCCCCCTCCCCCTCCCGCAAACGCAGGAGTGACACGATAGCTAGTTCCTCGAAACTTAATGTGCTTCCTTGGGCTGTTGTGTAACCAGCAATCTCTTTTGGTGTTTCTCTGTCCAACTCTTTTTGCGTTTGTTTGTCTAATAACGGACGATTCGAAGGATTTCTCTGGGCTTTTCCCTCTTGTTTTCTTTTTTTTTTTTTTTCAGATAATTTCTAAGAGAGGAAAAAGAAATATTTTACCAAACAACAAGAAGTCCTGGACGAGGAAGGGATGGAAGTTCCTTTAAGACCACAAAATAAAAGTAACGAGGACTTACGAGACGATATATTTTTTTTATATAATTTAAGAAGGATTTTCAGTATTAATTTCCTTTACTTTAGTGGTTTTCGAAAGGGCCGACCATAAAAAAACTAGCGATTGATATAAGTTCCTTGGGAAAAAAATTAGCTGAATTAGTATCACAGGTTCTTTTACATCGACACAGTTTAACGAACGCGCTCAGGGGTTTTCTATTCATTCATAGACCTTTATTCTTTTTTAATTTGAAATAGTTGAGAAGCATATAATAAAAGAATACAACGAAGACACTGGCAAGTGGAAAACAAAAAAAATTAATAAAACAAGGTAGAAATGAGTTATAACAATCCGTATGCGGAAGAGAGCCACGAGAAGTATGAGATGACTGAGCAAGATGGTGGTGATTTCGTGGAGTTTATGAATCAAATTAGCCGTATCAACCAAGGCTTAGACCGTTATGAGGCTATTATCGATCGTGTTGATAGGCTACACAAGGAGTTGTTGACGGAGGTCAACGAAGAGAGAGTACAAGAAGTGAGAACTGCGTTGGATAATTATGTCGCACAGGCCTCTGACATCCAGTACCAGTTGAAGGACGACATCAAGGATGCTCAAAGACAAGGGTTGAGAGACACAAACAAGCAGGCTCAAGCTGAAAACTCCAGACAGAGGTTCTTGAAACTGATCCAAGATTACAGAATCATCGATGCTGATTACAAGGATGAGAACAAGGAGCAAGCCAAGAGACAATACATGGTTATACAGCCAGAAGCCACCGAAGAAGAGGTTGAAGCTGCTATCACCGATGTCGGTGGCCAACAAATCTTCTCTCAAGCTTTGCTGAATGCTAACAGACGTGGTGAAGCCAAGACTGCATTGGCTGAAGTTCAAGCAAGACACCAAGAACTGATGCAATTAGAGAAGACAATGGCTGAATTAGCACAACTGTTCAATGATATGGAAGAGATGGTTGTCGAACAACAAGAAAACATTGAGGTCATTGACAAGCACGTCGAGGAAGCCCAACAAGATGTCGAACAAGGTGTTGGCCACACAAACAAGGCTGTCAAGAGTGCCAGAGCTGCTAGAAGAAAGAAGCTATGGTGTTGGGGTATCGTATTCGTGATCTTTGTAATTATTGTTGTCGCCGTTGTTGTCCCATCTGTTGTTGCAACAAGGTAAGGAGAACATTGAAGCTTAATTATTCTTTTATTTCTTCCAGTTCATTATTTTATTTTTTGCAAACCCAAAGACAATTATCCTAACCATCTTTCTCGTTTAATTATCATCCAAATCGTTTTAAAATTATCAATATCCTCTGCTGTTCATTTCTAATAATATGGAATACCTTACGGTAGGAAAAAATACAATTCTAATAGCTAAAGTATAAAATAAAAGCACTTTTGCTATATTGGACATTTTATTATGACCTACTTTCCTACTTCATTTACTAATTATTTCATCTTTTTATTATTTTTTTTTCAAATTCCTCACAGAAGCAACCTGATAGAAAGAATTACCAGTACAGAAAATAGTTTAAAAAAGGGAGAGAAGAGTAGGTTTTGGTGTAAGTTTATATCTGTTTCTCGAATATTAGGGTTTGTCATGGTGCAACTCAACCAGGTGTTCGATAAATGGCTATTTTAACATAACTCTCAAGTAACCACACAGATTTACCATCATCATTCAATTCTGTTTAGTAATTGTTAATGTTTTAATATATTTCTTAATTATTGTGCGTCCGAAGTCTATCAATCTAAAAAGTGCATAAGACTGATTAAAGTTGACGAAATAGCCCGCGTCAGTATATCTTCATCAACTGAATACTGATTTGACAAATAAAGGCAATTATGCTCTGCACACCAAGAAAACATCCTAACCACTACACAACACTAGTTCTCTGTAATGGTTTTGGTTGTCATTATTCTTTCTGTTTTAAATTTTTTGTTTATGGAATTATTTGAGATTATAGAATGTTAAATGCACAAGAGCCACCACTGACTATGTGAAATGTTTATTTTTTATTCTTGTCGCTTCTCATAATGGTCGCTTGCGCTTCAACTACCCTAAACCTATCAGCCCTTCCTTCAATACCATGTACTATCAATTATTTTTATTCTACAAACTGCATTCTATAAAGAAGAGGGAGGAAAGGATCCAACACACAGCTAAGATTCTATGTAATATTCAACCCGGACTAATCTATGTCTCATACACATAACGTTAATCCATCCTTTATATGTATATCTAATGAAAAAAAAAAAGACCAAATGTAATTCATTTCTACCTATCGTCTGCAGCACTAGGCTCAAATTGCAGCATGATATATACACCCTGACTTTACCACGGAAGAATGAAATCAAATTTAATGATTTAGGGCTAGGGCTGGGCCTAGGGCTAGATCACTCGTCAATATTAATAAATGCAAAACCCTACCCAAAACCCTAGCTACCCCGTGAAAAACAATTTGAGAAACCCAAACAGAAACCCCACTACAGGACTTTGTAATTCGTGGTATGCGATACTGAATCCAAAACACGACGAAAAACTCAACGATTCTGCTTTTTCTCCTGCAAGAACGCGTCACAACGGGCTCTGTACGGTGATTCTCTGGGCGTATTTCCTTTTTGCCACACAGAACCGAAATATGAGAATTGACGTGGCAAACGATAACCCAAATGGTGGTCGAGGTGAGTTTCGGGGGGGGTGATCGAGTTGTACAGAGAGCAGGTGTACCCTACCGGGTTGACAGCCGGGTTGACAGCCTAGACTTTTGGCTTTGGTAGGAAATTCTGGCTTTTCGCTCAACATTGGACATTCCCCATAGCTTTGAGCTTTGACTTGACAGTTCGGAGAAATCGTCCTCGGTCTCACTGCTGCTGACTTCCCACTTCAGACTGCTCCATCAATATTTTCACATGTCAACTTTTGGTGAGTACTCGTCCTGCTTGTGAAAATTTCTTGTCGAAAAAGCCTGCCCTATCTTGGACTAAGTCTTGACAATTTTTCACTTTGGCTTGGATTGCATCCAATGTCACCTATCTCTAACTCGAGTATATCAATATATAAAGTGAGCAATTGTATTGTGACTTGTAATCAGTAAATATCAGGCAACAGACCAAGGGTAAACTGAGCTTTTGATTATATTGCCCGTTAAAAGACAGACTCTGAACGACACATATACGACATGGTTATGAAACCTGAAGTTGAACAAGAATTGGCTCACGTTTTACTTACTGAGTTGTTGGCTTACCAATTCGCTTCTCCAGTGAGATGGATTGAGACTCAGGATGTTCTGCTAAAGGATTTCAACACTGAAAGAGTCGTTGAAATCGGCCCCTCTCCTACTTTGGCCGGTATGGCCCAGAGAACCTTGAAGAACAAGTACGAGTCATACGACGCTGCTTTGTCCTTGCAGAGACAGGTTCTATGCTACTCCAAGGACGCTAGAGAGATATACTACACAGCCGACCCAGCTGAAATTGAGCCAAAGGAAGAGCCAAAGGCTGAAGAAGCTGCCGCTCCTGCCCCAGCTGCTGCCCCAGCTGCCACTCCAGCTCCAGCTCCAGTTGCTGCCCCAGCCCCAGCTGCTGCCGCTGCCGATGTCCCAGATGAGCCAGTAAAGGCTTCTTTGCTATTGCACACCCTGGTTGCTCATAAGTTGAAGAAATCACTAGACCAAGTGCCAATGTCCAAGACTATCAAAGACTTGGTCGGTGGTAAGTCCACTGTTCAGAATGAAATCTTGGGTGATCTGGGTAAAGAATTCGGTACCACACCAGAAAAGCCAGAAGACACCCCATTGGAAGAGCTGGCTGAAACTTTCCAGGATACTTTCTCTGGTGCTTTAGGTAAACAATCTACTTCTCTATTATCAAGAATGGTCTCATCCAAAATGCCTGGTGGTTTCAACATGACTTCTGTCAGAAAATACTTGCAATCCCGCTGGGGTCTCGGTCAAGGCAGACAGGACTCTGCTTTACTGGTTGCTTTAAGCAACGAACCAGCATCTCGTCTAGGTGCAGAGCCAGATGCAAAGACTTTCTTGGATGCCCAAGTCCAAAAGTACGCACAAATTTCCGGTTTGGATCTTTCTGCAGCTTCAAGCTCAGCATCTGCTGGTGGTGCCGGCGCTAGCGCTAGTGGTGCTACCATTGATGCTGCAGCTCTGGAAGAAATTACCAAAGATCACAAGGTTTTGGCTCGCCAACAATTGCAAGTCCTTGCTCGTTATTTGAAAATGGACTTGAACAACGGCGAGAGAAAGTTCTTGAAAGAAAAGGACACTGTTGCAGAATTACAAAGTCAACTGGATTACATTACAAACGAATTGGGTGAGTTCTTTGTTAATGGTATTTCTACTTCATTTTCAAGAAAGAAGGCTAGACAATTCGACTCTTCATGGAACTGGGCCAGACAATCTCTACTTTCATTGTACTTTGAGATTATTCACGGTGTTCTAAAAAACGTCGATAGAGAAGTTGTCACCGAAGCAATCAACATCATGAACAGGTCAAATGAAACATTGATTAAATTCATGGAATATCATGTCTCTAAAACAGATGTATCGAAGGGTGAGAACTATAAGTTGGTTAAGGAATTGGGTGACCAATTGATTGAAAACTGTAAGCAAGTTCTTGATGTTGACCCTGTTTATAAGGATGTCAGCAAGCCAACTGGTCCAAAGACTACGATTGATAAGAATGGTAACATTAAGTATTCTGAAGAACCAAGAGATAAGATTAGAAAGTTTTCTCAATATGTTCAAGAAATGGCTTTGGGTGGTCCACTAACTAAAGAAGATCAACCAACTATTCAGGAGGACTTGACTCGTGTTTACAAGGCCATCAGCAGCCAAGCTGCTGAACAAGACGTCACTGAGGCAACCCGTGCTGAATTTGAAAAGTTATACAGCGATCTAATTCAATTTTTGAAAACATCCAAGGAAATTGATGCTCAACAGACCACTCAATTGGCTGGTATCGTTGATGACGCTTTAGACAAGGACTCAACTAGAGAAGTCGCATCATTGCCAAATAAATCGACTATTTCTACTGCTGTCTCCTCTACTATTCCTAGACAGACTGTTCCATTCTTGCATTTGAGAAAGAAGGCACCTTCAGGTGAGTGGAAATATGACCGTCATTTGTCTTCCCTATTTTTGGATGGTTTGGAGAGAGCCACAATTAATGGTGTTACATTCAATGACAAATATGTATTAATTACCGGTGCAGGTCAAGGCTCCATCGGTGCTGAAGTTCTGCAAGGTCTGCTTCAAGGTGGTGCAAAGGTTGTTGTGACTACTTCTCGTTTTTCCAAGAAAGTCACAGACTACTATCAATCAATGTACGCAAAGTTTGGTGCCAGAGGATCAACTTTGGTTGTTGTACCATTCAACCAAGGTTCTAAACAAGATGTTGAAGCTTTGATTGACTACATCTATGACGATGAGAAGAATGGTGGTTTAGGTTGGGATTTGGATGCTTTTATTCCATTTGCAGCCATTCCTGAAAACGGTATTGAGCTTGAAAATATCGATTCTAAGTCAGAATTTGCTCACAGAATCATGATGACTAACATTTTGAGAATGATGGGTTGTATTAAAAAGCAAAAATCTGCGAGGGAAATCGAAACTAGACCAGCCCAAGTTATATTGCCTATGTCTCCAAATCATGGTACTTTTGGTGGTGACGGTTTATACTCTGAATCTAAGTTATCTCTAGAAACTCTATTCAATAGATGGCATTCTGAATCTTGGGCTAACCAATTAACTGTCTGTGGTGCAGTGATTGGTTGGACAAGAGGTACTGGTTTGATGACTGCCAATAATATTATTGCAGAAGGTATTGAAAAAATGGGTGTCCGTACTTTCTCTCAAAAAGAGATGGCCTTGAACCTGCTTGGTTTGATGATCCCAGAAATTGTTGAATTGTGTCAAAAGTCTCCTGTTATGGCTGATCTAAATGGTGGTCTACAGTACCTAACTGACTTGAAAGAATTTACAGCTAAATTGCGTAGAGAATTGACTGAAACCTCTGAAATCAGAAAAGCTGTTTCTATCGAAACCGCTTTAGAACATAAGATTGTCAACGGTAACAAGGCAGATGAAGCCTATGCCAAGGTTGAGGTTCAACCAAGAGCCAACATTCAATTAAACTTCCCAACCTTGAAGAATTACAAGGACATCAAAAAGATCGCTAAAGAGGAACTTGAAGGTATGCTAGATCTTGAAAGGGTTATTGTTGTTACAGGTTTTTCAGAAGTTGGTCCATGGGGTTCTTCCAGAACAAGATGGGAAATGGAAGCTTTTGGCGAATTTTCACTTGAAGGTTCTGTAGAAATGGCCTGGATGATGGGTATGATCAAGTACCATAACGGTAATCTAAAGGGCCGTCCTTACACTGGATGGGTCGACGCAAAGACCAATGAACCTGTTGATGACAAGGATATAAAAGCTAAATATGAATCCAAAATATTGGAACATAGTGGTATTAGATTAATTGAACCAGAATTGTTCCATGGTTACAATCCAGAAAAGAAGCAAATGATTCAAGAAGTTATTGTTGAAGACGATCTTGAACCATTTGAAGCATCAAAGGAAACTGCTGAACAATTTAAGCACGAGCATGGCGATAAGGTTGACATTTTTGAGATTCCTGAAACAGGTGAATACTCTGTTAAGATTTTGAAGGGCGCTACTTTGTATATTCCAAAGGCTCTAAGATTTGATCGTTTGGTTGCTGGTCAAGTACCAACTGGTTGGAACGCCAAAACTTATGGTATTTCTGATGATATCATTTCTCAAGTTGATCCTATCACATTGTTTGTTTTGGTTTCAGTTGTCGAAGCTTTCATCACTTCAGGTATTTCAGATCCATACGAAATGTACAAATATGTTCACGTATCTGAAGTTGGTAATTGTTCTGGTTCCGGTATGGGTGGTGTTAGCGCACTTCGTGGTATGTTTAAGGACCGTTACAAAGATATGCCGGTTCAAAATGACATTCTACAAGAATCATTTATCAACACTATGTCTGCTTGGGTTAATATGTTGTTAATATCATCTTCTGGTCCAATCAAGACACCAGTCGGTGCTTGTGCTACCTCAGTTGAATCTGTTGACATTGGTGTTGAGACAATTCTTTCTGGTAAGGCTAAGATTTGTATTGTTGGTGGTTATGATGATTTCCAAGAAGAAGGTTCTTATGAATTTGGTAACATGAAAGCTACTTCTAATACTCTTGAAGAATTTGAACATGGCCGTACCCCTGCTGAGATGTCTCGTCCAGCTACAACATCTCGTAATGGGTTCATGGAAGCCCAAGGTGCTGGTATCCAAGTTATTATGAATGCAGACCTAGCTCTAAAGATGGGTGTTCCAATTTATGGTATTGTAGCTCTAACAGCTACTGCCACTGACAAGATTGGTAGATCCGTGCCAGCTCCAGGTAAGGGTATTTTGACAACTGCTAGAGAACACCATGGTGCAATGAGATTCCCAACACCAATGATGGATATCAAATACAGAAAGCGCCAACTTGTCTCACGTGAAAAGCAAATCAAGCAATGGGTTGAGGATGAATTAGAAATGACTAAATATGAAGCAGAAGGTCTCTCTGATTCTGAAAGAAATGCATTCTTTGCTGAACGTTCTGAAGAAATTAAGAAGGAAGCACAAAGACAATTGAAATCGGCTCAAGCCCAATGGGGTAACGAGTTTTTCAAGAATGATCCACGTATTGCTCCATTGAGAGGTTCGCTAGCTGCATTTGGTTTGACAATTGATGACCTTGGTGTTGCTTCTTTCCACGGTACCTCTACTAAAGCCAATGATAAGAATGAAAGTGCTACCATCAATGAAATGATGAAGCACTTGGGTAGATCTGAGGGTAACCCAGTTATTGGTGTTTTCCAGAAGTTCTTGACCGGCCATCCAAAGGGTGCCGCTGGTGCTTGGATGTTGAATGGTGCTATTCAAATTTTGAACAGTGGTATTGTTCCTGGTAACCGTAACGCTGATAATGTTGACAAGTTATTGGAGCAGTTTGACTACGTCTTATACCCATCAAAGTCTATCAAGACTGATGGTATTAAGGCTGTTTCTGTAACTTCATTTGGTTTTGGTCAAAAGGGTGCTCAGGCTGTTGTAATTCATCCAGACTATTTGTACGCTGCTATTGATGAAGGTAGATATAATGAATATGCTGCTAAGGTGACTGAAAGAGAAAAGGCTGCTCACAAGTTCTTCCACAATGGTATGATTTACAATAAACTGTTTGTTAGTAAAGAGCATGCACCATATGACGATTCCTTAGAGGAAAAGGTTTATTTGGACCCATTAGTCCGTGTTGAAAATGATAAGAAGAGTGGGGAACTAAAGTTTTCATCGAAGGGTATTCAGAAGCACGACACTTACTTGAGTGAAAGCGCCAAGAAGACATCTGAAATGATTTCGGGTTCTTTGAAGGAGGAAACTAAAAATGTTGGTGTCGATGTTGAGCTAATCGCAAGTATCAATATTGATAACGAAACATTTATTGAAAGAAACTTCACCTCAGAAGAAGTAAAATACTGTTCCTCTCAGCCATCTGCTCAGAGTTCATTTGCTGGTACTTGGTCTGCTAAGGAGGCCGTATTCAAGAGTCTAGGTGTAAAGTCTCGCGGTGCAGGCGCTCCTATGAAGGAAATCGAAATCCTACGTGATGTAAACGGTAAACCAACAGTTACTCTTCATGGTGAGGCTAAGAAACTTGCTCAAAAAGAAAGTATCAAGGCTGTTTCCGTTTCTATCTCTCATGATGACTTCCAAAGTATCGCTGTAGCAATTGCTAACAAATAATTCAACAAATTTTTCATAAACTTTAATTAGAATAGCTGATATATATTTGATACAGTCGAAATTGATAACTTTGCTTTTTAGGTTTCTTTACTCTTTTGTTTTCATGGTAAACTTGTATAGCACCTTGAAATTGCCTAGGGCATTAAGTGCACCTTTATAGAAGGCGGGTTTAAGAGAAATTCAGTGGAAGAACACTTTGGTTTAACGAAATTATTAGAGGGACGGCAACAATTGTGTCTCGCAACAGCAGATATTTCAATCAGTGCTGTAAAACAAGATCTGAATTGCCATTTATAGTAACAAGGGTACCCACTCTGTATGGGATACATCTTTGCCTAGAATAGATCCTCATGTAATCCATAGGGTCTATATTCTGTATTTACTTTTTGGTTCTGGGAGATTTCTTCTTATTCAAACTATTCGAATGGTTTTTTGGCAAATTCTTAGACGAGCTATTGAGCATGTAATTGGCATTAGTCCTGCTATTATCGGGGTCTGCGCCACACCGATTAGAAGAATTGTGCCGATGAGACAAAAGAAAAAGGGAAAAAGTATAGAAAGATTACGTAAATTGATTTGAAATCAGAGTGAAGTTGAATAATGCTTCATTGAATTTCTCTCCTTTTGGGTAAGAATACTTTACCACGCCGCTTGAGAACCCCATCCAACAAAAACAATAGAAATTAAGTCATTTGGCAGTACTGCCATTTGTCCTTTGTCGTTGCTAACAGTCTTCAAGACGGAACGGTTATAGTGCGCTAGTTTGAGTGCCATCTAATACGTAATACACTCTGTGCAGGTACTTCTTAAACAATATTTTTTCCAGAAAAGTAAGCCAGAAAGTTCCGTGAATAGCAACTTTATAAGAAGTGGTCTCCACGCCATTTAATCAGTTTCCGTCCTCGGCTATCCCCTATTTCTATCATAATGTAAGAGCGATGTCCAGGGTACTTGGCATATAATAAAAATCTGTTTGTCCTTTGACTGTTTTTCTCAGCATTTTTATCAGCTTCTTGTAATGTTTTGTTTTGAGTTGTATGTTACAAACAATGCATTTTTATAAACACCCTTAGAAAACTACCTATTTGGGAATATTACATAATCTTCAGCCACTATTATTAGACATTCGCCCAGTCTGTTTGGTGACATTTTGACGCTTTCGTGGTTTTACAGAGTTTTGCGCATGATAGTGGTTAACCCCAATCGATACTGTCTATTTTATGCTTCAGATTCTGTATTTAAGTTTACGAGAAGGTGGGGCAGTTTCAATACGACTATAATTTCAAATCAGAGAAGTGAATAGGCGCACCCATGGACACGCTTGCAAGACACTGCCGTAGCAGTAAACCCCAATTTTCCGATCAAAAACCACCAAGACACTGTCACCAGAGCCTGAAATGATATAGCAAACTGATGCGTTTTTCCTTTTTTTTCTGTATCTACGATAAATGTGAGTTTGAATATTCTTTTTTTTGTTTCTACTTTGACTTGTATATTTGTATTCCAGGAGCATTTGCTTGAGGGATGAAAGGTGAAAAATAGTGAGTTTGAACCGTTATATCTTTTTAGGTCCCTTGCAAGTTTTGTGTTAGAATTAAGTTGCCATTCAGGGGGAGAAATAGATGTAGTAAGGTTCCTTCTGGATTACAAGTCTAAGCTTTCTCTACGTATCATTTCTTGTTGGAATCATTTTTCTATTGTTGAAAAAATCGCCTACAGGGGCATAGATGTGGGCATGTAGTTTATCTTTTTTTTTGAATTGCACATCAGTCCTTTCACTGGTGTGAACCCTAAACGATTCTGTCTCGAGAGCACTTTTTTTTGTTTTGCAAGTTTCCCATACTCTAATAGAGCTTGGTCTCCTAACGATGCCAACATGTTAGATCAGAGGATGGAAAGGTAAGGTGTTGTTAAAGAAAACTACCCCGATTAGGAATCGCCAGAAAGAACATATAGCTGCCGGCAATATTCTGCGCATGGCAAAATGAACCCTAAAGATACACGGGATTTGGTATGTTATATGCGTTAATTTCAAACTCTTCAATGTCACATGCACTATTTTTTTTTTCTGTGAGTACCACACAAGACTGACACACACTTTGTTTCAACTGAGTTTCCACTGAGTTTCCACTGAGTTTCCACTGTGTTTCCACTTTTCTATTTTGCGATTTCCCATTCCCAGTTAACGTTTTAATCACCGTTAGTTTGTTGTCCGTTGTTTTCTCTGTTACCATGGTAGTTTAAACAATGCGGTCCCGCGCATTGTTCTGAGGTAGCTGACATTCTGAGCCATTTAACTGTCGATCCGTTCTGAGAACCGTAACTTCCCCTCCCTCTTAGCCCTTTCTTTTCATGACATATCGAATGACAGGACACCAATTAAGATATTTTTAGGTAATCACAACAAGTTGCTTTTTTTTTTTGTTGTTGTTCTACTCATTCTCATCCCACGCAATTCTCTGACCATTCCTTGTAATTCTTCATCCCTTGTTTCACAAAAATGCCCCTGTAATGTTTCACCCCGATCGCCTCTCCCTTACCCTTTTCTCTCCTTTCTGAGTTGTCTCTCCTTCCCTCAGTCAGGTGCGTGTAAGTGTGTCTTCTGGTAACCCACGGTAGCCAGCTCTGTAGCTTCCTATCCCCGTCTGCAACTCCTCCTACGCAGTTTCTTTCATATTATTTTCTAGGTCTTCAGAATTGCCCGTATAAGCACATCTACATTCTTGAGAATTCCAGAGACACCGAAACTCCAACCTTTTAGAGAAAAGCACCTAGATACCAAAAACCTCTCCGCACCTTTAACTGATAAGGCAAAAACCTGTACATCTTACCCCCCTTCTCCTTCTTATCTTCCTAGCCCCTGATCGTTTGTAATTCTACGCTAAGACGATGGGGTCCTAACAAATCACTGCATGAGATCCGAGTCCCTTTAACCGAAAAGAAAAAGGAATGACCTCTTCTTTCATCTACTCCTCATTTGTTACCGTCTAGGAAACGGAAAATCTTTTCTTCTTTAGGTTGCCTTAGAAGGTGTGTGAGAGTCTCCCTCCGCATTTGCTGTTAATTACATGTCACCGGTACGTATATTACTGTGGGCATTACTTTTTTCTTATTCGTTCTGCAGTTAGCTCTGAGTGACTACAACATTACAAATGCTATCGTTTGTCCTGATTAACCAACTGCTAGGTCCGCTTCGTTCTGATTCTAGTATGGCAGTCCAGTGGCTATAATCCCTTCCCTGATATACAGCACTGAATGTGTAGGACGAACTGTTCTGATCGGGGACTCACCCATTTTCGATTCTTCAGCTTATTGTTTTCCTGGCTCAGCTTCGATCTCCCCTCTGTTCCGAGCAGACCCTTAAAGAAACCCCTGTATCACCGGGTATCCCATAAAAAAAAGACGGGTCCAGTGACCACCATCCATTTTCACAGAAATGCTCTGAGAGATTACAGTACAAGTTTACTAATGGTACAGGACTTCTATATTCTCTCATCCATTCTGAGAGCGCAACTATTCTCAGCCAAAGGCTACACCACCCACCATCATTTCTGTGGGCCAGAGATAACAGCATTTCCTGTATTTCTGCCCCTCCCCAGCTACTCCCCACGGTGAAAACGGTTTTCTCTGCAAAGCCAATATTCCATTCTGCCATATTCCGCAGCAGAGTAACACTCAAAGCACGCAGGGACAAATTTTGACAATAACGCTTTGTAATAGATAAGTAATTCGGAAAATACAGTAAACCCCTCGGAGAAGCGGGTGGTGAGTGAGGGAAAAGCGGACGGGTCTCAGAACGTTAGAGTTATCTTTCAAGTTGTCCTTGTCTAGATGCGAGGTACTGCCTTAATTTCTGTGGGGAGGGGGGAAGGGAGGGAGGTAAAGAAGAACCCATTTTCACGGAATGCCTTGCGGAATGCGGTCGAGAATCTTCAGCCAATGAGCAGAGAATTAACCTGTTGCCCCTTCCACGCCAACGACTCTGGATATTGGGTAAGGAAGCATCAAAAGGTTGACCATTTCTTCTGTAAACTGTAAATGTAAACCCTACACCCTAAGCTAATACAAACGATGAGACAATAACGTAACTCACTTTCATCTTGTATTGTCTACAGCTTTTAGGTGGGTTTTCTTGGAAGCTGCAAAAACGGATTACAGGCCTTTACTATCTACGCATAAACATCGAAGAGGGTTTTTTTTCACCAAATTTGCGTTGGTGCTTCCTTTACTTCTGCTTCTAAAGTCTTGTTCTTCCCACTTCCTTCTGCAAGGGTAAAGGAGAGCAAAAGACAATCAATTCTCCTAAGACATTATCGATACATTTGCTCCTAGATGCAAATGAACTAGAAAAGGAAAGTTAACTTCTATTCAATCAGCAGGAAAGTCTTTGTCCCCTCCTTCCATCAATTCTGCATTTGGTTATACTTAACGTTCTCCCGTTATAACAATTATAGTTACTACCATCCCATCGTATTGTCTACTCTCATTTTTTTAATTACATTTGTGTTCAAAAGAAAAGAAAAATTTTTTAGGTATTTGGTATTAAGATTTGTTATATAAACAACCTTCGATGATCAAGAGTCTCTATATCTTTTTCCTTTGATTATGTAGTAAGCATACGCATGTTCACACTTGTTATTAATTATTTGCCTTCTATTCCGATGATGCAAAATTTCCATTATCTCAAAAACTAAACCAATACTCAACTAATAATAAAATCGAGGCTAAAAAGCTGACGCGAAACTAAGGATAAAACACTACCGAAAAATTACTGACATTTTTCATGGAATAAAACTTGACTACATACAATAACGTACAGTATTGTATTGTAAACTATATTTTGGGTATTTTAACAAGCGATATTCAAGAAAAAAATACTGTGTTCAAAAAAGCAAGTTGAAGAAATTCGACATAATAACAACAGAAGATCATTATATCTTCACACCAGCATATCATTATTATATCTGAAAGAAACTATCAGAATCCGAAATTAAATTAAATTTATTTTTATTTTTAAAATTTGACAGCTGTTATTTTTTCTTTTCTGGATGACTAACGAAATAACAGGAGTCGAGAAGAAAACTGCTAAAGGCAGGTTTAAAAAACCAAAGGAGAAAAACTTCAAATGTACAGGGTATCCAGGTTGTGAGATGTCTTTCTCAAGGGCAGAACATCTGGCGAGACATATAAGGAGGCATACAGGCGAAAAGCCTTTCAAATGTGATATATGTTTAAAATATTTCAGCAGGATAGACAATTTAAAACAGCATAAGGATACCGTCCATGCGAAAGATAATGTGAAAAACAACAGCCAGCATCATCAAATTCATGTTAATGGAGCCAAATCATCTAACATAACTTTGAAATATAGTGACTGGAGGCCTCGTAGTGGGACATTCTCAGCTGCGAATGGAGTTGGGAATGCAGCCGCCGTTTCACGGGATAGGAATAATAATTTCAAAAGCCGCAATAATAATATGAATGGTTCTAACGAAGACAGCATGGTATATCATCATTACGATGGCAACGGTTATAAAAATGGCGGAATCGATATGAAATCTAATAAGCAGACGAGGAAGTCTATTCTAAAAGATGATAAACGGAAAAGATCGTACTCTAGTGACAATTTTTCAACGTCATCTTCTTCGTCATCATCCTCTCCCCCATCTTCCAATGGGGATTCATGTTTTAGTGCAGGCATTACTAACAAGAATAGCAACGGAGGTAGCAGCGGCAGTAGTAGTGCAAGTAGCTATACTAACAACGGTAAAGGAAAACATATGATTTCTAGCGAAGGGAATGACTATGTACATCATAAGAAGAATCACAATAACAGTATTAGCAGTGGAAGCAGTAGTAGCAGTAGTAGTAGCAATGAAACAGCTTTGAATAAGGATGAAAAAGGTAAACTTATTGGAAGCATAAATACTAATAACAAAACAATAGGCAATGGTCGTGATTCGACCTTCAGAAATGCCGCTATAGGAGGTTCTTCGATGGCGAACTTACTGCCGAATAACAGTAACAATGAGGGAAATACCAGATATGGAAAATATTGGTCACCTCCTGTCATGATGGGACCCAACAAATATGATGGTTCTAATGCAGAAAATAGTGGCTTTACAATTTACAAAAATTTTCCTTCAGAGAGAAATCAGAGATATAAGGAATCATTTTCAAGGAGAAATTGGTTCAGTGAAGGTTCTCAGACGGTAGCACAGCTTCCTAGTGTTGTTTATAATGGGAGAGATGGTCAAAATAATGATTATTACTCAAAAGTAGCACCACCCTTGTTTTCGGGAAACATGAATAACCTTCCTCATATCACTGATTTTTATAAAGGTAAGAGTGATAGTGCTGAGCCTTACAGGAAGAGCATTAATGGAAGAAGATTTAGTGCTCCTTATGTGCATGACAGGTTACATTTGCAACCAAATCTATCAAAGCAACTCTCTACACCTGGCTCAGAAGAGCAGACTAGAGGATCTGCTATAAATGTACAGAAGACAATGGAAAGCCCTCCATACTTAATTCCTGTGAATAACGAGCCGCTCATGGTTTCTTCTTTTTCTGGACAGAATATGTCTGGTAGTAATAACAATAGCATGAATGTCCATAGCAATGGCTGTGGTCCTTTGTCTGGTGCACCATCGACTATGATCACAACAACAGCAACAGTGACACCACAAGATGGTCAGCAGGTTGATCCTGCTCAAACTCTAAATGAAAATGAGGATATAGTTATGAAAGACCATGTTCAACGAGATGAATTACAGATGGCAAAACCAGTTATTATAAAGAACAATAATGGTACAACTTTTGCTAGAGGCAATAGATTACCACCGTTACAAAGCTTTTCTAGGACGGATACGATGAGCAACCCATATTAAAAGGCTGGTACTTTACAATAAAGGATAACTCTTTTAAATTGGTTTTAATTTCATACATTAATTTATACAAGAAAAATTTTTTTATCCTCCTATTTGGATGAGCTTTCATTTCTAAATTTACATTGATTTTTACATGAGTGCCAAATTTTGTTTATCAAATGTTATAGGATGGGTTCGATACATATATTTCGTTGGTTAGTTATTTTTTTTCTTGTGTTCTGGTCACGGTCTAATTTTTGTTTTTGATACATTTGAATCTATAAGTAGTTAATTTTTTTGCAGCGCTTATAAAGATATTATCATCATCATTTTCCGTTTCGACATAGGTTTTCCACGTGTAGCATGAATAAGTAATTGATATTATAGAATATAAGTACAAAATTCTACATATTAAGCACTCAGTCCAGGAGCCGCAAGTAATGAGAAGTTTGCCGATTTGTGGCTGGCAAGGCTGCCTTTCTCAAGCAAAACAGCATTCCGATACATTCTGTAACTGAGAATCAGGTACAAAGTAGGGGGACCGTCCATGAATGTGGTTCGCAAAAATCCACACAGCGAGATGGTTCACCTCCGAGGGGGGGAAAGCTGGGTAAACAACAATAGGACTTTTCGACCTTTCGATGCAAGATGAGGGATTTACCGAGAACACTACTGTCCGTCAGCTCCAACTTGTTTGCTTGGTTGCTTCTAAGATGTCTTGAAATCCCCTTGTCCCTCAAGGTAATTGCAAGCCAACGAAAGCCTAAAGAGAGTGAGAGCATATAGAATAAACACTCGAACAAAAATCCGAGTCTCTTGCACTTGCTGGTATGTGGCTTTCTGGCAGGGAGATGCTCTCAATGCTCTAACAGCTATGGCCTAAGATGGATGACTCCAGTGTGAAAAGAGAAGTAAAAGAAAGAGAGTGCGTGTACGCAGAAGCTGCATAAACTCAGAGGCCCGTTACTCTATTTCAGGTACCCTGTCCCGGTGAGAGGTGTGGGTGTAAGCTAGTATCGTGCTGTAAGTTTTGGTGTCTCTCCTTGTCCTCACAGCGACTGTCCCTCCGCCATTTTTTTTGTATGAAGCTATGTACGTTGCAACGAGTCAGTGGGGAGGGGAGTAGTATGGGTATTGCTACTTCTTGGTGTAGTCGTCCGCAGTGTTTTACTTTTCGGTGGAGCAATCATGCGGGCTCTTTTGCTGTTTTGTGGGAAACTTTGAGCGCAGACAAGTTCTGCAGTGCGGCTGTTTGCACGCATCCGGTCAAACAATGGGGAGGTGGTGCAAATGAAGCACCTGCTATACTATGTTGTTGTTATATCTTTGTGGGTAGTTGAGAATCATCTTTTACAGGCAGAACACATATAGAGAACAAGGTCTACATTTTACGCAAATATTCCACACAGGGCTGCGTATGTATGTGCGGTTTTTCGGTTAGTACCCTTTTTTTTGTATTTCGAGAAAGTTGATGAAGCTCTCTTGTGTGTGTGTGTGGGCATTAGTTTTATGAATTTCTTCTAGAAGAAAATCCTTGGTAATGTGAAGTGAAGACCGGATACAAGAAAACAGTGTGACGTACTGCGCACCTCGCTCTCTCAGCACACTTTAACGCTCGTGCACTATGTGTTCTTATCGCTTCGTAACGCTCGGTCCAACAGTTTCTCTCTCTCCAACCGGGCTTGTCCCCTCATAATGGAGAGGACACCGTAAAGGGTCCCTTCCATCCGTATCTAGCCATTATCTTTTCATTTCAACACTGTTATCTTTACACCTATCCCACCCCCTCACTTTACCCAGACATCTCTTCAGAAGGATTTTCCTGGAACAGCACAGCACTGAAAGTAAGGCACAGAGGTGCCATGGGTTTTTGCGAGGTGACTTGCGCAGTCTTCTCCAGTGAATCCACCGCACAATGCAAAAACCAAGCTGGAATAAAAAGAAAGGAAAAAGAAAAACAAGAAAAATAAAGGGCCGCACGCTAGCCAGCATTCTACTGTTGAGTCAAGGTGTGGCCCCCAGAGGGTTTCTTAGGGACGGAACATCACCTACTGCGATTGTGTTTACAAACCTAAGACTGGCAGAACAGTAGAACCATATTAATGAGAAGAGTAGTCATATATATAAGTTGCTTGTGATATATATTTTTGTTTGATTACCTCAATAAGAGTAAACACTAAACATCATCACACACACAACCTAAACACAACATACACACACACAACTATTATAAAATTTAAGTTATAGTATAACTTTGAAAATTACCAGAACACAAACCGAAAGATAGGGATTATCATTTATGCTTACATATTGATATTCCTTCACGTTACAGAAAATAAAAAAGTTAAGTTAAATTTGAAACTATAAACACACTCAACCTACAGATAAGAACATGCAATCCCTGGATAATGAATATAGAGTTCGAGGCTTTGTCTCGCCATCTAGTACACCTCCTGGAACTGGCATGATGAACAGCAGGACTGTTTCATCTTCTTCTTCTGTATCTTCAGACTCTTCTAATCCCTCATCTGCAATGATGCTTAACTTCTACAAAGGATCTGTAGAAGACCCAGCTTCTATCCTATACAGAAACAATATTTGCAAGTCGTTTGAGGATGATCTGTTCTTTTGTCCAAGGTCTCTATTGAGTCCTCAGGAACAGAAGAAGTGCCAAGAGATAGATTCTTTGTTTACTTATCAACAACATGCATCCTCGCCATTACTACCTGCTACACTGCATGAGCTAAGCAACGTTCCTATGTCTCCTACAAGCTCCCCAACAGCATTTAACACTAACCCAATGATGAACTTTAACAACATGACAAATAAGAGAACTGCATCCACTGTACATAGACCTATGTCTCCACGCTCAGCTAAGTTTAACCCATACAAGTCTCAAAGCTTCAACCCAAGCGATATCCACTAAGATGGCAGTACTAGCTGCAGGGAGATACATTTGATTTTCTTTCATCTCATTTTATCTTTTTGTTTATCTCGTTGCAAAACTAAAATTGGATTTGTCAAATGTTTATTGTTGAAGTGTTCAACCCATAAGCAATTTGCCTCCTCCTGATTTCATTACCATCCATTCCTTTCATGTCACAATTATGTTTAATATCCATGTCACGTTTTAATGTTCATATACATACAATAAAAACATCTATTATTGCTGGTTCAAATACAATTTTTTTTTTTCATATCTACAGATTTTACATTTTCATTACTTAAGGCTCACTCATTTCATATCTATTTATATAGACAAGTACTCATGGGTTACACTAAATTATGTTTCCCCTTCATTTTATTAAATACTATTTAGAGATTCATAAACAAATAAACATTTCTTCCAATTATACAGTTACTATCTGTCTTCCAGAAATCGTGATAACTACGTGGCGTCATCTCTCTTCGGTTGTTGAAACTATTCCAGAAGCAAGTTTTATCAATTCTTTCAGCTCAACATATTTAATATTTTGGTATTTAATCACGTCAGGAGATAATAAAGAAATCAGAACCAAAAAAACAAACTATACAGAAGTTCATAAAAGAGCAACTAGATAGGAGCATCAAATATTATGTGATTTGGATGTATGCACAGTTCATTCCCAGTTGCTGTTATACCAGTATAAACTGATACTTGCGCCTAGCATAGTATAACCACATGTTATATCACTCCTTACGCCATACTAATATGGCATTTCACTCGGCAAAAAATCTTTCTGAAAAAAATAGGTCAAATTACAACGATGCCTAATAGTTAAGCAAACCGTTCCAGTGAGAGATTTTACTATAGCTAGTGTTTACCGGAATAACTAGTGCAGTCATATTTATACCTTTTCAATTGTGAAGTACAGTGATTGAATTTGGAATCAGTGATTGTTTTTATACCGAGTACTTGTAAAACAAAGCTGAAAGTTAGGTAAAGAAAGGCAGGCATCATACAGTTTTTGGAGCTTCTAGATGTCTGAACACCACTCGAAGAGAGCTTTGTCTCTGGATGACCTTGTCAACCACGATGAAAATGATAAGTCAAAGCTGCAAAAACTAGCCGACAACGAAAGCAGTGTACGATCAGATGACAACAGACCTGGTGCTATTGAAAACATTGTGAACGGTAATAACAGCAACAGTGACCTGAACTCTAATGGTGTCATTGAAGAAGACACTGATACAGATGATGATGTTGGTGGGGAGTTCACTTTTGATAATGGCATAACATTTGACTATGACAAACAAGATAGATTCTCTCCAGAGAAAAAACGAATTCAGGCGAGAAAGAAAGATACCTCTAAAACAACACCAAGCATATCAAATGAATCACCCAGCAATTCAAAAGAATCCTCAGTCCCTGTTGATCCTCTTTCCAGCAATATAAGTGCTACAGATAGAAAGGATTCGTCAGAGGAGAAACCTGACTTGACTGGACCAGAATTAGTAAAAGAACCTGATACCAACGAATACAAGAGACCATCTATCCAGTCCATAACCAATGCGGAAGATACTACCTATAACGACCATAAAGCAGCTGGAATGGAAAAAACATCGAACAAGCATAGCTTACCAAATATTCTTTCCGACAGTATCGATGAAACTGTCACGGAGGAACATAAACCAAAAACTGAAACTGAACAAACAATAACAGAATATCAACAAGAAAATAAACAGAAAGATAACGTAAACGAAAGCAATTCAGAAGAAACCCACGATATTAAAAATGATAATATGAACCAAGTCGAAAAAATATTCCAAGAAAAGACATCTACACTTTCTAAAAAGAATAGTGTAAAAAAGGATCTGGAACTATTAAACGAAATATCTGCATCTTCCAAGCCAAATAAATATAAAAACACACCAATTTGGGCTCAAAAATGGAAACCTACAGTTAAAGCTCTACAAAACATCGACACAAATGACTTCAAAATTGACAACTCCATTTTAGACATTATACCAGATGATGATTTAACAAAGTCAGTTCAGGATTGGGTTTATGCAACTTTATATTCGATTGACCCAGATTTGAGACCGTTTATTGAGCTGGAAATGAAATTTGGAGTTTTATTAGAATCAAAAAGCCCAGATAGAGTTAATCCACCAGTTTCCTCACAGGCAGTATATACTGATATGGATGCTCACCTTACACCAAATGTAGACGAGACTGTGTTCAAAGAACTCAGTAAATATATCCAAAGTCTCAGTGAAATCACAGAAAATGCTGGTAAATTTAACGTGATTGAAGCACAAACTAAGGATGCAGTCTATAGAGTCGGTACATCTACCCAAAGACCGAGATTTTTAAGAATGAGTTCAGATGTAAAAACAGGTAGAATTGGTGCATTTATCGAGAAGAGACACATATCTCAATTATTAATCTACTCTCCAAAGGATAGTTATGATGTTAAGTTATCAATAAACTTAGAACTTCCGGTTCCTGAAAACGATCCACCAGAGAAGTATCAACATCAAACACCTGTTAGTGAAAGAACAAAAGAGAGAGTTAGTTATATTCATAATGACTCTTGTACAAGGTTCGATATCACAAAAGTTCAAAATCATAATAAAGGCATAAAATCAAATGACGTTGAAATAACACACGAAATCGAATTAGAAATAAACACACCCGCTTTAATCAAAGCTTTTGACAATATAATGACGGACAGCAAAGAATACGCTACATTGATTAGGACGTTCCTCAATAATGGAACTATTGTTCGCAGAAAACTATCATCACTTTCATATGAAATATTTGAAGGTCAAAAAAAGATACAATAAATGGATATACTGCATTCGGTTATTGTAATTGTATTATTTTACAGTTTATGTATTAATATAATCTATGTATGAATTTATGGATTTACCACCATTAATATATTTACATAGTGATATTTGAAATATCCATTCTGATATGTGGTAAAACACTATTGGGTTCAGCGGCTTTCCAAGTTTATATTCAACATTGTTTATAAGGATTATATATACCCAGAATATATGCCATTCTAATAACAACCAAATCGATAGCCATTTTGATGCTATCTAGCGCAAGGGCCATTTTAGAACCATCAACTTCATGCCATGATATAGGGATTTCTGAAACTGGAATTGCTTTTTTGTTGGCTAGTAACAAAATTTCAACGTCGAATATCCAACCCTCTGTATGCATATAAGGAAAAATAAGATCAATAGCTGGCCTGTTAAATAGCTTGAAGCCACACTGGGTATCTTTAATAGACCTAATACCAAATATGTACACCAATGTATGGAAACCATACATAAGGCAATTTCTTAGAAGCGATCTCTTTATCACTGCTTCAGTATTTACCATATGAGCTCTTGATCCGATAGCCATTGCTGCTTTAGGTTTCTTTTCATCGTCAGATTTTTCTAGTTTTTGGATGCTGTCAATTAATTTTGAAATATCGCTAAACTTACTTGCACCATCGGCATCAGCAAAAAGACCATATTTACCTCTGATATGTAGAAGACCTTGTCTTACTGCACCACCTTTACCTCTATTTTCTATAAATTTAATGACGCGTAACTCCTTTGGCTGAAGTTTGTATTCTTCTGCGGCAAGTTTCAAACAGTATTCTGTTGTACCATCTTTAGAGCCATCGTCAACAATCAATATCTCCCATCTATTTGGAAATTGGGATCTCAAATACTTAATGGTGTCATCTAACATTACGTGTATTCTATCAGTTTCATTATATGCAGGAACGACAACGGAAATAAGGATGTCGTCTAAATGCAAATCACCTTCATTAACTCTATCAACATCAAATCGTACTATACCTCCCTTATCATCAAAGGTATGATAACGTAACTCCTCTGCAAATGGTTGTCTAGGATTATGTGAGAAGAGGTAAATTATAGAGTACAAACCAACCAGGGCACTAATTCCCAGGGCAATCGCAACCTGGAGAATGCCAACTTCGCCAATTAGCGCCATCTAAGTAACTGCTGTATTGGTGATATCAAAGCTTGGGCTCTTATACTAATATGCCTTAGTTGTAACTCAGAGACAAGTTAGAAGTATTAAGCATTTGCTAGTCCTCGATGATTTTGTTTTCAATGTTAAAAGGTAAACCCGAGTTTTTCATTTTTTTCAATTTGGGACGTGTTTTGGTTGAACACAGTGGCCGTTAGCAATGGCTGGATGAATAATTCCATAAGAGCGATGAATCTGCATATCTATAATTATGGTACTTAACTACATCGTAGTCATTTAAATAATTTACACCCTACTGAATAGTTAAATAATGTGGATGGTGGTGTGCAAAAGAATAAAATATCAGGGCCCTGTAAATACGGCAACTGTAGAGCATGTTGCATCACAGTATTTTATCATATGCAAAGATCAATACTTTGAAGTGTAACGTACGTCAAAGAACGAAAGGTTCTTGACACCATCTAACATTGACTTGCGTAATTCAGCAGTGACATTATCCATATCATGTACAGAAATGTTGCTGTCTTGTGGGACACTCAGTGTGGTGATTGCTCTCATTTTTGGGCCCGATGGCATCACCACCAACCTATCTAATTCCAAGTTCCCTCTATCCAGTAATGGTATCTGTTTTTTTAGGATAGATTCGATTTCTAGGTATCTCTCATCTTTCTTACTTAAGGACTGATCTGTCAGTTCTTTTACTGAAGATACCATACCCTCACCACCGGCCTTGATTATCAGAACTGAGACCAGCAGTCCACCAAGACTATCCAATGATTGTATACCGAAGAAATAACTTGAACTGATGGCTACAAGAGCAACTAGCGAGGTCAATGAGTCAATTCTATGGTGCCATGCGTTAGCCATAAGTACGTTTGAATTCGTCTTTATGGCAACCCTCTTTGTAGCTTGAAATATCCATTCCTTCATAATAATAGAACCACCCGCTATCCATGCTGCATTAACATCTGTTGCGCTGGTGTGACTGTGTGAATGTGATCCGGAAAAATCTATCATGGAGCCAAATATGTTGTGCAAAGACTCAATAATAGTATGAGGCACTATCGGACCTACTATCGCACATAAAGAACTCCAACCAATGGAAACACCTGCACCCGCCAGTATTGTAGATACTGCCAGAGAACCCACGGTTTCAACTTTCCCGTAACCATATGGATACATATCATTGGATTTTTTGGAAGATAAACTAACAGAAAATAGTGTCAGAAAGTCAGAAACGAGATCAGACATCGCATGCACCGAGTCTGCTAACAAGGCTTGTGAATGGAATGCAATACCACCAAAAAATTTCCCAACTGCCATAAGGACATTGCTCCCCAGTCCAATCCATGTGATTCTAACACCTGGGTTTGTTAACACATTATCCTTGCTTAATGTAAGGAATGCATTTTCACCAGAATGACTATGACTATGGCCATGGCTATGGCTATGCGATAGCATAGATTTAAGCCCATGCTCTTCTATTGTAGGGTCATGATTATGTTCATGGTCTGGTATTTGTTCCTGATCTTTGTGCTGATGAGCGATTGCTCGAGAACTATGTAGTAGCCTCTTATATGGCTGGCATATCAGCGTAGCATTCAGCCGTTTGTTCAGTGTTAATCTCGCTCTAATCATTGACATTCTTCTAGAGACCTAATCCTTCGAGATGATCTAGTCGATTTGAGCTCATGGGATAAACACTTGCTCGATCGTTATGTATCCAAAGTAAAGCCTATTATATATTACAAAGAATTAGAGTTTCTGGGAGTTGAGAAACTATAATGGGCTTGAATATTAGCCAATTTGAGTGGTAATTAGAACGTCATCTAGACTCTCAGCTTTGACGGGGCACCCTTAGAGGTAATCTCCGTTTAAGCTACGAAATGTCAGACACCCCACAAAGGTGTTAGTTAATTCTTATCACCGTAATCGAGTGCAGCTAAAGGTCCCTCCACTGAATGGTGAACCATCCTTGGGTTGTCCCACACAAGAGACATGCATAATCACACAACTTCGAAGGAGGCACTGCTAATTATGAGGTTCGTAAGTTGACATTCCACTAACTTGAGTATGTGATCGCATTGTTTGACGTAAAATCTGTATTTGAATAATGAACATGTTGTATTACCATATGACATGTAGAACAGTTGTGAGTAAGAACTTTGTCATATTTTAAACTATAGATAGTATTTTCATTCAGATATAAATTTGTTATAAAGATACTTTATTTTTATTATATAATATGTCTAGACCTGCTGGACATTCTTTCAACATACTGCTTCAAGGCATTTAGTATTCGTCATTCTGGTTCATGTTTCCAGAGTTGTAGCTTGGGAAAGCACCTGAACCTTTGTTATACCTTTTACTGTCGATTACATCAGCCTCGACATCCTCACCCCAATCATCAGTGTCCAAGTTGGTAGTGCCAGACATACCTCTGGTTTCAGAGAAGTCGTTGGTTCTCTCATTAGGGTTGTAGTATGTGTCACCGTGCTTGGATGGCATGGTGTTGGAACCACCTTGACCGTAACCTTCGTGAGATCTGGCATTGGTATCATAGTTGTTGGAATCGTTGAAACCATAAGATTGTCCGCTTTCGTAGTCATCGCGATCCAAATTCTTGTTGGAAGAGGTGTTGTAGGACATGGAGCTGTTGCTCTCTTCCTTGTCGTCGTTACCGTGCAACTTGTCAGAAATCTTGTTCAATAGGTTAGACATGATTACTTGTGTTTTTGATGTTAGTGTGGTACTTTACTTTGGAAGCTAATATAGACACCCAAAAAAACAAAAGCCAATAACCATGGAATAGCTTACAGAATTGATGGCTATTTATATAGTTAAATATTTCAAAATGATGAACGAAATTTAACAGTTGAGGAATTGGTTTCCAGGACTAATTGCACAATTAGCCTTTAGAGATACGGCTAATCGGCAAAATGTTCTAGAATTATGCTTTTCTCTCACCCTTATGTTCAAAGTTACATAGTATGTTTCCAAGGTTCCTATAGTATACCCGCTACACTAATCCAAAGAGCATGTTCACATAGAGCTAAACTACTCTATAATACTGTTTTATTAATAGATCAATTAATTTTTATTCCATTATCTGAAATTAAGGGAAGTGATGATTTCACATTGACAAAAAAAAGGAACAAGCAGCTCGGTGTCTTAATTGTTACGTAGCTGCGATGCGATGAGCCGAATCATCCTTGGAGTCCAAGGGTTTTTGGTATCTTCCACCATTTCATGTAAGTTGAATAAGGTAGTGACGTTTCGAAGTGACGTTTAGCCGTTGTAAAAGGAATGAGTACTTCTTAATCAAGGAACTTTTCTGGTCAAGAAATTAATATAAAGGGTTGTAATATAGAATAATTGAAGGGATTGTTCTGTGTGAGTTGCTTAAAGAACTACTAATTGAGTGCGTCAAGGTTACCCATTAAATTTTATTTCTTGAAGAAACCCCTTAATCACGTTTCTATTTAATCTTTTAAACAATGGTCGATGGTGGCAAGACCCTTGTAGAGGCACTGAAGAACCCATTGTTGAGCAGTTCCCGGTTGATAAAGCTGCTGAGAGCCGACTCTAAAGTTCCAACCGTTGATGCTGCAATCAAACTAATTGAAACACATGGCCCCATCCATGAAAGCTTCCATACACCGAGACATGTGGACAAGGGTGCCCATTTCGCATACTCGATCCCACAGAATAGGACTGGATATTCTCCTCTTCTCGTTAATGAGAAAGCCTTGAAAGACATGAACATCATCAGGGACCAAGAACTCACAAAGATTCTTGATGGAGAAACACTGTATTACGATGAATCAAGAGCGATATTCCCTTATAGTACCAACTATGCAGGCTTTCAATTTGGCCAATTTGCTGGCCAATTAGGGGATGGAAGAGTAGTGAATTTATTCGATCTTAAGGATAAATCTGGTGAATGGCAAACTCTACAGATCAAAGGCAGTGGATTGACGCCATTTTCAAGATTCGCAGATGGGAAAGCGGTGTTGAGGTCAAGCATACGTGAGTACATTATTAGTGAATCCCTACATGCCATTGGAATACCATCCACGAGGTCCTTACAATTGACGTTATTACCCACAACAAAAGCACAACGGGGTGGTACCGTTGAGCCATGTGCTAATTATTGCCGTTTTGCACCAACATGGCTGAGACTGGGTCATTTTGATATCTACCGCTGGAAATTCGATATACAGAGTATGGCCAAGCTCTCCGACTATGTAATTGAAGAAGTTTTCCACAATAATATTGAACAGGAGGACTTGAACGAATACACAATTGATTATTTTCCTGATGAACCAGGCCAGCCAAACCCCGAATGCACCGCCATTGATTCGAAGAGTACTACCAAATACGACCTCATGTTTCGCAAGATTGTCAATTTGAATGCTGAATGTGTAGCATACTGGCAAGCTTACGGATTCCTCAATGGTGTTTTGAATACCGACAATACGTCCATTCTTGGGCTTTCCATTGATTTTGGGCCTTTCAGCTTCATGGATCAGTTTGATCCTCAGTATACCCCAAACCATGATGATTCGATGAGGCGTTATTGTTTTGCTAACCAGCCGGGTATAGTGTGGTGGAATTTGCTACAGTTCGGACAAGCCATCTCGGTGTTGCTGGGATCTGGTAAGTACAACTTACCTACTGTGCTCAAGGCTAAAGATATTGGGGATATAGACAAGGGCACGCAAAGGCAATTACTGGACAGAGTCAATTCGTTGATCCATCTTTGCGGCAATGAATACAAATACCGGTTTACTTCCAAGTACGTCGAGCTAATGGCCAAGAGGCTCGGCGTGGATGTTGACGCAGTTATCCCAGAAGGGGACAAGCAAACTAGGGCAAAACATATCAATATCTTCTTGAAGGAGACCATTGAGCCACTGTTGGAGGTCCTGCAATACACAAAAGTTGACTACAACAACTTCTTCTACAAGTTAGAAGAGTACAATGGGTCGCAGCATGTAAACAATGATTCTCTGGATGACTTCATGGGACTCAACCCGCATTACGTTAGGCTGTTTTTCAGTGCTGAGGAGTTTGCCCTGCTGGGCCGCTACTACTGCGGCGAGCACACAATGAACAGCGATGTCAAGGCAGCACTGGAGTACTTGCAAAAGATCAAGCAGTGGACCACCACACTCGGGAAACTGCCCAGGTCAAACGCGAAACACGTCAATCCCAAGTTCATACCTCGCAGTTGGATGTTCGAAGAAGTGATAGATGACTTAACCTTGCAGTTGCGGGATGGCCACAAACCGGACCTCTCTGCACTGCAGAAACTAAGCAACATGAGCACCAACCCCTATGACCCCGCTCAATGGGACCAAACCCGCCCGGATTTACAGGAAAGATGGCTACAGGAACAACACCCTTCAAAACTGATGAAACAAGCCTCTTGCTCAAGCTAGCAGTCAAATCAAGAACGTGGGACAGTGCGTTCCCCTCCCCTCCCTCCTCTCCTCTCGTACTGCTTCTGCTAGCTTTTTTTTTTCGCGTCACCATAGCTATTTTAATTTTAGGAGTTTTGACAATTCCCAATGATTTTCGCGTTCTTCCGTTCATTTTCATCTACTCGAGCCTAATGGGGGGGCAGGGTGATTCTTCTCTGCTGGGATTTCTAGTAGCATATGCGAGCCACTTCGCTGCTTTACTTTTACAGCAAGTGTTCCACTTCGTGCTACTGGTCCCTACGCGCGAGCACTGCTCAGAGGCTTTATGCTCAGCTATTCCTGTCCAGATTCGGATCTCGCTTTGCCATCATCCCTCTGTACTCTGCCGTCTGTGCCCTCTGCACTCCGTGATCTCTGTGCCCACTGTGCCCACTGCTATATTGCCTTTTTGGGGACAGTTTCTCCGTGCTACAGAGTCTCCGTGGTTAGCAAGACACACTAGAAACACAGACACACCGCACGAAGGACACAATACGATGTGGTTGTGGTACTTCAAGATTAGCACGGTGTAAATGGGTGGATTTCACCTGTCTGTGCGCGATTTTTCTCCGGTGTGGCTCGCGTTCGTTTACATGTTTACTTTTCTTCGTCTGCTGCTACTGCCACTGTCTTTTGATAGTCCCTGGTCTAAGATGGTATACAGACACAGAAAGTACCGGAGGGTCTTGTTCCATTACATGAAGGAAAAAGAAAATGACGTTTGTTTTGATCGCATGTAATCGAATGATAATACCCACTGAAAAATTTTCTTATTCTTTTTATTTTATTTTATTTTATTTTATTTTGAATATTCTATTTTACTTTCAATTTCAGACTTCTGTCAGATGATATAGTTCCATTTGGGATGTGGTCTCCTACAGCTTGACTTAGGCCTTTTAACTAGTGGGATTTGTTTTCTTTTGTCGTTTCTTTGATTCAACATTTATTTTTCTTTCACAAAGCATTTGTCTATTAGCTCTCCCTCTCTCTCTCTCTCTCTATCTGTCTAAACTTTCTTGAACAAAGCCTTCATATATTCTTTCACTCCTTTTTCAACTTTGATACCTTGTTTATTTGTGGATCAGTAGGTTCTCTTTTTGATTTCATTTAAAAGAAACCATACTCGGTGGAAGGAAAAAAAATTATTGAAACTTAAATTCAAAAATATTGAATCTATCAAGCCTGCTCTAATAGAAAAGATTACCGTCTGCGAGGGGTATTTTGTTTTTTGATACATAATCACACAAAGATAATATAATACCATTTCTTTGGGACCACTCGTTTTTAATATTTCCCATACAGATAAAATAAGAAGTGTTTTGGAACATATTTTATTCTGGTGATTTCTGATCGATTAGTACAAACGTCCGGATAAGAACTACACAAGAGAACTTATTTACAATCGCTTAATCTATTCTGTTGTTTTTTTTACTTTGTTATATCCAACTGCATTTGTTATCTTTAAAAAAAAAAAGAATCAAAAGATATAACTACGTGTTTTAGTTTCAAGACGTATTATTTTTAATTTCATTTCACAATATTAGTTGGAAAAGCTACACATCGCAGGTAACAACCTTTTGAAATGCTACTTTCTCACACACTATGGTGTGTCTTTATGCTCCTGATGAGGTTTTCTAACCTCGTGGAGGCAAGAAGGAAACTTACAGCTACATCTTTAGTTACTTGTATGGAAAACTCTCAATTATCGGCTAGAAGTTTTGACGTCGTGTTCGACCCAGATGACAGATCCCTACATTACACATTGGATATGTCCACACAGATCGATGGCTACATCTTCGCGTATGTTGATGTATACGCGTACGGTTTCAAAGTTATCACAAAGAGTTTTGACGTCTGTTCCATGAACTGGAAACAATTCTGTCCCGTCCACCCAGGTAACATTCAAATCGATTCTATCCAGTACATTTCGCAAGAGTACGTAAATATGATCCCCGGTATCACTTACCAAGTGCCAGATATTGACGCCTTTGTCAAACTTTACATTTACAATGACCAGAACGATATCTTAGCTTGTATTCAGGTTTTCTTCAGTAACGGTAAGACAGTGTCTCAAACAGGTGTGAAATGGGTCTTTGCCGTCATTGCTGGTATTGGTCTGCTGCTTTCAGCCACTTTGTCTACCTTCGGTAACTCCGTGGCTGCTTCTCACATTTCTGCCAACACTATGTCTTTGTTCTTATACTTTCAATCTGTCGCTGTTGTTGCAATGCAACACGTTCACAGTGTTCCTCCTATTGCTGCAGCCTGGTCAGAAAACATGGCTTGGTCTATGGGTTTGATCAGAGTCAGCTTCATGCAAAAAATCTTTCGTTGGTACGTTCAATCCACAGGTGGTACCCCTACACTTTACTTGACCGCAACAACCATGTCCGTTTTAACCCAAAGGGCCATTGACTATGTGAGGAACTTAGAATATGTTAAACGTGCCGAAAATATCCTATACGGTAATCAAAACACACTTATCTTTAGAGGTATCAAGAGAATGGGTTACAGAATGAACATTGAAAATACATCCATTGTTTGTACAGGTTTTACCTTTTTCGTGTTATGTGGATATGTCTTGGCTGCATTTATCATTGTCTGCAAATACTCCCTTGAATTATCAATCAGAAACGGATGGATTAAGGCTGACAGATTCCAAGCTTTCAGAATTAACTGGAAAGTTCTATTAAAAGGTGCTATGTTAAGATACATCTACATTGGCTTCACTCAGTTGACTATTTTAAGTTTCTGGGAGTTCACCGAAAGAGACTCTGGCGCTGTTATTGTTATTGCGTGCTTGTTCTTGATCTTATCTATCGGTTTGATGGTATGGGCGTCATACAGAACAACTTACTTCGCCCGCAAGTCTGTCCAGAAATACAACAACCCAGCAGCCTTGCTTTATGGTGATGACTACGTCCTAGACAAATATGGTTTCTTTTACAGTATGTTCAGTGCGAACTTTTACTGGTGGAATAACATCCTATTGGGCTACGTTTTTATTAAGTCATTGTTCATTGGTTTTGCACAAGCATCAGGTAAAACTCAAGCATTGTCCATTTTCATTCTTGATTTGTTTTACTTCGTTGCAATTATAAGATATAAGCCATACTTGGATCGTCCTACAAATATTATGAACATTGTTATCTGCCTTGTTACTGTGATCAACTCATTCTTGTTCATGTTCTTTTCTGATTTGTTCAACCAAAAATACGCCGTTTCCGCTATTATGGGTTGGGTTTTCTTTATTATGAACGCTGCGTTCTCCTTCATTTTACTAATGATGATCTTAGCCTTTGCATACATGATAGCTTTCACAAAGAGTCCTGATACCAGGTTCAGACGTGCTAATGACGATAGAGCTGCCTTCCAAAAGAAGAATGCTGCTTATCACGGCGACGTCCTAGAGAGAAGCGGTAGCAAGATGAAGAACTCTGCCACCGCGGATCTGTGGGCTCTTGGTAACATGGCTGGTGATCATGAAGCTAATTGGGAAGCAAATGCTAACGTCAAGAAAAACAGGCTATCTAATATTTTCCTCGGTCCAGATGAAGATTATGATGATGAAGAAGAATTTGCAAACCAAACATTTACTCAACGTGTTATCCGTAAATTGTCTATGAAGCGTGGAAAGAGTAAGAGAAGTAACAGACCGGAGATTGAGAGAAGGTACAGTGATGGTACGTCCACGAACGGTTCTTCGGCTAACAAATCTGAGCCTAAGGTCTTAGAAGGTGAGTTAAGTAAAGATGAAGAAGATATCAACTTTGTTAATCACCTAGTAACACCCAGATCATCATACTCAAGCGGCGGGTCCCCTGTGAGGAGGTCATACATTGGTCTAGAAGGTAACAGTTCACATGATATACAGGCCAGAGAGAATCTGATGTCTGCTCGTGATGAGTCACAGAGGTTTTCTGACTTAACGGATATCACTGGTCCACGTATGGACCCATTCAGAGACAACAACTCTAACACCGTACGCTACAGCAACGGAGCTCTAGGTCCACCAAGAGACATAAGCTTGGACAGTATACCTTATGCCAACCAGGAGGCAACTAACTCCACAGATATATTGGACCAGTCCGGTAAATACCTGTAGTGATAGTAAAAAAAATAGGAGCGCTATCCCAAATAGCTAAGGACGGTTACCACTTTCATACATTAGCCAAAACTATAACTAGAACTAACAGGCATTATTTGCATTTTCAGATATAAATATTACTTATATACCTTAGCTTCGGCTAATCACCCCACAAATTGTATATTAATAAAAGCAAATCTTTATGAAAAAGTCATTAAAATTACAATTACCCCACTGCCAGATGCAACACGGACAACCTACTGTTATGACCCTGAGCTTAAAGTAGAGTATTATACTAATGAGAAATATAGCAATCTTAGAATAGTCATGTGACTCTTCTATCTATGTACTTACACTGGGGGCATTCCACGTTACGTCTCCTCCAACTATATATAACAGCCCCTTCACACAGAGAAATCCGCAGGATCTTTAGAAATAGAAAGGAAAAAGATGAGATTTTCTACTTGCAGCTTTGTAATGTGCGTGTTAGCAAATAACGGACAGAGAAACATACGCAGAACGGAGCCATTTATGCTTCTTCTATTCCTAAATGTCTGCTGGTTTCCACCATAATTTGCAGTAATTTGCTAATCAGTAGCTCAGAAAATGCAGTGGGCGGGTTTTGGGAGTTTATATTGCCTAATAGTATTGGAAGGATTGAAATGTATTGGGTGAGTTAGTAGTATAGTGCATGAGTAGCTATTCAGGAGCAATAAGGAGCAATAGGTGCTATAGTCTTGCTGTCCTGAGGTGTCCAATTAGTGTTGTACTTTATAAAAGCCCTGTGTAAGAATTCTGGATCAGGTTTTTCCTTGGTGACGACGTCATTTGTTTATCATTTGATCCTAAGCCTAATTTATCAGATTAAGAATGATTATCACAGATTAATTAGCAAAGCTTTAATAATATAGAGACTTAATTAAATTACCCCAGGTTTTCCAGATTGTGCTGTATATATAAGTAGTGGCACTATCTAGTGTATAAAATATCTGCTAACCATTGTAAAGAAAACTTTTTCAAAGCATTAGCTAAAAAGGCAATTATTAGAAAGGAATATCTGGAATGACTGTCCAGGAAGATGTTGATAAGGACGATGGCGAAGGAGGTGATAGCCATCCTGATGGATTCTCAGATAATTTCGGCAAGGACCACAAGGGGATGGGGTTTGGAGACTATCTGATGTATAGTCAGGAGGATAGTCTCTTTGAATTGCCTATCAAGACAGGTTACAACCTAAACTTCTCTGAGCTTAATGATTCGTTACCAGCCTCTAATGTGCCACAGCTGAGCCAACCCTCTAAGAAAGTTCGTTTTGAAAACGATGAAATAGAGCACGATGGTAATGGTTCTGCAACTTCAGTATCAAGGGATATGGACGGTAGTAATGGCGATAATGAGGATGGTGTCAATACTAGTCAAGACGATGATTTAGAGCTATCTCCAAAAGCTTCAGCAAATGGCAAACCAAGAGAAGATATTGAGAATTTAATACAAAAGGCATCTGTTTTTAACGAGGTGCTGGGGGAGAATCTGGCTAAGTTAAATACATTATCATCTGACGGCTTACCGTCCCGTGTAATGAGCAGGATGGGTAGCGAAATGAGTACCGCAAGATCAGACAGTATGTCTTGCTTTGCATTAAGTGATTCGGAAGGCGACGGTGAACTGATGCTCGACTCTGGGCATTCAGGTAGTGATCCTTTTACTCACTCTAACATTTTGAGCCAAATCAACGGAGAATATTCTGAAGATGATGGTGTTCTTCTTCTTTCTCCATATCAGTCATCTACAATGTACAATAATTTCATTGATACAGAAATTGGTCCTGCAAGTTCGACTGAAAGGGTTAACGAAGAACAGTTCTTTGAAATTAGTCCACCAGAGAATTTCCAGGCAGGTGGTAATAAAACGTCTGATATTGTACATGATAATACGTGTGTACTACTCTCAAAGTACCAACATAACAATGAGATATTTGAGTACTCTGTAGAAGACACGATGCATAACTACACAGAAACTCTTGACATTCTTCTGCGATTATCTGAGAACGAAAACATGATTTCTGAAAAGGCAGATAACAATGAGAACTACCATTATTTTTCTATGAAAAGTGCTCCATCGATCTCGCATCATGACTTCATACAGCGTATACAAAATAAGTGTATGTTCGGCTCTATTATTTATCTTGGGGCTACGTATCTTTTGCAAATATTATTCTTGACTAGAGAATACAATGATGGTCCACTCCGATTAAAGCATAAATTGCAACAAAATGAAGTCCATCGAGTGATAGTTGGAACAATTAGAATTGCCACCAAGCTGTTGGAAGATTTTGTTCACTCACACCAGTATATTTGCAAAGTTTGTGGTATATCAAAAAAACTTATGACAAAGCTAGAACTGGCACTAATATTTTGCTTAAAGGACAATAATCTTCTGATAAACAGCGAAAAACTCTCAGCTACCGCATGCATACTTGAGGAGCTTAAGGCTCAAGAGTCTCAATGATTGTCAGCATATTCTGTCCCTTTATTCATGTGTCTATCCAATATAAGATACATTTCTGCTTGACTAAACCTTACCTTCTTGTTTCGATCTTTTGAGACAATAGCATTTACTATCCAGTCGTTCTAGGCCTATAGACTCATTTTCCCTAAGCAAAGTTTTTGCATTTCTGTGCAACCTACATATTTCTATATTCCAGTATAAACTAATTTAATGAAGTTAATGACTATAATTGTGTACCCATCTCATGTAACTATTAGAATCAGATATATTTCAATAATTCCACAGTGATTGACTATGCTATCCATTGTTCTCTTTCTGTTATATATCGGTAATTCCTTGGCTTACTTTAAACGACCATCGCCTCGAGGAAAATCAACGGCTTGAAAAAAAAAGTTGACACCAGAAAGTATAAATAACGTGGAATTTGTTAGTTTTAAGACTGCATTTCTGAATCATCTTTGTTGAAAGTGGGCTATAGAAGTTACAAATTGCAACAGAATATATCTACATCTGATTAACAATGGTTTGGGACGTTTTCGGCTGGTGTATGTATATCGATTAGACAATTTTTTTTCTACGGAGGTAAAAGTCAATTAATGGCTGTCTGGATCAAAATACGATGCTCTGGATAGACTTATAGTACTTCTCGTTTACTTTTTTGATAATAATTGAATTACTAACAAATTTAAATCAATCTATTACTATTACATGATCGAGGCATTGACAGGGATAATCAAAAATGAATTACAGGTATGGTAAATGAGTTTACTCATATATTATTTCTTGCATTGATCTTTACGATCGGTATGGTTGATTACAAATTGTGACAGTCAGAGATGTTTTAGCATCCCTAGGTTTGTGGAACAAACATGGTAAGCTACTTTTCCTTGGTTTAGATAATGCTGGTAAGACTACTCTATTACACATGCTAAAGAACGACAGATTGGCCACCCTGCAGCCAACTTGGCATCCAACTTCTGAAGAGTTGGCTATTGGTAACATAAAGTTTACCACCTTCGATTTGGGTGGTCACGTACAAGCCCGTAGATTGTGGAAGGATTATTTCCCAGAGGTTAATGGTATCGTCTTCTTGGTCGACTCAGCTGATCCAGACAGATTCGATGAAGCTCGTGTCGAATTGGATGCTTTGTTCAACATTACCGAATTGAAGGATGTTCCTTTTGTTATTTTGGGTAACAAGATCGACGCTGCTAACGCTGTTTCTGAAGCTGAACTACGTTCCGCCTTGGGTCTACTAAACACCACCGGCTCTCAAAGAATCGAAGGTCAAAGACCAGTCGAAGTTTTCATGTGTTCTGTCGTCATGAGAAATGGTTACTTGGAAGCTTTCCAATGGCTATCTCAATATATTTAATGTAATTTGTATGTGCAAATAGGAATAAAAGTAATCATAAACGCAAAAACGGGTACTACCTATTCAATATGTCTTATTAACCCTTTTATCATATTGTGAGTAGAATTACATATATATATGGATATATTGATTACGTACGGGATAGATATTATATGTTTTTAAATTGAAGGGCTTTGATACGGGTAGGGTTTTGGTAAACTGCCCAATTGCTCTCAAATTATAAATAAAGCTTGGATTACTAAATAATTAAGATGTATCTAAAATAATACCGATGTGTACTTCATTTATAAATATATTTTACATAAAGGGAATTTATTACTTTCTGGATTTTTTCGCCTTGAAGTCACCATCATCATTAGCATTTGAACGCTTCTTACCATACTTACTGAAAAATTCTTTCTTCTTTTCTTTATCTTTTTGACTTTTCTCTTCTTCCAGTTTAGCTAGCTTCTTTAGCCTTTCCTTCCTTTGGTCGGACTTTTTAGATTGCCTCTTTTCTTCCTTAGCTTTTGATACTGTCAATACTTTTTGCACAAAAGAACGAGCTTTCTTTTCGTCACCACCAAGGATAACTGCTCTCTTAGCCATGTAGGTCTTCTTCTTCTGAGGCTTCATTTGATGTATTTGAGACTTGAATGGCAGGTCTTTTTGAATAGTCTTTGGAACCTTCAAACCATTGAAATGTCTTTCAACTCTTTCAATCTTCTTATAGTTACTGTCTGGGTTTACAGGTGTTGCAACACCTTCTGCAGCTCTAATTTGTCCCGTTAATCTCACACCCTTCCATTCAGTTTTGTTTGAGAGTAATAAGGAAGTAACTGGATTATAGAATCTTTTAACTTTAACAGGATACCATGATCTCAAAATCACAATATCACTCATCAAAATCTTATCTTCGAATGCAGCTCTGAAATGGCCATCTGGCTTTGATAGTGCACGTTTAATTTCACCTCTAATACCTGAAACTGTTTTGATTTGAGCACCTTCAAATCTTGCAACTTCCATAGCGCTTGAAAACATATCTTTAATAAATGCAGTGTTCTTGAAAATCTTATATGGGAAACCAACCAATTTCAACTTCTTTACGATTTCGACATCAACATCAATCTCCTCCACAACACCAGTTGCAGAAATACGGAAATTACCAGTAGTATCACTGTTGGCAACAATTTGAACACCACAGAATGGTGTATTTGGTGAACATAAAGGCCCGTAGAAGTATGCATTACAATAAGTATGCTCAGGTGTGTATTTTAACATTCTGATTCTTGTCCGAGAGTCAGAAGTTGTATATACAGGTAATGTTTGGAATCTTCTCCAGCCTAATGACATAACTAATGGGTCATGAGTCTTTAAGATCTTTTTATGCCAACGGTGTCTTCTTAATCTTGCATTGACAATACCAAACTTTTGTTCTGTAGGCAACAAACCACCCATAATGACAGGGAATCTTGGATTAAATGATTCAATAAATTCCATTGGTACATCTTCAAAAACCACACGTACATAAGAACCAGCTTTATAACCTTCTATTCTCAGTCTTTGCTCAGGAGTCATATCTTGAAGCTCCTTCTCATTGATCTCCAGTTGTTTTGCTATCTTAGCTTTTTGAAGTTCATACCATGTATCAAACTCATTATCCGGATCGTCTTCTTTGAAGTTTTCACCTTCTTCCATTTCAAATTGAGTTCTCAATTTCTCCTTCTTTGCTGCATTTAGTTGTCTTTCTTCCTCAATTGTCAGTTCCTTCTTTTCTTCTGCATCAAAATTAGTAAACGAGCCATCTGATTCAACTTCTTCTTCGTTATTCTCGTCGGATTTTTCTTTATCAGAATCACCATCAGCTTCTAAATCTTCAAAGTCACCATACACTTCTTCTTCATCGTCATCCCCATTGGCAGAATCAGTTGAGTTTTTCTTACCGTCAAGTTGTGGTGCACCAACAAATCTGTCGCTAATAGCATCGAATGAAGACCATTTGGTAACCAGCTTTTCAATCTTTTCGAAATATGGAACAAATTTTTCCAGATCAGCCTCAGCGCTAGTTTGTTCTTTTGCCTCTGCTTTCTTAAAAAATTCTTCGTCTTCGTCTGCCTCGATGTCTTCTTCTTCATCATCACTAGTGTCTTCATTCTTCCATCTCTTTATACATTCATCAGGAGTGATATTGTCCATGTAAATCAGTTTACCAATATCCCACACACGTTTTTTTTGAATAGTTCCATTTAGTTTTCCTGCAGCCTTTCTTTCCCAGGAGTCATCATCGGAAAGCTCGAACTCAGAATCTGAATCAAGTGCTAGTTTTTCCTTAGTGTGAGACTTTTCATCAAAGTCAATTTCGACAAGTTTAGGCTCTGCATCTTCATTTTCTTCAAGCTCATCATCACTTGGTAAATTATCGATCTCATCGTCTTTCTGTTGAATAGATTTACCGTACAATCTAGGTGCTCTTAATGAAGTTCTACCTTGGTCTTGGACGCCGTTTTCATTATCAGACATTTCTTCGTCCATATTATCGTCGTCGTTTTCTTCTTCTTCTTCTTCTTCAACACCATGGAGTTCTGTACTGTTGCTGAACAATTGAAGACCAACACCTTCAAACTTCTCTGCAATTGTCTTGTCCGTTTGTTGAAGAGAAGTGACCATTTTTTCACCCTCTCCCTTCTCTTGACCTGGAACAAAGCTTAAACTATCTTTCTTCTTACCAACATCTATATACACAGCGTCCTTATCCATTAGTAACCCACCGACATCAGACATTGGAGCATAAATTAATTTATCTTTATCATCCAATCTCTTACGTCTTCTCGTAGTTGTACTAGTAATTTGGCCAGTTGCAGCAGCCTCTTCTTTCATCTTTTCTCTTTCATACTCATCCAATTTTTGTTGGTAGTATGGAGTAGGACATGGGTCAGGTAGCTTTTCAACTTGGGCCACAGTTAAATCACCGACACCAGCTACGTGAACTCTTTGGCCTGGAACAGAGGATAATTGAGTACCATGCAAGTAACCATATAAGGCTACTTTTCTATCCACTTTTTTACCCTTTCTCTCTATTAAATCTGGGTGAGTTAAGTCTGTAATTCTGTCAGCAAGCATGTATGGATGCTCATTTCTCCACTTTAGAGGTCTAAACTTCATCACTGAGATAAATCTGGAAAGGTTCAAAATTTCACGGTCTGGGTATCTACCGTTCAGAACACCGGATAGATAGAAAAGCTTAGCACCTTGGTAAACTTCTGTCCAGAATCTATGTTTCAATCTCTTCTTTGAGGCTCTTAGAGTTGATTGAGACTTGAATAAATCTAAATGTGTAGCCACACCCAGAACACGGGGCATACCATGGTGTTGAGCCAAGTTCAAGAACTCCATTGTTTCCATTTCGAACCCAAAGTTACCATCGATCATTAGTAGGACAAGATCAGAGATCTTGGCCACATCAATCATGGAGTTTAAGTCATCGGCAGGACACTCCAAGAACGTCAGTCTTCTGTGTTTGCCGGAAACCACGGTCACAGGACCATTTATCTCCGACAGTGTTGTCTTTGTCATTCTCCTGACCAGAGACTTAATCAAAGTGGTCTTACCTGTACCTGGAGGACCAACCACAGAGACGATTACCGGTGGAGGATCGTCGTCAGGGGTTCTGTCTACCATGGGCACATGCAGCTTCCGCTCGTTGACATCGCTTGACCTCTGCATGGTTCTTGCCATCTTGCCGGGCGCGGATACCGCGAAAGCCTTGGCATTGTGGCCCTGCGTATGCAGCTTCTTCTTAGCGGTATTCTTCTCTTTAGATTTCCTGTGCTCCTTATTAGTCTGCTCCATTTTCTTGCACGTATGTAGCCTTCTCTTGAAGGAAGTCGAACTTACTCTACCTCTCGATATATAAGGAAAAACGTTACTCGAAAGCGCTTTTACTTTATGGTCTAAATCAAGATGAGTAGGAACAACGAGGCTTCTTTTTCTTCAGTGTTATCTCCCAGAATCAAAACACTAGCTAGCAATTGTAGTTATGATTGATACCATTATTATGTATAGAAGCTGTATTTTCAAGCGATGAGCTTGTGAAGCTCATCGCAAAATTAATTTTTTTTCACAAAAGTATCTACCAAAAATGCTAAGAAACAAGCGCACCAATATCAAAGCCGTCAGCTACGAAGACAATGCCGCACAAAGATATGAAAAACAGCGAAATTTTTTTCAGAATTTCTTTTTTCTTTTTCTCTCACCTTGGAGTATTTATCCTGGTTTACGTAAATGATCATATGATGTGTGCGTGTATGGTGATTGATAGGTGGCCATATCAGGTGATTGTACGTATAACGTGTTATATGCTTACACACTATATACGTCTCATCACATTGAAAGTGTGTATAGAGTGATATTAATTTCAGCTTTACCACTTGTTTCCACGCAGGCGTATGCGACGCTGTAGTGCGCAGCAATGGGCATAAAGCATAGTGCTCCTGGCAAGTGCAATACGATGCTCTGAACATGATGGGCTGCGAATGTCCATGTTTCACTAGCAGGTCACTAGCTTGTAATGTGAGGACCTTACGAGAGACAAGTTTACTTTGCACGCCTTAAGTAGTTAATCATATCACCCCAGGGCAGGAATTATTTTCTCCAGCTCTTCATCTGCCGAGAGCCTCCTCTAAATTCTTAGAATCATGACCAATGACTTGGATCAAGAGCGTAGAGTTTGCATGGGTATAAGTGGAGAGATGTATATATAATCGACTACATAGTTGTTTAATATTAGCGTGAAAACAGCAAGTACAAAAACTAAATATGTCTTTGTATAGAGCCGGTTGGAGGCGCGCGCTGCTACAGGCGAACGGAAACTCAATGATGCACATTCATTCGAGGAGTCTCTTGCATACCACTAGACTGGTTCAGCAAAGTGTGGAGGAGTCAGGCAAGTCCACTGGTATCAAGCATAAGAATATCAGAGCGCACAAGCTAGCGCATTCTAAATACGAGGACAAGAGCTACCAGTTGCCCAAATGGAAGGAGGCACTGGGTGAGTTTGTGGTGCGCACATTCAAACTAGATATGGATAAAGTAAGAGCTGGCCCAGTTGCAGGGTCGTACTACTACAACTTGTGTAAACAGCAAGGTTTGCAATACGAGGATGAAGAGCTGTCGGAGACAGCCAAGTTCTTCTACGAAGAGTTGGGTCTACCTCGTACTTTCTCCCAGTGGTTCCAAATTACCGTTTTGCATGAATGGATACTATTTGTGAGGATGCGTGCGATGCCTTTCCAATACGGCAGAAACTATCAACAAAAGCTTGTGGACAGAACTTTCAGCGACATTGAGGTTAGATTGTTCGAGGAAATGAACGTCAACTCCGGTAGAATAGCTGACCAATACATGAAAGACTTCAACGCACAGTTGCGTGGTGCTGTTTTTGCTTATGATGAGGGATTCTTTACAGATGATGCAACTCTAGCGAAGGCTATTTGGAGAAACCTTTATGCTGGTAAGCCAAATGTCGATATTACACATTTGGAGAAGTTAGTAAAGTATGTTAGAGGTCAATTATACGTCTTAAGTCAACTATCTGATCGTGAGTTCGCCATGGGTCAGTTCAAATTTGTCTCACCAAATGAAATTGTTGAAAAATTAACGCCAGAACAAGAACAGCTGAGGAAGGAAAAGGTTATTGAGAAATATGAAAAGATGGATAAAGACCCTCATCAATTGCCAAGCGATAAGAGCAATCTATCATACACAAATTGAATTTTATAACAATAGACTTTGAAGTCTATTCGTTTTTAACAATTCTAGGGAAGGTTTAATGCTACTTGTGTATAAATACAGTGGTGCTTCATAACGTGATCTGCCTTTTTGCTGTTGTTATCCTTATTATTATTCATTGATCTTTATGGCAAGACAAGCCGACAACATGTAAGTAATATTTATCGGTTCTGTATATATTTACTAAACTACTAACAATTTAACAAATACTATATTCCAACAAAAAACAGCCTAATTAAAGTTCACGTGTCACCAAAATATTTCAGCATTTCGTATGTACATCATGGTTTAAGCATATTAGGTGTGGGTCAACTTTGGAGCCCAGGTGACTGGGGTATTCTCACGTGTAAGTCTGTATAATGCGTCAATGAGTTCGACTTGGAAGCTGCCACTGCCGTTACACTTTTCAGATGCGATTTTACCTGCTGCTTTATATAGCATCACACCAGCTACAACTGCATGGAATAAATTCCCCTCCGATGGTTGACCGCCAATCATGCAGGCAATTGTAGAACCCAAGGAGCAACCGCTAGCAGTGATGTCACCCATAATCTCAATAGGGCCAGCTTCTACGGCGACACAAGGAATATCCTCAACGGAAGTTCCATTGGTACCCTTAGACAAACTGTACTTACCTTCAATAGTACCATCAGCAATGAAGTCAAACTCACCTGTACAGACAGCAACAGTCTTGTACTTGAATGCTACAATCTTCGTAGCTTGTATCAATAGTTCATTGCTTATCCCAGAAGATGCATCCACACCTTTCATTCTCTCCTTGTTGAGTTCAGCTAAACCTAAGATCTCACTAGAATTGCCTTTAATGCAGCTAAATTGACCGAACGTTAATAGTTTGTTATTTAGTAGAAGTCTTGTTTCTGTTGCACTGTATCCTACCGGGTCGAATACAATTGGTCTCTTGACATCATTGTAAGCTCTAATGGCAGCTTTCAACATTTCAGGTGGTGCTACAGAACCTGTATTTAACAGCAGTGTGGCATGTGGAATTGCAGCTAGATCATTCACTTCACTTTGTATTTCCGACATAATTGGGGAAGAGCCTAAAGCTAATGTAACATTAGCTCCAAAGTTTTGGTGGACTTTATTAGTAATATGTTGAACTAGGGGACGAGCCTTCAATGTATTGGAGATAATTGATTGAATTTCATCAGTTGTCGTTAGTGAATTTTTTGTAGATAGTCCAATATTAACAAACTTATAATCGGTTTTATCAATCAACCCTCTGAGAATTTTAGTCGATTTTGCAGCGTCCAAAGAAGCAATGATATCACTGACTACACATATACCATCTAGTGATCTCTTACCATTAGAACTAACACACTGGTATAGAACTCTTTCGATATTGTCGGGATGTAAACCACCGATACCAACAGTACGGCACCAATGTGCATTATTACGTTCAAGTGCATCTAGGACTCTTATAGCGCCCGCGGTACCCATAGGAGCTTTTTTAGGATTCTTTTTCGTAAGAGTTGGGAATAATGTACCAACGCCGATGTAATCAACCATATCTGGACCCATTTTGCTTAGTTCGTCGACTTCTTCTGGGAAACCGACACTCCATCCAATAACCATATCTGGTCCAACCAACTTTCTAATCATAGGGATAGGCATATCATCTTGGCCAACATGTATACCATCAGCACCAATTGCCATTGCCACGTCAATCCTATCGTTGATGATCAATGGTACATTGTGAGCATGGCACAATTCTTTGATCTGTAATGCTTCTTCAATGAAGAACTTGGTATCGGCGTCCTTCTCTCTGATTTGCACCAAAGTTACACCATTTTGTAAGCCGGCTTCAACTTGACCGTAAAGCGTTTTACCTTCTGGGATCATCCCAGAGTCAGTTACCAAGTAAAGACTGTAGTCAAATTGCTCTTTAGAAAACTTCATTGTGAGGACTCGGAACTACTGATGGTGGCGCTATTTTCTTCTGTGCTTAGTCCAATTGCCTAGCCTATATTTGTGGTCCTTATTTTACAGACTAAGTGGATGGCCATGTCGTTTACTCTATTTATATGCTTCCCATTATTGGGATCAAAGTCAAGCTCGTGTACCTGCTGCCCAGTTCATTGTCACATAATGTTGAACCACCTTTGAAAGGGTCTTCCGAGCTTTCTTCGCAACTGGCAATTCTACATGAATGCTCATCGGTTCCTGTTAGTTGCATATCGAAATCATCTCTCTAGCTCAGAAAACCTGAGTTTTTCATTTGAACTAGTCAATTGACTGAAAGCAGATCACTCAGAAACTGTCCCACCTTCTCGCTGCCACCAGCACTCGAGCGAGTTCGCTTTGCACTTCCAGAGACTGTAGGATGGTGTCTTCTCAGTGTTGAGCACAAGGTGTTGTCCGCAGTGTTTTCTGGCAGCACAGTGAGGTTCCACAACAGCTTTTTTCTCTCGCGGGAGGACAGAGTAATCGCGCAGGGTGTTCCCAAGAGACCCTTTTTGCCCGGCGGGAAACACGCACAAATGGCCGTAATGCGAATAAACAGCTTGTCTTTTTTTAATTTAAAGGCTTTTGGGCTCCAAATCCTTTAATTCTAACATGGCGGCTATTTGGATATTTTTTTTTGTGGGTGGCGCTCCAAGGGGAAGGGTTGTTTGTATCTACTTCTCTGTATAAGGTAGGGGTGAATAGTCCCGTATGTTTGCGGGCACTCTGTCACATGTATATACAGTACTGATTTAGGGTAAATACAGTCACAAAGCGACAATAAGCTTTGATTGCGCATGTGGAAATATTGCAAGACTTATCTCATAATGCCTAATGTGTTATAATCTGGTTGCAGTTCTGTGTATAGCTCCATGTAGGGTATGGATTCTTTTCACCATTAGAATGATCGAAATTTTTCACGGGCTCAAATGAGATGAGATGAGTTAAAGTTTGTTTTCATTTCAAAATTGCAACATCGGGAAAGCTTGCAATAATTGTAGTTATTGGTAACCCTTTAATCACATTCTTGTTTAGTAAACAGAAGTAGATAAATACTTGTTATCTGCTAGTGTGTCTCGGTTTGCAGTTTACTAGGTGTGGCAATACAGACAACCAAAGGACTATGAAATTCACGCCAGGTGCAGTGGAAGACGCTCCCAGTTACTATGTTGATCATGATAACGGTAAATACAATACGCAGAAATGTGTTATACTGAGAAATCTGGGCCTCGAAGGCGACGATATTGCCATGCCAGCAAGCCTTAACCACTTGGCTAAGCCCACTCACATACTAGATCTAACAAATAATGACCTGGTTTTCTTTCCAGACTTACATCACAGAGACGATATAGAGACATTACTGCTGAGTAAGAACAGACTGATGGTACTGGATGCCGCATTACTGCCGTCAAAGCTTAAAAGTTTATCTCTAGCGTTCAATGGTATAGAGAACTTTGAAACGCTGATTCCACTATCTCACTGTCCCAGTACTGTACGAGACCTCGTCCTCATAGGAAATCCCATATGCCATTTATCAGAATATAGACAACGGATATTAGCTTTAGTGCCGTCTCTTGAGGTACTTGATTTTAAATTGGTTTCTCAGGCTGAGAAAGCTCAAGCGGTAAAGGACCATGTTGCAGTTATGAAAAAAATTAAAGAAGATAATAGACAGATTCACCAGAGGAAGAAGAAAGCCCTTGCTGCAGAAGTCGATGGTAAGAATACGTTTGGTAGAAATACAAAAAGTTTAACGGAAGCCGCAAAAGTAACAAAACCTAGAGACAAAACTATAGAAGTTATGAATACAGTGGTTGGTAAGTTGACCGAAGAGAAGAAGAAAAAAATTAGAGAACAGTTAGCTAATGCCTCATCTATGGAAGAATTAGAAAGACTAGAGCGCTTACTTACAGGAGGGGTATGATTAGATTATGATACAATAAAATTTTTTCATGAGCCTATTTTATTGTGACCTGTCTTACTAATGAAGTATATAACGAATCCAAGCAACCATTGTAGTTGTACCTAAGCTTCTATCATTAATAAAGATGCAATTCATTAATATCCTTTACATAGCATTAGGTGTAAATTCTTCATTTATTAAAGATGAAATTAATTAAAATACAAATTAGTGAGAAATCTAGTTCTTTTCGGTTTGTTCTACAGCTTCTGCGGGTTTACTTGTAGCAGGAGCAGATTCCTTGTTCACCTGGTCATTACTAGACTCTTTGTTTGAATCTTCCTTTTCGTTTTTACCATAGTCGATACCGGGAATGCCATGAGCTGATAGAAATTCGAAAATACTCTTTGTTGCGGGTTTGTTGGATTCGGCAGATTCCTCAGTCTGTGCACCTGTTACTTTGTTAAAACTATCAATATAACTAAAAAATGCATTGAAAACATTATCACTAACTTCTTCGGCATAGATCTTGTCATAGATATGCTTCATCTTGAATGCGTCTACTTTTTCTTGATATTTGGAGAAATCGATTGGTTTATATCCAAACTTTTCTAATCTCTTGTTATAACTTTCAAAAACAGGTGCTTCTAAAAGAAGGCCTAAAGCAGGTGCCTTCGGAATGTTTATCTTTTGAGGACCAAATGCTTGAGAGATTCTTTCAACTGGTGTACCACAACGCGCAATCAAAGTTGCCATAGAAATCATCTTACGAATTTGGTGCAGCATGAAAGATTGACCATGAATTTTAATGGAAACCCATTCAGCTTTAGCATCACCAATAACAAATGGGTCAGATACTTTGATTTCCTTCATAAATCTTATGGCACTTGGATCTTTAAATTCTTTACCCAATGTAAAGTTGTGAAAATTATGGGCTCCCAAATATTGATTCATGGCTGCACGAAATTTATTTAATTTCATTTCGGATATCCTGTATTGCCTACGGTGAGTGTTTTCTAACAGCTTCCATTGTTTGACTTTCTGGTACAGTTCTTCTTGGTCGTCAAATTCTTCTCTTGGTGGAGGGGAGTAATCTTTGATGGCAGCAATTTCCTCTGGAGTAAATTCCTTCTTAGCAGCAGCTTCAAAGTTCTCCCAAAATTCTTTTGATTCCAAATCTTCATCCAGAACGCCTGGAAGTTCAGTCTTACTGCTTTCGATATCATTATTTAGAATGGTACCTGGCTTTGGACCAATTAAGGAGTAAGTAGGCAATAAATATTCATACCATCTTGAGCTACACATCTTTCTACAATCAAATGCCTTATTGACACGTTCAATATCCCATATTCTAATACCTTCTGGTAGATTGGCATTAATTTTATCCATTATTTCTGGATCTTCAATAATCATTTTCAATGATATCAAATTACCACCTGCATGAACACCTTTGTCAGTTCTTGCTGCTCTCATAAAATTATTCTTCTTCAAATCGTTGCTATTAGCTTTGGATATAGCACCGGCATCAACAAATGCTTTAAATAGTGCAGCCTCAATAGTAGGATTTGGTGGATTGTATTGCATACCATGGTAACCAGTTCCACAATAGCCAATCATGACAGCAACTTTTCTTTTTGGTAGACGTGGTTCTCTGGGAATTGGGTTTCCATTGTCATCTAATTTTGGTTCTCGAATAATTTGACGCTGATCAGTCTTTTGCTTTTTCTCAGCAGGTGCGCCATCTGCCATTGAATCTATCTCATTAGCTTTCCTAGATTGCTTATCAGAAGGTAAAGCTTCTGTTGGGGCAGTACTAGCAGTAGTGGAATCGATGTGGGCTTCAGTATTGCCTTGTACTTCCTGTACTTGTTCGGGAGCTACCTCTTCCATTGCGTAGCTATATCTGTATGTCCTGTCTTAAAATTGAATCAGTCTTTACCGATAGCAAATTTAGAGTGATGTGTTGTTTGTTCTAAAATATACCTCAGCTAAAATTTAACTTACTAGTGAGATCGAGCAATTAGTTCATCTAGCGATGAGCATCACTAAAGAAATTTGTCAAATTTTCATTTGTAAGAAAAGCTCGCACGAGAGAAGGGCAATTGCTAAAGTGAAAAAGCATACAAGAAATATGAAAATAATGCAGCTACTAATATTATATGCCGGTCATTATATTGGTACAGAAGAGATATATAGTCAATTATTCTATATCAACAGTTTTTTACTTGAATTATTCGCTAACTAAGTATTATTGATTATTTACGGCCTTTACCCTTCTTCTTTGGTTTAGCTTTGCCTTTTCCACTTTTGGAGGCAGTATTCTTCTTTGTTATATCTAGAGCTTGTTCAATCTTTTTGCTTGAAGCACCACCTTGTGTTGTTTTACCTGCTTGTTTCTTGTTGACTCTGTAGCTAGACCTATCCTTTAGAGGTAACCATCTTTCTGGATCAGGGTTCTTCTTAACAACTTCACGCTTAGCAAGGAATTTGTTTGCTCTAGCCGTCCTCTTCTTCTTCTTTTTGATATCAAGCTTTTTCTTTTGAGCTCTTAGTATACTAGTAGCACTTTTTTCGGCTGATTTTGGTGCGATTGGACGGATACCTGCAGATCTGATTTGCTCCACATCAATATCTTCAACAAGTCTAACAGCTTCATCAAATGCAGATTCGCTGGAACTCAAAACAGCATTTATTAATTCATTTTGCTCGGGGGTTATATTTGTTTGGTCTGTTGATAACCTCTGTAGAATTTCTCTTGATTTTTCAATATTACCGTTAGCTAAAGCTTCGTATGCGACGTATATCCAGAAGGAGGAGTTATCATTAATATATTCTTCGGGTAGCATTTCCAATATGGCTACCAGTCTGTTAATATTACCTATTCTCGAAGACATTCTGTAAAGTTGGAAAAGTATAGTGCACACAACTAAATGGTTTTGATCAAATAGCTTAGGGGACTTCTCCGCATAGCCGCTTTTGCTCAAAAAGTTCTCACAGATCCTAATAGCGTTGTCATATTGTTTTTCAACAACCAAAAGTTGAACTGTTAACAGTAAATTGCCAATTGCACTGCCATTGATACCACTATCTATTGATTGCATGGTAAAGTGATATAGTTTCTTAGCTTGAGTCTTATATGGTTCAATAGCAACGTTGTCGATGAGATTCTTATAATTATGCAAAGTCTTGGCAAGAATAGTTTCCTTTCTATTAATTTGGTTGTTGTTAAACAAATTCAAAAATAGCAAGTTGTTGTTTATTAGTTTCCATTGCTCGTGGGTATATTTTTGCAAATGGTAAGAATAGAATCTTTCTTGATTTATCTGCCTTAATAATAAGTCAAAATTAGTTGTAAATTTGGAATAGTCCACAAATGCATGATAGTTCGAATTGGCTATCAATTGGAGTGGTGATCCAGGTACCAATCTATCCAGTAGAGGCTTCAGGATTTCTTTACTCTGGACAGTTTGCCCTGTGATTTGAAGCAGGTATGACTTCTGTAGTTCGATCGTATCCAGATCGTTTTGGTAACCTTCTGGAACAGCTAGTTCGTGAGCCTTATCTAATACCTTGAAGGCTAACTCATATTCCTTCAAGGCAACCAAAATAATGGAATAATTGAATAAGACATCGTATGACTTTTCACTAGATAGCATATCAGTTATTTCATGTTTTAGATTGGCCCAGGTTTCAGACAATTTAGGGTCAGCTGTTAATGGGACAAGTATGTTACATATTAATTCGGAATTATCGTCAGCCTCATCCTTGTTTGATTCTGACAAATGTTCGTAAATTTCGTGGGCTTCCTTGTTAATACCATTCTTATAGCAGAATTGGGCCCTTATATGAAGAATTCCTCTTTCCATTTGGTTCTTGTTAGTGACATGTTCGGAATACGTTTTGTAAACTTGCTCAAATTCATGGACACTGTTCAATTTGTAATATACGTATAATTTTTCTAAAACAAATTCAGATCCGTGTCTGTTATCCAAGTCCTTGTAATGCTTAATCAAATCAAATGCAGCTTGATATTTATCCTGTTTTATCAAAGCAACCAACCATTGTCTGAAAACTTCACCTTCTTTACTACAGCCATTGTCAATTAGTTCTTTGCAGGTCTTTGCAGCATCAACATGTTCAGAGTTATTAGATTGCACATTCAATTGAGACAATAGCTCAGTTAAGTTTTTTTGAACCATCCTATTTTTGATTTGCTTGCTTTTCAACTCTGGAGGGATTTAAGATCAGAATAGGGTCAATTAAAACAAGTACCAGTATAGAAGTATAGTGAAAACGTTATGCTCAAGTAAATGAGGTTTAATAACAATTAAGAATACTCTACTGCTGCTCTGGTAACTTTGCAAATTCGATAAATACAATACACTTAATTTACTTATCCCAAAAATTTTTCAACGACAGGTCGTTGACGAGCCTTCAACAACAGAAAGGTACCGATGGATTCCCTACGTCAATTATGATGATAATACCGGTAACGGATGAATAACCATATTTGCATGCGTATTACCATGTATAGCTAGTAATCAATCTAGGTAGTATATAGTTGTAGTTTACTATTAACGTTAAAATCTATTTTATTTTTTGGTTCATTATCTTACCAGAATGGTTTGTTCTTCAAGATCCATGGATGAGTTTTGACTCCAGTTAGTGATAACCTTTGTGTGGTATCTGTTACCAGTAGTTTGGATATGAGGTCCTTTGCATCTTTTGATATGGACTCGGGAAAGTTTAAGTCGCATTTGAGAATGCGCTTATATGTGAGTTCTTTTGAATTTTCTTCAAAAGGTGGTACTCCGACAACAAGTTCATACGCAAGGACTCCCAGCGCCCATACATCTACTTGCTCGTCATACTCTCTTGGTGTAATCATTTCAGGTGAAAGGTAATCTATGGTCCCGCACAGAGTTTTACGTTTAGACCCTTCCGGGTTGAGAATACTCCACCCAAAGTCTGCCAATTTTACTACATTATCAAACCCAATTAGGACATTTTCCGGTTTGACATCCCTATGTATTATTCTTTTCTTATGCATGTAATGTAGTGCATCGGCTATTTGATAAATGTAGTGTGAGGCTAAGACATCGTTAAAGGGTCCGTTATTCTTTAGTGATTTATACAGCTCACCATTGATAGAGTGTTCCATGAGGAGATAAACACGTTTTTCGTCATGGAAGTGTGCGTATAGCTTTATGATGTTGGGATGATCCATGCCCAATTGGATATCAACCTCTCGTTTTAATTGTTTCAGCAGATTGAATTGTAAAATTTCATTCTTCTCTATCGCTTTCAAAGCGCAAATGAATCCAGATTTCTTATGCCTGACGCAATACACTTTACCAAATTTACCCTTTCCAAGTTTTCTACCTACCTCGAAATCCTTCAACGATAGTTTATTATTATATGTGCTTTTCTCTAAGCTGTTCCTACCTAACGAGTTTGGTGATAAATTTGAAAGCGGGCTCACGCCCAGCGGTTTCCTTTCCTGATTCTTAAGGAACAATCTCTCTCGCACAGGAGATGGGATTTTAGACACATTACGTCCACTGGAAACTCCATCCATCCTTTGTGGCGAGTACGATATTCGCCATGACTTCCCCGTCCCGTTAACCTTAGATCTTGGTGACACGCGTTTCTCTCCTATGTTCCTTGCTAGTGTGGCTTTATTTTCCATTGATACAAATGCGCTATTGCTGTGACCTCGATACACTATTGAATACTGATCGGGAGCTCTTGAAAGGGCCTGAGGGTCTTCTTAAATTGTCGCGAAGTTCTTTATTTACTACTGAATCATACTTTGAAATTATTTTTTTTTTTCAAAGTCTCGATGTCTTTGGCGAGAAGCGATGAGATGAGCTTACAGCGAGCAATGAGACAACTGAAGCATAAATAGGTTTAGCCTTCTATATTAATATTGAACCAAAAATTGCTTGATAAGAATGAATCTAGAGTAATAGCAAGGTGTGTATTATGGATAATTTTGCAGTAATGGATGAGCTGTTGTTATGGGGTCATAAAATTGGATGCAAGTGGCCATTGGAGTTGGAATTCAAGTATGATAAGATGAAGGGAATATATGCAGTATGTAAACAGGACTGTGTAAGACCTGTCATTGAAGTTCCAAGTGATGCTATAATTACTAATAAGTTAGCTATTGAGTATTTTACTTTGAATGCCAATGAGAAATCTCAAGCGAACAGTTGGTTAAAATTGCTCTTTGCTAAGATGGTTTTTGACAAGGATCCCACTTGGGTTGATGGGGTTGACATAAGCAAGAAATTTCATCCTTACATTCAAGCATTGCCTAAATTGATCCATTCTCCTCTTGTTTGGAATCCATCCGAGCTTGAAACACTTCTTGTTGGCACCAATTTGGGTGGATCAGTTAAAGAGAAGTTATGTTCGGTAATAAAGGAATGGATTGTTTTAATTGAGTCGAGGGAAGATTTGAAGTCAAAGGTAGATGGCAAGTATCTTATTAACTTTGAAAACTATAATGATCTGGTATATGAAGACATATACAACATCTTTGTCAAACCAGTAGAATTTGAATTTGCAGATTTGGTATGGTTATCCTTCCCAGCCTTCTTGTACTCGCATCTGGTTTTCACATCTAGAGCTTTTCCGGAATATGTTATTGATAAAAATGCAAACGAGTTTTCTGTTATTTTATTGCCGATTTTGGATTTGATGAACCACAATTATAACTCTAAAGTACAATGGTTCCCCAAAGAGCATCAGAATGGCACTTCATTTTGTTATCAATGTTTGGCAGATATGAAAGCTGGAGATGAATTGGATAATAATTACGGAGGTAAAGGTAATGAAGAACTATTGAATGGATATGGATTTGTCATAGATGACAATATTTTCGATACTGTTGCGCTAAGAATTAAATTAAGCGAAGAGGAATTAATGGATATCCTCACAAATTATCCTGATATCTCTTTGCCAACAATAGATGACTACACTACATTTGCATTTGATTTAGAAAGACCTATAAAATCAAGAGAATCAAACGGTTCGAATATTGAAACTTATAAAGATGGTATTCTATATTTGATAAATTCGACAAACACAAAGCCACTGATTGATTTGATAGGGATATTTTCATATATCAGACTCAGTAGAGAATTACAGGATACCACGCAACGATATGATGAGCTAGCACCGTTTTTGAGCGGTATTCAAATGTTAAAAGTCGCATTGAAACAAAAACTTAATGGCGCTACTTCTGGGACTGTACTAGATGAAGATCAGATAGTTGAAATGAACGACTTTAGAGTCCATTGTTCAAAGGTATATAGAGAGTCTCAAATAAGGATATTGAAGGCCGCTATTTCAAGTCTCAAGTCCATTGAGAAAACCCAATTCCGAGAGCAAAAAGGTAGATTGTTAACCATCGACAAAATCATTAAATATGATACGCGCTTCTATGAAAATGAGTTGACAAATTTATTTGAAGGCCAGGAAGCTGTATTTGACTCAGCATTTGATCTTTTTGTCATATGGATTATCATGAAGTCCACTAATGGCAGCTTCATCAAGAAATATGAACCCATTAAGAAGAGTTTTGAGACTTTTAGGCAACAGCCATTATCCGTTGAAGAGGAAGAAGCACTTGGTTTCCACAAACACATTTTAAATGGCAAGTCTGATATTGACATTTCCACAACACTGTATGCAATAGAGTACGTGAAAAGACATGTGATTACTAGACTAAACTCTAGAGGTGAGGAAGACGAGACTATTTTTGTTATACCATTATAACTAGTCGGAAAAAGAAATAGCATAGATCTCGCATTGTGTAACTGAACTGCAATTTTTCTCGAACCATTGTGTACCCGACTATCCCTCTCACACCGGTGAATAGCTTAAAAGAGCTTGCCAGCATTCATTGGCTTACTAATATTGTACCTCATCATTGGCCCTTTTCCCTAATGAAAGCTAAAATAAAGTGGGAGAATAAGGTGGGAGGGAATGTGACAAGCTTGAACCATTAATATTATAGTAGTAATGCCACTGGGCAGCATACGTTTACATGGGAATATCGTGATAGTAGTGACAACTCCAGCTTTACGTTATTACTGTTTCTCGGGGCTCTTCACTACTTTCTTCCAGCCTATTGGTGTTCCGCAAAGAAAAAGTAAAAAAATAAAAAAAATAAAAATTTTGCGATGAGCTTCTGAGGTACGGGCAGTTTAATGGGAAGGAGCTCTTACTATCGGTGATCTGCAAACTTGTGGGTAGTCGTGATAGTGTTTCTAATTTGGATCTGGCATAAGTGTACACTTGTCGGTGGAAAAACATATATATTGGCATATATTCTCACTTACCGAGCAAAAGTTTTAGCTACCATTATCTAGGAAACTTTGAGAAGTGGGTGGATTACGAAGTATATTGTTAGAAAATAGAGATAAGGCAAGAGCGATAAGGTGACTGTGAATTATATCTGGTTCCTCGCAAAATAATTTATAATATATTAAGAAGTGTATCAAAAAGATGGACAGTACTGAGCTGACTATTGGTGGTCTTCTCGTTGTTGGTTCGGCTATTTTTCTGACCTTTTTCAGCGGAAGGATTACTGTCTTGCTTGTTGCTGTGGTCGGTTTTTGTATATTTGTGAATGAAAGGCATAACCATGCCAGCTCCAATACTGGTGCATCCGAGATAGCTGCAACTCTAAGCGAGAAAACAGTAGAAGAAGTCCTTCCACTGCCAAAGAAGAAAAAATGTTGTGGTGGTGGTGTCGGTGGAAAATGTTGTTCCGAGACCAAGAAGGAAGGTGACCATAGTGATGGCGGAAGCTGTTGTTCAAGCAAGAAGAAGCTGGTAGAGCCTTTGCTACAAAAATTGAAAGAAGAAAAGCCAGCTAGCGCCACTGAAGAGCCCTCATATCCTATTAGTGTAGATTTTACTGAAGCATTCAAATCTACTTCAAAGAAAAGTAAAAAAGTTCCTAAGATTATTGTTGGTGTTAACAAAAAAAAAGAGTCTGAAGAAGATATAGTGAAATCAGCATTGACTGTTTCTAATGAAAAGCTTCTCTCTTCACAAATTTATGTCTTCTACAGTTCCTTGCAAGGAGCTGCTGAAAGAGTTGCTCGTACGGTCTATGAAGATTTGAAAAATGTCAAGGACTTGAATAATGAGCCTATCTTGATGAACCTAGATGAATTAAATGACATTGATGAGTATTTTGTTGATGTACCGGTTGATAATGCCTTATACATTCTAGTTGTACCATCATATGACACTGACTGTCCACTTGATTATTTTTTACAAACTTTGGAAGAGAATTATCATGATCATAGAGTTGATAGACTTCCTTTGAAAAAACTAATGGGTTATGCTGTGTTAGGTATTGGTGACAAAGAATCATGGCCAGATAAATTCTGCTACCAAGCAATAAATGTTGACCATTGGATTGCTAAATTAGGTGGTCGTAGAATTTTCCCAGTCGGTGAAGTTTGTATGAAAACAGATGGTATGCAGGGTGTGGACAAATGGACTAATTTACTTGCTGATACCCTCGAAGATGATGAGCCTATCATTTATCAATATGACAACGATGCCGAGTCTGACTACGAAGAAGATGAAGAACAAATTGATTTTGATTCTGATACTGACGTCCAAGATGTCGAAGATATCGGTGGCAAGCAACAATCAAAAGGTGATTATGGTATGGAAGTTAAACAAATGGTTGCCAAAAATAGTCCTACATACAACAATTTAACTAAGCAAGGTTATCGTATTATTGGTTCTCACTCGGGTGTTAAAATATGTAGATGGACCAAAAATGAACTGAGAGGTAAAGGTTCGTGCTACAAAAAGTCATTGTTCAATATTGCCTCAAGTAGATGTATGGAGTTAACCCCTTCTTTAGCATGTTCATCTAAATGTGTCTTTTGTTGGAGACATGGTACTAATCCAGTTTCAAAGAACTGGAGATGGGATGTTGATGAACCTGAGTATATCCTTGAAAATGCTCTACAAAATCACTACTCCATGATAAAACAATTGAGAGGTGTTCCTGGTGTCATTGCTGAAAGATTTGCTGATGCTTTCAAGGTACGTCATTGTGCATTGTCATTAGTTGGTGAGCCCATTCTTTACCCTTATATCAATAGATTCGTTGAATTGCTGCATCAGAATGATATTACCAGTTTCTTGGTATGTAATGCTCAGCATCCTGAACCATTGAGAAACATTGGTAAAGTTACACAGTTGTATGTTTCTATTGATGCCCCAACCAAACAAGAATTGAAAAAAGTTGATAGACCGCTGTATAAAGATTTTTGGGAGAGAATGTTGGAATGTCTAGATATTTTAAGAGAGGTCCAGTATCACCAGCGTACGGTTTTTAGATTAACTTTGGTGAAAGGATTCAACATGGGAGATATTACATCCTATGCTGATCTAGTTGCCAGAGGTTTACCTTGCTTCATCGAAGTCAAAGGAGCTACTTTCAGTGGTTCATCTGATGGTAATGGTAATCCTTTGACAATGCAAAACATACCTTTTTATGAAGAGTGTGTTAACTTCGTCAAGGAATTCACCAAAGAACTTCAAAGAAGAGGTTTGGGTTATGAAGTTGCTGCAGAGCATGCACATTCAAACTGTATCCTAATCGCAAATACAAAGTTCAAAGTTAATGGAGAGTGGTACACGCATATTGACTTTGATAAGTTCTTTTCATTGCTGAAAGACACTGAGAGAAAGGAGCAATTTACTTATATGGATTACATGGCCAAGACACCCGAATGGGCTCTGTTTGGAAATGGAGGATTTGCGCCAGGTAACGTTCGTGAGATAAGAAAGGAAAAGAAAAAGAAGAACCGTGAGGAAAGGGAAAAGGCACTTAAGGAGGCTCAAGCGGCTTTGGAAGTTCAACAGGACGCTTAATTGTATTGCTTTGGTTTTATTCAGGTTGTTTTCTGTGTTCATTTGTTATTGTTTACATTATTATCTTGTATAATACATTCTGCATTTTATTTAATTTTGCTGGTATCAATTATATCATATTTATTTTTCAGAAATTAAGTCTCAATGACTCTCCCTTTTGTTTACATTTGACAAATAAAGTATAAGATCAGCAATTGATAAGAAACAAAAACATTACGATTTATATTAATAACAACATTAAAAATGAGGAAAGAATACCTTTCTCAAAAGTAATAGATTTATAGAGGTATTCGTCCGGTAGAATTAGAACTAATTTATATAAGGTTAAAGTCAAAGCATCTGAAATGCAGAAAACTTTAGAATTTGAATCAATAATTGTCAATTCCGTGAAATTGTTCAAGGATATATAATTAATTTCCCAATCAAATAAAGTGAATACTCCTTAGGAACATGAACATTAAGGAGGCAATTGAATAGCCCGGGACAAATTCCTTTCTAAACCAAGAAGAGAACAGAAGAGCTGTAACAAATTGGTATATTATCAAGTATGAATGGAATCTGAAACCGTCCTTTGTGGTCCATTTTGGAGCCTTAAAAGCTACAAAGTCGGACTTTTTCTCTGTGGTTGGCAATGGTTTGAAAGCAGGTACTAAAACCTCTTTAGCTTCTTGTGGATCGTCCGTTACTATACCGATCATTTGTGGGTCTACTGAGTATTGGTTCAAGTATTTCACATCGATGATATTATTCACTGTCCAGACAAATAACTGTATACGTTCTCTTTTCAGTATTGGCAAAATTTCGAATCTGAACTGTTCAGTCCATGTTGATACAAAATGGACGCTTATGGAGAGTAGGTTGTAGTTATCGTCTTCCAGCTCTTTGAAGAAGTCCACAAATTTACGGGCCACGTCCAGTGATAGGGTGATTGCAACAACGTCAAAGTGTTTGAGCACACCTGTCTCGACACCGTACTCAACCCAATCGACGCTCCATAGACCCCACATCACGTGCTCGTGCCAGAACGACACGTCTTCACTCACTCTGAGCATCATGGTGTAAATCTTGACCATGGCTATCTTTGGCAATAGGGGTTTGACATCCAGTAGAAGTTTGGTATCTCTGTGTTCTAGAAGCCAGTGCAACAGTTCTTCCAACGTTAGTATTTGTTGGTCTCCGTTTATGGTCCTCAGCTTTTTCAATTCCTCCAGAGTAGAATCGACAATAGTCAAGTCCTTGTTGTACAGTCTTCCGGTCGAGGCGTCATGGTTTATAACCATGACACCGTCTTTTGTCACTTGGACATCCGTTTCAATTGCGTCAGCGCCAGCTTTGTAGGCGTTTTCGAACCCGAGCAGCGTGTTTTCAGGAAATTTAGCTTTGTAGCCTCTGTGTGAGATGACTTGCATTTTTTGGTATTTGCGATTAGGTATATGTATATTAAGTGTTTTAGTTGTCTATATGGTTAACTTCCAAACCTTATTCTTGGAGAGGAAAGGTCTGTAAGAGGACAGGAGTGGTGCGTTTATATATGAAATATTTTACATTGACAATCGAGGATTTTCTCTTGTTGCAATCACTATTTTGTTCTCTTCAAGGGAAAAAAAAGAAAGAAACTGAGAAAGAAAAGGGATTGCCCTTTATTATGTATTGCATCTCACTATAGGGACAAGGCTGTGAGTGGTGGTGTCTACAGTATTACAGATGCCTAGCACAAGCTCTTGCAAGTGTTATATCATCGCTTCTGCTCGATTGAAATTGTCCCATTTGTTCCTCTGGGGTGGTAGGGATGGGCAATGTTCTTCCTTGAGAGAAGGTCTCGACTTGTACACACATTGTAGAATCCCTTTCCAAAAAGGGTTCAGTGGTACGACACATTCTGTGGGGATTACTTAAACGGTGATAATTTTTCCCGGCCCGAGAAGATTTCCCGCAAAAAAAAAATGGAACAGTTAGGTGTCATGTCCACAGAGGAATGGCCGTAGAGATGTGAAGCCCAGTCTCTAGAATAGAGGGTTTATTGCAGACAAAGAGCAAATCCAGATGTAGGAGGGATTGCCCATACAGAAAGGGGGACCGGAGCAATCTAAAGTTTATAGATATTTGGCGAATTAGTCTTGTGGTGGATAGCGCATTAAGCCCGAGACACAGGGCATTTTCACAATATTGGTCTATGTCAGAAAGGACATGCTCAAGATATTGAAGCAGATTAGTAAGGGCTTTGCACGGTTTCTGGTATTGGCAAAGAGTTCGCAGCGCGTTCCTCGAGGGAACTACTCACCAAGGGGTACACGAGTTGCCACAACACTCCTTAGTACAGTACAGAATCGAATCTTTGTTTCAGTTTTGCTCAAGGTATGCCGTTCATTTCGGTATTGTCTTATTAAAACCCTATTGTAGATCCACCCACCCTACCGGTGTTGACTACACCCCCCCACAAGAGATAAACATGAGGTAGAACAATGGGAAGCAAGTGCAGCATCTCTGCACGAAGAAAAATGGAAGAAACATGAGACATTTTCGTTTAAGTGCATTGGCAATTGTTTCTCGGCTGTTTAATTAGAGAGTCACGCACATGCTGGTGTTGCATCAGCATGTGAAATTTTTGTTTGGTGGTTTGATGAATATCATTCTTTACCACAAGTTGCGGTATTTGGTGCATGTGACGGGCCACTCCCTTCTCCGTTCAACCACACATCGGTAACGTTGTCGGATACGTGAGTCATGTCGCTGCCCTGCAATTTTACGTTTTGTGTTATTTGTTATATATGTGGTGCAGTGTGTATGGGTGTTAAGGGCTATTTATATTGTTCTTGGCACAGGAACATATGATGTCTGCGATGCACATATTCATCCATTACCTGCAAAAACAATTATGCACCTTGAGCTGGTCCGCTTTCAATTTATGCTGCATACATTAGCTCCATATCAATCTATATATAGAGCAGATAAGCATGCTTTCTATCTTAGCGCATGTTGAGCCAAGAATAGCATCATGATCAACAGCTGATGATCTAGATCTAAATCTCAGCGATAATCCATCACCTTGTTCCCCTTGTTCCCCTTGTTATCAGTTTATATCTGCAATCTCTATGAATAGATGTGAAGATAGGTGATTTCGGTATCAAGGACTTGAAGTGAAAAAAACTCGCGCACTTGTCTTCTAGTCGCACATCTGCTGTAGATTACGTACTCGGTATCAGAATCGTGGGTAGCTACGCCCTTACTTCGTATTATTTGCTAGTCCCGCTCGACCGGGAGAATAAGGGTAGTACTAAGGGTAAGGCTACACATCTACGTAGAAAGGGGTTAAGTTGGTTCAGGTGCCGGATGAACGGGATTATCCTTACATTTATCGGCTTCATGATGGGACAAGGACAATGCACTCATATGGCTTCTGGTGGTCTCGAAAATATGCCAATAGACCACTCTTTGGGCCTCCCTAGTCGAAGAAGTATATGCAGTTGCTTGCATGTTTCTGTATGTGGTGTAGTGGCTTCTTATATACTTGGAAAACGCCGTCCCTTTTGCTGTGCGTCCTCATCGCAATCTTTGTCCGTTGCGAGCATGCAACAAAGAACTGCTTCTTGTGGCACCCTTTGGCTTCGCACTGACAGTCGTAACAGGACTCCAACATGAACACCGGTGAAGTGTGTGTGTGTGTATGTATGTGGTTTCCATAAAGGACAGTAGCTTCTGACGTATATATCTGACAACTGTTGACTCAGGGACTACATGTCCGCCTGTCACATAGAAAAGTATAAAAATAATACATCGGGCTCCGAACTCCGTCATATTGAGGTTTCCAACCACATTACTCCACCTAGAGAAACCCCGCATTATTTTGCTACAATGCTGTTTTGCTAGTGATTGGGATTGCAATTCCATCTTTGGGAAGAAACGTACACCGAATTCTACAAGGGGGGGGTAAACCCCATGAGGAGGGGTAGAGAAAGGGCCTCCAGCTCCGAGCCCAGAGAGATCCCGAAATCTCGAAATTCTCTTCTCGAAGCTTTTCTTTACCTCCCCCTCCCTAGAGCTTACAGAAGCGAGACCAGTGAGGCCAGTGAGGCCAGCGAAGCCAGTGAGGCCGTGTGCATTGTCCTTGCGCCCCCACCTTCTCTCGCCCTTCTTCTGTATATTCCGTAGCTCACATTTCCCTACGTAGTGTATCAATAGCCAAGGCATTGCGAGGCACTGCAACGGTAGCACAGAAAGAAGGGAGTATCCACTATGATGAAAATAATTCTGGCGGGGCGGCGAGAGGAGTGTGTAGGAAGTGGTGGGGGGGATGAAGTGAGGGGTGTAGAGGAGGGGGAGATATAGAAGGCGATACGTAATTTTCAGAAAAATGCTAATATGCTTCTCCGTCCAGTGAAATCAGTGTAGCGACAGACAGGTAATAGTGCAATGTATGGAAACGGTAAACACGTAGAAGCAGAAGAAGAAAAGAGAAGCAAGTTGAAAAATTCTGCTCTGCGCCGATATCGTGCTGATGACGAATAAACAGAGAACCCAAAGCGGGTCTTTGCCTAAAAGAGATGGCAGTTACTGATGAAAGGTCAATCACTGAGAGGACCTCGCAGGCATAGTAGAGATAAGAAAAAAAAGAGGGATCACAAAAGAAGATAGCAACTGTACGGAGATATTGTGAGGAAGCAGAACTAAGCACTGCAAAAAAATCATAGTACCGAGGAGTTGATAGCGATTCCGCTGCAGACGTCTCTTGAGAGTCACACCAGCTTTACCCAAGTCACACACGCAGAGACTGCCGTGGCACTAACGGGCCTCCGTAATCAAAACCCATAGATAACGGAGAAACAAGGAAAGCGTAATGCCCTAAGAGCGCAGGACCTGCGAGGATTGCCATGGGACTTTCGAAATGTAGAGATGGCAAGAGGATGACCTGGTTTGAATGAGTCGTTCTTGCGAAGAAACAGCGGCACAACGCCTGGATATATGTATGGCCTTTATAGTAGGCAGAAATTGCCGAAAGAGCTTCACCTTTAAGCTGTCCAAGTTTCCATCATTTCTGAGCATTAAGAAGGAGGGATTGACCTGGGGAGGCTAGTACCTAGTGCAAGGAATGTTATTGGGTTTTCTAACGTTGGACTACAATTAACCTTTGGAAGGCGGGATCTAATTTAAAAAAAAAGTTCGAAACCCCCCCAAAAGGGAAGAAGGACAAAAAAAAAAAAGATATATAAGTAGCTCATCGAAACTCGGATTGTGGGTGCTTTAGACGCTGGTTTGTTTGCAATAAAACTACACTTCACAGTGAATGCACAACTGCAAAAATAGAGGGAAGTTGAGACCACAATATAACTAGACTGGGTCAAGAAAAAAAAAAATAACAAAACAGTGAACAAATTAGAAACAATATGTTTTGGAGTAAAGAGAAAGAGAAAGACGCTGTAAGCGTTGTCTCGCTAGGCGAAGAGGATGTGCAGCATGAAACAATCACAGCCATGGGCTCCGGCGGCAGTGGCAGCAGGAGAGGCGACGAGAAGTTCGGGAAGATGCCAGGTGACGTGGACGTGTTTTCTCTGTCGTCGTCTACGGAAAAGCACTCTCCTCACTATACTGATATGACAGGTCACGAGCTGAAACAGGGTTTGAAGTCTCGTCACGTGCAGTTGATTGCGCTTGGTGGTGCTATCGGTACTGGTCTGTTCGTTGGTACTTCTTCTACGCTGCACACCTGTGGTCCTGCAGGTCTATTCATATCCTACTGTATTATCTCTAGTGTGATATATCCTATCATGCAAGGTATCGGTGAGATGGTGTGCTATTTACCAGGTTCCGGTAGCAAACCGGAAGGTTTCGCCGCTTATCTGGTTGGTAAATATGTTGACGAATCTCTGGGTTTCGCTGACGCTTGGAACTACTACTACTGTTACGTGATTCTGGTCGCTGCCGAATGTACAGCTGCCTCTGGTGTCGTAGAATATTGGACCACTAGTGTACCGAAGGCGGCCTGGATCACCATCTTCTTGGCAGCAGTTGTCATCTTGAACTTCACTGCTGTCAAATTCTATGGTGAATCCGAATTCTGGTTTGCATCCATTAAGATCTTGTGTATTGTCGGTTTGATTATTCTATCTTTCATCTTGTTCTGGGGTGGTGGACCAAACCACGACAGACTAGGATTCCGTTACTGGCAGAACCCAGGTGGGTTCGCTCACCACATTAGAGGTGGCAGTTTCGGCTCCTTCCTTGATATCTACACTGGTATTATTAAAGGTGGTTTCGCCTTCATTCTAGGTCCAGAAATGATTGCCATGACCAGTTCTGAAGTCGAGGACCAAAGAAGAAACATTGCCAAAGCTGCTAGAAGATTCGTTTGGAGATTAATGTTCTTCTACATTCTAGGTGCACTTTCCATCAGTGTTATTGTTGCTTACAATGACCCAGCATTGGAGAATGCTTTGGCTCAGAACAAGCCTGGTGCTGGTTCATCTCCATTCGTTATCGGTATTCAAAATGCTGGTATCAAGGTTTTGCCTCACATTATCAACGCATGTATCTTGTCAAGTGCTTGGTCCGCAGGTAACGCATTCATGTTTACAAGTTCCAGATCTCTATTGACTATGGCTCAGAACGGGCAGGCCCCAAGGATATTTGCCAAAGTCAACAGATGGGGTGTTCCATACTATGCCGTTGGTTTGTCTAGCGCTATCAGTTGCTTGGCTTATTTGAACTGTTCTTCTTCTACTGCCGATGTCTTCAACTGGTTCTCAAACATTAGTGTGATCTCTGGTTTCATTGGTTGGATTTGTGTTTGTATCGCCTACATTAGATTCCACAAGGCCATCCTTTTCCATGGTATGCAATCAAGATTGCCATACACTGCTCGTGGTATGCCTTATTTGATTTACTGGCCATTGCTAGTCATCTCCATCATCACTTTGACAAATGGTTACGAAGTCTTCATTCCAAGATTCTGGGATGCTAAGAACTTCGTTGCTGCTTATATTACTTTGCCAGTGTTCTGGGTGTTGTGGATTGGTCACAGAGTTTACAGAAGAAAGATATTCACATTGAAGTGGTGGAAAAGCATTGAGGAAATCGATGTTGTTACTGGTGTCGAGGAAATTGAGGAAAAGACCAGAGAATGCGATGCATCTCGTGTTCTTCCAACGAAATGGTGGGAAAAGGCATTGGACGCTCTGTTGTGAGTTTCAACTACCTCTTATTCCCTTGATTTAGAAATGTCATTTTGTTACCACTATGTGTGATGATGAATTTTTTACACATACAGTGGATAATTAAAATCGTTATGAAATCCTATTCCAACGACTATTAGATCAGGTCAACAATTTTGAAAATTTGTTCAAAATATTTGTGAAGTAGTCCAAATGATGTGTTTTTAATTTTTCTTTTGCTCTCTTAATGAATTGAAATCCTCATTGGACTGTCCTAAGAACGACATCTTTGTTTTTGGCATTCCCTCAAGAAAATTCTCTCTCATTTACGCTAATAACGGAATGGAAGGTTATTATTCGGTAATTCTTATCAACTGCATTGCATACTCTTTCTCTTGTAATATTAAAAATTCAATACCATTGTGCCGAGCGTCATTCTCCTGGAGAAATAGGTACTATGCAGACCCTTTTTTTTCATTTTACTAATTATACCTATATTCATTGTCAACCTAGGAGCGCGTACGTCGGAATGTTCCTACTTATTTCAAGAATGAAAAGTGATTAATTGCTGAAGATTTTGGTACTGAAGTTTATCTATCCCAGCTTCAAATGGTCCAATTGATATTTAGTGCGTAATTTTAAGGCTTCGCTAGGTTACAACTTTAAGATACTATTCCTTATATATTCTATATGCTTAGTTCTTTTATTTTTTTTTTATCTACAATTTAATAGCATTTTTCTCGTTTCCATTAGATATCCTTTTAAGTTTGAGATTGTTACTGTTGCTCAAGGTATGAACCCATCTTGTATCACACATGTTCACCGTACCCAGTTTAGTCTATGGGTATTCTTTTGTACAACACGACTCAAGCTCTCCTAGTGTAGTTCGTTAAAAATCGAAGTCATTTCAAAGAAATGCGTGAGGGGGTTAGGGATGATTGTTGTCCAGGAATACCTTAACAGTTCAAGGTTTGACTATGGTTGTAATTTCAATTACAGACAACTCCTTTTTGGACTTGTTTTGTCTACTAAATTTCCTGAATTTATACGTCGCAGTAGAATTGGACAGAAGAGGTTGTGAGATTAAGATTTCGGGCACGATCTCACTTGAGTTTGTTTTGGTCAGAATGTCCTAGTTCGGTCTGCTTCTATTGCAGGTTGACTTGTGAAAAGACTTGTTAGTATTAAGGGGATCGGGGTCGATACGCTCTTTTAGTTGGGAAGGGGGGATGTACTATCTTCATCCCTCTAAGAGTTCTTCCAAAGATGTCAATTCTGTAGGACAAAGTTCATGTACATGAAGATATATTTATGCATGAGGAATATATAAAAGTAAACTCTTGTTGATACATCCATCATAACTGTATTTAGTTGTACCGCAATACACAGCTGAGATATACATATAATAGCATAGAAATGGACTCCAGGTTGCATAGATTGATTAACTTAGAAGTCACTCCAGGTAAGGATGTCAGAAAGACTGCCATTATTGGTACCATTGGTCCCAAGACTAACAATGTTGACACATTAGTTGCTTTGAGAAAGGCTGGTTTGAATATTGTCCGTATGAACTTCTCTCATGGTTCTTACGAATACCACCAATCTGTGATTGATAACGCCAGAAAGTCAGAACAGGTTTATCCTGGTAGACCATTGGCCATTGCCTTGGACACCAAGGGTCCAGAGATTAGAACAGGTACCAATGTTGACGATGTTGACTACCCAATTCCACCAAATCATGAGATGATCTTCACTACTGATGATAAATATGCCAAGGCATGTGATGACAAGATCATGTATGTTGATTATAAGAACATCACCAAAGTGATTCAACCAGGTAAAGTCATCTATGTTGATGACGGTGTTTTGTCTTTTGAAGTCTTAGAAGTCGTCGACGATAAGACCTTGAAGGTCAAATCCTTAAATGCAGGTAAAATTTCTTCTCATAAAGGTGTTAACTTGCCAGGAACTGATGTCGACTTACCAGCTTTATCTGAAAAGGACAAAGAAGATTTGAGATTCGGTGTCAAAAATGGTGTTCATATGATCTTTGCCTCTTTTATCAGAACTGCACAAGATGTCTTGACTATCAGAGAAGTACTGGGCGAGGAAGGTAAAGACATAAAAGTCATTGTTAAGATAGAAAACCAGCAAGGTGTCAATAACTTTGATGAGATTTTGGAAGTGGCCCATGGTGTTATGGTTGCCAGAGGTGACTTGGGTATCGAAATTCCGGCACCACAGGTCTTGGCCGTTCAAAAGAAACTTATAGCTAAATGTAACTTGGCTGGTAAGCCAGTCATTTGTGCTACTCAAATGCTAGAGTCCATGACATTCAACCCAAGACCAACCAGAGCTGAAGTTTCTGATGTTGGTAACGCTATATTGGATGGTGCTGATTGTGTCATGTTGTCTGGAGAAACTGCTAAAGGTAATTACCCCATCAATGCTGTCACAACAATGGCAGAAACTGCCATTATCGCTGAACGAGCCATTGCTTATATGCCATTGTATGATGATTTGAGAAATTGTACTCCAAAACCAACATCGACAACAGAGACTGTTGCTGCCTCGGCAGTTGCAGCTGTTCAAGAGCAAGGTGCCAAACTTATTTTGGTACTATCTACTTCTGGTAACACTGCAAGATTAGTCTCCAAGTATAGACCTCAATGCCCAATCGTTTTGGTTACAAGAAACCCAAGAACTGCTAGATTTTCTCATTTATTCAGAGGTGTGTTCCCATTTGTTTATGAAAAAGAACCACTAGATGACTGGAGTGAGGATACCCACGCTCGTTTGAGATTTGGTGTCGATATGGCCAAAGAATATGGCTTTGTTAAGAATGGTGATGCAGTTATTTCCATTCAAGGTTTCAAGGGTGGTGTTGGTCACTCTAATACTATGCGTGTTTCCATTGTAGGTGGAGAAAAGGAGGATATCTGAAAGCCCGATTTTTAGTCTTTTCCTCAAATACATAATATCTTTTAATCTTATAAATTATTGACTATAAATGAATAAAATATGAGTTTATTTTACTAGGAGTAATTTTATTTTTAGTTGTATATTGGTAAACCAGCCTGGAAGTAAAGAAAAAAATAGAAAAAACGTACTTATTAATAGCGTATTTGAGCAACGAAATACCTAGTGGTGTCAGAGATACACAATTAAGTAAAATCAAATTCTATATCTAATTTACGTTCTGTCTGGAATGTGTGCTTATTTTGGTTTAAAAGCGGGATAATTCTTTTAAGTAATATACTTTCCCATTCTTGAAATCCTTCTGAATTTTGAGATTCATCTTCCATTAAATCGAGCTCCATCGATATAATATGCGCTAAACGACACAAAAAATGGGCTCGGTTAGTATTACAGAGCTTTTTAGAATACTTTTCAAATAGCTGTACATCCCGATCGTGAGGGCCAGCCTCTTTCAAGGTGGAATGTACCCATTCTTTGACTAAACTACAAATATCTTTAAATTTAGGTTGTCCTTGGAACTTGATAGGATCAAAAATGCTAAATTTCCCTAAAAAATGATTGTACTTATTACGTTCCTTTTCTTCTGTTAGTTTACGCTTCTTCTTTAAATCTGTTACTTTCATATCTTCTACTTTCCTTTTTATCTTTAATTCATTGCGTACCTCTGCTCGAAGTTGTGTTGGCAGCGCTTCCATAAATTGTGCCTCATATGTGCTGGGGATATCATATTTGTTAGAGTATATATCGTTAAGCTTCTTCAAACTCTTTGGTGGTGACCTTTTCTCAATGGAATCAAAGTCTATTGGTGATCGCGTTGGTGATAAGTCCATTTTTGGAGTTTTTTGCAATAAATCAAATAAGTTTGACCTCACATTAGATAAACTCTCATCTAATTTGGACAATTTATTAAATTGTATAGATAATCCTCTGAGTTCTTTCGCTGGGCATGCCAGGGACCTATACATAGCTTTTGCTTCGGTTGCAATGGTACCGTGCTCATTAGTGGGTATACCTAACCGACTAGTTCTATTGAATGCATCACATCTTCCCATCCCCATGTATTTCGGAGGGTCTACAGGTGCGTTGGCTGCCCTTCTCATAACTTTCAGTGTTAGTTGTGAAGTTTTTCTTTCCAACTCATTTAACTTATTTAGTAAATAGTCACAACATCTGTCAATAAAGTCATCGATTTCATGAATATTATCGAATCTTATACCCCAATTGATTTCAATAGATAATGATTTCCTCTCAAAGTAGTTTTCGGGATCGAACAACATCCTAGTAGATTCTTCATCATCCTGGCCTTGCAACGCCAAATAGATTTTAGTTCCAAGTTTTACACCGACGCAATTCTTTAAAAATTCAAGGGAAGCCCTTTGTTTTAGTTCTGCAAGATTCATATCCTTACACTTAAAAGCTGTTAATAGTTTAGTAACAATTGAATGACCCACACCCGGCAAATCCTTTAGCTTGAAAGTTGCGAGAAACTCATTGGAGCCATCTTTGGATCCTTGAACTTGTTCTCTATCAATGATAAAGTAGCCATTCGGTTTACCTTTACGCAAAGCTAATCGTGCCAGTAAAAGTGAATCAGCACAGCCTATACTAACTGAGCAGCCATTAGTAGCTGAAAATATAGACAGACGAATGTCCTTACATAATTGGTCCAGGTTAGATGATTGAGATCCGCCGTCTGTATTAGCACTTTCCTGGCTTATTGGATGAGTGTTAACTACTACACATATGGCTTCATCGATAGATATCGGTAAAATCATGTCAAACAACTTCATCGCAGCCAAGGTTTTATAAAATATTTCAGATTTCGCCTGTATCTCATCAAAATTGTATGGAAGCGTCACTATGTTGACACCTTGTGGTAACAGCCTCTTCGCATGGCCAACCCACATGCCATTCTTGATCCCGTATCCTCTTGCAACGTAGTTACAACTCGCGATATCAGAATTATTTGATCCATGGCAAACAACGATTACATCTTTCTCTATATCACATTTGATTGAAGGATCTTTGGTTAAGTAAGCTACAGTAGCAAAAAAACAATCAAAATCTATGTGGAAAACAGTATATGTATCGACATCTTTGACAGGTTTTCTTAGAGCGGTGTTGTTTTCAATGAAATCCTTCAAGAACTTTGCTCTTAGGTCAGTCTTCCAAGTCGATAGATGGTGAAGCCTTGAATGTTTGAAATAGTCAGAGATAAAATTTGGATCTTTACAGCTAACTAGTGGTCCCGATTGTCTGTTCCTATTGGAAGTAGCAGTTTCCTTGCTAGTAGGCTCTTTTAGGGGCAAGTCCAGTTTTTGCTGATCTGGGTCAAGAGTGTCAATAAGGGCATAATCCCTCCAAGGCAAAAGCTTTTTTTGTTGAATTGAGTCGACGATCCAATTGGGCTTTACTACTTTATAGTTAGCAAACTCAATACGTTTTTTCAAGGGTAAATTAGATGCGATAATGTGAGTTACAGATCGCTTAGCTGACATATGGTGTAAGAACTTTCCACCATGAACGACGATCATCTGGTGCAATTCGAACCTACCAGGGGTTGTGAATCCGTTGATGTATAGCACCAGCCCTTGAAAGATCTGCGGATACACTTCATGCCTGTTGAACTCTGAGGGAGATTCCAGTTCAAAGAGCTGTCTTTTCAGTATCGCATCCTGTTGAGCCTGGTTCCGTGCCTTTTCGTAGAAGTACGTACCTCTAGTATACGCCTGTCGCTTATTCGGTGCTTGTGGCGACTTGTTGTCTGCTGGTGGCGGAGTGCTCACAGTATTGGTCTCATGCTCAGTAATATTTTCGTCTTCCAGCAACCGGTCCAAGTCATCATCCATTTGTTGGACACTCAGAATTAGTTTTTGTCTATGTTCTTTTTTTGTTACTTGATTTCTGTTGAGGGGAGAGTATTTTCTGGTACCTGATCTGATTCAAATTTCACAGGCTTGGTTTAGCATTCACGGAATGAAAGTTACCTAAAGTAGAAGAGTAATTAAGTTGTTGTTCTTGAAGTTACGTCGTTTACCCTGAATGGTGTTTTGGCAAATTTAGGGAGCTATTTCGTGGTTGTAAGCTTCAGAAGGGTAGTGTAGAATATGACTCGTTTGCAACACATCGATGTCTCTTGTTTGTGTTTGTGTTTGTGTTTGTATTTGTATTTGTGTTGTGTTGTTATTTGTTATTGTTAAGGCTATTACTCTCGGAATAATTATCTCGTCAGCATTTTTGCGGAAAAATCGAGAGGACCAACATCAATTATTCCGGTTTCTAACGGGGACCGGCAGTACGTTGAATTTTGGAATTGGAAGTGCAATCCGGAACAACTAAAACTGCAATTTCCCCAGGGCGTACGGGAATATCCTGAGTCCAGCTAAGGGAAAGTTCTCTGCAACGAGAACGTTCTGTGCTTTTGGTGGAATATAGTTTCCGGTGGTTTGAGACGGAGGGAATCACAGTGTGTGGGCGTGAACACGTGTATTACCCTGCGCGTTCTAACCTCTGTGCAGCGTTTGTGTGGGATTCATGGGATAGGGCATAGTGCGGATCAGGACAAAGGCAGTGGGGGGGGGGCAAGCGGAAGGAGTGGGTAGGGTTCCGCAATGCGCTTGTGCGTGATTTAAATGATATGCTCATCTTAAGCCCTAAATAGCCAAGTTACAACCCCCCCCCACGGGGAATCCAGAAGGCCCTTGAATTGTAACTGGAAACACCGGAAGGAAAAATGACTCTGAACGTGGGGAGGGAAGGTACCCATGGGGACAAAGTGAGCGATAAGGGATAGGAGTGGAAGGTAAATAAAAAAAACAGTGCCACATGGATGAGAAACAAATCGCGCAGTGCTTTGCTCTGTTTTAAAATGGCGCAGCAAGGCCATTGCTTTTTTTTTGTCTTTTCTTCGTCCAGATCTAAGAATTGTTCCCTGATTGGGAAAGTGTAGCCTGGATGGAAGATCGAAGTGGTTCTTGTCTACCCTCCAATAGATAGAGGCAACACCAACAGTTGCACGGCTGTGTCTGAGTGCTCTTTATTGAAAAACCTTCTAGAAGGTATGCTATTGTTTTGGGATTCTTTCTTTTTTTTATAGGGTTCTACGAGAATACAATGGAAGCAATACAAAGAAGAATCGATTTATTTTAGAACCGGAATCAATGGAAAGTTGTTTTTTATGACTGTAGTGCGGGAGTTTTACTGGAATCTCTACACTTATTGCTTTTTTTCTGTTCGTCTTCGAATAGAAACCTGATCCCGGATGGACCCTCGAAGCACTAGCCCTAGCATTCTTCACCATACGCTCTCTGCTCTCTGCTCTCTGCTCTCTGCTCTCTGCTCTCTGCTCTCTGCTCTCTGCCATACTGTGTCCGTTGTGTGTGCGGGATTGGTCACACTTGTAAATAAAAAACACCGCATAGGAAGCATAGCAAAATTCGAATGTTGGAAATACAAAGCTCAGCTCAACCCTAATACTCAAAGAGCAAATTTTGTTATCATTTGCCCAACTCCATTATTGTTGAGAAGACAATCCTAAAATGGTTGTGCATCAATGCAGCTGCTTTGTGCTTGTGTGACCGGACCAAAAATAAAATTGAAAAAAAAAAATTTAGCAAAAGAAAAAAAAAATTATTGAAAAAAAAATTATATTTATTAATAGAGGATTGAATTACTATTTTTCAGTAATTATTCTTTTCAACATTTACTGAATCCTTAATTTCTTCATAGCGTTAATTATTTATAGTCATAATTCTTAGTAGTTAAGTAAAAACATACCAATAAACCCCTTTCTCAAAGCTAAGGACCTTCCCTTTTTGCAAGTAAAGATTTATTTATAAAAGACTAAGACTTTTCCCTCTGTGAAAACTTGTTCTTTTAAGATTTCTTTAAGCACCACATATTTTACACTCTAGACTACCAAGAAGAAATAAAATTAATCAAAGAATGGCTACCAAGATTGAACAGCATGATTTGGACAACTGGGTTAACACCACTAATGAGAAATATCCTTTCTCTACTTCTGAATCATCCACTTCTTTAGCCACTTCGGGATCTCCATGGTTTGAACCATTGGAGAACATTATTTCTTCGAACTCTAGCTCTAGTGTAACTTCGCCAAGTGACTCCAACAATTTCCTGCTGACGGAAAACGGCTACGATAACATCTTTGCGTTCAACGAGAATGACAAGGACTTCCAGCTGAAAACAGAAGACGATGATGACCAATTGGTGTCATTCGAAGCTGCTATGGAATCAATGCCAGCCACTTGCAAGAAACAGAAAAAGAAAGCCCCAAGAAAGAGGTTGACTCAAAACCAAAAGGAGGCTCACAACAAGATCGAAAAGCGTTATAGAATTAACATCAATAGCAAATTAGCCAAATTGCAACAAATCATTCCTTGGGTTGCGAGCGAGCAATCAACTTTTGAAGTTGCTGATGGCAACAAAAGGGCTACCTCCAAGACGGAAGAAGGTGACGATGCCTTTGCAAACTTTCCATCTACTACGCCTAAACTAAACAAGAGCATGATCTTGGAAAAAGCTGTTGATTACATTCTATATCTGCAAAATAATGAAAAACTATTCGAGATGGAAGTACACAGACTGAAGTCCGAACTTGGTGCTGTAAAGAAAGAAAATCAAGAATTGAAACAACTGGCGACAGGTAACTAATAGTTTTATTTGTGTTACCTCATAATTACAAATTTCGAATTATGTTACAGTTGTCTGCTCGCACATGTTCAGTTTCGAATTTTCTTGATCAATATGCAATTTCCACTGAAGATTATTGGCAATTGTCGGAGCAATAAGCAAACTCTTCACCACCAGAAAACTACTTTTGATGGTTTACTTTGAGACGATATCCACCACAAATGAAATATCAGTGTATTGGCATTCTCACTGACATTTCAAAAAATTTCGACCACATTCTTTCAAAAAAAAAACTTATTATATTATATTCTTAAAGGACTGACTATTCAAAAAGTACGAATAATGATTTCCCCCTCTAACTGATTGATTGACGATAATGAAACTAAATGACAATCTAAAGTTGTTCGAGACAATAGCTAATTCTAACGGTACCATATCATTCCTTATAAAGACCGCATGTATTTCCGTTACAGCTTATCTCAATTACTCAACTAAAAGCATTTCAAGGTTGCTTGAAATGTGCTAATGACAATAATTTTTAATGATGTTATGACTTCTATTTTTTTTTTTTATTTTATTCTATCCTTCTATTTTGTTATTCTTTTTATTTCTACTTTATTTTTTTTTTCTATCTCTACTACCATTATGATTACAATTACTACTCCAAAAAACAAATAAACCAGTTAATAAAAATACCTATGGACCTATAACTAAATTGATACAACTATAAAAATACACTATATGCTTTTTTTTTCTATGTTTTTTTTTTTTTACTCAAAAGAGTTGAGGATATATACTTGATAGAATCAGAATATAAAATATCTGTATACACTATAAATCAATATTATTATACTTTTTTTGTTAACTATAATCAATTCATTTTAGATGATATCCTGTTTGATTGAGCAGCGTACCTCTACGCATGTCGCAAGCATAAAAAATATGCAAAAATAAATGCTCCTGGGGAGGTTCGAACTCTCGACCTTCAGATTATGAGACTGACGCTCTTCCGACTGAGCTACAGAAGCATTAACTGTTTGTTGTGAAGTCTGGAAATGTTCTTGTACATATCGATAAAAATAACATCAACTTTTCTTTTTCTGACATTTTCTTTTGTCGACTGACTACATGAGAACTTTCGGGTATAAAGTGCTGGTTCAAAGTATATGTTGGCACATAGTACAAGAACCTTACTAGTTATCAAACTATCTATATCTACAATTCCATCAGTCACAGTACAGTACCCAGCATATGACCCACTAATCTGCCATTTTTGACATTATGTCAATAATTTTTCATTTTCAAATTTTAAAGGACTCAAGTCAAAGTTCGCGTTAACATCGACTTTAACAAAGCGAGATTGTTCTGAAAAAAAAAAAAACTGAAAAAAAAAATTTTCAACGGGCAAGAAGTGGCACTTAAACTTGAAGTCATCTTATTTAAAGTTCACAAATTTTTAAGGCATCTCTTAAACCTTTAAAATTTTTATTGATACTCGTCTCTTGCTTGGAAATTTGATTTCGGTTTCGTACTTACATTTTCTTCTTTGATCAGATTATTTCTGTACCCATCATTTTCGGTTAAAGTCTGATAATTATTTGAAAAAAAATAATATTGATCGATTGCTCAGATAACGAAAACTAAACAGGTGATAATCATAGACACAACGGCTAATTTTTGATTACACCTCTCATTAACACCAGTAATCACCAGGAGAATTCTCTTTCAATTGTTACTGACAGATTGAGATATTTCTTTTAGCGAGTAAGTCACACTCACATTCGGAGCAAATACTACACTATTCATCAAATTCTTTAAAGAAAATATGGAATATGTACCGCCACAGCAGCTTGATAGCAACATTTTTTTTGGTTCGTTAGCGACTTTAACTGAGCCACATACTTTACAACAGCGTAACATTAGATTCTTCATCGGTGTTGGTATATCAAACCATGTTTTTGCGAATGCATATGAAATGCTAAGTAAACCATATAATGATGAACTGGTAATGGTAAATTTTGAAGATGAAATGATGATGACCCAAGACTATAATACAACTTTTAATGACGAAACGAACGAGTTGATCTCGAAATATCACAGAAATAATACACAACTATTGCAACAATTGCTGGATGGCAAAAATAATACACTGGGAAGTAACATACATGACTTACTTACTCCTCCAGTAACACCAATCAGTTCTAGTAGGAGCGGAAGATACTCATACCTCGATGAAGATGTCATTCCTAATAGTACTTTGGGTACTAAAGTACACTCCAATACTTTCAGAAAATCGCACCTGGAAAAGTTTAAAGTATTTAATGAGTTGATCTCATTATTCAAATCTATGGAATCTAATAACAATATTCTTATCTTGTCAGAATTCGGAAATGATTACGAACTAATGACCCTTCTCATATCTATAATAATGAAGAAGGATCCATCCGTATCAGTCATGGATGCTCTTCAGTTTGTTAAGTCCAGTCGCTATAGTGATGAGCCCATTGTAAAAGAGGAGCAAATTATATGGTCCAGTGGCCTAATTAACTATCATGAATTTGTAAGGGCAAGTGGTATGTTTTGGGGTTTAGGATCAACTATGGGTCAAAAGCTGGGAAGCCCAACTAGAATGAATAAAAAGAACAGAGTGAATGAAGAAGCTATGCACGATGGAATTATTAGTCCCTCTGCAAAGCCAGCAACAGCGGATGGTTGTCTTCAAAGAAAAATTGCTAGTTGTAAAAGAGTTAGGATCTAGTATCTAGTCTCCTTATTTTGCATATCGCAACAGGAATTGTCATTATTAGAGTGTCATGTTAGTGATTGCCCACATTTCATATAGAGTTGGCTTCAACTCGCGTATGAATTTGTAATATAAATGATAGAGAGTCCATTCAATTTACCAACGAAAGAACTCGTATAATAAAAATGGTGCATAACTACTTCTCAATAATTCTTACAGTGATTAACTTTCAAAATGGCATATTGCTTACCCCATCTTTCACTGGTTTCCTTATATATTTCTTTATTTCACATGTGTACAATTTAGTCTTTTTTTTTCTTAAGTAAAATAATGGTAATATAGTAATCTAAACAAAATGGAATATACATTTGGTTTTAGAGCTCTACTATAATTTGCAAGCCTTTATATAGCAAACGCTTCAATAGGTTTATGGAGCTAATTAGCTAGCTTCCTGAAACACGTTAATGCTATTTCTAATCTCAAGAAACAAGCTACTTCTGCATCTATCTCTGAGTGCCTTACTTACAGATCATTTTTTATGGTATTCCCCCTATCCTTTGAATTATAGTGATTAAACAACTAAGTTGCTTTTCTGGTTAAACCTAAGATTTGCATTACAGAGAAAGCTACGGTTTCCTTGCAGCCAATTCTAGATTCAAAAACGAAATATACGTTGAATCTATTAGATGTGATGACATAATTCAACAGTTGAATTTCGTAGTCCAACGAGTTCCGAGAAAACTCGAGAAATTTTTTTAAAGATGTATCTGATCAGTCCAAAGATGATGATTGTCAGCTATACTTGTTTAGTATTTGATATTAGTCCTGACTTCTTGAACTAAACGTGAATTCTATTCCACAAGAAAACGTTGACAAATTTGAACAAATTAAATCGTAGGTCATTATACCCATTAGGATGGCCAATACGTTTGTCCAATACTTACAATATGTAATTATGTTTCTGTAAATAAAACAGAAAGCTGCTAGATCAAAATAATATCCAAAAATTTTTTATAGTTTTTGTATAAATCGAATAATGTACAAATGATTTCAAATGAAAAGTAAAAATAATATATAAATAAGAGAAAAGAGACAACTCTTTGCTATGATCAACATCTAACTGTAGGTGCTTGCCAAAAAAATTGCTTTCATAATCCCTTCTTTGATGAGTTCCTTTCCCTGTATTAGGGAAATTGGAATATTTAGTGAAAAAGATATTTATCATATTTTTATTGTTCTCTTGTCCTGGTAGAGAACTAAAAAAAAATAATTCCTGGAAGATTGATGGGTATATGCTAAATTATCACGTTCTTGCGACTTGAAAATATATCAATGCTTACCGGGACTGACTATTGTTACAGCATATCGATTTAGTTTGATACTTTCGATAGGATATCAAAAGCACCGGTACCAACATTGTTCAATTTACCTAAAACAATTCTGGCTGATGGAGATTCTAACTGTTCACGCTCGTTATCCAAAACAGCCTTTGTCAAGAATTGACAGGTTGTTTCGTAGGACATCTTCATTAGGGAGGATGTAGACGTTTCCATACCTTGTCTGTTAAAGGCCAAGTATGTACCCTGTCTTGTCATCATATCAGCAATTAGATCCAAATGACGGAAGGAAACAGAAATTGCATAACGAGAGAAAACGTTGTTAATTTCGTTGACAATTGTGTTTCTAGCAGCCTCAACACCATATGTCTGCAAGACTGATGCAATATCATTGGAAGTAATACCGTCAACATCAATGAAAGCTTCTTGATCCCACATAGCCTGGAAGTTAACACCCTCAGTAACTAGAACTCTCTTGCCATTTTCTGGTTCTGGACGGATACAACGGTCAATGTGAGGTACTTGCCTTATAATAGTTTTTCTGCAGATATCTTCAACAATGTTAACCATCAACAGCTTTTCAGTATCAGCAGCCAATTCCAGTTTGAATTCACACCACTTACCAGACTTGTCATCAAAGTTATACTTCGTAACAAATTTATGGTTTGTAATAATGGCAGATTGACGATCACGTTGATCCTTGCTCATGTTATTGTTAGCTTCTGCGATATGGGATTCGAATTCGTCCATGTTAACGTCTTCGTCATCATCTTCTGAGTCGGAAGATTCAGATTTGGACTCCATATCAGAATCTAATTCTTCATCAGAAGATTTTTCTGCTTCCTTCATTGTTTCAATCTCATCCTCATCTGGTTCATCATAAGAAACTGCTTGCTTAGTCTTGTTATGATATTGCTCTTCATCATTGTCCTCATCCATCTTCTTTGATGAGCCTTCAACAGCACCCATGGTTGTTTGCGCTTTAGGAACAGCCATACCAATATCGGAGGAAGAAACCTTCTTTTGTTTTTTGATTTCTTTCACAATTATAGCTTCCAAAGAACGTAAGAACTTCTCAGCAATGACAGTCTGTAGCTCTTGCTTAGAAACATCATATTCTTCATTATACTCTGACTCATCAAAGAACTTCATATTGATTACATATGAACGGCTAGAACCAGCAGTTTCAGTAACCGTAACCTTGTCGATAACTTCAGATAAGATAACCTTAGAAATGGACTTACAGAAAGTATCAGCAGTCTCATCGGAAACATCATTCCAGATTGGCAAGGTCATTTGAGGCGTTTTGATAGCAGCAGAAGCTGTCATAATAATTTCTCTCATACGGGGAATACCCAAAGTCACATTAGCAGCACCGTGACCTGCAAAGTGGAAAGTATTTAACGTCATCTGTGTTGAAGGTTCACCAACAGATTGAGATGCTATGATACCAACAGCTTCACCAGGGTTTATCAAAGATCTCATATATTTTAGTTGCATCAATGCTCTAAATTTCTTTTCATTAATACTTTCGTATTCTTTAAAGGTCTTCGAGCTCTTATCCAAAAATAGTTCTAATTTATCTTGGAAATTTTCAGAAACAGCACCCAAATATTTAGCAGGGTTATATTTACTCAAAACTGGATCATATTTCAAAGTTTGCTTGTAATGCTTCTCATCCTTATGTTTCTTTCTATTCTTCAGAGTTTTCTTGGAGTATTTCAAGGCAGTCTCAACGTCAACATGTTCAACAAGAGCGGATGGGTTGTATTTCTTTAATAGAGCGTCGTAGTTATCCAAACAGAAGTTAAATTCTGTCATGTGCGATTCCTTAATAACATCAACCGCATCACCACCATACAAGAATTGAATCAATGTACCGTCAGCATCTCTAACACTGTTATCGTAGGATATATGAACACCTTCCAATTGTTTAGTCAAACAACGTTGCAAGTAACCGGATCTAGAAGTCTTGACGGCTGTATCAATCAAACCTTCACGACCAGCCATACAATGGAAATAATATTCTTGTGGTTTGATACCGGAGTAGAAACGTCCTTTAATATAACCACCGGCCATTGCATCAGTTTCGTATGGTTTGAAAGATGGTAGAGTCTTACCACTAACCATAACTGGGACTCTTCTACCTTCCAGAGCTTGTTGACCCAACAAACACATAATTTGAGAAACATTAACATTAGAACCTTTAGCACCAGATAATGCCATGGCTTGCATAGAGTTCTCAGGGAATTTCTTCATTGTACCGCCTGGGACACATTGAGAAACAACCTTAGAAGTAATTGTGTTAACTTTCGCAGAACTGACTGCATCCAAAATACCTAACTTGTTATTGTCACGAAGAATTTCTTCCAAACGTTTCAGTAATTCCGGATCATTAGATGGCGTATCCTTGTCAAGGTTGGTAACCTCTGCTGCAGCTTGTCTGCCAATATCAACAGATTCTTTAAGAATATCAGATCTCCACTTGTTACCATCAGAAGTTAATCTTAAATCATCCATACCACAAGTGAAAGCAGTATTCATAATATAGTTGGTGAATAATCTACCCAAAACAGAAAGAACCTTTGCTGCTGTTTCTGGACCATAAACTTCATGTAAGGAGTGCACGATACCATATTTAGAAGCACCATATTGAGACTTATCTAGAATACCACATAGTAGTTGACCATCCTTGAAAATAACATCATTTTCCTCAGAATGCTTGCCCCAATATTCGTTTTTGATCTTATTTGATGATTTCAGATTTATACCTGGCATATCAGGTGGGGTGACATTTAATAAAACAGTTGTAATAATCTGCTTACCAGTCCACAGAGGAATAGGTTTGTGAATAGCTGGAGGCAATGTTACTAACTTGGCTCTTGTAGCATGTCCATCTTCTGGACGTATACAACCATAAATATACTGCTGATACTGTTCTCTTGTGAAAAAACTGTCCTTGTTAGTCAACCAGACACCAGCAGAAATATGATCTTGAATCAAACCTCTAACTGGAGAACCAGAAGTAGGAGTTAAATACTGGGAATCAGTATTTGCCAAGTTAAAAGCTTCAGCTCTTGCATTTTCGTTTTGTGGAAAGTGCATATTCATTTCGTCACCATCAAAATCTGCATTGTAAGCACCAGTGTTGGCATAATGCAAACGAAGTGTCTTCTCACCTGGCAAAACCCTAACTTTATGACCCATCATAGAAGCTTTATGCAGGGTTGGTTGACGATTCATTAACACAATATCTCTATTTTTGATATGACGATAAACTTTCTTATTCAAGGTGTGAGTGTAAGGATTTGAAGATGGGGTCATCAGTTGATTGGCCAAGGCTTTACGTTGTTCGAGAGTCATGCCAACCAAAGAGATCAATGACCCATCCTCATTCTGAATTTGAGAAGCACCTGGCCATTTATCTGGACCGTTTATAATGGCTTGTCTCAATTCAGCAATGTTGTAAGAAGTTACAGGTTCTGGATAGGTTAACTTTGTGGCAAAGACTGGTGGAACACCAATTTCATTCGTTTCAATGTTAGGATCTGGTGAAATAACGGAACGGGCAGCATAGTTCACACGCTTACCCATCATATGCTTTCTAAACAAACCTTCCTTCTTTTCCAACGCTTGCTTAACACCAGGAATTGGGACTTTACCACCAGTATTACCTTGAGCTTTTGTCGAGTCAATAAAGGAATTGACATCGTTCTGGATTGTGACGAACGCATTCATCAACCTACTAAAAATTATCCTTCTGTCTTCCAGAGAAACCTTATCTTTCTGCAACGTAGATAGCTCATCATTCAAGTCTCTGATTAGTAATGAAGTGGTTAAAATCTTAGAAAGCAATTGATTTTGAGAGTTTTCATGCACTTCATCACCGAGCTTGGAAGGTAGACGGAATCTGGTTGGAGGAACAACCAAAACATCCATGAAAAACATGTCAGCCTTCACCAACTTTCTTGATAGGTTAGGTTTAGAGTGGAAAACATACTGCAACACTTGTTGTTCCTTTTGGAAAACAGAACGTAAAATGTTTCTAATCTCAGTTGACAATACGTAAGTTGAACCAGTTTTTGGTCTGGTGCTTGGATTTCTACCAATGTCAAAGGAGTCTTCTGAGGTTTCTTTACCTGCAAGTTTGTCGCTTTGCTCTTTCTTCTTCAACATATCACGACGAACAAAACCTCTGACTCTATTATTGGTCAATTGCTTCTCATTCAGAGCGGTCTCAAAAATTTTTGTGAAACCATCCTTTCTAAACTTGGGAGAGTACATACCACAGTTATCACACTTTGGTCTCATTAGAAGTCTCTTGTGGAACTCATGCAGAAGTTTCTTTCTCTCATCGTTAACAGTAGCGGTGAAAGTACCTCTTTCAGAAGTTCTGCCTTCTGAGATGGCCTTTGCGATAGAAATGTCAACGAACTCTTTACGTTTCTGCTTTAGTTCTTTTGAAAGAGTTGCAGACATGTCATTCTTGTTTTCACCTTCACCGTCATCTTCAACAGCTTCCATAGAATCAAGAACGTTATCCAGTTGAATGCTGTCGACTTGATATGATTCATCAATTAGACCGTATTGCAAGAGTCTTAATTTACATGCATATCTGTGGACATCTAAGGATTTTAGCTTGAAATGATGACAGAACAAACAAGCTGATCTCAAGTAGATGTACAATTGGTTAAAGAATAGAGGATTGTAACATGGGACAGGTAGTTCAATATGACCTTGATGACCAGGACAGAATTTTTCATCAAGACCACATGTACCACACAAGTTCCTCAAAAAGGCACCTAATGCCAAGTCATACAAACCACCAGAGATTGGATGACCTAGGTTATCCAAAACAGTTGGATTGGTAATTCTCTTTGCTGATAGATTTCTAATATCAGCAGAGGTAAGAATACCAAAATCAACAGAAGAGATTTCTGAACCAACAGGTTTAGAAATATCCATCTTGTTGAATTTATAAACTTATCGTTTGCCGCTTCCTGCTTAGTATCGACTTTCTCTTATTGCTTCGATTTTTATTTGACAGTAAACCGGGGTTATTAATAATCTTAGGAAGCGCAACTATTTCTTGATCCACTTTCTACTAATATTCTGTTCAAAAACCCAGTGTATGGCAGGAACACACAAATACCGACAACCTTCCTTTCCTTAAACGACAATAGAATTGAACTGCTTCGCCCTTTGTAACCAATTTAACCGCTGCCAAACTCTATTTGGAGCCTTCAAGTTTGTGCTATTCTATTATACTTTTGCGATGAGATGCGATGAGCTCATTATTTTTCAGAAAATTTTTTTTGCAAAAAATTTTCAAGGAGGGTAACTTTTGAAAAATTTTCCTTTTGGGCTACAAGCTCATCACATAGGAACAAAGCTCATCGGGCATCGCATTGCATAGAATAGCAACAATTCCAAGTGTATAGGAACTATATCCATCGAGCCGCCTTAGGAAGTGTCTTTCATACCAAAAGAAAATTGTAATATACCTGGTGGGATCTTGCTTTGGTACCAATTCTGAACAAAGGTCGTGATTTTTATAGAGTTAGAGACGGTTGACGAGCAACGCAACTAATAACAGCAAAATGGCCCAACTAAAGAGATCAGCAGAGGAGATCAAAAAGATCAAGTTTATAAAAAGACATAAGAGTCAAGTAAAGAACCCACTTGACCCTAAGGATGGTGTTTCAAACTGTATTCTAAAGGTTCCTGTTGCTCTATACGTCTCATTGGCACCAATGTACTTGAAGGAGCCAACCAATGGTATCATGAAGCAACACCTGGATCCAATGATTATGAAATACAATAGCAAAGTTGGCGGAGTTGTGCTAGGCTATGACAACTTGGAGATAATTGATGCTGATCCGTTGAATCCAAGCGATGCTGAGGAAAAGCTAATCAAGATCACACCTGACACTCCTTTTGGCTACACTTGGTGTCACACAGATTTATACATTTGGAAACCACAGGTGGGAGACATCCTTGAAGGACACATATTTATCCAGTCTGCATCTCACATTGGTATTCTAATCCATGACGCATTCAACGCTAGCATAAAAAAGAACAATATACCCAACGATTGGTCGTTTATACATAATGAGGATGAAGAACAGGAAGAACAACAAGATGATGAAAATAACAAAAATAACTACAACAATCGTTCTATTGGTCACTGGGTTAACGCCAATGGAGAAACTATTGATGGCAAGATCAAATTCAGAGTGAGAAGTGTCTACACAACTGGTAGAGTTATATCTGTGGATGGTACTCTTCTAGATGATCCATCTATTTGGGGCCAAGGCCAATCTCGTTCACCAGCTGAAAAACTCCCAGTAGTATCAAACAAAAAGATAATATTTGATGATGAAGTTTCTGCTGAGAACAAAGAAACCCACCAGGAGTTGGAAATACCTGAACCGAATGAAAATAAGGAAGGAGAAATCCTTTATGAGGAGAACTCATCCGAAAGCTCAAGTGACGACTCCAGTGATAGTGAATGAGGATGACGTTAAGGGAGGTGTATAGCTCTTAAGTACTTCTCCACTAGACATATTCAATCAACTGTACATTATAATATTTACCAATTTTAATGTCTTATCCATTTAGCATTTAGCATATGAGAAATAATATTTTTTAAGATATCCTATTCAATGGGATATCAAAGCTTTTTATTATCAAAAGTATTCCTCTGTCGAACTTTGGTGACAGCATACATAACACGTATGTTTGCCATTGCAGATTTATGTGATGATTCGACTCGAAATCAAAGAATACAATGAATTTATTAAATAATTAAAAACGTATTATAACAACAATAAGTAAATACGAGGACCTGAACACAAAATCAAAGAATAAAACAAGTAGAACCATTAACAAAACTTGACCCTCACAGGAAATATAGTGATTAAACAAAAGAAAAAGAATAATTAATTAAAAGAATAAGAAGATGAAACCATAAATGAGAATGAAGACCGTTAAAAATACCGTAAAACCAAACCAATAAAAGACAGAATATGAAATATGGTTGACAATTTAATACAAATAGTTTTGTATTATTAATTTTGAGAATAATTACAAGAACTTCTCAAAATTAGAATCATCAAGCCAATGTACTTTCTCAAAAGCAGCATATAATCTTGAAGCCTTATTGACATCTATTCTACAAGCCTTTTGAGCGTCCGTTCTTCTAAAAGGAAGTCCTTTCTTCAATTTATGTACTTTTTCCAGAAAGAATCTTCTCTTAGAGTCCAGATACAGATCACAGGGGAGTCTTAAAATCTCAGCTAGAACAAGCTCTGCTGGATGGAGTTTATCTTTCAATGGATCGTTTGACAAATCCATTGGAGAGCCCTTCCATTCAATTCTCAAGCTTTTATTGTTATTTGGTGGTAGTGTAGATAGTGGTGGTGAGTAATCAACTAATTTTGCCCAAGACATGTTAGCTTCATATTGTGAAGCACCATTTAGCGCATTTGCAGATGCAATTGGAGAAGAAGGTAGAGTTGAGTGATTGTTGGAACGGGCGTGTGAACGAACAGGTGTCACTGATTTCCTGACTTTCTGTTTAGTGCTCTTAGCAACAAATGAGTCTAGTTCATCTTCCAATTGAAGTTTATAATTTTTACGTGGCACTCTTCTGCGAGAAGTCCTTTGTTCAGAAGGTTTGCTTACAGGGTGAGTTGCGGTATTGTTAGAACGAGTAGCCCTCACGTTTGGCTCACTGTGTACAGGGGTAGAACGGGTATTATTGAAGTGTCTGTACTGCGACAGGAACCCCAATGTAGTTTCGACCACGATGTCTGTGTCCTTACAAACCAATGGAGCAACTAAGATAGCACTGCGAGGTTTAGTTCCGGATACTGGGACTGGTGCGGCATAACCTCGATAGCTACCCCATCTAGGCGACTGTGGAGGAGATGGAATTGAGTCCATCTCCTCGTCAATCATGGAGTGTGCACTCCACGATATCAATGGCGTCTTAAGAGCAACGTGCAATTGAGCTTGTTCTGGTCTAGGTGACAAAACCATCTTTGAATTCTCTCAGAATTTTGTCTATCTGTGTTGGTGTGATTCGTGGACCCTCTTTAAACACAAGAAAATACAAAAGAAAACAAAGCTCTTCACCTTTATATACAAACTATAAAATTTTTTCATTCCTTCCCCAAGCACTATGACTCTCAGAATAAAAGAAACATTTGCTTATTATCATAGGCTCAAAACAAACTTGCTTAAAAACAAGATCCGTACGACCATTTCTTCGCATAATCAAGCCTGATTCCCATGAAAAAAGAAAGAAATTTGAAATCAAAGCTCATCGCAAATTTTTTTTGTTTTTGCGAATCCTCATCGCCTCATCTTCTACAGAAAGTGCCGTAGCAAACAGGCGATGAGCTCACTTTTTTTTTTTTTTTTTTTTTTTTTTTTTTTTGTTTCTGAAATATTTAACAAAATTTTGCGATGAGCTTGACACAGAATAGATAGACTTTGACACAGAAAGTTGTATTTTGCTGGGGAGGCCAGGCAGACCTGTACTGAATTGAGCTATGCTGATTGAGCCTAGAGTAGTTGCCGGGCGATGTGGACTCAGCTGCGGGAGGGAGTTGAGAGTTGAGCCGTAGAATAGACTGATTGATGGCTACCATTGAGTACGAAACAGATTACAAACTTTGTTGTAATTGGACTAAAAGAAAAACTAGCAAGGATCTCTTATTTCCGGTTTCCGGGATTGCGAAAGTTGTTAGGAGTGATGATGATGACACAGTGTTTACTATCCCGGAATATCGGCGTGTCAGTGCATTTACACTCTCCTTGCTAATAGTTTTTTTGATTAGTACATCCTGTACAATTGTCGTTAATAAAAATACTAGTCTATAAAAATTACATATCATTATTTCGGGCTTACCTCTTTGTGTGCATAAACAAAGAGCCCAGGTATCTCTTTGGTGGACCGTTCTGGTCTTGATCCAATTGGAGCTTACGTGGCTGTGGTGACTCAGTGTGATGACCTTGTGAAGGTACCATCTCCGGCTCTGGTACCTGCGTTTTACTTGGTATGACAGTGGCTCTTCGAGTTGAGGGTACTCCCAATTGTGGCTCCATTGTGTCTATCTGTTCTATACTGAAAAAATCTCTTATTAGATCATCAATCTCATTTGATAATGAGAAATCATGAGCGTAGTTTACATCATTGTTCACTTGGTTTAAAGGATACAACGTTGGGCCCGTCTCAAAGCTGAACTGGTCTATATCCTGATCTTCATGTGTGGCCAAGGCTAACTCATACACTTTGGACAGGTGATTCTGCAGTATATCATCGAAGAACTTCTTCTGCTGCTTAAACTGCACAACGGACTTCCCTAACTGAAATCTTTTCTTCTCATCTGATGATGTTTGTACCGCTAGGATAGACTTCAAACTGCTAGAGGCAAGAAGACAAGCATAGACTTGAAACAAAGTAGCCTTCTTGAAACTACCCATTTTCTTCTCAAAATTGCCTAGCAAGATTTCTAATTGATCCAACAAGCTCTCTATTAGCTGACAAGATTCTTCACTTTGCTCAATGAACGGTTTAATGAACGTCATCTGGACAATATAATAATAATACCAAAAGTATGATATTGTTGGATCTGTTGTTATATCTTCATCTTTTAACGTGTCATTAGTCCATTGCAAAAACTCTGGTAACGAGTGCTTCCAATAATCAACTTGTGTGTTGAACTTTTTCAGGAATTCAAGTTTTTCTTCGAGAGTTTCAGATTCAATAAAGATCTTTGATGTAAACACCTGAACAATACGTGATAAAACTATCAGATTCTTCAATGGTAGTGATACTTGCAGAACATGCCTACCCACAAATTTAAACTCTTCAGTTCCCTCTATTTCAGGCAATTCATCTGACTCTGGTATTGTAGAATTACTGACACTCAATGTCGAATTGCGACCCAACATTAAGCAGATAAAATGATCTGCAATGTAACAGCCCCAGTATATTCTAGAGCGGATCTCAAGTTCACTTTGTGTCAACTTTTCATCTGTGTCGTCATCAACATGCCATACTTTTGGATCCAATTGGAATCCCATCGCGTAACCCACACGAATAGCTAAACCTGAGAAGTACCACGCCATCTGCATGTTACCCTTCCCCAGCTCGTAAAATGCAAGACAAAAGAGAGCTTGCACAGTAGTTATTCTTGGTACACTCTTTTCATCAAAAACAATATCAAGCAGAGCTTTCTTACTCTTCTCATAGTATGACTCTGAAAGGTGCATTATTTCAGGAGATAATCGCGATCCAATTGCACTCATAGCGTATATCAACTCTTCAGAACAATATTGCGAATTTTTGTAATTATCATTTGCATGAACAAAGAATCCATAGAGGAAACTTTCTCTATGTACAAAAACAAAATGACCTGGATATAACCATTTGTAAAAATTCGACAACGCCTTAATTATGTTTGGATTAGCAGGTAGTGTATCGGCCTCAACACCGTCATATACCTTGTTGCGTACAATTACGGTAGTTTTGAGATCTGATATACGCTCCTTACTCTCAACATTAGTTATTGGAGATGAATTATTGGAAAGTAGGGACGCCACAGACACTGATGAATTAGGTTGAGAGTTAGATTTTCCTTTACTATTAACACTGTCAGAATAAATGCTGCCTTTCACAAACGTCTTGCTAGGCTTGTCACCATTCGAAGTTGTGCTTGGAGTTGCAGAAGAGGGTCTCTTGATTTCACTTGATGGTGCTATCACCGAACTCGATGCATCACGAAATATACCAACTGTTGGTGTTTGTGACATCTTATGTTGTTGCTCTATTTTAACTGGAACTGGAGAAGTGTTTCTAACCACCTGTGATATATCCGGGATTAAGTCTCCCATTTTCATAGCATTCAATATATCATCCCTGCGGCCAGGAGCATATACCTCTACAAGTGATCTCATACACTTCTCCAAATGTGCAATATGATCCTCTAGTGATTTAACATATGTGTTCGTGTACCTCTTTTTCCTCAGATCCTCTTCGTTAATATTACACTCAAGTCCTAACTTATCACAGGTGAAGCAAGGGTATTGGAGATCACACTTCTTCCTCCGCCTCCTGCAGTTTGAACATGCCAGTCTTTTCTTTGTAGGTCTTGATGTCACATTAGCACTGCTTTCTCTACTTGGGTTTCCACTGGTTTGTTCACTACCATTAGCCGATTTATCGTCATGGCCATCATTCACTTTTCGCTTTCTGCCGGGCACAGGATTAACAGGAACCACATTTATATCGAATAAAGAATGCTCATAGCTTGAACTAGTTTTGATATCCGAATGCACACGGGATTCTTCCATTACGAGAATACTCTAATTATTCCTACCTGGCACCAACCAACGCTATCCGAAAACTTCTTTATCTGTGCTTTGTCCTCAAATATGATCCTTATATTTAACTCTCTATAAGCAAAACTATTGGCTACCGCCTTGCAACCAAAATATTAACCTCTTGCCTTGCGTTTCACCCGTTTTACCAACGGTTTTGCTCGTTTTTATAATATCGAAACTTATCTGAGTCCAATATTTTGGTACTCATCGCCTATAATCCGATTGTTGACACATTTTTTTTCCTGATTTTTTGAGTTTTTCCAGAATCGCAACTCATCGCAGCAAGACTCTCTAATGGGTGCGTATAATTCTCAGCAAAAAAAAATTAAATGAGTGAAAATATTGCCTTACTGTTGATAAATTACTGGTTTGACAGCTTTTCACTTAAAGGTTAAGAGAATTTTACATATCGAATCACCTACATATAATATATACTTACAAGGGTTACGGTATAATATTCTGTTACATAAAATGCCCTCTTCAGTTCCGCAGACTTGGACGAGGGGAGAGGCTATAGCCGAAATCTATAATTCGTCGTCAAAGTATTGTTGTTCTTCATCTTCACCCTTGGATTTACTCTCAGGTACGTCAATAGGATCGTTCTCTAGAGCGATTAGCTTACTCTTTAGCTTTTTCATTTCTCTTGTGCTTACCTCTACAGTCTTCAAGGCACTCTTTCTCAAAGTACGTATTGGCATTTCTATCTGTATGTCGTTCAGTAAATCCTGGTCAATAACTTCTAGGGATTTGATATCCGCAGAGACTTGCTGGTAGTGGATTCTCAAGTAGTCTCCACCACCTAGGCTTCTCAAAACATCTAAATCAACCAAAATGAAGGGCTCAACGGAGTGGAAGACTAAACTGTGCTTCTGAATTTTCTCTGCCCAGTGACCTTCACTCCAATAACCCTTACCTTGTGCCTTTGGCATTGCAATAGCTCTTTTCAAAGTCATGTCGTAAACAGAGGTTAAGTTGTAGGTATCCATGTTTGGACCTATCAATAGCACTTTAGAGACATTGGATGGGAATAATAGGTCCAAAAATAGCAACTTCGAAATAGCCAGTCTCTTTTGTCTAAAACGTTGAGGTCTTAACCAGGGTGGCCATTCGTATTTTACAAATTCCACGTGAATTTCTCTACCAGGTAATAGTTTGTTCAGCAAACGCCCATAGTCTCTGAATGACTCTGTGATACTAGGTTCATCCCATATATAGAAGGTGACAGGACGTTCCCCGGTGGTAGCTATTATCTTTAACATAGTCTCCTTCATTTGTTCCTCCTCTTCATGATTAGCTATGGTAGTAAAAAAATTCACAGTTTCTGTATCTGGGTTAATCTCCTTCTTTTCTTTTACCTTACTGACCTTGACAAAGAGAGAGTTTGGTAAATTTGTTCTCCAATGAATTCTATCAGTTGGCGTATAATCAGATTTCGCATTCAATTCATACGAATCGACACGATATCTACTGTCACAGGACTCAACAACATATGAATCTCCAAGGTTTGGAATAGTCAATTCCGCAAAACCATAAGTCCGCATCGTGGTCGTCTTATCAATAATGTTACCTTTACTATCACGTAGCATCAAACAAACATCTCTCTCCCCTTCTACTATTCCAATTGTCACCATTTGATCTGCTGCATAATTATGAACTTCCAATACATGCCCAGATAATTTATCATGCTCATCAGTTCTAACGTACCATGGTTTATCCAAAGTATATTCAAATCCGCCACTCTTCAATACTGTCGTGCTACTCATATTTTCGAAATATATTCTGTTATTTGGGACAAGTGTAATATTCTGAGTACAATATAATATCAGGTTGATATTTACAAACGGTAAATCCATGACTTGATTGGCCAATGTCAAAAACTTTTGTGATCTTTCTTCAACGGGATCAACAATCAAAGTAATATCGACAGGCTTTTCGTCTGCATGTTGTCTGAAAGTGGTAATATTATTAGCAACAAACAAAGATCTCAAATTCATTCTGGGAACAGAAGTCTCAGTTGAGAATGGAAGAGAACCTTCAATCGAGTTGGCTCCATGATAAAACATTTTTGTCATGAAGGATGATAGAGACTCAATGAATTCTGGTTCAATAGTTTTCTCTGAAAAATCTGGAAACACCTCTTCCAAATTATATAGTAAGTCAATTGTTCTTTTACTTTCATGAACTAAGAGAGACTCGATATCTGATATGGTGGGAATGTCCTCCTCATTCATAAGGCTGACCCTCCCATTAACCAATAAAAGTGGACCGTTGGACAATTCAGAAAAGCTGACGTCTGGTAAAACTTTAGTTAAAATAGGCAAGCGATACTTGCCTACGCCATTAGAAGATTTGCATTTGTTATTCAATTTAATTTTTGAAACTTCATTGACAATATTCTTACCCTGATAAAATTTATTCCAACAGGAGCTGCTTCCAATATCCCCAGTGTGAATAACTCTAAACTTCAACCCATTAAATTTGACACCTACAATATTCTTCAATCTTATTAAGGCATTTTCGGTATTGAAGTCATCAATCAGAGTTATCGTATGAATTATGTTATGACCAGTGTCGTTAATATTCTGTATAACACGATTACTAATCTCTTTTAAAAAGGATTCATTCACTCTAGTATAAGCAGCCTCAATAAAATAGTCCTTTATAAATTTAGTATTTCTCTTCGATAACGACTTTAAATGAAGGAGTCCTCTAATATCAACATCATCAGCTGTTTGCTTGTTTAGTTTCCCAAGTTCTTCTTTAATATAAGTTACATCCTTTTTCATAACATGTGAAACCAAGTAGTTCCAAGTATTTTTTCTGAATGGGAAGATATTTCCATTGATGATGATAGAAGTTGAGTTAATTGACAGCTCTTTTCTAACATGATCATAATCAGGAAGTTTTTTAAAATTCGATTCCCTACCGAAGTTTAGTTCCAAAATATCTTGCAAATAGTCTACTACATCCTCCAAGTTCTTCTTACTTTTTAGTTCGTATATCTTTCTTATAATTCTTTTATTTCCAGAGGATGAAAATGGGATCAAACCAATTCTTTGAGGGTAACCATTTTGTACAATTTGAATTGCTCTCAACATCCCTCCAAGAGCTTCTCTAGCATCAACATCGGCCTCAATCTTATCGAAGTCAATAACAAAGACCAATTCATTCCAGTTTTGCTTAAACTCCGGAAGAATTCCATACTTGGATTCTTTGAAGAAAACTTCAACGTTTTCACTGAAGTCTTCATATTGAATATCTTTTTCTATGTCGTTGAAATATATCACAGATTCAGAAAAACCTTGAATTCTGTGGGTATCTACTTTAACAGGCTGTAAAAACGACAGATTTGGAATAGAGGACATAGAGAATAAGTCCATTAACCTTTTCACATTTTGAAGAGAAACGTCAGGGATAGCTTTCTTTAATGTTTCATGAATCCCAGTAATGAAGTCAAGTTCAGTCCTCAAGACATGTAACAGGCTATTTATATATGTCTGAGTGATCTTCAAATACTGTCCATTAACGTAAAGACCAAGCATATTATGGTCAATATTATTCTTTTTCAAAGACTTATTAGATTCATTGATATATGTATCAAATTCCTTTATCTTTAGCATTTGTGGCATGATCAGAGGCAATGAATTACACAACTTTTTGGCATACTTAAAAGTTTCAACAAAATTGTGACCTGTAGTTGAAAAGAATACAGAGATGGCACTAATCAGCTTATAATCTAGTTTTTCCAGCTCCTCAACCACCAGGTTTTCTAAATCCTTTGCTTTTGGCTGAGCAACACGGTCAGGAAGATCCAATTCAATTCCTGAGTTTAAAACATTCTCAATTGTTTGCAAGCCTGTTACCGTGATACCAACAGGGAATTTGTTCTCATCTTGTGACTTTTGCGGAACGCATGTGCTTCTCCAGACATATCTCAGTTTCTTGTTTTCAGTAGCTTCGAGGTAAAGGGTTCTACTAAACTGTTCGTACTCATCCTCATTATCGGGACAACCATAGAATATGACCAATGGCAGTCTTTCACCATCTGAGTTAGTGGCATCTCCAATTACAACATCATGGGAGTCAATGATTGTGGCATCCTCTACTGCAGCCTGCGCAGCAAGATCCCCTGATTTGAAATAGTATATTTTGTCAGGTTCGGTGTAGTTTTCACCATTGAGAACCACAAAATTAGACCCTGGTTGAACTCCATAATCGTTGAGATAACCCATGGGATACTCCTGAGCAAACTTGTAGAACAATGCTGCAAAATCAGGGTCATTGTATTTACCCTTAACAATGTCGCGACACTCTTGTGCCAACTTTCCAGCGCCAACAGCTTGCTCATCTACACCAGAGACCAGCGGGTACAGACCTGTAAGAATCTCATGCTTATTACCACCAAGCCAGCTCAATAGCGTCCACACCTGCGCACGCTCATTGACCACAACGGCCATGGAACGCACCACAGTCAACTGCAAAAACAGCAACAACCAGTACTTCATTTTGCAACTCAATTCTTCGCTCTTGCACTCTAAGAGGAAACCAACAACACCTTGATACTAAGTAATAAAGGAACGATAGGCTTTCCATTTAAATAGATTGTTCTGCCATTGCTAATAGCACTGGTTCAGTTGCCCTTACAAGCCATTATTGATTGACGTAAGCATTCTCATGATTTTGGCAGTGGAATTTGCAGATTTCCGGGTAAATTATAGGTTTTCCTCTTTCAGAACCATTCCTATCTTTCTTTCTTTTTTCTGAAAATTTTCTGAATTTTTTTTTTTCAGAAAATTTTTCAAAAATAATGCGATGAGCTATACAGTATTATTGGTAATATCATGCTATTCTGGACTTGCTATGATCCCACCCCACCATAGTTTCTTTTCTCTTTCTTTTGCAGTCTACTCTCAGGTTCTGTTTCTTTCTGCGTTACACTAATCTCTTGTGTAATAATAATTGCTTTGGCGGAGTTCCTTTCTTTTTTGCGTGCAACATACGTGTGTGAGTGAGTGCAAGACGGAATATATATATCATTTGGTGTATTTGACGTTTGAATAGAAGTTAATTTTTTTTATTAGGTTTTAAGTTCAACCTGTGTGTGCTTTTCGGATAAGTTTTACATTTTTAAAGACGTCTTTATTAAGATTATTTCGTGTTAATACTAGGTGGCACACGACCTATACCAAGAGCAAGATGACTATTGGAGACAAGCAGAAATGGACTGCTCATAACGTCAGAAAGACGTTCATGGACTACTTCGAGGAGAAAAACCACAAGTATGTGAAGTCCTCCCCAGTGGTTCCCTTTGATGACCCAACCTTGCTGTTCACCAACGCGGGTATGAACCAATACAAACCTATCTTTTTGGGTACCGTCGATCCTTCTTCAGACTTCTACACTTTGAAGCGTGCTTACAACTCACAAAAGTGTATCAGAGCTGGTGGTAAGCACAACGACTTGGAGGATGTCGGTAAGGACTCCTACCACCACACTTTCTTTGAAATGTTGGGTAACTGGTCCTTCGGTGACTACTTCAAGAAGGAGGCTATCGACTACGCTTGGAAACTATTGACTGAGGTCTACGGAATCCCAGCTGACAGATTGTACGTAACTTACTTTGAAGGTGACGCCAAGCAAGGTCTAGAACCAGACACTGAGGCCTTGGACCTATGGAAGAAAGTAGGTGTTCCAGAAGACCACATTTTGCCAGGTAACGCCAAGGATAACTTCTGGGAAATGGGTGACCAAGGTCCATGTGGTCCTTGTTCCGAGATCCACTACGACAGAATTGGTGGTAGAAACGCCGCCTCTTTGGTCAACCAAGATGACCCTGATGTCCTAGAAGTTTGGAACTTGGTCTTCATGCAATTCAACAGAGAACAAGACGGCTCTTTGAAATCACTACCAGCAAAGCATATCGATACCGGTATGGGTTTCGAAAGATTGGTGTCTGTTTTACAAGATGTCAGATCCAACTACGACACCGACGTTTTCATGCCACTTTTCGCTAGAATTCAAGAGATTACCGGTGCTAGACCATATGCTGGTAAGTTTGGTGACGAAGACAAGGACAACATCGATACCACTTACAGAGTCCTAGCTGACCACGTCCGTACTTTGGTTTTCGCTTTGGCTGATGGTGGTGTTCCAAACAATGAAGGTAGAGGTTACGTCCTGAGACGTATTCTAAGAAGAGGTGCTCGTTTTGCTCGTAAGTACATGAACTACCCAATTGGTAACTTTTTCTCCAGCTTGGCTCCAACTCTTATCGACCAAGTGAAGCACATCTTCCCAGAAGTTGCCAAGGACCCATCTTTCCTATTCGAAATTTTGGATGAGGAAGAAAGTTCATTCTCTAAGACCCTAGACCGTGGTGAAAGAATATTCGAAAAGTATGCTGCTGCCGCATCTCAAACTGAATCTAAAACTCTAGACGGTAAGCAGGTTTGGAGACTATATGACACATACGGTTTCCCAGTTGATTTGACCGAATTGATGGCTGAAGAACAAAACCTAAAGATCGATGGTCCGGGCTTCGAGAAGGCCAAACAAGAATCATACGAAGCTTCTAAAAGAGGTGGTCAAAAGGGTGGCGATGACCTAATAAAATTGAATGTTCACTCTATTGCCGAACTAAATAGCGAAAACGTTCCAAAGACTGATGACAGCTTTAAGTATGGTAATGAGAATGTGGAAGGTAAAATCTTGAAACTTCATGATGGTGAAAAGTTCGTTACTGAAATCTCAGAGCCAGGTAAGAAATATGGTATCATTTTGGACAAGACTTGTTTCTACGCCGAACAAGGTGGCCAAGAATACGATACTGGTAAGATTGTGATTGATGATAAGGCTGAATTCTCAGTTGAAAATGTCCAACTATACAATGGTTTTGTTTTCCACACTGGTACATTAAGTGAAGGTAAACTTTCTGTCGATGACGTTATCATTGCATCCTATGATGAATTACGCCGTTTCCCAATCAAAAACAACCATACTGGTACTCACATCTTAAACTACGCTTTAAAGGAAACTCTTGGCAACGATATCGATCAAAAGGGTTCGTTAGTTGCCCCAGAGAAACTGAGATTCGATTTCTCTCATAAGAAGGCTTTGACCATTGAAGAAGTTACTAAGGTTGAAAACATCTGTAATGAGCAAATAAAAAACAATTATAACGTTTACTACAAAGACGTTCCATTAGACTTGGCTAAATCCATCTACTCTGTCCGTGCTGTATTCGGTGAAACTTATCCAGATCCAGTCCGTGTGGTTTCTGTTGGTAAGCCTGTCGATGATCTTCTTGCCAACCCATCGAACGAAGAATGGGGTAAATACTCCATCGAATTCTGTGGTGGTACCCACGTTAAGACCACTGGTGACATCAAGTACTTTGTTATCCTCGAAGAGAGCGGTATTGCCAAGGGTATTAGAAGAATTGTTGCTGTTACTGGTACTGAAGCATTTGAAGCTCAAAGAGTTGCTGATCAGTTCGCCGCTGACCTAGAAGCTGCTGACAAACTTCCATTTTCTCCATTGAAAGAAAAGAAATTGAAAGAGCTTGGAGTTAAATTAGGTCAACTTTCTATTTCTGTTATCAGCAAGAACGATTTGAAGACTAAGTTCACCAAAATCGAAAAGGTAGTAAAAGATGAAGTTAAGAGCAGAGCCAAGAAGGAAGCTAAATTAGTATTGGATGAAGTCAAGGGTCATTTTACTGAAAACCCTGAATCCCAATTCTTTGTTAAGTTCATTGATGTTCCTGCCAATGCTAAGGCTATTACGGAAGCTGTTAATTACATGAAGACTTCCGCCAAGGACAAATCTATGTACCTGATTACTGGTAATGACCCAGAAGGAAGAGTTGCTCATGGATGTTTCATTTCTGATGTTGCTTTAGAAAAGGGTATTGCTGGTCAAGAACTAGCTGGAAAGGTTTCAGGTATCATTGGCGGTAAAGCTGGTGGTAAGGGTAATGTTTTTCAAGGTGTTGGTGACAAGCCAGCTGCTATTAATGATGCAATTAATGAAATTACTACCGCTTTTAAGGAAAAATTGAGCATTTAGGATGAATACTTTACAGTGATATTCTTTATTTATCAATCTTTATATGTATATATATTGTATGATTGCAAACTATCTATGATAAATTCAAAAAGTTAGTTAATATGTTTTGATAAACCTAAATTTTATTAAGATTTGTTGGTCTCTAACTAAAATGCAAATTTTTGTTCTATGTACAAAAGATCAAATGAATATCTATAATATGTTAATAATAGTTTAGTTTACTTCTTTTCATCCATGAGCCACTTCCAAATAACATCTCTATCTTGTTTATTCCAAATAGGCTGACCATTTGAATCGGGGTTCTTTCTCCATTTAAACAAACCTCGAATACGTGCCAAGGCAGGTCTTAGTGTGGAATTTGTCTTCATGTTATAAGAAGCTTGTGATGGGTTCGATGACTTTAGCATGGTTAATTTCGTTACTGACTTCAATGCCTTGAAGTTAGCTCTAGTTACAAGATAGGCCGAAAGAATAGAAAACACTACAACAGCTCCAAAACCTAAATAACTTTCTTCAATAAAGTTCTTTAGATTCATACCGTAAAATGCTGGCACTAACGTAGCCACTGTGAACCCCAATGTATATATTGTGATTTTTAGCTCTAAAAGCATAAGTGAATTTCTGTTTGCATCCAGAATTATATTAACGATTTCCTCCGTTGATTTAATATCCTGGATCAGTGATTCTGCCTGTTGAACATATTCATCACATTGAGTATAGTACGTCTCTAATAGCATTTCCAGGTCTGAAAAATCATCCTCTTCTGTTTTCTTAACAGTTAGATACAAACTTGCCAAGTCATCGTCACTTTCCAATAATTCATCAAGAACCTCTCTAATAAGTAATGACTTTTGATAAAATAAAGTTAGGTTTTTGGATTTAATCAGTAGTTCTCTCAGTTTATCTCTATTAACTTCGTTTTCCAAGTCAATCAATATTTGCCCACAAATTGAGTAATGTAGTTTGAATTCCGCCTCTAACGAGCTCATAATATTAATTAGAATACTTTCCAGAGCTCGGTGCTCGTAATACTGTACTTGTGTACCCATTTTAGGTGACAGCTTTGACTCCAAGTCATACATTAATACACCAAGTTTAACAGCAGATGATGGATCCACTGTATCGAAAACATAAACTCTATCCTTTTCTATTAAAGCCTTTATATGCAGCATATTCAGAACGATACAGTTGTTGGGCTTGACTTGAATACTGGGTATAATATCAACAGACGATGTATCTATCTTTCGTAAATCTCTGGGATATAGGGCATGCTTCCGTAGGAATTCCCATTTCTGAAACTTCTTCGAAACCGCTACTATTGCACCTTTTGAGTCAAACACAGTACTAGATATAAAACTGTCATTTGGTGTAATCGGTTTCAGGGAAAGAAGCTGCTGGTGTGCTGATGGAAAAGCACCGACATTTGACGATTCTGGTTTGTTCAATAGCGGTATTGTCTTCTTACCCTGAGGCGATCTATTCCCCCCTCTCGTTGATATCAATCTATATCCAATGGGCTTCGATACTGGCTGGCATACCGCTTGTCGCAGGCACCACGGTATCAATCGATAGCGAACTAAAGGTCTCATTCTTTATGCAGTAGACCAGGGAAGAGTAAGTAGTTTCTTACTATGCTATCTGTATTTGCTATTCTGATATGTTCTTCTGTAACCGAAATATCTCTTTTGCTCGAGTCATATTATCTACAGTTCTATATCAATAATTGAATTTTTTCAGTGCTCTGCGGGTGCTATTCGCTATTAGGTGAAAATTGAATGACACCTAGAATGAATGAATACTAGGAAACTACGAAGTGGTGGTCAATGCCTTGTTGTTACCTATGGAACACATGTATTGTTCTATATATGTTTTAATAGATCCTATATATGTTTGCGATGCATCGTATTACCTGTCCAATCCTGGAACGTAAATGTTTCCAAACTGTATGCGATACATCTGAGTTTTCTAAATTAACGAAAGAGACCGAGTTCATATTACAGGCTGAGGAGACAAGGTCACTTCAGTCAAAGAACTTCCTAGTCTTTGAAGGACCAAAGATCTCCAGTCTAATAGCGGGCAAAGCTTCTTGGCTCAAAATGTGCAATCTCTCAGTCAAGCTGTTGTTGACCTCAATTCTTCCTTCTGAGTCAGAGACGATGCAACCACCGATTGCGTTCTCCTGTAGGAAGTTGTCCTCAGCGATAGAGACTTCAATGTCGCGTCCCTTGACTGTGTCTTTGTAACTCTTCACAATATCGTCTATTAGCTTTGAGTCCTTGCCGAACTTCTTGTAATCCTTCTCGGTGAGTCTCACCACCACGGCAGGCTCTAGAAGCTTAATCATACCTTCCACAACCAGAGCCACTAGGATATCACGGTACTTGCCCGTGGAGACCAGCTCAGAGAGCCTGCTCTTGGCCTCGTCGAATATATCGTTCAGAGACTCCTCCCTGCAGTTCAACGCCTTCAGTCTCATCTTGTTGGAGATGGTCGACTTCGTAATCTGCTGCTGCAAAGTGATCTTCTTGCGGCGCGCGCTGAAATTGCTGTCTATAGCACTCGTCTCCGCACGCACAATCCCCGTCTTCTTGATCTCGTACTCCTGGTCCGCCTTCAACTGGATCTCCTTCGCCTTCTCCTCGGCCTCCTTCCGGATGAAAGCCTGCATCTTGTTCAGCTCATCGTTCACCTGGTTGGGCGTAAGCGCCGTTATCATAGACATCGCAAAACGTTATTTTACTCCTGCCGCTTCCACTTCCAGACCAATTACTGCACGTACCCTCTAGATAACTTGCCCTCTTGTTATACATCTTAGATCTTAGCCACAATCCCTCAAAGGTTTGGGTTCCACCCCGGAAGCCCTTGCTGCCGGTCATATCCTACGTCACTGCTAAACTAGAGATTACCCGGCCATAATGGCTAGACCTCCTCTCATACCTCTGAGACGCCTCACAGCTTTCCAGCAACCCACAGCTTCCAGCACAACGTACCCTTTCTGCTACTGGATGCGTCCTGGGTAGTGCCAAGTTGCTAGCGCCAGATCCACTGTGCTTATACTGCTTCTACCCCCCCACCTCAAACTGCGAAACTCAATTTTAGGGCTTGTTGAGCTACGAGCCTTTCCGGGCTTCTTTGTTTTTAGGGCTTGTTGTATATTAAGTATGTGTACCCTAATATACCTTGGAACGACTAACAACAATTTTAGGGCTTTTTCAAACTTCTTCGGGTTCCCTCATCGGGCGGCCGATTTGGTAAACAAAAGGCACAGTGCAGTGCTACTTTACCGCCGAGTGGTATTTGTTGGTGGATGGCTGGGGGGAGAGGGAACCAGTAACGGGTGCAGAAACAGAGAAAAAACGTTTAGTGTTTAGGGAGCTGAAGAATACAACTGCAGGAGAAATGTTGTGTGCTTTGCGAGCGCGCGCGCAAGTGGGCGTGCGGCTGCCGCTGCCGCTGCCGCTGCTGCTGCGGGTGCCGAATATGGCTCTGCCAGTCACAGTGCGGTGGGCGCATGTGGGTGAGGGCAGCGCAGCGCCGCCCGAGCAGCCGCGAACCAATCCGCTGGGAATACAGTATCTGAGTGAGTCGTTGCAGCAGCAGGTTTTCCCCGGTGCGACAGGGCACAGCGAGGATCCCGAGCTTGTGAAGCTGGCGAAGTTGTCGCTGAGTAACCACGATCTGCTTGGCAGGAAGACTACAATTACAAAACCGATTGCGTTCAAATTACCGGAATTGCAAGGCAGCTCGCTAGATGAGCATTTCCAAAGACTGGGCCTGTATGCATCCGAGCCATACAGAACGATGGCCCTCGAAAAGTTCAAGTCGATACCAGAAAAACCGAAAAATTGGATAAGAAAACCAGGGTGGTACAGGTACGAAAAGGGGAAAGAACCCACAAGAGTAGATTTTCCATCGGAGGACACGCTGGTGTTCGATGTCGAGACATTGTACAAGATATCACCATATCCAACGTTAGCTACAGCGGTCTCCGACAAGGCTTGGTACCTATGGTGCTCACCATATATCTGTGATCCCAAGGACTCAGATAAGCACGAAGTATATGAACATTTAATACCAATGGACACGCTGAACAAGGAGAAATTGATTATCGGCCATAATGTCGGCTATGACAGAGGGAGGGTGCTGGAAGAATATAATCTAAAGCCATCGAAGGCTTTCTTCATAGATACATTGTCTTTGCATGTAGCGACAGCAGGTTTGTGCTCCAGGCAAAGACCACTGTTCCTGAAAAATAAGAAATTGAAAGAGAACCTCACCGCCGAACCGGAAGAAATTGAAGAGGTCACCGAGGCATTGGAATTGAATGATGTTGCAGATCCGTGGCTCAAAGTATCTACCATGAATGCATTGTCTGATGTTGCGCTGTTTCATTGTGGTATCAAAATGGATAAAACTACAAGAGATTATTTTGCATCTACAAACAAACAAGATGTTATCGACAAGTTCCAATTGCTGGTCAATTATTGTGCAACTGATGTCATTACCACTAGTAAAGTGTTCGATAAAGTTTTTCCTTCTTTCATGAAAAAATGCCCTCATCCTGTATCATTCGGAGGCCTCAAAGCCCTAAGCTCTTGTATCCTACCGACAGATCAAATTAAATGGCAGAATTATATTAAAAATTCAGAAAACAAGTACCAGGACTCAAAGAAGGTAATTGACGATAAGATTATTGAAATAGTACAAGAGACTGTAAAACTAAAGGATCAAAAGGGCTTCCAAGATGTTATAAAAACAAATCCTTGGCTGAGACAATTGGACTGGGAAATAAAACCACTAAGATTGACCAAAAAAGGAGTCCCTGTAAAAAACCAAAAATTACCTGGCTACCCGGAGTGGTATAGGTCACTATTCCCAAATAAAGAGGCCGAGCTACCTCAAATAACCATGAGGTCAAGAATCATTCCTCTATTTTTCAAACTATCATGGGAAGATTCACCCGTGATTTGGACTGAAGATTGTGGTTGGTGCTTCATAAAACCTAAATCTCAAGAGAAACAATACAAGGATAAGAATTACAGACTTGCTGATGAGGCAACTATCAAGAACCATTTTGAGAAACTAGTTGAAATGGGTCAATATAAAAAAACAGATATTGGCAATGACTTACTTTTCAAAGTTCCTCACCCTAATGGCCCTGACAACAACTGTACAACACTATTGAGCAAACCCTATGTGCACTTCTTTGAGAAAGGAATTTTAAAATCAGAATCTGAATTAGCTTCTATTGCTTTGAAAATGAATGCGTCGGGATCATATTGGATGTCTGCTAGAGAAAGAATCATGTCTCAATTTGTTGTACCCAAAGAAGACTTTCCTGAACAATTCCTACCAATTAAAGTAGGCAAGGATCTAAAACCAACTGAAAGTTCACAAGCCATCATTATTCCGCAGATCATTCCAATGGGGACAGTAACAAGAAGAGCGGTGGAAAGCACATGGCTCACTGCGTCAAACGCAAAGAAAAACAGAATTGGCTCAGAGTTAAAAGCACAAATTTGTGCTCCCGAAGGATACTCATTTGTTGGTGCTGATGTTGATAGTGAAGAACTATGGATTGCCTCATTATTCGGTGATTCTGTGCTGCGAATACATGGCGGTACTCCAATAGGATGGATGTGCCTTGAAGGTACAAAAGCAGAAGGAAGTGATTTACATACCAAAACCGCCCAAATATTAAGTTGTGACAGGAATGAGGCGAAAATTTTCAATTATGGTAGAATATATGGTGCTGGTGTTAAATTTGCTTCGCAGCTATTAAAGAAATTCAACCCAACTTTGAGCGAAAAGGAGGCAAAGGAAACAGCAGTGAAGTTATATGAAAGCACTAAGGGTAAGACTAAAAGATCTAAAGTTTTTAAGAAATTTTGGTATGGAGGTTCTGAGTCAATACTTTTTAATAAATTAGAGAGCATTGCTGAACAAGATAATCCCATGACACCGGTTTTAGGCTGTGGTATCACTAACTCACTGATGAAGCAAAACTTAAAAGCTAATTCATTCCTACCATCTAGAGTTAACTGGGCAATCCAATCATCTGGTGTTGATTATCTACATCTATTGTGCTGCTCCATGAACTATCTCATTTCAATGTATAACATTGAAGCACGCCTGATAATATCAATCCATGATGAAATTAGATATTTGGTGGCGGATAAAGACAAATATAAGCTCGCACTAGCTCTGCAAATAAGTAATTTATGGACTCGAGCGATGTTTGCAGAGCAAATGGGAATACGTGAGCTTCCTCAGAACTGTGCTTTCTTTTCCGCGATTGATATTGACAAGGTATTGAGAAAAGAAGTTGATCTTGATTGTGTGACACCATCTAATGAAATTCCGATACCCTTTGGTGAATCTATAGATATTGTAAAATTACTGGAAAGACCCGAATGCCATTTAGAACTCCCGAGAGAGACTGTTGATTTGTCCAAATTTGGTTTCAAAAAACGAGAACCTGTATTTGTGAAATATAATAATAACTATTCTGCTGATTTTCTGAAATATTTTTTAAAAATGCAAATTCAGACCACTAGTTGGAAAGTATCAAAATTAGAAGAAGAATATATACAGAACCAGACAGAGAAGGATATGACAAATGAAGACCGCTTAGAGTATGGATTCTTAGATTATCTAAGTGATGTTAAGAAAGGGAAGCGAGATAAATTGACGATTATGAGCAAAGCGTTCATTTCGGATGCGTTATCTAGCCGAGGTTTAGATTTGGATGCACAATTAAATCTGGATCCAAGTAAGACTGAAACTATCCATAACATCACATCAGATGATAAATCAAGGTTACAAGCTCAAGAGGATTTTTCTTTATTACACGATTCTGTGTCTACCTTAGAACATATAGATACCAAGTCTCCAACTAGAGAAAAAGCGACAACTATATCAACAGCTTCGTTAGAAATCAATACTAATAGTAAGAAAGGACGGAGACGGACTGGAAGGCTATTAGAAAGAAAATACAACAAAGTTATCGGGGGTAAAAATGCATTCGACGCCTTTTACGCATCAATAGACCAACCGAAGAAATTTGTGGAACTACAAGAGCAACGCATAATCAATGAAGTAATACACGATATCATTGAAGGAAGGGAGGACACGCCAACAAAAAAGCCCAGGCAATCAAAGCCCAAATCTACCACGCCAGTGCCAAGAGCCAAGCAACGTACCCATCCTTTTACAGAGAACCTCGTCAAGGGTTCAACACATTTAACTAAATAATATTCTTTATTGTATTTCTAACTGTGATTTCTTTTAATAAATATGACTTGATTCAAGACTTATTTTCTAGTTCGTATCCTTACTTATAAAATGCAAACTTGCAGAACACCAAAGCTGATCACGCTAACCAACACTACCATTCTTAAGACTCAAATAAAACTATCCGACATCAGTTCATTTACTAGGCACTATTATGATTATGGGCAGCCATTTATAAGCCGAATGTCACTGAAACGTCGGAGTGAGCTGAAAAACTAAGAAAAAATGGATGGATAGGGATGAACCTGAGAAACTGAAAAAAGATCAGCAATAGTACAGCAATACGCCCTTGAATTGACTTTTTGACACAACATCAAACTGAACAATAGATATAGCCTTTATTTGCAATTCTTATCATCATTGAATTAATATTATTTGGTATCACTAGTACACTAAATATAAGTGCAGGATCATTGAATAACTCTGTTATTTTATTAAGGGGAATTAGAGCCAGATCATTGTATTCAGGTTATTTACAGTTGTCTACTTTGTGTTAGCTAAAATTTGTTAAAGACATTATTACGGGCAATATACCTTTTTACTGGATACTCCGGTATTATATTTTATGAGCAAATTGAAGAATCCTCATTTCGTTGATAGATTTTGTTAGACACTAGAAACCGAATAACGATAATGTCCTTTGACTGGCTGAATGTTCCGGGATTGAACACTGCCACTGATGACAGACAGAATAGCACCTTGCCAACTGTGTCTTTTGATTTCGGTGTTACTGATGATTCAAGTAAAGAGCAAGGAATGCATTTCCTTGATGAAACTATGAAAAGCAGCAGTGATCCGTCTTTGGTTAGAAAGCTGGATGAAGCTAACAGTAAACTTGATGTACCTCCCGTTTCCGGCGCTTACTTGCAACAGAACGGATTACATCGTTCTCAGGAAGCACTGGCAACTGAGGAAGATCACAAAACACAGAAGTCAAACATCAATGGAAATCGTTATCACAATCCAATTCATGAAGAAGAAGATTCATACGTTGAAACACCCGATGACTTGAGAGTACCACTCTCACTATCACAAAACCAATTAACGCACGAAGAGCTTCGAACCTACATTAGGTGGTACAACTATATTACTGCCAGAACTCATGGAAAATTAATAAAGCTGGCAGATGTATTCCAATTTTTAGCAAATTTTAATGTCAGAGAAGAGTTGAAGAAAAGAATATTTAAGATATTTAGGAGTTGTAAAAACGCTCTGAACATCGGCCAATTTTTTGCGGTTTTAAGGCTGCTTGCAAGAGCTATGCTGGAGGATATGCTACCTAGTAGAAAGATGATCCTAGAGAAAGCTCCAATACCGAGACCGAGACCAATTTTGAATAAAGAAGGTGGAAATGAATTTTATGAAGAAGTTGAAGAAGATGTACCAGCTTCAAGTGGAACTACAACTTCAAATAATCAACCACCTGGAGAAAAAGTTGACTTTGATTCTTTCGCATCTTTATTACTTACTGGAAAAACAGTTAGAAAGAGGATCAGGCGGAAGGTTAAGAATTCTGTATTCAAGAATAAAAAGGTGAGATTTGCAGAAAAGGTTACATTTCAAGACGCACCACATTACGGCAAAGACAAACAGAATAAGGACACATCTACCACTACTGACGATGACTCTTCTTATGTGAGTACCGATGAGCCTTTAGACTTATCACTGCCTATGGATCAACTACTCAAAGTGATTGCCAAAAGGAAAAAGAATAGCGCTTTGGTATCATCGGTTCCTACAGAACAACAGGAAACCGAAGAAGAAAGAGAGATCTTAAGCGATATGAAAGACTCACTGTCACATTTCAAACAAATCCAGGGACCTGATTCAGTCACACAAATCCCACCTTTGGTTGCACAAGGACAACAATCTACCATCTTTAATACCGGTTATAAAGTGACAGGTGATCAACCACCAGCCCAAACAACTAGCCAACCTCAAGAGCCTGTACTAGAGCCACTCAAACCAACTGCAACAGGTTCAGCTAATCATTTAATGAAATCACATATGAGCCCAAATAGTATACCAGGTGCGTTTGATAGCCAACCTGTTCAGGTACCAGCGATACAGGCTACTTCCTCGGACGTCCTAGAACCACTTAAACCTACGGCTACTGGATCTGCAAATTACTTAATGAAACAACAATTCAAACCAGTCGATAACCAACAAACTTCCGGTAATATTGGCCATGTTGCTTCACCGCAACCAGTTGGTGTGACATTTCAAAGTACAGGTAATCAATTAAATCAACCAACACATCTGGATCTACGGAATAGATCTCCTCTTCAAAATCTACCCCACCAATCTCAACAACAACATTTAGTCCCGCAAGCAGTAAATTCTCAACCACAGCAACAGCAGCTGCATCAACAAGGAATCTTACAGCCCCAGGTACATCAAAGTACGCAACAACATATCAACAATTCTTTACAACAGCATTTGCCCAATAACAATCCAACTAATTTGTCCGCGCCCAATGCAAATTTGAATTCTCCGCCTTTGGAATCACCAGGAATGTTGTATGCAAGCAACGCTGCATCAAATTATTTCCAATCACTATTATCTAATTCTCCATCACCTAATGCTAGCCAGGCCAACATTCATACTACCATAAACTCGAATATGTCATCAGGAATTCAACCCAATAGGCAACCAAATGTACAGTCTAATGCCAATGGCCACTTAAGCCCAAATGTGTCTTACGGTAATAACATGCAAATGTCAACTCAAGGCCTGCAAAACCAGGGGTCCAATATGCAACAAATGCAAAGCCAACAACTGCCAGTCTATTCCAACCCAACAGGGACCACTAATTACCAATATCCAGGACCAGGGAGCTTACAGAGACAAAACTCTCAGCCAGTCAATTCTCAGGCTCATAGACCATCCTTCAGCTCCATGCTACCACCTCAACAACAATATTTCCAATCCGATACACAGAACACCAACTACCAGAATCAAGGGCATGCGAACCAGCACATTCCTATAAATAACAACAATCAAAGCTACCACAACATGCAAAATATCCCAACTGGACAGATGTCTACACAAGATATACTAGGCGACCTGCAATCGTTAAAGAATCAAGTTGATGCCCTACAGAACCAATATGGCCGTTTATAGCCCCAGAAAAGATCGTTACGATTCGCTAGAGCGATGAGTCTCTGGTTATACTCAATGATATTGATATTGTATTTAAATGATTGGCACCATGCTAGTCTACCATACCACACGTTTATAGTTTTGCATTTAGAATATAGTTCCCACTAGTATAAATCAAGAACATTTTATCACTAATCGTTAAACATACCATCAGCGTGTATATTAGGCTGGCAATTCCGGAATATATAGACTCTGTTTAACCACCACAGTACCCATCCGGATCGACGGTATGGGATATGTGATTTACGATTTATTTACCGGAAAGTTTATTCTCAGACAAAGTGACGTGGGCAACCAGAGGGCAGTTTTGGTTAGTAGAGAAACCATTATCAAAGGAACAGTACTCAAACCTACGACACATTGTAACAAACATCTTAGTTGATACGACTAACCGTCTCTCAACAATTACCATAAGCTTAGTATATTTAACTAGAAGATACGTCATTTTTCATTTTCCATGAGATTCTTATGTTTCTTTTTATGAAAAAATAATGATTTCACTGCGATGAGTTTGGCATTGTATTTTGATAGGACTCTTTGCAAACATAGTTGTTGGCCAACTTGACGGGTGGTAACCTGCTAGTGAACTACTAGTTTTAGATACAGGAAAAGCAATTCACAGTTTAGGGTTAGAACCTAATGTGTGTAGTTTAGATCGATTCATAGTAAGAACTGTGTGAGTATCTGTTCGTCGGATACTATTATCATTACCTAATATCCGGTTACTACTATGACGGGTATATTCGGAATAGTTCGGGTAGAGTAAAGTATGGCTCAATGTGAATCCTTGGTATTGTCATTATGTAAATACACAAATAACTGGGCATCTTCGATTTAGAGGGGTAAACTATATTTCGGACCTCTCACATATAAAAGGGATCCCAAAATAGCGATATTGATCGATACCTCTCGCAATGGTTTGTCAATTTCAAATTAAATGCAATAGCAAACACCATCAATTGGATCAACAATCTACAATACAGATAATAATTTAAATCATGACTGCTGCTAATAACAACACTACTGTTTTTGTCTCCGGTGCTTCCGGTTTCATTGCTCAACACATCATCAGACAATTGCTAGACCAGAACTACAAGGTCATTGGTTCTGTTAGATCTACAGAGAAGGGTGACAACCTGAAGAATGCTATCTTCAAAAGTGCTAACTTCAACTATGAGATCGTCAAGGATATCGCTGATCTAAATGCTTTTGACCCTGTCTTCGAGAAGCACGGTAAGGATATCAAGGTTGTCCTACACACCGCCTCTCCTTTAAACTTCACTACTACCGAATACGAAAAGGATTTGTTGATTCCAGCTGTCAACGGTACCAAGGGTATCTTAGAGTCCATCAAGAAGTACGCTGCCCAAACAGTTGAGAGAGTTGTTGTTACTTCCTCCTTTGCTTCTCACACTTCCACTGTTGACATGTGCAACACCAAGGGTAAGATAACTGAAGACTCCTGGAACCAAGACTCCTGGGAAAACTGTCAAACGGATGCCGTTAGAGCTTACTTCGGTTCCAAGAAATTTGCTGAAGAAGCTGCATGGGAATTCTTGAACAAGAACAAAGATGCAGTTAAGTTCAAGTTGGCCACTGTTGACCCAGTGTACGTCTTCGGTCCTCAAAACCACATCGAGCCTGGCAAGAAGGTATTGAACGTCTCATCCGAAGTCATTAACCAATTGGTACACCTGAAGAAAGACGACCCATTGCCACAAGTAGCATGTGGTTACATCGATGTCCGTGACATTGCTAAGGCTCATATCCTAGCGTTCCAAAAGGATGAATTAATCGGTCAAAGACTGTTGCTACACTCTGGTTTGTTCACCGTCCAAACCCTACTGGATGCTATCAACGAGCAATTCCCAGAGCTAAGAGGTAAGATCCCAGCTGGTGAGCCAGGTTCCAACAAGCCAGAAGATCTACTGACTCCAATTGACAACACCAAGACCAAGAAGCTGCTAGGATTCGAGTTCCGTGACCTGAAGACCATCATCCAGGACACCGTCTCTCAAATCCTAGAAGCTGAGAATGCCAGTGCCAAGTTGTAAATACGAAAGCTTTGACATCAGGATGGTAACTTACTATTCCTTAAACCCAACTATATATAGATAAACGTACATGTAACTGGCTTTACAGTTTTATAGACTATTTTTATTCATTCAATCCTTGATAAAATACAGTATTATAGAAATACAAATTTGAAGTATTGCAGAAACACAAAGTATTACAGAGGCTCACAGACAGTTCTGTTACTGCTGAACACGCTGGGCTAGCTATATTCAACACTAAATACGTAACCTAGTAACGTGACTGACACAATGCCAACAAAAGAAAGAAGACGAATACCGGAACTGGCCACAGAACCATCCGCAGCAAACCAGAAATCAATTAGCATTATGGTCCGAGATGCCTTTCAAAGCTGCTTCGCGAATATTTTTCAGCTTTCAGCCCAGTCGAGCAAGATATTGTCAATTGCATTGGGATGGCTTGCGATGTTTTGCTCAGGTTTTTGTGCAGTGTGCTTTCTGCGACCACAATGGCAACCATCTGTTGAATGGACTATCGGGGGCATTATTTAAACGTTGAAGCTTTTGGAACTTGTCTGCTATTTAATTAAAACTCCAAAGGCACAAACTTATATACAGCACTAGAACTAGAATTGAATATGGCTTCGAATGACAACTATGATCCGTACCTACTATCTGAAGATGGTGGCCAGAGCAAGGCTGCCGCTCTGAAGTCTGAGATCGACGACACTGTCGATATTATGAGGAACAACATCAATAAAGTCGCTGAGCGTGGAGAGATGCTAACCTCTATAGACGACAAAGCTGACAATCTGGCCATGTCTGCACAAGGTTTCAAAAGAGGTGCCAATAGGGTAAGGAGACAGATGTGGTATAAAGATCTGAAGATGCGTATGTGCTTGTTCCTAGTGATAGTGATACTCCTGGTGGTAATAATCGTGCCAATTGTAGTGCACTTCAGTTGAGAAAATGTAACAGAGAGATCCGAAAAGAAAAATGCGAATTGGATAGATCCCAGACATGCTCATTAACCCAAATTATTGCACTTATACACTCAGAAATTCCACTACATTACACAAATCATGCATCCGCATCTACATCATAAAACTAATTTTGATGCCAATATTTAATATAGTTATATCGACCGCAGTTGACTGTTTGTCTGCAGTTTTCACACACTGTATCCTTATTAACCCTCATTGAATTTGGAATAAGACACCTTCTAGATGTAACCAGTGGTTAATGTGCATATGCGTGCCTATTAAGTAAATGCGTACTATATGATACCTATAATGAGATTCGTCATATCATTATAAGCAGGAATAGAAGCTATTTCAATACAAAAGATTGATTCAAAGCAAATCCTGCGTTAGATAAGGTTAGCATATAAATAGGCATGTACCAATCCCAAACTCTCAAGCATGAAACTAATTAAATCTTTATTCTCGCATCAAAATTCAGTAGTATATTCGTTGCTCGATGACTACAAAACTGGTTAAGCAGATTAGGTTCGGTGCGTCCGGATTGAAGATCTCTCCGATTATTATTGGATGCATGTCCTATGGTTCTAAGAATTGGGCGGATTGGGTTCTTGAAGATAAGGAGAAGATCTTTGGTATCCTGAAGCGTGCCTATGATCGTGGGCTAAGAACGTACGATACTGCGGACATGTACTCCAATGGCTACAGTGAAAGGCTACTAAAAGAATTTTTTGAGAAGTACCAAATCAAGAGAGAAACGGTAGTTATTATGTCTAAAGTGTTCTACGCTGTTGACGAGGACTTAGATCTTCATCATGGTCTAGATATAAATGAAGTAGAAGACTTACATTTGACCAATCAACGTGGTTTGTCGAGAAGACATATTCTTGAAGCGGTTAAAAACTCTACAGAACGACTAGGAACGTACATCGATGTGCTTCAGATTCACCGTCTTGACAAAGAGACACCAATGAAGGAGATCATGAAGGCATTGAATGATGTTGTGGAGGCCGGTTACGCTAGGTACATCGGGTCTTCATCAATGCTAGCTACTGAATTTGCTGAGCTACAATTTATTGCTGAGAAGCACAATTGGTTCCAATTTGTTTCATTGCAGTCATTCTACAACTTGCTGAACCGTGAAGATGAAAGAGAGATTATTCCCTTTGCCAAGAGACATAACATTGCTTTGACCCCATGGTCTCCCAATGCCAGAGGGTTATTAACAAGACCTGTGAGCAAGATTAGTGTCCGCATCAAGAGTGACCCGACTTTCAAAATTGTTGGCCTAGACAAGTTGACTGAAGATCAAAAGGAGATTATCAACCGAGTTGAAGAAGTTGCGAAGAAGCACAACACCTCGATGGCCATTATCTCGAACAGCTGGGTATTGAGTAAGGGATGCAACCCAATTGTTGGATTGAACTCAATTGCCAGAGTGGACGAAGCCATTGCCTCCATTGACTTCGAATTGCCAGAAGAAGACATCAAGTATTTAGAAGAACCATACCTTCCAAAGAAGTTTTACTACTAAACTCCCAATATGTAAATGTGTATCTGTGTAGAACGTATTGATGTAATCGGGTACAGCTTCTGTGCTATCTTCATAAACTATACCAGCCGTAGGCTCATCACACGCATCTTTGCATTGGCACTCGCCCGACAACCCTTAAATGAAGAGCCACCCGAACCCACCACGAACCAACACTCGGCCGACGTTTATGGTAGAGCACAACGATTGTAAACCAGCCAACCTATAATCAACTGTTTTGAAGGAGCACACAACCATGGTGTTCTACAATTCTGAACATGATAAAATACCCAAAATCTTGCCAGCTTTTTTATTATATAAACAGGCATTACAGGTGTGTATGTTACCAAATGAATAGTATTGTTAATATCCGATCGAGAACTCACACAACTAGTTGTGAAGATGGTTGCTAGTAATCTGGTTAAGCAGGTAAGGTTTGGTGGATCCGGATTGAAGATCTCACCGATTATTATTGGATGCATGTCCTATGGTTCTAAGAAATGGGCGGACTGGGTTCTTGAGGATAAAGAGAAGATTTTCGGTATCCTGAAGCATGCCTATGATCGTGGGCTAAGAACGTACGATACTGCGGACGTCTACTCCAATGGTTACAGTGAAAGGCTACTAAAAGAGTTCTTTGAGAAGTACCAAATCAAGAGAGAGACCGTAGTTATTATGACTAAAGTTTTTTTTGGTGTAGATGAAGATCTCAACCTACACCATGGATTGAAAGCTTATAATGATCATGACGACTTAATACTAACCAACCAGCGTGGGCTGTCGAGGAAACATATTCTTGAAGGTGTTAAGAACTCTACTGAAAGGCTCGGAACATACATCGATGTGCTTCAGATCCACCGCCTTGACAAAGAGACACCAATGAAGGAGATCATGAAGGCATTGAATGATGTTGTGGAGGCCGGTTACGCTAGGTACATCGGGTCTTCATCAATGCTAGCTACTGAATTTGCTGAGCTACAATTTATTGCTGAGAAGCACAATTGGTTCCAATTTGTTTCATTGCAGTCATTCTACAACTTGTTGAACCGTGAAGATGAAAGAGAGATTATTCCATTTGCCAAGAGACACAACATTGCTTTGATTCCATGGTCTCCCAACGCCAGAGGATTGTTAACAAGGCCTTTGAATAAAACCACCGACCGTATCAAGAGTGATCCGACTTTCAAGTACCTAGACTTAGATAATTTGACCGAAGATCAAAAGGAGATTATCAACCGAGTTGAAGAAGTTGCGAAGAAGCACAACACCTCGATGGCCATTATCTCGAACAGCTGGGTATTAAGTAAAGGATGCAACCCAATTGTTGGATTGAACTCAATTGACAGAGTGGACGAAGCCATTGCCTCCATTGACTTCGAATTGTCAGACGAAGACATCAAGTATATAGAAGAACCATACCTTCCAAAGAAGCTTTACTACTGAGCTTTACCCATTTGTATGTGTGTATCTGTGCAGAACGTATTGATGTAATCAGCCATTGCTTCAATTCCATCTTTATAAAAGCTATCCCGACGGGCCACTGTATGGCATGCATCCCTTACTATGGCACTCGCCCGATATCCCTTAAATGAAGAGCCATCCGAACCCACCACGAACCAATACTCGGCCGACGTTCATGATAGAGCACAACGATTGTAAACCAACCAACCTATAATCAACTGTTTTGAAGGAGCACACAACCATGGTGTTCTACAATTCTCTGAACATGATAAAATACCCATAATCTTGCCAACTTTATATTATATAAACAGGCATTACAGGTGCGTATGCTACCAAATGAATAGTACTGCTAATATCCGATCGAGAACTCACACAACTAGTTTAGGAGATGGTTGCTAGTAATCTGGTTAAGCAGGTAAGGTTTGGTGGATCCGGATTAAAGATCTCACCGATTATTATTGGATGCATGTCCTATGGTTCTAAGAAATGGGCGGACTGGGTTCTTGAGGATAAAGAGAAGATTTTCGGTATCCTGAAGCATGCCTATGATCGTGGGCTAAGAACGTACGATACTGCGGACGTCTACTCCAATGGTTACAGTGAAAGGCTACTAAAAGAGTTCTTTGAGAAGTACCAAATCAAGAGAGAGACCGTAGTTATTATGACTAAAGTTTTTTTTGGTGTAGATGAAGACCTCAACCTACAACCTGGAGTGAAAATTGATGAACAAGAGGACTTAGTGCTGACCAACCAGCGTGGGCTGTCGAGGAAACATATTCTTGAAGGTGTTAAGAACTCTACTGAAAGACTTGGAACGTACATCGATGTGCTTCAGATTCACCGTCTTGACAAAGAGACACCAATGAAGGAGATCATGAAGGCATTGAATGATGTTGTGGAGGCCGGTTACGCTAGGTACATCGGGTCTTCATCAATGCTAGCTACTGAATTTGCTGAGCTACAATTTATTGCTGAGAAGCACAATTGGTTCCAATTTGTTTCATTGCAGTCATTATACAACTTGCTGATCCGTGAAGATGAAAGAGAGATTATTCCATTTGCCAAGAGACACAACATTGCTTTGATTCCATGGTCTCCCAACGCCAGAGGATTGTTAACAAGGCCTTTGAATAAAACCACCGACCGTATCAAGAGTGATCCGACTTTCAAGTACCTAGAATTAGATAAGTTGACCGAAGATCAAAAGGAGATTATCAACCGAGTTGAAGAAGTTGCGAAGAAGCACAACACTTCGATGGCCATTATCTCGAACAGCTGGGTATTAAGTAAAGGATGCAACCCAATTGTTGGATTGAACTCAATTGACAGAGTGGACGAAGCCATTGCCTCCATTGACTTCGAATTGCCAGAAGAAGACATCAAGTATTTAGAAGAACCATACCTTCCAAAGAAGTTTTACTACTAAACTCCCAATATGTAAATGTGTATCTGTGTAGAACGTATTGATGTAATCGGGTACAGCTTCTGTGCTATCTTCATAAACTATACCAGCCGTAGGCTCATCACACGCATCTTTGCATTGGCACTCGCCCGACAACCCTTAAATGAAGAGCCATCCGAAGAGCCATCCGAAGAGCCACCCGAAGGCCAACCTCGAAGCCACCTCGAAGTAAAACTCACCCGATATCACTTTCCTACGGTACTTTCTCCAGCCCATTGTATCCTCCCTTTGAGAACACCCTTAGTTTGATCCGACAATTTATCTCTTTCTTTTTCTTTGCCACAGTACTAGGGACTATAGATCGGCCGAAAGATGGTTCTTTCGCCTTCTGTCTTTTCCAGGGCTGTTATTGCGCCCCGAGCGTTGATTTACAGTAACCATGCTGGTACAGAAGGGGGACACTGCTGCGAAGCGAAGTGGTGTCGGGCTTTCCTGCAAGAGAAGCACAAGATTTTTCACCCGACACCACAGTTGGGTCGGCCGACCTTGCCCCCCATTCTTCTTTTCAATGAAAGCAGACACAAGGAGCTTCTATACCAGAGACCTATGTGAGATGGGTTGAGTTGCGGAACACCACGACAAGTTTACTTGATGTACCGGTACTATCCTTGCAATACAACGTCTCAATCGCAGACCTACACGGATCCGAATACCTTAAGGGGTCGTTTAATGGATTTCCCGACATCGGGCGAGTCGAGAAAACTTCTAGAAGCTTGAATTGAGCTGCACAGTATCGATGAATTAAATCGAATTGAGTTGAATTTACTTGGAATAAATCATATATAAAGGGAGCTCATACTCATCCCAACTCACATCTATCAATTGTATTTCTTGCATTGAATGAATAGCAACAAACAACAATAGTATACTTCATAATCAAAAAAAAATATGGCTTCTGATAACAGCAACACAACTGTCTTTGTCTCTGGTGCTACTGGTTTCATTGCTCAGCACGTAGTTAGACAATTGCTTGACCAGAACTACAAGGTTATTGGTTCTGTTAGATCTGCTGAGAAGGGTGACCACTTGAAGAATGTTATCTTCAAAGGTGGTGACTTCAACTATGAGATTGTCAAAGACATCTCTGATCCAACCGCATTTGACCACGTCTTCGAGAAGCATGGCAAGGATATCAAGGTAGTCTTACACACCGCCTCTCCATTCCACTTCAACACTACTGACATTGAAAAGGATTTGTTGATTCCAGCTGTCAACGGTACCAAGGGTATCTTAGAATCCATCAAGAAGTACGCTGCTCAAACAGTTGAGAGAGTTGTTGTTACTTCCTCCTTTGCTGCCAACACCTCCACAGTTGACATGTTCTACGCTAAGGATTCTTCCAAGACAATTACTGAAGAATCTTGGAACCAAGACACTTGGGAAAGTTGTCAATCCGATCCAATCAGAGGTTACTGTGGTTCAAAGAAGTTTGCCGAAAAGGCGGCTTGGGACTTCTACAACGCCAACAAGGACTCTGTCAAATTTAAGTTGTCTATCATCAACCCAGTATACGTCTTCGGTCCACAAAACTATGTGGAACCAGGTAAGAAGATTCTAAACACTTCTTCTGAAGTCATCAACAGCTTGGTCCACTTGAAGAAGGATGACCCATTGCCAGAGTTTGCAGGTGGTCACATCGACGTCCGTGATGTTGCCAAGGCTCATATCCTAGCGTTCCAAAAGGACGAGTTGATCGAGCAAAGATTGATGCTTCATGCTGGTCTATTCACTACCCAAACCCTGCTAGATATCATTAATGAACAATTCCCAGAACTGAAAGGTAAGATTCCAGCTGGTAAGCCAGGTACCGGTAACCCAGATGATGCATTGACTCCAGTTGACAACTCCAAGACCAAGAAATTGCTGGGCTTCGAGTTTATTGATTTGAAGAAGGACCTTTACGACACCATCTCTCAAATTTTGGAAGCCGAGAAGAACTCTAATTAAAGCCTATAGAGTTGCATTTCATTAACGGATGAAGACAACGGGATAATAAAACCCCACCTGACAGGTCTCGAAGTCACTACTACATATTCATATTTTCGAAATAAACTAGAGTACATTTTTAGCTATCTCTAAATAAACATAACAAGCTATAGATTATGATATTTTTTTTGGGAAATACATGTAGCTACAATCAACGTCAGCATGCTGCTCAAAATCAGCACACAAACGCCACCAACCACTGACAATTCAATACTATTTGTTATATTCCTAGCAGTATATGAGTGGCTTAAAACGTCACATGACCACGACTCACACTCTCAAAGTAAAGACAGTTTTTTAGGGGCGAGAAGGGCTCGATTCGCATGACAATGGCTCACTTCCCCCGAAATGGGGACAGTTGAGCGATTTACAGCCATCGCAGGAGGTGGGGGACTATATAAAGGGCGATGATTTCTTGGCTAAGCTTACCTTCTTAAACCAACCTGATAAGTGTAGCAAGGTAGCTCTGGAGTTTTCATAAGAAATGTTCAGACAACAAGCGGTTGAAGAGAGGAATTACGATCCTCAATTCAAACCTGTTCAAGGGATCTACGAGGACAGGCTAAGGCAGTTTCTCGACCAAGGTGGGCCATTCAGCCACCAAAATTTGCCTAAATTCTATGATAGGGAGCGCATTAGGCTTGATGGGAAGCATGTAAAAGTGCAATGGTACCAGGTGCCATTTGAAGATGGGTCTGATCCTACTTCCCCTGATAAGAGACCCTCTTGGAAGTCCATTATTGAGAAGGACAAAAAGGGGGAATTGAATTTCCAGGATGCTTCAATTGGCCAGCCATTTGGGCCCAGTTGGTCTACTACATGGTTTAAAGTTCATTTGAAACTACCTTCTCATTGGATAGGCAAAAAGATAATTTTTGATTGGGACTGCTCAAATGAAGGAGTTGTAATTGATCCTGAAACTTTACTACCGGCAACAGCATTTTCTGGTAACGAGAGAACAGAATATCAGTTACCAAAAAATGAGTCAGGTGAATACTTCTTCTACATTGAATCTGGTAACAACGGTATGTTTGGTTGTGGTGCTGGTTCCACCATCAACCCTCCTGATGACCACAGATTCTTTGGCTTGAACAAAGCAGATATCGTTTGGCCAGATTGGGAAGCTAGAGCTTTGCGAATTGATTTCTGGATGCTAGGTGACGCCGCCAGAGAACTCCCAGGCGACTCTTGGCAAAAACATAAGGCAAGGCAAGTTGGTAATCTTGTTATGGATGCTTTTGATCCCGAGGATAGGTCAAGTGTTAGAAGATGCAGAGAGTTGTTGCACAAGGAGTACCTTGACGATTTCGCTGACTCTCCAAAGGTTTATCAAAATGGTTCTGATGTAATGACATCAGTCTACGGTATCGGTAACTGTCATATTGACACAGCTTGGTTATGGCCCTTTGCTGAAACTCGGAGAAAAATTGTAAGATCATGGTCTTCTCAATGTACTTTAATTGATGAATTTCCAGAGTACCAATTTGTTGCATCCCAAGCTCAACAATTTAAGTGGTTATTAGAAGATCATCCTGAGTTTTTTAAGAAAGTCTTGGTTCCTAAAGTGCAAGAAGGTCAATTTATTCCAGTAGGTGGCTCTTGGGTTGAAAATGACACCAATATGCCATCGGGCGAGTCTTTGGCCAGACAATTCTTCTATGGACAAAGATTTTTCATGAAGCATTTGGGTACCAAGAGTACAGTTTTCTGGTTACCTGATACCTTTGGTTATTCTTCGCAAGTCCCTCAGATTTGTCGTCTATCTGGAATAGATAAATTCTTAACCCAGAAGCTATCGTGGAATAATATAAATAGCTTTCCCCATTCGACTTTCAATTGGGCGGGTATTGACGGTTCTCAACTTCTGACACACATGCCACCTGGAAATACGTATACTGCAGACTCTCACTTTGGGGATGTTTTGCGTTCATCGAAACAAAATAAAACAACTGAGTTTTATGGTGCTGGCTTGATGTTGTATGGTAAAGGTGATGGTGGTGGTGGTCCTACCAGAGAAATGCTCGAAAAAATGAGAAGAATTAGGTCAATATCTAACAGAAATGGTAACGTTGTCCCCAAATTGGATGTTGGAAAGTCTGTGGACGAATTTTATGACAATATTCTAAAAAATACAGACAATGGTTCAATTCTACCAACTTGGAATGGTGAGTTATACTTTGAATTCCATAGGGGTACATATACAAGTCAAGCAAGAACCAAAAAGCATATGAGGTTCTCAGAAATCAAAATCCATGACTTGGAATGGATAGCTACTAAAGTTTCCATCCTATTCCCGGATAGATATAAATATCCTGCCAATGAGATAAATAAACTTTGGGAAGATATTTTATTGTGTCAATTCCATGATGTGTTGCCGGGTTCTTGTATTGAAATGGTTTATAAGTATGAGGCTATTCCTAGACTTGATGAAGTCATTGAAAGATGTAATAAGTTGATTGAAGATGCATTGAAATGTGTACAAAAGGATAAGCATAAAGACGAATTGACTTTAAGAACTCTTCCATGGTTAGAAACCGACTTTGCTGGAGAAAAGGATATTTCTAAGAAGTTTTTCGCTTCCGTGAAAGATAAAGATGACTGTTACTTGCTTTCCAACGGCAAATGGGAAGTATCGATATGTAAGAAGAGAGGTGTCATTAAGAGTATCAAAGACACAAAAGACAATATCGAGTATCTTGACCTTAAGAATGGTAGAAATAAGTTTGGTGCTAACCAGTTTGTTATATTCGATGATAAACCATTATCTTGGCAGGCCTGGGATACTGAGTTGTATTCTGTAAACCAGTTTAATTATCTAGAAGATGCAGACTCTGTAAAGATTGTTGGGGACAGTGGCAATGAATGCACAGTTGAGTCACGCTTCAAGATTTCCAAAAACTGTGAGATCATTACAAAAGTTTCATTAAAATCTACTGATGAGCAGCGGGCAGATGAAAGTATTATTCATATCAACACAAAGGTCGAGAACTGGGAAAGCGAGAACAAGTTCTTGAAGGTTGAATTCCCAGTTAATGTTCGTAATGATTTTGCTTCTTATGAGACTCAATTTGGTATCACAAAGAGACCAACCCATTACAACACCTCCTGGGATGTCGCTAAGTTTGAAGTCTGCAATCATAAGTTTGCTGACTATTCCGAGCATACCAAGGGTGTATCGATTCTAAATGATTGTAAATATGGGTTTTCAGTGCATGGAAACCTAATGAGATTATCACTGTTAAGATCACCTAAGGCACCTGATGCTCATGCAGATATGGGATCGCACGAGATCAACTATGCTATTTATCCTCATCGCGGTGAATTAAACTACAAGACAGTTAGAAATGCCATCGAATTTAACTTCAATCACAAATACCAAATATCTAAAGAGTATGCCGACAAATTACAGAGCATTATTTCAATTGAAGGTGAGCCAAACGTCATTTTATCAAATATCAAGCGTGGTGAAGATGATGAAGAGCTGAATTCCAACTATGCTTTAAAGAAGTTGAGATCGAGAAGTTTAATTGCTAGGGTTTATGAGTCACTTGGTGGTGAGTCTCGTGCTGTCCTAAAAACATCCTTACCTTTGAGGGAGGTTCAAATTGTTGATAACCTTGAATTAGATGCTATTGAGGACGTCAATTTTAAAAAACTAGATGACGGAACTTACGAGATCCCAATAACTTTAAAAACTTTCCAAATTGCTTCCTACAGATTGATATTCTAGAATATAAAATAAAATACTATATAAAATCAAGTTTCAAACTATCTATTATTTGTATTCACAGCTACTACAACTTACCGGAGAGCCATGCTTACTCTTTATTGAGAGGTTTGGCTATCAAGGATCAGCTTTGTTTACCCGGTATCCCGCAAATATTTTTCAAAATGAAAATAAAATATCCAGACTTCACACAAAATGGCGTACAATTATCTTGTCTTCAGGTTTTTGGCAAAATAAAAACTCAAAATAGGAATTGAAAGGGCATCGCAAGCTGATGGTGGATCAATACTAAGGTAAATTATGTTTTAGATGATCTGATTGGTATTACTGGATACTGATTTAACAAGCATTTGAAAAGACTTGTAAGGACTAGTTACAAGGACAACTGCTAATTCGTGTATAGAATTGAGTGCCTTTATTTTAAGATGCAGAATATGCCAGATCAAATAAAAAAAAAACATGTGAAATATATAGAGAGGCATTTGCAATTATTGCCTGCCAAGTATGAGGACAATGATGTGAACAAGATGGCAATACTGTACTATAGCTTTCAAAGTCTCAGCCTTCTTGGGGAGGATATTCAGGGGAAATATAGCAAGTATATACCGTGGATCAAGTCACATTTGATAACAAAGTCTGCTCCGAAGCAAAATCAAAGAATTTCTGGGTTTGTAGGGAGCTTAAATGTAAGAGTTGATGGTGTCATTACATTCAACTTGCCAAACACTCTCTTTGCACTCTTGGTGCTGGCTTTATTGAAGCAGCATCATTACATATGCCATGAAATGGACGGAGAGTCTATTGGGAGGTTTGTGGGCCTATGCCAACTGCCTAATGGCTCATTCAAGTCGGCATTGGACCTTTCAGGCACATCTGTATCACCAGTTGATGGAGAAGATTTGAGGTTTTGTTACATAGCAGTCGCATTGTTATATATTATCGGGTGCAGGTCGCCGGCCGATTATTCTAAGTATATCAATGTCTCCAAATTGCTAGATTATATCAAAAATCAACAATGTTTCGACGGTGCATATGGTCAGTATGGTGAAGCCCATGCTGGATATACATCATGTGCCTTGTCGACATTAGCTTTGCTAAAAGCAAGAGAGACTATAGACGAGAATTTTGTTGAGAAGACATTAACCTGGCTCTCCCATAGGCAGGTTTCCTCATCCGACATCATGAGAAAACAGGAAGAGCAAAATCCATTTTATGACACAGATGACCATGGTGGCTTCCAAGGGCGTCCAAATAAGTTTGCTGATACCTGTTATGCAACGTGGTGTCTAAATTCAATCCAGTTGCTCACTAAAGAATGGCAAGGGTATGTGGATCAGCGTTCATTAGAAAACTATTTACTAAACGTAACGCAGAATCAGATAATCGGTGGCTTTAGTAAAAATGATGCCGACGATCCTGATTTGTACCATACTTGTCTCGGAATTTCAGCACTAATATTACTTGATGAGCGTCTGGATGGCTCTTTATTTTTGCCAGCACATATTTCAAAATTATTTTTGAAATAATAAAAGATGTTTCTGTTCCGAATTATGAAATTATGACGATCATTTATCATGTTAAGAATTGGGTTTTAATTCCTTCAATGACACTTACTACATTTAGTATGGCATGTATAGGTTTTAAAAAATCATATTGCGCCGGAAAACAATATGTTAGTATCTCATTATCACTGACCCACCGGGAGTGGAAGGTGATATCCTTCAATTTGAAAGTGGAAACTGCTTCATTTATTAGTGGTGCACTAAACAAAGACACGTTGATAATCTTGAGATCACCATTAAGTCCAACACCCAAGTATTTTGTATAGCATTCTTTTACTGACCAGTAAAAGGCAAATAGTCTTTTCATATCTAACAGATTTGTTTGATTGTTGATTTTTTCATACTCTTCTGTAGAGAGTACATCTTCGTAGATTTTCAAATCGCCCTCTGATGTGAAGTCATTTATTGATGCCAAGTCTATACCCACTTCTGTTTGGAATAAGTTGGCCATAATAATGCTTACAAAATTCTCTCCATTGGTCATGCTAAAGTTAAATGATTCTGTGTTCTTCACAAACGGTTTTCCATATTTACCCTGAGTAAAATCTATAGCCTGTGTGTTTAATTCAAGCCTGCAACCGTACAATTGCAAAAGTCTGTTGCACAAGGCAGTTACCTTATCTTTGTGAGCCCTCTTTTGTATAACTCTACATTGCCATTCAAAAGGTAACAACCTCAATGCTTCTTCAAAATTATATTCATCCCTAAAGTAGCTCAAATGCACATCCATGGTCAATACCACTATATGTGGGTCATTGCTCTTGGCCAAAGAAAGCCAATCAGACATCGTCTTAGATTTTCAGTTATTATTCAATTGACTTCTTCACAGCAATGAAATGATCATCAACTAAACCATATAATCGCCTGTGTTTGTTTAGACAGTACTGTGTTAATCATGTGAGTAAAATTGAGAATTCGGGTTTAATCGTTGTCGTTATTATGGTTAACTCCGATGTTCTGAGCTTTTGTCAAAAATGGTCAAACTTAGCAAAACTTGGTCAAAAAAGTGACAGAAAGTCTGTGAAAATACATATAAATGAGATGAATGCATTGCACCACCGATGAGTCAGTGGTATTTTTAAGCTTTACGTGTGTTTGTTCATAAACTATACCAGTAAAGACAGTAACTGCTAAATACAAGAGTCATGCCAGTTACAAGTGAGAGAAAGGAATTATTTGACTCCGCAGTATCCTTTTTGCAAGACTCGGCGATTAAGGATGCCCCTTTGGATAAGAAGGTGGAGTTTTTAAAGAGCAAAGGTCTGGGCGATGAGGAAGTAGAGTTGGCCTTGCAAGAGGCTGGAAGGCGTTTTCGGGATGCTGGTAATGCGGCGTCGGATGAGGAAACTGCGACCCAAGGAAATTTAGGGCACAGTTTGAACACGACAACAAGAAGGCGTCAAGAATATATGTATGAAGCTATTCCACCCCCTTTACCTCAGAGAGACTGGAAGGACTATTTTGTGATGGCCACTATGACAGCGGGTCTGTTTTATGGTGTCTATGAAGTAACCAAGAGATATGTAGTTCCAAATCTCTTACCAGAGTCTACTTCCAAACTCGAACAGGACAAGGAAGACATCAAGAAAGAGTTTGAGAAGGTGGATCAGATACTCTCTGCTATTCAGGACGAACAAGCCGATTTTAAAGAGAAGGAACAAGAGAAATTGAATGAATTGGATGAGGTAATAAGTGACCTGAAGATGGCATTGCGTGAAACAACTAATACAAAAGAGAAAATGGAAGATGACTTCCGTCTCCTAAAATTAGAAATAACTACGTTGCAAAATAGCATTGATAAATTTATGTCAGATAACTCCAACGTGAAAGAGTTGGAAACCCTATCCAGAGAAGTAATGTCTTTGAAAAATTTAATTACAGTAGCAAAGACAAACAAGGATATTCAGAATGGTACAGGTGGCAGTAATTTGTCCGGCATGCCAGGCAAATCTTTATCTCCTGGTGGTCTTCCAGGCGCTGATTCCATTCCATCAGCTGCAGATATTCTGGCAAGAATGAATATAAGCGGTGTTGCAGGAAAATCAGCAGTGCAAGATCACGATCCAAACGAGAGCGGTACAGAACCCCAATGGAAGAAAGTCAAGGATAATATGGTAGATTCGTCAGAGTTTATTCCAGAATGGCAAAGGGCGAAGACTCCCAATGATCAAGCTAAGCTTGACATCCCCGAGTGGCAGAAGGCAGCTTTAAAGAGTGATGATAAGCTGGATATTCCAGACTGGCAAAACATAAAATCGAGCTCCCAAAATACTTCAGAAGATAATTAATTAATAGTCTCTTTTTGGTTTTCTGATATGCATAATATAATATACCAAAATGTAGAGAGCTCTATTAATTTAAGTGTTGAGGGTCAAATATACAACTCACATAGGTCCAAACTAGCATATAACAAATAAAATATATAATCCAATGGAGATGAATTATTGATTGCTTCTACAATGCTCTGTAAATAACGAATTCGCCTGAAGTGAATAGCAATATAGAATAGTCTAATAAATACATAATACTATACGATTATATGGAACTTTCATTGTGGAATTCACTAAACGCAAGAAGACTGCAGTAAGAATGAGAGGATTAACATAGAGGCTACTGAAACTGTGTGAATATACAATCAAAAGTGACTTCAAAAGTTAAATTACTAGTAGTGAATTGAAGAACAACAATTCGGTCTTCTCAATTGCTGTATAATAAAGGCCACTAAACGATATTGATCCAATTACTACTGGTATTTAGTCTGGATATAACAAAAGAAAATTCATTTAGAACTAGATCACAGAAGTACAGACAGCCCTTTGGATAGTTACATTTTGGAGAATACTTTAAAATATGGAGAGCAAGTCCCTGAATACTTTAGCCCTTCGCTGTGCTGCAAGAAAGATTCCAGCTTCGGAGTTTCTAAATCTTTATAAAGAATTCTATAATGAAACTTTTCCAGCAAACTCAATTGACAATGATGACGCCAAGACACAAGAAGGGAGTGGTTCTCAAGATAAAACTGATGTTGAAGAATCCATAAGTAAACCAGTTGGCTCGAAAAATGATCCTGTAGCTATACTATGTGCCGAATTTATGAAATTACTCGAGAATGGTAAATATGTTATCCTAGCTGACTATGTGGTAGAAGTCTTGTTTGTCAATTATCATTCTGAGTTAGTTCGGGAATTTCTACCCAAGTTGAAAGACCTAATGAATAAGGGTATTCTAATACATTTTTTTTCGAAGAGTTGTGCGTTTTTCGTTAATCTGACAGACAATTTGGTGATTTCTCAACTAATAAAGGACCTACGAGCAACGATTGTGCCGTGCATACTAGAGACCAACTTCTGTGATATTTCTAATGAACTGGTGGTAGCTATTGCCAAATTTTTGCAGGCCGTTTTGAGATTCACACCTCAGCCAATTCAAATAAATTCCGAGACTTATAGAGATAATACATTCAATTTGACAAAAAGACTTTCATTAATTAACAAAATTTTATCTAAGAAATTTGCAGGAATTATAGATAAAAAACTACAATTCAAAGAGGTTCTAGGACCGTTTACCAAAGATTCTACCCTAGACTTTGATAACTCGCCATCAATTACTTCCCCTCAGTTTATACCAAGCCCTCTCCCAAGCATGAAGGAAAGAAGTGTTACTTCCTCACAATCTGCAATTAAGTATAAGGATCTGAAACTTCTACGGTACTATAAAAACATATGGCTCAATAGTAAACTCATGAATTGGCAGCCATTCGATTCCGAGTTTATTTCGAATTATTCGGCGATAAAATCAAGTCTTTATCCTGATCAGGTACAAAATATACAAAATGTAGACCTGTTGTTTACAGACCTTATTGAAACTGCATTCACATGTTTTGCTCAATTTGTTAGTAACAAACTATATCACCAGTCCAATTCAACTTACAATCTACTGGAAAGAAAATGGATTTTATTCTTATCGAAGATACTACCTCTACTGGTATATAAAAATTCATCCAGAACTGCGCATGTTATAGGTAATGCGCTTGATGGCATTGATGATAAGGTCATCAAAGCAATCAGTGCTTATTACCAAGAGAATGATGATGGGCGTAGTCGGAATGATGACTTATTTGATGACTATCCTTCTACTAGTCTTGATATAAGGCATGATTTTATAAAATCATTGACTATGCTGGGTGTAGTGCCACCTGTTTTCATTACCAATTACCTACGAGGCGATCAAACGGTGGATTCTAAGGCATTGGCTACAACAGATGATCTGACTTTCACAAATCAACAAGGAATTATTGAGATAGTAAATGACATCCCAAACTTTATCCGATCTTCTTTAGAAGGAATGGAAATGGAAAATGTTTCTGAACCTACTTTAGTTTCATCCAACGGTCTACTACAAGTGCTATCTAACTTTGATACAGTTTCACCAACTAAGCAATTCGAGTTGGCAAATGCTATTGTTGACATGCTTAGTGAATCAAGCACGACATTTGAACTTAATACTTTTGTAAAGTTGACTGCTGTTTTAACTTTTAATTATTCCCATTCTTTGACATCTATCCTGATGTATGTGACACCTGAGGTTTTAACAAAATTGTATCTGGAGTTTGTTGATAAGCATTGGAATTCACAAGTAATTGGAAAACAGGAAACTGATGGTGAATCTCAATTTGAAAATGTAAATATATCCATGTCATTTAGTTGGGCGATATTAATGTTAACAATACTTTATAAACAATATCACATTGATTTTGTTAGCATGCGCGCGGACTATACCACTGATAATATCAAAAATTCATTTGCTATCACGTTTGTGGAAAATTTACCCGATATATCAGATTTGTTTTTTATTGATGAGAAGAACTCGGATGATCCAGAAGTTCAAGTGAAATCCCACAAACTTGTAAGAGATTGGTTGAACGATTTGTTTGTTAATGGATCTCTGTCAGATTCGTTGTTGCAAAATATTGAACCAAAGCAACTAGCGATCCTTGTTCCATACATATTCAAACAAGTCACTTTGGCAATGGAAATAGGAGCTGTTGGTGACTTGCAAAATTTGATAGGTGGATTCGAATATTTTTTACAGCCATTTATGCTAGTTGGTTTAATAAAAGTAATGTACTGGCTTGAGCAATACCTTTCGTGTTTGAAAAGTGACGAAACTGATGAAAAATTAATTCAAAAAGTGCTGTCATTGTTGAACACCATTATATGCCCTTCCACGCTCAACGAAGACTCAAAAGCATTTCACTTTGCTGTCCTAAGACTCAATGCAATTCCGCTGCTAGGGATTTTATATCAGTTTAGATCCAATAAGCATGCTGAATCTAATTATGGAATTTACTCCTCAGATAATGAGGGAAACCCTACTCTCGAATTAATGATATCAAGGTTAATATCTTCGTTGTCTATATCCCCTGTCTATGATATTGATTCCACTATCTTGGTCACAGACAATAATTTTGTACAAAAGCCACCAAAGTTTCAAAGCTTTTTTGTAACAAATGAAATCTCAATGAATAAGATGTTGACTAATCAAATGAACTCTTTTTGGAGCTTGCATAGCAGCACATATTATAATTTAGACTTTCTGAAGACCCTTATAGATACTTTGACCCCAAAACAATTTTTGTTAGATGTTTTGCGAACCCTTGAGTATAAAGTGGAAACCCTAGGTGTTAAAGATGTAAGAAATAAATCCTCCAGCAATGAATCGGACCAAGTCATTGACTATCTTTTCTATTTTCTGGTTCTGTATGATATAGAAAACAGTGAAGATGCAAAGGCCATGGCGCAGTTCATGGAAGATACTGTTGATATATCAATCAATGGTGATTCGGGTATTGTTAAGCAAGAAACACAACCTAAATCTGAATATAATCCAGATGATGATATAGATATGTTATTTGGTGAAAATGACACTAGCATGCAAGCCAATGAAGAAGATACTCTAGATAATAAGGAATTGAAGAGTGACAGAAACTGCGCTCTTGGAAAGAATAGACACACATTTGGATTCATAATACATGAAATTAAACTATCCTACGGAACTTTGGAAAGCGATTCTATGTCATATGAAGATTATAAGAAAATCTGCGAATACCACAGCAGATACTTAAAAATGTTAAAAACCTGTATTTTTTAAAATGTAACTTTTAAGTAATGATAAGTTATTGATGCAATTAATACATATATATGCATATCTTTATTTATAGTAAGCGGTCTCATCGAACTACTATAATAGTATATATGTATGTGGGTAGGTGCGTATGTATTAGTTCTTGACTGTTATCAGGTTATTTGTCGCTTCTGGTTCAGAAGAGAGGGACTTTGGTGTCAACTGTTCATGTTCTGGTCTCGTATGAGTTGTTTGTATATTTGTATCCTTTGTCTTACCTTCCATGACTACCTGTTGGACTTGCTCTTTTTGTTTTGCCCTATCACGCATCCTCTCCTCAATTGTTCCTCTAACGAGTAATCTATAAACAGTAACTTGTTTGGTTTGTCCCAATCTATGGGCTCTGTCCATTGCTTGAGAATCTATTGTAGGGTTCCAATCCGAATCATAAAAAATTACAGTGTCGGCTGCTGTCAAGTTTATACCTAAACCACCTGCTCTTGTACTTAATAGGAAAATGAAAATTTCTGGATTTGTCTGCCAATCATGAACCAGATCACGACGATCTTCTAATTTGGAAGAACCATCCAACCTTATATGATTGTATTGACGATATGTTAGATATTCCTCCATCAAGTCCATCATTTTAGTCATTTGGAAGTAAATCAATACTCTGTGATCGTTCTTCTTCAGCTCCACCAATAATTCATCCAACTTTTTCAATTTAGCAGACTCTGTAATAAACCTATCCATTGAAGGCATCGATATATTTGAAGAAAAATGTTTATTCAATGGATTGGGGTACATTTCACTGATTGGGAATTCTTCTATAGGAATGCACTTTTTAACAAACATATTGTACTGTGTAGGTGGTGGGATTGATGACAATGCTGTTGTGATAACAGGATTGAATAAATATGATGACATTTTATTAGTAAAGTTTAGGGAACCATTTACATTAAAATTTATGGGAGGAGCAACTACTTTTGGACAATACCCTGGTTGTATGCTGTTTAGGTAATCGTTGTGATAAATATCATTCCGAATCCCAGTCAGATTAGGCAGATTGGTATCAGCATGCACAATAGAGTCTGCAATGAGATCATTGGCATTAGAGACTACAGTAATCAAATTTTGACTACTTTGTTTACTCTCTTTTTTCAAGTTAATAATCCTCTCAAAGTAATTACTTTTGTGAATCTTCCTGAAAGAGCCATATGCAAGGCCTGTTAACAAACCCAGATATTGACACATTTCCTTATTATTGACAGGATCATATATTGAAAAGTCGGAAAGTAATAATTTCTCCATTATGTCTATCGAATTGTTATAGTTAGGAAGGATTAGATCTTCATATATTAATTTCGGAATTGCGCAATTGATAGGGTTTGTACTAGAATACATCAACTCGGAAATGGTCTCTGTAAGACCTCCTGAAGTTGCTATGCTTGATGAGATCAATGACGATGTTTTACCAAAAGATGTGAATGAAAATGGGGAGTTTATGTCTGCTCTCTCAAATAAATCTGGGTGGTTACAGACCTTCCTGAATTGCATTACTGCATTGATAATGCTTTGATCAGAGTTACCTCCTCCTGCAATATCTGAACCTTCTGCAGCAGCATTTTCTATTGCGTCGTAGTTAGAGGACATCTGAGATTTTAGAACTTGATATAATTTCGTTTGTCTTTGTGTTAAATCGCACATCACATCAATTTCAATCTTGTCTCCCAACTCAGACTGGACATTTTTCTTAATACGTCTTAGCATAAATGGTTTCAATATCATATGAAGTCTTCTTAGCTGTTGTTGATTCAAAGAGCTGTTTCCTTCTGCGTGTGACTCTATATCTCTAGAAAACCACTCATTAAATTCATCATGGGAGTCAAACAGTGACGGCATAATAAAATGCAGTAATGCCCATAACTCTTGCATGTTGTTTTGAATAGGTGTACCAGTTAGTAATAGTCTATTTCTACAGTGAAAGCTCAATAAATTTTTCCATCTCGATGATTGAGAAGACTTAATGGCTTGGGCTTCATCCAATATCATGTACTGCCACTTCATTTTTTGAAGATACGAGGCATCCGCTACAACCATCTGATAAGAAGTAATCATAACATGAAATGGAGATTTTTCACTATATCTTAAGTTTTTCCTATCCCAAAATTTTCTTAATACCTTTCTATCATTTGCAGATCCCCAATATGGAAGGATTTTAAATTGGGGTACAAACTTTGATATTTCATTTACCCAGTTGTGTAACGTTGATGCAGGTGTTACAACCAAGAAAGGTCCCCAGATGTTGTGATGCTCCGCTAAGTGAGCTAAAACTGAGATTGATTGTACAGTCTTACCTAAACCCATCTCGTCAGCTAGAATACCATTGATACCTTGATCATATAAATTAGCAAGCCAATTTAATCCCTTCAATTGATATTCTTTTAGTGTGCATGCTAGCATTTTTGGTTGCTCTATAGTAATTTCACCAAGTGAAGTTGGGTTTTGGAAGTTCATTTCTTCTTCATCATCACTTTCGGTTGATTGCTGCTGTCTATGTGCATCATCAAAAGCCTTCGCTTTAGCTCTCGTTTCTGCTAACGCATTCGATGCATTTTGTGCTGCTTTTAACTTTAGTTGCTCATCATTTTCATTATCAAAATCGATGGCATGGAAGTCATTCTTATTTGGTGCAGTAGTTGTCAAGTCATAATTGTCTTCATCCTCTTCTGCAACTTCATTACCTTCTAATGCACTTGTTTTTATTTTTCTCCCAATAAAGTGAGAGTATAATTCTGTCTGTGTTAATAAGAAGTTTAACTTTTTAGCCTGTCTCTTTGATTCCTTTTCTTCTTCTTCCTTCTTGGCCAATTCTAGTGCTTCTCTTTCTGCCTTTTTCTTCAAATCTCTCTCCTCTCTTTCATTCTTTTTCCAGAAATTTGCCATCTCTCTGATACCCTTTCTAGCACGAGTTTGGAAGTCTTTAACTTGCTTGAAATTTCTAGTCTGCCATTTACGGGCTTCTCTAGCGCACAGAGAAGAAGTTTTTTTATAGTTTAATGCTCTGGTTGATTGAATCTGTTGAACAAGTCTCGAAATCTTCATGCAATCTTTTCTAGCCATATCCTTCCATATCATGGTATATGTATTATCGTAATGTCGTTGAATAGCTTTGGCATCCTTCAAACTCATTTTCATACCATAGGTAGGCAAACCATCAAGATCATCGTCTTCTTTATCGTCTTCATCTTCTTGTTTAGTGTTCTCAGATCGATCAATTTTCCTTCTTTTCCTGGGAGACTCCTGATCAGCAATCTGTTTAGCTTCTTCTTGAAGCCTTTTCTCTTCGGCTTTCCTAGCATCCTGTAAGATCTTTTTCAATTTCTTGACATGCATTTGTTTCAGTGTAATCTTCACTGAGATCTTTTTTTCAGTTGGACTATATTCCGTTATATTCACGGCTGTATAACGCCTTTTACTAGACTTTGGTGCTTTACCTTTGTTGCGCAGCTTAATTAATTCTCTGACAATCTTAGGTCTATCGCTATTGATGGTCACTATTTTACCGTTAGGCTTTGGCTTCTTAATTTCAGGTGCGAAATCCTCGTCATTATTGTCATCATACTCTTTAACTATTATTTCCTCTTCAGATTCATCAGTTTGATTTATGTTTTCCGCCTGATCTTTCTCTGCGTCAGAGCTAACCGGTTCTTCCTCGTTATCAGCAGGTTCTGAATGTAAATCATCACTGTCTAGTTTATTACTCAAATTTTCATCGCTACCATCATTGACGCTAGTATTTGCATCGGAATCTATGTCGCTTGAAGGGTCATTTGTCTTTTTCAAATCATCCATTGTATCTTGATCAGAGTTTTGCATATTGCTCCCGATCCTATTGGCTTCTATAGTTCTCTCCGCTTCATCTTTTTGATCTTCAACTATACCGTTTGCGACTGAGGCGGTAACACTTGCAGCAGAATTGGTAGAAGAGCTAGCTTCTTGTTTCTTTATTAATTTTGTCTGATCAAGCTCATCCTTATGTCCTGAATCTACATCTGAAGTAGGAGAGTTAATGCCTGCCATTGTGTTGTCAGTCTTGTTAGTGGTGTCGCTTCTTGATGCTTTAGAGCGGTTTCCATGATCATTGATAATTTCAGGAGTTTTGACATCAGTTGTGCCCATTTGGCTAAGAGCGGCAAGATTTGCCGCCGCTTCCATTTCAAGCTTAGTTCTTCTTCTTCTTCTATGTTTGATGGGCTTTGCCTGTATGCTCTTGCTCAGAAGCTGTGATCTGGTTTCCTTATAGGATTCGTAGTCTTTCCATTCGTTACGTATACGTTGAATGTTGTCGTATAAATCATCTAAATGCACTTCTTCGGTCATTAAATCGTTATTTTGGAGATCGTTACCGTCACCGACAAGCTCTTTACACTGGGTATTCCATTCACTGATCAACTCGAATTCTTGGTAGTTAGCAAACTTCCAATCCTGATACATCAGTTCCAATTGATCCCTCTTTATGAGTCTGTCCATTTCTCTATTGAGGGATTCCAAGTAGAGTTTGGTGTCTTCCACCGGATCATCGTTATTAAGCAATGCGCTTAGGGACATTACGATATAAAATAGTTACTTTGTCTTATGAGCCAGTCCCTCTTCGTTGATACCTTTAAATCAAATAATAAATTAAGGACCAAATACCTATGTGATAATCTGTATCGAATTTCTAGTATCTTGCTGTTTTAGTTTCTTCTATTTTTATATTTGTAGAGATTTCTACCTTACCTGACACTGACACCCTCACTAGAGATTATAAAAAATGAGCTTTCAAGATTGAGCTGTTGGTGTCTATGATTTCTCTCTTTCTCCCTCTGTAGTCCAAGTCTCCAATCCAGTCTTGCCAGCTTATTTATAGTGCTCTGGTTCACTATACAGACTTTTGATCTTGTATTGCTATTTAGATCTTGGTAGTTTTGTGGTTTTAGTGTTACAAATATTTACTAAGAGAAAGTATATATAAGAGGAAGGATGAAGAAGGAAGGAGGCGAAATTTGCTGTGTCAGTGATCACTCCATTCCACGTTTGGGTGAGTTGCTTTCATTGGTAAAAAGAGAGGGTCCCAAAACGTTTAACTTAGAAGAAAATCACTTCTAGCAAGATAACAAAAGCTTCGGTGTAAAATAAGCTAGGTTTCCACATAACTGCTACCCAATAAAATCCCTACAAGAGGGAACTAATAATAATATGAAGAGAAAGGGAAAAAAAAAATGTTATGGAAAGAGGATTTATCCAGAATCCATTTGAAAGAAGAACGCAAAAAGAAAATTTCTCCTTTGTGAATAAAGAAGCTAAATCCCATTTGAAACCATCCCGATCCACTTTTTATTTAAAGGAAGTAAGAAATTCTTAGGCTTTTTGAAGCAATAATGAAAGCTCTTGAAAAGACCACTTAGACAATTCAGGAAAGAGGGAAAATATTAATAAAAATATCTGACAACAAGAGCAATATCGCACAAACCAACACTTGTAGAAAAATTGTTTTAAAAGATCAAATTAAGTACAACAGTTTGTCTTTGTAAGGAAAAGAAATTTTAAGTTGGAAGTAGATGTAGATAAAAAAAAACACTTGAAAAGCACAATCGTTAAGGAGAGGAGACAATTCAAGAAAAATGAGGAAAAGGATTGTTGGAAGAACGAGAACTTAAGGCATCGACAAGGACGACAAAGACCAAAGGAATGGAATGGGAAAAAAACAAAAGACGAGACTTGCAAATTACGTAGAGAAGAGAACTTGTTAAAAAGGACCTCTGGTCCGCAACCCGGCAAGGCATTAATATAGTAATCTATTTCACCCGTATTCGATATGGCTATTCGGTTAAAACACAACTACCCGAAAGAAACCACGAAACTTCGCAACTGATGAATCCTCATGGACGCATTAGGCAACAGACCGACTATTCTCTCACTTGGTATATATTACAAATATATAACACACGGTACCTTGATGCTAGCCAAGCAGGCCACAAACGGGTAATGCCGCTACTGTGTGAATACAGCAAATTACCATCTGCAGATTGACAGCACCACTTTTGTAACTATACCTAGTATGTAATCCAGGGGACTGAATATAATCCTTGCATTTACGTGTTGGTCACCAATGAAGTACGTTTCCTCACGCCGCGTGAGACTCGCCAGAACTTTGAACTTCCCTCTCAACAGCCGAAAAAAACAAGAAAAAATCGTGTTTCAGTACAAATATGCCATTTTAAGTCACGTGATTTTATCTTAATTTTGTTTTCCTTCACAAGTTTCCTCCTGGGCTTTCTCTGTGTGTAGCTTTGACTGAAGGTGGGGGGGGGGGGAAAGTCCCAGAAAGTTGCACTGCACATCCAGTTGTATATCATAGCATCAATGATAACTAAAGTGCTCTTGGAAGTGTGATTGCTGTGAAGTAGACAGCTGAATATCTGAGTGATCTGCTGAGTGTCTGAGTGATCATATTTTTCCTTGCGATGAGTAATAAGTTTTGCAGAGCATTTTATGTTTTTTTTTTTTCATGTCTAGTACTGTACATGCTCTGGGAACAAGTGGTAATGCATGGATAATATTGTATGGTTGAGTATGTGGAGAGTAGAGAAGTATAGGATACATATATATTTACCTGTATACTTATCTTTCGACAGCGTTTTCTTTTGTTCTGGATAGAATATGCTGACTACATAGAGGAACAAAGCAAAAAGAGTAAATATGTCCACCTTCGGTAGATTGTTCAAAGTCACTACATATGGTGAATCACACTGTAAAAGTGTGGGTTGTATTGTTGATGGTGTTCCACCGGGACTAACCCTGGAAGAGAAGGATATCCAACCGCAATTGACCAGAAGAAGACCTGGCCAGTCTGCGCTTTCTACTCCAAGAAATGAGAAGGACCGTGTAGAGATTCAATCCGGTACTGAGTTCGGTAAGACTCTGGGTACTCCCATCGCTATGATTGTTAGAAACGAGGATCACAAGCCAAAGGATTACTCTGAGATGGACAACTACCCAAGACCATCCCACGCCGATTTCACATACTCCGAAAAGTACGGAATCAAGGCCTCATCTGGTGGTGGTAGAGCATCCGCTAGAGAAACTATCGGCAGAGTCGCCGCTGGTGCCATCGCTGAGAAGTTCCTGCATTACGTCTCTGAAGTAGAAATTGTCGCATTTGTCACACAAATTGGAAGCATAAAGATGAACCGTGACCCATTCGATCCAGCTTTCCACCAACTACTAAACACCATTACTAGGGAACAAGTGGATTCCATGGGGCCTATAAGATGCCCAGACGCCTCTGTGGCCGACCTGATGGTAAAAGAAATTGAAAAGCACAGAGACGCTAAGGACTCCATCGGTGGTGTGGTTACCTGTGTTGTTAGAAACCTACCAACTGGTCTAGGTGAACCATGTTTCGACAAACTAGAGGCCTTACTAGCACATGCTATGCTATCTATTCCTGCCTCCAAGGGTTTCGAAATCGGTTCAGGTTTCGAAGGTGTTAGCGTGCCTGGTTCCAAGCACAACGATCCATTCTACTTTGACAAAGATTCCGGCAAATTGAGAACCAAGACCAACAACTCCGGTGGTGTGCAAGGTGGTATTTCCAACGGTGAAAACATTTACTTCTCTGTTCCTTTCAAATCTGTTGCTACAATCTCTCAGGAACAGAAGACTGCCACTTACGACGGTGAAGAAGGTGTTTTGGCTGCTAAAGGTAGACACGATCCAGCAGTCACCCCAAGAGCCATCCCAATTGTGGAAGCCATGACTGCACTAGTTCTAGCCGACGCGGTGTTGATACAGAAGGCTAGAGAATACTCAAAAAATGTTGTTCGCTAATATGATATCGAAAGCAAAATAAATATACTGTACTATATCAACAACAGCAATTTATAACATATCTCATAGAATTAATGCTAATATTACAAACCTAGACTCATATCGCATGTATCTTTAAATACTTCATAGAACCCTGACTAGTTAGTGAATAATCAATGAAGATAAATTGTTATATTCTTAATCGTTAGAGTTGCTCCCAAAATTGTTCAAGAATCGATATCACTTATGACTATACTGTGGACCAAATGATCGAGTTCCGCTGAGGCCAAGAATAAATAAGAAAGTCTTATAATATTTTAAAAATTAAGGTATATTTTTTATTAAATTCAATTGAAAATCAATGATAATCTTCAAGAGAAAATATTTTGTAGAGAATAGAGTAAAAAAATTATATGTAAAATAAAAAACCAATTTGTAGAATGCTAAACTTTATCAATTGCCAACAGTAACTATCAACAACCTAATAATAAACTATAACTCTGTGGATTTGTTAAATGTAATTTTATTCCTTTAATTTCTTTACAATTCTTCTTCGATGAAACCCTTGTGGGAAACGTAGATACCATCCAAGAACTTACGGATATCCTTGTTTCTGACACGGCAGATTTGTTGAACATCAGCGGCGTTTTGGGAAACGTCTTCAACAGAGTTACCGGACAAGACCAATTCATCCTTTTGGGTGGTAGAGAATTCGACATCGACACCTTCTCTAACTGGGACCAATCTGACCTTCTTGTCACCCAAGAAGTTTCTGATTTCAATGAACTTCTTACCGTCCTTGTCAATAGTGTTAACGTTGATTGGGAAATGCGCGTAGACGTATCTCAACTTGTACTTGTAACCCTTGGTGACACCGGTGATCAAGTTGTCAACCAAAGACTTGACAGTTCTCAAAGCAGCAACGTGCTTTCTGTCACCGTTGTGGACGGTAACCTTGATCAACTTCTCGCTGACCTTGGTGAAAGTAACATCAATGTGCTTCAAGGACTTGACCAAAGTACCTCTTGGACCAGTAACCTTAACGACTCTGGACTTGATGCTAACGGTAACACCTTCTGGAACAGCAATGGATTGTTCGGTTTGAATGTACTTCATCTTTACTTCAGTTGACAGGTGTCTCTTGCAAGTAACTAATAAAAGCTATACATCTAGTAAATACCACTACAATCTTAAAAATATTGCCGACATCAATCGAGACAATACACAATTAGTGGTAAGACTCTAGCTAGAGATGGATGAGGCACAGAGTGAAAAAAAAAGTTGAAAAAAGTTTTTCAGATTTTTTTGCAAAAAATTGGAAATTTCTTCAAGATCATCGATTCTCAGTAAGAAACAACCGTACAACAAACTGTACAATTAGCCATTTCCAATGTCATCGCACCAGTTTTCCTAAACCAGCTTTGTGAAAAAGTTCACCAGTTCCAGAGCTAAAACCGGGTAAACCATCTTTCAGCTGCCACTGGTTGCAACCCAGCAGGGCGTGTCTGGGTTCCCGGGGGGGAGGAATATACACTCATCAAGTGACAGAGCGTCAATATATGAGAGCTACAGATGCTATTCGTTGTATACTTTGGCAGAAGTGTCAGTATGCCATTAACCTCTATAGGTAAAAACTACAAGTGTGAATGGACAGTGCCAATCTACTGCTGCGTATATTACCAAACAGATATGCTCTCCCTTCAGCGTATAAATAATATTTGGCAAGTTAGAGTTGGCACTTGAACCGTACAGTAATATAATAATATAATATGAGTATACACTCATGGGAGTCATGTGACTTGGTTTCTCCAAACAGAGCTTGAGGGCTCCTAGTTTCAATTTGTACAGCACTTTCTTAGAGTAGTCATCGCAAGTGTGCTGTAACGCTGGCGCAGTGCAATAGGGCACTTACTTCCAAACAAACGACTGTAGTTCCCCCTCCCAAAAAAAAAAAAAGTTTTTGAAATTTGAAAAAAAAAATTGCCGAAAAAGTACCTAATTAGGAAATTTACTACCAACATCTCTACACCACATATACAAGCTGTGAATGGGGCCTTATTACCAGCAGTCACAAAATATATAAAGTTCTATGAACCGACAATACTCAATCCGCTTCACTTAACATGCATTGTGTGAGCGACCTACAGTAGCATTGATCATGCATATATACTAGAGGATGATATGCCCCAAATCCTGAAGTTGTGCTTATGAGTCCCAATTAAATGAAATCATATAGTGTTGTGAAATTGTTCTGAGACCGGCACGTTTGCCAGCGTTTCGATCAGCGTACTCTTGTGTAGCACTGTTGCGCTTTCTAATACATACTCTTGTGTTCTTATCTTCCTACTAAAAGCATCCCAGTTCCTTGAATGTAATTTTGAACCACTGATATCATATGATATTTGACGTGTATAGACACATCAATCTTGCAGAGGGTTTCGGACCGTTGGCATGAATTTCAAGTACCTGAATTGACAAATTTAAGGTATCAGAATATTACACTACAAAAACTAATCAAGGAAAAAGAATCTAAAATATATTTCTTCGGTACTGCTCTTTGTTCCATTAGAAATCAGTCAGGTACAATTGCTTGCTAATTATCAAGTTGAAGAATGCTCAACGATATTAACGACCTTCTTGATTTAGAGAAGCACATCGATGAGATTGAACAGAAACGAAACACCCTTGCCAATGAGTTGGAAACATATAGAAATGGGGTTGTCACAAGAAAAATCCATGAAGAACAGGAAAGCATTGATCTGTTAGCTGAGAGAATACTTGCTGCGACAGACAACTTGGAAGCCATTGAGCAACTGAAAACGGAGTTTGGTGAATTGAGAATTCTGAAAGAACTAGAAACTGATATAAAGAATAGAAATAAAAAAAAGGAAACTGTAGATGAGCTGCAAAAACTCGAACCAGAACTCAATGAAGTAATAGAAAGTAATGATGAAAATACCATTACTGATAGCATCATTAATCTACATGACAAAATTTCTTTGATCTGCAACGATGAGGTAATTCATCTAGATGATTATATACAGTATTTCATATTCAAATTTGAAGATGAATTAGTCAGGCCTGTTATATCTACAAAAATGAACGAATTGCAAGACAAACTGCTAAAATCATATTGGGATAACCAAAAAAAGAACAGCTTGACCACGAATCAGATAAATGATCTGCGATCTAAATCCAGCGAATTATTCAGGTTAAATAACTGCTTGTTTAATAATAGCAGCGAACCTTTAGCAAATATGAAAGCTATTGCGAACAACTTTAAAGTGAGATTTACTTACCATTTTCACAACTCTACGACAGACATCGAAACTTACTTTAAATTTTTAAAAGATTATCTTCATGAAAATCTTTATCAGTGCATTTCAATATTTTATGACCCCAGTGTAGGACTATCAAAAGCAATTATCCATCAAGAGTTCATTAACAATGTTCTTAATCCGATAAGGGAAAAAATCAGATCTACACTATCGACAAATGATTTGAAGTCTGCAATTTTCCTGATATCACAAATTTTAGCAACAGACAAAATTTTGTCGAAGACGTTTCATTACCAGGGTAGTGGTTTGGCAAGTTTGATATCAGATGACCAATGGGAGAAATGGATAAATTATGAGGAGGAAATAACGAAGAAGCAATTTTCCTCAATAACTGGAAATACAGAAAAGGAGCTATTACAATCAGCTAACAATTTCAATGAGTTGATAAAAAAGACGTATGTGTACTTAGAACCACTATTAACTTTAGAATATGACCCTGCTCAGAAATTCAAATTACAATGTTGCTCGAACATCTTCCTGAATTTATTCAGCATGTACTTAGAACATACACTTGCTGTTGATACACTTGGCGAAAAAAGATCCAAAGATGAAGAATTACAACAAACGTTGATAAAATTGAATAACTTATGCATTGTCGCCAATAAAATCATTGAACTTCAAGGTATGGAACCATTTGTATTATTGACCGATATTGTGAATAGGAATGAGGCAAAGAATTATATTTCAGTTTTCCAGGATATACTGAATGATTACGAGCAAAACATTCAGATTGATATACAGAGATCTATTGTTCACAGATTGCAGAAACTGCTAAAAGATACATTACGAAACTATTTCAAAATTACTGGATGGTCCACAGACTACTCTCAAGAAGAATTAACTACTCCCAGCTCCGAGATCATAGCAGCAATCAATCTTTTAACACGTATATTTATCAAGATTGACACCCTGCAGGTCCCGCCAAGTATTGTCATTCAAATAAAGAACGATATTTTAAATGTGCTTGTGTTGTACTTCACAGAATCCATTTTAAAGCTTAATAAGTTCAATAAGCGCGGTCTTTTGCAATTTGAACTAGATTTTAATAAATTAAAGGATTGTCTTTCTCTGCCTTATGATAACTTCAATTTTAAAGAAAGGATGTTAACTGAGATATTACATATTCTCCGTTTAAAGTATGATTCAGCACAGTCCCACTTCTACGAAAAGCAATATATTAAGCAAGGATTATATGATGATCTTCGAGCACAAAACAAAATTGAAGTATTAAAGGACACTGAAATACAAGACGCACTATATAGAATAGCTTATGGCAATATCGTTGAATAAATAAATAAGTGATTTATAAACATGAGCATTCTATATGGTTTCATTCGGGATATCAACCATGTCTAAATCAAGATTTTGTGTAACTTCATCTTTAATTTCGCGTAGGCTTTCCTCATTGGAAGCTGTCGCATCCACTAGATTTGAAAACCTTTTCTTTGCAAAGGATTCTACAATTTCACCGACAGTCGATATCATCCCTGTAGGCCCTTCTTTGAACAGGCCGTCCTCATCAGGCCTCTTAATCCAATTCAGATCCTCTCTGGTAGTGGTAATGGAAACATCTTTTTGACTATCCATTTCAAAATTTTCTCCACTAAAATGCTCAGATATTAAATGATCTATTACAGGCCAACCATAGGCATTAGAAAATCTCCTTCGAACAATGATATTATTATGAGCATCCGGTTTCAAGGCGACTATTACTTTTCTCCATGACAGGCCTTTGTGCCACCTTATTGCTATCGTCTTCTCTAGCTCTTGGTATTTAGTTTTTTCCGATGTTACTGTAGACAATGCTTGCAGAAATATATTCTTATTGTTAAAAAAACTACTATCAGGATCTTTTTCTACATCCTTGATATCTTCTTCTGTGTATATCTTGTCATGAATAATTATATCATTCCTATGTTTAGGGTTGACGATGAAATTGATATCTGGTAATGGCGGCAATAATATGGAGGCTGCAGATTGGAAAAAGGATACTTTAGGAATTTTTGGATCAGACTCAGGAAATTTTTGCGGTGCCCATAAACTCAACATCTTAGTTAATGGGGATATGAAATTTTTATTGAAAAAAGCCGTGTTATCTGAGACTGTTATATTATTAGGACCAGATAAACTCTTATTCTCTTCCTTTTCTCTTAATTTCTTCAAGATTGCATCATAATCAAGATATAATAAACCTGACGTATAAAGCGGCACTATTCCATCGTTAACGGCGTTTGCGTATATTGTTCTCCTTTCAAATTTCCGTAAGATGCTTCTGATGAACTCCCCGGAAAGAGAATAGAGCAAGGGTTTCTCATCTGGTAAATCAACATCAAGATTCAAGTCCTTTCCCGTACGACCTACAACCCCAAATGACAGTAATAAATTAATATATGCCGGATTATCAGTAACGATGCCTAACATTGGTGAAGCAATTGTGATAAAATTTACCGGTTTAACCTTATCGAAAAACCATGGGTATCTGGCTGCTAAATTACCAATTGCAAAAGTCTGTACTAAACCACCTAAACTGTGTCCAACAAATGATATTTTTTTGACATCTGCATCATATAGATTATCGATAATATAATCCGCCAATCTAGTTCCTAAGTATCGTACACCCTTTTCTGTTTCACAAACATTATCGAAATAACCATCGACAATTAATATTTCATTGGGAAAGTTCGCCTGTGACTTATATATTTCTTCCATCAAGTATGATAAATCTGCAGATACATTCGAATGTAATCCATGTGTCAGAATTACTAAATGCTTAATATCTTTTTTTGGAGCTAACTCCCTTGGTAGCTTCCATAGATCATCTGTTGTTAATCGTGAAACAATCAAATTATTCGATGTTGATCCTAAATGCGGGAGACACTCTATTTCATTATTTTCCTCCAACATTTTTCTGTCCATACCAACTGTCACCTCAAAAGGTACATTAGTATTTGTAGTAAATAATATCTGACTCACTACATCCAATATCCACACGTATTTTGATTGTATGTTGTGTAATGACAACTCCATAACCTTCACTTGTTGCGCTTGTAGATTTGCCTCAAATTGCGGATAATCAGCTGATGAAACGATATGCTGCGAATGATGGTAATTATTACTTCTCACATCACCATACAAAATAAATGGACCAGCCAAGTAACCTGCACGAAATGATAGGGGACTACAATTCTTCAATCTAACATACAAGGAATCAAGCTTCAAATCATCTGGTATTTCATCATCTTCATATAAGATATATTCTATCAAATAACGCTCTATTTCACCCACTTTAACCGATGATCTATAATGATATAGTATATCTTTATTAGCATCTATTTCATCCATTATTTATATCTCTGCTGGATTATTGGTACTTCATCTGCATTTGATCCTCTCAGCTGTGAATTTGCGAATATCTCCAAATTTAAAAGTAAATGTCTTTCTGGAATATATTTTCAGGTTAAACCCAAATGGAATGGTTGTCAATAAACTTAATTCACCTCGTGTTGTGGCTTTGTAGGCATTCGATCATTGTTCTCGCTCAACTATTATGTTCCCATTGTCTCAACAGTCCAATTTTCATATGTGTGAAGCGATGCCCGATGCCCTAAATCATAAAAACCTAAATCAATCATTTTCAAAAGTTATTTGAATTAATGGCAATTCAATAATTAGGAAAAAGAGTCAAAGGAATATTTTTTGTACGCTCTATATATACAAGTTAATTAATTACATGAAATAATCCTATGTAGAGAACAGGAATTGCTGAAAGCCTGCCGGATTAAGATTGATTGGTTTCAATAATGCTTTCTGCTTGTATATTATCGTCAAATGACCTGACAGCGTTGATCACATCATCCAGCCTTTCCCCAGATATAACGCCTTCAAGGTCATAAAGATTCAATCCACATCTATGGTCTGTTATTCTGTTCTGCGAAAAATTGTAAGTTCTAATTTTGTCGGACCGGTCCATGGTTGTGACTTGCTCTTTCCTCACCTGTCTTTCCTTTTCTGCTTTTTGCTGTTGTTCAAGTTCAGCTAGTTTCGATCTTAAAATGGAAAAGGCTTTCGCCTTGTTTCTATGCTGGGACCTTTCGTCTTGCATATGAATCATTATGCCGGTAGGAATGTGAGTCAGCCTAACAGCTGATTCGGTTGTATTAACGTGTTGTCCACCTTTCCCACTAGCCCTTTTCACATCAATTCTTATCTCTTCTGGCTTGAACGACCTCTCAAATGCATCGAGGTCTTTGCCTTCATCGCCCAATTGTGGCAATACCACAACAGCTGCTGTTGAGGTATGGGTTCTTCCTTTACTTTCAGTGGCAGGTATACGCTGTACTCTATGCACTCCGGCTTCATATTTGAGGATATTATATGTACCAGGTTCATCTATTGCCAGTACAGCATCCATAATACCACTTCCTGCCTCGTTTTCCCTGATTGAAACTATGTGATGCTTCCATTTCTTGTTATGCGCGTAGCCTATATACATGTTCAGCAAATCTTTTGCAAATATCATGGCCTCACTTCCACCCACACCGGGTCGCAGTTCCAACATGCACGCCTTCTCCGCGAAAGGATGAGGTGGGATGAGCCTATGCAGCAGGTCCTGTGTGGTCTTCTTTAGGTTCGGTACCAGCTCGTGGAGTTCAGCAGCAGCCTCCTCAGCAAGACTCTTGTCCACATCGATCATCTCCTTGAGCTCTCTGTAATTCCCGAGCTGTTCCTTGTACCGATCATACACGTCTTGTAATGACATAAGCGAGTTGTATTTCCTCTGCACATCTTCGTCGTACCCGTTACTTATCTGTTTCTCTAGCTCAGCGAGCTCCTTCGAGACACCGCTAACTCTTTTCAAGAGCAAAGGATTCAACTCCTGGAACTCCAAGGCTTCCTCATCGGCCTCGCTCGCAGCTGTGCTGGCGAATCTGTACGCTCTCCACACCGGGATCCTGGCCCTGCTCAGCACTTTCAAATTATTACGGGCAATCCACATTCCCTCAGCACACTCTAACGATTCATTGATAGTGCAATAGACTACTGAATCCAAAAACCATCCCGGTACTAATATGCCAAGGCTTTGTTCCTTTTGCGAGTAAACCCTAACATAGTATGTGTTATGGCTTCGGTTAGTGAAAACCTACTGGATGGGGGACCAGTTTCCAGCTTACGCCGTTGTCAGGAAAGTTTAGTGCCCGGCCCTAGTGAGAGAGTGCGCAAAAATTAGGGTTGCATTAGCTTAGGACACTGAAAAGAGAAGACGAAGCGAAGACCTAACAAGTTGACAAGTTTGGGGTCACGTTACGTGCAAGTAAAATAACATAACACGAGCAATAAGGGGACGAATGTTCTAGAACCCAGAAACTGGCTACGAGAGCTGTGGGTATGGATTCTTTCGAGATGGCCTGCGGGAGCAGTGCGCGATGCTTTTGGGTAAGGCATATATATAGACAACGTAGTCAGGTCAATTGTACATCAGGCAATTGCAAGTCAGTCCAGTTCCACAAAGGCACAACACAACTATTGCATCTGACTAGTAAAATGGTGGTACACAATCCTAACAATTGGCACTGGGTCGACAAGAACTGTCTTGGCTGGGCGCGTGAGTATTTCCAGGAGAAGCTGGTGGGTCTTGCTGCTCAAGAAGGGGACTGCCAGCTGAGCGTCACGTCTGTGAAGACTGTAGACGGTGACTGTGAAGTCAGCCAGCGGAAGGGTAAAGTGATTTCGCTGTTTGACTTGAAGATCGTGCTTGCCTATGACGGTGAGCTTGCCGGTGACAAGTTCGAAGGCACCGTGAGCGTTCCTGAAGTTGCCTTCGACAGCGATCCCGAGGACTACCAGTTTGTCGTGACGATATTCCAGGAGACCAGCAAGCTGAATGAGCGGGTGAAGCCGTTGATCCGCGAGCGTCTAGTGCCTCAGCTGCGTTCTGCGTTCCAGCAGTTCGGTCCGGACCTACTCACGACACACAGCAGCGATATCCAAGTGGGTGCTGATCAAGTGAGCAGCACCTTCACCAGAGCCAACCAGGAGGCCAGTGTTCCGGTCGCGGGCGCTTCTCAGGCAAAGGCACCGGCATCTGCACAGTCTACAGCGAAGTCTTCAACGCAAGTGCAGAAGCCCGTGGAGAAGGCCACTAGCGGTGCGAGTGCGTCTAAGCCAGGCACAACTTCTAGAGTGGTGAACACCAGCTCGATGCACCTGGAACCCAGCTTCAACGTCCCTGCGGCTGAGCTGCAGCGCACATTCCTGGACAGGATGCGTCTGCAGCAGTTCAGCAGGTCGGAGTTGCGCATGCTACACTCCGGTTCCGGTTCCGGCGCTGGCGGCGAGACCCTTGGCGAAGGGGACGAATACGAGTTGTTTGGTGGCAATGTCCGGACCCGCGTAGTCTCCGTAGGCGACAGCAGCATTAAGCTGCAGTGGCGTCTGAGCGACTGGACTCCGGAGTGGTTCAGCGAGCTCTCCATTGAGTTCCACGAGAGCCAGGAGTACCACGAGACCAAGCTAAAGATCACCTGGGACAAGATCCCGGTAGGCCAGGAGGACCGTGTGCGCCAGAACTTCGAAGAGTACTACGTGCGTGCCATCAAGCTCACTTTCGGGTTCGGCGCCGTACTCTAAGAACTTACTGGAGCTCTGGGCTTCCAGCAAACTATATATAGATCTAAGTACGTCTGCTTCCCGCTCTAGGGGAAGTCTATTTTCATTCAATAAAGTATAGATACGTTTTCCCGCAAATGGAAAGATTTCCGAAGAAGATTCTGCACGTACTTTTCTCTTCTAGCGTTCGCTGTGCTGCAACGAAGGCGTAGCACAAGCCCTTAAAATTATGGGGAGGGGGGAAGAAGGGTACATTCACATGCACTGGGCCCCCCTCCAGTTAGATCTGTGCCAGTGAATTTCTCTACTTTTCAAGGAAAGTGTCAAAACTTGAGAGATGGCCCACTCCAAGGCACAGAAAATGAAGCAGCGAACAGGGTTTTTTTCTCTGCTGGCCTCTGCGCATTTTTGACGTTATACAAGGCTCAAATTAAAGCTTTCACGGACTTTCTCAGAGCAACTCGTACAAGGCCCAAGCACAGACGCAGTGCCCATAAGGGAATCCACCGAGTACTGTCTGCAAGGAAACACCCGTGCAAAACGCTGGAACTTAAACCTATCAAAAGAAAAGAAGAGCGATGGACGATGGGGCGAATGACGCCACTGACCGCTACCAGACAGCAATACAAGCACAACGGTTGCTGGGACAATCAGGCTGCCCAACGCCCACGCTTTCCTTTCGCCCGCTCATACCAACCTTAAAACCAGCGCCCCCCTCCCCTCACAGTCTAGAACTTAGTGGCTCTCTTGCACTCGTGCCAACTTCTTCACACAAGCGCTACCCGCCCAACACAAGATAACCGCCAAGCACAGGGAACACAAGGAGTCAAGAGCCGGTTGCAGCCTGGAGTCACTCCCCACGCGAAATGACTAACGCTGTACTCAGCGGATTGGCACAAAAATGAAAATGCACTAAAACAATCGCACAACGCGCATGCTCTGCCACGACCCCCCTCCGTTCTATCCGTCTCTCTTTCTACTAGCTTTGCCAGTGTAGCACCTGCACGTCTATCTGTGCATGTGCCATTTACACAAGCACTCGGAGCCCACCAAGCACCAGAGATACCTGCGCAGAGAGCTCGAGCCCGCTTGGGAAATACGAAATTCCCAGCGTTCCAGGTACGGGCATTTCTCTGTTTTTCACGGCTTTTTCGCATCAATTTTTTGATAGATCCTCTGGGGAGTTGCCAGTGGGACTCAGCTGAAGCTCACACCGGTGGATGGGGGGATGAGCGAATCCCCAGGGAAAGCTGGAAAAACTCCAGCCGTGCGCTGGCAGTATAAATAGGGGACTGTTTCTTTCCCCCCCATGCCCTTGTCGAAGACGGTTCCAATACAGTGAGCATAATCTCAAGCACAATTTCAAGCACAATTTCAAGCACAATTTCTAGCACAATTTCAAGCATAACTCTAAATAAAAGCTTTGACTTTTGAGGAAATTGGAAAAATAAGCAAGGATTTTTGGTTGACGTTGACTTGGAAATTTGCTATAATAAGATTAAAAAGATTTAAGATCACAAGTACCACTAAACTAACCTGCATGATAGCGACGACGCACACATATTAAATGGCGCAGACTATGGAGTTAAACGCACACATGAGCTCAAAGGTGAACAAGGAGCTGCCTTCCATTCCGGAGCACCTGAAGTACAAGGGTTTCACGCCGAGCGGGAAACCCCGGCTTTTTGTGTGTCAGACATGCACAAGGGCGTTTGCCCGGCAGGAGCATCTGACCAGGCACGAGCGCTCACACACGAAGGAGAAGCCTTACTGCTGTGGAATTTGCGACAGGCGCTTCACAAGAAGGGACCTGCTGCTGAGACACGCACATAAGGTGCACGGGGGCAACTGTGGGGAGAGTCTGTTACGGAAGAAGAGAAGCAAGAGAATGTCCTCTAAGCAGATGTCGAACTCGAACGGCCCTTTGCAACAGTCACCGGGCTCACTTCCCACTGAAAACCACAGTAATGACAAAATAATCGCCAATGGAGACCCACTGGTGGCATTTGAAGCAGGAAGCACAGATGTTAATTCCAGAAAGAGGAAGAAAAAGAACGAATTTTTGGAGAGAACCAAAAAAATGGCTACGCCAACCCTTATGAGAAGAGCATCATTCAGCGCCCAGTCTGCAGAGAATTATGCTAAACCGCTAGGCAGGTCCCAAATGCGCGGGCCCGCAAGGAGACCGTCTTCCCGTTTGACAAATGTCTCTAACAGCAGTAGTCTCACTAACGCTAATGCTCATAATAGTAATAGCATGTTTCCCGAGTTGAATACTCACCACCCGGTCGATAATGTGGAATTTTCAACACCGCAACTTTTACCAGTCGATTTCGGGAATGCACTAACCTTCAATGAAATGGATTTTTTCTCTCTCGATGAAGAGAATGAGGGCTCTGTAGATTTCAGCATAGAAGACTTCAACAGCTTTCAATATCAAGGAGGTGAGAATAACAAAACCCTTAACGAAGCAAATAACGGACCACATGTACATAATAAAGTGGATGAACAAGCAGTAGATTTTGACTTCTTAAAATCTCCGTTCAATAAATATAATGATCCTCTATCCTCAGATGTTCATCTAGACGTGGATGACAAACCTCGCAATAATATTCCAAGAATAAATGAAAACTCTATCTTGGACCAATTTCACAAAAATTTATTATATTCCTCATCATCGAACCCAGAGATTTCTCGAAGTGAATCCTCTCCAAGCTCTTCTGTGACAATGCCAAATGAGTTACCTGACTTGAATAATCATGTTCCAATTACACAAGGAGGTGCAGGCACACCTGGATATTCACCATTTTCAGTTAATAGTTTTGGTAGGGAAAATACCTCTCAAAAAAGTAAGACCAACGGAAAGTCTTCGGGACTAGCAAATAACAATAACAATATTCTACATACAAAGTCATTGTTTACTCACCACAAAAGGAATAATGAGAGCCTCAAAGAAGCAACTCTATCAGGCTCAACCGAAAATTCACCTCATGAGAATGGATATGGTGATTATTCCAATGTTGATAAACTCATTAATACGACAACCACACCAGGTTTTGTAGCTACTAGTGTAAGCCCAAACAAAATATCATCTCATCTGCATGGCCAACACAGTGACTACTTGCCAAATGAGGTTGATTCGAATCCAGAAGTATTTGATGACAATATTTCACCGAAGCAAGGTGATTATAACACAAAACCAAGTTATATTGATAATATTCAAAAATTAACCAGCAGAAAAAATTCATTATTTGGTAATATTTATAATAAGAGTCCAGCTGAAATTCTGAGAAAGGAATCAGCCACACCTGATACACATTCTGTTACACCTCAATACATCACCGAAATAAATGAAATTACGAGTTTTAATAAGGATTTGCAATCTATATTCAATGATTTCATGAAAGAGGAAGAAAAAGACATTATATATGGGAAGCAGAATGGTGATCTATTCAATTTATTGGTTAATGGTGAAGGTACCAAAACAACAAACAACCTTGGCGGTCAGTTACAAACTAATTTCAGTGAAATAGAAAATTTATCTGCCAATGGTCCTATTCATGATGCCAACAATAACTATACTTTCTATGGCTTAGATTATTTGGGGGCTGCAAATATAACTAAATCCTCACCACCTGAATCTGGATCAAATATGAAGAGATGTAAGCTATTTACAACAAAGTTGCGGATACTGTGTCACAGTGCATTAAAATTCTACGACCTGAACTGCTCAAATTCCACATTGTCCAAAAACTCCTCAGATACAATGCTTTTCTCAAAGCAAATTCTGTTACCAAGTGCTAATGAGCTTAATGAATGCATTAGCCTATTTCAAGAGAACTTTCTTTCTCATCATCCATTTATCCATCAAGATATTTTGAACCTTGATATTGACTCGTTGAGGAAGTACGTGTACGAAAACGAAGAGTTTAAATCAGAACTGGATGATTGTTGGAATATAGATTTTGACGGTAGCACAAACGTACATGACATACCTATAGGATCTAATAAGCAAGCAATGGGAATTGCTAGCTTGGTATGTTTACCGTTATTCATGGCAACTTGTGGCTCCATATATAAAAACGATAACAATTTTAAAACCATGGAACTTTATGAGGCTAGTAGAAGAGTACTGCATGTTTATCTAGAAACAAAAAAACAAGAACAGATTAGTATACAAAAGGATCCAACAGTGTCACTGATAATGAAAAGAAAGATGCAGAATCAACAGCATCATGTTTGGTTAATTCAATCACTAATACTAAGTATTATATTTGCCTTTTTTGCGGATTATTTGGATACAATAGACACGCAATTGGTTGTGAGACAGGTTGCTGCAATATGCTCTATCATAAAATCAAATATCTTGGCAGATATTACTTACTCTTCCAACCAAACATCTTCATTTGATAGTTCATTCAAGTATATTTTATATGAGACGAAGATTAGGACCGTATTAATGGCATACAAGTTTTCACAACTACTGACAATTTATTATAATATGGATTGTACAAGTTATTTTGATGAGCATACTGTAGAACAGTTAACAATTCCAGATGATGAATATAAGTGGCAAACACAGCGCTTATTTCAAGACAACAGTTTTATTGACGCAAACGTACCCATGACATCTTCACATTCAGCTGATAAATCTTCAGCAATTAATTTAAATCAGGGGAGTTCAAAATCCTTGCTAGAGCTTCAAAGCGGAGGTAAGTATCAAAAACAACATACTGTAAGCTTTAAACAGTTTTATGATAGTTTTGCTTTTAACAATAGAGGTCTGCATGCAATTCCTGAATACTTAGCCATTAATATGGTGCTTTATGAATACAGCATACGGAATCATTCAAAATTTCATGTATTTCTAACAAGACTGGATAACAAGAAGCTAGAAGCAAATATACCAGCACCTCCGTTCTTGGCAAATGAGGAACAAATGGCTTTTAGCGGCAAGAAAGCAAAAATTTTAATTAAAGACGCAATTGCTCTAAGGAACTACTTAATGTCAATGAAGGTTTTTAATGATGTTGATAAATCATTTGCCAACAAAATATGCAAGACAGGTCTGAAGGAAATTTTCTATGAATTTTTATATTCTGACCAAAATAATCTATTAACACATGGATCATATAATTTGATGACCGATTTTCTTATTGCTCTTAATTTTGCCATTAAGAATCTAACAAGACTAGTAAAATACAAACGGAAAGGGAGTGATGAACTCGAATTCGATAAGAACAAATTTTCCATTTTCAATCTACAAGCTTATTACTATGATTTCTTGACTGTCATTAAATTTATCATGGACTTTGAACGGACTCCTAATTTCAAGCTGTTGAGTATCTTCACCGAACTGAGAAAATTAGCGGATTGTGTTTTTATTCCACTTCTTAATGAATTTTATTCAATAGAGTTTACTCAGTATACAGCTGTGATCCCTGAACAGTCATTTAATAATAAGAAGGCAACTGATGACTTACCTCATATACTCGAAAGACTGGAAAAAATGATTGGAAATGTACTGGTGTATTCTTTTAATGATAATTCATTTCTCAATATGTTTGATGATAAAGTTCAGAATGAATTCCAGTTTAATCCTATGTCTAATCTACAACACTTTTTGAAATCACCCAAGATCAACGATAGCCAACTGATAAATTCGAATCGAGACGATGGTCAAAAGGAACATATCAACAACGGAGAACCTTTTGATGATACATCAATAAACCACACAAAATCGTCCGTTAATTTAGTATTGAGACATCAACAGCTTCAACAACAGCATGCCGAATCAACTGATAGCGATTCATCACTTCGAATGAGAACACACAAACAAGGCTTTGCTGAAAGGTATCAATTGTCAGCTAAATTTGCCAGTATTGGCAAGTGCGTCTTTAAGTTGGTAAAAGAAGATTTTTGCAATGCACATATTTTGGACAAAATGTCAAATGATTACTCAGAGCTTTGTAAACTTCTTGAAAAGGAAGTTTATAAGTTTGATCTATCTGGATTAGAGATTGATAGTAGGAAGGACAATCCTATTCATTACGATGTTAAGTTCTGAGATGCATACAGCTATGAACTAACATATTTTTAAAACTTGACGGTTTTATTTGATTATTATTTGCATGACGCTTTGTAACAATAATAAAAAATGCAGACAAGAATAAACTCGTATTATTTGGTTTGCTCATATGTAATTGAATACTAGAATCATCATTAATTCGTCATATTTGCTACTAAAATTATATAATTTATTTTATTTCTTAACCAATATTCCTTCTATAAGTGAAGTCACATTATTTGTTCATGAATACATGCCAATGTGAAAACCTCCAATAAAAATTACAAAAAGATCAGAGTTTAAGAGCTCTAACCAACTACTCTACTGAACCCATTGCTACCATTGATTATGGTTTGAATTAGCCACTCCTTTGATTCAATATTTATTGATAAGTAATCTGGAATGGCTTCTCTTTTCTGATTTCTTCTTAGCATATCTACAAGTTTATCGTCTTTTTCATTACTATTACAATTCACGAACAAAATGATATTATCTGTAACATTTATACCCTCATAGTCTCTTAACTCACCCAATAATCTAAAAATATTTTCTATTACAACTAGGCGCTGTTTTTTTGACAGTGTATTTTTTAATAGATCTGAATAATCCGAAATTGATGATGGAAAAATGTAACTGACATGAGCCGCACCAAGGCAGGAAAAGGCAAAATTCAAAAAATTATCTAATTGGGATGAACCTAGTACTATTATGGTATAATCACGGAGAATATTGGATCTATTTGAACACTGTTGGTTTAGTGAATATCCTTTTAGATAATTTCTTGTAAATTCAAATATGTTATTTGATATTATTACACCCAGCCTCTGGTCAGCTTCCGCCAGTCTCAAGCTCTCACCAGAGGGTAAAAGATAATTCCATAGTTGATTTATTGATGCATGAGATATAGACCCTACATCCTCAATGAATTTCCAGTGTATGGTGGGCCAGCCAAGGGCTAAGCATTCCAGGTACTTAAGGCTTCGTAAATGCCTTCGAGAAACCACACAAGCAAATGAACGCGTAAAGATGGGTGAATCATCTTTTGGTATTAATTCAGGCTGTATATTTTTCACAGTTATACCATATTTCTCTCTTATAATAGTATCATCAAATCTATTCTGGGCGCAATATTCAAAAACGCTCGAGAATCCCTCCTCAAGAACGAGTCCCCCAAGTTGTTCAATACGTTCTGTAAGTTCAGTAGAATTATCAGCTAAACTACTGAATACAAACAAAGCCTCGTTGTAGTTGTCATAATCATCATTTATCGTACACTCGGGCATTGAAGTATTGAATGATATATTGATCGGCACAATAGGTGAACTCCTTTGATCTTCTTTCGCTGTTTCGGATTTTAGCTTTGCTGGTGTTGAGCTCTCTATATATATAGCATTTTTGTTATTCTTGCGAGGTGATGTTCGACTAGAGCGCTTCCCACTACGTGAAGGTGTAGAAAGATCATTCCCTGGTTCAAGAGAGGGTGGATGACTAACTACGTGTATTTTGCTTCTTTTCATCCATTGCTCTATGGACATACATATGTCAGATATTGGCATCTCAAATACTTCCAATCCGAGCTTACCATTACCCGACAGTCTTTTCAAAAGCACATGGTCAAAACCTCTGACACATCGAAAGTCTTTACTGTTCTCAGATAGACATTTTAATGCAATAATCTCCCCTGTATATCCACCACAATCAACATGATCACCTATTAATAAATTCAAATAATAGACATCTCCAATGTTTACTTCAACTGTACCGGTTTTATGCCGAATTTGCGCTTTATTTCTTATGTAGTCAATTGATTCTATTCGACCTGGGTAAAACTTTAAGTTCGCATCATATTGATACCATACTGCATCTTCAAATATTATATCTTTGGGTTCTAGAGTACCCAAGTTTTGTACATTATCATTCTGAAGTTTTAACTTTTTAATCCATTCTTGTTTATACAGATTGTTAGAATTGATCTTATCTGGTTTGGCTAGACCTTCCTTTTCCGAGATCTTAGCTCGTTTGTTGCAAGGCGACTCATGATCGTTCGCATCATCTTCTGAAGAAGTTGCTAAAATATTTGCCGTCGCCCTTATCTGCTCAGTTTTGGATGATATATCTTGAGAGAAATTTCTTGTAGAATGATGTTGACTAATAGAATCATCCAATTCAGCCTCTTCCTCAATCTCTGGCAGTTCTTGGGTTTGTTCTCCATCACTTATAATATGCGACTCTTTGTCCTCTATTAGTTGGGTATCCCCATAAGTTTGCTCATAATCCTTGTTAGCAGCACTAATGACTTGCAGATAAACCTTCTGGTTATATGAAGAGTACTGAGTATCCAGATGCTGATCATTTTGACTTGATGTGATCTTAGTTCGAGGAACTTTCGATTTCGAAGGAGAGCTTGTACGTGGAACCTCTATAACGTTGTCATGTGATAAGAGTACGGAATTTAATGGTGTTGTTACATCTATGACAGATTGCGACGACATACCTGACTCATACCCAGTCTTGTAAACTTCTGGGGTTTTAGAGTCCAAAGAATTCTGTGAATTACTTGTAACGCCATTTTCCTTTATTAAACTAGTATCATGTTGTGTTGTATTGTCAAGCAACTCTGTTGATTGTGTCTCATTTTGACTACCCTGTATCCGCTGTGTGGCTGCTGCACTATTTGCTTCATTCTTATCGCTAATCCGAAATATGAATCTGCCATCTGATATAGTATTATATTGAGAGTGTTCATCAACTGCTGTAGTTTTTCCATTATTGGAGTTTTCGTTGTTGTTATCACTACGATGGCTACCAATGTGGCTAACTTCTTCAGCACCCAGTTGGGATGCATGATATGGATTAGCGGTCCCGTCTCTAAATGGAGAGGAGTTATTCAGAAACGGCTCACCAATTGGCAAAACGATCTCTTTCAAACCAGTACTCAATCTAGAATCATCAATAACAGTTTCTGTAGTGTCTTCAATGGCTGTTACATCATTTAATAAGTTTTTCTTTGCTGTGCTAGCTTTTGAGGGAGATAAATCTTCATGCATGACCATTCTTTGACTTATAGGTGTATCATCAGAATCAGAGTATTCAGAAGTTTCTAGTATTTTGTTCCTTCTTGGTGTTCTTTTATTCTTAAAGAAGTTGGCTATTTTCTCCAGATCAGGCGTTCTTTGATTGGATGCTTTCTTTAGTCCCAGTGGACTATACCTTTCATTGTCAACTATTATTTCGGCACTGCCATTACGCACTGGTGTTTTGAAAGTATCTATTGATTTCTTAGTTGATGTTACCGATCCGCTAAGCTGACCATTTCTGCCTTTAGCACTATCGAATATGTCATTTGTATTCATATATTTGATAGGATTAGATGAGTTGGAAATTATGCTGCTGCTTCCAAATCTATTGCAGTTACCCGTAGATGAATCTGAAATTTCATTAGCTTCCGGTTTTGTTATTATAGCATGTTGCAATGGTCTATCCTTGCCTATATTTTCTTTTTTAGACATACCACTCTAGATTGAAAATTTCTACCTGACATTTAGTGATTATACAGTTTACTTATTGAATTTGATATCTTATGATATGAAGCACCGCCAACTCATAGAATGCATAACAGAAATACAAATTTATGACCGAAATCATAAATTGCCTAGCAATGTTGCTATTTGAGGACTATTGTTTTCTGCACATCTTATCCATTGAAGCATTTATGAGTGGAAACGATCCAGTCATCGTACTTAGAAACTAATAGATGTATAGCATCATGTAAAGAAGAATGATCTGCTTACCTAAATCAATGTTATCCAAATAGAAAACAACATTGTTTGAGTTATACATAGAACTACAATTAATGAGATTAATGTGTGTTTTGCTATCCAGGAATGGACCATTTTAGAATCAAACACAATATTCCAATTTCTCGACTACAAATTGCAGACAATAGAGAATATATTATGATACCGGTTAAAGACTAATTATTGCTTTAAGGAATTGACGACATCGTAGACTTGCTTTGCTCAGAGTTTAATCTTGTCTCCAAGTCACGCAATTTTCTTTCATAATCAAGTAGCAATTGATCTTTTTCATCTATTAATTTGTTTGGTGATAACTTTGAGGAGTTATCACTCTGTTTAAAATGTAACCCGACAATTCTATGCATTGAATGGTGTATATCTTGTTGAATACTATTGCTTTCAACAATAGCTGATCGCCTTTCTAACAGTTTTCTAGCTCTGAAAGTCTCATATAGCACATTTTGCGTGAAATTTCTCAATTCCTGGACATGTGAGCCAAATAATATCCCCTTCAAATAAGCAAATTCAGAATTTGAAAAGTCTTCTACAATTAATTCACCCCAGCTATATTTCCTTATATGTAGCGTTTCAGCTGTCCATGGATGTACGTATTTAAGCTTACTACAAGTAGTTGCAAATGGAACCATTTCATTTATATTCTGTGAACGAGTATATTTGTCAAATGGATGCATATCATTATAAGAGAAGACATCACCTATTCTGTCATTCCCAAAATCATATATTTCTATATTATTATCCCTTAGCTGTCTCTTGATTATTTCTTTATTCGATACTAGTTCTGGCTGACTCAAAATATCAGCTTTTGTTAAAATTGGAATAATATTGACCTGCTTTTGAATTTTCTTTAAAACTTCAATATCAAAATCATTTAATCCTCTCATATTTGGCTTGATAAAATAGAGACACGCATGCGGTCTAGTATCTTCTATAATCCCGGTTCTATGTATTTTCTCTTCTTCAGCCAAATAATTCTCGAATTGGGTGTTAAGGTATGCTGAAATTGTCGCCGAAGTCCCAGAATTATCAAAATTATCACCAAATCCTTCCATAATAACTAAATCAAGTATCATAGGTGCGTTTATATGTGAACTGAGGTCTAAATGTTTCTTTATGATTTTTAATTTCTGTGCTATATGTGATCTTCTGGGATCACAGACTTCAACCGCTTGTGACTGCGTATAATCAGGATAGTTACAAAGATTTGCCAAAAAAGTCGATCTCCCTGATCCTCGTTCTCCTAGGATAAGTAAACAAAGATGTTCAGGTTTTTTTGCATTCTTTTTTTGTCTAAGCTGAATAGCATCTATGGTATGAGTACTTATTGGTCTGGGGAAGCGCGCAGCTGACCCAACACCATGTATAGTCGTCATTTAGGGATTAAGTATATAGACATTTCATCCTATCTTAGATTTTACAATCAAAATAAAATATACTATCGAGTCTGTTCCTTTAATGTGAGACCTTTTTGCAACTTCTCTACTATAAATAAATGAGAAATCCCTATTATGACACAAAATAAAAATAATGTGGAAAATATAATGTTTAAATAAACTTCTAACAATTATAATATAATATTATTATAATATATGTATTCCATGATTATCTCTTTAAATCTATATAATAAATATTTCAAAACTATTATTTTTATTATTATTACTATGTCCAAATTTTTACAAGAACACTAGAGAATTTTGATTAAAATGGCAATTTGATTCAATGATGATTTAAGTCTATTTCATCATCATTATCGTTATAATCATTATTGTTTATTATTAGTTCTATTATCATTTCTATTATTTTACTTAAAACTTGATTAATTTATTAACATGGTCATTAATTTATTGTCTTATAATACTGATTGAAGACTCTATTAGTTGCGAGTTCGTTATAATTTTATTCCATTTTAACTGGGTAAAGTTTGCTACACGATATAGTAACGTAATATTCTTGCAGCAATGTTTGTCTTCCAAATATCTTTGAAGGAATTATAACAATACCTGCTCAATACCCTACTTCTTCGCCATCATCAATTTTTTGATAACTAATTTTATTATCCGAAGTTATAATCATCTTTAGCTGACTTCTTTTATGCTTCTGTCTTTGCTGATGAGTCGATTCCAGGCATTGGCTTCTTTCTTTAACATTTGCAGAGTTCTTCAAAAGTTCCAGATCCTTTGAAGTGGCCTTTGATTCTAAAAATTTAGGTGATGCACTTCCTTCAAGCCTTTCTACTTCTTGGATATAACCATCTGATATTTTTCTAGTTTCAATTCCATCTTTTAACTGGAGCTCCGGCACAAAATCAAACATAGATTTGGAGTTTGACAAGCCGCCATATGACTTCACTTTCTTATCATTATTAATCGGCTGATTGATGTGAACGGTTTTTCGTATATTTTTTTTGGGACTGATTTCATTATTTTCTTTGAATAACAGTTTCTCGAATAAAGCTGCTTTGTCACGCACATGCTTTGAGTTTCGAAGCCTATCTAGGGAATCCGAAGAGGACGACAAAGAACTAGAACCAGTTGAAACTGTATCAGTATTCAACACTCCCTTGAACGGACTACTTGGCTCATCGTGAGCTTTCCACTCATTTTCCCCAAGTATTGGTTTTCCTGAAAATATTGAATCATCGGATGAGCGAGATTTATCAGATGTAGACGGAGACAACTCGCCAATGGTATACGTTTGATGTACTCTATCCTTTGTAGTGTGACTTCTGTCTACCATATTTTCGTCCTGAGAATCAACAACCGCTTTTATCCCTTGCAGTATTGACTGATAAGTTAGCGCATCTCTATTACTGATGATATCGGTAAAATTTCTCTTATCACTACTTATGCCATTATTGTTCTTGGTAATAATGATGTTTCCACTGCCGTCCACCTCGTCTATTCTTGAATGACTATAAGACCTTGTCTTTTTCCTATGTGGCTCTTCGTTCAAATTGAACTTGTTTTGGATATGTCTCAATGACTCAATGACAGAAACGTTATGTCTTGTAGTCATAGTCAACAGAAAATTCCTCTTCTGGTCTAAGATATCGAAAACATCTGTTACAAGTCTCCTTGTCCACCAGTTCGCACCATTAGAACCCTTGACTTTATTCCTGTAAATCAAATTCTCATTCGACAATGTCCGCAACATGCTGCAGGTACAGCTAACTGTCATTAAATCATGTGCCTCCAGATTCGAAAGGATATTAAATAGAATATTCAACGGCAGGTCGGTAAGGCTGCTGGGCCTCATGTACTGCAAGATATCCTCATCCATAAGCTCGAAATACTGTTAACGATGTTTGTACAATCTTCGGGGCCAAACGAAATGCAACACTAGCTAAAAAAAAATTCCAAACAGAAAAATAGGTATAGATACCGATCTCTTTCCTTTCAAACTAAGTTATGCCGATACACTTCGGCTTATCCAACAGTGTTTATCTATTAGCTTACTATTATCTAAGTTTGTGGTCTTTTGACGTTTGTTTGTTTGTTTTTGTCACTTTGCCATTTCCCGAGGGCATCGGGCTTTCGAAAAAGGTGAAACTTGCCAAACTGATGTATAAGACTTACGGGCTCACAATGCAATTATATTCTGTTAGGCAAGGAACTTATGAGAGATTGGCATTCAAGAAGTTGATCTCAGTGGGAAATAGTGTACTCGTAGTAGGAAATAATGAGGGTTAGTTGTTTGCTAAGTGCGTTGATCGTGCTTTCTCATGCAGATGCTAGCGTCGACGTTATTGGTGTTCCTAAGGATTTACAAAGTGCTTATAAGGCTGACGGTAAAGGTAAATGGAGATGTCTTAACGATAGCTCTATTGAGATAGACTTTTCACGTGTTAATGACGGTGTATGTGATTGCCCCGACGGATCAGATGAGCCCAGCACTGGTGCCTGTGGAGAATTGACAGAGTTTTATTGCCAAAATGAAGGTTTTATCCCAAGATACATCTCTGGAAGTAAAGTCGGGGATGGTATTTGCGATTGTTGCGATTGTTCTGATGAGGTCAATACTCCACAAACTAGTTACCGTGGCAGAACTTGCCAGGAATTAAAGAAGCAATATGAAGATATTTTGCAGCAAGAACGTCTAAATTACGAGCAAGGGCTGAAGGCATTGAGCCAAAAATTTGAGATTAAAAAGATCGATAGCAAGGAAAAGCAATTGAAGAATATCGAAGATCTTGACAAACAATTAAGTAAAACAAAGGATAAGTTACAAAAATCAAAAGCAAGATACGAGAAGGAGAAGCAATTCTATGTGGAAAAAGTCAAACTAAATGACCCAATTGCCTTCGAGTTGCAAAAGATTGATATGAATCAACTTACAGCTGATCTGAACTCAACATTTGCAACTGTTATTCAAGCAGCTTCTGCTTTCCAAGATATCACAAAGATTCTGGACGATTTATCCATTGGTTATACAAGATCATTGAATGATAAAGTTGTCAATGAGAATGTGAAAAAATATGATGCCATGATTAATAGCAAGGAATTCGATAGAGCAACGATTAGTAGTAAAGTCGAAACTGAATTACATGAACAATTACTGGACTACTTTGTCAAAGAGATCCCTAGACTGGTGTATGATAAGAAAAGTGATGAAACCAATCCTGAGTATGTTATCAGGAAAGCTGGATTTGTGAAGGCTCTGGTTTCAGGGAAGACATCTTACAGTAACGAAATTGTCAACAAGGGAGTGCGTAAGTTTATTAAAGTCATGGACACGGTAGCAAGCAACTATAACGTTAATTTTCAGGATCGGAAAGTGATTGAAGCTGCAGCTGCGTACCATGATTTCCTGGGTAAGTATGAGAACCTCTTGAATGGGAACACAAAGTTCACAGTCCCCGATAAACTTATCGAGAATATAGATACAATTATCAAGATTGTGGAGACGCATGCTAAGGATATCCTGTCGGGCAACCTTCACATTGAAGGTGGAGAATCTGGTCCATCTGAATCAAGTTTGGAAGAGCTGAACCAATTGAGGAAACAGCTCAAGTCGCATGAGAAACAATTGCATAGTTTAGAAGAGAAAGTCAAGGGATTAGAACTAGAGAAACAACAATCCGTTTTGGCACGTGAAAATGCTACATTATTAGCATTTCAGAACATTCTCGAGCAATTGAACGCCCATAAAAGTGGTTGTGTTTCAAGCAAGGTCAATGAGTACAGCTATGAGATATGTATTGAGCGTGACTTGAATGGAGAGTTAACTGGGATGCTAACCCAGCGCTCCTTGAATGATCCCATGCGTGTGGTTCGTATAGGTAGCTTTACTGGGTTCAATACCTTAAACGAGCACGAATCTCAGGCCAAGCACCAAAGCCACCTGTCCGCGAAGTATCCTGATCTGGACGTGAGACATCTCCGCAACGAAAGACTCAAAATGGTGAATGGCTCGATCGAGGACGAATTCGAGTACCTGTACGGTGACGAGCTCGACAACATGGACCTCCCCATCGTGCTCGGATTTACGCGCGGTGAGAAGTGCTGGAACGGACCCAGTCGTGCCGCCGAAGTATCGCTCAGATGTGCTCCAGAGTTCAACATCGAGGCTGTCACTGAGCCTACCAAGTGCTACTACAATATTGTGCTTGCCGGACCACTGGGCTGTGTCCCTCGTACTTAGACGTAATTTAAATATATTTTCCTATTTACCACAAGCATATAGTAATCAAGCATGTTTACGAACAATCTTCAGTATCGGTCGTTTAAGCACATGGTGACTCAGTTGGCTTGCCATCAACTGCAAAAAGCCTCATCCGCCATCCCAGACCAATTCACTTAAGGCCAATTGATGCCTTCCAGTGCCCATCACAACGAAACGCGAAAAAATGAGAGTAATCGCGGGACAGAGAACTCTTCGAATCTTCCGAGAATGTGGCTTGAAATGGGTCTATCCACTGTATATTAGCCCTGTAAAAAATGAAAAATTGCTAAATGCTAAATGATCACAGACATACACGCAGCAAACCAATACCAGGGCTTCCCGTTCCTATTAGAGATATGTATAGCACCGCTTTGGGCGGTGTTATAATGCTTGGTGTTAGCCCAATGGAAAGTAGCGCACAGCAGTAGAAGCAAAAGCACGACGGACCACACAGGAGAAGGGAGTAAGGGGGTCTACGAGTGTATCTGTGTATCATTGGCTGGTACTGAGAACCCGTGGGGAATCAGCTTTCAGGAGAAAATGCGAGACTATTCTCTCTTGTTAAGCTCTACTCCGTTTCTCCGGAGTACAGAGCTTGGAAAGGGAGTGCCTCTGCCCTGAGTCGCAGTGGACCGCAGTGAACGCAGTGGATCCAGTGGATTCTCTGCAGCATAGTAAATGTTATAGATAGGAGAAACAGCCGTACCGACTGCTCTGTGTTGAGCCTTCCTATTCCTAATCCACCCTCGTCGCCCCCTTTTCTTCTAGGACCCGAGAAGAAATACCGCAAAGGAGTCTCCAGTATTTGCAGGAAGCCCTTGCCATGAGATGCCCAGAGATCCAAGCAGGGGATAGCAATCAAATTAAGAGAAAATCATTTTCCTGATCAAGAGATGCTCTCAGTGTAAGCCGCACAGCCAAAATGGAAAAGGAAGCTTCGAAATTCTTTGTAATTGCGAGATATTTTTTGGGATCCCAACAGAATAGCCGAATTGCTCAGAACATTATGCACAAATATAGGGGAAAAGGGAATAACACAGGACAAGATTCTGCTTGGATCGAATGCATAGAAACAATCGAAACCTGCAGAGCTGAGAGAAGACGTTGAGCAACTGGAAGCCGGCTTAACTCCTTTTCTGTGCGAGGGGTTCACTGGGATCATCTTTACGAAGGTGTCCCATGTAAACAAAGAGTAAAGCACCACAGAAGGCCCGGAAGCCGGAACTCCCTAGTACGAGCCCGATATATTGATTCTCGGTTCACTACGCGTTATTGTTTTTGATTGCCACGAGCAAGCAGAAATCCGATGAGCTTGGTCCCCAGGTCCATGGCAAAAAAAAAAGTATATAAGAGCCAGAACTGCTTTTGCTTTGGAACGGTATCTTCACATGAAGGTAAGTACGGCATGTTTGACTCGAAGAAGAATAAGACCAAGTTTGCACACGTGAGGGAGGTACAAGTTGAGGATCCGCTACTGAAGGACCAAGAGGATAGGAGAGGCAATGACGATGCGTTCACGGTTATCAATGATGTGAGCCAGCTGGAGTGGTTTTTCAACCCTAGCGACAATGGAGGTGCTAAAAACAAGAAGAAGAAGAGCCACGGTCTGTTGAAGGCGATGAAGCAGAGTGTGGAGACCAAAGTGGAGACCCAGACCTTGTACTTCTCTGATTACAAGAGCAAGAGGTGTGGGTTTGTGCAACTACTTTACTCTAGTGTTCTTGGTGGGTTGTATAAGGGGTTCCAGCTGAACTTTAAAGTGTTTAGTTGTGTTGATGAGGAAGTCAAGTGCGATGTGTGGGAGAGTTTTAAACTGGACGAAGTTAGTGCCTTTGAGCCCTTGAAATTTGTTTCCAAGAATGTCAGTTTTGAATTCAAGGAGATCGAGTTCAAGGACAATATCTACGATAAATTTGCAACTCTACATATCCGTGCCGATATACCACAACAGGACAATAACGTTAAGGATCTGAAACTTGAAATGGATGTAAGCCTCTTGCCCGGTTTTATGATCAACCCAGACGGTTGTAATTACTATTTGGACAAGGCGGTGGCCCTGGACAAGTTATATTCCGAGGAATCTAACAAGATGATCAGACATGTCTTTATTCCAAAGGGTGTTGCCGACGGTAAGATTACTTACAAGAAGTTAAACAGCAAGAGTGGTAAATACGATGACTTTAGCATTCTGTTGACTAACTCGCCAATAGTTTACATCGATGCAGTTCAAGGTTTGCAACCTAACAAAGCGGCATCCAGATGGAACTTTTTATGTTTCCAAAGCGAGCACCATTCTGTGCTGTGCATGGAATTTACCACTACTTCGGAACACGGTAACAAAACCATGACGATATGGTCGACATCAGAGGACGGCAAACTGAAAACAATTGGCTCTAGTCTTGACAAGCACAAAGTTAAATTCAACAAGACCCACAAGGACAAAGAGAACGGGTGGGACTACCCAACCAGCATTCAGTTTCCAGCAGACTTCCATGAGGACCATCTGCGGTTGATCAACAGATATGACGTGCTGGGGGAGTTGCCAGGTGTTGTGAAGTCAGTAGCACAAAACATCGCACACATCAAGCCTTACATCTACCAGTACTGCCAAGAGTCCACTTACAAGAACGAGAAAGGTGTCTCCATCGTCGAGAGCACGTTCATCAGTTGAATCGAAACTCAACACAATACAGAAATCGGTCTGTATCTTTATCATTATATTTTTTAACTGCCCCCCAATTCTTAATCTCATATGCTACATAATCTTAATAATAATCCTAATAATTTTACTAATTTTAATAATCTTATTAATCTTATCAATTTCAATAGTTCTATAACAAATGACGTCGAGCACCAGGCAAAGGCATTCAATCGGTATAGTGACGGTAAGCTGCAATGAAGTAGTGCCAATACTGTTAAGCTTCAAGTTGAAAAGAAAACTTACCTGGCACCAAAGACAGTTGGTTTCGACAGATACCAAAGTACAGAGTTGGCAGCGCTCAGCATGTTCACCCTTGGTATCTGGAGCCATTACACAGCTATGTTCTTGTTAACGCCTACATTGCAGCAACATAACACTATAGAAGAATCTATCAATTTACTGGTGATCCCGATCACATTCGCCACTTTGTGTTTTCTTTCTTTTTCCCTTTGGTAAGTCCCTCGCACTTTGCCTAGCTTCGCACTCTCGCTACTTGCGTATCTTTGGTGAACCCATCAAATAAAGATCACTTCTGACCATCCGTTCTGGAAAAAACTTTACAATCACAAAGAAAATTGTTTCGAGCAAAAACACAACGAAAAATTTCTGTGACAAAGTATATAAAGATGGACCTTCAGGAACTCCTTTCTTCTGTTGTGGCAATAGGTTACTCACATCAGAGAAAAATCATACAACTACACAGAGAAAAATGTCTTCTAAACGTATTGCCAAGGAACTAAGTGATCTAGGTAGAGATCCACCAACCTCATGTTCTGCTGGTCCAGTTGGTGACGATCTGTACCACTGGCAAGCCTCTATAATGGGTCCTCCAGACTCCCCATACGCCGGTGGTGTTTTCTTCCTGTCTATCCACTTCCCTACAGACTACCCTTTTAAGCCTCCTAAGATCTCCTTCACAACTAAGATCTACCACCCAAATATCAACGCTAACGGTAACATCTGTCTGGATATCCTGAAGGACCAGTGGTCTCCAGCTCTAACACTTTCTAAGGTCCTGCTTTCCATCTGCTCCTTGCTGACAGACGCCAACCCAGACGATCCTTTGGTTCCAGAGATCGCCCACATCTACAAGACTGATAGAGCTAAGTACGAGGCTACCGCCAGAGAGTGGACTAAGAAGTACGCTGTATGAAGATATACGATACCATTTTGTAATTCCTAAGAAAGATCAAATATAAGAAACTCAGGAGACGGCCATGAACCTCCCCCTTTTTTGTCTTTGATCTTTCACTCAAGAATGATAGAAGAGTGCAACAGGGAATAAAAATTAAAAGTACGGTAAAACCAATTATAACAACTAAATAAAAAAAAATGCAAGAACAAAAATAACATTAAATGCTGATCTTTGAAAGACTGGTTTTTTTTACTCTGAACTCTGTTATGTCTTATGAAGACGTTCTAGAGCTGGAAAGGTAATTTATCAGTTTGGATCTATGTACATACACTGCAATTCCAGAACTTTTTTTTTTTAATCTCTCTTTATTATCTTCTATTCTCTTTCATATTATTAATGATTTTATAAAGCTTTTTTTTATTGTTTATCTTTGATACACACAAATATTAGAGGTACCGACTCTATTCTAAATGGAGAGGGTGTCTCTTATAGTGAAAGAGAAAACTAGAAATAAGGGTATGTTTGCCTTTGTGTACAATGCATCTGTATATCCTGCTGTTATACTTTGCATATTATTGATAATACATTTTACATAAAAACAAATAGTATAAAGCAAGTGATATTGTCATTTATAATCAACATGCGACTACAATACTATTAATTTATCTTTCTACATTGCAATCAAAAACTTTTCCTTACTTGAATCTGTTCGATAAATAATTTTCTATACTCATACATATTTGAAATATGTAGTACTTATACTCTACAATGGTTTCCTACGGTATGACATAAGCATATTGAATGTTGAATTGTTGAATACAGATTTGCTTAGATGCTATAAAGTCTATTCACGGGTGCAAACGGTTATAACAATAGCCTTCATTTTAAATTTAATAAGACCGTTGTTAAACAGAATACACGATGATTTCTCTTTAATATGTGTCCTGTCATCATCATTCGATAGAATGAGAAATTGAAAAAAAAATCTCCGCGACGGGGAATTGAACCCCGATCTGGCACGCGACAAGCGCCCATTCTGACCATTAAACTATCGCGGATTAATGATTTGATGTTTATCACTTTATAAGTCTTCTACTTTGTTCTATTGAATAGGCAACTTTGTTACCCGCACAAAAAGAGTTCTTTAGTGTTTAGCTGCAGAGGAATCTGTGCACTGTAGGTGCTTCATGTGCACAACGGAAAATTAACTGCGTTAAGGGTCCAGTATATACTTGACGCAAGCTCATCGCATCGAATTGTTCTGATATATTTGGCTAAATGACAGAATAAGCTATTTTTTTTGGTAAATGCCAAATGAATTAGCTATTGGATAAAAATAATATCAAAGTAGTATGACCTCCTCAAAAGAGCTGCTGGTTAAGGAAGATATTCACTCAATTGATAAGTTACCTAAGATTGAGAATTATAAGGCACCTAAATATCCAGTTGTACTGTGTCATGGGCTGTCAGGGTTTGATAAGTTGATTCTCATTCCATCTGTGTTTAGGCTAACTAAAATGATAAGCAGTAGCATTAACCTGAACAACTCGGATCATTTCCTGGAAATTGATGACGATACCGAAGGTGCAAGTGTGAGGAATAAGGGACTGCTAGAGATAGAGTACTGGATTGGCATTAAAGAAATACTTGAAAAAAATGGCTGTCAAACAATTACTACAAAAGTGCCAGGTATGGGCAGCATCGAAGAACGAGCACTGGCTTTAAATGCCTCTATTGAACGTGAAGTAAAGAAGCTACAGAAAAAGCAAAAGAAAAATTCATGGTTCTCGAGAAATGAAAAGATAAAGCTAAACCTCTTAGCGCATTCAATGGGTGGCCTAGATTGCCGATACTTAATAGCAAAACTACCGAAAAGAAACTACCAAGTAGCTAGTTTGACGACAATATCAACCCCACATCGGGGCTCAGAAATGGCCGACTATATTACAAAGTTGTTTTTTGATCTGAAACCAAAAAAAGAAAGTGCCCCAAATATTCATTTACCAATATGCTTTTATCAGTTAACAACAACTTATATGCAATACTTCAATGAGAATGTTAGAGATGATCCAAAAGTTAAGTACTTTTCATATGGATCATACTTTAAGCCTAAATGGTATAACGTATTAGCATGGCCTTGGAAAGTCATAGCAAAAGCTACTAATGACGGATTGAATGATGGTCTAGTTACCATAAAAAGCAGTGAATGGGGCGAATATCAAGGTACTCTAAAAAATGTGGATCATCTTGACATTATTAATTGGAAGAACAAATTACAAGATGATTATCTTAAGTATTTTCCAAAAATTGGGTATGAACCAATAAATATCCTAGACTTTTATCTACATGTAACAGATAATTTGGCTAGAAATGGCCTTTAATGACGTTATGACAACTTTAATATATTCTAAAATGAAACAATATTTATCATTAATTGCGATATATGGCATGATAACCATGGTGAATTCTATATTCCTAAGTAAATAGTTAAATTGTAAAAGATTTACAACTCATCATCAATAACCCCGTTTCTATCAGATTCGACAACTTCTTCATCCTTAACATCAGATGCTACACCATCGTTATTACCCAACGTTTCTGAGTTTAAAATTTTGGTTTCAAGAATTTCCTCAGAATTAATGGACTTCTTTTCTTTGGATTGGGAGAAGGTGTGTTCTTTTGCAGAATTTAACCTCTGTTGATCATTTCTATAGTTAGGATCGACGGAAGCCTCTGACTGATCATATGCATTACTATTGATAATTTCTCTAGCTTCATTTTCGACAGCAATTCTATCACTATTATCATTTAGAGTCGATCGGCCAGATGAATTATCGATATTTGATCCTAATGCCTTTTTAGAATTGCCTCTTAGTTCGCTGCCAATTTCATCAACACCAGGTTCTTTTTGCCCCATACCGGATCGTGATAATTTGTCATTAGCAGATGATTGACTGGATTGTGGTGGTGTGTCAGTATCCCCCTTTTGTGTATTAGCCAACTGTTTCTGATTAGTATTTTCTTCCTTTCTTTCAGATTTACTAATCGTTCCATGTTGTTCATTATTATGTGCAGAAAACGGAACTTGAGCATTATTTTCTTCTCCCTGTTTTTCATTTTCTTTAAAATATTCTTCCTTATCTCGGGAGCGGATAATTGTTTTAGTTACTGTTTTTGCCTTTTTATTCTTCTCAGAAACTGGTGTAGATTCTGACGCTTTTGTGACCTTCGTTTTTGAAGCTTCAATTGGTGATCCTTGTGTAATTTTATTGTCCTCTATCACACCCGACAGTTTTCCAGCAGCAACTAACTTCTCGAGCAATTCTTGAGCATTTTCTTTGCTTATATCGTCAACGTTTATTATTGAACCACCAGCAAGCATCATATTATCATTGGTCAGGGAACCAAACCTAGATTTGCTATTTTTCGTTCTATCTGAACCTCTAAAATACCACTGAAAGTTATTAGGACCAGTAAAATTAATAGATTTGTCTATAATTAAGGTAGCCTCCATATTAACATCAACATCCAATCTTAACCTATTCAAGTAGTTACCATGCATGTCAACGATGTCACCGATCCACTGGTAAGAATCGTGTACATCAAAAGGTTTTCCATCAGGTGGAGATAACAATCCCAAACCTAGCATTTTATTCATCACATCGATAAACTTTTTGTAAATCTCCATTGGGAATGGGTCCATCTCCAATCCATCCTCAGTTGCATTCCCTGTGTACATTAACAAAGCCCTATCAACGTTAGAATTATTCATTGGTAGAAGGAAATAAACTTGATTTGCAACAAAAGAAACATCATAGTTGGAAACAATATCAACAATGTTATGTTTATCAGGAACATCATTGGACATATGGCAAATAATTGGAACAGCATTCTTCTTATCTTGGTTCTTTGAGAGAAGTTCCAACTGGCATAGATCTGGGACTATTACTTGAGCTTCATAGTGACAGATTTTCGTTTCTCTTGTCCATTGCAACGTCCCTGGTCTCATAACGTTACCACATGTATACTGTATTTCGATTGCTCTAGGCGTACCCGTTACATCACATATATCACCGGATTCAATAATCTCACTAATGTAATAACCGTAATCATCATAAAGAAGTTGAAATTCTCTATTTTCTATTTGTTTGCTGGATCTTCCCAGGGTGTAAGTCAGTTTATCATTAGGGTCTGGAGCAACTCCATGGTATTGAGTGAAGTCACCACTTCCACAATATCGGTACGTCCAAAATCCGTTTTGACTAACTAAGCATTGATTTTTTAGGCTGGCGTCAATAATGTGTGCGCCCATATCTAAGGTATCAATTAGTTTCTGCTTGTATTCAGGATCATTCACAGACTGGACATTTTGTTCATGCAATCTGGTCATATTCGGAAGGAAACATTTCGTGTCGGGACCCAAATCAAATAACTCACCTGACTCCAATGCAGTCTTGTTCTTCATCACTAGTGTATCCCAGAGGGATTCGTTTGCATACGTTATTTGAAATTTATCCGAAGTAGTAGGGTCATCTATCGGCATCATAATAGCCCTTGCAGCCCCCAGCAAGGAAGCAAAAGCAACAACCAACATACTTCTCCACTCTGGCTGTATTCTAATTTACTTCTTCTGTCCCTGATTGGTCCTGTATTGGTCTTATCAAGCCCAGATATTTACTTACTTTTAAGTGGTCTGAGAGTGCTTATTATCGAAATGTTGGAATCACCCACAACGTTCCCTTTTTTTTTGCCTGACTGCCTGAGCCAATTCAATGAATCCACCTCTATTTTAGCAGTAACAATAATTATCTGGTGGTGCCTAATCATACTAACTGAAACATAATAAGAAGACAATAGTGGTTGTGATGTATTTTTTAGTTTATATGTTGGTCTTGTTGGGCCTTGTTAATTCGGAGAAATTGAGCCTTTTTGCAAGCAATCGTGACAATGGGAAGAGAGTGAGTCTAGGTGAGATTACAGTAGATGAAAAAGCACACAATATAACGGGTACTACTCTTGATGCGTCATCTTTAATAGGTACTTATTGTTTTGGTGCTGAAGGTGAATCATACAGCAATGACTGTTTTTGCTACTTGAAAGTAGACGGTAAGAAGCACAATTATACGTTAATGGTTGATGTCAACGATGACATAGTGGAATCATTAACATGGATGATGAACGATTATTCAAACGGTACTACTGCAGAAGTTAGATTACCAGTTCATGCACCACAACCCCCTCCAATCAAACTGAAGAAGACTACAAAGACATACGCCGAGAAGAAAGCTGAGAGTAAGCTTGATGCAGCCAAGAAAAAGGGTAAAGAAGAAGAAGATAACGAAGAGGAAGATCAAAGAACATTCTTTGAAAAGAACTGGAAGAAGATGTTAATTGGTTTCCTAATATATAACCTAATTGCCGGTTTTTCCAAAAGTCAGCAGCAACAAGGGCAGCAGCAGCAACAGTAGTAATATTGATGTCCATCAGACTTACTAATTAGTATTATAGAGACAATATAGTAACGCGAAAGCAATACCAATACTTTATAGCACATTGCATATTTGTTAATTTTAAATATCATCTAGAACCAAACGGCTTGAGTGATAATCGTCACATATGGCACATTAACTCAATGTGACCATAAAGAATTATGATCTGCAATGAGATGGATAAAGGGTCCGCATTTGCAAGCAATATTCCCGAAGGGCCATACCTCCTAATTGATATATCTTCTTTGCTTTAAAGTCAACTGTTTGACTTATAGTATTTAAATCATTTCACCCTTTCTTCCCATAACTATAGACAGGTAAGTTCTAGCAACAACTATACTCTACTCAAACAATGGACAAATTTAAGTTAAGTTCATTTGGGAAGCATGTTGTGAATAATATCAATCCTGCCAACTATGTGAATCATACATCCAATAATAATAATAATAATAATGAAAACTTACATGATTTTAATGATGCTGAGAAATTCTTCGATGAACCCAAAAGTGAAATACAGTCTAATCATAGCAATCACTCATTCATTTCTGAAAAGTCTCGACCATCTAGAATCGAACCAAGACGTCCACCTATGACTAGCTTTGAGCTTCATGTTGCCAACAGTCCAAATAATTCATATGCATTGGCAAATGTGGTTGCTGTCTCTCCATCGGATTTCCCTAATAATAGCTACATACTACTAGACAATTTATTTGTGTTCACAACTAGGCATAGCAATGAAATACCACCAAAAACCATTGGTCTTAATGGAAATCAGAGGACGTGGGGTGGTTGGTCTCTTAACCAAAGTGTACAAGTTCGTCCTTTCGATTTGGTAGCTTATACTTCTAAACACTCCTATATTGGAAACATGGATGTTGAGATATCCTTCAGATCAAGAGGTAAAGCCGTTAATACCAAATTCGAGCAAGATGACCTTTCAAGGCATTTTGTTAAAATGTTCGAATCACAGGTATTCTCACCGACTCAGTACCTAATATTTGAATATAAAGGACATATATTTGATGTGAAAATAAAAGGCCTGCAAGCTATTGATATTGGAGATGTCCAACCAAAACCACATGTCTCAACAAAGATAGAAACCAAGAGTATTTTAACAAACCAGAGTCATGTTTCGTTTTATAAAGGTCGTGATGGCTTGGTAAACTTAACTGCAGGATCAAGTTTACAAACCTCAAACCCCAACGCTGTGATTCGACCAGACTTTAAGTTTGAAGACTTAGGTGTTGGTGGTCTAGATAAAGAATTCACTAAAATATTCAGAAGGGCTTTTGCAAGCAGAATTTTCCCACCTGCGGTTATTGAAAAGTTGGGTATATCGCATGTGAAAGGTTTACTATTATTTGGACCTCCTGGTACGGGTAAGACTCTTATTGCAAGAAAAATAGGTACAATGTTAAATGCTAAAGAACCAAAAATTGTTAATGGTCCGGAAATATTAAGTAAATATGTTGGTTCCTCAGAAGAAAATATTCGTAATCTGTTCAAGGATGCTGAAGCTGAATATAGAGCTAAAGGAGAAGAATCGTCCTTACATATTATAATTTTTGATGAGCTGGACTCTGTCTTTAAGCAGAGAGGCTCTCGAGGAGATGGTACTGGTGTTGGAGATAATGTAGTGAATCAACTTTTGGCCAAAATGGACGGTGTGGATCAACTAAATAACATTCTGGTTATTGGTATGACCAACCGTAAAGACCTAATCGATAGTGCGTTGTTGCGTCCTGGTCGTTTTGAAGTTCAAGTTGAGATACATTTACCAGATGAAGAGGGTAGAGTCCAGATATTCGAAATTCAAACTAAGAAAATGAGAGAGAATGGCATGCTGGCGCCTGATGTGAACTTGAAGGAACTAGCTGCTTTGACAAAAAACTTCTCTGGTGCTGAAATTGAGGGTTTAGTCAAGAGTGCAAGTTCATTTGCTATCAATAAGACTGTTAATATAGGTAAAGGTAGTACAAAACTAAATCCCAAAGAACTATCTCAACTAAGGGTTACAAGAGCTGATTTCTTAAATGCATTAGATGAAGTTACTCCAGCATTTGGTGTCAGTGAAGAAGATTTAAAGACCTGCGTTGAAGGTGGTATCATTAATTATTCTGAATCAGTAGACAATATATTAAAGCATGGTGCCAGGTACGTTCGCCAAGTTAAAAAAAGTGATAGATCTAGGTTGGTATCACTGCTGTTGCATGGTAATGCCGGTGCAGGTAAAACAGCCCTTTCGGCTGCAATTGCTTTAAATTCTGGATTTCCTTTTGTGAGAATGATATCTCCCAATGATATTGCTGGTATGTCAGAAGCAGCTAAGATTGCCTACATTGATAATACGTTCCGTGACGCTTATAAATCTCCACTTAATATACTTGTGATTGATTCTATTGAGACGCTTGTGGACTGGGTTCCAATTGGACCCCGTTTCTCTAATAACATTCTTCAAGTCCTGAAAGTTGCGCTGAAACGTAAACCACCCCAGGACAAGAGACTTTTGATTTTGACCACCACATCTTCCTATTCTGTTTTGAGGCAGATGGACATTTTAAGTTGCTTTGATAATGAGATTGGTGTACCTGATGTTGGTAATTTGGACGAGCTTAATAACATTATGATAGAGACCGAGTTTTTAGATGATGCAGAGAGAGTTAAAGTGATCAACCAGTTGGCCAGAACACGCCCAGCTATTAACCTTGGAATAAAGAAGATTTTGACAAACATTGAAACGGCAAGACATGACGAAGATCCAGCTAACGAGTTTATAGACCTAATTGTTAACAGCTGAATATGCATTGATACATTTTAGTTAAACATATATATTTTTTTAATTTATGCGAATAAATTATAGCACATGAATTAAAAGAAGAAGAAGATATTTACTATTATGGTGTTATATCATGTTGTATGATAATAAATAAATAAATAAATAGAGCAAAAAACATACAAATTAATTATGATCGTATTTATCGAGTTTTTATATATATAGCCGTATTATACTAAATTAGAAGGCAGCTTTTAAAAATACAAATTGTTGGGTATACCTGGTCCAGACAGGCATTAAAATGCAGGTGAGTAATGTTATTAGTTAACTTCTTAAAGCAGAAGGTGATAGTTTGTTAAAAAAGAACAGTTTGGAGTTTCCACTCTATATTAGAGCCAAAGCAACGGCAGCCAAAGCGCCCATTAAGGAAGAGCCTTGGAAGGAGTCGGCAAGACCAGCGGCAGCACCCTTGGACTTCTGCTTGTTAGCGGAAGAAGTGGAAGCAGCAGTGGAGGCAGAGTTTGAGGAGTTACCGGAGGCAGTAGCGGAGGCTCTTTGAGAAGAAGAGGATTGGGAAGCGGAGGAGGATCTGGAGGTCAAGCTAATGGAAGTGGAAGTGGCACCGTTCTTGCAAACGAAGTTGTCACCTTGGATACCACCCTTGCTTTGTAACTTCTTGAATGGGTCACAGGAGAAGTTACCGGCCTTGGTTTCGATGTCGGCACCACCTCTGACTGACTTCAAGGAGCTCATGTCCAGAGTTGTGAAGTTACCGGTGACGATCAAGGCACCGCCGATGGTTTGGACGTTCTTGAAAGTGCTCAAGTCCTTCAAGTTGGTGTTGTTGGCGACCACAAGGGCACCGCCGATGGTGGACAAGTTAGCGAAGGAGACGGAGGTCAAGTCATCGTTGGAGACAATGCTGAAGGATTGGCCGACGGACTTCAAGTTGTCAACGGACAAGGAGGAGATGGAGTTGTTGATGAAACCCAAGGAGGAGTTGACGGATTCCAACTTCTTGAAAGAGACTTCGTCGACGTCTCTCAAGGTAATGTTGTTAGCCCATAGCAAGTCGTCGAAGGTCAAAGAGGACTGGTCACCGTTGAAAGAGAATTGTAGAGAGTCACTGACTGTCTTGACGCTAGACTTCAAAGAGGTCAAGTATCTGTTGTTGTTGATGTTGAAGACGGCGACTTCTTCCAAGTCGGAGAAACCGTCGATGGACTCCAGAGAGGTGTCTGAGATCAGGATATTGTTAGCGGACTTCAAGTTTGAAGAGAAAGTGGAGATGGCTGGCAAAGTGATCAGGTTGATGGTGTCGACCTCCTCTAGGGAACCGAAAGAAGCAGAGGTCAGGATGGTCAAGCTTTGCAGAGCCAGGGTACCGGTGACCTTCTGCAGGCTGTCGGCAGCCAAGTTGTTTAGAGAGGTAGCGTTGTTGACTTTGAAAGAACCGTAGATGGCTTTGACGTTGGCCAGGGCAGCGTTACCTAGAGAACCACTGATGACGACGTCACCGACAATGTTCTCACAGCCGGCCAGCTTGTCCAAGTCGGACTGAGCAGTGGCAGTGGTAGTGGTGAAACTACAGGAAGATGGAACATCTGGGACTGTAGTGTTAGCAGCGGAGGCTACACTGATTAGTGCAGATAACAAAAGATGATTCAATTGCATTTGTATATGTGTATTGTATGTATAGTGTGGAGGATGTGGATGTGGTTTTGGGGTTGTAGTCTGAAGGCTGAAGTCTGAAAGTACCAAGATCACAAGGAAATACCTACCGGTTTATATACCTGAACTGATAAGGCAATATTTTTGGTTTCCTACACTACCCATAGAAATACAGATGGCTTGCTAATTATAGCAGATTATCCTACAGAAGTCCCACACTGCTCTCCTCATTCAATGATTCGGTGAAAAGACCAGCCAATGTAAATATCCTAATCGGGAATAGTGAGTAATGCCTCGAGAGGGCCTTGATTGTTCGTTGTTCTTGTTCGTTGTTCTTGTTGTTTGTTGTTCGTTGTTCGTTGTTGTTCTTGTTGGTTCAGTTTTGCCTAAAAGGTGGGAAGTACAGACTCGGTGTCAAAAAATGGCGGGGCTGCCCCTCTTGCTCTAGGCACCCTCTTCGGCCACAAGTGGCTGGGATTGCAGGGTTCACACCGATCCATCTGTAGCTACTGTATGTGGTGATAGAGGTGATAGTGGTGAAATGTTAATTATGTGGTGATAGTGGTGTAGATAATGATGTTTGTTCCGTAGCACAGTACCTACCCTTTGGGCAATTTTTTGCTTTGGAGGGGGGGGAAGGTGGCACTACACAAGTCACAAATCACAAATCACAAATCACAAATCACAAATCACAAATCACACACACTCAAACTCACACTTACACTTACACTCACACCTTCTACCAAATAAACGCTTGTATAACAATATATCTCCTATACCACAAAACAGTCCGAGAAAATATTGGAAACAGCGACAGCGACAACACATACAACAAACATAACTGAAAAACCAAGGAAATACATTTGTTATCCAGATGAGTAACTTGAAGAGCACTGCGGCCAGCTTGCTGCTACGACAATACAGGGAGCTTACGGACCCCAAGAAGGCCATACCTTCTTTCCACATCGAGCTGGAGGACGACTCGAACATCTTTGTGTGGAACATAGGAGTGATGGTGCTGAACGAGGACTCCATATACCACGGCGGGTACTTCAAAGCGCAGATGCGGTTCCCGGACGACTTCCCTTTCTCGCCACCTCAGTTCAGGTTCACGCCGGCTATATACCACCCTAACGTCTACAGGGACGGCAGACTGTGCATCTCCATATTGCACCAGAGCGGTGACCCCATGACTGACGAGCCGGACGCCGAGACGTGGTCTCCTGTGCAAACAGTAGAGAGTGTGCTAATCTCCATAGTGTCGCTCCTGGAGGACCCTAACATCTCCTCCCCTGCAAACGTGGACGCAGCAGTTGATTTTAGAAAGAACCCCGAGCAGTATAAACAGCGTGTGAAAATGGAAGTCGAGAGGTCAAAGCAGGATATTCCGCCAGGGTTCGAAATGCCAACCTCGGATACCGCCTACCTGTCGCAGCACAAGAACGAAAACCCACACGAACAACACCAGAACCAAAGAGATATCTCAGAAAATTTCTGGTACGATAGTGACTTAGAAGATGATGAAGATGTCGGAAGTCTGATGAACGATGGAGACTCCCTAGGTTACAACGACGACGACGTTTACAACTACCAAAGTTACAGAAACAGAGGCGGCGACGAAGATGAGGATGAGATAGAATTTGAGGACGACGACGAAGATGACAGTATCGATAATGATAGCGTAATGGACAGAAAGCAACCACACAAGGCAGGAGATGAAAGTGAGGATGTAGAAGAAGTAGAGAAGATTGTAAAGAAATAACTTGGTCACTGAAAATGATGATTTCTCTTTCATTTACCATACCAGTTTAGTACGGTTTTAATTTTATTACTAATATTTCTCTCTCCAGTTGCTATATTTTTAGCAAATTTAGTTATTTGAAGAGTTATTTTGAAAGTGTTAATTGTTATGGTGTTTTGAATATGTGCCTTGATCGTCTTTTATAGGCATATGAGACATATTAAGTCTAGTACTAAGAACAGTCTTTGAAGAAACTGAAATTTTGGAATTACTGAAAGCTTAGCATTTGACAGATGAACTAGTCAAAATGTCCATAGAATTTACAATATGATTGCGAGTAAGATGCATTTATTTTATTAGCATTACAATTAATTTCATCGTTGTCACAACAATTATTACTCTAACTTTTGTTAACCGACGAGTATTGAAAATTACAGATAAAGAGACATGAAAGATTGGCAGCCTTCCTAAATCTTAATTTTACTAATTTTATTACCTTGTTGATCTTTCGTTTCCTATATTCGTTCACTGATCTGTTTTCTCTATTCCCTCTTTTTTTTTCTGAATTTTGATCTCAATCTGTTTTGATCTCAATCCTTTTATCATTTCATTCCTTTCCTTTTATTTTTACCGATCTTATTCTTTTCTTTGTCAGGAATAATTTATCATGTCCCTTATTCATTGCATCCTTTATCTTTTTTATGATTTATTTTATTACTATTTTTTTTATATTTTTATTTCAACTGTTCCTTCTAATAGTTTCAAAGCAATTCCTATATACAATACGTTTCTGCCTTCTTAAGAAACGTTTACAAGAACATCTACATATACAAGAACTTCTTTCACAAGTTACAAATATATCGTTAATAAAAGTGTATACTATCAAGAGTGCTAGTTCTGATAACAGTCCCTCCACTTTTAAATGTCAACTTGAGCCCATGGTTTAGTATTCATAAAAATTATAGTATTGAGAGTATGTATTATTGAAGCATTACATTAATCTCACTTTTAAAATACCGATATTTTGTTCATTTTTTATTGTAATTTGGAATGTTAAAAAAACTCAAAAAAAAACTAAAACGCTTCAAGTAGACACTCTAACGTATGAAATAGTCATCGTGGTGATCCAGAGTAACTTATATTCCTTTATATTACTATAACTACATAAAACCAGCTATTGTGCAAGAGTATATTCAATATTGAGGATCCGGGTAACCTCACCTTGGGAATCGCGAAAACAGCGATGTCGTTCGACGGTATGTGCTTGGTGAAATGCCCTAAATGCCAGGATCTCCCGAGAGGGCCCAATTGCAAGAAAAACAACAAAAGGCTAAAATAACAAGAATTTTTGGTGGTTTCTTGGGATGAACACAATCGTCACAATTTAAAGATCTGAGATCTTGCTAGTTTTAATATCATTAACATTGACCTTCTTCTAGTTGAAGGAGTATTGAGGCAAACTTTAACCGTTACTATTTCTGGGGGGACGAATAGTGAGTAAGAGGCTGAGATCCTAGGATAAGCAGAGTATAGAAGGAACTAAAGTTCGTGCTGGACGGTTGATAATAATAGAGAGAGTAGAGTCTCTTCCGGTAGTTAATAATAAAAAAAAACCTTTGAATTCTATAGAGGAGGTTTTTTTGATCCTTTCTGCATATTTCTGGTCAGTTGATAAAACGCGGTAAGTCAGTTCACGTGGAACGATGGCGTCTAATGAGAATCTGATCTCGCATGCCGGTGGAGTGTATGCTGCGCGTTCGCCTTTGAAAGAGACGGATGCAAATTCAAAGCCTGCTGGTACCCTTACGATAAACAATGAAGACAGAGATTTGAAGAAGCGGCTGATCGAAACGACTAATGAGAAACTGCAACTTCGAAAGAGAGCTAAGTTGGAAAGAGGCAGGTCTATTGAAGGTGCGGTGCAGGTTACAAAAGGAGTAGCGCTGAGGAATGTTGAGAGTCAAGGAAGAAGTATATCTGGTCAGGGTACCGTTAGTGGTACAGCCTCTAATCAATCTGGGAACAATAACAACAAGGTAGCGCTCGGTGAGTTACTCGAATGGCAGATGAATTGGCGTAATATTATGAGACGAGATTCCAGAATATATTTTGACACTACGGATGAGCCTGATATTACGAAACACGCTAAAAGCAAGCTAGAGAAACGTAAGTTACTTCTGAAATGTGGATTTATGTCATTAGGAGCCCAGATTACCCAGTTTTTTGATACTAGCGTCACAATTGTAATCTCGAGTAGATCTATTGATAATATTACACAACTTAATGAAACAGACATCCTCGCCAGAGCAAAGAAAAGTTACATGAAGGTTTGGGGTTATGATAAGGCAGCAAGATTTTTGAAGAACCTTGATGTCGATCTGGAAAATCTAGAGAAGAACAAACTTCCTACCATTGCATCTCCGTCATTATCAAATTTATTACAAAATGAAAAGCTATTTGGACCTTCTGACCGTGATCCTCGCACTCGGAGAGATGATATTCACTACTTCAAGTATCCGCATATTTACATGTATGATCTATGGCAAACATGGGCACCGATAATAACATTAGAATGGAAACCACAAGAACTAGCAAATCCCAATAATCTTCCATATCCAACATTAAAAATGGGTACTTTTGGTAGATGTCCTTTCATTGGTGACCGTTCTTGCGATGAAAGTTCTTACAAGAGGGTGTTGAAAAGATACAGTCGTGACAAGAGCAACAAAAAATATGCTTTAAAGCTAAGAGGATTATATCAACATCATGCTGATCCAACAGTATCTATGACTAAGAATCTAATATTCATACCACACCTTTGTTTGGATTCTGCTCAATGCTATGAAAAATGGCAAGAACAACATATGAAAGAGCAATATAGGATCAAGCATAAGGATGGCGAACTACCTATTCAGAAAGATTCAAAAGATGGCACTAATGAAGACAAGGAGTCCGAAATACGACAAAATGAGAAAGAAATATCAATTGGTAAAATTGACAATGACAACGGCGAATCTAAAATTGAGGAAATAGCTGAAAATTCTAAATTAGTTCAAAGGGATTCTGTATGGAAAGGGATTGTGCCAACTGTAAAATTAGAACAGAGTAAGAGATCACTTCCACAACTTAATAGACAAGAAACTGAAGAGTTTCCGGATGACCTGTGCACTGTGAAAAAATACTCTAGAGATCAGTACGAAATAAAAGCTAGTGGTGTTCATCAATCTAATGATATTGCTACATCTTTTGGTAATGGATTAGGCCCTACAAGAGCTAGTGTGATGAGTAAAAATATGAAAAGCTTGAGTAGATTTGTTGTTGACAAAAAAATTGCAACTCAAACCACGAGTGGAAATAATGTGTCCAGCTCAACTAATCTAAAGCATATGTCGGCTGCCAATGGTAATGCTGCCAAGGTGAGTAACGAAAGCATAATGGAAGTGCAACATAAAGTGAATGATGATACTAGTAAAGAAGTTCAAAAGACTACTATCAATCCCGAAAATAATCTCATTAATGCAGCTCCAGGAAATAATAATAGTAGTAATTTGACCTCACACTTAGTACAAAACAACCAGGTAACATCCAAAAGGCCATTAATGAAAAATTCCGGTTATTGTGAAAATTGCAGAGTCAAATATGAGTACTTGGATCTGCATGTTGTATCAGAGAAACATCTTTCATTTGCTAATAACGATATTAATTTTGAGGCGATAGATTCGCTGATAGAAAAATTAGGATTCCAATTCTAATCCAGAAAATAGGAAACTTAATAGAATCCTTCCTTATATGGATTAAGCCATGGCCATAGCTAGTACTTCATTATTCGGTATTGTTCGGCATTGTGCGATAATTTCCAGTACTATAATGAGCTTCCAATCCAATAATTAATGGCTGGTGTCCATTACATAGCAAGCATTATTTTATAAATTTTATTAATAGGTTAATATTTCAGTAGCATAAAATTGAGCATCGAGTTCTTAAAGATAGAGAACATTGTTGACGTAGCAATCATGTCCATAATTTTTTTTATGGTTGTACAATGAAATAAATATGAAACGAAGGACAGTATTTTTTTCATACAGACATGTACATAAAAATGCAAGTAATAAAGATGATTATAATAAAAAGTTAGTGCAAATTAAAAAAAAAAATGAAAATTGACGATAATAATGAAACATCCTGATAAAACAGGTAACAAAGATGCAAAAAATTGTACAGGATTGAAAGAAAATATGACAACAAATTTGCAAATGTTAGCAACGTAAAAATGTCTTTTCCAACATTATATGAAAATCCAATGAAATATCTCTCTAGCTATGAAATAAAACAAAATTGTGCTGCTAAAATGATTCTCTAAAAAACAAAATAAAAACAAAAAACAATCCGTAGTTGAGAAGTAATGTGAATGTTATCATAAGGCAAGCCTTAAGGAGATTTTGTGTTGTGCCTCTTTTGCTGCATTAAACGCACAAAATTATTTACAGTTTTCTTAGAAGGCTTTTTGATTCTGAAATCGTCAAAACCAAAGGTGTAGCTTCTAGCTTTCTTTTCGGCGTCAAATAGTGTATCAAACGAGGGCTGGAAAAAAGTGTTTGAGTTTAATCCATAATAAATTGGTGCAAAATAAGACGAGAGCCCTGTATTACTTTCGTCATCGGAGTTTTCATATTCCTCATCTTGCTGGTAACTGTTCAAATCAGTATGTGATTCATAGACGTTATCTGAAATGTTGTTAACTGAGATGGAATCAATTGCTTCAAAATGTAAATCTGGTGAAGTGAATTGTTCGAACTCATCCGACTCTGACTTCTTGTGGTATTTCATGGTACTTTTATCGCACCTACTCAATTTGTCACTTGAACACAATGTCGGTACTGTTCGTATTTGGCTGCTGTTCTTATTATCCAGAATACCATCACAATCGGGCTTCTTTAGTGTCTCATCTCGAGGTCTATAACTGTAGTCACTTGAGACTCTTGAGGATGATTTTAGCGAAGTTAGAGAGGTATTGCGAGACAGATTTGAGAATGTGTCCAGATAATTGAATCTCTTTGGCTGGGTATAGCCGAAATCATCGGATATGAGGCTTTCAGGTGTTTGTATCGCTAGGCTCATTTTCTTGTGTTTTTTCTTTATAAAATTCTTCATGCAAAAAAATAAACTGTTTTTGAAATAAATGCAATTTTTTAGTCTGTTCTTATGGTTATTTTGAATTAGAGCGATTAAGTTATTAGTAAATATGTGATCGGTTAATATTTTCGATTTTTTATAATTGATCGGCTGTAGAGCATAATCCTTGCGAGGATGGGATAAAAATTTATGGGCAGGAATTTATGGCACAAAGAAAAACACTTTATTGAAAAATGTTATATATTCCAATGTTAATATTTTATTTTATTGATTACTTATATACGTAAGATAAATTAATTAATAAAATAAAATAATTAAATTGAATGATAAAAAAAATTACCAATCAATTGACAATTGGTAAACATTTTCCAGGACACAGTAGGAAATTGATAGATATTGTATCCTTTATATAATTCTTGTCTGATAAATAGTCGAGTTCATTATCTTGGTATGATGAATTTATTACACTTTCTACAGGACCAATAAATTAAATCAAATGTGTGATTAATCATGAAAGAAGTGCATATGTGAGGAAGAATATGACAGCAAAGATGGGTCTGTGCTAAAAAGAAAAAATTGAATTAATGTGAGATAATGAAGATCTACACTGAAATTGATGCACAGAACAATTGAAAATGGAAGAAAGAGCCCTTGTCTCAAAGGTACGTAACAGTAACGAAAGCCACGGAGAGGAGGGTCAAAATAGGACTTTGTGACAAAAGTGGATAATCGAAGCTTCTATTTTTTGGATTTTGTTGGATTTTTTTAGATTTTTTTTATTTCCTTCCAATTCCCTGTCTTCCTTCACCTATAAATCTATGCAGTAGGAAATGGGAGGGAGGGGGTAGAAGGATTGGAACAAAAAAGAGGGTTGAATGCGTGTGTGGGTAGTCGTTGTGGAGGGGGAGGTAGAAGAGGGAGGGAGGGGAAGCAGGTGGGGAGGTGCAAAAAGTTAGTTGGAAGGATTAGATTTCTCAATTCTCTCTGGCAACAAAAAAGTGCAGATAGCTGTGCAGAGAACGGGACAGGAATTGTTCCACGGCAGTAAAGATACTGGAGGGGAGTTAGTAGTCTTTATGAAGCTTACCCATTCTGATGCAAGTGATGCATCTGTTTCTGTGGAAATTTCGGAGAAATATTTAGTGTGAAAATGGGCTGTGTAAATTTTTTAGGTTTACTGCAGGTCGATGCTTCTACGAATTTTTCCGTTTATTCCGTAAATGTGAAAGTTTTCCAGCCTTCATAATTCTCCCCACTTTTCTTAGTGATAGCAATTCACAGAGGGTTGTTCTGAGCCATCTTATCTCCAAAAAAAAAAGATACACAAAGGATCATGAAGTGCTGGCAGGAAGGATCTTATAGCCGGAAAAATCCTTGTGGCTAGTGCTTGCACGTAAGTCTCTGAGTGAAGCAGGGAAAAATACGAGTTTCAACAAAGCTTCTAATTTTGATGATAAAGTCAAATATTTGAAACAAGTAGCCAAAATAAAAAATAATTGATAGTTGATCGGTGTTGTGTACAGAGAGTTCTGAGGTTGGTAGAGAGAAGTATAGGGCCGAACAGCTGATTTGAAAGTTTGGTGTGGGAGATGTAGTGAGGGGCCTGAGATTGGAAACCAAATCTAGAATATTTGAATTGTTTTACCTCAGAAAGTCAAGTACAGACTGCAACTTAAAAAAAAATTGTGTAAGATGAGATTTTAGATGTGGGGAAGTGCAGAGTCAGAAAATGGAAGATCCTTTGAATATGTAAACAATGCTGTACTGGAGTATCTTCGAGAGAAAGTAATAGTGGCCCCTCCTCAAAGCAGGGAAGAGTTAAAAAAACAGTAGGCCAAGCCACCCAGCAGAGCGATTGAGGGGGGGGGAAGCTGCCCGACTCAGAAGACTACGTTGAACGTACACTAATTTGTAAGATTTTGGGCCACTCTGAAGAATCTCTGGGGTTCTGGCTTTGGGTTGTTTCCATTCAGGAACACGTTTTGGGACAGATTTTGGGACAGATTTTGGGACAGATTTTGGGACAAATATTGGTCATCTTCACTTCGGGCACCCAATTCCGAGGAGATAGGGTAAATGAGAGGGTCAAAAAACCAGAATGTTATCTGGGTCAAGCCTTCCCCCCTCCGATTTTGGCCAGAGCCCAGTGGGACAAGGACGGGTGACTGGTGCACACCAAAGCCCTCTCCACAGAGATCTCTTAGTGAAACCTTGGGTCGGCCGACAAAAATCCGTTATGAACTCCTTGTCCCAGTATTTGTAAAAATTGACCCCATGATTTCTTTTAGGCAACAAGCTGACCGTGACCGGCGAGATTACGAGATTATACTAGCAATCCAGGCAAATTCTTAAGAAACTTACGTGGTGATTACGTGGTAATCGTCCGGTAATCATGACGCTCGTGACTAAGGGTCACGGAGTCCCAAAATTTCCTGAAAGGGCCCAAGGTAGGTGAAAATTAGGGACAAATTTGATGTAAAGAACCTTGGGCTCTGACCCTCAAGCCTCCCTGGCCCCCCCTCTCACTCTTCCCTGTAGGAGCATTACTAAAATATTAGACACATTTGGGCCAATCCTCAACTACAATTGCGACAGATGAATGGGCAGCAAATTACTCTCGCTGTTAACTTGGGTTTCAGCAGGGGCTTTGGCCCAGGGGAAATGAAATAAAGAGGGTCAATTGCAAAAAATTGGGTGAATAGGCACAGAAACACTTGCAGAAGGAATATCTTGTGTCATCTGCTATCACTGACCCTTTTGTTGTTTTGTTGTACAACTCCGTCTGAAGCAGTCATCAATGCCGGTGTTAAAGCTAGTTTGCGTTTCAGTAACAGCCCCTCTTGGTTTCTTCTTGAAATTTCTGAGGCAATGGCTAATGTTGTTCTCTTCTACTCTTATTCCCAGCGTGACTTAAAGTACAGTACCACTTTAGAAACGTTAATTATGCGGCTCTTACTGAGTACTTTCATGAATCTTCTACCTAGCTCAGAAGCACGCTGAGAGCAAATTACTCCGACAACGGAGATCTAAGTATTACTTCATCAATTCAAGAGCCACCCCCGCATTATTTTTAATTAACTTGTATTTCTACGGGCATCTCTGTGTGGCAGATTTTTAATCAATCGCAAACTAGGTTTCTCGAGGCCCCAATTGAATCTTCTATTTCTGCTTCAAAGAGGAGACAAAGGAGCCGGTGAAGGAATAAAGAAGAAAAACGCCACTTTCCCCTCACTTCCCTTCAGTCCACAACAGAAACAAAAGAGAACATTAGATCATCTTGCATCACTACCTTTACCTTGTATGATATGTCTTATGTAAAGTTTTATCAATTGAAGAACAGTTTTTTTGTTCAAGGGTGTGTGTGGGTCGAACCATTTAGCACTGAAAATGCTAATCCTTTTTTATTTTCTGCTCACAAATGGGCTTCGATTTCCTTATTTGGGAAATTCGAAGCCCGATTATTTAATCTTATTTAACTGCCTTTAATTAAGTACCACAAAAAAGAAATGACAGTCGATGAAATCATTGTTTAATGTCATTCCAGCATTCCAATTTTTTATCAAACTCCTTCTAGAAGCCCTTTCACTCCGCATTGTGCGGGTGGCAGTTTTATGCAAAAGCTATTGTTCCGTAGTAAATCAGTGCAGCTCACCTAAATAGAATATTAATTATTGTTTTCCTATATTTGTGGGGTATTTGCCTACCAAAACCTTGATTAGTTTTTATCTAGCCAATTGACCAATAGATAAGTAGATTCAATTACCTCAAGAATGCTCGGAAACATATATACTGTCACAACGAGTGATCACGATTCTCATATCCACAATTTTTTCAAGAACTATTACAAACAATGTCTCAAATAGGTTAACTGAGTCGCGAACAAGATGGGTCTCATCGTTACTATAAGTCTATGGGGCACATACTAGTGCAGTAAAACTTGGGATGATTACCATGATCCTAACTTGCTCTAGATTGCAGAGTCAAAATTATTTCATTTTTCAAGCATATGGTATATAAACCTGACGATAGAGTAATAGCCCTAACTCTTTTGTAATCTAGAGGCTGATAAAACAATAAGGTTTACCTCAGAGTCGATTTAAACTTTACCCTCAACATATACATTTTATACTTACCTACATCAATGGTGGCATGTTTTGTTGGGTTACGGCTATCATCGTTCTTTACAATCAAGGAAGCAATGAGGTGTAATCGAACCTCTCTAGTTCCTCTGATAAAAGTCACTCGATAGTGCTGTTAAGCTTTTTTGTTGTAATTTAAAATACTTTAATATGGAGTAGTTGTATTGGATCATTTGCCCATTAGACTCCCCCTAACTGTAACTATAATATAGACCTATAGCCAACTAATCCAACTACGGGGAGAACTGCAAGCCGTTATTTCAGATATCACATGCTATTTCCGGGTAAATTAAATTTCCACCCCGATTTGTAGAAGTATTTAAATTTAAAGGGCCATTTCAATACAGCTCCAAGGCAATACTAGTAAACCGGTTATAACAGATAACTAATTATAACTAATAACTATCAAGCTGATATATACACTTTTTGATCCGTACAAATATTGTTACAAATATGGCGCAGGCATACAGAATTTTGGGGAAGAATGTACCACCACATTATTTGTCTATTGCAACATTAGCTACAGTTGGTGGTGTCATTGGATATTTCAAAATGACCGGCAAGAAAGAAGAGAAGGCTAGCACACCAATAGCGCCTGCAAAGGACGATATTGATATTGAGGCTTTGTTGCAATCTTTTGTTGCGCAAGAAGGAGAAAAAAAATAGGGTTTTACTGATGTTTATGCTTTTTATATTCTTTTAAATAACACCACACCAATGTTTAGGTTAGGGTTCAAAGGTGTCAAACATGATATATTCTTCACAATTCTATAATATGAAATCAATGACAGTGTCAATGTCCCGAAAATATGATATTTCGTATATATGCTAACTTATTATTCGTTGAAGTACATACAGAACATAAAAGTATCTCCGTTTTCATGGGAACTAGTTAATATACAGATGTATTAAACATTTTGTGTTATCATAACAGATCATCCAAACTTTGTTGAGAATCCTTCTTGATCAATTGTAGCATACCTTCTGGCAGTATTGGGTTTCCTTGAGAATCTAAAACATAACGGAAGGGCATCTCGGTGGCTTCTTTCTTGCTGAATCTAAATTCAGGATAATCTATGAACTTAATGTCTTCGAACTTTTTTTGGTCTTTGATAATTAGCTGTGTGGTTCTGATTGCTGTGTCGGTAGTCATTTGTTTGTCACCGAGCCTTCTTCCGACTAACAAACCAGGATAAGCAATATTCAGCTCCTTGGTACGATCTCTTGGAGGATGGTCACCTAATATACCTCCAAAGACAAAATAGTCGAACTGCTTTGAATCTTCTGGCTGCAAATCAAGTTCAGCTCTGGGATCCAATAAGCATACTCTGCCATTCTGAAGTGGTTCCCATGATGGAACGGCTTCTGGAATATCAGATAAACTTTTTGTTGTCCATTTCAAGCCCATCTTTCTGAGTAGTTCAGGGATATCAGAGTCATTGGTTCCCTCTGGTAACGACGTCAATAGTAGATTGTCATTGCCTACATCACGCAATATTTGGGCATATTCTAGAGTGACCCATTCACTAAAGCCTTCTTCCATATGTTCAATTATATACTTCATCTTGTAAAACTGTGTTTCTAATTACTTGGTAGTGTTTAAGTGGCTCACTTATACTATTGGGATAACTATTTATCTGTGTAAAAGTGAATACTATTATTTTATCTTCTCATGCTCATCGGTCCTCTTTGATTTTGTTCTCTAAGTAAATTTTGATCAACCATGACACCTCTACGGCTATTTCTGTAGAAATAAAAAATACTTAAGATGACCATAATGAAAGTATTAGGTGGATCAATCAACGAATGTATTCGGGACTAAAAAGAATTTTAATATAAATTGAATGAGTAATTTTAGTGCCTATATATATTATTTTAGTAAAAGTTCTAATCTTCTAATTGATGATACTAAGTACACATTATCTTGAGTAAGCGCAGCTATACAGTATTAGATTTGGGTTTGAAAAGTTTCGATTTGGTTACTGTGACTTGTTCAACTGGCTTATGTCCAGCGAGGATCTCTTTTAATAAGAAGCCAGCAATGTCAGGTTCTTCGAAATAAGATACGTGTGAGCTTAAGGCAGATAAAATATCAATATCCAGTATACCACTTCTGAGTGCATAATCAATACGTCCTGAGTAGTTTAGTTTCAGTAATTTAGATTTCAGTTCTTCTGGTAGCTTGTATTGCGTACCGGTGGAAGATTTTGAAGTATTTTCTTCTTCATTTTTTTCTGTTATCATTGAATTTAATGGGATTTCTTTTAAGATATTACCACCCATTTCGAGCATCTTTGATGCAATTCCATCACTTTCAGACCAATGTGGAACATAAGTGTGCTCATATTCTGCCATTCTTCTATCAACCAAAGATTCTACTCTGTATGCAACAGGGTCGCAGACATGGAATATATTATAGTAGTTTTGGCATTCCGGCAGTTGGAAGTTGACATTATGATCTGCATCGAGAATCTGTTTTTGGCCAACCATTGTTCTTTGTATCAACTTTAATATTCCAATAGGTGATCCAATTCCAAAAAAGTTTCCAACCTCAAATTCTAATTTGTAGTCTTTTTTATTAGATAGCAGATCAAATAATATCATGCTCCCTAAGGAGTGGCCAACCAGATGTACCTTACCATTGAAATTGGGATTGAACTTGACAAATCTTTTGTATACGGTATTGAGTTGTTTTGTTACTTCAGCTTTTATCATTTTTTTGTAGTAGGGATCACAATATAGTAAAATATCAAAAATTCCATCAGCCATTAGCTTACGAAATGGTACAATGCCATCTACAGTAATTTCATCTAAAGTTGGCAATAATGGACTTTCTAGGTTAGGGCCATTTCTATCTGTTTGAAACGTTATGGAGTGTCTCCAGGTAATCGGTAAAACCTGTACATTTGAATTTGACTGCCAATCTTTATATCGATTAAGTTTGTTTAAATTCTTTAGATCATCAGCTGCCGAGTAAAGCTTTTTCATATTCGATCTCAGAAGATTAATAGTGTGAACAAAATTGACATACTCATAGGTTTTACCTAAAGTTTGGCCAATACCATGTACACATAATACTAGATGATTAATTTCTCGATCGTTTATAGTATTCTTATCTTTACTTTCTGATGATGTTGATTCCTCATCATAGTAATCGTGTTCCATTTCATTTTTCATATACTGCTTCTTATTGTCATTATCCGTTGTGGCATCGGATGTATCTGAGATGGCACCCGCAAGTCTTGAAAGTATACCTGAACTTGATTCAAAACTTAATAGAGACCCCAGTTTGCCCAATGTTGAATCATTTTTATTAGATTCTGGCTTTGACGTACTCGTCTCTTTTTCCTTAACAAGGTTCTTCACACGCTCTGAGATTGATGTCCCGTGTTTCGAATCATAGCCACGGGTGATTTTCATCCCATTGATCGGTATACTCTGTCCAATATTGGACCTTAAGAATTTAATTTGAAACTCACCGCCATCCACATCTTGTAATAGGAAAGCAACATTTTTGTCAACAAATAGTACGAATTTGCCTTCCTTATAGGGTGCACTTAGCTTAAAAATATCCTGAAATTCCTTGCTTTTCTTGTTCTCATCATTAGTTGTCTCTAATTCTTCAAAATTGATTGATTTAAATTTTTCCTCTATTTCGGCAGCCAGATCAGGATTTAGAGGTTGGTTCAATGAATTAAACCAAAGCCCGCGTCGTATATCATAAGTAGGCCCCTTCCAATAAGATGGCCGTAATTCAAGCTGATCTACATCAACATTGAAAAGGTAGTCCTCCTTCACAGGAATTATTCTTCTCTCGTCTTTCTTTGGCGTCTGTTGGTATAGTTTTTCAATCCTGTCTGAGTCGTTTTTTGAAAATGCGATGAATTTGGTAGGTTCTCTAGTCTCTTCTTCATTCGAATCCTGATATGGGTCACTCTTAGGTACATCAGTAGCAAAAAACCAATGGCAGCTAGAATTAAACCTAATGGCACACCGACAATTGTACCTATACCTCAAAAACGTTCTTCTTATTTGATGAGCATGTAGCATGGTGCACCGTTTAGTTAGCAGCACTATACACTGGTCAAATTGGTTCTGTTAAAGTTGAAGAACAGAAACACTAAGCAACTAATATAGCCATACTAAGATTGCCCGCATTATTAAGGTTCGATGCCCTTATTTTTCGAGACTTCAATGATGATCATCGATTACACGGGCCTCCGGTTGACGATTTTCGCCAAACAGCAATGATTCATATATATTCAATTGTAAAATGCAAAATCAACTTATCATTATATGTATAAAAGTATATGCCTTTTCTGTTAATTATTGGTGAATACCATTTTTATTAGGTGAGGAGAAAGATTACTCGAGGTCAAGACTACCTGAAGAGCTGCGTAGCTTGGACTTAGCTCTTAAATTGTAATGTGAGGATCTTTTCTCCTCAGGTGGGAGCTCCGTCAGTGCTATGACATCAACACGAGCCTTTTTCTCAGCAGGTCTTAACCTTTCCCTCAATACACGTCTTGTGAATAACTTCTCAGACTCCTCATCCTCGCCCATATCCTTTCTCTTCCTTAAGTTTCTACGGGGTTGCTCGTCAACCGGACTCTTTGGGAAGTTGGCCTCATTTGGGGTAACTATGGAATTTGGGCTTGATCCCTGATCGGAAGCATTGGAAGGCGTATACGATTTTTCATCCTCACTTCTTTCGGCTGACGGAATGTCTAAATCTAAACCATTACTTTCTGTGTCCTCCTCATCTTCGTCATCTGGATCTGAAGATACATCAAGTACTACCTGTAAATCCTTCGGTGCCTCCTTTACCATATCAATTAAATCTTTGAAGTCGTTATTGCGACCTGAATAGAGCTTTTCAAGATGCTTAGTGTGCTTTGGATCTATACTGTCAATTGTGACATGTTTTTGTTGATTATTTTGTTTTGGGCTTGGAGTTCTTTTTTCTGGGTTTAGGATTGAGTTTTTAATTGAAGGCAAATATTCTTTAGCTGGATCTACTTTTTGTTTTTTAAACTCATTTAAAACATCTGCATCTTGTTTCTCTTCTGGTAATAGAGTTTGGTTGTTTAGAACAGCCAATGGCTGACTATTATACGTCTTGGAGTGTTTTAGCCGGCAGTGGTTAACAATACCTTGTGCAGAAGTAAAACCTGACCTATCACAAAAAGAACATTTGATAATAATTAAGATACCATCATATCTGCGAAATATAGCCTCATTGTTCTCGTTTTTGCCAACCACGCCACTGTTGCTAGTCAGGCATGTACTACTGTAGTTTCTTTTATGATGTGCATATAGTTGCGTCGGGTTGAAAGTGGTTGTAAATGAAAAGTTTGCGTTACCACCAGGAATGATATCTTTGCCTGACGTGTTATCTTGAAGACCTTTAGATGGTAGCCTTGAGGTCTGGTTCGGTAGATTTGAATCAAGCGGTCTTAAATTGGAGAACTCAAGCAAATGGCTGTTGCTTTTACTCCTTGTGTGGTAATGGTGACCACTAGTGCTACTTCCCGCAGATATCGAAGGCCGAGAGCCTGGTACGTAGGAAAGTGAAGATGTATCCATATTGTAGCCCATGCTTTGACGGGCCTTCTCCATTTCTAACTCTCTCTTTGCCTGCTCACATTTTGCCTTAGTGTATTCTTCTATTTTATCTTTCAGTTTCTCGTCGTCATGTAAACTATTAAGTAGTGTCATTCTCCCATCTGTTTTCTTCAGTTCTTTTTTTATATTTTCGATTTGTTTGTGATTCATAGCTATTTGTAAGTTAAGCTTATCGAGTAGCTCACTCTTCGCAACTTCGTACTTTAATCTTTCCGCATCTTCACTATCCCCAGCAGATCTTAACAGCCCGCTGTTAAGTCGTGATGGTGATGAGTTGTTGTTATCGAGGGTGGATGAAAGAACACCTTCACCACCGCGAATCTCATGATTGTTTTGATCATCTTCAGAGTTCAGTAAATCATGGGGAGACTTAGGCGTCGCCACCTGGTAGTAGTTTGCTGACATTGTATCTGTTAGTGTTCCTGAGTTTATCTAATATATGAGTGAAAAAGCTAATAAACAATGTCAGGGTTTTAAACGTTTGGTTGACTTCAGACGGCAAACTTATCTCAAATGATCTTGGCTTTTAATTTCAGAGTTATATTTACAAGAGTAAACTCAATAGCTGGGATATGAATTATGAAAAGTGGCAAAAAAGCCTTCAGGTTCTGTTCAAATCGACTCTCTATAATTGTCAAATATTTTAAATGTATGTCAAACTCTTGTTCTCATAGAAGTTTGAGGGAGATATAATGTAGCTAATATGTAGGTTTGTAATTTTAAGTGTTATAAAGTATGTAAAGTACATTATCTATTCGCTGTATTTACTTTTTAGTTGGTGTTCCATTTAACGTATCTGCATTATTTTTCTTAACAAAATTGCACAGATGATCGATTTCTCAACATCTCCGGTTTTAAAGCAGCAATTTAGCGAATATCGTTTCCACCTGGCAATACTAATAAATGTCGTAGGCACCCATTTGGCAATGTAACTTTAATTTTTTATTTTGGCATATGGTAGAGACTTAGGCTGGCTTTATTAAAGTAGATCCAGAAAAGGGCAGTCAATGGATGATGAAAAAGTATTATTTTAGTCAACCTCTGATTTTGAGTTGCAGTTTCGAAATTAGCATATCAGCAATATTTTCCAAGAATTGTAACTGTTAATTGAATAGTTTGTAGTACTGCTATTTGCTTGTCTTCATGTCTGTCATTGAAATATCTATTTTCAATGCAAAAAATAAAAAATGGAAAGTTTGATGATATTATTATTGTTTTAGTTCTATTCCAATTTTTTTTTAATCTATGGGCATTTAATTGAAGGTGTTTTCCGAAGACGGTTTTCGATCTATTTGCTGTTGAAGTATGTAGCCTGGCCACCTGAAGAATCATAAGAATCATTTGTGTCACTTGGAAACTGAGCATTCTTCATGGAATTAATATCTCCATGAACATCTGGCATATCTTCTGTTGGATATTCATTAAATGTGGGATATGTGTCTGCCATCCTTGCAGATGTAGCTATTAATTGAGGAAATGGCACATCATATTCGTTTAATATACGGTGATTCTGGTTAACTACTGAATCGTCCACCTTTGAGTAAATGGACAGTTTCGATATGTCGATGCTCTTCATTTTTTCATTGGGAATAAAAATGTCAGCAGCTTGTCCATTCTCAGGTTTATTATTGTTGTAGGTAGTCGGTGAGGCGATCTGATCTGCCCTGTAACTGAAACTGTTGTTAGATATTAACATGTAGTTATGATTGTCTCCGGGTTGTGTGTTGTATGTACTATTTTGCCTTTCATAGGACATTGTTGCAAATAATTTTTTGTGCCTTACATTATTGTACGTTATTTCCGGGTACTTCAAGGAGCTCAACGAGGGTACATGAGTTGGAGTCGATGTCGACACGGGAGGTGCATTTATTAGATCCCCAAAAGATATTTCTCTCTCAACACTGGCGCCATTATTTCTGGCTATCGAAGGTCTTATTCCTTGGGGTTCAAGTCTCATAGAAATATACTCATTGTTAAAGTCACTCACAGAGGGCTCGATCCGTCTCCGTTTTACACTCTTAGCATTCTTCTCTAATTCAGACTTGTTATGGCGTTTCTTATTCTTGTATGTTCCCGCTGGCTTCCTCACATTTGTTGTGCGTGGTTGCAACACCTTGCTGTCTTTACTTCTAGCCATATTGTTTGACGCCTGTGACACCCTTCCATTCAAATCAGCTATATAGCTAATGTTATATATGTGGCTTGCGGTTTTAAAGCCCGGTATAACCTATAAATATGTAGTATGTGAGGGCGGCTATGCACCAATAGCCAAGATACGGTACAAAATGCCAATGAACGAACGTGGTCATGTTTGGTGTAATCTGGTACGTTGCAATTGTAGTAAATGTCTTGGTTTGCTTTCTGGTCAAACTTTCATAACCAAAACATTAAATTTGGTTATAGCCAAACAAATACAAGGATACACTCTGGAATTCTTGCATGCTCATGTATTCGATGCCAGGTAATCCAAATTTTTAAGAGCATATAAGCTTACTGTTATCACAACTACAATGTCTCGTACTAGGTACGCTCCGATACGCTACTCTTGTGCCAATCATACCTTTTGCTTCCTGCTTGCCGGTAATGGTAGGCGTAGTTAAAAACCGCTACAAAATATATACAAGAACGTAATTTGTGTTTGCGATTGCAAACTTGATGGATATTGCTGGTATGCAACAGTTGTAGATCAGCTATCACCATATAACTATATGCCTATTTAAGCTCTTCTAACAGTCCATTCAGTGTAATCATCACCGAAGGGCCCAAAAAAAAATTTCAGAATTGGCGAGGACTGCCGAAATTGCAAACACAAGACAATGCAACTTGATCCCGGGCTGATAGCACACAGTGTACTTGAGGCCAATTGATCCTAGTATTTTTTATCCAATATTCTTTGCAGTTGTGCCATATTAGAGGAGTAAGCAAGGGAACTATTTACAAGCTATTCAAGGATACAAACACTAGCAAAGATGGCCATTACAATTAGACGTGCCACTGTAAATGATATGATATGCATGCAGAATGCTAACTTACATAACTTGCCAGAGAACTATCTGATGAAGTACTATATGTACCACATCTTGTCCTGGCCTGAAGCATCCTTTGTGGCAACTACAACATGTATCGAAGACGAGTTGGATGAACACGAAGATGATAACCTGAGCATACCTGACCCAGAGAAGCCTGGCATAATGATCAAATTGGACCCCACCTATGTGGCGCCTGGTGAGAAGCTAGTGGGCTATGTGCTTTCTAAGATGAACGACGACCCTGATGCCTCAAACGAGGCTCCAAATGGACATGTCACTTCTTTGAGTGTCATGAGAACTTACAGAAGAATGGGTATTGCTGAAAAGCTTATGAGACAAGCGCTGTTTGCACTAAGAGAAGTTTATAAGGCGGAATACGTTTCTCTACATGTCAGACAATCTAATAGAGCTGCTCTGCATCTGTATAGAGATACACTTGCATTTGAAGTGTTAAGCATAGAGAAGAGCTATTATCAAGATGGCGAGGATGCATACGCAATGAAGAAAGTACTAGACTTGGATGAACTAAAAATCTCTAATTACACTCACAGAAAAGGCCAAGAAAAGTTAGAAGACGACTTGAAGAGTGACCTACTAGAAGATATAATCACAGAAGGTGTTGATAAGATTATGGTTTAAATCAATGGTCAATATCATTCCTGTAACTAGATTACTGTCAATTCTACTTTCTAGAACTGCATAATTTTTTTTGTCAGCAATCAAGTACACCTAGATTAAATTCTAGGAAACATCTGGGGTTATATAATTCGAATTCAAATAATATTAGTTGTTGCATCAAGTATATATAAACAATACACTCTTTTTTACCCTAATTTTGAGAAAACAGTACCATATTAGAGCATTCGATAAAGATCACATACACTCTACACGTAAATATTTACCAAGCAAAATATAATGTAAGAGAATCACAGTCAGACAAAAAGTAAATTAGGTAGCTTGAGTTTTTCCACATCAATGGCCATACCAAATGGTAATGGCCAAATCGAGCCAAATGCACTCACAGTCATCATGTTATGATAAAAGGAAAAAACTTCCTTGTCTCTTTTCAAAAAGAGCTACAAAAGGCAAATAGGAAAGAGAAGGTTTAACGTATAGACCAACACTGAAATCTTTGCCATTTATATATCTTTTGGCTAAGTTCAGGATTATCAGAAAAAATTTCATTAGTTCGTTGTTTGGGATATTAAGTCATGATTTTGATTTATGGGCATTAGTTAGGGTATGGATTCTATACAATTGATTGTACCTATATACAATCTTCTCATGGACTCCTCTAGTCTTAAAGAACTTATGCAAAACAGCCTAACTACGTGTAGCACTGGGCTCACCTCTGTTTCTCGAAAATTACTTTATCTACTTTAACTTCGCCGTCAACGTATAGGTATATATACAGTGTGCATGTGCTTCCTTGTATATCTAGCAGGCAAAAGCTGGGCACATTTGCACCATTGATATCCAGATCAGACACATACAGGTGGTCTGGTCCGTTCTTTGCGTCTTTGCTTTTCGAGCTTGAATCGTCTGTCTTTGTTTCTTCTTTCTTAACGTCAGTGTTTCCCAATATATCAGAAAAAACAGGCCAATCGGTGTTAAATGCACCGGTACAGCTTCCGGGATTGATAAAAAATTTACCCTCTAGAGTATATGCCTCTACATTATAAGTACCACCCCATAGAAGTATATCAACATCAAGTTGTCTTGCTAATGTTAGCAGAGATACAGGATCATTCTTGGGTACCACAGTGTAGCCACTACAACAGCCTATCCTGAACTCACCTTGAGTTATGACGGCATTCATAGGCAGCTCAACTCTGTTAGACTTTATCGTCCTTTCCTGACCCGGTGTCTTCACCACTGGCACTTTATCTGTATGGATTGCTGGTATCGTAGCTCTATCAAACTCCCCACGGACTATGTGCACATTCGGTGTAATATCTGTAACAAATTTGAGAAATTCAGATGAATTGCTGCTGTTTCCTAGCACAGCCACCTGCGATATCTTGTCTGGTATACTTAGCAACTTCTTAAACTTTGATGGCAAATCGACTGCCCTGTCTGGTATATGTGCATCACTTAATGCAAGCACTAACATCCTTGTGTTTTTCTGGACTGAAAACTTTCGAAAGTGAGGAGGAATAATATCAAAAACAAAAGAAATTGTTTAAGTTATAATAGTGCTGTCTTGTCTATTACCTGGTTAAGTTGCAATATTTCAAGTCTAATCAACCTGTTCCATTAGCTACTCGTTTGTACCCTTTTTAACTTTCGGGCTTCACAATGCGAAGGCCGTGCCAAACTCAAAAAACTGAAAAAAAGTAGGAATAGAGGTGTAATCCATTGATAATTAGCGTTTAACTTCAATGTTCGAGTCATAATTATATTATTTACATGAGAACTTATGTGCAAATTAGTTATATAGATATGCTTGGTAAATTTTCCGCCTAAAATTTGGTCTTTCCGTTCATATACGGTATCAATGGACTAGGTACTGTAACCATATTCGTTGATGGATCGTAGAAGTTTTCAATAATTGCTAGAATCATTCTAGGAACAGCCATAGCTGTACCATTTAGTGTGTGCACGTACTCCAGTTTAGATGACTCTTTATTCTGGTATCTTGTGAATAGCCTTCTGCTTTGGAAATCAGTACAATTCGAAGTACTACTTACTTCACCAAATTTACCTCTACCTGGCATCCAGACTTCAATGTCATACTTCTTATAAGCTGGATTTCCCAGATCATTGGCAGGCATGTTGAGGACCTGAGCACAAAGACCCAAATCACTTATTAATTTAACCTGGAATTCTTTCAGATCCTCTAAAACCTTCTCACTATGTTGCGGCAATGACCAACAGAACAGTTCCACTTTGGTAAACTCATGAACTCTATATAAACCCTTAGTGTCTTTCCCTCTCGCACCAGCCTCGGCTCTGTAACTCCTACTTACACCAACCAACCTTTTAGTTGGATTATTTTCGTCCAAATCCAATATTTTGTTGGCATTCATCCCTGCCAACGTTATTTCAGCTGTAGCGGTAAGTCCAAGTTTGTTATTACCGTCTTCTATCTCATAGATCTGCTTCTCATTGTTCATATCTCTGGGAGTAAATCCACATGCATCAATTATCTCTTTGCGAGCAATGCTAGGTGGAATACAACGCTGGAATCCGTGCTTCTCTGCCTGATCCAATGCATAATTGACCAATGCAGTCTCTAGTTGAGCTCCTTCGTTAATAAGGTAGTACCACGAATTGCCTGAAATATTGGATGCACTGGCCAGGTCCAAGAGTTGTTTGCACTTAGTCATAATGTATACGTGGTCTCTGTTTTCCTGTTGTTCGAACGATTCATAAAGACCCTTGTTGATCCATCGGTCTATCACAGGCGCTGTATCGGGCGCCGACTCATGTATCAAGTTTGGCAATCGTAGGCATATATCCTGAATTTTAGAGTTGGCTTCTTGCAATTGTTCAGCGAGGGCACTGAATTGAGACTTGAGTGATCTCAGCTCCTTCAATACTTCATCACCATGCACTTTATGTTGCCGAATACTGAACTCGAGCGCTTTCCTCTCAGTTTGCACCGCCGAAATCTTGGCATGTATATCTTTCGTCCTCTCATAAGTAGCGGCAAGCTGCCCATCCAGGGCACCAACCAACTGCTCCTGACCCACTAGCTCCCGCCGAGCGATAGAGTCCTTATACAGCCCTATGTCCCTGATGATCCTCTTGACATCAAACTTCGCCGGCTTCAAAAACAGCGTCTTGCTGCTGTAATGCCGTACTGCTGCCCACATCCAAGCTTACCTCACTGATCTAAATACCAGATAAGACCAACATAACAACAGATACCTAGCAATCCGACTTGTATAAGGCCATTTCCGCTAGCAAGCACTCGCCTGCGCGCCCGCTATCACAGTAGAGCTTGGCTCGAGTAGCAAACGTATAGTCACGTGATTTATTTAGTTGCCAGTCTTCCAGGCATTCGCGATGGGGGTTTGCAGTTTACATAAGATAACATATACACAGAGCGAATGGTGCATACCTTTGCAAGCACTGGGCACTATCCTTGGTGCAGCGTCCTGCTCCTGTTTCGGGGTCTCTACAGCTCTCTGAGGTACCGTCACTGAAAGAAATCGCAGGCTCCCGACTGGCATGTGAATACCAGCCTGTATTGTATACACAAGAAGATGCTGTCATGAGATAGAAGGAAATATGAGGATTGGGCACCATGTATCACCACGATAAGGGTAACATTTATTTTTTGCATAATTGGGTTTTGCTTGCTATGTGTTCGTCATCCATTGGAAGGATGATTTTCATTTGTTCTTCCAAAGTGTTGACGAAGACGGGGACTAGGGACGTCTGAAACTTGCTCGTTGGGGGCAGTTCACAGCGTGGTTCTCACTCAGTATTCTTCTAAACAGTTTATCACAGTGTTCAGGACTGAAAGCTGATGATACAGAGTTAGAAGTGGAGGAACGACTCTTACCAAGGTAAAGTTTACACTTCAAAGTGTCAAAAACCTGAAGGAAGGAAAAAAAATAAAATAAAAAAACAAAATCAAATATAATGAACAGAAAAGAGGAGGGGGTTGTATAAGTTTCAGTAGTCTCAATACTAAATAGAATATAGTCTTTTAAGCGGACTTCCAACAACGTACTTGATGTCTGAGAGAGATATTGCTACGCCTGATTTTCAGCTATACCCTTCTGGGAATGCAGCTGAGAAGACTCACATTGTGATTGTCGGTGCTGGTATTATAGGGTCGTGTACTGCGTACTACTTAACGCAGCACCCGGATTTTGACCCCAGCACACACCATATAACTGTTCTGGAATCGCGTGAGGTTGCCGGTGGGGCATCGGGTAAAGCTGGTGGGTTACTGGCCTCATGGGCCTTCCCACAGCAGATAGTCCCATTGAGTTTCCAGTTACACCAGGAGCTGAGTGACATGTACGATGGTGCCACCAACTGGGACTATAGAAGATTGACCACTGTATCCTTGGAGGCTGATCTTAAACTTGCAGACCAGCATATCCCGCTGTATGAGGACCATAACGGTGTCATCAGCGAGGCCCCAAAGACATCTTACTCTCTGAATGTACCTCCACCAAAGAAGACGGCGTTGAAGAAGAAGAAGAACGATAAGATGAAGAACAATTTCAGTCTTTCTGGGTCTTCTGATGAGGAAGAGTCATCCGATTCAGATATAGAGATGAAACCAAACCACAGGGACCTGAACGGCAAGAAAGATGCATCTTTGTCAAAGAGCGAGGATGATGAAGAGGACGAGGATGACGGGAATGCTAGCATCATTTCTGGTCCAACTGGCAATACTTCTTTGAAGGATGAAGTAGCCACAACCTCTCAAGAGAATCCCTCTGATAGAAATTCCAGCACAAACATTGGAAGCTTGAAGGATGGAACAACCAGCAGCATATACTTTAATAACCAAAACCTGAAGACTCAGTTACCAAGAGACTTGACATGGCTGAGGAACGATATTGTTACCGACTGGTCCTCCTTGGGTGGTACAGACTCCACCGCCCAGGTTCATCCCCACAAGTTTACCCATTTCCTTCTACAAAAGGCTATGGAGACTGGTGCGGTTGACTTGATACGAGGCCAGGTCATAAATATTAGTGTGGACGACACAGGTGCCGCCACGGGTCTTACATATATACCAATGCAATGGTCAAGATCAGATAAGTTGAATGATGGCCCAGACGAAGGTACAGAAAAATCAAAGCAGAAGAGAAACAGTAAAGTGCCGATCAAAATCACTGATATCCACCATCTGGTGTTGAGTATGGGCCCATGGACTTCAAAACTTCTCAAAAATTGTCCAATCTCTGGTTTGAGAGCACATTCCATCACTATTAGACCTAGTGCCGATGGAGATTCAAGAGGTAAGAGAAAGAACAACGGAAACAAACCAAACATCGAAAACTATGTTTCTCCATATGCTATATTTACAGAATTAAAGACCGGAGACAATGAATATTTTTCACCTGAGTTATATGCAAGACGGGACGAGGTATATGTTTGTGGGGAAGGTGATACCTTGGCTGGATTACCTGAGGCATCTGATGAAGTTGAAGTTATCGAAGAAAAATGTGATCAGCTTTACCACTACGTGTCTAAGCTATCTCCTGTCCTATCTGAAGGTGAAATTCTAACAAAACAAGCATGCTACCTTCCAGTGCTAAATGTACCAACCAGCTCAGGTCCATTAATTGGTGAGACTAATATAAAGAACTTATTTATTGCCAGTGGTCATTCATGTTGGGGTATCAATAACGCGCCAGCTACAGGTAAGATTTTAAGTGAGATTTTGCTAGAAGGTGAAGCAAAATCTGCAGAAATTAGTGCACTTGATCCAAAACTTTACTTTGACGCTACTATGCACTAATCTCGAATGGTAATATATAAAGAACCAACAATGAAGAATTTAACCGAGGCATGGTTTACAGACATTACACATAAAGAATTCAAATTGGACAGCAATTTCCACAGTCATTTCCCTTGATATCTTTATGAGATTCATACATGTCGATTTTAATTCTTTGTGTTTTTCAAATGAGAAATATTCATTATCACCAAACTTGACAAGTAATTTTTTATTCCTTTTTTTTTTTCTTAATTTCGTTGGCCAGGAATAAGTAACCGTTACTATTTTCATCTCAGAATAATCGTGAATTATTTCAATATAGTGAAATTCTTTATTTTTTATTTTACTGGGTTAAGCTTTTTAATCCACATTCCCACAACCTTGCGCATATTTCCCAAAAAAAAAACAAAACAACTGGAAAGAAAAGATTGCCATTATTCTTTGCCATAATATATATTCACAACTTATTGGGCGACTGTCATACATGACTAATGGAATAGACCATACACAACCTGCAGCTCCCTACTTCTAAACCCCCTCCATCGCTTACAGTCGGTGCATAGAATGGCAATATGCCAACCCTTGAAAGACTTGAATGTGTATATAGATCATTACTACCTAGGAAACGAACTTTCAACACTCTCAAATCATCAGCTATAACTGTGTACTAGGTCTAACAGCATGTACTTCTGTAATATCAAAAAAAACAAACTCTAATACTATAGTACTTATACATTGAACGCTATTAACGCTATTAAAGGACCATAGAAACTATCACATGACATATTGTATGATACGGACACAGCTGTCTTGCACGAACACATCGGCATGTGACTTCCCCCCTCCCCTAAAAACTGACTGCTTCTGGACAGCCAACCAATAGGATCGAAGAACAGTCAACAATTCTTAACTTCACAACGTATCGCGTGATTCAAATCCCGCTTTCTCGCACCGAAGATAGCATTGTAGGGTCGCTGTTGCGCGGGCCTGTCTAAACACTTTACCATGTCTCTCAGTAGTATAACAGTGGGCTAAGGGGTGTCTGGCCAAACTTGCTTAGCAGGGGGAAGTTGAAGGAAGTTGGGAAAACTGTGAAAAATCGATGAGCTAGTATTGATAGTTGAGCTTATTTCTTAGTAATTGAGATTCCTTTATTGGGATGACTGGGTAGATATCACCTGAAGAAGATACCAGGGAAGTCCGTTGCTCTCCAACGCTCTCCCGTAAGAACCGAAGTTCCCTTTTTCCCTGTGGGAAGGGAGAGAAAAACAATCCAGGGCTACCTTGCACAATACATATATATATAGAGGATAATTACTCATCATGTACACGGACGTTCACCGAAAGTACAACATCTAACTTGACTTTGATAGAAATAACAGAGGTATACATTACAAGGAAACGATGTTGTCTACGTCTAGGATTGCTTTCAAATCTACTCAACTAAGAGCTGCCTCTACAGTGCTAAGACGCACGAAGGTGACGTTGCCAGAGCTAGAGTGGGACTTCGGTGCTCTTGAGCCACACATCTCCGGCCAGATCAACGAATTGCACTACTCCAAGCACCACCAGACCTATGTCAACGGCCTGAACACCGCTGTCGACCAGTTCCAGGAACTGACCCACAAGTTGTCCAAGGACCCCAACGACTTGCAAGCTGCACGTGATCTAATCCAAGTGCAGCAGAACATCAAGTTCCATGGAGGTGGGTACACGAACCACTGTCTGTTCTGGAAGAACCTGGCTCCAGAGAAGAACGGTGGTGGTGAAGCGCCATCCAGCTCCAGTGCTCTTGGCCAGCAGATCGAGAAGCAGTACGGCTCCTTGGACAAGCTGATCGAGGTCACCAATGCCAAATTGGCCGGTGTGCAAGGTTCCGGTTGGGCCTTCATTGTCAAGAACTTGGAGAACGGCGGCCAGCTGGATGTTGTGCAGACTTACAACCAGGACACAGTCGGCAACCAGTTTGTCCCACTGGTGGCCATCGACGCCTGGGAGCACGCCTACTACTTGCAATACCAAAACAAGAAGGTCGACTACTTCAAGGCTATTTGGAACGTCATCAACTGGAAGGAAGCTGCGAAGAGGTACGAAACATCCAAAGTCACTAAATAGATTAGCTAATTTTTTCTTCAACTCTCTCTACATATTCGCACCTAAAGTAAGCACTATACTTAAAATAAATTTAACACTTAAAATAGACTACAACCTGGGAAGGGCAGCATCGACACGGATGAGTAAGCAACGATTGTATCGGACAAATCGTATTACTGATGTTGCAAGAAAGCTTAAACGAACAACGATCCATTGTCCCCAGGGTACGTCTTGTTACAATAATACACAGTATCCGCTTAACACCGACCATTACAATAGTACCATACTACCATCGCCATTCCGGTAAATCCATCGGCACAGGCTAATACGCGAATACGAGGCCATTTGTAAACGAGACCCAAAAAGCCTTGTTCCAACTACAATCGAGTGAGCTTGAAGAGTTATAGTGAGATGGGAGCACAGGAGTACAAGGGTACAAAGAGCACTTCACAGCACAGAAGCAGAAAACCCACGTTCGCCTGCACCAAACGACATGAGATAAGGATTTATCGCTTCTTCTCTAATCCAGTTGCACACATCGTATACCCGAGTGACATCTTTGCAAGCCCTTCCCATCACTGATTAGACAATGGAAACAGCTTAAACCCAATTGCTGTGTCTTGTTTATCGGTCCATCTCTGTTTCTTTTTTTTTATGGCCTTTGCTCAGCACAGTGAAAACCCTTAACAAACTGCAATTTTGAAAAAAAAAAATTGAAAAAAAATTTTATCATCGTATATTCCACCTCGAAGAACCCGTATACTCATCTCGTATAATCAGTAGTCAAGACTTGTGCTAAACATCTTTACAAAAAAATGTATATAATGGGCGATCCCTTCATGTCCATTGTCTTGAATTTCTTGTTCTCATTGTCTATTTCGATACTACAAACCACATAAATCAAAAAAAAACTACAATAACATGTCCACTGAAAACACTTCTTTGGTCGTTGAACTATTGGAGTACGTGAAGCTTGGTCTTTCGTACTTCCAAGCTCTGCCATTGGCGCAGAGAGTGTCTATTATGGTCGCCTTGCCATTTGTGTACACCATCACATGGCAATTGCTTTACTCCTTGAGAAAGGACAGACCACCACTTGTGTTCTACTGGATCCCATGGGTCGGCTCTGCTATCCCATACGGTACCAAGCCATACGAGTTCTTCGAAGACTGCCAAAAGAAATACGGTGATATCTTCTCTTTCATGCTATTGGGTAGAATTATGACTGTCTACTTGGGTCCAAAGGGTCACGAATTCATCTTCAACGCCAAGTTGGCCGATGTTTCCGCTGAAGCTGCTTACTCCCACTTGACCACCCCAGTGTTCGGTAAAGGTGTTATCTACGATTGTCCAAACCACAGACTAATGGAACAAAAGAAGTTTGTCAAGGGTGCTTTGACTAAGGAAGCCTTTGTCAGATACGTTCCATTGATCGCTGAGGAAATCTACAAGTACTTCAGAAACTCCAAGAACTTCAAGATCAACGAAAACAACTCCGGTATCGTCGACGTTATGGTCTCCCAACCTGAAATGACTATCTTCACTGCTTCCAGATCCTTGCTAGGTAAGGAAATGAGAGACAAGTTGGACACCGACTTCGCTTACTTGTACAGTGACTTGGACAAGGGTTTCACCCCAATTAACTTCGTCTTCCCTAACTTGCCTCTAGAACACTACAGAAAGAGAGATCATGCCCAACAAGCTATCTCTGGTACTTACATGTCCTTGATTAAGGAAAGACGTGAGAAGAACGATATCCAAAACCGTGACTTGATTGATGAATTGATGAAGAACTCCACTTACAAGGATGGTACTAAGATGACCGACCAAGAAATTGCCAACCTATTGATTGGTGTCTTGATGGGTGGTCAACATACTTCCGCTGCTACCTCCGCTTGGTGTCTATTGCATTTGGCTGAAAGACCAGATGTCCAAGAAGAATTATACCAAGAACAAATGCGCGTCTTGAACAACGATACCAAGGAATTGACTTACGATGACCTACAAAACATGCCTCTATTGAACCAAATGATCAAGGAAACTTTGAGATTGCACCACCCATTGCACTCTTTGTTCCGTAAAGTCATGAGAGATGTCGCTATTCCAAACACTTCCTACGTTGTCCCAAGGGACTACCACGTTCTAGTCTCCCCAGGTTACACTCACTTGCAAGAAGAATTCTTCCCTAAGCCAAATGAATTCAACATCCACCGTTGGGACGGTGATGCTGCTTCTTCCAGTGCTGCTGGTGGTGACGAAGTTGATTACGGTTTCGGTGCTATCTCCAAGGGTGTTTCCTCTCCATACTTGCCATTCGGTGGTGGTAGACACAGATGTATCGGTGAATTGTTCGCTTACTGTCAATTGGGTGTGTTGATGTCCATTTTCATCAGAACCATGAAATGGCGTTACCCAACTGAAGGTGAAACTGTCCCACCATCTGACTTCACCTCCATGGTCACCCTACCAACTGCCCCTGCTAAGATCTACTGGGAAAAGAGACATCCAGAACAAAAGTACTAGATGCTTTCAAAATATTAAACATTTTCTTCCAATAATCAATGGTCAAAACCTACTTCAAACAATATTGCTGTCTGGCTCGTATACGGGATATACGCTGATTCATTAGCCTAATAGTAAGTCATCGTGAATATCAACATGGATATTTCGGCATGACTTAAGCTGGTTGTTTCGTTTAGAGGGCTTTGCTGCTAAACGAACTATACGATGTCTTCATCCGTATAACTAGCAATGTATGCAGTGCAAGCATATGACAAAGTTGGTTGATCCCAAAGATTGTTTTAAAAAAATTCATTTTCATGATCAAAATTCAATGCTTCTTATACTACATTTTTTTCATTTTCATTCATCTTTATTTTGGTGCCATTAACATATAGACTTAAGTTTCATTTAGCTATTTATATTTATTATAAAATTTAAACCGTGTATACAATACAATATTATTTAACAAATCGAACTCTTGTATTATTATCAAACTTTACCTTGGTAAGCCTAAAGAAACACGTTTTTTGCGCCCATGTTGTTTATATTTCCAATGCTGTCATACTACAGATCATCTCACATAAAATAAGGTTGTTCATTAGAAAATCCCAATATATAATGGAATATAAAGTAATGTATCTGGTTGTTAGCTTACATCAATAAAATTAGCTAACTATAAAATAACAATATAAATGGTACGAAATGAAAAAGGTTTTCGCGAATGGTATCACATTAAATAGTCTCAATTCATGCTGAAAAACTGTTGGTAATATTGCATATATTTTTGATTTTCTTTGACGTGCAAATCTGACATCAACCCAGCATTGGTGGGATCAACATCAGCAACTACCATATGCTCTCTTGGAAAGTGCTGTGTATCAAAATTTTGTGGCCTCATTGAGGTATTGCCGAGTTGTATGTCTGCTGCGGACTTGTTTAAATTCGTTTCAATATCCGCTGGAAAATTTATTCTGTTGCCAGATGCCTGCATATTGCTTAACATGAAGTTTTTGTCCTCTTTATAATTCTCTTGGTCATTGTTTACTGGACAAAGAGCAAGCATGGCATCAAAACCTATCTTATCTAGATCAACTAGATTACTGAAATCAGGGCCAGCATTTGCCATGTCATTATTTGGCAGAATGTTTGATGTTTGGGTATGTTGCATTTTCTGTGTCGTGTTGATACCACAATTATCATTCAGTGAAGAAGCATAAGAAGAATGAGTACTGGAGGAATCCATGGCTGAGTTAGATATAGGTGATATGCTATTCATAACACCAGTAGAGATAGATGTAGCAGGAGAAGCAAGCATGTTGTCGGCGTGCTCTAATTTAACTCCCATGTTTGGAGGTGCAATATGTAAGTTCACGCCCTTACTATTGCTGTTGCTCCGACTTCCTTGTTTTATTTGTTCATAGCCATATTCTGGAGTTACAAGTCCATTCCCATTATCAGGTTTGCCAGTGCTGTTTCTCTGTCTAGAATTTTGTTTTATGGTCTTATCAGAGTTTTTGCGGGTTGAGTTCTGTCTTGAACCTGATTTGGCTACATAATATTGGGAGTCCATTAATATTTTATTGTCATCCAATGTAGTGAAAACATCATTTCTACCAGTTTCAGAAGCTACGATAGCCATAGCTTCCAAGGCATCTTTGTTCTCCAATACTTTTGGTTCCACCCAACTTTGTAGTGTCGATACGTATCTAGTAGTACCATTCGATGTTGTGATCTTCTTCATCTTATTTCTTCTCTTCTTTTGATAATTTGTTGGCAAGCTGGCTGGAATAGTGGTAGGAGAAACGGATTGTGATGAAATGCTTGCTGGTGTTGCAGATTTAGAAGCACTCTTGGAGGTTCTTCTTAAGCTCTCCGAGTAGTATCCAGCTGGTAGTGCTGGACATTGTCCAGATTCAATATGATCTTCCACGTAGGTGGCCGCCTTGGCGATAAAACCTCCGCATTTGGCACAGTGACCGGAAGATTCATTTCTGGAGGCGAAGTTTACACCTTCTGGGTAAATCAAATGGCGAGCCTTCATGTGTGTCTTATATGTGTCACGTCTGCTGAAACCACCAGAGTTGTGACATCTCTTTGATGGCACTTCCTGGCCGTTGTAGAAGGGACAATGGTAGGCCTTTTCTATGGCGTGTTTTTTGATATGCCTTGTTAAATATCCTCTTATCCTGAACTTAGCATCACAGTAGTGACAAACAAACTCCTTCTCATCATCGTCCAAAGTCTCAGATTTAGCCTTAGTGTCTTTCTTGATGCTGGTGATGCTGTCCACTGGCTTAGGTTCCTGTTTGACTTGTACTTCAGGTTGCACGGGCAAGTTAATGTTTAAGTCGTTGTGTATAGCAAAATCTTGTTGTGGCTGTTGTGGGAAATCAGGTAGTTGCAGCTGCATCATATCGAAATTGGTCTCTATGACATCGTTTGAGTTGAAAGTGAAGTTGAACCCGGAGCCATTCATAGAGTTCATGTCTAGAGCACAAGGCTTGGCTGTACCCAGGCTGATGTCCCCATTATAAGAGATCTTTGGGAACATCGTAGAAGCGTTATCCAAGGAATCACGCGATTTAGTGCTTCTAGAGTCGTCAGCAACCTTCTTGTTTCTCCTATACTTTCTAGTAGGCTTCGCAGACATCGCAGACATCGCAGCCTTCGCAGGCGCTGCACTCACACCCGCTGGCTCCACAGGCAACGCATCCTTCCCTGAATCAGGAACAATGATAGCGTCTATCAAGTTCTTCACCGCCTTCCAAAGAGATGTCTCCCTTGGTCTAAGCAACGAAAACGACGGCATCAGTATTGTGTGTATATCTCGGTTACAGTTGGTTGGATTAACTTTGCTTCTTACTCCATCCTTTGAAGGAATCGCTTAATCACTGGTTATATTTATAATAGTTTTTTTTTTCTGCTGTGTGATTTTTTTTTTTTCTTGCTCCCCCCCCATTAGGAGTATTTTTTTTTTTTAAAATTGGGACTACAAAATACCGTAGAGCTGATCTTTCTTTTTTTCTCTCTCTTCTGTCCTACATCTCTGCGCCCCTTCCTCTCCCAGATGCATTTCTCTTGGGCTTCTCTTTTCTCATGCCCTTCTCTGCGGTGTTTTCTCTATCCCTTTCCGTACTTTGCACTTCCGTCCTCCCCCCACTTCTACTTGTACTTGTACTTCTGCTGGTGCTTCTGCTGGTGCTTCTGCTGGTAGTTGTACTTCGAAATGACGGTGATTGTCTCTTTTCTCTGGTGCTGCTCTTTCTGTGGTATCGCAAATGGAAGGAATCGAATAAGCCTTCCATTTTTCCCTGTGCGGGGCCATCTCTGCGTCTGTGTTAGTGCTCTCGATTTCGAATCTCTTAGTCTTCTCCTCGCATGCGGGAGGATCAGAGTTTCCCTCTTCATTCCTTCATGGCTGTGCGGGCGTTTCTCTGGTCTTCCATTTTTCAAAGAAAATATTCCGATCAGAGAAGAGATGCTCCACCCCCCATTATTAGTCTTTTGCGCTAAGAAGAGCCCGCGAAGGAGAGGATGGAACACTAGGTGCTGTGTGACGAATTAATATTTTTTCAGGGGAGAGACAAATTGCTCCGCATTTACTGTAGGGATTTGTGGAAGAGCGTGGGGTGGGGATTAGTCTAATTCCCGAGCGCTCAGATGGGTGGGCACTCTTTTTCTACCCTCAGAGTGGTGCTGTACGTGTGTGACAACTGGGAAAGTGGGTGAAAGTTGGACTGTTGGACTGTAGGACTGTTGGACTGTAGGACGGCTGGACGGTTTCTCCGGTGCTTCACTGATCTGGGAGGTGGAACAAGGCCAGAGAGGGGGGGGAACACGATTGCAGAGCCAGTGCTGATAAGTGATGAGTCTCTTTGTCTACGAGCCTTTCCTGTACGTGTGTCTCTGTGGAGCAGTGGTAATGATTCATTGATAGTGCTTTGCCCTAGCGAGTACGGAATTGTCTGTGGGGGGTACTAATTACCGGAAAAAATAACGAGGGAGAAATGATTTTCGGAAATTGGGCCTCTGTGACTCCTTGTATGGAAAATGTGAAATTTGCGGAGCAGAGCGCCCTAGAAAAATCCAGCAAAATGTACTAGTGGGAGTAGTGGGGATGGACTTGCTAACGTAGGGGACAAATAGAAAGCGAAAACAAGCGATTCATTCTAAATAGAACAGGACTTTCTGACTAATTTTGTTTTATGAAGAAGATCAATTGAAATCTATTTTTAGATTTATTATACAGAGATGGAATATAACACATACTACAAAGTCCATGATAGGCTACCCATGGGCTTACCCATGGGCTTACCCGCTGTTTAACTTGTACCCAATCTCGGACACCGCACAATTGATAAGAGCCACTCATTACAGGCCCGCTATTATCAATTAATTCATAATGCAATTGTGAACAATTTATAATACTTTATAGGTACAGTCTGTAGTACACCTTTGATAACATATTATTACACCGATATGGGAAGGCGTACCTTACTTGCACAACACCGTACTGACTTCCCAAGTAGCAGTTTAATGTGCGCTCAGGTTCAAGAAAAAATTTTTTAGGATGCAACGGTTTGACGTTTCTCTGCTGGATTGTCTGTGCAGATGATTCCCATCTTTGACACATATTTTTTCTAAAACTAATCGTATATGCCTACACAGATAACCCCGTACGTAAATTAAACAAAAAGAACTGTTCGACTCGGATTCAAAGCTTGGTATAGCAACCAAATGGTAGCAGTTTGGCGTGTGCTGGACTGTCTGTGCATGCACAAAATATTTTGGGCTGCTGGACTCCCTTCCGCCAGAATGGCATGCCTTTCTTTTCTTTCTTTTCTTCCCAGACCCAGTGAAATAGACGTACACACACACTAGGAGCGTGCGTTGCCCGTTTTCTGTCCTGTATTGCACTTGCATGATAAGGCTAATACAAGTGATTAATTAACGCTTTCTGGTGTCAAGCACAGAGAGTAGGCGCACGGATTTGATAAACCCAACCTTCTGCTATTATTTCCGTTTATATAATTTACCCACGAAACGTCGAGGTTTCTCTGTTATGACGTTTTTTTCTTCTTTCAATTGGAATTGCATACTCGTCGGGTTTAGTTTACAATCTCCTTATAGTTGTACAGTTAACCTTATAATAGAAATCCTTTAAGTGAAGATAGCCTTTCTCCTCTGCAGTCGCAACACAGCAAAAATATCGCAAAGCAAACAACAAACTGGTTGGCCATACTGTTGGTATTTCTCTTGATCCTGTCATTTATTCGAACCGAATTAAGATATGCATTTTAGTTGCTGCAAAGGCAAATTTTATTACTGGAAAGCAAATGTAAACCTAATCTCTCGAGAAGTGCCCCTTTGAGCAACCGCAATTGGCATAGAGCAGCTTCCCTCAATGAGATATGTCCTTTGTTTTACATACGTTTCTTTTTTTTGTAGTACTTTTCTTCTCTTTATTAGGTGATTTATTTCTTATTTAATTATTTTGTTCATTTCGTACTCTTGGAAAGTATTATCAGAAGTGATAGAGTAAGGAGGAATCTCCGTCATGGAGTCCGTCTCTAGCGGCCTTCTATTGCCCATGTACTTGTCCTCAAACCCTGCTGCCGGGGCCTCAAGTCGGACATAGTCCTCTTGCATTTTCTGCTTGTATCTGAAATAATTGTAATACGTCACGTCCAGCAGAATTATAACCATCCCGACCCAATTTAGGATACCATGTAGCCTTTCATGTAATATCAGCATACTGAAAATTATCGTTAGCACTTCCTTCACCACACCAGCAATACTCAATGTAAGTACTTTAGTCTTCCCTAATATGCTAAACTCACACAATGTAAATGTAAACACACCTAAGCCCGGTAAAACCATCAGCCCAAAAATTGCTAGGAAGACATGCTTGACACTGAAATTAGTGCTGAAGAGATGCCTATAAGGTTGTTCCACCGCCAGGGATGTAAGAAATAAGAACAAGGCCATTACAGGCGAAAGCTTGTTGATGGTACGTATTGGATTGTTCTTGTTCTCAGGAGTAGCTGGCTTTTTCGTAATGCTCTCCTGTATTACTGACTGCCCAGGGACGTTTACCTCACATCTTTCTGAAGAGCTATCGGTGGATTTATTCTCTATGTAATCTGAGACATTATCGTCTAGTTTCTCGACCTCGCGAGTGTTGGTTTGGTTTCTCAAAATCAATTGCGTATAAACCCATCTCAAGCCGGAAAGGCAACTACTTAACAGTACTAGAACACAACCGAAGTAGAAGGACGCAGAGCTGGTTTCAGATCCATCTTTATTAGTGTTAGAGTCGTCATTGATAGGCTTATAGACCATCATGACAACACCGGCAAACATGACAAAGACAATCACAAATAATCGCCAGTGAAATCTCTCTATTTTGAAAAGACAACTGAAAAGTAAGACAAATGTTATACTCGATGATTTGATGATTATGTGGATAGTCAATGGAACATATCTCAAGGACATATTACCTAAACCTATATCACCAGCTGAAAAAATGGCTGTCGGCAGTATGAATCGCCAGAATAACTGTCTCTTTTCTCTTTCCAGCGTTTCCACATCTACTATGGGTTCATTATTATTAGCAATAATCGCATTTTCTTCTGAATCTAGCTCCCTCGCCCTCCTTTCCTTACGAGCCTTAGTATATCTAAGATATACGGACGAGATACACCATAGAATTAGTTGGTGGCACCCAGTCAAACCTATTGGATACGCAATACCAAGACCTCTTTGTGGGTCAAATATCCATTTGTTGTATAGCATTAGGCCAATGGAACAAACATACCAACCAGTAATTAAAAGAAGTATTGTCTTGTACATGATTCTGAATATTGTGTGTATACTAAAACTTGACCTTTGTCTAAGACTCTCGCTTGGTGGTTACCTAGCTTGCATAAATTATAAGCCCCAGGAAAAATGAGGGAAATGAAGATGTAGAGCAGACTTCTTTAACGATACAATATTTGACCGACACTCAATGAAATAACAGGTATTCAACTGCAGTAAAATAATAATATGAGAGCAGCTTTTGCCCAAAATGCTGTCTTGCAGAATTTGTTCAGGTGTTTTTGTAAATAATTTATTGAAAAGAGCAGCTATGTTCAAGAACAATCCATCAATAACAAAATGTTTATCACTGTATTCCAGGAAATGTTAACAATTAACACCTTATTCTTAGTTTAAATATTTATATGTTATGACAATCTTCGGAATACAAACCACTAACAACCATTATGCTATGGATGATCATCACTTCCTTTTAAGAAACGATCGACTTGTCTGTCACTGGAAGGGAAAATCCTTTTCCGGTCCGCTACGTCAATTGTGAGGGATATTTGAATAGACAATCCACAATAATAAGTAAAAATAAGATAATTTGAACATTAGCCAGAGTTACATCTAACAGATAATTGTAATTAATCAATTTTACACTTGTTTAAACAACATCCATTATTGGAGCTACTTAGGAGAGACCACAACTCGTATCAATAAAAAATATCGAAAACATGAAGTAATTTATTTATAGTGACTAGTATATAGCAAAGAAAGCCATATATATACAGCGCCTTTCTTCTATATTGAGTACAATTATATTATTTCTTTTTGGGCTGAAGCGGTACAAATGATGTAAGCGCTGGTGTGACAGTGTGGTTTGACGACGATATGATCGGAAACTGTGTCGATGCCAGATTACCAGAAGTAGCTATGGATGCACTTTCATCTACTACCTGTTGGAAATCACCAAAATCATCATCATCATCATCATCATCACCATCATCATCACTTGCTTTTATTACGTGGTCCTGGACCTTACCTACATCACCAGCAATATTATTGAGTTCACTCTTCATTCCAGGGTTATCCTTAATATGTAAAACCTCCATACCAGGAGGCTTCTCCAATGTTGATAACTTGGTCTGTGATGGCATACTTACTTCATCAGCTTCATTACTGTTACCGTAACCCAAAAGATCAATATCATTAATATTATTTTTAACCGATGTGCCTGCACTTTTAATAGATTTGATATCGCCTTGGATTCCCAACCCAATAACCTCGTTAGATTCGTCCCCTTCCCCAAAGTCTTGACTCATATCAAAGTCCCAAACATCTTCTTCGCTGACATTATTATGCGCTTCGTTTTCATTGTCTATGCTTTCGATGTTATCGTGAGTTTCTAAATTAGCATCTTTGGTTCTAGTATGTTTACTTGAATGCTTACCCTTATCCTTGTGTTTACTGCTACCCCAAAACCATAGTAGACCTTTCTTTTTGGCTTTCTTGCCTTTAACTTCCTCATCTGATTTTTTTTTCAATTTTGGAAGTTCTGTTGCAACAAATTCTTGTAATGGATCCACTTTAAATGAGCTTCTTTTCCATTCCTTGCTGGTATTACGCTCTGAATTAGAAGATTGTGTTGCTAGATTGTCTATAGTGTTGTCATGGAAGTAGTTATCCTCGATTATTGAGTTCTCAAAGGTAGGTACTTTTTTTTCTTTAGCGGCCAACGAAGCAGAGTTTAGTAACTTTTGATTTGTGGTTAATTCTTTGGTTTTAGAAATATTCCTGAATTGCGAGGGTGACTCAGGTTTCTCAATTACTGGTGAGCTTGTTTCACTGTCACCTTGATTGCTCCATGAAAACACTATTGGAGTCTCGATTTGGAGCATCGCTGATGAGATTTTAACGGTTCCTCTCTTCTCCTCATCAAACCAGGTCCTCGCCAGCTGGTGCTCTCTATGTCGCAGTTTTTCTAATTTAAATACAGTCTCGGATTCAGAACTAGTAGTGGAGACAATATAATTCATAAGCTTCCTCCCATGTTCAGCTTGATCTAATAAGTTGTACAGTGTGAGATCGTCTCTCAAATCAACCTCAGAATGGCTTGCTTTCGGTACAGATGGTAATTGTCTTATAAGGTCCTCCAACTGTTGTTCTCCTCTTGCTTCATTATCCATCTTGACTGTTGTTGGCAGTAAATGTCACTTATTATAATGTTGGAAAATAGGCGAATTCAATTGCAGATAGCATTGAAGTTGAGTACTTCTTATCAATCTTAAATGTGTTTGTAGATTAAAGGTTTGTAGTTGTGATATAATATGAACGTAACTTTACTGAATCGCAACCAAATAAAAAGTTTTTTCCAAATATTTGGAACATTGATGGTACTTTGGGATTTTAGACCTTTTTCGGGATTTAAGTTTAATTTTCAAGAATCTTTAAAAACTAGAATACAAAGCAATGATTTTGTTAGAGATGAGCTTTTTCCTGGCTGACGTTTATTAGACGTACTATTTCGAGGTTACTTTGACGATCATCATCAGCTAACGGTAATATATCAAGGATGAATTTTAAAATACCTCAATTTCCTGACTTTGAGATTTCTATTACAGCGTTTGAAAATGTTACAAATAGCGAAAGCATACGGTCTAAGGTGGCTACACTCCCTTATGCCTTCCTTGATGCCAGAATGATTTACTCTCAGGAACAGCTGTATGCTGCTTTATACAGAGTTCTGGTAGAGCAGAACTATAACAAACTTAGGACCAAGACCATACATTCTGAAATTATGTTATGTTTATCTCCAACATCTAATATTGGTGATGCTTTTAAAAAATTCGGCATAAAAGAGGATAGTAGCACGGTAATTTGTCTTCATATTAAAGATAGATCTGATGAGCCGGAACTACCTTCTCTTTCAAGCATCGTTGAAGGGCAAGAGATTTCTCTAAGTAAGGAATTCATTAACCAGCATCGTGATATCGGCATGGTTGGTCATGTATACAAAATTAACGGAGAAATGATAGAAAACTCTACCGAAGACCAGGTATCCTCTATGATTGTCAATATGATTCAACTACGTGGATTATAAGTAATTACTTATCATATATAACTAGCATGCATTATAGAAAATTAAAGTAACTTGCTAAAGTTTAAAGCTCTTAGTTCAATTTGAGACAAAACAATAAGAACACAAAAATACAATAAATGGCAAAAATTCTCTTGAATCACAAATTATGTTTCATTCATTGCATTGCAGTAACAATTAAATAAAATTTGTCATTCGAAATGTGAATAAAAAGAGACTATCGTAATTACTTTTAGTTTATGTATTGCATTTGTATCGTATATTTTTTTCAATAATAAAAATCCTAACCCAATATCAATACTGGTTCTATAACGAAGTAGATATTTTATCTTGAGGTTATGCCGTGAGCTGTATCCAATATTTGCTAAGCATATATTGTTAAATCTTCAATCATTTTTTAAAATTCCAAGTTTGACCTTTTATATGAAGTATCGAATGTCTTTTGTGTTATTATATTGCCAAACTCAGTAGTATCTAATATTAGCTGATCTTCTATCTTTTTCCTGTTTATGTTATCATATATCTTAATCAAAGATTTATTTTTTCCCATAATAATTACCTCATCGCAAAGGTTTTCTTCGTCAGTTATACAATCTTCAAACATAAGAGCCTGTAGGTCAAGTTCAGCTTCTCTATATTGTGAAGTATCTTTTGTGGAAAATATTGATGATGTTCCGCTCTTTTCAGAAACAGACAGAGAACTATTAGAGTTCGTATCACTATTGCCAGTTTGCTCACTCTCATCAGTTGCGATTGTGTCCAAATGCTTTAGCGCTAGATTATAATCTCTTACCATATTGTTGTCCAAAACCATACTACTTCTTTGTAATCTACCTCTTCCCATGTCTTTGCTATCTCCATTTCTCAGTGGGGTACTCATCAGCGGTTTTATCCTACTTGATGATTTCAGAGTTGGCTGTGATATATTCTTCGTTTGTATGCTACTTGTATGTTTTGATCTGCTGCTGTGGACATCTGTGTTGGTTTTGGAATGATCTCCTAGAAAGAAAGAATCCAAGAACATCGAATTTCTCTTACTTGTGCCATTGTTATTTTTCTTTTGTCTGAGCATTTTTTATTTTGTTTTATGTGATTGTATAATTTCCTCGATGCCTATTCTTTATAAATGTTCAATATTTATTGGAAATCTGACCTGCAGTTCTCTTTGATAATATTGGATTGTTACTAGCTGATTGATCTTGATGGCGAATTGTTATTGGCACTCGCTAAAGTATGGTGGTTATTGATCGGCTTTTAAATATTAATCACTCTGGATGAAGACGTTCCACTAACAGTTTTAACAATAAGAAACTAAAATATGTTCAAGTTTCAGAACACTTAAATATAAATACCAGAATCCAAGAAAAATGTTTTACAATTGTGTAGCCTGATCTATCATCCAAAGGTAGATGTTAGTACAAATGAGAACACCAAATATTATACTACAGGGTCTGCGACTAAATGTAATTGAATGGTGTATCTGGGGTACGAGTATTCCCGATAGCTGAAATATTCGCGTGCATGTCTTATTTAGGTAAATCGAATGATAATGAAGTGCTTTGTTCCTAGTGCAAGAACAGTTTTAGATATGATTCAATGTGTATTCTGCGAGTTTCCTACTTCTTTCCTTACAAGATGTTGGGCTTGACCTTGAATTTGTTTCTTGCTTGTTTAGAGAATTGGTGATTTTAGTTACAACTTTCGACTTCTAAGAATAAGAAAAAAAAAAAGTTAAAACACGAATTTCGCGTTTTCGTACACGCAAGAAACCTAGCAATTTGACTTAATTTTAACTCGATCAGGCAATCCAATTGCGAAGTGGTGATGCAGCGAAGGGATGTGGAGAGCTTTAGGTTCTCCGCTGCGCAATTGGTGATACGAACTGAGCATTGTAATATACTCAAAAGCTTTCCTTGGTACCTTGCGTTTATAGTTAACAAAACTTTAGAGAATATTTTCATAATTGCGACAATACCGGTATTGGAAACATAACTAGAAGTTGATTCGAATTTTAACGATATTGATTGTACAATTCCATTGACATACTCAACTATATACATAGGTTAGTATACCTATCTCTGCGATAAGCATTAGAATCAACTCACAACAAAATTTAGGTGAATAATTCTGCAGCTTGACTTGAACAAATATAGAATGCCTTTTCTCAGTACAGCACATTTGTGTGCTCTGCTTTTGATATTGGGGTGTTTTTACATTGGAAGGTTAATTAAAGTCATACCTATACTAAGGTTTGCTTGTGCTGGAGAAGCTGAAATAAAGCCCTTATTCATACAGCCGAAATCAAACGATGGTATACACCTCTTTGTATTCTTAGGTTCTGGTGGTCACACTGGTGAGATGCTACGATTATTACAGAATCATCAAGAAGTACTACTGAATAAAAGGAATACTTTTTATATAGGCTATTCAGATGATGACTCTAAGGCTAGGTTTTTGTCAATGGTGGAAAAGTATGACTTTAAAGCAGAACGAATACATTTTTATCCATTTGCTAAAGCAAGAGAAGTTAATGCTGGTCCAATTGCTAGTATTGTAACCATTTCGAAAACTTTACTTACTGGGTTCACAAATGTTCTGTCGATTAAGATGAACACTTTGGGTCAACCCCATCTTACATTGCTGAATGGACCAGGCACTTGTTGTATAATAAATTTTTGGTTGAAGTTGTTAGAATGGCTCATTTACATACCCTATTTGTCAAACGGTTCTAATGTTGTCTATATTGAATCGTTAGCTAGGATTGAGAGTCTCAGCTTAACTGGCAAAATTCTGTACTTACTAGCTGATGTATTTGTCGTCCAGTGGGAAGAATTGAAGGTTAGAAAGGCACCAAGGTCTGAGTATTACGGTATATTAGTTTAATCTCCTTTAGCCTATCGCAACATCATTAGAAATAACTCTTACAACATAATATGTGTTAAGTTTTATGAATAAATAATTAATGGAAATTATATAATATCAGGCAGTATTAGTGGTCCATTTTGGAAGTTCTGTTTTTAGAACGTATCTATCGGTAGCTTCATCTAGCTCCATTACAATTAAACAACCATTAGGAACGTTTATAAACGACTCGTACTCTTCATATGTCCAACGAAACCATTTCATCAGAAATATCCTCGCAAAGATACCATGTGTTACTAAAACAACAACATCTCTATGATTTGCTTCTGTCCTTCTTTCAAATTTTCTGAACAGAGATTCCTGGAAACTCGCTACCCTATCATAGACATCGGCAGCGCTCTCTCCTTGTGGAAATCTATAAAAAAAATGCCCGTAGTTTTTTCTTTCTTCCATGACATCATTCATACTACTAACATTTTGATAGTTTCCAAAGTCCTGTTCTCTTATTCGAGGATCATCTTTGACTTTATAGCGGAGATAGCAGCATGTATCCTTATGTTTGAGTGCTGTGTGTGTATTATTTTCATATTCCCCGACCGGTATCATCATGTTGTTAGGCCAAATAGCATGCTTCTTTTTTGAACAAGGTTCGTACTTCTCATCTTCAGTTAATTTAATTTCGGCGCTGATTTCGTTAAAATCGTCAATAATTTCCAAGATACCTTTTAATGTTTCCTTAGTTCTTCTATAAGGTGAAGTATAAAAGACAATTGATCGATCTATTTTTTTTTTCATGTTATTACATTCTGAAGTTTTTAGCATATTTCTTCTATCATCTTCAACTCTATACTTTTGTGATAAACTCTCGATCACTGATTTACAATTCCCATCCATATTGAGTAGTTTCAGTAGTTCCACACCAGCATTTCTTGCCTCACTCCATCCTCGAGAAGTCAGAGGTATCAAGTGGTTGGGTATTTTCTCATTGACACCTTTATCACGGTTAGACTCACTTTCACCATGTCTCACTAGAATTATGAGACGTGGCTTCTTTAGAGGTTTCGAACACTCTGCATGGCAAGTGCACGTACAGTTGTGCATTTTTTTTCTTCTATATTATTGCCAATTAACTTTTCACTTGTACAGTAAGCTGTAGAGTTAACTAGCTATCTGGTAACCTTGTCCTGATTGAGTTTATCCGCTCACAATGAATCTGTAAATCTGGTCTCCATTGTTACCAGTAATCCTAATAAAATTTTCCGTATTTTATTCAGTCTCTACACAGTGCTAATTGCAGATGCAGTAAAATTTAAAATTATTCCGAATTATCCACGGAAAAACTTACTAGCTCCTCGGAGAAAAAACAAATTTTAATGGATATACCCATTACATTAATCCATACAATAAAAATCATACTGCTTCCAGCTCTATTGGAGATGTTACAAAATTAATTTTTATTGTAAAAGAGTTAGCTATAGTACTATACTGAGAGGTTACCATCAATGTCTATCTGGTATACTTTTGTGACTCTTGAACTAATGTTTGTAGAGCCCATTACGGTTGTGTTCTTGACGCACAAAAGTTTTATAATGTTTGTAATTGCTAAGTTAAGTTAACATATGATTTATGAGTTAAAATAAGTTTTATGTTCATGGATAGTTCTATAAATAGATAACATGAATGAGAAAGCAAAGGCTAAGAATAAACTTATCAATAAGTTTATATTATGTACAAAAAGTCAGAACAAGTAAGAGATAGCATTCTAAGTTTTATGATGGCTGCGCTTCTCTACCATATCCATGACAACATAATAGGGACTTGCCTTATCTGGCTTAGTCAGCATCATTTCATAATTACCTTTATCATGAACATAATTGTTGTGATTTTTCACAAGTGCAGTTACATTATTTTTAATTTCCATGATCGACTTGCTAATAGTATCGTAATAGTCATGAGTTTCATTTTTGACAGCGTCATATCCAGCAAAGTCTTCGCTACTATTGCTATTTTCTTCGAGAAGGGCAATAATTTCAGCAAGATTTTTTTCTGCTACTGTGAGTTCGTTAGTTATACATTTTAATGTTTTCTCCATTTTCAAATCAAATAATGGCTCCTGGACAGTGAAATCACTCAATGTTTTCTTGAAGACATCATATGAGGGGAGTTCAGGTACACCAATTGATGAAAATGTTTTGAATCGCAGATCATGCAATAATTTTCTATTTGAAACAATTAATTTATTGCCAATCTCTCCATCAATTAACTGATAAGATCTCAATATTGCAAACTGCAACACTTCCCCCAAACACAAAGCCCTATGAATTTCACATTTCTTTAGTAATAAAGACAATGTACATGTGCTTTCTTTTAAGTCAGGCATTATACTGTCCATTGCATGACGATATTGTTTTCTTACATTCTCTTTTTTTTCGCCAGCTTTCAACTTTTTCATTTTTTTGTTTATCGCATAAATGCTATTCATTTTATCAGACACCAAATTTATTAGCTTCTCGAGGCAATCCTTTAGATGAAGCTGCAAGCAATAACAATACCAATACATGGAAAATGATTCATATGGCTTGTATATATCTAATTCGAAACCTTTTAAAATAAATTCAGTCATTGCAGTGAGCTTCATGATATAAACCCACGACGCACAGACATAAATAAAAACAGATCCCTCTTCTTTATCTCCCGTAACTGTATCAATGTCTGCCTGTGACACTGAAATATCAGAACTCTTGGATTCTAATTGTGCTTGCAACGAATCCCATAACAAAATTTGTCTGTTGTAACCCTGTCGATATCTACAGGTATTCTGTGCGGCATTTTGATAGAACTCAAGAAGAACATTGCCAGCTTCCTGTAATATGCCTTGTAATTCATAATCTATAGCTTCTCCGATAATCCAGTCTCTTCCCGATATTTCTTTAAGGTGCATCTGAAGAAAATCGATGATTGAATGCTTATTAAGAATTGATTGATCCGGCTTAATCAATATTAAAGAGAACAATGCCCTTGCAAGAACATGTTTTTGACTCAATTTGTTGAAATAAAGTGCAAACGTAAATATATCCTTAGCAGTATTCAAAGTCTTCAGCTTATTAACCAACTTAACATGTTCTGAAATAATGATATAACCCGCAAAGTTAAACTTGGGCTCTATTAATTTCTTTGGTGGAAATTGGTTCGTTAACTTTCTTTGGATACCCATCGAAAAAGCACCCAAAGGTGGCGGAATTGAAAAAGGTCCCTGCTCAATGAGTGACTTTGCTGATGTCTCCAACACGTTCAATAGTTGCTCCCCTTTCTCAGAGGAACAATCGACTAGATATTCGAATTTTACCAAAGTTTCGGTAACATTCAACAATAATCGTAGTCTATTGATTTTGGAATCATGGCTGGGCATAGTATCCAACAAATTATCTAAATACGTTCTACTTACCTCCAATGCACGCAATGATTCATTTATACCCGGAAGCATACTAAAGTTATTGAGTCCCATGTGGTTGAAATTTAGATCTTCCTCTTCAAATATAACTCCCGCGGTGAGAACTTTATACATAAATCCCATAAAATTGCACACTCCAATAATTATACTGTTCAACACTTGGTCATAAAATGGATCGCCTGTCTCTAAGCAGGTTATGTCGTTTTGGTCTGCATTCTCATCCATCATGTAGTATTTCAGTACGTGTTCCACATATATGCAACTCAGTACAGTTGTCGGCAGAGATTGATAATCATTAAGCCATGAGATGATTGATCTCAAAAGTCGATCTGATATAGCTATCACTATATCCAATTTGCTGGGATCATCCGTGCTGGCATCAAGCTCCTCCCCATACGCCACACCAACATCAAATTGCAACTCCTCTGGTGTCAATTGTATCATCGTTGAATCCAGTTTCTCGTTATTCACCTCCAATGAGTGTGTCCCATCAAACAAGTTAAACTTTGAATCTTTCACAATAGTCTCGGGCTTCAACTTCTTGCCCATCTCCATAAACAGTGCAGTGACATCCACAAGTCCATCACGCACCGTAGGCGTTTCTAGGGACAAACTCTCCATTGACGCCCCCAGTTCTCTCATACCTCACTTCACCTTATATTGACAAATGAGAAACCGAAGGCCAACACGCAAAACGATACCTTTATTACTACTTGTGCCAAATTTGAAGTCTTATGAAGTCCAATTTGGAATTTTTCAATGAAATTTGGACTTTTTCACTTATAGAGACATCGAATGAGATGTGATTATTGAGTCTCTGTGCGGGAGTTTCTGTGAAAAATCGGCATTCTAGGTCCCTATTTCAATTTTTTTGTCAAATCCTCGAGGAAATAGCTGCAACTCCATATTAATCATCAAGCATTATATAAGATGCTGTAGTCGCTGTAATAACGTTAGGGCTTGCGACTTGTGCTAAAATAAAGGCAATACATAGATAGAACTGGTAAGGCTTTTTATTCCGTATTTGGATCAACTTTGACTTTTGAGTGTAACCCAGCTGACAGTATTGTTCAAAGAGTTTAGCGATGCTGGTAGCTAATGTGCGTGCTTTGCGGTGTTTAAGACCGCAATACAACCGGATAACAACGCTGCTGTACAGGTTTAATCATACGGAGGCGGTGTCAATACCGCTCAAAGAGTATAAGCGGTTAGTGAAGATCGGCACACTCCGAGACGATGAGTATCAGAAAGGCATAATTAGCTCACTGGGCCACCTATATGATTCTCTAGTTAACTATAAACCGCCCGAAGTAAAAACTCCTAGTGCTTTGGATCAGCTGAGTCTCATGAACTCACTGAAATCTAAACTCGGATTCTTTGGTAAGGGCTCCTCCCAGGATGTTTCTAAGATACCAAAGGGTATATATCTATATGGTGATGTTGGATGTGGTAAAACAATGCTCATGGATCTATTCTACAGTGTGCTGCCACCACACTTGACCAAGAGAAGAATTCATTTCCATCAGTTCATGCAATATGTTCATAAAAGATCTCATGAAATTATTAAAGAACAAAACCTTGATGCCTTAGGGAAGGCAAAGGGGCGCGATCTCGACAGTATACCATTTCTAGCAGCGGAAATTGCACAAACATCTCATGTTCTATGTTTTGATGAGTTTCAGGTGGCTGATGTTGCTGATGCAATGATATTGAGAAGGCTGTTAACAGCATTACTCTCCCCAGAATACGGTGTTGTTCTCTTCGCTACTTCTAACAGGCCTCCTGATGATCTTTATATTAATGGTGTTCAGAGAAAATCATTCATACCATGTATTGAATTGATTAAAGAGAGGACAGAAGTGATATTCTTGGATTCACCAATTGACTATCGTAAGATCCCCAGACCTATCTCTAACGTCTATTGCTACCCTAAACACGATGAAGAATACTTTAGCCATGAATTTGAAGTTATAAGAAAGACCCATATCCAAGAGTGGTACAGCTACTTTGCACAAGACTCGGACTCAAAAAATCCTGATGGCACCAACTTACACGGTCAACAAACTTTCAATGACTACAAATTGTCCATTTGGGGTAGAGAATTGAATGTTCCAAAATGTACACCCCCCAAAGTTGCACAATTCACTTTCAAAGAGCTTTGTGGACAACCACTTGCTGCAGGTGACTATTTGACTTTAGCAAGCAACTTCAGATCCTTCATTATTACCGACATTCCATATCTGACTATTTTCGTTCGTGATGAAATAAGGCGTTTTATTACATTCTTGGATGCTGTATATGACAATGGTGGGAAGATAGCAACTACCGGGGCAGCTGATTTTACCTCCTTGTTTGTCGAGCCAGATCAACTTATTAATGATTATAAGTTAAAGGAGCAAAAGAAACAAGATGGGTTTGAAGAACAGGCTATTGAGAATGATGAACTTGTGGAAAAGCATGGCTTTTCTAAGGAGATTGCACAGAAATCAAAGATATTTGCTCTAGATGAAGAGAGATTTGCTTTTGCTAGAGCGCTAAGTAGATTATCTCACATGAGTTCATCTGACTGGGTATCTAAACCATGAAACGATTACAATAATCAGAAAATTCAAATTCATCATGGCTTCTTAAGTTTCCATTCTCTTAACAAGCAAAGGACGGTCTTATGATTTTATCATAAAAATATATGTATTTATGTAAATACTATTAGTATTATCTAACAAGTGCAGTAGACATTAATAATAATATTCTACAAAGAGATTCTAAATTATGAAAATAATTTTATTTTGTCTATTCTTTAAAAACTATTAGAAATGAAATATATAGTATTGATAATAAAGAATCAACAACAATAAATTACGAATATCATTACGATCAGGATCAATAAAAAGAGTTAGCTTGCAAAAAGAGGGTGTATTAATATGTTGAAATAATATGTGAATCAGTCGACGAACTTTTGCCGACATAACGAAATGGGAAGGAAAAAGATAATGAGTAAAAATTAAATGAAACTTAAAAGCGGAAAATAAAAAACAAAATGAAGATTTTTGACAAGTGGATTTTTGTTAAATGCAGATTTATTCCTTGGACTTACGTCTGAAACGGGTGGTGGCACCCTTGAACCATTCGTAAATTGGATCGTCGTCCTTGGCGTCGACGTATTCGCCCTCGGCAATGTTGTCGTGTGCGACCTTGTCAGTTAGACGAGCATCTCTTAGACATAGAGAGAAGATTAACAGAGGTGCACAGAAGACCAGGGCAACAATTGTCTCCAGTCTTTGAACATATCTGTAAGCTTGAACGACAGCTTGTCTTTCTGGGGTGTCCCATGTGTATGTAACAATGAACTTGTATGGAGAAGCGTATGCTTCAGTAGCCAATGCAGCGTCACCAACACGCTTTAGTAGTTGCTTGTATAGAGTTTGAGTCCAGATAGCACCGGACACGGCAGCACCAACAGCGGAACCGATTCTGTAGAAAGTATAGTTCAAAGCAGTGACCGTAGCCATGTGTTCGTGAGATGTAGCTGCTTGCACAGATACGTTAACTGGGTAAGTGAAAAGAGTAGTACCCACACCCCAAACACAAAGAGCACCAATGATACCACTGTGAGACTCAGCACCACCTCTGTAGTGGTATAGTAGACCCATTGCAAGCATCCACAAACCACAACCACAGATGATGAAAGGTTTTAATCTACTGAATCTTGTAATCAATAGCGAGAAGATAGGCGAACCAACAGTGGAGACAAATGTTGATAAGGAACTGATTCTAGTAGCGGACTTGACAGATTCATTAACACCAACGATCAAAACGGTGTACAGGTAGTCAGCAGCCATGTAGTAAATGAAGTCAATCAAGAAAGAAATAGCAAATGAGGCCCAGACACCACGGTCCTTAACCAGCTTGTATGGAATAATTGGGTCTCTAGCGAACTTGTATTCCCATAGAACCAAAATTGGAATCAATACGAAACCTAGAACGAAAGGACCAATGACGTGGGAGTTGTTCCACTTGGACTTAGTACCACCAGCCAAGGTCAATGGGACTAGGATACAACCTAGAGAGATAGTCATGATGAAGACACCCATGGCATCGATCTTCCAGAACAATTCAACAATGGTGTCCTTTAGACCGTGCTTTTGGTAGAAAGTCTTCTCCTTTGAAAGTTCTTGCCATTCTTCAGTCTTTCTAGCCAACCACCACATGTGAATCATGACACATAGCAATGGAACACATGATAGAGGGAAGATGAAAGCCCACATACCGATATCCCATGACCAGTTCTTCAATGGGTTAGCTCTAGAGGTAACGTTACCAGAAATCCATGTGTTAATGATAAATGGCCAAGTTGGGACGAATTGGTAGACCAATCTCCATCTTAGAGAAGAGAAATCTGACAAGATCAGCAACAGAACCAAGATGACACCGACGTAACCAGTGTTGTAAAAGATGGAACCGGCAGCATATCTTTGGACATCGTAGGCTTGCGACTGAATGATGGTACCAACTGAGTAAAGCACAATAGAGACACAGAACAATGCAAATCTACCGTAAACGTCAGACAATCTGGCGTAGACAATTTGCGAGGCAGCACTGATGACTGCATTGATAACGTTAATGGTGGATAGCAAAGAGTGCTGAGCATAAGAAGAAGTAGCGTAACCAGTGTAGATGTAACGGGTGTTACCATCTAGACCGTAACCGTAACCACAGACAAAAGCAGTGAACAACAGAATAGCATGGTAGTACCATTTGTCGTAGACCTCGGCCATGATTTCAGTCTTTCTGATAATAATGTTCTTGACACCGGTCATAGTGCGCTGTTGCTCAGTCTGCTCGGCCATCTTCTCATCCATCTCTGACTGAGCAGTAGAGATCTGGTCGACTTTAGAGAATTCATTGATCACCGGAGATCCGGATCCCTTCTCATCTTCGTAATCCTTGTCGGAGTTAGAAGGATAAGAGTTGTTTCTTTGAATCTCTTCCATGTTAGTCATATCTGAGTCCTTCATCCTTTTGGTTTGTGTTTCTTTCCGTTTACCAATTGATAGAACCAGAAATTCTACAACAAAAGATCAACCATTAAGACCTCATTTATATATCTCATTTAGGATTAGTTGAACAAGAATTGCAGTCTTTTTTTTTTTCTTTCTTTCTTTCCATTTCACAATCTAAGGCGATGAGCTTAGCTATTCTTATTATAAACAGCTACCGTCTTATTACGACTTTGCACTAAAACACCAGCACAAAAATAAGTCATGTTGCTTTCCAAGTCCCAACTTCAATTTTTCAGTTTTGCAGTTTTGCATTGCAGTTTTGCAGTTTTTCACCTTTTTTTTTGTCAAAATTTGCTAATTTTCTCGGTTTTTCCTCATTGCAAGGCTAACCCTCTCATCCACTATCCAAAGTTTTGGCTCCGAGGAAGTCCCGAAGGAAGGAACTTTGAAGTTTGGTTCTCTGTGTGTGTGTCTCTCTCTGTGTGTGTGTGTTTCTTAGAAGACCTAGGACTGTTCTGTCCGGTGAGAGACAATCTTCGAAGCATAAAAAGAAGGTGCAAAAGTATGTGACACTGCGTCAGTTTCTTAGGTAATGTGGTCGTTTTCTCATATAACTTCTCAGATCCAGTTTTGTACTTTTATTTTTCTTTTCTTGCTGTATGAATGTTGCACCGTAATCTCTACTAATTGTGCGCACACATCTGCAATTTTTTTTGTGGGGGGCCGGGTGTGTCCCGCAAGACCCAAACAAAAATGTAAGATAGCGTTGTACAAAAAGGCGTAATTCGATTTTTTTGGTTTTTTCAGTTGTATACCCTGTACTGCCTGTTCTACTACACTTTTGAGAGATCGTCTTTTGTTTCTTTTGGTAGCGGGGGGAGGGAGAACCACTCAGAGATAGAGGTAGAAGATCCATATACTTGCTCTGGTAAAAAAATCTGGCCCTTGGAACTTAAATTTGGTTTGTCTGTGCACGATTGCTTCGCTTCTGTATTCTACCCGTGCTTGTGCGTCACTGATCTGCCTGCTTTTCTTCGTATCTTTCTTCTAACTGTCAATCATTGCACGTAGCTTCTATCTCTTGGGGAACCTTTCTTTTTTTTTATATCCCAAATACCACCCCGTCCGGATGCTGTCAGTGGGTAGGGTGTTACACAGGAATGCAGCACACCCTCAGCCTCTGAGCCATGCCAATTACGGGGGGACGGTGCTTTGTGCCGTATATAGTACCTGAACTATGTAGATGTGCTGGCATTTCTCAGCAAACGTGTTTTGATATATTTTTCTTGATTGGTCTCCCAGTCTCGGCTCTCCCCAAAACGGTGATTCAATAACAACTTAATCGTCCCCCTTAGGGTTTCTTCGGAGACTTCAATTCTCTGTCAACCCATTGTACAGCTCCTTCTAAGCGTGTCCTTTCATCTCTGATTGTGGTGCTCAACTCATATAATTGCACCTGTGTTATTTCCCAAATGAGAAGCAATTTTAATCTTCTTTGCACCCATTTTTTTTTGTTCTTCCAGTGCTTGTTCTTCTACTGTAGTTTAATGTTTAATGTGTTTGGGAACAAGTTGTCCCGGTTTCTCCTCATTCGTGCGGATGATTGTCTCTAGTAATCTGTCCTTGCGGGTGTCAAAAAAAAAACAATGCCGAAAGAATTGAAGGCAGACCTGAACGATAACAAATGTCGAAGCGAAGTGGTAAGACTATCCGTATTCCGTGTAGCTTCCGTGTAGCTTCCGTACCTATTTTTGACCATTTGCACAATTAAGGCTTACAACTGGCCCAGCCGCTGAAACGCTGAAACGCTGAGACACTGAAATACTGCAAGGTAACAGAGACAAGACGAGTGGAAGGGAATATTCGGCATTAATCTCCGTGCCTCATCTTCAACAATTTTGGTCCGATTACGAAATCAGTCTGATCTCTCTTGTTCCTGATATTTGCTCTTAAGTGGCCCTACCGCACCGAGCCAATGACGTACCGCCGTGCCTGGTCAGCTCCTCTGTAGAGCAATTCATTTGATCGGCTCGTCGTACTTTTTAACCTTTCGTAGCTTCTGTATGCCATTGGCTAGGTACTAAACGTCTGAACATGGTATCAAAATGAGCAAATTTCACAAAAACACAGCCAACAGATACTGATGACAGGAAACATTTATCGGATAAGCGATACCAATGAGGCATTTCATTTTTTTTTGGTAGATCATATATAAAAAGCAGGTGCATTCGACATAGTTTCTTTGTACATTGATAGTTTAAGCTTTTCCTCTTCTCTTAGTAATTGTGATGTCAACGCCAACCTATCATTAGCAACTGTTGTTATCTCACTATGCTCGCATACATCTAACAGCCACACACACTCACACGACAGCCTCGTTGACTTCCAGAAATTCGTTCCTTTCTTTTTGAGGCGGGTAATATATATACACACACCTGTTCTTGTCCCCGCGGATTGTATTTAGTGCTACACATGTCCTGGCTGATGGCCCACGCCGTAACTTAGCCGCTTTCTCTTAACCCGACTGTACTTGTAGTGCATGGATCCCGTGTATCATGCTACAGCACAGGGGAAAAATCATTGCAGATATCTGTGCCCAAGTGTAAACTTAGAAGTACCTGATATTTGGGCGGCTAAATATTTACAACCACATCTTGTAATAACATATTCAGCACAACAAGGTAATCAACTGCGTTTGTTGTGAACGGAGTGTACTTGGAAAATCGCCCTGCTACAGACAAAAACTACTACGTTTGGCATACAATATTGCGTGTGGCCTACCCACCCGCCTAGTGTTTGATGTGCCAACTGTGCATGCCACCATTCACCCCTCTTCCCCCCGCCAAAAGAAAGATAAAAAAAAAAATTAAGTTAGGGGACAGGTGCAAAACAAAAACGTATATAAACGCTGTCTACCCGCTGTCTACCCAATCCTGCCATTTCCCATACCTATGCTTCTCAGTTCCCAGTCTTGATCATGTGATACAATACGTGATACATGATATTCAGGCTTTTGCCCTCTGAATCCTCTCTGCGCAATGCAAGTGATGGATGGTACCGTATTGCGATGGGGGAAACTCAGAGATGTGGCAATTCAGCTTGGCATTGCGCATCTTCTCAAGCTTATATTATACTGGAAACATATATATTACACCAAGACCTAAAAATTAAAAATTATAGAGAAGCCAAAAACGAGAATAAAACTATGAGCGATAAGTTGGACGGGCTATTGGCCTGGGCCCGGGAGAATGGTGCACAACTGAGAGAAGATTGCTTGGAGTACAACTATGACGAGAAGAAAGGTTACCATGTCTTGATCAAAGATATAGATGCCTTGTGGGAGTTTAAGGATGCCGGTGTTATTACGGTTCCAAGAAAGCTATTTATAACAAGACAACTGGCACAACAGTACTTCAAAATTAATGACCAAAAGCTGTCCACTAAATACAACAATAATCCAAACGGTTTAACAGAGTTCTTCCTGTCATATATTACCTTTACGAAGGAGAACGAGTATGAATTCTTTCGGCCTTACATAAATATTCTACCTAAATTGAACTCAATGAGAATCCACCCATTTTTTTGGACTAAAGAAGAGTTGCAATTGATAAAGGGATCTGACCTGTTCTTAACAATAAAGTTCAAATTGCTTGCATTATATGATGAATATAGAAACTACATGAAACTTTATGAATTTGGAAATGGTGACCTGTCAATCATAAATGGAGATATACAGCTATCAGATGATGAACTTTTCGCTATAATTGAGCATTTACAACACATCTTGAAGAAATCGTCGGACGCCATCGAATGGACATCTTTTGTTGCATATGTTTGGTCAAACCTTATTTTCTTTTCAAGAGCATTCCCTAGTTTAATCACTGGTGAAGATAAAAAGGAGCTAAACTTAGCATTCCTGTTGCCAATTGTGGACTTATTAAATCATAATAATACTACTAAAGTTAGCTGGAATTACAGCGATGACACATTTAATTACACAAATAAGGACCTGGCATACTTGAAAAATGGTGATGAATTGTTCAATAACTACGGTGAAAAATCAAACGTAGATTATTTAATCAGTTATGGGTTTTTAAACTCTCAGGAAAACATTCACAACAGTGTTAACTTGACGTTGAGACTTGACCCAACATTCATAAGTCAAGCAAAAGAACATGTGGAAAATCTAGAAATTGTCTCTAATGATACCGTCTTATTCAAGATAAGTAAAAACGACCCTCTTCCTGTCTCTTTAGTACATTTCTTCGGCTACGTTACAAAACTAAAATCGGAGGAGCATATTACCTTAAGGTCTATTCTAGAGGGGTCAGATCAATTGATTAATATCTTAAAGCAAAAGCTTGAATACTCCAAGGAAAAGGCTAAAATAAGCTCTAATTCTGTACACAGTTCTGTGGGTAAGATTATAAAACAGTATTTTAATGAGGAGAAGAAATTGTTTCAGTTCAGTTTAGATTCCTTGTTGAAAAAGCAAAAAGACATAATCAGTGCTGCCAAGGATAATATTGTCTCTTTCAAGTCGATTTTCAAGTCTGATAAAGTCTTTGCGAACAGTTTGCTGCTATCTTACGGTGTAACTAAATATGAAGATATTCTAGCTAAGGATATGGCAAACGAAGCATTATTGTTATGGGTCGTTAGAGCATCAAACAAAGACGCATACAAAGACGGGTTACGAACTGTCAATATTCCACCATTTGTTTTAGAAACATTTGAGGAGATCTCAAGAACTATATCTATTGCAAAAGACGATGTTACTGAGTTTTTGTCCATATATAAGAGGCTATTTCCAAGTCTGGGTGATAAAATTCCAGAGGTATACAAAGTTGGTGAATGGGGTATTAAACAATTTATTATTGCTGATGCTTTGATTGATAGACTTGTATGGGTCAGAGACTCGAATTCTGAACCTCTCTTTATACAGAAATTAACCTTCCAGTAAATCCTCCGAATTAATTGCATAACGAGCATATATAGATGTACGCATATAGATACTTACTAAAATGTGAACAGTCATATCACCTTATGATCTGGATGTATATATTTTCACTATGTGTAAAAGTTAATATATGGTATAAGAGTGATAGTTTATTATGTTTTTATAAAAAACGCATTATATAATGTTGTTTGTTCATTGCTTATTCATTTAATTATGTAAAAAAGCTTAGTGAGAACCAGCACCTCTGCTAACCTTCTCTAGAACAGCTTCATAAGAAACTTCGGAGAAATCAGTACCTTGAATCTCAATAGCAACACCGTTCAAGGCTCTCTTCAAAGCATCCTTGGATGAGGCGTACACCATCTTTGGTCTCACAGAAGCAGTGTCTGGGGACCAAGTGAAGAAAACAATCTTTGATCTCTTACCTTCACTTTCAGAGATTTGGTATTCGAAATCGTAGACGGCGTATAGACAGTCGTTTTCTGGTAGTTTCTCCAAGAAAGCATCGTAAGATGGGTCAGAGGAGGTTTCCTTGACAACAATTTCGGTCTTAGCATCATTCAAACTGAACAAGACGAACTTGTACTTCATACCTAGCTTCAAGTCATTGAAGGCTTGTATGGATTCATCGGCAACGGCAACACTGTATTAATCAGTTGACAAATCATTGAATTCAAACTGGCAGCTTCGTGTAGCAAATATAAGTGATTTCGGGCACAATTTTGTTAAGTCAACTCGAACTTAACGGTTTTCCTTCATCGAAAACAATTTTGCTTTAGTTATTCAAGCAACTATAGCTCCATAATGGTATTTCCAGTTAAAAATGGATATCTATAATCATAAAGAACCCTACTTTTGTTAAATATCCATCTTTAATATTGTTCTCTTCAACAATTGTGCATTCCCATCATCAGTAATACATTTATCACACAAACTGAGTTTTGATAACATCATAGATTTAATCAGCATTGTTAGTATCAATTAGTTCAACAGAATTTAAAATACTTCCTAGCAGTTCCATAACAGTATCTTCATTGCGTAACCACAGCAATTATCGTTATCTAAGTAGTAAAAATGCCTACTACTACTGCACAATTGAGACGTGTCATTATTACATACCCTGATCTGGACATTTTGTTATTAGTTTCTTTGAAGTTGATGTGATTTCTTTCTAACGTACTTATAATCCAATTGTTACTAATTAGTATGCGCCAAAAGCAATCTGAACTACACTTTGCTTATTCCAATTGGTATTTTCGCAATTGTTTAGTGCAACATCCAGCTGTAAACTCCTTAATTCGCCTCTTCGAGTTGTGAGCTTCGATAGTACTCGTCTGCTGGTATGTTTAGCATGATTTACCATTTCCGTAAATCATGACTAGTATAAATAGTTAACTCACTATTCAATAGTATTTTGCTTAGTGGATTATATTTAATTTACAAGTATAAATCGTGGTTCCCAGTGTGTAATTAGTAGATATTCTTATTTTAGTCAGTGAAATTGGCTTCCAGTTTTGACAAAGTACTCTTGATCAATTTCTCTGTAGATGCTGGTTTTGTCTTGGGTTTTACTCTCTGGTAAAGACATACTGTCGCATCGAATTCAGCGATATACTTCTTGTAAATACATTCACTGAAAGATGGTACATGATGTTCTTCAAGAACAGAGGTAAAAGCTATCGACATAGGTGTACAATAACGGATGAGGCCTTGCATTTCATGGGTCATCGAATTATTACAAGTTATAACCAGTTTAAAATCTCTTGTATCAGACTTGATCTTTGACCTATTTGATTTATCAGTGGAAAATCTGTTTTCATACATCATATTATCACACTTTAATGTTAGTTGTATCATTTCTAAAATGCTTTTCCCCAAAGACAATCCTTTTTCATTTACTGGAAATTGTCCAGTGACCTGAATATTATTTGTGGATATCTGCTTGACCATATAATTTGTCATCACGGGATGGAACACATTAATTATCTCAGGGTTCCTCAAAAGATGTTGGTAAAGTGCCAATATTTCTGCAGCTCTAGAATATTTGCAGCCTTCCTTGACAGCAAAAAACTGATCGGTGTCCATTTTCATTTCACTGGCCATGGTATGGGTATGAATATTTAGGTCATATATAAACGCTTCCAATTCAGTCTTATATTTCAATACGTCTTCATATATCCTAAAGTTTGTTCTGTTGTATTTTTCACATAGTTCCTGATATCGGCCTGCGATGAATATGTCCCATGGCTTCCAATTTATTGACAATAAATCAATAATTTTTCTATCTTCAATATCTCTTTTCCATTTTTTTGTCGTCCTCAGTATTTTAGAGTAAGCTGAAAAGGCAATATAATGTTTTAGGAATTCCTCCGATATCAATTGCTCTCTAAACGCACCTGAGAATAGTACACTTCTTATAATGTCAGCTGGGCATGTAGGGTCGTTCTTAGCGTCATCAACCCAGAGTTTATAATAACGATTAGATAGAGCTTTAACCTTGTCAAAAGTATTGACATCGTCAATGTTATCCATTCTAACTTCAACTTGTACTTTCTCATTCTTGTGCCACTCCGGTATATTAGTATTACTTATCAGATGATTGTATTGGCCTCTAATACTATCAGTGTCTAGGATTGATGATTGATAGAGGGAATATGTTTTCCATAAGGGGTCTTTTGGGAACGCTTGTCTATGTTCTTCAATGAAGTATGGAAACAGTCCAATAGCATTATATCCTTCAGGAATAAGTTCTGGAGATCTAGTCAATGGCATTTCATTGCCTGTTATTGGGTTAATGAATCGTATCCTCTTTAAATCATCCTCATTCAGGTGTTGTAATATATTATCTCCAATTGCTACTCCTCTACAAAATTCAGAGAATTCGAATTTGGGCCACAATAGTTCGTCTATTTTGTGCGCATTGTCCTTTGAATGTGCTCTGATGGCCTGGTAATATCTAAAACCCAACTTAGTGCTGTATGTATCATTCAAGGCATGTATAGGATCATCATTATCATTGAAAAGATTACCATCCAACGGATGTAGCATTAAACTTGCAATTCGCTTCCAGTTATCACGTAGAGGAACCAACTTTCGCCTCAATATGGCTGAATCGCTAACTAATTGAAACTTTGTATTTTCATCAGCAACCAAATCAAAGAGCAAAAGCTTGCGCAAATCGGTAAGACTCGATCTCTGTAGATTGGGGTCCTTTATTCTAAACCACTCAGACTTCAGTTGGTTGCTTCGTACTCGATTCACTGACCGTTTCTCATCCAGTATTGCATTCTTCAAATAATGAATTGTAGGCTTATATTTGAACCGAACATTGCTGGGCCGCCTTCTAAATTCAACCCAATAAGCATCAAGCAATTTCTTTAAGTCTTTGCTAGCCATTTACCGTAGTCTCGTCTATGTGGGCACTAAGTATCACAGCATTTATCCAACTACAACCGGATATCTGCAACTCTCTTCTATGAATCACAGCATTTTTCACCGGGGAAGGCCATTGCCCAAGGACGAAGCATTTCCACCGACCAAAACATAAATTACACAGTAAATGACTTTAAGAAACACCAATACTATAAAAGTATATAAAAGAAGAGTATTGTCAAGGAGACGCCAATATTGAATGGACATAGTTCCGTCAATATATTGTCATTGTATTGTATCCAGTATCATACATTCTTGGATTGAGTCAGAGGCAATTTAGATACCCTGTTTTGCCAATGGCCTTCCAACAGCTTTCTATTTGCTAAAGACATTCAGGTATGTTATAATTCGATCTCGACTTAAGAGAGCAACTGCCCGCATGTGAACAATAAATAGACTATGATCGCCGTCAATCTAGCTAACATATCCACAGTTCTTGGCTTTCAAGGCATCGGCATCCTAAACTGTGTCTTCTTAAGTGATGCCTTGAGACAATTCCAGTTGATCACTGATCACTGATCACTGATCATTGATAAGCTATTGAACAGCCACACACAAACACCAAGCAGGAGAGAACTGGGAGGGATTTATTGCTGATCAACGAGCCTTGATCTCACAGTTTTTTTTATTGATAGGCCCCTTCTCTCGAGGATGACTAATGATTAGGATCAGATAATCGGAGTCGCTGTTAATAACATATATAAGAAGGGAGCTTTGAAACTGCTACTCTTGCACAATGATAGCAACACCGATGTAGAACCCAACAATTCAACTTGTTAGAACCAAAATAAATTAAAATGAGTAAGGATCACGAAGTGGTCCCTCTACTGTACGATAACGACCTTGAAGTCGGGTCATATGAATCACTGCCGAGAGAGGAGAAGTACCTTGATGAGCATGAAGTACCCCAAGGGAGACATTTAGGCATTTTCTCAACAACTGTGCTATTTATTTCCAGAATGGTTGGTTCTGGTATATTCTCCACGCCAAGCAACATATTTGTAAGCTGTGGCGGGAACTCATTCATATTTTTTACAGTATGGCTCCTGACTGCACTGTTTGCCTACGCTGGCTTGTACATATTTCTGGAGTTTGGTTATCATTTGCCTCGGTCTGGTGGTAGAAAAGTATTCCTGGAACACTCTTTTACACATCCAAAACTTTTGATGAGCGTTACTGTTGCGTGCTACTCTATATTCTCTGGAGTGGCGTTGTCTGGGTCTGTCGTATTTGGTAAGTACTTCCTAGCAGCTATCGGGTATGGCTCTGAGACTTACAACGCTGGTAACACTTCAAAATATATCAGTATCGGATTCGTAGTGCTGGCCACTGCAATTCATGGAATTTCAGTAAGAAGTGGAATATACATCCAAAATGCACTTGGCGTTGTTAAATTAATGCTTATACTAATGATGTGTCTTACTGGATTTTACGCTATAATGATATATGATGCTCCTACGGTAACGCAATGGGACAGCCCATTCTTCTCTTTCCAGGACAAGTCGGCATTCTCTTTAAATTCTCTGGCATCCGCCTTTATCAGCGCATTCTTCTGTTTTGCCGGATGGGATAGTGTTCACTCTGTGACTTCAGAGGTTAAAAACCCAGCTAGAACGCTTAAAATCTCTGGTTTATGCTCTCTAGCTATATGTGCTCTATGTTATACTTTAATGAACGTGGCATACACCAAGGTTCTATCTTATGAAGAAATTGCTAATGCTGGTCCATTAGTAGGGTCTGTTCTATTCAAAAAACTATTTGGTGCTCAAGTTGGTGGTGCCCTAATGACCGGTTCTGTGGCTGTATCTGCAGCATCTAATGTTATTGTTGTGATATATGGAATTTCAAGAGTTAACCAGGAAATATTCAGAGAGGGTTACTTACCCTTCAGCAAGGTACTTGCTAGAAATTGGCCTTGGGATGCCCCATTGTTTTCACTACTAACTTGTGCCTTACTGACTTGCACTTGGATAATTATCTTACCTAGCGAAGGGTCGTCGTTCAATTACTTGATTTCAGTAGAGGGTTATGGTAACCAAGTTTTCCTATTGTTGGTTGCTGTCGGTTTGCTGCTATTTAGAAGACAAAAGACATACCAAGAACACGATAACAGTATAAAGGCTTCTACTTTAGGTGTCTACTCAATGATTTTATTATGCACCTACTTAGTTGTAGGACCATTCTTTGGCGATCAATCTGCCAACAAGATAGCTTTTCTTCCACCATATGAGGTTGCATCTGTTGCAATTTTGCTTTCTTGTGTTTTATTCTGGTTTGTCAAATTTATCATGCTACCTTTCTTGTTCAACTATCGACTTGTTTCAAAAACCACAACGCTCTCAGATGGGCTACGTATTACGGAATGGAAAGCTTATTATTAATTTCAGTATATATCTGATTTGTTTATATGAGAGTATCTACTATGTATGATCCAAAGTAAGTAGTAATTATAGATTTTTACATGTTTGTGCAATATATCTTATACAACATTTTCCTGTATTCTATTAACCTACTTTTTAGTACCTTCATAAGAGATCATATAAGAATATAAATATTAAGTAATATTGAGCCGCCTTGTTACCTACTCCGCATTCATTTTTTTAACAAAGGCCTTTTTAGCTAAATCTATCAAAGTCTCAAGCTCACCACTTTGCTCACACATCGAGTAAAAATGACTGTTTTTATCCAACAATAAAGTATATGGCTGATCATATTCAATGACTTCACCAGCATCCATTACTAGAATCTTATCGTAATCTATAACTGACCTCAATCTGTGAGCAATTGTCAATACAGTACTCTTATCAAATACATTTCTAATAGTTTGCTGGATTTTTGCATCAGAGGCATAATCAATTGAAGCCGTTGCTTCATCTAATAAAATTACCTTCGGATTTCTCAATAATGCTCTAGCTAAACACATTAACTGCTTTTGACCTTGAGATAAATTATTACCTCCCTCCGTTATTTCATTTTCCAAATTCAAAAACTTGTTTACGTTATCAGAAGATAAGGAATTATTATCACTACTTTGAGCAGTCATTTCATCGTCGTCTATTAAATTAACTCTATGCAAAACTCTGAAAATCTCCTCATCTGGATATTTACCAAATGGGTCTAGATTAGACCTAATAGTACCAGTAAACAAGGTTGGATCTTGAGGGATGATTGTTATCGATCTTCTTAGTGTTTGTAGATCGATTGAAGTGATGTCTATTCCGTCAATTTTAATTGATCCCGTTTCTGGTTCTAAAAATCTGAAAAGTGCAGTTATAATAGTGGATTTACCTGCACCTGTACGGCCAACAATGCCAACCATGTTATGAGGTTCAATGTCAAATGAAACTTCTTTGATAACTCTTGGAAGATTTTCTGCATATCTCAGAGACAAATCCTTAACTTCAATTTTTCCTTCTGTTGGCCAATTGGTCGAAGTAGTGATAGTACCTTCGTTATATGGTTCTTGTGGAACATCCATGTATTCCTTTAGTCTTTCCACTGAATTCATGTTCATTTCAACCGTTGAATAGAATCTCACCAACCAAAGAGCGCCTTCAGTAAATGAAATAGCATACGTGAGAGAAATACCAGCCATACCAGAATCAATTCTATTTAAGTTTAATAGAATAAATACACCGGATCCAAAAATAATTAGAGCACCAATCATATCAATTCTGAAAGCTAGCCACCTATTGGCAACCCACAGGTAAAAAAATGGTTTATTATTTTCATCGATCTTTTCTAGATTGTGCATTATGAATCTAATCTCATCGCCAAATGCTCTAATTGTAGCAACACCGGTTAGTGTTTCTGAAAAGTGTTGATAAATTGGTGATTTTGTTATCGATTCTATTCTCTTGAGTTCTCTTGAAGTATTAATATAGAAGTAACCCACCAAATAATACAAAACGCAGACAAGAACAGCCACAAATAAGAATTGTGGGGTAATGAATGTAATTAATATTATTGTCGAAATGCATTGGACCAAACAGAAAAAGGCAGCTTCTAAAAAGGGAGTCAACTCTTGATCTACGGCTTCAATATCCTTGGAAAAACGATTCATAATACGACCAATTGGTGTGGAGTCGATAAATCTCAAACGAGAATGGAGTACCTTGGAAAGTAGTTTCTTAAATATTCTGCGTGAAGCATTGATGCCTGCAACAAAGTTGATAACGGTTTTAGTACCAGCAAACAAGGCTTGTGTAATACCTATAGCAAAGTAAATCGAAAGGTAGTACAATGTTGTATGGGTAGCGTTTTTTCCCTTCAATGGAGAGACATTTGAATTTAGATATGTACCAGTTGATAACCAATGCTGTTTCAGTTCCAATAAGGGAACATTAGTGGTGAATAGTTTATTCGTAGACCAGAATTGTAAACCAACTTTTAACTTTCTTGAAACCCAAGCCCTAACCCACCAAGATTGACTAATTTGGACCATTTGTGTCGTAATAAAGATTAATAACAAGAAACACATAATTTTCCAGCCACCAAAAACGTTCAAATACCATAAATAGACATCTTTCCCAACTACACCCTCCGATTTCGTCTCTTCCATGATCAATTTACCCTTTTTCAAATCAGGGTTTTCTGATTCTTCAGGTTTACGGGCATTGCTCTCGTCTGCCATTTTTCTAAGATCAGCGGAACTGTTAGCAAAATTTGAAGTAGAGTTATTACGAGAAAGAATACTACTCTTGACGAGCTCATCCTCTCCTAAAATTCCATCCTTTAATAATGAGATAGGATCACCTCTATTCGTAATTCTACCATTTTCTAGCATTACTACTAGTTCTGCGTTTTTCAAGGTTAGGGCAATGTTATGAGAGACTAGAACACAAGTCCTTCCTTCCATTAGTGGACCGGTGATACAATTATCATATATCCAGGCTGCAGTATGAGAATCCACAGCACTCAAGCAATCATCGAGAAGTAAGTGTCGACAATTGCTATAAAGTGCTCTGGCCAAAGATATCCTTTGTTTTTGGCCTCCTGAAAGTGTTATACCTTTTTCACCAATTTCTGTCTGGTCGCCAGCATCAAACAACTCAAAATCACGTTTCAAACCACAAGCAATAATTACCTCCTTATATCTATCCTCATTATAAGGAGAATAGAATAAGATGTTGTTTCTTACAGTATCATTCAAAAGCCATGCACTTTGAGAGCAATATGCTATCGAATTTGTCATACCATCACTATCGATTAGCATTTCATGACGCGCATCTAGTGATGGAACAACAATACGTCCACTCAACAGTTGCATCTCACCTAATAAAGCCAAAAGTAAAGAAGTTTTACCAGAACCTGTGGGACCAATTACGACATTCAATTTTCCAATCTTGAAGTTAATGTCCAAATCTTTCAGCTTGAAATCTTGGTTATTGTTACTCCACGCTATAGTTGCATTCTCAAAAGCTAGTTTATTACCATCTGGTGCAACTTTCAATTGGTTATACTTTTGAGTATCCTCCTCATCCAAAAAGTTTTGCACCCTATCTAAAGAAACTTTCGACTGAATAACATAACTTAGCATATTGGATAGTTGATCTAATGGTTGTTTTAATAGTTGGAACAAAGCAAGGGCTGTAAAGGCAACTGGCGCAGTTAATACTTGCTTTTGAACATATATATATACTGTGAAAGATGCACCAGTAACAATGGTAGGAGTTAAAAACCAAATGAAGGCAGAGAATGCCCATGCATATGCTTTATTAATATACATTTGAATCTCAGCTTCTCTAATTTCATCAATCTCACTAAAAAAGTTATCCTCCCATGAAAAAAACTTAATGATACGGATAGCTTGTAAAGCCTCGTTTAGTTTTTGAATACGTTTATCAGTGATGCCTAAAGCTTTTTTCTGATATTTTCCCATAAGACTTACTAGCTTGAAGTTTACAGGGATCATACCGATAACAATTAAGATACCAACAATTGCAGCGTACCCAAGTAATTTGTAAAGCAAAGAAAATGCCACAACACTCATAACCATGGCTTCAATAAATGTATGAAGGTATGCGCAAATTTCTGACACTTTAAATGCATCTACAGCCATCAAATTGATAATAGCCCCAATATTGGAAGTTTGATCCTTTTCTGAGCTTTCCTTGTCTCCATCATTAAGATTTGCAAGGGTGTCATTATCTTGATTGGCGTCTGCTTTGTTCGGTTCTTCATCACCAAATTTATTATTTGCGGCTACGCTTCTTCTCAGAGCTTTGGAATAGACTTCAGAGATGATAATGCTCTTAAGTCTTATACACACTCTTCTCCCAAAAAATAAAGCTTGAGCCTGGGTAATGGCAACAAATATCCTACAAGCTAGCATTCCAAAAACATAAAACCAAGCTAAGTTAGCAGATGCGGTGGTTGGATCATCAACGTACTCTAAAATTCTTTTTAGTAGAATTGTTGGGATAAAAGTTATAATACCATCAAGTGCAGCCCAAAACGCTTGTAGAAGTAAATATTTTGAGAAGAATATGAAAAGAAATGTTGAGAAATGCCTCTTAGTAGCAAATTTTTGTTTGAACCTATCGAATCTCTTTACCACAAACATCGAATAATCTTCCATGACTAGACCCCAAACGTCTCCTTTCTCTAAAGTTACTTGATGTGCTTTCCATACCATCTTATCTAACCAAGACCAACCTATGAATGTGGCGATGGAAGCGACAGGCTCTGGAGATGGATAGACACCTTCACCAGAATCATAAAGGATGGCGTGATGATTACCAATTCTGGCAGTGAACAGATTCAAGAACAATGCACCAGTAACAAAGGTTTGTGTGATATAATATCTTTGGAGAATTTTGTCGGTGATATTACCAATCAAGACAGAGCGGAAAGGTAGAATATAAGTGAAAAAAATAATCATATACGCAAAGAACGATACAGACCATAGGTTACCAGGGTAGAGATTGACCCATTTAACGTCATCATTAATATTTACTAATCTTGCTGCTACCACAAAGAGTAGGAAACACCATTCAATAAATAGAGCAGAACTTGACTGCTTCATGAACTCTTTTTTGGTACTACTTAAATGTAAAAATCGATACAACTGTAGCATCACTTCAAATCCCACCAGAAGAAATTCGATGATTACTCTGCTCTTTTCTAAAAAGTCCCTTTTGACAATAATTGGATTGCCATGGGGTCTACCATTAGTTTTTATTGGTTGAATTCTCTCTATGGAGAAATGCTTTTCCTTTAATGAATCATCACCACTGAAATATTTTTGTAGTGACTGATATTGTGACGTTTGTCTCTCTCTTGGTAGCAGAGGATCGACCTCTTCATGCTCACCTTGACGATTTAGTTCTTCCCCAAGTGCTTGCTCATCCAGTAGCAGCTCTTCTATCACAGAAGTCTTCTTCTGTTTGAGAATATCATATCGATAATAATGTCTAGCTATGTTTTGAACCACAAACATGGACAGCCCCAAGGTCAATACCACTGGTGCTACGAATTCAATATAATGAACTCTGCCATATTGAGTTATATCATCGAAATCCCAGAACTTCTGCAAACCTTTGTAGGTCCCGCGACTCATGTTTCCTGATATTCCCTCTTTGTTCAAACTAATGTTCAGCGCCAAGGAAGGTGGTTCAAAGCGGGGAATACTAGAAAACCAGACACTTACTCAAGATATATAATAGACCGGAACAATTGCACGGGTTAAATATGTGAGTTGTGTTATCGATTTGAGCAATTAGAGGTGTAATTTCAATCAGAAGGTCATCACCTGCACCGTGTTTTGACATCTAATGATTTTTTTTCCTTCAGTGACAGCTAGTGCCACCCATGCTGGAATTAGCAATCGGAGTATGTGATGAGCATCAAATATAAAGATGTTGGTTGAAAAATAAAGTAAAAAAAGTATAAATTAGTTTAATATATACACATCCAATTATTACATGTTAGCGTATTTGCATTCTTTTTCTTTTTTGGTATATTCCCTGCAGGGGTTGGTGAAACACTGCTCGTAATCCTATCAATCAATAAGAGCTCGAAGCAAGTCTTACACTTTGGAACAACAAAAAATATCTGTTCAGTTTGAGATGAAGGAAATGGTATTGAAGAGAATTCTTACTGTATCAAAAAACCAAATCACTTTCATATATGGATAAAAAAAAGGTTGCGGCAGATTTAAAGTAAAAAATCTTAGCAGTAGTAATAGTGGAGAAAATAAAAATGTAATAATAGTAGAGATAGGCAAAAATGTAAAAAAAAAAAACAATAACTCATTAGAATAGAAAGTGCAAAAAACAAAACCAACAGAAAATACTGGATCAGGAAGGGGGGACAGTTGATGCACTTGGATTTTTCTTCTTTTATTACACGTTATTCAAGTAAATGACTAACATTATTGACACAAAAAAAAAAATATGCAAAAACAATTTTATAGTTTGTGATGTCGAATAACAATCACATCGTTTCATTATACTAGCTTTTTTTTTATAACAGGGAAAGATAAAACAAAAACGAAAAAAAAATAATTAAGGGAGTGAACTGGGATCAGTAATTAACCTATTCTTGAGCTGGCTCTTCCTTAGCTTCTTCTTTCTCTTGTTGTTGTTCTTCTTCTTGGGAGTTTTCCTTTTCTTCCTGTTCAGGTTCATCTTGCTTAACAACAGCGACGTCAACGATCAGAGCTCTGTCCTTCAAGGTCTTGCCATTGAATTCGGAGGCCTTAGCGCTGATGTCACCAGTGAATTCAGCGTAAGTGACGAAAGCCATACCTCTGTTCAAAGTTTCAGATGCAACAAGAGCACCGGTCTCGTGATCTCTGCTCTTTCTCATAGGCATGGACACATTTTCGGCAGTGGTGCCGAATAAGGAGGCCAATTCCTCCTTGGTGGCGTCATAGGGGACGTTGTTAATGTACAAAGTGTCGGTAGATCTCTCTAGCTCGCTCAATGGCACTCTGTTTTGATTTCTACCTCCACGGAAACCGCCACGGCCACCTCTGAAGCCGCCACGGCCGCCACGGAAACCACCACGGCCACCTCTGAAGCCGCCACGGCCGCCACGGAAACCACCGCGACCGCCACGGAAGCCACCACGTCTGAATCTGCTCATGTTACGTAGCTCCTCCTGGGTTCTAGCCTTCTTGATGTGAATCTCTCTTTCCTTGACAACGGTTCTGTTGTACTTCTCCTTCAAGGCAGTGTAGTCGATCTGCGATGGGAATTTCACCAAAGCGTGCTTGCTGGCTGGAGTGTGTTCTTTGTGTTCCTTTTGAGGGATGTCAACTTGCACATCACCGAATTCCTCCTTGAAGATGGCCTCTATGTCCTCGGGACTACACTCATGGGCAACGTTACCAATGAAAATAGTATCCTCTGGATCAATTTCAAACAACGAACTGTGGATAACTTCCTCGTGGTTCTCTACTGGGACTTCTTCAACTTGTTCGGCCATGATTTTTGTTATATTGATAGTAAAGTTTTCGATTTCTTTTTTCTTTTCTTCTAGTACTTTCTGCTTCTTGCGATACTAGTTTCAGTTTCTTCCCTAGTGTGCAATTCCAATTCCTCGTTACTCGTTTTACTACAGGGAAGGGGAAAAAATATTTGAGACAGAGAAAGGCAATCCTTTTTATACTCGAGAGAAAAGAAAATTCTGAAATTTTGAGATCTTGTCTCTGTTGTGAGAGTGTGTCTTGTACGTGTCTGTACGTGTCTTGTACGTGTCTGTCTAAGCAAAGAACGAAACTTGCAAGAGACAATCCCCCCCCTTCCCTCGAAAATGGGCCAATTGGTCGTAGAACTGTTTTACCAGTTGTATCACAAAAATCAAGTGAAAGAGCCAGAGAGAGCCAGAGCCAGAGAGAGAGAGAGAGACAATTAGAATTCCAAAGAACAAATCGATGTTCTGTTGTACGGTGCTTTAGGCTTTTGGGGAGGCGAGGCGAGGCGAGGCGAGGCGAGGAAGATAAAAAAGGGCGTTTCTCTACTTTACAACGAAGAACGGTTTGTCATGGTCAATTGTCGTTTTATATGATATTGCTTCTCTGAAAATAATGCATTTGGGGAGGTATAGTTGAATACGAACGAATTTACTTATTTTCTACGAATGTTTACTCTTCTTTAACTTTCACTTGTGTGCTTCTACTACTCTGGGAGTGCGTTGTTTACCCGGACTAATATTCGTCCAAAAAAAATTTGAAAAAGTACGGTGCATATCACGTAATACGCATGTTTATCAGTTTCACGGTTTCTTGGTGACATTGCTTTTGTCTGGCAATGCTTCAAAGGGATATAAGGTTCTACGGGGCTACAAAGGCTGCGATTGCAAAAGTGGCGGAAAAACTACAAATTCCATGAGATCACCTCCTACAATCTACGATCGAAATTTACTTTGCGCTTTACTCTTTCTCTGAAGAGTAAACCACTGCAATATAACTCAAAGTTATATCTTTCTTGAATCGCAAAAAGATTATTACTATTATACAGTTGGCCTTTCATAAGTCATGAATATATATGCATGGGGCCTGTTGAAATTATGATCAATTCAACAGAGATTGAAAAAAAAATATCATATCGAAAAAATAATTAAAAAATTAGTTTTTTTTGGTATGGAAACTTAATTCCGTTTCTTTATTAGTTATCTCATCTTTGTTTTCTTACTTCTCCACAACTTTATATATTAATTTCAACACACAAAGAAAAAAATAACGATTCTAAAAGCAACGTCAACGCAATACCCAGAAGTTTCTCTTCAGGTATTACTCAGAAGCTGTCAACGAATCACGCAATTTTTTCAATCTCCTAAAATGATATCTTGAGTTAACAATTCACTTTAAGTTTTTCCGTTGTGCAACCATTTTTTTTCAGATGAAAAAATTCAGATTGCTTTAAAAAAAAAAGTTAGTAGAAAGGAAAGAGTCCACCAAATTTCAGTAGTCTCCTAGCAAAGAAAAGGTTTAAGTCTCCAAAACAAGTTAAGAATGTAAGAAAGTTTTAAGGTTTTAGAAAAAATGCAAAAGAATCATGCAGGTTTTTAAAATCCTTAGTTACCTTCAGCAGCCTTAGCTCTCTTGGCCAACTTAGCTTGAGCCTTGTTACCCATGATACCACCACCCCAGTGCTTCTTGACTTCATCGTACTTGTCAGCGAAGTTAGAGTTAATGGTGGTGATCAACTTGGACAAAGCAGCTTCGTCTTCAGCTCTGACTTCGGTCAAAGCGGCGACAGCGGAGGTCTTTTGGTTAACCAAAGTACCCAATCTAGCCTTACCCTTGACAATGGCGTATGGAATACCCATCTTCTTACACAAAGCTGGCAAGAAGATAACCAATTCAATTGGGTCAACATCGTTGGCAATCAAAACCAACTTAGCCTTCTTGTTTTCAATCAAGGAAACAACGTGGTTCAAACCGAACTTGACGTTGTATGGCTTTGGAGAAGCTTCTTGTCTGGTCTTACCTTCGGCAATGGCAGCAGCTTCCTTGACCAATCTTTCCTTCTTTTCAGAAGCAGTTTCTGGTCTGTACTTGTTGAAAAGCTTGAAAGTTTCAGCAGCAGTGTTTCTGTCCAAAGTGTATTGGAATTGAGCAATGGTTGGAGGAACCTTCAATCTGATGGACAAGATCTTCTTTTGTCTTTGCAATCTGACATATTCTGGCCACTTGACGTATCTAGACAAGTTTCTCTTTGGTTGGATGGATTGACCGATACCAAAGTTCTTTGGAGTAGAGTTGGTCAATGGGTTCTTAGCCTTGTTAGACTTAGCGTTCTTAGCAGCCAATGGAGCTGGAGCAACCTTCTTACCTGGAGCCATTTTTATGTCAGTCTTGTCTGTTTACGTGGTTTTCTATTAAATGACACTTAAAGAAAAAGTGTAAGGTTGCTAAAAGTTAAATGTTAATATAATACAAGAACAGACTACATTTATATCTTTCTAGTATTTACCAAAGACGAATTGTAGTCTGGAAAATTTCACAAAATTTTTCAGAAATGCGATGACCTGTGATGCCTAACTACGAAACTTGGCTACACATTTCTTAATTAGGAAATCATATTTTGTGTGCATGGATATCGAACAAATATAAAATACTTGGGTGTGTGGGTGGTAAAAATCGGATCCAAAATCAATAGCAGTCACAAACTATTCATTTTATCAATAAATGTTAACCCCATGTAGTTTGCTACTATATGTCGCCCAAGGACACTCTTTTACCAGGAATCAATATTTAGGGTATAGATAGAGTTGGAGGAATAATATTAGTTTTTGTAATGTTATAGTGTTGGAATATATTCATTTTATACTTTGTATATATAGTATAAATCAGTTAGAACAGTATGGAATATTTAAGATAAAAGTATTGAATTGATGACACTGGTAATACTTTAATAACAATGAGTCTTTCGAATTATTATTTTTACATGTATTGTTTCATCCAAGACTCATTTTAAAGTTGTAGTAGTATCAACACTTTAGAATATAAAATTATAGTGGAAAAGTACTGATCATGCGATGGTTAGTCATAAATCGTCATTTTAGAATGATAAAATACAATAGGTTTCAAGCTTAACGTCTAAACCAAGAATCATGCTACTACAGGATGTTCACCTTCAACATCCTTTAGCCAGCCTTTGCTTCTCTTAACAGCAGCTTCCCATTGAATCCAGTGCTTGTGTCTGTCTTCATCAGTAGATTGGCTTCTGAAAATCTTCAAGTTTTGCTTAGTCTCCTTAGCTTGATATTCGGATTTAGTCATACCTTCATAGAAAATCCAGTTCTTAGCGTCTTGAAGATCTCTCCATAGGACACGGTCTTGTGGTCTTTCGTAGGCCATGTTAGCGGCAACTGCAGCACCTAAAGCAGTACACTCAGCAGTTGGAGATCTTCTAACTTTGACACATGGACCCAAGATGTCAGCTTGGATTTGCATGACTTCATCTGAACGGGACATACCACCATCAACAGCCAATGTAGATAGTAAAGACTTTTGATATGAACCCTCTTCGCTGATCTCAGTCTTAAAAGTACTATCCTTCTCGGCTTCACCCATGGCATCGTTACTCATAGCCAATAGAATGGCACGGGCTTGGAAACAAACAGCTTCAACAGCTGCTCTAGCAATGTGAGAAGCGGTTGTGTATTGAGACATACCCATGATGGTACCTCTAGCCTCTGGATCCCAGTATGGTGCGAATAGACCACTGAATGCTGGAACAAAAACAACACCACCAGAGTCTGGAACAGAATTGGCAATTGGTCCAACATCTTCAGCCTTTGGAATTAAACGCAAGTTGTCACGTAACCATTGCACAACGGCACCAGCGACAGCGACGGAACCTTCCAAGGCAAAGTGTGGGGCACCATACTCTGGGTTTTCCTTTTCTTCCAAGTATGGGAACCAGTAAGAGAAAGTTGTCAAAGCACCATGCTTAGAAATCAATTTCTTGCAGCCAGTGTTGTATAGTAAGAAACAACCCGTACCATAGGTACATTTGGCGGCACCAGGTTTAAAAGCCATCTGGCCTACCAATGAGGCACTTTGGTCACCTAGACAGCCTTGAATTGGTACTTGAAATTCACCTTCGGTGTATTTCAATAACAATTCCCAAATATGTCCTGGGACTTGAGACTTAAACAACTTTGGAATGCTCAAGTCACCGTAGTATTCAGCAGATGACACGATCTTTGGGAAGTTGATCTTATTTCTGTCAATACCCCAGAATTCAACTAATTCATCGTCATAATCTCTGGTATCCAAGTTCATGAAACCAGTTCTGCTTGCATTAGTTACATCAGAGACAAAAGCGTTGCTAGCGGTCAAATGGTAAATCAGCCAAGTATCAACAGTACCGAACATCAAGTCGCCAGCTTCATAAGCCTTCTTGACCTCTGGTTCGTTCTCCAAAAGCCATACAAGTTTTGAACAAGAGAAGTATGTAGAGAAAACAGACAAACCGGTCTTGTCCTTCATACGTAATCTCTTCTCCTTTTCAGTTTCTTTCTTCTTTCTCTTAACCAAGTCTAGAGTACGGGTGTCATTCCAGACAATACCGTAATCCACAATTGGCATACCGGTCTTCTTAGACCAAACAATAGTAGTTTCTCTCATATTAGCTACACCGACACAGTCGACTCTGTATAGCGGCAGGTTGTTTTGGGCACGGTCGTTGTTCAAGTTATCGAGCAGCTCGTAAGTAGTACCTAGACACTGAACAACGTTAACCAAGACATTCATTGGGTTACATTCGACCCAGCCTGGTTTAGGGAATTTCAAAGTTGGTCCTTCATTAGCACCGTGGAATTCTTCGATGGTCAAGTACTCGTTTTCCTTGATGGCAATACCTTCACTTGTGAACACTGGTTTGTCCTTTTCTGGGTTAGCCATCTTGGTTTGGTCCTTGATGGACTGTCTACGTGAACCATGTACAGCATATTTCTGAGTAGAGGCAGATGTAGAGTATTCGATTTGGTGCTTAGCGACTTCTTGACCCTGTTTGTTGAAGAAAATGACACGGGAAGATGTAGTACCCACGTCAATAGAAGCGATCAGAGGGATGTTACCGTCTTTATCCATCTGGATATTACCGTCGTTAACGGAAATCATTGTGTGTATTATTGTGTGTATTTTTTTTTTGTTAGTTGATGATTTATAATTCTTAAAAAACTAATAGTAATTTTCCTTTTTCAAAGGGAGGGGACCTTAAACTTAAATGTTAGAAAGGTAACATTCGAGGCCATTTATATATTATTTTTTTTTGTTGTTTTACAAAGATTGTTGTATTCCAAATAAGCATTGTTTTTGCACCATTCTATTTAGTTAGAGAGGCGTTGTTCTTGTGCACACGAGTGTAAGATACGTCAAAGGGCTCTAAAATGTTTTGAAAATGTCCTATGGGAAAGGATTATATAAACCCATTAAAAGAGCTCTTCGGGATTGATAGATGAGTTAGAGTTAAAAAAAGAGCCGTTGTAGCCTACTGTAAGACTGCACTAGATTATAGGTATTCTGTACCTAACTTTGGAGAGCCAACAGTATATAATACAAAAAATAAGTGCGGGGCAATTACAATGATATCTATGAGTTCTATGAGTGGCCGAATTCTCGCTAGTCTTTATTGTCTCATAAATGCCTAGAGTTGGAGGTTATAAAGCAAATCTTTTGTGTTAATAGACCCTTATTTTCTTCAGAGATACATTATCTGTTTGACACTTTATCCTTTATTGTGTGCACTTCTTAAGATTGATAAAAAAGGATTGGAAATTAAATGTGGGGGGGGGGCAGTTGGAGACGGGTAGAGAACGTGTGCGTATACTTAGGATTAAGTAAAAGGGATATGCCAGATTGGTGGGGGTAGAGGGGAGTGAAGCGATAATACCCGAAATCTCCCTCCCCGCCAATTAACTATAATTATATGTACTGTACAGTTCTTTTTGGAGATTCCAGTGAAACAGCCGCGATATAGGTCGCTGAGCGGGATTGGATTGATCTGCGATGCTGCTGTGCCGATAAGATTCTGCCTCCCATCGGGATAAGAAGTGAGACGAATCAAGTGCGGCTGTTTCTCCTTTTTCCTACCACAGAGGACGATTAGGTCTGCGGTTGAGCTGTGCGAGTGTTTCAGAGTGGTTGTGACACATTCTATTCTTTCTCCCTCTACTGGAAGCACTTCCCAGCATGGGTTTTTGTTGGTCCCACAGTTCAGTTCGAACAACATTGTCCTGAACGTAATGTGCTCTCAATTCGCCAGCGTAACAGCTCTTCATGAATTAGATCTGTGGGATTTCTTGGAACTGCTACGTATGTTTCTCCCCCTTCCCCCCCAATAATCCGTGGGGGAGGGGTAAGGGGCAGACCTCCAAATTTAGACTTAAGGCTTCTTCCCTATACTGGGATGGCACTGAATATAATGTACGGAAATGGAACAGTGAATTCGCGTTCGTTTGTTTTTTCACATCTTGCCATGATAGTTAGGTAAATGCCGAAATGGTGGGTTTCCCAAACTTGATCGGCACTAAACTTACTACACCCGTTTTGGTCTTTTGTTTTGGAACTTGGCACAATAAACAGAGCTGCTGCATTGCACAGTAAAAAATAGGAGGCAAGAATAATACGGCTGTAGTTCCATACCACTTGTATTCTATCTACTAGTGTCTTTTTCGTGAGTTTGGATGTCTCTAGTGGGTCATTTTCTTATTAACTGCTAAGGACTTCTCAAAGAAAGGGGAAGTCATTGTGCACGCAAAGTAAAAAATTGATGTACGTACAATGTGATTGTAACACAAGGAAAATGATAATAGGAGAGAGACAGTAATAAGATACGGTACCAAGTTTCTTCTTTTTTCCTTTTATTTTTCCCAGGGCTTGCTTCTTCCTTTTATGATGATCAAAGTCTCGAACTGATCTTGTTTCTTTTCATGTACAACTGTTAGAAAGCTGCGGCTGTGTCTGAGCTGGTTTTCGTAAATAATAGAAAGATGGAATTTTCCGAAAATTTTAAGATTGGCTAATTGACGATGTAGAGAGTTTTTCCGATCTTAGGATTATACACTACTGCAAGGGCTTGTTAGTAAATCAGCTGGTTTTGTGATTAATTTCCTTTTTCTCTATTGAATGTCTGTGTATTCAGATCCCTTTGTTGTTTTCTTCTTCTAAATGATAAAGGCATAGAAAACTGTAAGTATTTGGTAATATTACCAAATCGAGGATTTTTACAGTTTCTCGATCTCAGAGCATTACGTAGTCTAAATTCTGCTTTGGAAAAGCTTGTTGGAGAAGTGGTGAAGATATTTGCTGGGCACAGACAACTGCTCGTACCAAGAAAGTTTTTCCGACCTTTCCTATCTCTTTTTTTTCAGTTTCCTTTACTGTAAATCATCTTATTTGAGTTTTCTTACATCATGAAAGCAATAATCTTTGAATTGTTCCGGCCTAAGATTAGAAGAGCCGCTCTTCCGGGTCCCTTCTTCTCACTAACCTATCGCAAGTTAGACTAGTTTCAAGAAGAAGAAAAATAAACATTTGTCCACGGACTTACCTATTCTGTAATTTAAGAAGAGTATTTTGTTATCCATGTGAACAACATTACTTGCACAAGAAAAACAATGGAGTTTTTCTACAAGATTTTAGGTCTCCCAACTCCTATTTTCGATTTTTTTTTTCTTTGCTTTAGTTACTCTTATGGACAACTTGTCTATTCCTTTTCATGTTAGGAGTATTTTTATTTCATCATTGATTTACTTCTCCACTTGCTCCCCCTGTCTTTTACTTCTCTTCCCCATCATATATGATTTGTGTTCTGATTAATCGTATTTATATCAGATGAGTTTCTCTCCGATTACCAAACTTCTTTTTACATCTTCTTTAATAAACTCTTAGACTGCGTTTTGAGATAATATTTATTAAGAGGACTATCTCAAAACAATACTAAAACAACTCGACAATCTACATTTTACTACTTTTCTTTGAAGAATAATATACTACACTTTGAGACTCCAGCTTGACAAAGATGGAATCTATTCATGATGCTATGAGTGACATCCTGGGAAAGGATCAACACAATGGGCGTCACGGTGATAACCACAGTCGTCGGCCAGGCAGACGTGGAAGCAACACAGGCTCTAACTATGACTTTGAAAGACAAAGCATGGAATATGAACCTTCAGTGATGCCTCACACTAACTATATCCCAGAATACAGACTAGGAAGAGATGATAACACTATATTCCCTATTCAAGAGGTGATACCGAACAGTCAGGATGCTATGGAAGAGCTGGCTGCTAGAAGCCGCAGACAAAGAGCAGCCACTGCTACCATAAATGCAAACAACAACGATTTCCAAAGAAATAACGACGGTCTTGGAGGCCACGGCGAGAATGGTGATGAAATTCATGGGGAGGAAGATTTGGACATTGACGATCCATTGAGAGATAACGTGCCAATGATGGTTAAGCCAAAGATTCTTCACCAGAATCCACAAACACCAACAGTCTTGCCTTCTACTTTCCACCCTATCTCCAAATGGTCTTCTGTCAAGCGTTACTACTTGAAAGAATTCTTGGCTGAATTTCTCGGTACCATGATGATGGTTTTCTTCGGTCAATGTATTGATATTCAAGTTAACGCAGGTGCACAAATCCAAAGAAATCAATATTTAGCATACGTCGAAAGACTAAACAGAACTAAGGCTGTCACAAATGATACTTTAGAAATCCTGAACGCTTTGCCATTGTTAGTTTCAACCACTACCTCCGGTACCGCAGATAATGTTCCAAAGAACTGGGCTGCTGCTGTGGTTATGGGTTATTTTGCTGCCGGTGGTTCTGCCATTTCTGGTGCCCATTTAAACCCTGCTGCAACCGTCACTACTTTCTTCTTTAGAGGTTTCCCAGCCAGGAAGATGCCTTTCTATTTTGCTGGTCAATTGTTAGGTGGTTTCATGGCTTGCTTGTTGTCATACATCTATTACAAGAGGGTTATCATGGAAGGTTACCCACATTGGTATGAAAGTGAAACCGTTGCAGGCTTCTTCGTTACATCACCAAAGCCATATTTATCAACAGAGAGACAGATTACATCTGAATTCATGTGTACAGCTGCAATGCAATTATGTGTGTTCGCTTTAACAGATCCATATACATCTTTGTCGGCTGATATCTTCCCATTGCTACTATTCTTAATGGCTTTGGTTGTTAACTCCTCTATGTCTTTCCAAACAGGTTCCGCTATGAACGCTGCTCGTGACTTGGGTCCACGTCTTGCTCTATGGGCCTTAGGTTTCGACAGAAAGAACTTGTGGATTCACCATCATCGTTATTTCTGGGTTCCTATGATTGTCCCATTCTGGGGTTCCATGACAGGTGCATTACTTTATGATTTCTGTATTTACCAAGGTCATGAATCTCCAGTGAATTGGCCATTGTCTCTATACAAAGAAAAGTTTATGAAGCTTTGGCACAGGCGCCCTGGCTGGAAGAACAGAACCAGAAAGAGAAGAACATCCGACTTGTCAGATTTTTCATATCAGAATGATGATGATGATAACTTGACCGACAACGACTTCAAAGACAAACCAAAGACTGCTAAGACTAATGTTAAACCCAACCAAGGAGGTAACCCAGCTGATGAAGCTGGAAAATTTGTTAGATTCCAATCTGTATCACAAAGGGGTGGTAGAAGTAGGCACAATAACTCAACCACTATCTTGGAAGAGGATTCAATTGAAACTGCTTCTTTAGGTCACTCCCAAAGTGATTCGGTTGATAACTCTGATAAGCACTCCATTCATAATGCTACTGATGAGAAGGTGTCATATTAGGGTCTCTTACTCATAAAGTAAATGTGAGTTTACATGAATTGTTACCACTCCACTCATAACGCCAGGTTATATTTATAACTTACGCAATATTTGATGATTCTATATTCATATGGTAATGCCAGAGATTTTCTCTTATTCACATAACCTTTCTTCTCTGGTGGCCTGCTATTTTTGTTGTATTTTTTTACTTTTCTATTTTTTGTGAGACTAATATCTTTTTAATTAAAATTATGCATTGATGACACTTAATATCTTTATAACTCGGATATTGCATCTTCTTAATCATTCTATCTATAAACTGATATAAAAAGAATAAAAATTTACTTGAAATCTACTTATTTTAGGAAGCTTATTATGTCCATCAAGGATACGCTCTTAATTTATATTTTGTTCAAAAATTTCCCCTTTAACATTTTTCCAAATGCGATTACTAAATAGTTGTTGGTTACAAATCATAGGTCAAAAATATTATCAGATATATAGAATTAATTAAAGATATTGGTGTTCTTTTCTCTTCTAGAGAAGGAGATTGTGTTTCCTCTGCCTGCTACATCTATCAAATGTATTTACATGGATTACGAGGTGGTCACCAAGTAAAGAATAAAAACAAAATACATATGGTAGTGACCGAAGCTAATATAATTGCATTTTTCCTTCTTCTTGTTCCAATCTTACCAATCAATAGATTCACACCTGGAATCCTCTGTAATGTTTGCAAAGCCTTATTGCCAGCACTATTTAGAGTTGAGCTCTGAGCATTGAAGTTCTCTCTTGTCTCCCATGCTTGAACTATTAGACGATCAAGGATATTATGTGACTGATCTATTCTTCTGGATTCATTCTGGTTGTATGCTTCTTCATCATTAAATAATTCATTATCAGTTGCCTGTTGTTGTTGTGCGATATCATTCTTAACACTAAACAATAAGTTCAAACGATTACGTTCTTGTTGAATAGAAGACCTTATTCCTCTAAAGTTCTTCCAGTGCTCTTGTAAAATCTCTCTGTGACGTTGCAATTGGGACTGCTTTGACGCAGATATATTTGGAGTGTCTTCCGCTATCTTTGTCAAATTGTCTATAATGTCTTGTCTTTCACCCAGCAGTTTTTCAATTTGCTCATCTAAATGCTTCTCCTGCGAGGTAGCATCAGAACTTGCAGCTTGCGCATATGTTGAATATTTACCAAGCAATGATTCAGTTTTGGATTCACGCGAAATGGCTTCGCTGCGCACAGTAACAAACGATGGTCCTTTGCTCATTTTATATGGAAGTTAGCAACCACCTAATGTTATAGCTTATTGTTACAGCTGAATATATTATAAATTGATACTGATATTTTTATGCTACAATTGAGCAAGCCCTAAATACATTAAAGAACAGGCGAAATTGTATCAGGGCTAGTTGAGTTCGGGCCTGCCAAAATACTTGTAATATTTATGCCTTTCTGTACGAAACTATCGATCTGCTAAATGCAATGGTCAATAGTAGTCATATTGCTCTGAATATAATCTGATGTGCCTTGAGATATAAAAACAATGATATTAAGTATAATACTTTGAATTAGCATATATACAGTAGTAACATTCTTTAAATAAAGAAAGTGATAAATAAGGGTAAAAATTAAATAAATGTAAGGCTAATAAATAAGGCTAATAAATAAGGATAATAAATAATCAATAGGAAACTTCAACTAGAGCAATATATATAATGTGGTTTGCACGTATAAATAATTTGAAGCTTTTGGTTAGTACTGTATACATTGGGATTGACTATATCATACCAGTCATCTCATGGCGCAGTACTCGTCAAACTAACATAAACGTTAGGAAGATGGGAATGTAGTCACAATTTAGAAGGCTAATTGTTGTTTAATCTTAGCAATTGACTCACCTGGATTTAGACCCTTTGGGCACGTCTTTGTACAGTTCATGATAGTGTGACATCTGTACAAAGACATTGAGTTATTTAGCATATCTTTTCTTTCTTGGGTAGCTTGGTCTCTAGAGTCTACCAACCATCTGTAAGCTTGCATTAACACAGCAGGACCCAAATATTCCTCTTGGTTCCACCAATAAGATGGACAGGAAGTTGAACAACAGGCACACAATATACATTCATACAAACCATCCAATTTCTTACGATCTTCAATAGATTGCAAGACTTCCTTCCCATCAGCAGGGTAGTCCTTTCTTTGCAAATATGGTTTGATTGATTTATATTGTTGGTAGAAGTTTGTTAAGTCTGGAACCAAATCCTTGACGATGAACATGTGAGGCAATGGATAGATCTTGGCTTGCTTGGAAGTATCTTGATCAATCTTACATAGACAGGCCAATGTGTTTCTACCACCAATATTCATGGCACATGAACCACAAATACCTTCTCTACATGATCTTCTGAAGGTCAAAGAAGCATCTTGCTCATCTTTGATTTTCAACAAAGCATCCAAAACCATAGGTCCACATTCATTTAAGTCAACTTTGAATTCTTGCAACTTAGGCTTGACCTCCGGTTGGTCTGGGTTCCATCTGTAAATCTTGAAAGTCTTTAGCCTTGGAGCCTCAGTGGACATCAATCTCCTGCCACTGATACCCAAACTCAAAACTCCTCTTCTAATCATTGTTATTGTGCCTGTTATACAATTGTGTCTTCTATGGTTATGCAACCTAAAACCAAATAAAAAGTGAAAGAACACACAAATATGATTAATTCCATGGTTAATAATACTCACATCTTATTTTCAACATCCATAAATAATTTGCAGTATATATATTTAGGACCCTCCCGGAAAACAATCATGTAGGCGAGCCCCCTCCAAACTATTCTCCTCCTCCATTGTTCTCTCAATGGCCCACTACTGTATTCTTAAAAGCTCATTTCTTGTTCTGTCTGCTTATTCGGTGATGACCGAGTCGAACAACGTAATCACGCAGCATCATGTTAGTAAGACCAAAAAATGCCCACTCTCTAATTGTTGTCCACTACTTAACTTTCTCAACGATTTCAACTAAAACACTGAAACGTCCTGCAGGGAACCAGGTAAATTTCTAAGACCTTGTAAAGTTACGAATCAAATACAAATGCACACTCACTACAAGGATGGCGTTTCTGCCCAACCCATCCACAGATAGGACCCTTTGACATGAGTACCACCTACGTACCCTGAAGAAAGACGTGGACTAGCCTCGTCTTTCATTGTAGACCTCAGACGTTCACTTCAAGTCTTTCCTTCTTAACCCTCAAACTACAAACTAGAATACTAAAGAGCAAGTTTCTATATGTGTCACGTGATTTATATATTTTCGTTTTTTTCCAGACTTCCTCAGTATCCTGCTAGAACCCTTTAAATCGGGCTGGAGCATAGCGGTAAAGTGGCGATATTTCAGTAAAGTCTTAGATCTTATTCTTGGTAGCTTAGAACAGAATTCACAGTATAGGTTTTGGATAGAAACACAGGCAGAGATAAATGGAGAAAGAGAAGGACTTGGTAGAGAAGGTTGACCTTCGGTTTGCGCTTGCAGATACTGCCGAAAAGTTTCAAGCTGTACTGGATACGTTTTTAGCGCCATTGCTTTTGAAACTGGCGTCTCCACATGAACCTGTACGTCAACAAGTGTTTGAGAGCATCAAGAATATTTTGCAGAGATTGGGTTCTCTACCTACTGTTAGGATTCCAGTATTACGTCTGGTAGAACAAGCGAAGAAGGCAGATGGTCACAATAACGTTGCATTGTACTCATTGCTCTTTGCATCTAAGGGTGTGGACAGGCTCAATGATTCTCAAGAGATCCAAGCGATGATACCGACTGTCATGGGTGGAATATCACAGCTACCAGAGATGTGTGCTGCGAGAATGTTTAACCTGCTTTGCAGATTACTACTGCTGTGGAAACCACCAATGGTATCTTCTCTAGAAGAAGACCAAGTATCAAAATTGCTTGCTCTCGAGGATCCAAGGGATTTAGAATTTTTAATGTTGAAATTTACCAAATTCTTTATGATGGTGCCAAATAGTAATACTAACAGTGGCATCATCCCCAGAGGATACTCATCCCCAGGGTTGTCCGCTGCGGAGATCGAATTTTTTACATATAAAGCTGGTGTTGCCTTTAACAAAGACCAACTATTGAGATACAAGACTGCTATTTTCCATTTTGTCACTAGGGGACTAATTGTGTTTTCAATGGAAGAGCAACTAAGAGATCCCGAGAACGACCCCACCAATGATGATCTCAAAGCAGTGTCATTAGTGACTTTCTTATGCGTAGTATCTACAGATAACTCTGACCTCGGAGAACTAGCAATAACCAGATTGAAAAGAGTACATATTCCATACGAGAACGAGAGTTTTGTCAATTTTATGATCTCCTTATTTACAGGCGATAAAAGTAATGGCATACCTCCTACTAGCTCTAATATCCAGGAAACTATTTTTTCTATCTTGAATAGAAGTATCTATGCGACCACAAGTCCTGAAAATGTCAAACTAATCTGTGCCATTTCATTAAATTCAACTAACCACAAACTGGCTTCTCTTTGTCTTTCCTTCATCAGGCATGTAGCCAAGAACAATTATGATAGCTTAACATTAATATCTAGTGCCAGCTCGGAATCTGATCATTATGGAATCAACTTACCATCTATGATCAGAAATAACATTCAAACGAACGGTTGGCCAAGGTTACAACTTGGACAGGGTCAACAATTTAACTTGTCTATTAAGCAAAGAGAACTTCAATACGAGACCCTAGGTGACTTGTTAAAGAACGATTTTGACCTTATCAAGGATATATCATATATTGAGTTCCTGTTCACATCACTTAAGAACGATATTCCTCAGTGTACAGCTAGTATCCAACATGCATTGAACTCAGTATTGCACCACTTGCCCCAACTTCATTCAGATAACAAGAAAAAGCTAAAGAAGCTACTACACTCGATATTAGCTGATGACTATTATAAAATCGAACTCAAAGAAAATGGAAAACTTGGTACTGTAGAAGGTAAGGAAAGAGAGGATGCATTAATGTCAGCCAGATACATGGCAATAAAATTTACTAACTCAGCATTTTCTTTTGATGACGAAGAAGCACGTATGCTCAACATATTTGGTACATCTACTGAAAACAGATTAGACATCACTGAGGAAGCTAAAAAGGGGCTGCATCCTTATTGGTTCAGAATTAATTATTTCAAATCTTTTAAAACAAGTGCTAATGCTGTTGTGGAAAGTCTAGATCAACAATTAGGTAGCCAAATAACAAAAACAAAACTACCTACCCTTAAAACGATGTCATCATTGCTTCTTGAGGAAGTGCATTTACTAAAAGAAGACAGAAATTCCCAACGAGTTATAGATAAATGCCTTAATAATGCTGTCAGTTTTCTCAGAAATTGTTTAGTAGAAGAAGCGATTCAAGGTAAGAATACGATAATCGTCCAAGACCAAGATTGGTTAGTTCGGATCGAGGAAGCAATAGTGTCAGATAGCAATGTAATGGAGCTTGTATCAGAATATATTAGTGGCATTCATGAAAAGTACTTTGTTGACTTATTAAGGTTATTATTAGATGAATTTACTGAGAGAGATCACTCCGGAACACAAGTATCAATCGCAGCAGCCAAAAACCACATATATCAAGATTTTCTATTACTGCTACTAAAAGCATGCCATTCAGATGTATTAAAGTATATCTATGATAAAGTTGATAATTTATCATACTTGGCAATCAATATCACAACTTACCCTAATACAGAAGTAATCACTTCCTCGAGAGCTTTGGGAATAATTGGTTCATCATCTGAAGAAGTCTCTAATTTACTAATAGAAAAATTTAAATTGTCGAATGACCTCACTGCTTCTAAACTATCTCATGAACATTTAAAAAGTATACTACCAAATATACTTATTTTGTCACATTTATTACCGAGGTTAAGTATGCGAGGCTATAAAGATGCGAACATGACAGCCCAGTTACATGCCACTCTTGACATGCTAGAAAATTTCTTTTCTGAATCTATCACATTTGAAAGAAAATTAGTATTATCCGCCACTGCTGAAATATTGAAGTATGGCCTTTTATGTATTTTAGATGCAAGTGATACACAATCCAAAATCAAGAAACTACTTTTTTTATTGGGAAAGAAATACTTAAATGATGAGGATTGCACAAGAGTACTTTCTTATTTATCGTTGTACACCTCCAGTGTTCCTGAAATGGAGAACATCGCTGACTTGTTATGGAAAACCACAAACTCAAAAGAGATCGATTATCTGTTCAGCGTGGGGGAATGTATATCAATTATTGCCGGAGGTTGGCACTCTAAAATTTTATTGGATGATTTAGATATTTATGATCCTAAATTGGTAACTCAATTAAAACAGGACTTTAACGATAGATATGCTGAGGAAGTTCTAAAAAAAGTAATGACTCTTTGCACCAGTCCCAATCCTACCCTGAAGAAGGCAGGAACCATGTGGTTGCTATCATTGGTACAGTTTACTAGCAGCTCTCCAGTAATAATTGAGAAATGTGCCGAAATCCATAGGTGCTTTGTGTCTGCTCTTATTCATAAAGATGAAATTGTGCAGGAGTCTGCAGCGCGTGGTCTTGCTCTGGTGTATGAATTAGGCTCTACAGACGTTAAGGAAGATATGATTAAAGGTCTTTTCAAATCATTTACCTCTAATGTTGATGGACTTAAAATATCTTCAGGTTCCATATCAGAGTCCACTGAACTCTTTGACAAAGATACACTAAAAACCACGGATGGTTCTATCAGCACATATAAGGACATTTTAAGCTTGGCCTCTGAAGTCGGAGATCCATCGATTGTTTATCAATTTATGTCTCTAGCAAAAAATTCAATGTTATGGTCTTCAAGAAAAGGTATTGCTTTTAGTCTGGGTTCCATTATGTCCAAAGCATCCCTTGAAAAATATTTAATACAAAACAAGGACTTAGCGAACAAATTAATCCCAAAACTATACAGGTACAAATTCGACCCTTACACTGTAGTTGCTCAATCTATGAACGATATTTGGAACACACTAATTGTCGATTCAAAATCTACTATTGACCAATATTTTGACTCAATTCTTTTAGAACTTTTGGAAGGTATGGGTAACAAGGAATGGCGTGTACGTGAAGCTAGTACCACAGCATTGATGGATTTTGTGAGATCTCAACCAGAGGAGAAATTTTCGGGCAAAATATTAGACATCTGGACAATGGCTTTTCGATCTATGGATGATATAAAAGAAAGTGTGAGAGAGGCAGGTACAAGGTTCACCACTGTACTTTCCAAAATGTTGGTGAGATCAATAGACACTAGTAACAATGTTAGTCCGGAGCATTCAGAAGAGATTCTATCAAATATTTTACCATTTTTAATGGGAACCAAAGGTATCAATAGTGATGCCGAAGACGTAAAAAATTTCTCATTGAAATTGTTATTAGATCTTGTTAAAAACTCTCCTAAACCATTATCCAAGTTTGCCCCAGAAATTATATACCAATTCATTACCCTGTTTTCTTCATTAGAACCCCAAGTTGTTAATTACCTGTCTCTAAATGCCAAGAACTACAATATAGATATGAAAGAGATAGATAATCAAAGGAAAAATGGGATAGCAGTTTCACCACTATTTGAAGCTCTAACAAAACTAATTGGAACAACAAATGAAAATCAAGTCAGCGAGGTTGTCGACGCTGTTATCCGCGGCATAAAAAAGTCCATTGGTCTGCCATCAAAAGTTGCGGCAGCTCAAGTTGTCATTTTAATTGTCAAACACTATTCCTTAGCCATCAAACAATATTCTGGGAAGCTATTAAAACGTTGTGTAGATATGTTTGAAGATAAGAATGAGGCTGTTTCAATTGCCTATGCCCAATCATTTGGCTACATATATAAAGTAATATCAGCAGAAAAATCATTGAAATATGCAAAGCAACTAAAGGTACTATTCTTTTCAAATTCTATTGATCATATCAAGATTGTTGTTGCAGCTGCAATATTATCTCTATTTAGGAATGCACCCAGTGAATTTGCAGAATTGGCAAGAGTTCTTACACCAGTCATACTACTTGGGAAAAATGACATTGACCAGGCTACTGCTAATGTATTTAGCGATCTTTGGACTGACACAGCATCCTCTGGTGCAGGTACTACAAAATTGTATCTGGATGAAATCATTGATACTATTAGAGACAATATTCAGTCAAATGACTTTAGCACCAGAAGATCTTGCGCCAAGACAATAGCAGGCATCTCGTTAAGCATCGATGAAAACACCCCTAGAAAAACATTATCAAAGATTTTTGACGTCACTATACAATCCCTTTCTGGTAGGTCTTGGGATGGTAAGGAGGATATTGTTAGTGCTTTAGTTTCAATTTCCGAAAAATGCACCACCTATCTCAATGGAAATAAGGAACTAGCAACAAAGATTGAGACAACATTATGCACTGAAATATCACGGAATAATATCAGATATGTAAGAAGTATATCGAAGGATTATCTGCGGTTTGTGAGAATTGTCCCTTCTGATAAGCTTTACTGTTCCTTCAATAAAGAGTTATTAACAAAATTGTTTGCAGAAAATGATGAAAATGCAGCTACAGAAATCAAAACTAATCCAGAAGTTCAACTGCAGTCGAATAAGCGAATGAAAACGAGTATCACTCAACACTTATCTAAAGATAATATCCAGGCTGTTGATTTTATGATCCAGGTTTTACATGAAATGGCAAAGGATTGTATTCCCTATATGGAGAATAAGTATCCCTTGGAGTTCTTAAACATGATTTTGGAATATGCACAGCATCTAACTCTTTCCCATACAATGAGTAAAACATGGAGAGTCAGGGAATCTGTTTGTCTAATCATTACTGAATTATGCAAAAATTTCCCTCTTACGATCATCAATCAGGAGATTGAAGACAAGTTTAAAAGTATTTGGAGTTCCATATTTAATGAAAACAAAACTCATGAAACTACAGAAAACGTAAAGATAGAAACAATTCGTTTAGGTGGAGAGATGATTAAAAAGTTTTCGAAGTTATCAGATCAGATTCAAAGAGATCTTTCAATTTTTACAGAAGAGGAACTGTCTACCGCAAGGCTTGCCGTTGAGTTAAAAAACGTTGGCATATAAACATTTTGGTATGAACGATTACTAACACAATTACCAATGGACAAGATTATTTTGATGTTTTAGTTTTATGTTTATAGACAATGCCCAAAATAGAGACTGCTTTGTATAATAAGAATAAATATATTTAGCATTCAATGAATCTTTATTTAGGCTTTTAGGAAGCAAATATAACATATCACCTAAATGGGTTTGATGCAAGGAACTTTGAGTTACCAGCCGGCAGATTTTCTTTATCAGGCAAGAGACTATTCTGGTCCTCTTCTTCCAGGGATTCAAGTAGAGGATGTGTGTTGGCGTGACCGGCTCTTCTGCCTCTATTTTTTAAGTTTGACTCAATAATACTATCTAGAGGATTATCCTGGTCCATGCTATCCATATATTGAATATCCTGGTTTTCATCCAAGAATTTGTCTGATTTGGGTCTGCTAAGTTGAAATTGTCGATCATATGTTTTGATGTGACTATTGTCTGTCGATTTCCTACCCGGTGAGGAAATACTTGATCTGAATTGTATAACATCCCTTCGCCTCTTTTCCAAGAGCTCTTCATCTTCCAATAATGTGATTATATCATTACATAAAAAACGAATTTGATTTACCATCGGTTCATCGCTACTAGATTGCGCTTCAAAAGAAGATAAGTACTCAATCACATATTTGCTGCTTTTCAACCAGGCAATAAAATCGTTAGAGCCATTGTTGAGTAGATAAGATACGAGCGTGAGTGTCTTAAGTACATGTAAACATGTTCTGTGACTATTTCGTTTATTTACTCCCGATAACCGTTTTCGTATCACTTGTATGACATCCTTTAGTGTTTTCTTGCTATATGTCAAAACTGAGATTTCATTCATCAAGGTCCCTGTTGCACCTGCTAATTCATTATCATCTGTTGCTTGACGGACCTTCAATTCTGTAGGTGAGAGTAAGAACCCCTTGAATGTATGCATAAGCGACATCCTGGTTTTTCAACTACACCAATACAGTTTCTCACTAGAACCAAATTCGATCCTACTAAATATCAATCCACGAATTAAGGTTACAAGTTACCCCTGAACCATTCATTAACAACAACCCTTATGAAGAAGAGACTATCAAATAACTTGGCTGTTTTTCTATTCCTCGTCCCTTCTAAAAAATCCTCTCAACTGCAGATTCTAAGCCTACTTACTTAGCTAATATGAACAAACAGATTGTGAGAAAAAACGTAAATTTACAGCTTTAGCCTCACTAGTAATAGCATAGAATATCAATAGTCAAATACTTCATTAAATGATTCGTTGTAGTTGGATGATTACAGTTGACAACGACTCTTTGTCAATTTCTCCGATGGCTCGAAATTTTTTTCAATCTCAATATTCATCTCATTAGTGAGTCGTTGCTTGCGATTACACGAATTAACGAAGATGGGGTAAGTACTTGCAGTCAATTGTAGTTGACGTTGTAGATAATCGCAACCAGCTGATATTTTGCTCTGTAAATAGCTTATAATAGCTTGTAAGATTGTTGTTACGGTTCATTATTTAGGTTCTCTTCTAGCTCTCGCCACAGCCATTTACGCCAGATATCACCCGCCATTTTCATTAGGTCGTTAAATGAATGGGAGGACTTGCCATCGCTGCCCACCTCTATTAGCATGTGATTATTGGAGGATGAGCTGGGTCTCTTTGATGCTTCATCATGTAGGACCACGTTATCCAGTGTAGATCCCGTGTCAAATAGCTTCTTGAATGCGGTGTCGTCAGCTTTTGAAAGCATGGGAACATTGTTTAAAAATTCGGCTATCTCTGTCTCTTCAAACTCAAGCAATTTAAATTCATTGAATTGTAATATAGCCACGTAGATGAATATAAGCTGGGTATGCGGGCTTATTATTGAAAATGGAATACTGTTCATGCAACATTCCTGGTCAGTATCGTTAGAGTCACTAGCTCGCTCTTCATACTTATTCCTTCTTAATAGTTCTTTAATAATCGTAACGTCATGGGTGTAAGGTGGTGTTCCTAAGGGTATGGAGTCCAAATCCGGAAACCAAAAAGTATCGTTTTTTTCATATTTATTCCAAAATTTAGAATGGCATATGCTTGGTGATTTATGATATAAGTGCGCAAAGCTTTTTGTGTTGTAATTAAGATAGAAATTGATGGTTACGTGGTCTGGCTTTGGTCTCCATCCGAGGAATAAGTCCCATATCCTGCCTCTATCCTGTCTTTGTAACGACCTTGCCCCGGCACATTTGAACCACCAATACAGCCAGCTTGTTCTAGAAGAGTTCGGTTGAAGGTTGACTTCCTCTATAAGCGGCTGGTACAGTTCAGGTAGGATAGTGGAGAAGACTTTAAAAAAAATCTGAGTTCTGAATGAGAGATCACCTCCAGAAATCACTGGGAAATAGTTGGAAATGTGTGTAGAGTCCTGTGGGAAGTCGCGTTTGATCTTGTTTTGCTCCAAAGCAGTGTCGGGAGAGTGTATTAGGACGAGCAATAACCTTTCGTAAAGCTGGTCAAATGTGAATAACCTCTCTGAAGGTAATTTATTCTTGAGGTAGTCAAGCAGTGGATACTCCTGAAACAGCTGTGATATGGAGGTGGAGTTGTTGTTACCACTAGAAGTATGTGCATGTCTCCTCCCGTTCAGCACTAGAAAACACTCGTCATTTAAGTCAAACTTGGCCGGAAGAAGAGCCGGGAACCACTCTGCTAAGCCCAGTGCTAGCCATGCTAGTCCAATCTCATACTTGAAGATCCGGGACCACTTGCTCAAGAACCTCAGGATGGCGTTCTTCAAGGAGTCGATGATCTCGCACTCGTCAGAGACAGTAGGGGAAGATGGCTCTGCTGTTGATGAGGATGAGCTCGAGACAGCCTGAGAGGACGAGGTCGCCCTTGAGTGGAAATACTTCCTCAGGTCCTTGAGTATGATCTTTTCCAGATGCACCATGTCTTCGTTTACCACATCGTCCGAGGTCGAAGAGTTCGTCGAGGTCTTGGATATCTCATACCCGTTTGCTGAGCCATTAGCGGCGCCATTGGCGACGTAGCCCGATGAGTTGACATCCTGTGCGGCATCGGCATTGGTCAAGTGGTAACTGCTGGTGAGCGGGTCCCACACCACAGTGTTGGACATAATGTTAGGGGATATACACATTGGGTGGTACTTCAGTAGTATAGGCCACACCACGAACCGCAGTTGCGGAGGAATACCCAGTGTGCGCGCGACATAAGCCAGCGAGTCGTGGTCATTCCTGCGGACCAGCTCGATGACCTCCTGCACCAGCTCGCGGTCTCGGCACTGCTGTTTGATATGCTTCAAGGACTTGGACATTGCTGTACTCTCTTGCTATTGAGATACAAATGTATATGGTGGTAATAGAACCACTTTCTATAGCCTACAGTCCAGTCTATGTGATTACTGAGAGCACAGAGAATGATCATTTGATCATTTGGTCATTTGCGATATTGACTTCACTTTGCTCACAAGATGCCTCTGTACGGCTCCCACCAAAACCTGCTAAACAAGCTGGAGCCACGGTGCACAGATACACAGATACACAGATACACAGATAAATCACAGATAAATCACAGATAGACCCAAGTTCTCATCTCATCATTTCATCATACACACAGAGACACCGGCGCACAGAGACACCGGCGCACAGAGACACCGGCGCACCGAGACACCGGCGCACTGAGGCACTGACGCAAGACCAGAGCTGGGGCAGGGAGTTGGGGTGACAAGAAATAATAATTATGATCACGTGAAAAAGTACGTATACATGTCTCCACTAGATCACATGATCAAATACGCAATTACATGATCAACATGTGATTTACGATATATTCATACGAAAACGTAGATCTTTTCTTTTTTTAAACTTTTTTTCTTTCTTTTTTTCTGTGGATTTGGTCCATTTTGGGTTCGTTTTATTAATGTCTTGTGCGGATTGTTCTCTGAATTCCATTTTTTTTCTAATTTTTCTAAATTTTGTAATTTTTCTATTTTTAATTAAAACTAATTATTTCCTTTTGAGCTCTTTCTGCGGCAAATCTCTCTCTTCTCTGGTGTTTCTCTGGGGTTTCTCTGGGGTTTCTCAGCCGGCTGTTTTGTCGTGGCTTGAGAAAACTAATTAAAATTAGCAGTAGCGAAGGGAAAGCACACTACTTGTAATAGGCTTCAGTTGTGTTCTAATATTACCATTACAAATGAATTAATGTAGAGAGCAGTGTAATCAATGTAGAGAGCAATGAATCTCATATCAAAAGCAATAAATCCTCTCATGTCGGATATATGTATAGTATCGCAAATTATTATAATGTCACGATTAAATCAGCTTGCCACAAGGGTCTTATCAAGTCTAGAACTTCAGGGACCAATCCTTACGATTCTTACCACAAAATGTAATTAGAATTCAGGAAAATCCTTTGTGTTCGCATTGGCTGAAGGATTTGCGCGTGTCCTTGTTGTCCTCCCCCCACCGCTCCCCCCACACTTGAGACAATATTACAATTAAATGACAAATACATCCCATCCCATGCAGTAATGTAAAGGTAAGTATGTTATGTATGGCATATTCTATGCACCGGAAAAACTACAAATAAGAAGAAAAGATCGTGAGAAAAAGAAATACCTTGTAAGTCATACATGGATAGTTAAAACACCTCTCCCTCTTATATCCGGTCAGTCATATATAAATATCAATAAAAAAACAAAAAAAAATTCAAACATTTGGGAATTTCGTATTCTTCCAGAGACAAGTAATACCTCTTTGAACACTGCGATGCACACTATGGTAAAGAATGGACAGCAAACACCTGTATTGCTGGGTTCTAAAATCGAACCCAGGGATAGCACAAGCATAAAAAGTTTAGTCAACGAACCAAACACTCCCACCGATATGTACCACCCAAAGATTAAAACAGAGTATGATATGACTATCAAGAAAGAGTCTCCCACTTCAACCGAGCCACTCAAGGAAACAACAAAGGACACTTCAAAGGACACTCCAAAGGAAACACTCATTTGTAAATGGTCTCATTGCTACCGGGAGTTCCAGCAGGCAGAACTGTTGTACCACCACTTATGCCAAGAACACGTTGGAAGAAAGTCCCAAAAGAACTTGCAACTGAAATGCCAGTGGGACAATTGTACTTCAAAGACTGAGAAAAGAGACCATATGACATCTCATCTTCGGGTCCATGTGCCTCTGAAGCCATTCGCTTGCTCGACTTGCAGTAAACGCTTTAAAAGACCCCAGGACTTGAAGAAGCATTTAAAGATACACCTGAGTGACCTAGGAATAGATGCACCAAAAAAGAAAAGAGGTCCTAAAGTCGGTTCGAAGCGAGTCAATAGCAAATCTTTCCACAAAGTATCCTATGACCAAGTTCCTGCAATTGGCAGCGCTTCACAACCAAGGTTTAACCACTACGCACCTATGCAAGCGAGCCAACCTGTATCTTACGAGCACTGGGTCCAGATGGAAATGCCACATTACACACCCGTTTACAGCCCCGCATTGGCTGAGCGAGTACAGGCTATTTCTGCACCAACACTCTACGTACAAGGGTTCGAGAATCGAGAACCAGTCGTCGCCGCAACACAGTTTTTCACTCGATTATCCACAAATATGGCATACCAAGTGCCAAATATTCAAAATCAGCATCTTTATGTGCCAAACTATGTAGGTAGACCAGATAATCTGTATCTGCACAGCACAGCACATTCATCTGACAATTCCGTAAAAACGTCTTCATCATCGAGTCCAATAGAAACGAGCGTGCCTACTACCCACCATACAGATAACAAAAGAAGTCCCTTACCTGCCATCCATTATGTGCCCCAAAGCAATATACCTCTCGTACATTCACATGTTCAACCACACTACAGTGCAAATGAGGTAAGACCTTTGCCTAGTCTATCATCTATATCAATGGTTACACCAAAATATGTCATCGACCAAAACTTACCGAAGTACAATAGAACATATGATACTTTCAGTACAAATCAAAAGAGCTGTGCTGATGAGGAAGAAGAGATATATGATTCTGATGTTTCAGATGATGAAATTTCAGACATGATGAACAAGGTTAATTTGTCGGATAAAAACGCTAATGAAGAAGAATACGACAGCGATGAGGAAGATTTTATTGCTACATTTAAGAGGGTAAATATCTTGAAGGATTATGCAATTTGTACATTATTGGAAGAGGAATATGATACTGAGGATGAACCTGAACCAGTACTTCAGCCTAATGTTGCTGAATCAAAATCATTTGATGCACACTTAATGACTTTTCCGGAAATCCTAATATGACGAATAACGCTTACCAATTGTGATTCATTTACTCTAAGTTTTGATCTTTTCTACTTCACTCGCTCAACTTATATATCCATCATTATCAATGACATACTTCCCACGACAGGAAATATGAAGATCTCCTAATGTCAAGAAGAATTGCTATATAAATAATATAATAATAAAAATAAATAGTTACTCTTATTTTATATGATGAGATTGGTTGTTTTCTGTAACTACTCAGTGGGAAGCTAATGAACAGGTCAATATGAGTTATTGAGTATAAGGTAAGAATTGACTCGATTAAGTAGTTAATTATAGATTATGTGCGAATATATTCATAGTAATAGTTAATTAGTGCATCGGATTTCGTTTGCATCTGTAATGACTACTTCTTGAATAGTTCAAGATATAAATATATGGATGACTTAAATGATAGCAACTGTGTTATATTGATATGCGCTATCGAATTCTAACAAGATAGCACAAATAATGCATAAAAATAGAAAGATATTATTATGTTGGTAAATTAGGGGAAGCGGCATATTAGTTTAAGGTTTAGTAGTATATTTAAAAACAAAATAGCTGCCAGACCTGAAATTTGCATCATTGATTGGCTGTTAGTAAAAAAACAAAAACATGATTGTTGCATGATGTTTAAGAATAAATGAACGAGTTGTAATTTGCATTAAGCTACTGGTATCAAAATAAATTAAAAAAAAACTTTGGGATATGCTGAAATGATATGAACGAAGTTCTTATTAATGCGAGGTAGGGTATCTTATCATCACTCTTCATCACTCTTTGAAGTATCAGCTTCATTCTCTAAATCTTTTCTAAGCTCTCTTTCTTGGTAATCGGCCTCATGCCAATCATTTCTTAGCATGATTACTATGATAGTGGCCGGTGTACTTATTAGACCTATGACAACACCATAAATCATTTTCATAACTTGTGGAAACGGGTAATGGTTGAAGTAATATTCATGGCTTCCAATCTTGGTACCTATACCAGCTAAGATACCCATAGTCACTGGCCATACAAAGAACCAGATGATTGCGGACAAGATTAAGCCTCTAATAACCTTTTGTATTGCCCATTCTATGAAATTCCACATAAATCCGTGGTTATCATAATGTATAAATTGTTTTAGTAGGTACTCCTTGAATGTCAAGGGTTTGAATCCGGTTTGAGGGTTGAGGTGGTCTTTTGAGCTAGTATCTTCAAAGGACATCCTATCCTCTTTGTTCCTGTGTTCATCAGGGTTTTCTGAGTCATTTGCTGTACTTTCATCGTTTGGCTCCTGTTGTATAGGATGAGCAACCATTTGGCTAGTATGTTGCGGGGTCACTGTTCCAGGTGGACCATTTTTCTCATCGTCCAGTACCACAGCGGCTTCCTGCGACCAGTCAAGCCATTCGGCATACATACGCCTCATGCCTCGATCCACTTCAAAGAACAGTCTCACCCACTTATTCTGAGGGATTTTCCATGGCCATGGTATATGGCCACAAGTTCCTAAGTAATCGTCCCACCCTATGAACAGTTCTTCTGCGACCCAGGTAACACACACCTGGATAAACACTGTAAGGGCACAATCACCACTCATGGTGTGGGGGAACCTCCACAGTGTGATCTTCTCCTTGACTCCATGATACATACCGTACGCTACTGCGAACTCGATACCACCCGATATTATCGCACTGGGCACCGCCTGTATTATGAATATGAACACGAGCGTGTGTAACAGCCCTCGCTTGGGCTCCGGAATCTCTTTTGGCATGTCTATAACAGCTTGTGGGGCGTGTCCAGGAGGGCAGAGTGAGGTACTACTTTTCAAGAACTAAACAAGTTTATAGAACGTTTCAAATATATAACATTTTCAGAAGCAGGGGAAGGATCGGCGATATTATAGCTGTTTCAATTTTTTTTTTCTTTATTTCCATCGAGGATAAATCAATAATGTTACCAGAATAGGAGTAGTGATAGTATCTCCGATTCAACATGGATATGTAAGTTGATTGATGTGCTACAACTATTTTGAATTTACCTAATTCGACAAAGTAATTAAAAAAAATTTCATCATCGCACAGAGGGAAAAGCAAGAAAGGAGCAAAAAACTCCTCAGAAGGGACCTCGAAGAGAAGAAGCAAAAGATTCAAACAAGAAACCGAAAATTCTTTGCGAGAATTATTGACTTGATAAGGGGGCCCAGGTAAGAATAGTGTGCAGTAAATGAAGTACAGAACAGAAACAATAAATGTCAGAGATGCCTAGAAGGACTTGCAAATATGTTCTGTGACTTGCGTAAAAGCAAGAAAAAAAAAAGTGGGATTTTACCTGATACGACGTAATTCAAAACATCTCAATAGTGTCACAGCTTATCGTAACGGTGAACCCTAAGATCAAACGAATCAGAAGACAACAAAAAAAAAAATGCTTACAATGAATATGTAAGGCACTTCCAAACGAAATCGGGGCTAAATTAGTAGCGTCAACGATACTTACAAGCTAAGCTTCAGCCTTGTTATGAAAGATAGAGTACAACAACGCCCTAATATACTTGCATTACATGTAGAATTATTGATAAGGCAGTAATGCATACTTTCGTACACAAACCTAAGTCACAGGTCATGTAACTGGCATACGTACCACATTATATACATAATCCTATGAATAACACGTGTATATCACATATGACGTTTCTTAAGCCGGGTCTTTTGTTTGTTTCTGAATTTCAGCTTGAAAAAATGTGAAAATCCGCTAAGATGGCGCCATAAGGCACGGAGGAAATTAGGAAGGATATAGACGCGTAGTGACAACCTGAGGTGGCACCATAGGCTTAACTTCACAAGTGCATATTCGTTTACAAGTCAGTTTAAGTAAGGACTTGAAAATAGTACTTTGAGTTTCTTACTTACGGAAAGGGATAGTATAAGAGAGCTTTTTTTTTTCGGGTGGGAATGGCTGTAGTTAAGAAGAAGAGGTATTTAAGCAAGTCTCTGAAGAACGGCAGAGCAGCTCGTGTCCAGAGGAATAGGACTGAATATGCAGGCATCAATGGGAGTAGTTTACTGTCGGGGTCTATGGAGCTCCTAGAGGTGGATGAGGAGTCCCAAAGTTTAGTGATGGGGGATGATGAGAGTGTAGCGGAGTTTGAACAGAGGCGGCTGGCTGCGGAGTCCATGAACGCGATAACGCATGATGAGAGTGATACTATATCGTTTCGTAACTACCTTCTGGCGAATTACCTGCGTGGTGCTAACTATTTCAACGCGCTCACGATACATAATGTTCCAGTATCCAGGATCAAACCGCCTAAGCTGTTTCAATCGCCAATATCCCTGATGGAGTTGAAAAAGATGATCGAGTTACAAAAAGCAGGAATAGGTAAAATCAAAGCTGTCATGGACACATGGATAAAGGAAAGGGAGTCGATGGTGAGCACTGAACATACCAAGTTTTACAAATCACGAATGAAAGTGTTGGATACAGATGGGCTTGAAGGTATACACCACGTGGTAAAAAACATCGAATCTAGACTTGGAGGCAGACTACAGGATAGAGCTTACCATCTCTACGATCCGGAAGTATTTGGAACTAAATTTAGAGGCGATATGAGAGAAGCTCCAGAAGACTATTGGGAAAAGTACCCAGAACTGGTAAAAGAACGTAAAGAAAAGGAGGCAAAGATGTTGAGAGAAAAGGAGGAAGAGGAACTTCGGAAGAAAGAAGAAGAAGAGAGGAGAAAGCGTGAAGAAGAAGAGGCTAAACAACGGCAACAATTGGAAGATGACCAATTGAAGAGAAATCAACAACCTTCCGAAACACCTTCGGGAGCATTACCTCTGCAGATTACGGTTCCGTTAAGTGGTGCTGAAAATTCTTCTGGTGGACATACACCAGCACCAGGAATGGTCACAGCCTCTATGGGAAACAGCAGTGATATTGGTCTTGGCACAGACCAACAGCCACAGCCATTACCTGTTACCCAGGAGCCATTGTTGAACGTTGCATCCGCTCAGATACCACCACAAGACCAAGCTCAGGATATCGAGAATGTATTTGGCGAATACGAGGCCGAACCATTCAATACCGGATTTGACGACGAGTTTGCTGATCTAGACAATGTATTCTTCTAAACTCAACAGAAATCAATGCATCTCATCCTAACTAAAGAAAAATTGTAATATTAAATAGTGCCTCTGTAGAGCTGCAGCAGTTGTAATCTCCATAGTTATTTTAGCTGTACGACAAGATATTAATTTGATCAACTTTATAGAAAAACGGGTAGGAAAACATCAACTAATAGTCATAGAACATTAAGAACATTTCGTTATTCAACAATCAAATTGAAGTGGTAACCTTAAACTAAGTGCATCTGTAAAGTATTGTTGTATCCTTTTACTACATTGTGTCAAGATAGAGGGCTTATCAGTTTTAGAGATTCACTAACCTAAGGTAAGTTGTATACAATTTTCGATAACGCATGTGAAATTTCAAAACAGAAAAAGTTTCTTTCAAGTAATATTAGTTGTAATCTATTGCCTGGTAATAGTGTACAGTGGAAAGAATTTGACGTTTAGCGTCGATCCTCGGCCCATGGTCATCCAATTGTGCCACGATGACGAGGGACTCATAGTTCATCTCTGGGTGCATTACTTAATTTTTTTTTTTTTATTGCTGTGTCACTAATTGAGGGCTTTACCTCTCTTTTCTGTGCAATACTTCAAGGTCTTTTAAGCTCTTCATATGACAGCACACACCCGATAAGATGTGCAGATGAGTACCCGAGATCTCTCGTGCAGATACACCTCAGACTACGCAGCATTCAATGCGGCTCGTATGCATTAATGAATCTGGAGCTACATTTTCTACATGAATATTCCGGAGCGGCTACTGTGCGGTATATAACTCTCACGGAACATTAGTTACATTATTCCGTGTAAATTTCACTCTGCTATCCTATTACTGGTAATTAGGCTAATGTAACTAGAAAGTACCGTACAGATTTTATCCGACATCACAATGTAGCTCACTCATACGAGTAAATAACTGAAGCTACGCCATCTTCTCTTTGCCGGACATATCATTGCACATGCAATTTATGGGTCACATCCCTCCGTTCCTGTACGTATGTTTCTTTGTGTTAATGAACCCTTTTATACACTTTCCCAATCCTCTCTCAAGCACCAGTACCAAATAGTACTCCCTTCCCCTGGAAATGTGAAAGGGGCCTAAGAAAATAGCGTACCCACGGAGTTAGGGAAATAGGAGTTTGTCTTATTGTTGCGGTTTTTCCTAGTACTCCGTGTCATCTGTGATCCCTTCCGGGCCCAACGAGGAGCAGTTGTAGTGCAATTGCGAGATGGAAAAAATAGAGAGTAAGGCAGTAGAAGCAAAATAGGGGACCAGCACTTTCCTCTTCTGGATTAATGAGATTCGGTGAATCTTCTCCGCAGTTCCACAAGAAAAACTATGGATTTGTTTTTCCGTGTGCGACAGAATCTGAATACATCGAGATATTTTCCAATATATTAGCACGGAAAAACTACGTTCTCTTCCTTTGTTTCTGAAGGGAGGAAAAGTAGAATAGCAATGACGGTGAAAAAAAAAAGGGCAAATCACTTGCTCGTACGGTCCTATCATGAAGGGAGCACAAAGGAACAGAGGCAGCCTATTTCTTTACCACATTTGATCCCCTACTAGGAGTACTCTTGTAGAGGGGATTGGTGAAGACACAAATAAAGAAATTGGGAAATGTGAAAACAAATCTAGTTTGTCATAATAACTAACATTAGAGGAAGAAAAATCCTAATAAGTTTTTTTAACAATTTTCGTATTGAAGGAACCATTTTGGTTTTATTGCTCCTAAGGGTAGGCTGTGTATTTGAGAACAATAACATGGAGAAAAAGAAAAAGGAAAAGAGCAGTTTCTGCCCTACTCTTCTAGAAATGTGGTGAGAGTGGCATGTTATATGGCCTGTATTGAGCGATGAAAAGTCTGTAATATTCCCTGATATATAATGTCTTCTTGGTTTTTTTTTATAATCACTTGAACTATTTTGTCTAATCTTTGTTGTATAATGCATAATAAGAAACACAACATGTCTGATCCCAGTGCAGGAGAAGTAACAGCATATAATTCATCTCACGATAAGGAAGTTGGAGTGATGTCCTCCACTAGTAGCGATAGACCATATGATCCTCTAGCGCCCGAGAATGAGGGCGTTGCTTCGTCAGATGTGGAGAGCACCGACAGTGGGGAAATAAGAAGTTATGGTCCTGAGGAAGTCTTGAAGAATGGCTCACAGATTAAAGATAAAGGACCCGCTCTATCGAAAAACTCCACCCAAACATCAGCTGTTGAGTCAGCAGTCGCAGCAAACAGGCGGTTATCCAAGATTTTGACTAATACTGTAGATGAACCGGATGTGCTTGAAGTAGATTACTCCAAATGTCCCCCCATGGGGGGAGGAAGACCATTTCCTCCTACATTACCAGAGAAAACTCAGTTTGAAGTTACATTCGATGGCCCTAATGATCCTTTACACCCTTTTAATTGGCCCCTACGAAAGAAAGTTATGCTATGTATCATCCTGTGTTTGAATTGTATTAGTATAACGATGGGCTCATCCATCTTCGCTACCGGTATTCGACAAATATGTGAAATTTATCATGTGATTCCAGTGGTAGCAATTTTAGGAATTACCTTATACGTTCTTGGTTTTGCTGCTTCGCCAGTTATCTATGCACCATTGTCGGAAATTTACGGAAGAAGAGGTGTCCTAGTGATATCCTCCTTCGGGTTCGCTCTTTTTAACTTCGCTGTCGCAACAGCAAAGGATCTGCAGACAATCATGATTTGCAGATTTTTTGCAGGTTTTATCGGAGCCGCTCCTCTAGCGGTCGTGCCTGCGGCGTTTGCAGATATGTTTGATACGAACATCAGAGGTAAAGCTATCTGTTTATTCTCACTGGGTGTTTTCGTTGGTCCAATCTTAGCGCCAGTGATCGGTTCATACATTACTCAACACACAACATGGAGATGGTTAGAATATGTCATTGCCTGCTTTGCCTCTGCGATTTTTGTTGCAATTTTGTTTTTCTTTGAAGAATCCCACCACCCTTCGATTTTAGTCGGCAAGGCCAAGGAACTACGTAAACTCACAGGCAACTGGGGTATTCATGCCGCTCATGAAGATGTGGAATTGTCCGTCAAGGAGATTGCAGAAAAGACTATCACGAGACCAATCATTATGTTATTCACTGAACCACTACTGTTAATTGTTACTATCTACAACTCCTTTGTGTATGGTATTCTTTACTTGTTACTGGAGGCATATCCGATTGTCTTTGAACAAGGCTATGGATTCCACACTAATGGTGAACTACCTTATATCTCTTTAATTATTGGTATGGCAATTTGTGGTGCATTTATCTGGTGGATGGATGAAGACTATTTGAGAAGATATAGAAAGAAAGGTGGTCTAGTGCCAGAAGCAAGACTGCTACCAATGGTCGTTGCAGGTATTGTGTTCCCTATTGGTATTCTATGGTTTTGTTGGACTGGTAATTACCCTCACAAAATACACTGGATTGTTCCAACCATTGCAGGTGCATTTACAGGGTTTGGTCTGATTGGTATTTTCTTACCATGTTTGAACTATATCATTGAGTCATACTTATTAATTGCAGCATCTGCTGTTGCTGCAAACACCTTTATGAGATCTGGTTTCGGTGCTGCATTCCCACTATTTGCAGGTTATATGTTTAACGGTATGGGTGTCAATTATGCAGGTCTATTACTAGGTCTCTTAGCTGTGGCCATGATACCAGTCCCATTGCTGTTCCTAAAGTACGGTCCAGGAATTAGAAAGAGATCAAAGTACGCATATTCGTTATAAATCCAAAAAGAATAAAAACTAATAATATCTTAACGAAATTGGTGCCCTCTTTTTTTTTTTTTGTTTATTTTTTGTTATACGTTGTTATAAAGCACCTATCCTTATCTCGATATCCCAACTTCCAAATTAAAAAATGGGACTAGAGTTATATCAAAACTATAATACATCTATGCATTTTTAATTTGTCTCTTATTCCTATCTAAAATGAAAATAACTAAATATAATACAATTAATATAGACTAGTTAGTCTTTAGTATATGTTTATAAGTACATCTTCGATCAATAGAAATGAGAACGATAAAGGGCTTAAGAGATTGTTATCAAAAGGCTATGCCTGTGTTAAACGTGACATCAACAAATACGATGCTCATCAAGTGTATAAGAGCGATATAATCGAGTAATTCCGAAAACTCGGAGCTGATCTCAGACCGATAATTAGGGGAGGAAAGGCAAATGCACATCTTTGCACTGCGAATATATCGGGTCAGCTCTCACGAGAATGTGTGCCCTCGGTTGGAACAACTGACAGACCGACTCTAACAAATCAGTGTAGTACCAACCTTACATTTCCCCTTTAGCTTCGCATATACAGGAAGATTGGCATTACCCGGAAATTGTTGGGGGGGGAAGGAGAAGCCATTTCTACCACTGAAAACCCGCTGGAAATTGAGAGTAAATGCGATATCCCGAGAAAAAAAGTCAGGATGTGTGATGGGCTTCTTCGTTATTACTACAGTCCGGGGAGTGCACGCACAAATCAGTTGAAGGAGTCCCAACCCCTCCATGCTCCATTAGCCCATATATTACTGTGAAAGCCACGTACAAAAATAGAAATAGCTATTAACTCGGATGCATGAAAATCCCCTGTCGCATGGGAAGGAAGGTAGTGTGAAGACTCCCATCTCTCCGGAAAATCTCTGTGATGGGGAATGCGTATCTTAGTATGGTTCTGCTATCTGATTTGCTCGGTGGGGGGAGGGTATTCTGGCAAAGCTTGGTTACAGAGTGCCAGATAGCACTGTTGACCAGCGCAACAAGTCCTTTTGAAGAGTTGAGAACCACTCGTAGAAGCGATTCTTTATCTTACCAGGAACGAGGTCACATAAAAAGCTAATACATATATAAAGAACAATGTTAAATAATTCTAAATTAATTATGTGTCCATAGAGCATTAGAGCCATATAGTTTAAAGCTAGTAATAACTAGTTGAAGATATAAAAAAATACATTATTATTACGATTAGATGACGATATGTTGAGAAATACAGCATTAAGAGGTGTCAGGTGGGGCAGCACTAGTGTTAATACCGTTGGTGCTCGTCCACCTTTTAAATTTATGTTTCAAAAGGAGGCCAAGCCCAGCACGGGAAACAGTCTTAGGGCCACAAATGGCAAATGGAGCAGTTATAAGTTACCTACACCATCAGCAACAACTTCCATACCAGACATACGAAACGACACTGTGAAAAGTGTCACGCTAGGCATACACAATAAGGAATCCCCCGCAGCAAAGACAATGGCAGTACCAGTTAAGGAGAGAGCGCATGAAGGGTTGAAGACCTCTAATAAGGGCAAGAAAAGAAGACTTGTACCGCACAAGCAGCTCATTTCACTGACCCCAGCTGCTGTGGCGCACCTAAGGTCGCTGTGTCAGCAACCAGAACCAAAATTAATACGGATTAGCGCTAAACACCGTGGCTGTGCAGGTCTCAGCTACGATTTATCATACATAGACGCACCCGGTAAATTTGACGAAGTAGTAGAACAGGACGGGGTACGTGTTGTGATAGACTCCAAAGCGTTGTTCAGCGTGGTAGGGAGCGAGATGGACTGGGTGGAGAACCGTCTATTCAGCAAGTTTGTCTTCAAGAATCCAAACTCCAAGGGCACGTGTGGGTGCGGTGAGAGTTTCATGATTTAGAAGCTTTTCTATATTCCAATGAGAGAATTACTTTCAAGACTTTTAATTTTGTTTTGTTTTTTTTTTTCATTTATTTTTATTTATTCTTACCTGTCCATGTCATTTTGGAGAATTCCGTCTACACTCTTTCCTTAGACTGAAACTGCCACACAAAAACTATTTATTATATATTATATCTATTTCTGCATTATAAATTTAAATTATACAATACATTTTTATCTATTCTGGTATTTATCACTTATCTTAATCTATTAAGTTGTTCCTTCATGGAATTGAGGTTAAACCTCAACTAGATTGTACAAGAGTTCTTTGTTAGGCCCAAAAAAAAAAAAAAAAAAAAAAAAAAAAAAAAACTCTCCAAAATGTCTATATTAAGTATTGGCTATATCCATTTTAATTGGCTTCATCTATTTTGAGGTTCAAATTCCATGGAGATCGATCTACTTGAAATCTTGATTTTTAAGCCTCGGACATATCCTGTAACATATCTGTCAGACATTCTCGTATCTGTTACAAAACAATCTGTGTGGCATAGCCTTCATAAAGGTCATAGTTCTGTTATATTTCTCTTATGGTTCTGTTACAGTTCTGTTACAGTTCTGTTATATGTTTGTGGCAAATCTGTGGCACCTCTTATAGACATATCTCACTCTCTCTTCATCACTGTTGATCTACTTAGAATAAGTGAACTTTTACAAAATCTTGGGTCCCATATCACTGAGCTTATTATTCAAAACATAGCACCTTTATTTGGAAAAGTGTTACTCCGATTTACGGTAAAACAGAAAGTGATTTCTATTATTTCTTGTTGTACCTGTGTTTTATTAGTGACTCCACAATCGAAATACTTGAAAGTAGACGGTTGCTCTTGTCTTGCATATGAATCGGAGTTCCAGAAACATGTGTAATTGCTGAATGTTTCACTTTTTACTCTATAGGGATCATACGAAGCACCCCCGGCCAGTGCTGCTCAGAGATCTCTGTGTAGTGGCCATAGATGTCAAACCCGGATGTTTCTTATTGGACGTTGTGGACAACATAAGAGTACCTCTATTCTCCAACTCTAAAGGGAGCCCATACAGAGAGGAAATTGGACTGGAACTGCCGCGGAATCTTTGAAATTTCTCCTACAAAGACATGAGTGCACTAGAGTCCATTTCGGGCGGTATTCCATTTTAAGTAATTAGATTCTATAATATCCATGGTGACATCAGCAGTTCTCAAGAATGATGACATAAATAAATGGGAAAAACAAGTTATTAGTCGCAGTCGCGGTTCTTTCTGTGGGTGTCATCTGGAATACTGTTCCTTGGTGCTCAATGGCTGCAAAACTCTATGGCCAGAAATTTGGCGTAGAAATCATGAAGCAAATACCATTTCCCCAGAGATGTGAGGTGCTTCAAGTAACTCTAGGTAGCGTTAGCAGTCATCTCTCAAACAAGGACATATTTTCCCAATTTTTCAGTTTCTTTTCGATCTTTATGAACTTCGATTTCTGTTTCGATGATTCCAACTAGCGCTCTTTGTGCGTCCCAAACTGTGGAACTTGAAAAGGGGGGAGGTGTCAAAGAAACTACTCATATCCAAGAACAGATAAAGCTATATAAAGTGCCGTACAACCTGGCGGGTAAGAGCTGTTTTAATTACAAGAAAACGCATTACAACGCGGCCTGCGATAAAATAGTAGCGGAGCGGTGCAAAACTTGGGAATGCTAAGATGGTGGAGATGAATTTCCACTGATCTCCCTGCTTTGTTTTGACAGTCCCGTCAAGTAACAATCATGTTTAAATATATAGATCTTTCTCTTCCGCGTTGACGAACACGGCGCATAGCCGAGGAGAAAAACCTTCTTTCCCTTTCAAATAGTCTTTTGACAGCAGGCAGCCACAGATACAAATGTGTAACAATGCTGAAATCCTTATATTGGGACATTTTTACGTTGGGACAAACATAGACATGTAATCTGTTATTCTTTCATGGGACTGCCTTGAGATTTAAGGGAATGGTTAGAACTTCTCGTTAAACCCAGTGGGAGGGCACAGTGGGGAAGGGTTGAGGTTAAAGATCAAAAACATGGGCGGCAACAGGCAAATTGTATATAAGGGGGTAAGGAAAGTTCCTTTCCCCCTTTCTCTTCTTCCTTCCTTTTCTTTTGTGGGCGGTTAATTGACTTTAGTGTTTCTTGTGTTTATACCTTTGAATTTTATGTATTTCAAGATTTGCTTTTGTTGGACAGAAGAGTATAGTTTCTATTAGTATTTCTGTTGTATCTTTTTTTTTCTTTGAAGCTCATACGTTTTGCTATTGTAACTCATAATATTTGAAATCACAAAGAGAAAAAAAAAAAAATTAAGTCATAATTCTAGTGTATTTTTGAATTTCATTTGAAGTTGTCTTTTTTTGCATTTTAACGACTGTCTTCTTTCCTTTCAATTGAAAATTGGGCAAAACAATATCAAAGATAAATTCTTTCGTTAAAACTAGAACATATAATATTACTTCAATAACAGTTTGGAGTGAATAGAAAATTATAAAAAAAACAAAAAGAGCCAAAACATTTCTCGGCCATTTCTATTTAAAACAGGTCAAGAACAAACAAGTTCAATAGATAAGAATTGCTTCAAAGCAGACAGGTTTTTCTATTGGCGAGGAAATAAATCTCGATTTTGGTCTTTAGATAAACTAGCAAAATCTTTTTTTTTTTCAGCAGTCCAAGTAGCACAAACTAGTCGTGTTATTGTTCGAGATAAAGAAAAAGGATAATAGATTAAGATAAAGTAAGAACAAAAAAATTAAAAAAATAGCGCACACAATTGGCAGAACTCCTTGCATCCTCGAAGGGTAATCTAATTCGCTGACTCATTTACCATACAGTTGCTTTTTGAATAAGAAACTACAAGCTGAAATCACGTGTGTTCCTACTTCACGGCTTATTTCAATCTGGTTATTGCTATTGGTTATTGCGATATAAACGGTGAAGAGCAACAACAACTCCTGGCTAAAAGTGTTACGAAAGGTAAGGGGAAAAAAAAACTATATATAACACACACGGCGAGAAAAATTAACTGTATCGCGTTCTTGTTTAGTTTAGTTTTTGTTAGTGGGTGGTGTTGATCTTAATTATTTGCATTTTAGTTTACCTGGCTACATTCATTTAAAACTTAGGGAAAAAATACTGGGTTTGTATTGATACTAAAAATTGAGATTATTATTTTTAGTTAAGCGAGAAAAAAAACGAATTGTTATTTATTAGTTTTAATCTTTGGTTTTATTTATTTTGCTTTATTTTGGCATTATAAATATTTTCCATTTTATTTTTCTTAGACCTAGCAATTTTTTTTTCGCTTTTTTTTTTGTTACTCGGTAACCTGCACCTCCTATATTACTAAAATGGTGGCGGCAGCAATTGATATTACTCATGTATCAACCAAAGTGGAAAATTTTTACTTAGACAGCAATATTAGTGAAGTTGTAAAAAGGGAAGTTTCTCTCCATTTTAGTGACGATAGCGATATCAATTTAGAAAATGTTGGGCAGGAGTATGAATACGAAGAAGACGATAATAGCGAAGAAGATAACTATAACGATATTGAGGATGATGATAATGACAGTCCCATTTATGAAGATGACTCAGAGATTGAAGAGACGACATTTAATATAAGCAAGAGGTCAGGTCATGGCGGTAAAAAAGTTTATAATACTTTCTCATCATCAAACTCTTCATCCCAATCATCCCCATCGTTGGTTTCAGCTGTCTCGAATATTAGACCAACTTTTCATTCAGACTCAGAGTCTTATTCTTTATCAGAAGGAGGTTCCGGTTTGAATTTGACTAGAGGAAGTCGTATAAAGTCCAGATCGATGTCAGATTCTAGATCAGAATCATCTTCGTCATTATCTGTATACGCCTCAATCTCTTCCTCTACAAGTACTAACGCCTTCAATTTCAGAGCTGATAGTGGTCAGCAAGGAATTAATGATTCTCATAAAATTACAACTGAAAATAAAAATACTACAATAAAATCACCTGTATCCCATGAAAATGATAAATATACCAACAAACTAAAGGCTGAGAATGAAACAACACCAGATAATGTGACCAATACAGCTGATACAATAGGTGATTATAAAGGGAGGCCTTCGGCATGTATTTTTGTTGCAAGTTTGGCCTCATCATTACCAGATGATCAATTATGCATGAATGTCACGAAGCATTTTCAAAACTATGGTCAATTGGTAGGTGTTAAGGTTTTGAGAGATGATCATAACAGGCCTTATGCCTTTGTTCAATATATAAATGACAAAGATGCAAAACATGCTTTAAAGAATGCCAGTGGTACAGTTTTGAACGGTAGAAAATTAAGATGTGAGGCGGCCAAAGTAAATAGAACCCTGCTACTAATTAACTCGAAGCCAATCGAATATACTGAGGTAATCGACTTCTGTAATAACTTTGGTAAATTGGAGGTGTTAGTTCCAGGTAAACAGTCTTCCTCTATTAGACAAGGAGGTGGTTTTAACAAATTGGCGCCTTTTAGATCAAGTATTGGTATAAACATCAAACAGAATCAACACAATTCATTAGATAACTCCACTGTAAGCACATCCTGGTTCACTCAATTTGTTTTCAGAGAGGATGCTATTAGAGCATTTGCAAATATTAAGGACTCGAACTTTTGGGACGTTCAATGGGTTCAGAACGTTGAGGTCTCTCCGAAATATAATCTATTGAATCGGGCCGATCAATTTGTTAAGCGCAATCCTAGTAACGATTCTAACGAAAGAGACTCAGATGATTTTGAAAAAGACGAAAAAGCAAAATATGGTTCAACATTCTCACTAAATGCTCGTGAGTCGGATTTTCAACAAGACACAGATTCAGTCTCAACCATTTCTTCTGCTTCAAAAAGTAACGACAAGATTGCCGCTGACCTTAAATTTGCTTATAGACAAATAAACACCAGAGATAAGTTCCAAATTGATAAAAAATCGATATTTGTTGGTCAACTAGACCTATCGACTACTAAGGAGATTCTCGTAAAAAGATTTTCCACTCACGGTAAGATAAGAAATATAGATGTAGTCAGTAAGCCTACAACGGTTTTTGCCTTTATTGAGTATGAAACGGAACAAGCGGCGGCAGCTGCTCTCGATAAAGAAAATCATTCAATTCTTCTGAGTAAGACGATGCACGTACAGTATAAGGAGATAGGAGGACCACATGGGAGGAGATTGTTTAAAAGAAACTCTTATTTTAAAGAGGTATCAAAAACATTCACACCACCAGAGGCAAATTTGGCACCACCACCAATTAACATGTATATGAGAATGGTTTCAGATAACGATTCGACATTGATACCTTTTCCTTACATAGGATATCCACTTCCTGAAGGTATACATGAAATTGATATTGTTCCATTTTCTGGTAATCCATACATAAAAGCAGGTGTATCCGGTAGAAATATTTCAGCAACAGGTCATTGGTCCAGTGTAAGGTCAAATAGTAATCAAAGTACAATAGCAGATGTTAGCAGCTTGAATATAAATAATACTACTTCACTTCAAGCTAAAGATATAACTTCTGAGACTCGAAATGGTGGAACGACATTAGATGGAGATAAGTCACAATCATCTGATGGCGAGCATCATGTGGGTTCACCACTGTCTACAACATCTACAGAACCACTAAACTCTAGTGAAAAGCAAAATTTTAACCGTTACAATAATGGAACAAATGGTTCTTACACTTATGTGTCTAGACGTAAATTTATTAGCAGGAGAAATGGTTATGGCTATAACGAGCCTCCAAGAAATTGTTTTTTTCCACCATACGTTTATCCATTTCAATACCCAATTGGATCTATCCATGCTGGGCCTAATGCGTCAGGGAACCATCCTTATATGATGGTGTATCCACTACCTCCACCTCCTCCACCACCTCATTCCGGAATTAAGAATTCCATTATACCCCCAACTCCATTAGGGATTCCACAATCTAACACTTCAATACCACCAATGACGTCTTCGTCTTCTACACAATATATGTCTACAGACTCCCCTAAATTTATACCAGAGAAGAAGAAACAAGAGTTAGAATATTAACGTATCATGCACTGATATATTCTGGGTTATGCTGGTAATGATTGCTTACATAGCTTATCATTTTTTCAGCGGTAGCAATAAAGTAAAATTATGGTTGTTTAAATGTCATTAGAAACAAGAAAATTAATCATTGGTTTAATTATGGCTATATGTTTTGTTTTTTATGGATGTGTGATGCATTAGATCTTCAAGAGTAATAACGTATAGGGTTTCAGAACAGAGTACCTTGGTGAAATAATAATCAAATATGAAACCCTAGTGGGGCATGATGTGATTTCCTTCATCAATCAATAGGTTGGTTTATCAGCTACAGAAAGATACTAAATTACTTAATAATTGTAGCATCTTCTTATTCTGATAAACACATTTAATTAAAAACATAGATTTTTATTTCATTAGTGCATATATTTACAGATTTACCTGCACTCTTGATATTGTATATAAATATTATTGTTTAAACTAAAGAAATTATGCTTCAATACTTATTAACTAAATGTTGTTCTTACTTGGATGTGAACACAGGTTCTACCAGTGGTTAAGTTCAACTATATAATTACCTAGCGAAGTCAGAAGTCTCTTAATGTCATGGCGAGAAATATGTTCCTTAAGCATTACTGTTTCCATGGCGGTCCTGCCGTTCATGTATTTCATTACTTTATTAAATAATATCTTAATATCCTGAGGTTGATCCTGTATACACTTGTAAATCCATCTCTTTTCAAGTGCGGTAGCTCTTTCAGGTTCTAGAATAATAGTATAATCGTGATTGAATTCAGGGTCATCGTAATCAAACGAATCACTGTCATATTCGGTATCTCTTCCTTCGAGTGTATTGTCATTTATGTCAACTTTGGTACTCTTTGGAGGTTCATTTGCATTTTCATCAGTTGACAACAATTTGTTGTCGACATTGTCTTCTTGTCTTCTTCTTCTATTCGTTCTAAATCCTTCCTTTTCCAAATCCTCGTCAACCTTCATTTTAATCTTTTTATCTACCCTAATATAAACAAATGTGAGCAGTTGTGTTAGATATCCCTTTTGGATCAGCCATATAAGAGCCGCCATGTAAATAGGTTTATGTTCTTTGGAAGGAATGATATTTCCAAAGGCCTTTGGTTTCCCTAAAGAAAGAATGTTCAAGAAGGTTGGCAATGAAGGTAATGAAGGAAACTTCAATTTGAATGACTGTTGGTTCAGATAAATAACGGGTATCTTGGATGAGGAATTTGAGGTTACGTTGAGATCTGTAATACTTGGCTTTCGATTACCTTTTATCATCTCAGAGTTATCTGCCTCTACAGGTGAGAGAGGCGACACAATATAAGTGTTTTTAAAGCTTATAGGTAATATTGCACGCGCATGTCTCCAGTAAATCAAATGTAAAGCACAAGACCTTAATAATGCAGAATAAAAGGTATTAGTTTTATTATCTTTGTTTTGTTTGCTTTTATTAGCTGTGGTGGAAGAAGAGAGCGGTTTTTCAGCTAGTAATTCGTTTATAATATACTGATATGATAATAATGGAACATTAGGTTGAATGACTTTCACTAACTGTTTTAGAATAACCCCTCCAATGTCATCATTGGAAGAGTAGTTATCTAGGTCAGCAATAATTTTATCAGGATCATCTAACAACAAAATTGAGTATAATAGTAAGTCATCGTCATCATAATCATTTTGTGCCGTTAATGCATTTTCCATGTTCTTACTGTAAAAAATCTCATTTTTTGTTTGTCCATTAGAGAATGTGTTTACATGGTCGGAAATTAAGTTAGTATCACGAGCACTCTTTGCATGATGATTATCATCGATATTTGCAGATTTTTCTAAAAACTTATTATTCTGGATTGAAGTTAAAAAAGAGCCTTTCAAAACAGGATATAATTTATATTGAGGGAGTATGCTAAATTCATTTTGTATTGGGATTTGTAAAGACACAGTTCTATGATCAGTTATTTCTAAGCAGGCAATTTCATTTTTCTTTATCTTTTCGACACATTCAGTAAGAGCCCTTGCTAAGGATGATTTTGCTAATAACCTCTGGTATAAATATCTCCCCTTCTCTGAAGGTAATGATAGGCTTTTGTAGTGTTTCGAGTTTTTAAAAACTTTCTCCTTTTCTTTTAGTATTAGTTCACATTGTTCTGATACATAATCATTTTTCGACTGTAGATATCTTAATAGGACAGATAATCTAGCTACCACATATTGATACATGTCATCTACTCTCTTATTGTATTCGATAAGATTTGGATCCATAATAAAGCAAACATGAAACATCGTCATATCTTTTGTAAAATGATCATTTTGAGGATTAGATAGTGTTCTGCTCTTGTGTAGAGAGCCAACTTCTTCGATAATTTTTGAGCTCTCGGGACTATTTGGAGTCTCGGCACTGAAACTCTTATCATGATTAGAGGACTTCGATCCAGAGCGTTTCCTACTACCGGTTAAGCTTCCCGATCTTTTTGATTTACTTAAGGAGTTATTTCTTTTTCTTGATTTTCTCCAGTTTCCGCTAGAATCGACATGAATTGGATGGCCAAGGAAACAGTATTCGTCGACTGTTAATTCAAATCTAGTATTACACATTTCTCTGCTAGGACAGCAAAGTTCAGCCAGGAAATCTATATCAAACTCAAAAAACTTTGAAGTATCTTGATAATTAGCTTCAGTGAAGAATTCTTCTGTGATGTCTACCCTTTTCTCTGATGTCATGTAATCGAATTCTATGAGATCATCGTCTTCCTCCATATTGAACTGGTCATCGTTGGTATCATTCGTGTTTATCTTTGTAAATTGTGATTTTGGATCATTTAGGATGTCTAGAAGTTTGCTTGCGCTTATTTTTTGCCCATTATCTTTAGGTTCTCTTCCCAGGGATGTATTTCTCGACATTGACACGGGACTTACGTTCCTGGTTGACCTGGCACCTGCATTCTCTAGCTGTGATCTTCGGCTATCATCAGGGGTCTGTAAATCCAATTCTGAGTCTGATGAGCTCCCGGAGGTAGACCAATCGGCGTAATCAGTAGACAGCTCGCTGTCACTCAAACCGGAAGAAGGAGAAGATAGCGATGACGAGGAAGAAGATGAAGCGGTACGCTCCATCTTGCTTGAGTGCAAGTCTGAGTCTAGCTCGGAGTTCATGTCCCAATTGCCCGGGTGGCCTCTGCTCTTCATGCTCCTGCCTTCCGTCTCTCTCTTAAGACCGGTAGTGCCCAATTGCTGGTTCATGTGTGCATCTCTTGCAGTTTCGAGTATCCTATTCGATGGTGGGTAATGGTATATAACCTGGGGGCCTGAGTGTGAGGAAACCGCCAGCATCACACCCAATAGGCATGAATCCGGCAGAAACTCATTCATGATTATTGGTCAGGCAGTTTTTCAAATTGGCACGCTAAGCTTTTTCTTGTTAACAAGCAATTGTCTGTAGCAAGTTCTTTTATGTTTTGATAATATTTCGTATTGATTATCTTATGGAACAATTTTGTCATTGAATGCTGATGAGGTGCGATATAGAGAAAGAGCCCATATCTGGGGTGAAAAAAAAAAGTAAGACTGAGGGAGGGCTCTTAATATTTTCTAATCTGTACAAATATCTAAGCTGTACAAATGGAATTGCAATAAGTTCTTTCTTAGTAACGAGCCCTGGAAGTGTCCACAATACCTAACAGGCTGATCAGCAGTAAAGCCATCATATACCTATCTGTCGCTAACGTTACTCCAAGAAAAATATGCCATTTTAGTATAGTGGTTAGTACACATCGTTGTGGCCGATGAAACCCTGGTTCGATTCTAGGAAATGGCAGTTTTTTTTTGCTTTTGTTTTTTGTGTTTGTTGTTGTCTAACGCCGGACTCGTCTACGACGAAGACGCGAAAAAGCAAAAAAAATTGAATTTTATGTGCCGTGTAGCGTGTATCTATATACGCTATCATGTGACTCTAAAAATAGCCCAAATTTTCTCGCTTCGCTTCTTCTTCTCTCACACTATGTGTTGTTGATATCGCATTCAACGACGTGTCCTTTTTTCTTGATTTTTTCTCTCAACTCGCCGGACGGGGAGAGGCTCCTGTCGATGTCGATGTCGAATGTTTGGTGATTTGTCTCTTTTGTGTTGCCATCCCTCAGAAACAGTCGTGGAGGGGTTCCTTCTTTCTCTCTCTCTCGAGTTTTGATTTTATCTTTTGGGACAAAAAGAACAGATCAGCCATTCTAAGTTGCAAAAATTAAATAGAATAGGAATAAGAATAGGAATAAAGTGTTGGGCCATTATACAAGGGAATACGTGAAACACATAGCAGTTCGTGCGTATATAAACATACTTCAAGTTTTCAGATAGACGTCCCATTCTGTTTTGTAGATAGGCTAGAGAATCTTTTGAAGTCGACATGTCTTTTGAAGGAAGTGTTAAGAAAGAGCCCATTGAGGACGATGTTGGCGGGTACTCTATTGGTGCAGCTGCGCAAGCGCAGCATGCACCACAGATGGCGCCACAGGTGCCACAGGATATGAAGGATGTGCGTTCGAGTGTTAGCGCTTCTGTGACGCCGGCTAATGATGCCGAGGTTGCTATGGATCAGGAGTACTACGCGGATAGTGCGGATCACGCGGATCACGCGGATCACGCGCGTGAATTAGGCCAGGTGCTGCCTGAGCAGCCGGATTTGAAGATTGTTCGCCGCCAGGTTACTGGGTATGTTGGTTTTGCAAACTTGCCTAAGCAATGGCGGAGGAAGTCCATTCGCAAGGGTTTCACTTTCAACCTGCTATGTGTCGGTACCGCTGGTTTGGGTAAGACTACACTGGTGAACACTCTGTTTGGTCGCGATTTCGCGCCTGGGGCTATGGAGAGCAATATCCCAGGGGACTACCAGGCGGAGATGGACTCCGTGGACGAGAAGGTCGAGAACTTGAAGATCGAGGACACTGACGAGAACGGTATCGCCGCCATGGCCGCTGCTGCCGGTGTGGCCAATGGTCAAGGTAAGGCAGCCGAGGAGGAAAACTTAACCTCGTCGATTCATATGGAGAAGCAATCTGCCGTGATAGAGGAGAACGGCGTTTCCTTGAAGCTGACTGTGATCGATGCACATGGGTTCGGTGACGCCATCGACAACAGCGACGCCTGGCAGCCAATTGTGAGCGAGGTCAACAAGCGTTTTGACCAATACCTGGACGCCGAAAACAGAATCAACAGAGGCGTGATCGAGGATACAAGAATACACGCATGTCTGTACTTTATAGAACCAACGGCGCACTTCTTGAAACCTCTAGATATTGAGTTCTGCAAGCAGATCCACGAGAAGTGTAACTTGATTCCAGTAATCGCTAAATCAGACATCCTAACAGATGAAGAGATCGCAATCTTCAAAAGCAGAATCAGAAGGCAGCTGGACGAAGCTGGTGTTACCCTTTTCGAACCACCAACCTACGCTCTAGATGACGAAGAGACAGTCGCAGCAACTAAAGAGCTCGCAAATAAAGTGCCATACGCCGTTGTCGGTTCCACAGAGATGGTCACAAACTCAGAGGGTAAGTTGGTCAGAGGCCGTACTTACCCATGGGGTATCATTGAGGTCGATAACTCCGCTCACTCCGACTTCAACTTCTTACGCGACCTGTTGATAAGACAATACATGGAAGAGCTTCGTGAGAGAACTGTGAAGGTGTTATATGAGAAATATAGATCCGAGAAACTCATAAATCTAGGCATAAAACAAGATAACAGTGTTTTCAAGGAGTACGATCCAGAGACAAGACAGAAGGAGGAGAAACAATTACACGAGGCCAAACTTGCAAAACTAGAAGCTGAAATGAAGGCAGTGTTCCAGCAAAAGGTTTCGGAGAAGGAGAAGAAACTGCAGAAATCAGAAGCAGAATTATTCGCCAGACATAAGGAAATGAAAGACAAACTAACAAAGCAATTGAAGGCTCTCGAAGAAAAAAAGCACCAGCTAGAAATATCTATTTCTAAACAAGTGTCGCAATCACCTGTTCAGCCAAAAAAGAAAGGATTTCTACGTTAATGAATCAGAAAATTGCAGTTCTTTTATAATTATTAATACTGCTAGAAAGTTCTAATAAATTGAAAAGTTTGAAAAATCGAACTGCATATACCATGCACTGTTGAAGATTGTCAGGTGGTTACTATTTTTTCCCCATTTTCCTCTCATATTTGTACTCAACACCGGTTAGGATAAATAGATTTGATTTTGGGAAGGAGTTAACCAATCTAGAAATCTAGCATGCTCAATTACACTATTGCATTTGGTTTTTGATTGCTTGTTGACCGATAATGAGAGCTGCTTGAATTTTCTGAACTATTATGAATTCTTAAATCAATATAACAGCTGTCAACAGTTTAGCTTCGCCTCTTAATAGTAGACAAAAAAGAATCTAAGCTATGTAAATGGAAAACTATGTAATTTATACCCTCTATTTTCTTGAATATGATTACGTTTAACAGGATTATACTAATGGGGTCCCATCTGTCATATACCTCAAGTCTATTTATATATTGATGTCATTGAGGACGCATCGGACTGCAGGATTGTGCATTTGGCGTAAGTCTCACCTGATGGCCCATCGGTAACGTCATGGGCCATCTCATACTAGAATTTTTACAGCAAGTAAATCACACATTGACCTGCAGCTTATTGAGATATCTTAGGTTTGTAGAAACTGTCAGTACCGGGAGAATACCACGACGGGCGAAGATTGCTAGGGACAACAATACCTGATGGCGGAAAATGGTACTAAACCACTGGACATCGAGAAGAAGAAGAGAATCGCCAGAGCGTATGATGCTATCACGATATACTTCTCAAAGAGGAAGAGGGAAAAGTACAATATACCACGGCCTATAAAACTGCGAGTGGGTGAATTGAGTTCGCGGAAATTTTTCCAGTTGTTAACTGACCTTCATCATCAATGTGATTATAGAGATGGCCGCCTCAAGGAGTCAGATCCTATTATCTCTGAATCACAATTGCAAAAGAAATTATGTACATTGGATAAGTCGACATACATGAAATTGCTAAACGATACCATTAAAAGTTTCAATGAGAGAGGTTTATCATACCTAGTCACATCGCACAGATCGACCGAAGAGATACAACGGTTATCTCAGCAATACTGTAAAGTTTCAGTCATGAACGAGAACTTGAAGCAAAAGAAGTTAGAATTGGAATTGGCAGTGAGAGAGAAAAGGAATAAAAGTTTCAGCATAAATTATTTGAAAAACTCCATGTACAAGAGTGACACACTCATTGCTAAGTTTGAAGCTCCAAAAGACGGTATTCCTTATGTTTTGATTGTTCAGTTAACGGAATGTTTAAGTTCTTTGACTGCCTATGTGAGTAATACAAAGAGGGATTTTGATGTGGAAGGTATTTTTAAGACTATATTATCGGTAAATGAAGTATTTCGAGAAATAAATCTTTTTATGGATGTTCCAAGATACAAGAAACAGATATTCGTCCTACGATTGGCAATTTCTCATATGATAACATCAATTAGATTCTTTCTGCTTCAGCCTAAAGCTATACCAAAATTGGCTGTTATTAGTTCAATTTCGGATATCCATTTCAAGTTATGTGTGTTGGTAAACCAGGTTGGGATGAAAATAACCGAGACTGATGAATCTATGGTTCAAAGGTCTGCTTTAGTAAATGGAAAGAAGCGGGAAGTCGATGCAGTACAAAAGGTTGAAACAATGCTGGCGGACTCTGTTGCTTCTAAAAAACTTGAAGCCAAAACTGAAGTGATACCTCAGAGTAACACTAATGCTAAGGATACTTCAGTCGATTTTTCAGGTCCTTTAATTAATAAGAACTCTTTGCTGGACAATATACACAAGGAGAACCCTGGGAGAGATGTTACTTTGAGTGCAGAATCTGAACTTTACAAGGAAGTTAATAAAAAGAATAATTACTCAGAAAATGTAGAATTACCCGTGAACAATAGTAGCAAGAAAATGGGAGAAGATTGTTTAGTGAAATCTCATGAGGATATCGACGACTTAAATGATAAATCAGGTTTGATTGAGAGTACAACCTCATCGGGTAGACTAGCTAAAAGTGTACATTCGGGTATGCAAACTGACTCAAAGCCAGTTGTACCATCGTTCAAAATTGATACAGTCGAAGGATACGATAGCTCTGAAGATTTAAATGCAGAACCAGATTTGAACGCAGAGCCAGATTTGAACGCGGGACTGGATCTGAATATAGAACCAGATTTAAACGCTGGAATTAATTTAGATGTAGAATCAGATTTGAGTATTGAACCAGATTTGAATATTGGACAGGATTTGAATTCAAAAATGGTGAGTAATATGGAAACTGAGGTGGCGGAAGATAAAGATAAGAGAGATGCTAGTAAGGGGAAAGCTATTCATAAACTGGAGACTGAGATTGATGATATGGGTGTTTCTTCTACAGACTCAGAATCAGTTGATTCACTCGATCAGGAGAATGGTAATGTCCCACACAATAGCCTATACACTAAGAATGAGGATGAGAAAAAACAGAGGTTCAAGGAAAAGGTTAAAAAGTTTGGTACAACTGCAGGTTTGGGACTGCGATTGATCTCAGAATCCAACAATGAACCAACTACAAAACCAAAACTAACGAATCAGGAATTGGCAAAAAATATAAAAGGTTCTACATTAGCACCTTCTGGGGGGCAAAAAATGAGCTTAAAATCGGATTTAAGCTCTAGAAACTCGCTACATCCATTACTGAAGAAATTTGTAGCTTATGAGGATGAGTTTTGGGAATCATCTCCTTTACTTCCTTTACATAATTTTGGGTCTGGTAGTGAAAATAGATTGAGCAGAATAAATGTCCAATCTATTGGTCAATTAATTAATATTCTTAACACAATGTATGAAAAATTTGATTTGAAGTATCAGAAATTGCTAGAGACACTAAAGAATAATAAAAGCACAAGAGGTTCTATTAGAAGAGAGAGTAATGCAATTGCAGAAATAGTAGCGCAACTTGCTGATAAAGTGATGCAGATACTCACCAAAGATGAAAATACCGAAATCCTCAAAAAATTTAGTGGACACATCGAGAGATTGGAGTCATATAACAATGGATTGGCATCTTTTGCAGGATTGAATGTGAAGGGAAAGATAGAAATTCAATCAGAAGATGCAGAGTATGCTTCACACAGTTTTAAGCAAAGGATCAGTGAAACCCTGTATCGGATATCTACCACATGTAAAGATGTGATTAAGGGTTTTCAAGAATATAATGATGGCGATGATTGATATATGAGGACTTCAGAAAAAAAATTGCTTAGCTATAAAGTTTACACACCGGGATGCAATCTCAAGTTAACAATTGCCGTTTCCCCGTCGGGCAAAGATTTTTATAGAGAATTTGTGTTTGTAATTTATTAAAATAGTTATATACATGATTTTTTAAACCTACTCGGAGTTAATGAAATATTTATCTAAGGTTTTATGCTCTGCGTTATGAAATAAGACTTGTTTTTCTTTCTATTCTGTGATTTGCTCAGTTACTATGTACAGTTTCTTTCTGTTGATCCAGCTTTCTCAATGTAATATTGAGTAATGATTGGGTGTTGCTTGGATTCAGTAAGTCTTCTACTATGAACTGTGAGGCTTTCTTTTCTCCCTGCTGTAGAAGAATTGCACCGATGAATGAGTTCAGAACAGTAGACATAACTTTAGATTTACCCTTGATAGGACCGTCATTAAGAGGGTCACTAACTTTCCAAAACACCAACGGCTCTAAATTTTTCGCTATCACGTACTCTGCAGCTGTCTGATAAGACACAAGTCCCTTTGACACTGGTGTGCCCAGGTTACCAAAGGAGTTCTCTGGTCCCACTGAGTGCATCGCAGCTTGCAACTTCAGATACTGCGATCCCAACAGATTCAACTTCTCGTTATAAGGGCGGGAACCGTGGGCGAAGGACTTGTGCGTTAGACACTGTAAAATGGCAGCATCACTTAGCTCAATACCGTGCTCCTGAAAACCCATCCTTTCACGCACACTGGCATGGTAGTCCCCACCAACATCGGTGTACACCAGCCCAGCTGGATTCTTCAAGTAGCTGACAGGATCCCTCCTCAGCCCGCGCACCCGCGCACCAGCATGCATATACCACCTTCTCCCAATCATAGACATCGTTAGCCGGTCTTGTTGTGCTGTAGTGGGCCCCATTCCCATACTATTGAAACTGTCGAGCTTTTTCAGCTTATTCCTTCAGAATTGTCCACTTGTGGTTCCCAAAGCAAAATTCGTCTGCAAGAACGATGATAAAGGGAACCCTTCGAAATATTAAAAGAATAGCAACTGATGGTGTCTCAGGAGCTGGTGCAAGAGATGCAGGACATCAGAGAAGAAATGGATGATACGGTAGTTATTGGAGATGAAGACGTGCTTTCCACAAGCTCAGGGTCGAGTGTTGAAGTTGTGGAAGCCCCCGCGAGTTCGGAGAGGCCAGTTCTGACACCGCAGATAGTGGCCCTGTGGGCCACCATGATGGCTGTGGTATTGACCGTATCTGTATGGTATATGCAGCGGTACGGGTATATTAGCACGCTGACACCCATAGGTGGTGAGAGCGTCTACGTTTTCAAGTCCGCAGGCGGGGACAGCATCAAAGTTGTGGCCCCCAGGGGCATGCAGGGCCAGTATATGCTGGATTTTGACCAAGGCACCATGCGACGTGTGCTTGGGGACCACACTTTGGTGCGGTCCTTCTACGATGTGGCAGAGCGCGTGCGGCCCCGGTTTAAGAGCGGAGTGAGCGCTACACGCTCACTGCTGAAGCGCTACCGTGATATGCTGAGCCAGAGGATCGGGTGAATACGTACAGGAGCAGGTCTCTATTATCTTTATATATATTTCTTTTGTTCTATCTTCATTATACAAGTTTATATGCAGTTCCCTTTAAAAATATATTATATTCAATAACATTCTTCAGCATGTTTATTCACAGCAGGTCCTCCGACATTAGTATAGACCGACAGCTAAACACAATATCACCGCATATGTAATCTTGAAACAGTTTCTAATACCCAGCTATAGCTTCCAATAGCTTCCAACAGTAGGCAGGCTATTGACCCTTCATGTGGTGTATAGGTCACAAGATGTATCATATATAACGTTGTGTGGTGATATCGCTGATAACGGAACCCCTTCCCGTTTCTTTGCCAAATGGAAGTTCGGGCGAAGAGCTCCGCCAGATGCAGGTATAGGCTAGAAAAGAGCTGACGCCGATGGTAGTTGTGGTCGTGTTGCAGTTTGGCAGAGGGCACACGACATCAGCGGATCAGTCAGTAGATATTTTGCTTATAAGAGCAACTTGGAGTTGAGCAGACGGAGGGAATTACCAAGAAGAAACATAGTAGAGTTGAGATAGGATAGAAGGGCAAGATAGAAATAAGTTGCGTGATGTCCAGTGAGTCATTGGCGCAGGATGGGCACGAGCTGACCACTGTGTATCCTATGGATGTGGTTGTGGTGCAGTTTGAGTTCAATGCTGGCAACAAGAAGGAGAAGTACCTGAGCATGCAGCCTGGCGACACGGTGTATGTGCTTGCGAAGGACCAGTCTGGGTGGTGGGACGGTCTTATTATAGATGAGAAGAGTGACAAGGCTGTCCGTGGGTGGTTCCCGCAGAACTACACGAAACCGTTGCGGGATCACCACAGACTCTTTGGGAAGCGATCAAGCTCGCGCAGCTCGCGTAGAAGCAGTTTCAACAGCACGTCCAGGCCGAGCGTGGCGATGAACGTGATCGGTGGCAACGCGGGTACTGGAGATGGGGGAAGTATAGGTGCTTATCTCAACGTGGTAAACTCGAGAAACAGTATGAGCAGACGTGGTTCGTCGCACTTGGCACAGTCCTCTACTTCCCCTATGTTGATGACTTCTACTAGTGGGTCTCTGGAGAGGACAAATTCCATGCCTCATAATGCGCTATCGCCTAGAATGAAAGGCCAGGATAATGCGCGCTCATCTTCGGTGATTTCACACAAGCCAAATTTGAGCACGTCCTCCTCCAGATCGATGTCAAGTGTGGAAGTCAGAAACCAGCGAGAGGCATCTAAGAGTTCAGAGACAACCGCAGACAAACATGAGGAGATTAAAGTTTTATCCCTAGAAGAAATAGAGATGGTCATTAATAGTTTACACTCAGATATTACCCCTACATGGGTTCCGATACCTTTAGTGACAACTAGTGGAGTAGAAGGCAAGACTAATGATAAGTTGGTCTACTATAATAAAGATTTAGATTTATACTGTTCTGAGCTGCCATTGATCTCTAACTTGAATTTTGAATCAGAACTTGAGGCTAATCGTGATACCAAATTTCCAACACATGATCACTTAGTGAGTTTACAACCAAAATATCTAAAGACAATAACAGCCCCAAGTCCTAGAACGACACCTAGTTCTGATATACCAGCAGATATAGATGATGCTGCCTCTACAAATAAATCTGAAAAGGATACTAACGATCATGGGAATACAGATAATACTGAGGCAAAAAAATATGAAAAGGTTGAGAAGAACGAGAAGAATGAAGAAACAGACGGGCATAAAAAACAACACAGTTCACATGTGAAGCAGCCTGTCATGTCAAGAAGTGATTGGTTTTATCAGTTATCCAAGGATATTACGACTTGGTCAGAATTGCATGATTTAACGGCATATTATGCCAAACTGGCACACAGAATGTTTCTGTCGGACAACAAATATAACTTCATGAAATTTTTTGATTTGACTTCTAATTATATTACATTTATGGTATTAGCATGCAGGCTTATTCAAAATCAAGAAAAATTAAGAAATCTTCCCAAGGATATAAAGAAAGTATTCAAGCATATGATCACTTCTTTGGGTAAAATAAATATCAACTCGAGATTATTTTTCGATGCATCCCTCCGCAAGAAATATCAATTCACTGGTGTGGAATCTTTGGCAAATAACACTCAGAATCAAAATATCGATAATAATGATGATGCTGCTGCTGCAGGGAAAGCCCGTGAGGATATATTTGAGAATAGCCCAAATGCAGGAGACAGCCCACTTGCTGGTAAGAGAAATGTAAGTACGAGCACGACAGATACATTAATTCCGTACCACAAAAATAGCTTAACTACAGAAGAAGATAGCGGAAATAACAGTGATCTGATTTCACCTTCTTATATTGATGCAAATCAGTTTTATGCTCATAGTTTATCCAACTATCAAAGGAACTCAGTCACGGCAAGTACCCCACGAACATCAATTCAAAGTACTGGTATAAACTCTTCGGCAGCCACACCAACAGCAAAGGAAAATATACCAAAATCATTAACAAAAACTATTTATGACATAATTGACACCGAGTTCAATAGACTGTTCAAGCATATTCAATACCTTCATCATATCCTACAAATGTCGGTAATTAATGGTGATGATGCCTTACCACAGCTATTACCAAGATTCTTGAAGTCATCTTTTAATGGAGGATCGTGGAATAATCCTTTTTCTAGCTTTATTTCTAGTGACTCGACTATTAATCAAAAGAATAGCTCACATTCAAGTACTAGGAATAGCAACAATGATATTTTGTCGAGATCGCATAATTCTTCATTATCGGCAATCCAAGGAAAGTTAGGTGATTCGTTTGCTTCAGCTGCTGGCAGCTCAGGTTTTGTAAATGATAACCCATTAATGCATAGTAGTTCAGCCGGTAATTTACCTCCTTTGGCATCAGCACCCTCCTTCGTTAATAGTTCAAAGGGAAATCCCGCTAGACACTTTTTGAGAAATAGACCATCCAAGAGACGGTCAAGATATCCGTTAAATAATGAGACATTGGCGACAATGAATAGAATCTCTTCTCAGATATATGATAGACTAAACAGCCTAAACGGTGAGCACTTGAATATCATGAATCAGCCAAAGACGAGGATGAGAAACCTTGAAATTAATTCTAGTATTTATGAACAAGTGAATCAAAATAATTTAATGCTGGAAATTCTTGAGAATTTAGATTTAACCATTTTCATAAATCTGAAAAGATTAATAAAGGCTCCACCCTCAACTTTAGATCCAGAAAGCCAAGAGTTTTTGATTCACGCTATGTCTTCAATATCTTCAGTATTGATAGAGTTTTTTGATATTAAGCAGGCATTTCATGATATTGTTATGCGTTTAATTATGACCTCCCAGCAAACTACATTAGATGATCCATATTCTTTTGCATCAATGAGATCAAATTTGATTGTTGGATACTATGAACCCATGAAACGAACTAATACTATTGGAATGAAAAGCTTCAATCAAAGAAAGACTGATAAACATGCTGCAGAATTGTATAAATCATTAGTTAGTCAAGATGTTGAGTTTAATGACCTGAACTTCTTGAATAACTCTGATGATTTCATAGATGCGTGTGAAAAATATGTTGAGATTGCAAACCTATCTTGTATCGTTGTCGAGCAACTAACAGAAGAGCGTGAGAATTTATTGAATTATGCTGCGAGAATGATGAAGAATAGATTGACTACCGAACTTTTAAAGGGTGAACAAGAACGCTGGTTTGATATTTATTCTGAGAATAACTCTGACGATGAGGATGAATTACCCCGTGAAAACGAGGCAGGTGAAGAAAATGAAGCACAAAAAGAAGTATCAGGACAAGTAACTGAATTACCATGGTTTCTGTTGCCGGAATACGAAGATGATTTGATCTACGATACCAAAGGTAAAATTCGTGGTGGAACAAAGGTTGCACTTATCGAACACCTAACGTGTCATAGTATTATCGATGCAAGTTTCAATGTTACATTGCTAATGACCTTCAGAAGTTTTATGACTACAAGGGAATTCTTTTATGCATTGATTTATAGATACAACCTATACCCGCCTGAAGGTTTGAGTTTTGATGAGTATAATATCTGGATAGAAAGAAAGCTGAATCCTGTGAAATGTAGAGTTGTGAATATTATGAAAACCTTTTTGACTCAGTACTGGACGCCCAAATATAATGAATCAGGCGTAGGTGTTATTGTTAGCTTTGCCAAGATGGCCATATCAGAGAAAATACCTGGTTCCGACATACTACTATCAAAAATTAATGAAAACATTTTTGGGAATGATGCTCAAACACCATTGGAAGGTGAGAATCCTTTGAATTCCCTTCAATCTGTTGGCCTGCCAACCAAGAATAATGTTGAACAAACTGCTGTTAAATTGCATAGCTCAATGAAATCCTCTGACTTATTGGATATTGATCCGTATTTATATGCAGCACAACTGACTCTAATTGAACATGACTTGTATCTGAGAATAACTATGTTTGAATGTTTAGACAGAGCTTGGGGAAATAAGTACTGTGATATGGGCGGCTCACCTAACATTACAAGATTTATTGCGAATGCCAATAGTTTGACCAATTATGTTTCTTTCACAATTGTCAAACATGCTGATGTTCAGAAAAGAGCTAAATTAATTCAATATTTCATTACAGTTGCTCAGCATTGTAAAGAGTTGAACAATTTTTCATCAATGACCGCTATCGTTTCAGCCTTATATTCTTCGCCTATTTATAGGTTGAAGCAAACATGGAATTTAGTACCAACCGAAACAAAAGAAGTGTTAGATAACTTAAACAGTTTGATGGACTCGAAGAGAAATTTTATCAAATATAGGGAATTACTGAGATCGGTTAAGGATGTCGCTTGTGTTCCATTTTTTGGTGTCTATCTATCAGATTTAACATTCACATTCGCAGGTAATAGTGATTATCTTGATGGAAAAACAGATATAATTAATTTCGGAAAGCGGTCGAAAATTGCAAATATTATTGAGGGCATTTTGACTTTCAAGAAATTCCATTACAAGCTAAAGAGGCTAGATGATGTGCAAACTGGAATTGAAGAGGGATTAGAAGGCGTTCCTCATATAGAGAAGCAATACCAACTATCTCTGCAGATTGAACCTCGTCCGGAAACCACAAAAACTGGTAATACCAGCGGACACCACTCCCATGATAGACTTAACAAAAGTAGTAATCCAGAATACGCAGAGGAAAAACCACAACCTTTCATAAACTTTAGGCGAAAGAAACAAACCTCTAAATTCTTTGGATAATTGCTAGTTATCTATTCATCAATATATATAGACATTTCTTTCCTCTTTCTTTCAGAAGCTAGTCTTCTGGTTTTGAAATGATTATTACAATACAGCTATGTCTTCGATTTAGATTTTTACATAGACCGATACACAAGTAATGGTTTTTGATGTTTTTATTGTGTTTTTAATATTATGTTTTGGCTGATGTAGGTCAGAGTGGATAGAATGCAGACAATGATCGAGCCGGGCCATGTTAAACTACCACTGTGCATATTTCCCTGGCTACTATTACATTTAACTAAGGTATAGTGCTGTACGACGTGAAGGTGTAGAAGTGTCAAAGGTGGGGCGCAATGGTTCACTGAGCCTTTAACGTGTATTGCCATCGTGAAACTACTGTAGTAGTAGTAAGTAAGCAATAAGGTCAGTTAAACTAATAACTAGACCAATTACGTGTCAGGTCTTAGGTTTAATCATATAGTAATCTCGAATTGATACATGTATAGCTAGATCAGAAGCTATAAGATGTTCAAGCAACTATCCCAACTTGGGAAGAATTTGACTGATGAGCTGGCCAAAGGTTTGACTGATGACCTAGGGAATGGAAGCCAGACCGATTTAACTGCTGTTCCTGATGACAATAGTGGTTTGCCGCGCGAAGTACAGTTAAAGCTTCGAAAATTCGAAAAATATGAACAAAAATATCCCTTACTTTTACAAGCTTATAAGACTGAAAAGTCTAAGAGTGAGAAAATAGAAGCATTAGAGAAAATATTAGCTGAAAATACACCTGTAGGGAACTTGGATGATGCTGTTGAAAGTTTGCCTACATTCTTTAAGAATTTGAATGATAAGAACAGCATGCTAAATGAAGAGATTAAAAGATTGACTATGGAGCAAAAGAAAACGGATAACGATGAGCAGAATGATGCGAATGAAGCAAAGATTAGAGAATTGGAAGAACAACTTGAAACTCAAAATAGAAATTCTAAAGAAAACTCCAATAAACTTGTTGAAAAAGTAAAGTTATTGGAAGAGGAAGCCCAGGCAATGAAACTTGAAAATGATAAACTAACAAAATCAACTGAAACTCAGTTGGCAGACAAGCAGAAGTTAATTGATCAACTAAAAGGTCAGATACAAGAGCTCGAGGATAAGAGTCGTGAGGCATTTGAAAATAGTAACGATGTCACTGGTGAAACTGAATCTTTAAAAAGTACAATCGATGAGAAGCAGAAAGAGATTGATAGTTTAAAAGCTCAGATTTTAGAGATTAGTACAAAATCTCAAAATACATCACTAATTAGCACTACAACAGCGTCTACTGGTAAAGGAAAAAAGAAAAAGAACAAAAAGAGCAAAGGTGGGGTAAATAATGCATCATTGCCAGCGCCAATTGAAACTGCTAATTTATCTGTTGACATGGATGGATTACAAAATGAGTTGAAGGATATAAAAATGAAATGTGAAGAATGGAAGGCTAGGTATGAGGAGCTACAATCCAGTAGCAAGTCTACAGTAGAGATTGAAACAAAGAACTCGGCATTAGAAGAAGAATTGGTAAAAGTAAGAGATTCACTAAAGCAAAAGAACATTGAAATAGAAGAAGTCAGGGATATGTTGAGAGAAGTTGGAAATGATCTTGTCGATGCAAGAGATCAAATCAAGAATGCTAATAGTAATGCTGGAAAGGAGGTAGAAGAAGTTAAAAAAGAACTAGATAATCTAAGAAGTAAGAATGCTACTATGATAGAGACCTATGAAAAAACACAATTAGAACTAAAGGCCAAAATTGCCTCATTGAATGGTGAAATATCAGAAATGAAACTAAACCAAACTACAATATTGAAAGAGAAAGAAATAGCATCGAAGGACGCAATTGAAAAATTAAGTGACGAGAATAAAACTTTGAAGGCCCAGTTAAAAGATATAAATGCAATTAAACTAACTCTAACTCAAAGAGAAAAAACTATTGGATATTTAGAAGAGCAGGTTAAGCAGTATAATGAGAAAAATGCTGTTGTTCAAGCTACCATTGAAAAACTTGAAAAGGAGTTAAAGTCCAAAGAATCTCAGCTTACAACAATTCAAAATGAAAATGAATCACTGAAAAAGGAAGCCAAAACTAATGTGGTATCTTTGGAAAACTACCTCAAAGAGAATGGTAAATTATCCGAAAGACTCTCAATTCTTCAAGAAAAATATGATACAGCACAGAATCTGAAATCAAATTCAAATGAACAAGTTGATTCTATTAAGAGACAGTGCAATGAATTAAATGTTAAACTAAAAGAATCAAATAAGCGTATTATGTCACTTGAGGACGAATTGAATGAATATATGAATACTTTACAGGAGAAATCCCGAGAATGTGATACAATGAGAAGGTTGATCTCCGATCAGCAGAATGAGGAGAGTTCAGGTCGTCAAGAAATTGAGAACAAGCTTGCCTTGTTAACAGATGAGAGGAATAAAATGGAATCTGAACTAGCATTGCAAACCTCAAGAAAGAATAGGGAAATTCAAAATTGGAAGAACATGAATGATGATTTGAAATCCCAACTCAATCAATTACAATTTCGCGAGAAGCAATTGTTGTCTCAAATTGAAGATTTGAATAATATAAGTCAAACATTAAAGAGGTCAACCAACAATGATGAAGATGAATCTGGAGAGTTGAAAAAAGTTGCTGGGAATTTAAAGGAGGCATTACAAAAGGCAGACAAGAGGATCAGCGAACTTCAAGAATCCAACGAACAGCTTATGAAATTAAATTCAGATGCTAACAAAAAGTATGAAAGACTCTCGAATAATTATAGAACTTTATCTTCTCAATTAAGCACATTACGAGAAAAAAGTAGCATCGATCGTTTGTCAAGACCCTCTAATGAATCTATCAGAAGTCGTTCTAATTCTGAGGTTTCTGTGACAAGTAATAGCTCAGCAAAAATAAGTCCAAGAGCTTCTGAGGCACAACCCGATGTTAATGAGAAAATTGCATACATAAAGAATGTTTTGCTGGGTTTCTTAGAGCACAAAGACCAAAGAGCGCAATTACTTCCAGTTATTGCTATGCTGCTTCAACTAGATAACAACGATGAAAAGAGATTATTGATGAACATCAAGTAAGCATCCAGCAATACAGTATCACTTATATTTTTGGACACAGCCATCAATATTGCTTATCTAATGGTAACTTGATAGTTGACAGTTGGGAATGTGCGGGTAAACAAGTATCTACTTTCATTTGGTTGCTTCCAATTATGTCATTTATTTGCAGTGCCACCTTAACGTTCTTCTCAGCTGTATCATGTTCTAGAATTATCCCTTCAGTATACTTCTTTTTCCATTCACGCACGTTTTTAAGAATGTCTTCTTCTGTGATTTGATTTTTACTTAATTTCCAATCAAATGTGTCGAAGTTCCATACAATAGGTGTCAGATTTAAACGTGCTGCAACAGCTCTGACTCTATTATCAAGACCACCATATGGAGGCCGAAAGTACTTTGGTATTACACCGGCTGTTGCGTTCATTATCCAAATTGACCATTGTAACTGTGCGGCTATTTGTCTATTCGATAATGATGGTAGATGCTTGTGCGACCAAGTATGAGTTCCAATAAAATGGCCCTCATTAACCATCCTTTTGAAAATATCTGGATAGGTGGCAATGTTTAGTCCGATAGTGAAAAAGTTGGCTTTACCTTTAAAGTTATCTAGTAATTGGTTAGTATATATTGAAGGTCCATCATCAAATGTTTGTGTAAAAGTTGAGCAGGTGTAAATATCTGTCTTAGAGCAACAACCATCGCAATCAAATGAGCAATTTTTGGTGGACTATAACCCCATCGAGTGCGGCACCTTTCATGATTGTATCTTGAGTTTTCCGGAATGTTATCCAACTTGATATTAGGAATGAACGGTGGATCCAAGCCGGGCCATTTCTTCAAGCCTGTTATATCTGTCAACCATTGTGGAAATGGAGTTGACACACTGTAAGCAATATTGGCGATTACATAATGTAGCAGTAATAGGTATATAGTCAGTATTTGTAACATTTGTATGGTCATTGAGCTGTTCTTTTGTATTGTAAATTAATAAGGGCTGAAGAATGTTTAATAAACAATGCCATTTTTTGCAAGATATATTTGTATAATACAGGATTGATCTTAAGTAGAAATAATTTGAAATTACATGGCATACAATGAGAGAGTGTTATTTACTATTTGATCGACGTTTTGACACAAAATAATCTCGCCAATCCAGTATTTCTGTATGGTCGGCCTAACATGACAAAAACATTAAATCAGTTAGTTAAAGTATAGATAAATACACATCTTAAAACACAATGAACTTCAATAGCACATTCTTTCCAATCGGTTTGAATACTCTTATTAAGTGAGGAAATATTTGATCAAACTAGATGAGATCTACAATTTTTTCGTTATCATTGCAAGATACATGCAATTTCCCACATGAAATGATATATAGAACTTTTAGCTTCAACAATGAACAGAAACTCAAGAAACCTGTATAGACAAGGTAATAAAACCCAGATAAATAAACGGAAACGATTGCCATAAGAATTTTGATTTTTATCCGGGTTTAAATTACATAAGCGCCTATTTGTAAATCAACCAAATTACTGAAAATATTAATATAGTATTCCAGACTTGTATTCCGTACATCAAAGTTAATAAGCGGTTTTAGCTCAGTTGGGAGAGCGCCAGACTGAAGATTCGAAAACTTCGGTCAACAAGTTATCTGGAGGTCCTGTGTTCGATCCACAGAAATCGCAATTTATTTTTTTTTATTTCATTTTTTTTTTGGCTGCACTGATTTCAGTCCTCAATTTACTCTCTCACTTAAAAGCCCTACACAGAATCATCACAAGAGACGTACCTTATTAGCGTGAATGTACATGATAAGAAAAAATGTAGTTGTGCCATCACACCTCGGGAGAAAGTGTCGTAGAAGGCTCTATTTACAGCTTTTCCATTGACCCGCATCCCTATTGCTTGTTCTTGGTTCCGTTCTTTGCCACACCAAATAACGTAAATAAACATGAGTGAGGCTGATCTGACCCTATCACCCTTTTTATGCTATAAAACACCAGATTCCACGTTTGAGGATAGCCATCCGGTGTGAGACCGTGAAGCACAATAGTGGGTTCCCAGAACAGCATTGGTGACCTCTGAGCGAAAAGGATATGGAACGCAGATTTCTATTTAAACTTCTTTCTCTTTCATTTTTGTTAATGTGGCATGACGTTATCAGTGATAATAATTGCAATTGCTTTCCGGACTAAAGGAAGCATCGATCCATCTCATTCTTTTTGGGCCTTTTTAGTACTTTTCTCAGATCAATTTTGAGTCTGCCGGCCATTTTGTCAAAAAGGGAATCTTGGTAGAATGATATCGAGTTCTCCCATTAATCCGAGTTCTCTAAAAAATCGTCCAACAACTTCAACTACTCTTGAAGCTTTAGGCTTTCTCCTAGATTGTAGTTTCTGTTAATTCTTCCCCTTGGTACTAGAGCAGACCACGACCAAGAACTGCCCCCCCCCCCCCCCCCATGTGTTATGCTCCCATATATGCTCCCATATGCCATGCGTAGATATTCATGTTGTTTCAAGGGTTTGATACATTGCCACCGGGAATTTGGATCCGGAGCATGCTGATCAAGATAAGTACTGTAAAGATGCGGTGTAACAAACGATGCGTAGTTGTTTGAACCTTGATTTGACTCATCTTCCATTTCAAACGTGGGCTTTTCTCCTTCATCATTAAGGTAAACTGCAATAGTTGCTTTGTTTGAACAAATGGCTGAACATCACACATACACAGGATGATGAAATTAACACCGGCCTGATGGGCTGCCAATTGAGTTGGCTTATTCTCCCATTGTCCCTAGAACATTATCTAATTCCCTTGTAATAGGCAACTTGTACCCACATCCATCAAACCCGGATTAAGGGAACACACGCTATATGTTGCTTTGTGTTTTGAAGCAATAGTTCTCAAAGAAAAAAAATAAGTATATAAACAGCTTGAAATATATGAGAGTTGGTGTTTTCGGTCTGTTCTTCAAGTTCAAGACATCAACATACAACACTATCCCACAACAAATAACATATATTAAATTTAAACAATGCTAAGAACTATTGCCTGCAGAAGACTATCTACCTACTGCTCCATACGGGAGATGTACAAAGCTTCTGCCACCATTGGTAACTCTGCTGCTATCAACACTTCCCAATCAAACAAGGAAGTTAACAACATATATACACAGAAACAAGTGTCTTCTCAAAGAGACAAAGTTTCTAAGCCGCTGATCATCTGCACAGACAACGAAGATGTGGAAACCGTGCAGGAACACATCAAGTTGTAAAACTATCTAGCAAAGAATGACTTCCCTAACATTCTATGATTTCTATGACAGATACATCAAAAAAATACAAAAACATGCATTGTCCTTTTACTAATAGTTTTCCCAATCCCATTTTACTTCATAATATATTATATCATAACACCGCTATTGAAATTATTTTTTTTTGTTTTGTTGGCAAGAAAGGCTAAAGCTATGATCTACTGGGTAGATCTTTTTTTCGGGCCTTTTTTATACACTTCACCTTTTCAGACTCCGGTAGTTCTTAAGGATACTTGGTTTTTAAACTTTCCAATTATATAGCAGTATTGTACAGCAACTGTACATCACTTCTTCACTCTTTTCTTTTTATTTCCTATTTAAGATATACAATTAATAAAAAAAAGTATTATACTCTTCCGAATCGGGTAAATCCAATTTAGGCACCGGTGTCCCCCACACGCACAAATAATTAAATTACTTTACGATGCCAATTAATAAAAAAAAATGAATTTAGAATAAATTAGTGTTCCCACAGTTTTTCTAGGGTTCAACATTTATTCATCACTGAAACCCTAATCCTCCCTTTAAACAGCGAAATTTGAAAAAAAAAAATGAAATATAATGAAAAATTAGAGATTAGCTGGGGATTTCAATACTTTACACTACTTGTAAAAGAGCACCGAGGACACTGACAATTCCTAAGCTTCAACCTAAGAAGTTAATAATAGCATCTACACATGTATATACACTACTAATGCATCCCTACGTTGACAATCACACGAATGTCATAAACCCGAATCTCATCGGGTTGATCATAGTTTTAGGACACCTGCTATTCTGCATTCAAGGCATTGGCCAACTGATATGGCTTCTAAGATATCGACACCACCACAGAGATAGATGTATATCAATAAGAACTAGGGAGCTATCTGCACGCAACTGGTTCTTCATCACATTGTATGTGGTTCTATCGTTGTCGCTGACAGTTCTCCATTTATTGCTAGGCAAAGGAACTATTGAATTATACCATGATAATCCTTGGGTTACATGGGCTTTTTCGGTACAATTGTTATATGCATTAATCATACTTTTGCCCTCTTTCATTATCGAGTCCTTTACCTTGAATTATGCCATGGCTAATCAGATCATGTACTCAATATTTCTAGCAATCGTATTTTTGTTTCAATTATCGACAAATACAGAAGAATACTCAATGATATCACCATTCTCGATAAACAATAAGTTTTTGACTATACTGTTTGCATTACACGTCGTCTTGGCAGTATCATTGACAACTCTGTACAAACCTGTTAAGAAATTGACAACACTCTACAATGACAACGAGTGGTTCAAAGATTTCAACTTCCTGGTCAACATTACCTTTGTCTGGCTGAACCCATTACTCACAGAGACGCACAAACTGAATTACATAAAAAACCCTGAGAAATTACCCTTGCCACCAATAAACCTTGACATAAGATACTTTACAAAGGAGTTAACCGCTAATTGGGAAACACAGAAATGGTCCGGTAGAAACTCTCTGATGGGCGCACTTTGGAAAACATTTGGCACTACAGTGCTAATCTCTATATCATATGAAACCACAAGAGATTTATTAACTATAATGCAACCACTATTACTTAGAAGCTTTATAAAGTCCTTCAATAAAGGGGACTACCAAGAGTACCCGCCTCTGCACTCGTTCTTAATCTCAATGGCAATATTTGCAATTGATATCTTGTCTATCTTCTTGACAAACCAATTCTATATTATCATCTTCGAGGCTGGCCTGGGTATAAGGGGATCTCTCGCCGCTATGATATACCAGAAGTCCCTTAGGTTATCCTTAGCCTCCCGTAACGAAAGTCAGATTGGTGATATACTAAATATGGCATCGGTAGATGTCCTGAGAATTCAAAAATTTTTTGAAGATGCACAGACTATCATCGGTTCACCAATCCAGATTCTAGTGGTATTATTTTCATTATACTTCCTTTTAGATAAGGCAATTTATGCAGGATTATCAGTAATGGCTGTAATGATCCCTTTAAACACTTTACTATCCAGAAAATTGAAAGTTTTGTCAAAAACTCAAATGAAATTCAAGGATTCACGCATTAAAACGGTTAGTGAAATCTTGAGTTCTATCAAATCAATCAAACTATATGCATGGGAAGAGCCTATGCTAAAGAGATTATTTCATATAAGAAATGATTTAGAGCTAATGAACTTAAAAAAGATTGGTATCATGAGTAACTTTATTTCCTTTGCATGGAATGCAGTGCCATTGGCCATCACATGTGCAACTTTTTTTACATTTGCCGTTATATCAAAGACGCCGCTATCACCAGAAATTGTTTTCCCTGCTTTGTCACTATTTAATATTTTGAACAGTGCCATCTATTCTATCCCATCAATGATAAGTAGAATAATTGAAACAGGTGTATCAATTTCGAGAGTAAAGAAATTCTTGCTGTTAGAAGAACTTGATAATTCTTTTATTGAAAGGTCAGTAACTCCTGAGGACGATACAACACCGGTATTGAAGATCAATAACGCAACTTTTCTTTGGAGATCGAAGGAGAACTTGCACAAGGATGACAAAAACGGTGAAAATGATGTTGAAGCAAGAATAGAATCATCTCAGATAGCTTTGAAGTCGATTGATAACTTTGAAGTTCCCAAATCGTCACTTATTTGTGTTGTAGGTAGAGTAGGAGCTGGTAAATCTACCATATTAAAGTGTATTTTAGGACAACTGCCTTGCATTTCAGGCAATAACGACCATCTTTCTCCACAATTCCAAATAAATGCCACTACAGTAGCTTATTGCCCTCAAGAGGCATGGATAATGAATGCAAGTGTTAAAGATAATATCTTGTTTGGCCATAAATATGACGAGGCGTTTTATAAAGCCACCATAAAAGCCTGTCAACTATTACCTGATATCAAAGTTCTACCTGATGGTGATGAAACTATGGTTGGTGAGAAGGGTATAGTACTATCTGGTGGTCAAAAAACTCGATTATCACTTGCAAGAGCTGTATATTCCAGGGCTGACTTATACTTGTTGGATGATATATTATCTGCTGTCGACACAGAGGTATGTAAGACTATAATAAAGGAAGTATTGGATGAAAAAACTGGGCTGTTAAAAGATAAGTCCATCGTGTTAGCAACAAATACGATTTCTGTGTTAAAGCACTCTACCAAAATCTATTTACTAGAAAATAAATCCATCGCACAGGAAGGAAACTATGATGATATAATGAACAACCAGCAAGACAGTAAACTAAAAAACATTCTGCATGAGTTTGATTTAGAGAAACCTGATACTCCTGCCGTCCAGGAAGGAACAGATCCCACAAGTGCTATCAACCTTCTACTAGAAGATGCTCTCTCTGGTGATGATGATGAAGAAGAGGATAATGAGCAATTGGACATACAGCAAATATCTACTAGAAGGGCGTCATTGGTTTCTCTGAAGCCCATTCAGCATCTGTCTAATTACGATCCAAAAAAGAAAACTTCACAACAAGATGAGAAGTCAGAAAGAGGAAGAGTTAAAAATAGTGTATATGTGTCCTATATGAAAGCCTGCGGATATTTAGGCATATCGTTCTTTTTCTTATTCCTTACCTTAACTAGATGCTTTGATTTATTGCAAAGCTTTTGGTTGAAACATTGGTCTGAGTCTAACCAAAAGGCGAATGGTAATTATAACTTATTGTGGTTTTTAGGTGTTTATGCGGCAATTGGATTAGGAGGAGCATTTTGTAATAATATGAGAAGTTTAACAATGTTGCTTTATGGCTCTTTAAGAGGTTCTAGAAAGTTGCATAATAAAATGGCAAAAACCATAATGAGAAGCCCAATGTCTTTTTTCGAAACTACACCAACAGGGAGAATTATAAACAGGTTCTCATCTGATATGGATTCTGTTGATACAACATTACAAAATGTATTCTCACTCTTTTTCAGATCTATCTTGGATTATATCATAACTGTTATCTTAGTGACCTTTAACATGCCATTATTTTTTTTATTGAACGCTGGTCTCCTGGTCATTTACTTATATTACCAAAGTTTTTACATTGTGCTTTCTAGAGAATTAAAAAGGTTAACGAGCATATCATATTCGCCTATAATGTCATTGATGGGAGAAAGTTTGTCAGGCCATTTTACAATATCTGCTTATGAACAAATAAGGAGATTTTCGCATCTGAATTATGAAAGAATTCAATTCAGTATCAACTGTTTCTTCAATTACAGATCTTCTAATAGATGGCTTTCTGTCAGGTTGCAATCGATAGGTGCCTTAATTGTATTGAGTACTGGACTATTAGCCCTAAGCAGTTTAGGTACAGATCACCAACTTTCATCTGGACTAGTGGGTTTGTTGATGAGTTATGCTCTCCAAGTAACGTCGTCACTCATTTGGATCATTAGGTCTTCAGTTTTGATAGAGACAAATATTGTTTCTGTAGAACGTATCGTCGAATATTGTGATATCAGTCCAGAAGCACCTGAAGTGAAAGAAGAGCATCGACTTGATGATAATTGGCCAAACCAAGGTCAAATAGAATTTAAGAACTATTCAACATCATATCGAGAAAATTTAGATCCTGTTCTAAAGCATATCAATCTAGTTATTTCTCCAGGAGAAAAGATTGGTGTCGTTGGCAGAACAGGTGCAGGAAAATCAACTTTGTCTATGGCACTTTTCAGGCTACTAGAACCGACTGCTGGTACGATATCAATCGATAACATAGATATTACTAGTATCGGTTTACGTGATTTGAGAAGCCATATTGCAATCATTCCTCAAGATGCACAAGCATTTGAGGGTACCATAAGATCTAATTTAGATCCTTTTGAAAAGTTTTCCGATGACGACTTGTGGCATGCCATCGAGCTATCTCACCTGAAATTTCACCTAGAAACAATAGCAAAAGAGATAAATGATGATTCTGAATACTCTGATAGGTCAAGGTTGGAATCTCCATTGGATATACCTGTAAGAGAGGCTGGAAGTAATTTATCTGTTGGCCAAAAACAGTTACTCTGTTTGGCTAGAGCTCTATTGAATAAGTCTAAAATACTGGTATTGGATGAAGCAACCGCTTCTGTTGATGTAGAAACCGATAAAATTATTCAAGAAACGATAAGAAAAGAATTTGCAGACAGGACTATTTTGACAATTGCTCATCGGCTTGATACTGTTTTTGATAGTGATAGAATCATTGTTCTCGATGGAGGTGAGGTAAAAGAGTTTGACAAACCAGAGACGCTACTTGAACAAAAGGACTCCATTTTCTATAAGTTATGTGACAATGGAGGCTATTTAAAGAACAGAACATAGCACTCAATATTCTATTTTAATAAATTGTTTATATTCCAAAACTTTATTACGGCTTATCTATTGAATTAGTCGACACCACGATTGAACGGACTAAGAGTTTGCATAATGCCTAGTTCATCCATGTAGATTTATCACTTACAGTCCATTTGAAAGGATGACATTACAATGTAGTTTAATCTAACACATTTTCTGAAAAGACAGATGATAATACTACATTCTTGAAAGAATCTTTTCTATAAAGTAATAAGCTCGCGTGGCGTAATGGCAACGCGTCTGACTTCTAATCAGAAGATTATGGGTTCGACCCCCATCGTGAGTGCTTTTTTTTGATAATCATACAAAGATGATGGAGATGATCATCATTATACGCCAATATTTTATCACCTCCTTACTAGATACATATCACTCTCCATATATTTGCCGTTTATTCTAACTAAATTTACATGCATGTCATTAAATCCCATTTTATATAGCTTAAGCGTTATCTCCATTATCGATTGCTGCTACCTTGGCTGCATCTGTGGTTGAATTAGCCCATATTTTTTCCAGCCCTTTCTTGAATACGTCAATATTGTAGTCGACCACTGTTAGGCAATTTTCAGTATCAGTATCGTTAGGCCTTATTAAAGCCACTAATGCCAATCCTCTTATCATCTGTCTCAGATAAATAACAACACCGTTTGCAAGTTGCGAGACATTCTTTAGCTCTCTCTTCTTTGGCTGTTCATTACCATCACTTATCAGATTCTGGGTAGCTTTGTACAAATCAAAGAGATCAATAGTTACATCAACAAATTCAGCACATACTTCATATGTTTGTATATCTACCGGGTTAGAATCTGTGGAAACATATATCTTTGAATTAATATCAAATAGGAAAGCCTTTTCGATTTTTGAGTGTTGAATCAAGTTGTCCAACATATTTTCCAAGAATGATAACTCGGGAATCAACTTCTGTACAATCCTCGAAAATGCTTCATAGATTGAATGGTCAAAAATAGAAGTCAAGTAAAATGAAACTTGAACACCATCCAGGCCCAATTCTAGTAATTCCTCTCCTGTTCTTTGCATGATATCTCTCTGAGCATCCACTTTAAAATCCTCACTTAACCCATCAACCTTATGTATAAGCACCTCTATATTAATCGAAGGGTTGACCTTGTAAGCATATTCTATAATCATAGCTAAGTTCGTAACGGCATTCATGTACTCATCTTGTGAGTCTATAACATACACGAGAGCACCGACACTCTTAAATAATTCTGCAGAGTCATAATTTGGTTCAAAGTAGTTCAATTGTCCCGGCAGTTCCATGACTGCCAGGTCAATCAGTGTCGAGAAGTGCTCCATTGTAGGGTTGGAAGTAGACTCTAGATACAGGGTATCTAATGGTTGCATATTGTGGAATACCACTTTGCAAATGGATGATTTACCACATCTCCTCAACCCCATTAGGAGTACCATCGCCTTAGAGTCTGTATTTTCAAGACTCATTTTCTGTGTGGCTTCTAATTGATACTAAAATCTCAAACGTTCTTATAATAGTTGCTTCAACTTTACAGTACCCCAAGGATCAAGTATAATGCTGCCTTTATTGCCATCCCATTATAGGTTTGCTGGAAGTCGTGAAATTTACTTCGGTTACCTATTTTAATTGATTTTTTCAACCGAAAAAGGATGTATCCGTCATATGAAGTATGATAATCGTAGTAGTATGACATATTTTATAGGATTTTTATTCTAGTTTAAAAATATAGTAAATAGAAAGCTATAATAAAAGAAAAGATATTAGTTAAGAAGAACACATCTCTTGAGTGTGCTAGATTTTCTGAGAGGTATTTTTGGACTGAGTGTGAAATAGCTTATTAACTTACCATTGATATGCATAAAGGATAGTATGAAATAAAAATAATAATCATTGGTAAAAAAATAAAAGGACAAGACGCAAATTATGTTATGAATAGCTTCAGAGGTAATAAAAAGGAACAAACATGAAAATATTACTATTAGAATTTGGATAGAAAAAAATACAACATGCTTAAATTAATTTTCTTTCATGCTGAAAATATAGGCATAAATAGAAAACTATCTATTATCGCCCCTAATAACATTCGGTTTATAACAGTTGGGTTGAAATAGATCTTGATTGAGAAATAAATGATAAAAAATACAACAAATGCATGCAAAAAATAAAAATAAAATTTGAAGAATCTTTTTCTTTCCTCTTTGATTGGATAGTTTAAACAGGCGCCGTGATTTAAAGAAGGAAAAAAATAAATGCCATTTTTTATAAAAAAATATGTTTCATTTAGGGAATTATTCCTCATCATCATTCATCAGAGCACTGAACATATTCGTTGATGCCGAGTGCTTGATTGGAGCTTCTTCCTTTTGTAGAGGGTTTCTTGCGGTTTGAGCATTAGTGTATCTTCCAGAGGCTGATCTGGTAGTAATAAAGCTATCCTTTGATATGTTAGTACTACTACGAGAGGAGAATTCTCTCTTGGAATTCCTCAAACCTCTATCTCTGTTACTACCTTGTCTGGATGGGAAATCTCTGTCTCTTCCACCAGAACGTCTGGAGTTGTTTCTTGATCCCATGTTACTGCTGTTCATGGCCTTTAGTTGACGTGCCTTTTCGTCTTCTTCATGAATTTGCTTGATAGTCTTAGGTCCTTGGTCGTTCTTGTCATTATTCCAGTTCTTCTCTTCTCTCAATTCCTTCAAATCGATCAACTTAAACTTGATTCTACTTGAGATCTTTCCGGCGTCGATAACATTTTGAATCAATTCGAATAGAGTATCTAGAAGATCGGAACCTAGCAAGACATTTTCACCGATTGCAAAGCTATCAGTTTCGAATTGTTGACCGACAGTGTTTAGTAACTCAACAACAGATTCTAAAACTTCATTAGATGGAGAGCCAGTTAAATCCTTCATTAACCTACGGAAACACTCAAACATCATTTTAACTGTTAGAAGATGCAAGTTGTATAGGAAACCAATGAAACGGACCAAACCAAGACCTCTTCTCTTGGCTGCAACAGCTTGGTAGTATTCATCAGACATCATTTCAGGTTCCATTGGGGAGTCATCCTCATTTGTAGGTAGTTTATCAGACCAACCCTTAGAGAATTCAGTGTGACATCTAGCAACTAGATATAAAAGAACTAGCTTAGGACCAGACTTACCCTCGTTGTTTTCATCGGCAATATCCTCGTTAAGATCTTTTACTAACTTACCACAAAGTTGTGCGTACATGGTAGACCAATGTGGTTCATCACATGCTTTTAGGAAAATCTGTTCAATGACAATTTGTAGGGTTTCACCGTTCTTTTCCCATTGTGATTGATTGGCAATTTCAATAATTTCAGTAGAAATTGGTTCGAACTTCTCTAAAGTCAACTTGTTCAACAAAGACTTCATCTTTCTTTCGACGTCTTCCTTTTCTAATAGAACAGTCTTACCATCTGGGGCATATCTAACAGTAGGCTCGCCATCTTCGGTAGTAGCCTTTTTGAGTCTGGATTTTGGAACCCATCTGTTGGCACTTGGCACCAATGGGGCCACTGGTTCAGCTGGTGGTTTTTGATCTTGCTTCTCAGAGTTTTCATCGCCCTTTCTGAAAGAGTCTCTGGCGCCTCTTCTGCTATCCCTGTCCCTGTCACCTCTTCTGGATGATCTCTTGGAGTTACGGGTACTTCTTCTAGAGCCGTTACGAGAAGAGTTTGGCAAAAGAGCTGGATCTCTAAGGGATCTGGTACTGTTATTTCTTCTGTTGCCACTAGATGGTGGAATAACAATCTTGGATAAGACACTGGCTTTAAATTGCTCATCAACCTGGAAGTTAATCTTGGTCTTGAATTGCAGCAAGAAAGTAGGGCCATATGTGTACTTCATAGTCTCCTTCTTATATCTAGGGTCTGGTTTCTCCAAACCGGCTGGATATTCCATTGTGTATGGGTCCTCAATGCCCTCAGCCTTGTGCACGTTCTCTAGAAACACAGAGATAGAATTCTCTGGCGCAACAACAGCTTCTTCGGTCTTCTCCTCTGGAGCTGCCTCCTCCTTGGCATCTACCTCCACTTCAGCGTTGGATTCAGAATCATCAACCTTTTCTTCCACATCGGCCTCAATGGCATCGACATCTGCTTCAGCGTGAGCTTCCTTTTGGGCTGCAGCTTCAGCTTCGGCCTGAGCCTTGGCTTCAGCAGCCTTAGCCTCTTCAGCAGCCCTCACCTCAGCTTCGGCAGCCTCCTGCTTTTTCTTCTCCTCTTCCTCTGCAGCGCGCTTGGCGTCTTCCTCGGCCTTCTGTTTGGCAAGCTTCGCTTGCTCCAACGCAGCCTTACGCATCCTCACCTGCTCAATAAATGTCTTCCTCACCTGCTCAGCACTATCCTCACTCATGTTGTCAATGTGTTCGCTGGTCTACTCCGGCCACTTATCCTGATCCACCAATGACACCACCGCTTCTTATATACTTTGCAATCCCCCTCCACCATAGAACTCGATGGGCATCGCAAATTTTTTTTTTTTCACAAAAATTTTTCACTCGCTATTTACGTTTACAAGTCATGTGAGTTTGGTATTCATGCCAGCTAACTCCGCGGCATTAATTGCTGATCTCCGCGGTGAATACATGTACCTATATAAGTTGAAAGAAACTTTATTGCTATACTTACAGTCTATCATTAGGGCTGTTGTGCCGTACCAGTAATGTGGCCAGTACCAGAACAGTGGTGAGGTTGTTGGATCATGGCAAGTCAAAGCCAGGCTGTACTTGATGCTGCATTGTAATGGTAAAGGATGATTACATTGGTGAGCTTGCAATTGTATGTGTGTGTGATTCTTTGGGTGTGCAGGTGATGGGAAATGTTGGCAATGCAATGGGCCTGCAATGCCAAATATGCAGTAGTGGTTGAGAGCTCAACTGTTGTGGAAGTTGTGTGCAACGATGACACACGTTTGTGTGAAGAGTGCGATGAGATGACGCAAAATGGGGAAATCCAATGTGGCTTGACTGTATAAAAGACAGTGGGAAACAATGGTCGGGTGGAGAATCTTCCCCTATGGGGGCGGAATGTGTCATTAAAAAGAGCATAGACGACAACAAAGAACACAATTCGCCAAGTTTTCAGCAATGCAAGACGTACCTGTTAAGGCCAGGAGGCTGTCCCGAGAGCAGATCATCAATGAGATGGAGAAAGAGCAAGATGCCATTGTGGTGAAACTTTTGAAGGAGATTGAGACCTTGAAGCTCGAGAACACACGGCTGAGGCAGCGGCTAGCCATGTTTGCAGAAGACGCCCAGAACAATAACCACAGCACACAGGCAGCTCGCAGAAGAGCGGGCTCTGTGACGTCCACGACATACTCAAACTCTGCCATATTAACCGACGATGAAGAAGACGAAGACCACAACGGCCACAGACGAGACTCGTTTCTAAGAGTGCCAGTCTCCCCTACACACTCAAGACAGGCAAGCATGTCCTCGTCCGCATCTTCATCTTCAAACAGGAGACCATCCTTGGTGGTCAAAGAACAAAGACAATTGGAACTGCTAGAATTCAGGAAGAGAAACGCCTCACTATCTAAGAAGAAATAGACGTCCCCGCTGCTAGTTCGGCATATACATTAACGGTTCCAAAGTAAACATAAATATTTGTTACGACTATTTTTCTCTATATCAATGCTGTATACTACAAAAAAGTACCTTATTTATACAATCGAAGCTATAACCTAATAGATTTCCAATATGAATGGATATGCAAAGTGAAATGTGATCCCTTGTAGCAGTCAATAGTGGTATACACCTATACACCTCTCAAGCGCACAGGCTTTCTGCTTCCCAGTTTCACACTAAGATGGTGCGCTGGCACGATAGTGGGGAAGGGCGGAAAGGCGAAAAGGGAGGGTCTACGCTATCTGTTAGACGATATACTGCTCTCTTACGAGATTTCACTGGGGGGGAACAAGAAGAGATGTGGTATATCTGTTTCTACGTAGCGTTCTGTGGGAAATAGCTTTCCGAGATATTGTTCTTCCCTTTTTCATGTGTCCCACCCCCATTATAACACCGATGATTACCCGATCAGGACTATTAATACCCCAACATCTAATTTAATGGTATTGGATGAGAGTTTTAAATTAGCCTCCGACCCTGATATGGAAATAGAGTTATATTAACATGGATTACATACTAGACGCTTGCTCGAGAAATAATTGATTATGTAATAGTGTTCTACGCTTTTTGATTTTATTACTTGGCGTTCCAACTCGCAGTTTGTGTGCCGCGCCAAAACTACCCACACAGAACACTGCTCAGCTGGTATAAAAAAGATAACATGCTCAGGTTCAAGCAATGTATTGACTATAATTTACTTATATAAAATACCATTGATCAACAGCCAAACATAAAGATGGTGTGTGTGTGGGGGACCATGCCTAGTCCAGTTTTCACATTTAATATATCACATGACTTTAAGTATAGTGTTACATTTGTTTCTTTCTTTTTTTTCCAATTTGGCTGAAAATTTTTTTTTCACAAATTTTCTGCAGAAAGAATTTTTTCTTGCGATGAGCATCTCATCGCATCCCAATTTCATATATAAAGTATTGGTATTTTCAATGGGGGGTTGTAGTGTTCTTATTGTCTCTGTATATTCATTTATTGGTTAATTTCATATCACAGAATCACAACCATCCACATATATAAATAACATCACCCAATGGCTAAATCTACAACTAAGAAGGTATCCAAGAAGGACCTAAAGCTCGCTAAGAAGGAAGTTGAATCTTCATCCGATTCCTCATCCTCATCCTCCTCATCTTCTGAATCTAGCTCCTCTGATTCCTCTTCTTCTGAATCCTCTGATGACGAAGAACCAAAGAAGACCAAGGAATCTTCCGACTCCAGCTCTTCTGACTCCAGCTCTTCTGAATCCGATTCCGATTCTGAATCCGACTCTGAAGAATCCAAGGAAGACAAGAAGGAATCTTCTTCCTCTTCCTCCTCTTCCTCTTCTGACTCTGAATCTGACTCTGAAGAATCTAAGGAGGACAAGAAGGAATCCTCTGACTCTGAATCCAGCTCTAGCTCCAGCTCCAGCTCTTCCGACTCTGAATCCGACTCCGACTCCAGCTCTTCTGATGAAGAAGAGGAGGCCAAGGAAGAAAAGGACTCTAAGAAGCGTAAGGCTGAAGACGAAGAAGAAGAATCTTCTCCAAAGAAGGCTAAGACTGATGGTGAACCTGCCACCGTTTTCGTTGGTAGACTATCCTGGTCCATCGATGACGAATGGTTGAAGCAAGAATTCGAACACATCGGTGGTGTCGTTGCCGCTAGAGTCATGTACGAAAGAGGTACTGACAGATCTCGTGGCTACGGTTACGTTGACTTCGAAGACAAGTCCTACGCTGAAAAGGCCGTCAAGGAAATGCACGGTAAGGAAATCGACGGTAGACCAATCAATGTCGACATGTCCACCAGTAAACCAACTGTCAACCCAAGAGAAGACCGCCAAAAGAGATTCGGTGACATCCCATCCGAACCATCTGACACTTTGTTCTTGGGTAACCTGTCGTTCAACGCTGACAGAGACAACATCTACGAGATCTTTGGTAAGTTCGGTGAAATCATCTCCGTCCGTATCCCAACTCACCCAGAAACTGAACAACCAAAGGGTTTCGGTTACGTTCAATACACCAGCATCGATGACGCCAAGAAGGCTCTAGAAGCTCTACAAGGTGAATACATTGACAACAGACCAGTCAGACTTGACTACTCTACTCCAAAGCCAAACAACGGTGGTAACGGCGGTAACGGTGGCTCTCGTGGTGGTTTCAGAGGTGGCCGTGGTGGTAACAGCGGTGGCTTCAGAGGTGGCCGTGGTGGTAACAACGGTGGTAACCGTGGTGGTTTCAGACCTTCTGGTTCCGGTGCCAACCAAGCTCCTCTAGGTAAGCCAAGAACCGCCTTCGCTGGCCAAAAGAAGACCTTCGATTAAAACGTTTAAAAAAAATAATAAGGACTCATAATTAACATTCGTCATTATTTTTTTTTCTCATTTCTATTTCCAATCGGATACTAACACTGTATTATTTTTTTTTAAAAATGGCATTAAAGCTTAATTCATTCAACAAGCTTTGATATCATTTTAAAAATGATTCTTCACAGTTTTGTAATACTCTTTTCCAATTTCCATCTTCTTTTACTCTAATTTTTTCTGTTTATTAACTTCAGGGCATTTTATTCAATAACCATTGACAATTATTTTCGAGATTTATCTCGTCCTCTCTATTATTTCTGTATATTAGTTGCACTGCGTGTTTACTATTTTATTTCGATTTGGGATTACTTTCATCATTATTATTATTTTTTTCTTTCTCTGTAAAAGAACACTCCCATATTTTTATTATATAAGCATTTTAGCAAGAAAAGACTCAGTAATATTTCATCAATTTCTTTCTCCAAGTATTTATAAATGGCTTGAGTAACTTAAATAACATACTAATACGGACTCTATAATATGAATCTCATGACGTCATTTTAAACTAAGAGCTCATCGCCTGCAAAAATTTTCTAGGCGATGAGGCATCACAAAGCATAAAATAACAGGTACAAATACGATGAGACAACTCTGAATAGTAACCTTGAAGTATCAGCAAGAGAATAGTTTAACAACACCAATTTAATATGAACGTCCAAGATAGAAGGAGGCTTTTAGGACCTTCTAGTGCCAAACCGTTAGTTTTCAGCACAACCGCAAGCAAACCAGATGAAACAAAAAAGCATGATGACAATAATGAAGAAAAGATAGCATTGCATACTGGATTTATTGCTAATTGCAATGGTTCAGCTTTAGTAGAGATCAAAGATACCAAGATTACTCATCACCAAACATCTTTAATCACTTCTGTGTACGGTCCGAAGTCAGTTAGAGGTTCGTTTACTTCACAAGCTTCCTTATCTATACAGCTTAAAAATGGTCTTTTAGAGAAATACGAATCTAGAGAGTTGAAAGAGGTAGCCAATTTCCTAACCAGCATATTCAACAGCGTTATAAATCTTAAAAGATACCCAAAGTCAGGAATTGACATCTTTATATATATAACATATGAAAAAAGTCTCGAAAATTTCAAAGAGCAAGAACCAGCTGCTCCAGTCAGGAAATCAAACATCTATAAAATACTCCCCCACTGCATATCATCAATAACCATGGCTTTAATAGATGCTGATATCGAAATTATAGATCTAGCAGCTGCAGGTCAACACAATGGGAGTGTCGCTTCATTTATTAAAGGTGGACAAGAAGTTGTTGGGTTTTGGAAGGACAACGAAGACAATTCCGACATAGTTGAGTGCATTGAGACTTGTAAATCTCAATACTTAGAGTATAGAGCTTTGATGAGAACATATTTGGCTAACAGAGCAGCAGCATAAGAATTAACATATAGTTTTGAAAAGTATATTTAACGATTAAAATGAATTATTCTGTAAATTCTATTGAATATTTATATATCTATATATAATGGTTATTTATGCATATGAATTATTTGCATTCAATGAAGCGGTACAAGGTGGTGATATGAATATCATTACTCTAATTTGTCTAGTACTTCCTTAATTTCCCAAACTCTCTTAGCAATAACATCGATATCCCCATTGACTCTCTTGATATAATCCGTTGACAATTCTATACCAACGGAATCACGAATAAGTCTTTTCAAATTAAGGATTTTGAAGTAGTCATTTCCTTTATCATCAAATCTATTATTCTTTAAGACATGGAGCTCGGTCAAAAACTTCTTCAGCTCAATATTTAATACTTCAGCAGAGGATGCTTCAAAATGAGGATAGGATATCTCGAACGGTTTGGAAACCAAAAGAACTCTATGTGTACCCTTTGAATGGTATCTAAACTCATAGATACCATGCTTAAAATACATAAGATTAGCATCAAAACTGATTTTACCACAGACATAGTTTTCTGTACGTTGAAACTCTTGAATACATTTAGTGTTTTTCAAGTCATGTGGATAACCCTCTGGGGATGTACCACTCCAGTGACCAGATGAACTGACCCTAGTTCTTTCACGGATATTCTTGGTATCCAGAACATTATATAAACCAATCCAGTCTTTTTCATGATATAATTTAGTTGGAAGTTTCCATTCAACAGTAAGAACATTTGGTAGTATTGCCTTATTTTTTTCATCTAATCCCAAAATCTCTAAATCACAATAGGGTCCTAACTGAGAGCTAACTTTGTGAATTGCATGCTCAACAGCATTTTCCCACAATATATCTTTATCAGCTCTATCAGGTTTTGGGACGGCTTCTTCAGAACCGCTATCAGAGTCATCGGAATTGTTTGAAAATGATATTGGCGAACCCGATTTCAAATAATTTGAGCTTAGAGGTGTTTCGTGATTCAAAAATGAACGAAGAATAATATGCTCTGCTTTGTCAACTAATTCAGAGACTCTTCTCAAAGGCTTAATATTATACAACGTCTTCTCAACTCCACTCATACGGTCTGCGGAAGGACCGTATACTTTTGAGACATGTGGGGTTTCAATAAATTTAACCAAAACAAAATTTGTAGCTGTCCACAACATACCCAAAGCAATGTTTTCCCAAGCAAAATCTGTCATCAATACGGAACCCCAAACACCAGCAACACCCAAAATAGCCTCTGGGTTGTTCAAATACCTGTAAATACCTTGCGTGGTTAATTTTCTGTCGACAATGTAATTGATTAAAAAGAAGTCACCATAAAACCAACCAAAATCAGAAATAGCAGATCTAATCTCAGTATTACACCATATTTGCAACGCACAACATATCAACCCAAAAATAATCTGACTATAGTCAATCGCTGGGAATATCTCCTTAATTTTTATCAGAGTTTGACAAACCAGCAGTGTATAAGAGATAACAAGTGAGTAATTATAGAGAAATTGCCATTGTTGAAAACAGTGAACTTGAGTGTAACCATTTTTCAGATACAATTTAGTAAACCATTTTTCCTTGGATTGCCTATACAAGACATATGATAATAACAGCCAAGTTGATAGTTTTGCGACAAAAGTCAAATAGAACAATCTCCTTGAAGTGGGTGTTCCAAAAACCGTCCAGGAAAAAATAGCCCAAGTTGTAAAAACTGTGAAATAGTCCGTAAATCTCAGTTTATCAAAATTTTCCAAAAACAAACCGTTACTGATCAACGGATGGGTGTAGTCATTATGTTCTCTTGCAATCTGATCATCTACAGTGCCGTTAGTTAATTCTTTTGTTTCAGATGTACCATAGGTACGATCAATATGTGGGGTTTCAACATATTTCAGGAAAACAAACTGCAGTAGATGCCCAAAGACTGACACCAATAAAACTCTATAATCACCACAGATTAATGATAAACCATAATAGCCTAAATAACCGATAGAGTACATTGGATGTGGAGAGATGTTGAATACACCGTCAAATATTAGTTCAGAATCTTGTAAGAAAAAGAAATCACCCCAGTACCAGGCGTAATCTTTAACAACACGATGAGCATCCAGTTTGACCCAGATATTAAATAAAATCATGGCCAAACCAAGACCTGTTCTCCAAGTAAATCTCCATGATGACATGGATAAATAAACGTAGACCATATAAGTTGCAAAATCCTGCATTAAAATCAAATCCACGAATTGACGAAACAGCAGCCATACATTTAACTCTTCTGGGTATTCAGAAATATTGTAATTAGTAGGCATCTTAGAGCTTATTTCAAATTGGGCAAATTTAGCCAAAAACGCATTATTCTTTTTAGAAAATAGTCTGTGAGTCTTGGCAAAATTCGTCAGCGTTTCATAATGAGACTGGTAGTGTAGTACACAACCAATACCTAGGTTATATGACAATCTCCAGAACACATACTGCCCGAGGAAGCAGTATTTTGCGACCTGAAGTCCATAACTATTCAGGAGCCAGTAACAAACCACAAAATTTGATAAAATCACAGAAGCTATTACTATCTCCAAATAAGATTTCTTGATGCGAGGATCGAATAGCGATCTCACCATATCGTGAGTCTCTGGCGGGTCAAAATGTATACCAGAACTCCGTGTTCTGCCTTTCATTTTGACTTCAACGTTAGCAACAACTGACATATCCAATGTACGAGTTGTATTTCTGTTTGCAATATATTAATTATTAGGTATCCAAATGGTATCCAAATGTGCAGTAGACCTTAATATTTTCTTATTTATATACTATTAAGTCTCGACTCCTTTTAGCATGTGAAGATTTACACTATCTACACACTAACGGAAATATGTTATCTGTTGAAGATACTAGTTGAATTTCTGGTTGAACTTATTGCACTTTTGGAAGTTGCTTTACTTTCACATGGACTTGTGAATAGTACTTTTTATCGATCTCCGAGACAGTAATCCATTTTATACATTTTATAAAATCATTAGAAATATGATTGGGGACACAGTTTAACTAACAAGAAGTGTGCCAGTGGCTAGGTGCCTTGACAATCACTATTTGGAGATTGCGTCATTTTTTGCTAGATAGTTCCTTAGAGCCATATTCTGGGAAAGTGAAGGAGACAAGCAATGTGTGGGTTGTGTGACTCGGAACTTAACTAAGTCTGACTCAACTTCACGGCGAGAGGCTCTAGCCATACGGACGAAGGTTGATGGCATTCTGCTGAATGTGTAACATGTTAGTTGCCACACGGCACTTACTGCATTTGATGCCAAGATTGTGCTCAAGTAAACAATGGGCACGAAGTGATTATAAGGCTATCACATGAAAGGTCACTTCGCCAACGATATCAGTACATAAACTGGAGTACAGAATGCTTACAGAGTGAATGTTATATTTATATACTTCAGTACAAATACTCTTTACGTAGATTTGTGACCATAGCACGCTGTTGCTCCGGAAGTGCTGCGATCTGGCTATCAGTTAGTTTCAGCACTTGCTTGACCATCTCTCTTTGGTTTTCTGGTAGTTGTTGTAGCTTGATGACGTTAATTTCTGGTTCATTCATTTGTACTGGTGCTGGCATAGGAACTGGTGGGGCCTGAGTTGGGGTAGATACCGGTCCTGACATTGGAACTTGCATTGGTGCGGGTACTGGTGGTGGAGGGCTGTAGTTGAATTGTGGAGCAGCTGGCATAAATCCTTGCATCGGCACCATACCACCCATGTTCATGTTGTTTACTGGTGGGACCATACCACCCATAGCCATAGGTGGTGTAGCCATTGTATTAAATTGCGGCATTATAGGAGTAGCGCTGTTGCTGTTACTGTTACTATTGCTGTTACTATTGGTAGATTTCCCACTCTTGGATTCCTTAGTTACATCTTTCATGACTTGTGTTACCACCTCGTAGTCGATAAAGCCCATCTCTAACATTGCCTGTGACATGGTCATCAAAATATCATTATTAGACTTCAAAAATGTCTCTAATTGGGACCTCTTAGTATTATGTTGATTTGCCAACATCTTTAAGTTGGATATTACCTCGATCATCTGGGCAGGTGGTATTTTACTTAGGTTGGCCGATATAGGATCCGAGCTTTCTAATGCCTCCTTCTCTAACTTAGGCAGGTTCTGAGAGCTTTTTATGAGTATTTCGGGGAATACTACCACACCATTACTTCCTATGCTATTTACTATATTGTTATCATTATTCTTCGTAGTATTACTTGAAGTGGCCGTCGCTGTTGGTGCCTTCTTAGGTAGAGGTACTTCTGAGATCATATCAAATGGTAATGACAATTGTGCATTCCAGGGAAAATTCTCCCTATCCAGCTGAATCTCTGGCTTATCCTTCACGCTCTCTGTCCTATTCTTATAATTAGATGGTATTATTCTCTCCAACTCAAACGGTAGTTTCTCTACCCTTTGCAAGAGGTCATAGGCCCTTCTGCAGTCCTGTGGTTCCCGGTAGTCATAAACCAGTCCGTTTACTTTGCCTGTACGTGGGTCTTTACGACTGCTGATGTCAATAATGGGACCTGACCCTGCCACTACTGAAGAAACCACGTCTTGGTTCCAATCACTAGGTATATTAGTAACCAGAATGGATGTAGATAAGTTATCTGGCGTAAGTTGGTGTCGCGTATTTCTCTTTCTAGGATCACTCATCTGTTATGTATATGACGTAATGCTAGTTTTCGTGCTATAGGGCTGCTAATGAGACGCTGAAAGACGTATTATAACAGCAAGACGGGGGAAAACAGTAAGATAGCTGCACACTTAGCGAGTTGTCAAATGGTATAACCTTTTGACAGCAGTCAGAATTGACTCAACAGTCCTATTAGTGTCGGCATCGGTCCCTCAAAATAAGAGTTTACCGTAGAAAAGATTTTTTACGTGAAAGGACCCTCTTAACTATGTCGTCAATTCTGATATTTAGATCTGGTGGATAATGAGAAGCATTATAAAGTCAGTTATTTGCACCTGCATAGTCGATTACTTGGCGAGAACTGTTATGTGCATCTATCATATGTTTATTTAGTTTATAAAAAAAAGTGTACAGAATTTGCTCCTGTCGTTACAGCAGAAGCGAGAGGTTTGAGAAACTATATAAATACATTAGATAAACATGGGTCGATGGGTGTAATAGTGCGCTATTAGAGCGTTGATAAGAATGCTAGAATTATAGTACGTTGAATCTATATTTATCGAAGTTTTTTTCTTTTTCGTTTTTTTGCTGGTTATTGCTTCAAGCGGTGGAAGCCAAGTAACTTAGCAAGTCCATCTTTGTAACGATGTGAACAGGCTTCAATCCATCTGTGATGACGGCACTGGAGTTCTTTTCGAAGAACTTGTTCAATTCAGCCAAAGTGGATTCGGAAGTGAATTGGACGAACTTCTTCTTACCGGACTTGTTTTCGTTGTAAGAGGAGACTTCGTCGAAGTTGTTCAACTTTCTGAAATCCAAGTATAGGTTCTTGATTGTGTCTGTGTTGTTAACTTTGCCGGTGGATAGCTTCTTTAGCAATTGGGACAAAGTCACCAGACCCGTTAGCTTACCGTCTTGTGTCAGGACAGGCAGTTGGTCGAAGGCGTTGTCTCTTAGGATGGAGATGACGTCGGAGACCAAGGCGTTGTCCTTGACGGCGACCACTGGCTTCAAGTGCAAGTCCTTGACGGTGGCGCCCTTGAAGACGTCGTCGGTGGCTGGCTTCTTCTTTTCGTCGAAGTCTACGCGCTTCAGGATCTCGTCGTCCCACAGGTCGTTTGTCTTCAACCATTCGTCGTCGACGAACTTGGTCAAGTACGATCTGATGGAGTCTGGGAAGATGGCGACCAGGACGTCGTCTTCGGACAGTTCTGGGTGGTCGTTGCAGTACTCGACTAGCGCTGTGAACGCAGAACCGGAGGAGCCACCGATCAGGACACCCTCGTTGGAGATCAGCTGTCTTGCGTACTTGAAGGCAGGCTTGTCGTCGGTCTTGTACCACACGTCGACCAAGGATCTGTCTAGCACTTCTGGGATGAAGTCGTAGCCGATACCTTCGACTTTGTAAGAGGTGATCTCGGTCTCGTTCAAGTTCTCTGGCTGGGCAAGGATGGAGCCGACAGGGTCAGCGCCGACGATCTTGATCTCTGGGTTCTGCTCCTTCAAGTACTTGGAGATACCGGAGATGGTACCACCAGTACCGGCACCGGCGACCACGGCGTTCAAGTGGGAGAACAGCTTCAGGTCCTCCAGCTGCTTCTGGATTTCGCGACCGGTACCGAAGTAGTGGGCCTCGGGGTTCTTCATGTTGTTGTACTGGTCCAGGATGATCGCGCCAGGGATCTCCTTCTCCAGACGGCGGGCCACACCGATGTGCGACTCGGGAGAGTCCCAAGCAGCCTCCGTTGGCGTCCTGATAATCTCAGCACCAAGCGCCTTCAGAACACTAACTTTCTCATTGGACATCTTCTCAGGCAACGTGATAATAGTTCTGTAACCCTTGACGGCACCGATAAGCGCAAGACCAATACCGGTGTTACCAGAGGTGGGCTCGATCAGCGTAGACCTCGAAGGGTGGATGATGCCTTGCTCCTCTGCGTACTCGATCATGCTCTTGGCGATACGGTCCTTGATGGAACCACCTGGGTTGTACAGCTCCAGCTTGGCAAACACACGAGGACGAATACCATACGCCTTAGGCAGCTTCTTCAGCTCGATAAGCGGAGTGTTACCAACCAAATCTATAACGTTGTGTCTAGAATCCATTATTCTCGAATAACAGTACTGTGGGTGGGGTTATCTCATAGAAGTAGAATCAGGATCCAGCTGAGAAGAGAACAACCTTATATATATACACTGGTGCGGATCTAGAAGAGATGGGGGGACTCTTCGAGATGAGGCCCACGGCTTCCTCCCCCCCCACCACCAACGATTCTGGAACTGAAAAAAATTTGTGAAAGAATAAACGTGACCTCCACACCGTCTTACGGTACTATACACGGCACCGGTGCCGTAGCCGGGTAACTCCCTCCACACTTCCCACACTTCTGGCACTGCCCACACTGCCGGGGGGAGCTTTCTTGCGCGCTGCAGACAAAACTGTGGCGTGTCGCGAGGATCCACGGAATAAGCGCCCGACGGCTATGTGCCCGACGGCTATGAGCCCGACGGCTCGACGGCTAGATGATACGATCGATGGGTATATGATCGATGAGTATATGACTAGATGATATGATCGATGACTATGTCTGGATGACATATACTCATACGCCTAACACCCTGGTAGATGCTACTCTAACATCCCATAGCGCTGCGGTGAAGACCCTCCCTGCTGTAAGATTATGAACGGTGCCATCGAAGTTCCCAGATACCCTGTATATCTGGACTTGCTTTGCAAATGCGTGTAGTGCAAGGTATACCCCCCGTCATATGATGATGCCTGGTACGAATTTATTTGCTCTCCAGGAATTTGCTCGGCATTCTCGTTCTTCACCTGCGACTTCTCCTTGCGGGAGGGCAAAAAAAAATAAAAAAATTCTCATATAACAATGGTGATGCTGATCCTTGCATTGGCACTGGCATTGGCACTGGCACTGGCAGGACAGGTATTAAGCAAAAAGCCAGGAAGAGATGCGTGATTATAAGCTGGTAGTGCTGGGTGCCGGTGGTGTAGGGAAGTCCTCGCTGACCGTGCAGTTTGTGCAAGGTGTTTACTTGGACACGTACGACCCCACCATCGAGGATTCATACCGTAAGACAATCGAGATCGACAACAAGGTGTTTGACCTGGAGATTCTGGACACCGCGGGCGTGGCGCAGTTCACCGCGATGCGGGAGCTGTACATAAAGGCCGGCATGGGCTTCCTGCTGGTGTACTCTGTGACAGACCGCGACTCCCTGCGCGAACTGATGGAGCTGAAAGAACAAGTGCTGCGGATCAAGGACTCCCAGCGGGTGCCCATGGTGCTGGTCGGCAACAAGGCCGATCTGGTAGACGACAGAATCATCCCAGTCGAGGAAGGTATCGGCGTGAGCTCGCAGTGGGGTAAAGTGCCCTTCTATGAAACCAGCGCCTTGCTGCGCAGCAACGTCGACGAAGTATTCGTTGACCTGGTGAGGCAGATCATAAGGAATGAGATAGAAACGGTGACGAACACCACCAACAACCACCCATCCCTCTCGCAAGCATCCCTAAATGATCCACTGAGGAAGAACGGGAGCCAGGGCAACATGTCATCGAATAACGACAGACCACACTCACCTTTTAAGAACACACGGAGCAACAGCAACGCGACTCCATCGTCACAACAATCTACCAAGAAGTCTACCTTATCCAGAACAAACACGAATAGATCAAATTCGCCAGGATCGCTGAAGAAACACCAAAGCGGATCAAATCAGGACACATTACGCAAGCAGATAGCTACAAACAGCTCTAGAAATACACAACAAGATAAGAAGGGTACTGCACCAGCGACTGCCGCCTCAAAGAAGCAGAAACCAAGAGCACATGCATCATCACCTCAGTCATCTGCATCTCCTGCTGAAATAAAACAGGAGAAGAAGAAAAAGAAAAAAAACAACCTATGCACAATCCTTTAAGACATAAGACATTCACCTAAGACACTTTTAGTATATCAACATATATGGAACAGCTACACTTGTTCATCCCACCCATATGGAATAGCGCTACGCGCCTATTCGACCTCTCATGTATCATGTAATATTATAACATTCATTTTATTATCTTTTTTGACGGCGCGCTAAAAATAGCTAGGAATGTGGAAATATTCTCTGGGCAAAAGCTAAAAATAGATTGGCGCAAAGTATTATAGCAAACACTAGAAAAAACTCAAACAAGATACATCATATGATAGGAGAACCTATTCTGTTGGTAATAGAAAAACTCATGATATTGTTCCTGACAGCAGAGTATACTACGAGAAACAAAAAAAAAATATATGGACGCAACCGGAATCGAACCGATGACCTCTTCCTTGCAAGGGAAGCGCGCTACCAACTGCGCCATGTGCCCGCAAAAAACATATACTACGATTTAGAGGAGTGTTACACTATATAACCTGCTTAAAGTCTGAGCCAATGTTATTCTTTATAGCCGACTAAATGGCGCCGCGTAACAAAGTTACAGCAAGATTGGTATACATCACCTCAATGAACGCGTTCCATCAAACGAACGCTAATAATTTCTTTGGTACCCATGGAGTCTACACCCTTCTCCAATCAGTAAGTAATGTAGGATTTAGCCAAAATTTAGTATCAACCTTAGTTTTATTTCTATATAATATTTTATTTAATAGGCAACAATTCAATATAGGAAACCAACCATTTCTGACTAACAGCTCAAAGGTGATCCTTCTTATCTCTAACTGTTATAATCCTTAATTATGTGAGCTCATCGCTGTTTTGAAAAAAAATTTTCAGAACGAAAAAAAAAAAAAAAAAATGCGATGAGCTAGCTCATCGCATTAATATAATGGTTTAAGAAGAGTTATAAAGACTGTATTTGTTCAGATAAACAAGGCCCAACATAAAAAGACGATAAAATATTGCAAGATGGTGTTGAAGTCCACATCTGCTAATGATATCTCTGTTTACCAGGTCTCTGGTACCAATGTATCTCGTTCTTTGCCTGACTGGATTGCAAAGAAGCGTAAGAGGTCCCTAAAGAACGATTTAGAGTATCAGAACAGAGTTGAATTGATTCAGGACTTTGAGTTTAGTGAAGCCTCCAACAAGATTCGTGTTACAAAAGATGGTAACTATGCGATGGCTACCGGTACTTATAAGCCACAGATTCACGTATATGATTTTGCCAACTTGTCTATGAAGTTCGACAGACATACTGATGCTGAAAATGTTGACTTCGTGCTTATATCAGATGACTGGACCAAGAGTGTTCATCTACAAAACGACAGAAGTATCCAATTTCAAAGTAAAGGTGGTATCCATTACACAACCAGAATACCAAAATTTGGTCGTAGTTTGACTTATAATCCTGTGAATTGTGACCTATATGTCGGTGCCAGCAGCAACGAACTTTATAGACTTAACCTAGAGCAGGGTAGATTCCTAAACCCATTCAAATTAGATGATGAAGGTGTGAATCATGTAACTATGTGTGATGTCAACGGGTTGATATCTGTATCCATGGAAAATAATACGGTAGAATTCTGGGATCCAAGAGCAAGAACAAGAGCTGCTAAACTCGTGTTAGAAAATGATTTGGATAACTCTGATTTTCAAGTTACTACATCAAGTTTCAGAAGAGATGGTTTAAACTTTGCCTGTGGTACATCTACTGGTTATTCTTATTTATACGACTTGCGTACTTCTGAGCCATACCAGGTCAAGGATCAAGGTTATGGGTTTGATATCAAGAAGATAATATGGCTTGATAACGTTGGTGTTGAAAACAGTGATAACATTCTAACATGTGATAAAAGAATCGCCAAGATTTGGAATAAAGATACTGGTAAAGCATACGCCTCAATGGAACCTAGTGTCGACATTAACGATATTGAACACATCCCAGGCTCAGGTATGTTCTTCACCGCCAATGAAGGTATTCCAATGCATACATATTACATTCCTACTCTTGGTCCATCTCCAAGATGGTGTTCTTTCTTGGACTCCATCACCGAAGAACTAGAAGAGAAACCAAGTGACTCAGTTTACTCGAACTACAGATTCATAACGAGAGATGATGTAAAGAAGTTAAATATCACTCATTTGGTGGGCTCGAATGTTCTAAGAGCATATATGCATGGTTTCTTCATTAATACAGAATTATATGATAAGGTTTCTTTGATTGCTAATCCAAATGCTTACAAAGATGAAAGAGAGAGAGAAATCAGACGCAGGATTGAGAAGGAAAGAGAATCAAGAATCAGAACTTCTGGCGCGGTATCGAAACCTAAAGTCAAATTTAATAAAGATCTTGTCGAGAAAATTACAACCAAACGTGGTGACTCAGCAGCCAGTAAAATTCTTACAGATGATCGTTTCAAGGAAATGTTTGAAGATGAAGATTTCAAAGTTGATGAGAACGATTATGATTACAAGCAATTGAACCCAGTTAAATCTGCTAAAGAAACTGACGAAGGTGCTGCTAAACGTATTAGAGCCCTAACTGCAGCCGAAGAATCTGATGAAGAAAGAATAGCCATGAAGAATGGTCACTATAGCGATAGCGAGAGTGAAAGTGAGAGCGAGAGTGAAGAAGATAAGGCTGAGTTAACTGAAGCTGAGAAGAGAAAAGCAGAAAAGCAAAGGAAAGTTATTGAACGTAGAAGAAAGGATAAAGAAGAAGCTGAGAAGTTCCTAGATGGAATGAAGGTTTCTGATAGTGGACTTTCAGTTAACGGCGAGAAGAGATCTGTTACATTTGCCGAGCAAGTTAAAACTTTGGAGGAAGAAAACACTGATAAGAAATCCACCGCTCAAGTTCTTCGTCGTAACCACCGTGGTGCAGCTGAGCTAACTTTTGTGCCTGGTAAGAAATCTCCCAAGCCAAAGAGAATGCATAGAGCTTCATCAGACAGCGATGAAGATGACGATGACAATAAACCTGACAACGGTAGAGCGAAACCTAGATTTGAGGGAAGAAGAAGGGCAAGCAAAAACGTTTTCAGAGGTATGTAAATATGTTAATTAACATAAACTAAACCAAGCATAAATTTATATTATATCTGCATTATAAAGTAATTCCAAAATTATCGTCAATTGTTGATAATAAAAGGCTCACGTACAAAAAATTCGATTGAATATTCTACTTTCATCTCAAAAAAATTTATCTATTATCTAAATAGTTTATAAAAAATGTTAGTCTAATATGAAGCCGAGAAAAGAGAAACCATATAAAATTCGTTAATAAGTTAAAAGAAAGTCCAAAAACATGATAATAACCAACAAAATGTAACCACAAAAGGTGAAATAAAAAGAAAAAGTGTACAAAAACCAATAAAAACTAAAATCCAATGTATGTCAGTATAAAATAGTGACTGAGCAGCTATCGTTAACTTGAAGAATAAATCCTTAAACAACTAAGGGTTCTACAACACTAGTCCACCTTTACGTACTGTTGTATTGTAGCCATAGTCTATAATTTTGTGCTGCTGCTTTTTCATCATTGCATACTTCTTGTATAGGGCACAGATTGCGTAAGCGGCCCATGGTTCTAGGTACCTGTAAGCTATCAGAAGCGGGAAGTTCCAGATCGTCCATGTCTTCATGATCAATACCTGATTGAGCATAGAGCAACGGTGACTTTAGCAAAGGATCAATTGTTGATTCAGCATCATCTCTAAAAGCTTCATCGAGGTGCTTACACTCTTCTGAACAGTAAATATCCAAACCATCAAGCAACTTTTCGCAAACAGCGCAATAATCGTTAAAGGCAGCCATTATTTTCGAATTGGCAATTATGCATCACAGAGTTAAATATATCCCTTAGACTATATCATAGAGCTGCGATTACCGTCTTAATATTCGAGGTCTTTTTGCCTCCAATGTAATGCTGAATACATCTCGAAATACCCCAGCTTATATATCAGCAACTGGGGTCAATTGAAATCATTTTCGTTTAGTATATCTGGATCAGAGTTACCTAACCGGGTAGCCCTATTATGCACTAGGATTGGATCAACGCATCCCCCTTAACAAATTGATCTGATCCAACAAAGTCCAAGTTAAGAAAAAAAAGAAATGACATTAGCTCAATCCCTTCGATTTCCAGCAAAAGGTGCCCTAGATATTTATTTTTATCAAAAGAAATGTCTCAACTCAATGGCCTTGCTTCACCTATACACCTAGGTGTAGAGCTCATCGCACCTTTGCTTCTGTTCTACCTGGGTGGGGGTAGTAAAGCCAAACCCGAGAACAATTGGGAAGCCAGGTGTGCGAGAGTTAAGTTCAATTGGATTGGTACAAGAGCAGGCCAGCTCCAACACGACAGAAGTTGGCTTCTCCATATACGTATTGTATTATCTTTCATATGGTAAATTTTTTGTCACTCAACATTCCGTGAAGGCCAATAGGGGCCCCTGTGATAATTGTAGAACTTCCAGAACTTTCAGAACTCAAAAATGCTATCTTGCATCTCAATGCAACGAGGCTGATATGGCACTGTGCCCAGATCCTTTCTAGAACTATCAACGTATATTTTTTGGTTTTTTGGTTTCCTTTCTTTTTGATTCATCTCATATGGAACTATAATAGATTTGTGGTCCATGGTTAGAGGAAAAATGAAAGCTAATTACAAGTCAACAATAGTTAAATAAATCACATGTTAGTGATGGAAAATAAAATTTGGCAGCGTATTCTCTATTTATAGCGTATCTTGGCGTCATCAGCCATGGTTCTTGTGAAGTTTAGCCTGGAAACTAGGCCGTATTTCTTGAAGATTTTGGCGGCGTATGGCGTAATTGCTGCAGTCAACGGTATACGCACCACAATTAAGCTCTTGTGCAAACCATAAGCCAGAATCAGCTCTGTGAGCATGTGGCTGTTCTTCATCTGAGTCCACCAGCTCTCTGAGTACTGAACTTTGGCCTCCTTCTCATGTTTCTTGCGATTCATTTCGTCTACCAGTTCATATTCGTCCTTCCCGTAGCCAAATAGACGCTTAGCTCTGTTCAAGTAAATCGCAATGGTTTCATCACCAAGCGAGTGTACTGCCAGATAGCACAACGGCAGGTCAATTAGCATTAAACCTATGTATACAATCAGTGCTGAAGAGCCGTACTTCTTCATCAGCAGCTTGATGCCTTTCTCCTTCTTGGCCTGCGCTGTAGTGGTAGCCATTCGTGCACCAGACATCCTAGTGGCAAATCTATTGGTTAACCTAGAAGCAGCCACCCTAGTGGTAGCTCTACTAGCGCCAAAACCCAACGGTCTAGTGGACACACCACGACTGATCCCAGGAAACATAGACCTAAACATCGCGTTTCTCCGTACCCTCGACCCTAATACTAAGGAGTATATCGTATAAGCGCTCGGTCTGCAATTATAATGAAACTATAAATATATATATTCAAAAGAAAAATGCTTGAAGTTAGAGCTTTTAGTACCTGAAAAACCCTTTAACTTCCCAGACACACTCAAGTTAATGAATCAGCATCCAGTCAGGAACGCTTAGAGGTGCTAAGAAACGAAAAACAGCCCGAGTCTTAAAGGGTAATCGAACCATATTTAAAACTCACTGGTCCAAACATCTGCATTTTGGCTAGTAGAAAGCAAATACACCACAATACAACCATTTAATATGGCTACTGAAGAGAAGGATGAGCTGCGGTCTGAGTTGTCGTTGGGCAACCTAGTGGAGCTACTGGATCCCATAGCCTCTAAGATACATTACACTCAATTTCCGACTATACAAAACTATGATTATAAGAAGACGTGGCAACGAGCCAAGGATAAACTAAACGGGGACCATAAGAGGTTAATCAAGAAGCACAGGGAGAGACTTGTCGAGCAAATCAAGAAATGGGACGGACCCTTAAACAGGCTATTTTTCCACAAAACATCTACGCTAGAAAAGTTATTTTACCCATTTACGCTGTTTAATATATTCTTCATCGGATTCATCATGGGCCGGTTCCCACAATACTTCCACGTTTACTACACAGTTTTGTTCTGTATTTTAATTCCAATCCGGTTTTACACTTACTACAAGACCAATAACCATTATTTCTTAGCGGACTTGTGTTACTTTGTTAATATTCTTTGCCTTGCTTACATTTGGGTGTTTCCACGCAATCAAACACTTTTCTTATCATGCTTTGCACTGACATTTGGTTCCCTCAGCTTTGCTGTTATTACATGGCGGAATTCGCTGGTGATTCATTCAATAGACAAAACCACTTCCTGTTTTATCCATATTATCCCCCCATGTTCTATTTTTGTGATATACAGGGCTATTTCACCAGAGTATAGAGCAGAAAGATTCCCTGGTGCAGTTATACTAGACCCTCGCAACTCCATATCGTTAAAGACCAATATCATTAACACGTCCCTGTATTACCTAATCTGGCAAGTTTTATACCATTACTTTATCACATTAAGGAAGAGCTCAAAGATACAAGCTGGTCAGCGTGAAACTAGTTTCCATTACCTGACTACTCATCAATACAAGGACTTCTGGGCCGTGAAATTACCCACACCTTGGCCGATTGTAATATATACGTTATCACAGTACCTGTACCAACTTTCGACTATGCTTCTTTGCAATATCTGGATTAAATATGATGAAATATGGTCGCAGTTCTTTCTTTTAGCTATATTCTTATGTGCTGCACATAACGGTGCTACTTATTACATTGATTATTATGGCAAGAGTCTAGAAAATGAAGTTACTAAACTAAAGGTTGAGGTTGAAGAGCTACAAGAGGAACTAGACATGGCTCAAAGTGGATCTGATATTTGAGGTTTTTTTCTTCTTATGGCTATCAATTTTTCTGTAACTTTTCTCATCTATAACATTTATTTGGATTAAACATTAATTTCTAATTATGAAATGCAAAATTGTATATATTTACATGGTATAGTGTTCTCGTAATTACATATGCACACATTTTTCTCTGAACTCCATCCTCCCTAGCGGTTTGTATTTGAAACCTTTAGCATCCTTAACTTAGGATAACTTGAGTTCCTCGATTTGTTCATTAATGACATCAACTGCTTTCTTTGTACCTTTGCTACGGTTGACAACGTCAAGCAATTTTTCAATATTTATAATATCTTCAGCTTCAATCAGGCCATGGTGTAGAGATTTAACCATTGAGTAGTCCCATTTGATAAAATTTTTGGAGGATAAAACAACGGCCATAGCATCAGAATATAGCCTCTGAGAAACAAAAAACTCAACCATAAGCTTTGCAAAGTTAGAATCACTAATAATTCTATCCTTGGTAGGTAGCTTAGCAAAGCTGGTAGTTTTCCTGTACTCACCTCTATCTTTCCAAACTTGATTGGCAGCGTCAATATCTCCAAATTTAGTAGCAGCCTTCATAACAAGATCGTAGTGACTATTCGACATTAGAATTTTTCTTTTCAGACTCTCAAAATATTTGAGGCAATCATTATATTCCTCTGACTCTGGTTTATATTCATAAAACTTTTCCATCACGGAGTTTAAGTTATGTTGCTGAAATGTAAAGGCATTCAATCTACTGTAAAATTCTTCTCTATTACCACTTTTTAAAGGAATTGTTAAAAACGTCTGTAAAAGGGTTGGATTTAAAACTGTGTTGTTCAGGTTTTCGGTCTTCCATTCGATCAAGTCATTCATAATCTTTAACTTGAATTCATTAATATCTATGGCTTGGTCTCTATAAATCATCGCATTTTCTTGTATTGATGATGTGAGGGAAATATCAGTAATGCCACCATATTCAAGGTTAAACAACCATAGCGCTCTTGATTCCGCAATTATTTGCCAGTTTTCAGAAATTTCTGAATATGGCAAAAATGGTATTGTGATTTTATTCGCCAACTCAAGTGCAGACATCTCTGATGAATGCCCTCCAAAATCAACAGCATTGATAACATTTCTTCTCAATGTAGAACCCTCATCGTTCGCTAAAATTAATGGTAAGCGTCCCTTATCATATCTTGAGTACGCTAGAAGCAAATAATTCAGTACTTTCGGATCCAACACGTATGACAAAATATCTTTTGCTGAGAGATTTTCTAATTGAGCTGGATTCATTGTGGCATAAAGTTCGTCGGACTTTTGATGGAAAATCTTGTAATACAACGCTCTTGCCATACCCAGATCACCATCATATGCAGATAATGAGAGCATCGAAATCAGTATATGTTTGTTTTTCATAACATCATATTGCAAATTCTTTGAAAGCTCATTGATCAGTTTCCAACCCAATATCCGGAGTGAATCAGACTTACCCTCACTAGTATAAGAATCTGTACTAGCAGCCGCTAATGTATGAATCATAGTTGTATAAGTTCTAGCATCCATTGGCACTTTCTTGTCAACCATTTCATGATATAGGTCAATTGTCTTTCTGAAGTCTTTTTCTTGTTTACATAGCATCAAAACACTGTTATAAGCTTTTGTATCAGGTGCATGAGATCTCGATAGAAACTTCATGGTATCAAAGGTATCCCAGGCTTTATCACTGAGTCCCAGCTTCGAATAGAAGTGTATTATACTTGTATAATTTTGTTTATCAGGTAGTAGTTTGTAATCATTCTTAAATTTCGAGACAAATTTATCGGTGATTTCAAAGTCTTTCAATTTGATACTATAATTAATGCAGTAAGATAATATGACGTTAGTCATCTTTTCATTCCAAACATTTGCGTTTGTAGTGTTCAGATTCGTATCATACCTTTTCAATAATTTGTTGAACATTTTAATCACAAGATCATCTTTACTATGTTGTGTGCTTTGGGCATTTAGTTTTGACAGGTTAGAAAATAGGCACTTGTACATGTTATCAGAGAATTTGCTTATGTCATTTCCAACATATTCCAAGAGCATTTTATCCAATTCTAAAATGTTGGTGAAGTTTAGATTCTTTATACTTTTCTTTAAAAATGTACGAATATCTTCTTGCGGCAAACCTTTTAGTCTCATCTCGGATTCTGCTAATTTTTTAACAAGCATATTGGATTCAATAGGGGTATGAACCGATGTACGCACTAGCGCTCTGACCATTAAAGATTTGTCAGCAATTCGTTCCTGTATCGCCTTCGGTACCACATTATCGATGATCTGATCGACAGTATTCTCCATCAACTTTTCAGTGATCCCTTTTCCGATAGAATCAGCTTTCTTTGGAGTATTTACAACTGCATTAAATACAGCTGAAATATCTTCATTGTTGCTGAGCTCGAGAGGTTGCTCTTCAGTGTGTTTTTGCTTCGCTCGACGCTTTATCTCAGTCTTTATATTTCTAGTAAACTCTTGTAATTGTTTCACTTTCATCTCTAAGACTTTTGGATCTTCGATACCTCGTATATCAATGTCTAGGTCCTTCGGCAGAATCGCAGAACTGGCTGCTGGTGCTATCTTTTGCGCCCCTACATTTGCCTTTACTAGCCGGCGCGCAGGTAGGTAAACCGTTCGCACAAACCTGTGAACTGGTAGTACAGTTCGCATATTAGTTATTCCCGTATTGCTTGGTTATGTTATTCATTAACATCTGCAATTTCTGTAGTAGTAATTTTTGTATGACTTTCATTGTGATTCAGCATATATTTTGGAGTTTTTCCATGAAAAGTGAAAAATTTCACAGGACCGATGCGATGAGCTCATCGCAACTTATAAAGAGCATATTATTGATTCTAGTTTAATAATCTCATTTGAACTCATACAAAGTCCACGAAACAGCAATGGTTGAAGAAGAAGCTAAAGGGTTGCCAGTGAGTAAGCGTGTATGGAAGCAAGAGAAGGAGCCATTGCGTGCTAACAGTCGTGTTGTTAAAAACAAGAAGCTCACGTCCTGGGAACTAAAGAAACAGAAGAGGCTTGAAGAACAGCAATATAAGGAGAGGTTAAAGGCATTAAAGGATGAAAAGTTAGAAACTAAGAGGCAGCAAATTGAGGCTATGAAATTGAGACGTGAGAAGAAGGAAGAGAAAGAGAGATACGAAAGATTGGCGGCCAAGATGCATGCTAAGAAGGTTGAAAGATTGAGGAGAAGAGAAAAGAGAAACAAGGCTTTGAAAGAGCGTTAAACATTTCTTTGAAGGTAAACTTAAAACTATTTAAATACTATGAATATCTGTATATTAGACGTTAGCAACAGCAAATAAGACAATCATTTCAACAAATAAATTTTGAGCATCATAATTAAATTTGATACAATTGGAACGAAAATAATATTAATAACTAAAAATTATGGAAAATAAATGATACTATATATGTCTAAATGCAATTTAGACACTTAAGTTAGTTGAGATTGAATATTATACAATTTTGTGAGGTGAGGATTGATGATATGTTTTATATCATCTGATGCGAGGGTTATAGCTTGCTTAACCAATGCAATATGCAATTTTATCTATATTAATTTTGTTTGGTTTGTATTGTTAATCATTACTTTTGAGGGGACATTAGATTACATATTGCCTTGGTTTTAACATTTCGATAATTATTTTTTATGAGTTAATTGGTTGGACCAAGGCATGTAATTTGAATAAAGTCTGATCGATAGTTGATGAAGTATCCAGCCTTCGGCTATCTTTTATTGTTTGGATCTTCTAGGTTCATGGCAGGTTGTCCAAGATACCAAAGTATTGTTCAATACCATATGGGCCAGGCGCCTTCCAAAAATCGTTGAAACAGGATAGCAATGTGACCTGGTTGTTAGTGGCTTCTAGAATTTTTTGAATAGCGATGAGCTGATTTGGTTTCGATGGGATATTACCACCATTTTGAATACCGGCAGATGGATAACCAGTTTCGGTGACTACAATATTACCAGTGCCACAAGCTTTTTGTACTAGTTCGATCTGACCCTTTACAAAGGAGCCGGCTGTATCTGCACTGGAATATGTATCAAAGTAGGCATGTGGATTGATACCAACGAAGTCAATGCCTGAAGCTGTACATAATTCAGGGTGTTGTTCATAGGTGACAGGAGGCTCACTTGTTGTCAATTGACCAGTATATCCAGCTGCTTTCAATTGACCTCTAACCTGTCCAATCTTAGAAACCAAGTCACTTACGGAACAGTATTGAGAGATAACAGCTTCGTTACCTACAGTAATATAGGCAAATACATCCCAGCCGTTAGTTTGACCGTAGTTAATCAACTGTTGTAGTGGAATGTCGATGGAATCAACACCTGAGCTAGTAATCCATAAACCTTGATTAACGGATAGGCCAATACTCTTTGCATTTGGCAATACAGTTTGTAATGAATTACAGTCAGTACCATACATACGAATTTGATTAATGCCCTTGGACTTAATTAGTTGCAAATCTTCTTTTACTTGATCAGCGCTCTTACACGTACCATCATTGTTGTATGGTGAATATGCAATAGCAATTGGAGCTGATTTGATAGTAGTATCGGCATTATTATTAGATGTTGAGCTTTGACTTGCGGTTGGTTCCAATGTAGTGGTACTTGATGAAGAGGTGGTAGTAGTCATCTCTACGACAGGAGTCGATATATGAGCGGTGTTATGAACATGTTGTTGTTCTTCCTGCTTTTGCTGATTTTGATTGGCTTCGACATTCTCTAAATTAACTACTTGGCTGGCAAATCTAATTGATGATGACTGTATGGATGACGACGATGACGACGATGACGACGACGATGATGGTGTAGTTGTTGGTATGCTAGAAGAACTTGGAATAGAAGTAGTAGTAATGTCAGATGAAATAGCAGAGGATGTAGTGGTAGCAGATGATGATGAACTGTCTAGCATTGGGGTTGTGGAAGTTGCAGTTGGTTGCTCATTAGCTAAAGAAACCCTCTTTACTTGGATTATGGAAGTTATGGTTGTTGTTGGTTCAGCGTTAATGTCACCACCTTCTCCAACCATAGTACTGAAAAGGGTAGTATCACCACTAATAATTACCTGTACAGTTGGTGCAATAATAACCTGAGTGGTGGTAGAAAAGAAATTGGTCACAGTGTTAGTGGTGCTGGCGGTGTGTACTCTTGTTACAATTTCCCTTTTACGTAGCGGCATTGCGAGAACATCGCTAGTTAGGTATAGCGCCAGATACAGTAATTGTATGAACGGTAGCATCTTATATTTTAATAGAACTTTATAATAATTGTTGAAATAAATGGGTGTGTCTTAAATCAATTTTAAGTAATCTGTTAAAGAATGAAATTGAGTTGGTCTTGATAGTATGGGATTTATTTGATGGTGTTTCGATGTTGAATAAAATTAAAATAATAATAATAAAAATACAGCAAATCGATCTAGAATAACTTCCCAAATTATTGGGCATTTATATATCACAAAATTTTTAGATTGAATTCTGTTTCGATGTCGATATTATTTTTCCATTTTCCACTTGGATGCTCTGCTAATCAGATACAGATACTGGTATTTCAAACAACAGCTTGACTATTTACATTTGTCGGCTAGCATTATTTGTTTTTATTAGTAAACAGTATACCATGTTTATTTTCATTAAAATGTAACTAATTGTTATTGCTCATTGGATTGACGCTAGTTATGCAAGTAAACATAAATAAAAAAACACAAACAAACAAATAAAAAAATATATAGATTTACCTATTATACAAAGCTAAAGTCTCTGATGTATTCTGACAATTATGTTGCCTGATAGATTAGTTGTGAATTTATAAAGCTATCATCGTAATTGGCTGGTTGTAAATACATGTGATCCAGCAAGTTCGTTCTGTGTTCATAAGATTACCAGAGAAACCTCCGTAGCAAGTTGATACATTAAAAAAATGCTGGCTACAGTGTACAAAATGCTGGTAACGTATTTAGTGATGCGTTTGAGCGCTAGCGTGGATCTTGGTGCTGGTCATACTGGTATTTTCATTCCATGAGTATATCATGACGTTAACCAGAATTATTAGGCATTAGTAACATTATTCATGCCAAAGTAGAGTATTAGCGATCTCTGACATTATTTTGCTTGTTTCCAGATTTATTTGATGTAAACAAAACCGAAGAAAATGTGGTTAAACAATGAACATCTCAAAAGTAATACTTGTTATAATACAAAATTAGTCTATATCTGTAGCTTGTATTTGTTATATTAAGTTATCCAAACCCTCCCATTCTCTTCTTCTTCCGTTTCTTAGGTTGAGAGCTTTGAGAGAATGTTTGCGAGAGTAATGGAGGCTGGGAGTCCAGACTGAATGCTGGGCTCATGCTAGATGGTAAAATTGATGCCTGTGATGGTGCTAGTTGACTAGAAGGTGTTTTGGACTTGCGTTGTGAGTTTATCCTAGTTCGTACGGTTTGTGAAGATTTGATCACTGGAATTTGTGATTGTGATTCCTGGTATTGTGAGAACTGCACTGGTCTTCTGATCTGCTCGCTAGCTTCACCATCATCGACAAGACCATCTTGTAGTTGGTCGTCAGTCAGATCCCATTGGTCAACAATTGATTTCTGCTCCTCTGATAGTTTTCCGTAATTTAAACTGCGTAGCTCATCGATGTCGGATTTCTTAGTGCACTTAATTGCATTCCAGACTGTCAAGGTGACAATTTCTTTCGTAACCTTATCAGCCACTTTTTTAAGATCATTGGATTCTACAATGGACCAGCATTGTAAAAGCTTATTGTAAAAGACATCGATTGTTGGAATGTCTTCATGAATAATTTGGTTTAACGTTTTGATTACATTAGTAAATATTAGACCTAATTCACTATAATGCTCCGATAGTTGTTCTAAAAATGATTGGATTTCGGTTAAATCAGATTGTACTGGTATTTTGGGCATCAGTGATTGCAATTTTATGCTAGTTTTCGAACGGACGTCGTGTGAGTCTTCAATAACCTTATTAAGCTTTTGCGATAACTCGTAACCAAAATCCTGCAAATTATCTCTTTGCTTTTGCCTTGTTATCTTCCTGTATTGCCTAATCGCATACAAATATTCTTTCTGTAGTTCCTTAAATAGGGCCTGCACATTGGGTATTGGATATTTCACTAATGGACCTCTGAATCGTTCTATCGCCATATTGTTTAACTGAATGTTGTCGAAATTAGCGGAGTTGTTGAGAGTATAGTTGATCAATTTGTTCCCTACAATGTCGTATATTAATAAGGTTGAAGTAATATCACCGAGATCAATGGAATCAGTGTAATAATCATTTATCTCCAAAGTTTCAACATCAATTGAGTCGATATTGTAAATTCCTGGTATATAGATAATCTTTGATACGCCAAATGATTGGATAGTATCATTATATCCAATCGAAAAACCATGGATATATACTACATTAAATCTCTTGGAATAGAGGTACACGAAAAACAGAGTCTTTCTCTGAAATTGGTATTTCTGAACACGGCATCTTAGCGACGCATCATCTTCTGAGATATTATGAAGCCAAGAAACTTCTCTTTTCAAATTAATTTTATGGTTAGAGTCTCTCGTATTTTTACTAGAATTGATTGTTGTAACAATGATCTCCCTCGATGTCAGAATCAGTTTGAAGTTATCATTTAGGTCAACCACATCTCTAATTTTAGACCAGGTTTTTGCTTGTATAACTTCTTGTTGCCAATTTTGCTTGAAATCAAGTTCTATCAATCGTGATTCATTCATTACTACAAGTCTAGTATGGTTGTTGGACCAGCGTATCCTTTTCCAATTAGACATTTCTTCTATATCAAATATTGAGCCAAAATGGTTACTTTTGACCTTCAGGTTTAAAGATTCAGGATTAGGCATTTTCTTTTTGACTGTCGGAATTTCAATAATGGACCAGTTACCTTTGGTATCGATTGTGGCTATTATATCAGTGTCCCATGGATTGAAATCGAAGTCTGCAATCGTAAAATCGCTAATTAATCTCGATTCTAGCGGGTTAAATAATGTATAATCTATTTTTTTTTCTTTTGCATCAAATTTTATTAGCTTTATTACTGTTAAAGTATTCTCTGTCAAGACTCCGACCATATCAGAGTAGCTACCCAGTGATTCAGCAAGTTTCGAAAACTTTATGCATTTAATGACAGAATTTAGATTTATTGTTATCGATGTGTAAGTCTTTTGTGAAGGTCTATATATTATCACATTACTATCTGCCTTTTCTTTGTTTTGCACAGTAATATTTTCTTTTTCCATATAGGTGATGATTAAATTTGACGGAGAGAGTGGATGTCTATATGCAACAAGCGCACGTTCTTCTTGATCATTTTTAATGTCAGCTTTGGTTAGTACTTTACCAATAGCTACCAGGAAATCTGTATTAGGATCAAGAGGTGTGAATTTCTTACTCTCGCTGTGATCATTGACCGTATTGTTTCTATTGGCTTTCTCCTTCTGGGCCATTTCATTTATGATATCACTCGGTATATAGCTGTTTTCTCTCGGGTTGTCATTAACAGTTGCTGCATATGCGAGATCGTAGTTGTGATGAATATCTACACTGGGATATAATTCAAGTTCCTTCGGTACATCTGTTTGAATACTATCCCACCCCAGTTGCCATTTCATAGAGCTATTATGCAATTCTTCACCTGCTAGATTGCTATCAGCATCACTCTCTGTATTATCTGTTAGCAAATCCATTTCATCATCGATTTCATTCACCAAGGCTTCACTCAGAACTTTGGCACCTTCAGATGTGTCTACTTCCTCACTTGCAATCACAGAAAAATCAAGGATGTTCTTAGGAATAGCATCATCAACACTATTAAGCCACGTTTTTTGCTTCTTGCGCCTAACATCATTTTCACTATAGGTTGTATCATCAGCATCATCGTCATCGTCAGGATCATAATTCCTAGGGTTTCTAGGTATGTATAACCCGGGACTTTGAATACCAATACCCAACTGTGCACCAATCGGTCGTGGGCCAGGCACTCTTCTCCCTTCCATATATATATAGTTGTGCTCAGAACACTTCAGCTATGGGATTCAGCTACAGTATACAAGATAGTATTTACATTATTAGTTGCTCATCGCAACTTTTTATGATTTCACGTTGTTTAGCCAAATTTTTCAGTCGAAAAGCCGATGCTGGCGGTCAGTTGAAAAATTCAGATAGGATGCGATGAGCAATAAAGACTTGATAGAACTACAGGTCAAACGGGTGAGTATTGAGGACATGCACATTTGTAACTTGACATGAGATGTGAATGTTGAGCGCTTTTGCTAATTTACCCCGTTTTCATACCCTTTATATAGCTTATCTGGACTAAACCGTAATTCGAAACATGCGCAAGTGTGAACCAAGGTTAAAATAGAAGGGAAGTGTGTTATACTAAGAAATCATACAGATTAGGTGAATAACTTAGAATTGTATTTCATTTGAGTTACATGTATAGATAAAACTAACATGGAAGATTCTATCCACTAATTTTCACATGTGCTAACAAATAACGAGAAGTGGTGAACGACTCACCTAGTCACCTATTTGAAAGGACAACTTTCTTGTAACTGTTCATAACACATGGTTAGAATTGACAATAATGTCTTAGTTTCAACTTTTATAAGGTTAATATGTTGCCGTTTATATCTGTAAGGAGAGTTTATGCCAGGAAATTTTCCACTAAACCACTAAATATCCTGTTCTTTGGTAGTGATGAGTTTAGTGCATATGCACTGAGGAGTCTTGTGAAGCTGAAGCATAAGCAGGTAATAGATTCCATACAAGTGGTTAGCAGGCCGCCAAAATGGTGTGGGAGAAAGAAGTCTGTGCTGAAGTCCCCCGAAATAGTGCAATATGCACAAGATCTGAGACTTGACCAACCTATACATGTCGACAGCAATGAGGAGATGTTACAATTGAGCTCATTGTGTGAGTCTCAGAAGATAGATATGATTATAGCAGTATCTTTTGGAAAATTGATTCCTAATGGATTGATTGGAAGGGTGCCATACTCGCTAAATGTACATCCATCGCTGTTGCCCAGATACCGAGGGAGCGCACCGTTACAGCATACTTTGCTCAACCAAGACCAATATACAGGCGTGACAGTACAGACATTGCACCCAACCAAATTTGATCATGGGAGCATAGTAGCACAGAGTGATCCATTACCTGTCAGTGATCTCCTAGCAAGTCGACCTCTGCCGCCGCTCATTAATCAAGAGGATACTCGCCCCCCAAAGCTGGCCAAATTGATGGATCAATTGGGTATTGTAGGTGGTAATTTATTGGCAGATGTTCTAGAGAAGAGGACTTATCAAGACCCAGTGTCGCATATTGAAAGCAACTATGAGCCCAGTTATGCTCCACGAATTAAAACTGAGGACAAGATGATCAATTGGAATGACTCAGCTACTGACCTACTGAATAGATTACAAACTTTAGGCCCATTGTACACATTCAAGAGAGTTCAATTGAAAAGCAAATCACCCTTGTCCCTAAAGAGAGTTCTCATACATGACTTTGATGTGATTGAGCGGGTAATTAGCAACCAAACCTGCGGAACTTTTACACAAGACAACCACGATAGTATTACTATAGCTTGTGGTCGCAATACAGCGATATTGATTAAGAAGTTACAGTTCGAAGCTTGTGCTATTGAAACTCCAGAGCAATTCATGAAGAAATTACCCAAAAGGTGCGGTAAAACCCTGGCCAAGGAGCTAGTGTTTGTAAATGAGACTTGATGCAAATCATCTAACGTCCATTCTGCCACACTAACCCGGATTGCCTTACCCAGATACTATCTAGTATACTATTGCATGTTAATCGGCTATAATAAAAATGTTCACGTGATCTCCAATATTTTCAAGGTTTTCCTTGTTTGCGAGAAATCGGTTGGCTCATCGCAACAAATTGGGTGAGGCACCACAGAAAGTTCCGCAGAAAAGTGGCTTTTTCTAAAATTTTGGAAAAAGTGGCAGGAACAAGAAAAAGGCAAACATCGAAGTGAAGGTCGCAATATTGTGCCATAGAGCTTGATTGTTAAGTTTAGCCACAGCATTACTTGATTATCTTTCAAGCAAGGTGCCAAAAAATATAGTTGTAGGTCGGTCTGAGGTTAATAAATTTGAAGTGTTGATATAAGAGCAAAAGCGAGGAGAATTGATGGACAAGCCGTTGTTATCTGAGAAGGAGAAGGGAGCTTCGAAAGACTCATCTTCCCTTCAACCTGAGAAAGTTAAAGATTACCAATACGAAGAAGCTTCTTTTATCAGTAAGTTTATCTATGACGTGATATTGTTTCTATTGTCCAAGATTCTTGGATGTTTCTTCAGGGAAATAAGGTCCCGCGGTAGCTTCAAAGTTCCAAGGAATGGCCCAGTGATCTTTGTTGCTGCCCCACACGCAAACCAGTTTGTTGATCCTGTGGTGCTGATGTCATTGGCGAAAAAACTGTCTAATAGAAGGATATCATTCCTGATCGCTGAGAAATCATTGCAGCATCCAGCTATTGGTTTTCTGGCTAGAAGAGCAATGGCAATTGGTGTTGTGAGAGCACAGGATAATTTGGCTACAGCGCAGGGTAAGATAACTGTTGATCCAGACAATTATAAGAAGATTATTGGCCATGGCACTCAATTTACCAAGGACTTCAAGCCAAAGGGACTAATCGGTCTACCAAGGTCTCTAGGTCATGTTGAAATCCAATCGATTGAGAGTGACACCGAATTGACTTTAAGAAAGGAGTTTAAGATGAATAAAACGGAAGTGAAGCATATTTTAACTAAAGGCACTTCATATAAGTACGCCGGAAAAGTAGATCAATCGGTTGTCTACCATAGAGTTTTTGAACACTTAGCACACAATGAGTGCATTGGTATTTTCCCTGAGGGAGGTTCTCACGACAGAACGGACTTACTACCACTCAAAGCTGGTGTTGCAATAATGGCCCTCGGATGTATGGCCCAACATCCGAATACAAATGTGAAAATTGTTCCTTGTGGTATGAATTACTTCCATCCTCATAAATTTAGATCGAGAGCGGTTGTTGAGTTTGGTGATCCTATTGAGATACCTACTGAGCTAATCGAAAAATATAAAAACCCTTCGACAAATAAAGAGGCTGTGAAAGAACTATTGGATACAATTTCAGATGGTTTACAATCTGTAACTGTAACTTCACAGGATTATGAGACATTGATGGTTGTTCAAGCTATGAGAAGACTATATTCAGGGCAGTTTCACCAAAAATTGCCTCTACCTCTTGTTGTTGAGATGAACAGAAGGTTAGTAAAAGGATATGAAACTTTTAAGGATGATCCAGAAATTGTCCAACTGAAAACTGATATCATGGCATATAATGCGCATTTGAGTCAATTTAATTTGCCAGATCATCTTGTTGAACACACAAAGATTAATGTAGCTAGAAATCTTGGACTGCTAGTATTTAGATCTTTGAGATTGACTATAATGATAACATTATCCTTACCTGGTTTGATTTTATTTTCACCGGTATTTGTTATTGCTAGGAAGATATCAAATGACAAAAAGAGAGCAGCGTTGGCAAGTTCCACTGTAAAGATTAAAGCCAATGACGTTGTAGCAACCTGGAAAATTTTAATGAGTATGGGTGTTGCACCAATTCTTTATGTTTTGTGGAGTAGCTTAGCTACTTATTACTTGAGACACAAAGATATTAGTAAGGTTATAATATTTATTTTGTCTTACTTGGCATGCGCAATAGTTACATATTCGGCTTTGGTTGTCGGAGATATTGGTATGGACATTTTTAAGTCATTGAAGCCTTTATACATCTCTATTACCACACCTCAAGGTCTGAAGAGATTGCAAGTAGAAAGAAGACAGCTTGCAAAAAGAATCACTGAGGTCGTTAACAATTTTGGATCTGTTTTATTTCCCGATTTTGACTACAAAGCTTTGTCTGAAGAGTACGCTGTAGATGAAGAGGAAGAAGAAAGAAAAACAGCAGAACTAAGGAGAAGAAGAATAATCAAGAGACAAAAAGAAAGAGAAAATGCCAGAGGTATTTCTGATAAAAACGATTATGATGACCAAACACAAGATTCCGATGCTATATCTCTTGTCAATAGTGATAACTCGCTTTCAAATATTCCAATATTCTCATCTGCATTGGGAGGTAAATCTGAGGCCTCTTCAACATACTCATTACTGCCTTCATCGAGCACTGTATCAGAATCTGATGCTGAAATGGAGCAAGAATCGAAAGAACCTAGCGCTCTTTCTCAAAAAATAACTGCAGCCATGTTCAGTAAGCGAAATGAAAATGAATGAACAACGGTATGCGTATCAATTTGTAAAAATAGAATACATAGTTAAACTTATCATTATAAAGCATGCAAAAAATTTGTTTTAGCATTTAGTTCCGACTATGAAGTAGTTCATTATTCTGTTGCAGAATTAGTTCATGATTCATATTAAAATAATGCTAGCCTATCTACCGATCCAGGAAAATCTCTTCCGTCTATTCTTATGCTTGTTATATAGCTCGATTTCATCTCTCTGAAGCCGTTGCGTATGGCCTGTCAAATTTGTTACGACATTCTCGTAAGTTGTCTTATCTGCTGTTAAATTGGCTTGTTGTAGCTCGATCTGTTTCAACGTCACAATTAATGCATCAATAGCATTACATAGTTTATCATGATACTGTTCCATCTCTTTTGCACTTTGTATTGAGTCCATTTTTACTGCCAGCAGTGACGGTACATGTTCTTCTTGTTCATGGATTGCCTCACCTTGCAAAGACGAATGTGTTAGTGGAGGGGCATACATATACTTGAATTGGTCCCTCAGTATGAGAGCCGGCGAGCGTACTTGTTCAGCAGAAAATGTCGGAAGCATAGAGCATATCCGCGTATACAGTTGATCGTCGACAGCTTCCTCTATAATGTGCTTATCGCTTTTATCATGCTCCTCCAGCCTCATTACATGCAACAAATGAGACCTCAGATGGGAACTCTTCCATGTTATGGGTTGTAATACAGTATGCAATTCGACTAATTGCTCGTAGATAACTCGAGGTCTCTCCTCGGCCAGTAGCTCTTCAAGATCGTGTTTCTGTTGGCATACATCTCCCAAGTTCACCTTCGGTACTAACTCATTGACATATAACACTAATTGTTCTTGGTCATCCGTCACACCTTCGAAATCACCAAACTCATCACCTGAATCGCTGTTATTTTCTGCCATTGTACTACTACTTTATACCTTCCAGAACCGCTAGACCCACCAAAAAATTACCGAATACACCCAATTCAAGAACTTCTAAAATACGTAACTGGGCAATGCCTCGAAACTCTGTTGCTATCCTCAAAATCCTTCACTTTTATCTCTCTTCTTGAACATCTGTTCGCTTCCAAGCTATTTTTTTCATTCTACCCTTTTAAATTTTGAAAGTTTGGCAAATTTAAAGCTTTTAGGCATCATTCTTGCCAAATAGATTGAAGACAACAGATAGCACCAAGTTTCTAACAACTGCTATATCACAGCACAGTGTTGTTGGCGTGCTAGGTAGGTCCATTGGGTTATATATGCGTATTGTGAAGTTTCCATGGTTCTCACACCATGAGGAGTCGCGAGACTATGAAATATACACTGTTGATGTGAGTCCCGATGGTAAGCGTGTTGCTACGGGTGGTCTTGATGGTAAGATACGGATATGGTCTGTAGATGCGTTAGTGAGTGCTGCTGCTGGAGAATCTGGAGTTGATAGAGATACTCATAGGCCATTAGCCAGCATGAGCAGGCATACTGGATCTGTAACTTGTGTGAAATTTAGTCCCGATGGGAACTACTTGGCTAGTGGATCTGATGACCGTATTTTGTTGATATGGGCCATGGATGAAGAAAACCACGGTGGTTCTTTTGGGTCAGAGGGTGAGAAAGAGCACTGGACAGTGCGGAAGCGGTTAGTGGCACATGATAACGATATTCAAGATATATGCTGGGCGCCCGACTCAAGTATATTAGTTACTGTAGGTTTGGATAGATCTGTAATTGTTTGGAATGGGCTAAATTTTGAAAGGTTAAAAAGGTTTGACGTCCATCAATCTCTGGTAAAAGGTGTCATATTTGATCCCGCTAATAAATATTTTGCAACGGCGTCAGATGACAGAACAATGCGCGTGTTCAGGTACCATAAGACTGGTGAAGTATCATTTACAATAGAACAGGTTATTGTAGAACCTTTTATTGCTTCACCATTAACTACATATTTTAGAAGACTATCCTGGTCCCCAGATGGTCAGCATATTGCTGTGCCGAATGCTACTAATGGGCCAGTTAGTTCTGTTGCAATCATAAACAGAGGGACATGGGATTCGAGTATCAGTTTGATTGGCCATGATGCACCAACAGAGGTAGCCCGGTTTAACCCTAGATTATTTAAATCAGATGTCGAGAAAAAGGCTAAAAATGCAAAAGATGAATTAAGTAAAGATACAAAAAATAATAAGAAGTTGGAGTCCATTATTGCAACTGCTGGCCAGGACAAATCATTGGCATTGTGGATAACAAGCAGGCCTAGACCTATTTTTGTTGCATATGATATAGCTCAAAAATCAATAACAGATATGGCTTGGAATCCCAATGGGAACATTCTTTTTGTTACTTCTTTAGACTCATCTATTGTGATGCTAATGTTTGATGCAAACGAGCTTGGTATGCCTATACCGATTGAAGGAAATATGGAACAATTACATAGATATGGTGTTGATAAGGACTCTTTTGACTTACCCGAAAGTGTCAATCAATTACTATTAGAGGACAAATATGGTACTAAGAAGAAACAACATGAATTATCCAGTAGCACTCAATCCACTGCTCTCGAAAGAAGACTGGAGCCCAATCAGTTCCAAAAGAAAATTAATTCAAGAGAAATCTCACCATTAAAATCCACAGAGAAGGTTAACATTCTCATACCGAAAAGAAAAAAGGATATGAAAATGAATAAAGTAATTGTTAAAGACGGTAAAAAGAGGGTTGCACCCACCCTGATATCTACAGCCGGTTTACAGCCTACTGTTACTAACGTCAAAGAAGTAGCGAGTTCTTCAGGTAAGGTGGTAAAGCCAGTGCTAAAGAAAACCAACGACATAAATGAGTACTCTGGAAGACTCAGTACACCCTCTATTCCAATACCTAGACTTGGTATACACACCCTGGTGATGGGTCTAAAAGAAAGAGGTAAAGATAAATTTGAAAGAGGAGCTGAGGTAGGGCCAGATGATGAATTAAGAGAAGCTAGTAACCAAATTACATTTGATGGTGAATCATATGGCCAGGATAGCTTGATGAAAGATGAGTATCGAATGACCTTGAATAATCGTTTGACGAAAGAGAAAGTGAGCTCTAATGAGCCATATTTGAGATATATAGAAAATACTGGTGTCATAGCCGATACAGATGCCGTGCTTTTGGAATGTGGATCAATTGATGACTTTTTTACACTTGAGATAAGAAATGGTGTTGAAAGAGCAATTCAGTTTGATAGTGATGCGCTATTTGACAATCCAACTCGCATTCTTGGTTATCATGAAGGTCAGAGGACTATTGAAGCATTTATTCCGAATGTCATCATTTCAGGTGTTGGTTCGCCAGTTTCAAAATATTGGAGCTTGGCAACAGCAGATGGTTTTATATATATAATATCTTACAACGGGCAATTATTGATACCCAAAATTAATTTAGGTCAAAAAGTTGTTAAGCAAGTTGTTTGCTCGAATTACCTGCTTGTTTTAACTGAAAGAGGTTTATTTTACGCTTGGGATATCTCTGCAAAAAGGTCTGTTATCAAGAATGTTTCAATACTACCAATCATAAACAATGACCCAGTCGAAGGAAACAGAGTAAGAGTTAATAAGTCCATTCGAAAGTTTGAGTTTGAGGTTTCTGAAAAAACTGTGATTGTGCACCTCACTAATAATAGAAGCTTCAAATGGTTAGCATATTTTGGGTGTTGGTCCGAGATTCAAGAGTTAGTGGCACCAAGAGAAACTGTTGCTAATATACTGCTCACTGAGAATGAGATTCCCCCACAATCATCGTCTATATAAGCATTAAATTCAGCATATAAATAATTCAATAATTATATTATAGTTTACATTGGTTATTACATATCCATAAAAATATGATGACAAAGCCTAGTCCTGTTTAAAATCCAAATGGATTTGCTGCACTGGCATTATATATATTTGCTTGTCTTTGTTGTGGTTGCTGTTGAGGGCCGTTACCAAAGCCAAATCCAGTAGGCTGGTTTTGTAAAGGTGGTTGAGAAACAAAAGTGTTTTGCATGCCTTGTGTTATGTTTTGAATTCCAGTGTTAAAAGCGCCCATTGCAGGTGTTATAGGTTGTTGTTGCATCGCACCACCAGTAAATTGGTTAGTCTGCATACCTCCAGTTCTCTGTAAAGTCATACCAAATTGGGATTGTGGTTGGAAGCCACCTGTTCTTTGCATACCCATAGCAGGTTGTTGAGAACCAAAACTAGTCTGAGGTATAGCACTTCCTGTTAATTGACTATTGAAAGCAGGTTGTTGCATTCCATAGCCCGCTTGTTGTGCACCAAAACTAGTTTGAGGTAAAGCACCCCCAGTCATTTGAGCACCAAAACTAGTTTGAGGTAGAGCACCTCCAGTCATTTGAGCACCAAAACTGGTTTGAGGTAGAGCTCCCCCAGTCATTTGAGCACCAAAACTAGTTTGAGGGAGAGCACCTCCAGTCATTTGAGCACCAAAACTAGTTTGAGGTAGAGCTCCCCCAGTCATTTGAGCACCAAAACTGGTTTGAGGTATAGCGCCTCCAGTCATTTGAGCACCAAAGCTTGTTTGTGGTAAAGCTCCACCTGTTAGTTGGGCTCCAAAACTTGTTTGAGGGATTGCGCCGCCTGTATTCACAGGCATTAACCCACCGGCAGTTCTTTGAACAGGTAATACCGAGCCCGCTGGTGGCATATTGAAGCTAGTTCTAGGAATAGCCCCTCCTGTGCTTTGTAAAGGTAGTAACCCACCAGTTCTTTGTAGGGGCAATGCGCCGCCTGTCAATTGAGCACCGAAAGTCGTCATTGGTATTAGTCCCCCAGTAGATTGTGAACCAAAAGTTGTCATTGGCATAGCAACTCCTCCAGTTCTCTGAAGTGGAAGTAGTCCACCAGTAGCAATTGGCATCATGACGAAGCCAGTTGTGACTGGCAGGATGTTGTTCCCACCAGTTTTGAAAGGGTCTAGAGGAACTAGCTTGCTAGTACCAGTTTGGTTAGGTTGTATATTTGTAGCAGCAGATTGCCCTGTTTTAACAGGTTCGAGATTCTCGACCTTAGGAACGGGAATTTGATCAGATTTAGGTTGTTCATTCTTTTTTGGTTCCAGAGGTTGAAGATCAATTAAATCTTGCATTGATCCTGTAAACTCAGACTTCTTTTGCACAGTATTAGCAGCAGAAGCAGCAGGTTGAGCAGTCCAAGCATCATCATCCTGGTTAGAATTTTGTGACGCCTGCATAGCTGGTTGTGAAAGTAATTGTTCTGGTAATCCGCTGCTGCCTGAGTTTGGTCCAGAGTTGTTTTTCAAAGAACCATCGGCTTCGGTAAACATATTGTTTTGTCCAGTAGCATTACTTTGTGCAGGTTCTCTATTGAATTTTTTATCTAGAGCCTTCATGACTCTGACAATGTCACCTTCACGAACACCGAGGGTCCTTAGCATTGGTGGGTTGATATCAGCCTGCATATCTTCAGTAATTTTCTCTCTATCAAAGTTAATTGTATACCTTTGGCAGTTGTTAACATCAACACCTGAACTTAGGAAAAACTCAAACCAATCATAGTCTGATTTACCACTAGTATGTGCACCACCAGTTGATTGTGGTCTAGGTGGCTTGATGGGAGGTAATTCTTTATCATGCAACCTGTTTCTTTCCTCATCAAGCAGTTCTCTAGCTCTCTTCAGTTCGGCAATTTCTCGTTCCCTTAACTTTCTCTCATATTCTCTTTCTTCTTGTTCTCTTATTCTACGTCTCTTTTCTCTATCACGATCACCACCCTTGGATTCCGATTTTCTGGATTTGTACTTCTCTAAACTAAAACCTGTGGCTCTTTCAACATAAATCAAATCATCATCAGATAGCTTTTCAGCTGCAACTGCAATTTTCACACCGTTGGCTTTATGTAGATGAATTTTACCATCAGCACATCCAATGAATTGAGCTTCAACTTTGAATGTGCCACTTCTATCAACCCAGAGTCTGGACTTCTTTGGATTTGGATAATCTTTCTTTGCACTGACCGAAGAGGACCTTTTTCTCCTGCTACTGAGTGAATTTTTTCTACTTCTACTTCTACCTTTACTACTGGAATTATCTTGGCCTGCATCATGTTTCCAATCGTCTTCTTCGTCATCATGAACTTTAGAAGGTTTAGGTGATCTATTAGTAAACTTTTTAATGGAGTTTAATAGACCACTACTCTCCTTGGATTTGGAAAATTCAATGAACTGAGCCGGAACCAGACCTTTCTTTCCATTTGATATTAACTCTACCATCCACCAGTCTTTTGATTTCTTATCATTTATAACATAAACTGCATCACCTTGCCTAATTGTCAATTCGTCTGGTGATTCAGCTTCAAAATCGTACAATGCCACACCTCTCTTAGATGATTTTGTTGCCATCTCGACTTCTCTCAAACCTGGATCTCTTTGTGCACCTTTGAACTCACCTACAATAGCCATTATTTCATTGCATGTATCGTTGTTGCCTGTGTGTAATTCAAAACTCTTATATGGATCTTTGAATTCCAAGAACATATGCTTCTTTTCATTATCATATGAGATTAACTTATCAATGGACCATTCCTGAGTGCTTCCCTTGTTTGGAGTAAAGCTAATCCTGTTATTACCTATAGATAGTTTACCCTTATGTTTCTTTTTACCTTCAACTTCGGAGACTGTCCATGTATGAACTTCATCGTCGTAGTCATTCTGAGGTCTTGACCTTCTTGGACTTTGATAGTCATCCATATCTCTGCTTCTACGACTTTCTGAAGGTTCGTAATCATCATAATTCATTCTGCTTCTAGCTCTTTCTCTGTTGGAGTCTCTAGCATTATCTGCAGTTGGTCTCATTGGCTTAGGTGGTGGAACATCCTCTTCTTCATCCATGTAGCGGTCCTCGGTTTGTTTTGGAGGCATAGGAGGAGGTATATCTTCCTCTGGTTCTCTATCATTCTCTTCTGCTGCAGGTGTAGCGGCCTTAACCCTATCTACATGTTGTGGAGGTGGAGCGAAAGCAGTGGCAGCTGTGGTAATAGGGGCAGCAACAGGTGCAGCTGCTGGGGTAGCGCTTGCAGCTGGAGCAGTACTACTCATTCCGGCACCGCCTGCTGGCTCCACGTAGTTACCTGGAACAAACCCGTATTCATTAGAGGAGTGTGATCTGACTAAGATCCAGTCGGGATCCTTGTCGTCATACACATCGAACATATCATTTTCCTTGAATACCAACTCTTCTTGAGGATTCTGTGCCTGGTCGAAGTCATACAGCGCCCTCATAGTGGAGATCACTGGTGCGGCCTCTATGTAGTTCGAGGGGACCAGCCCTTGCGGTTCCTCCGCATCCGAGCCGATGATCCGCTTCTTCACAGTCCACCAGTCGTCTACCTCTGACTTCTCCAGCAGATACAGCAAGTCATCTTCTTGGATGGCAAGTTCCTCGGGCGTTTGCGGCTCATAACTGTACACAGCCTTGTACACGCCGAGAAAGATCGTCATTTCCACAGATCGTCGTCGCTGTCAGCTAAAGTACAACGTCTCAAAAAAATGTATAAAAATCACAGTACGAATCACACTCAATATCTGTACGTACTCGGTTCCCAATTGGTATACACCAGTATCGACTCTCCTTTTTTCTTTTTACCTCGCTACCCAAATTGATCCTATCTTTCTGGGGTTGAGACACTCAATTACCAATAATTTAGAAAGCCTCGCCTGTCAAACACTTGTCTCGAGCACTGTAACAGCGGTATGTATCTTGAATGGGCGGCTAATAGGGGTGAACTTTAAGCGCAACGCAGGACGGCCTCCTCTTATCCTCCGCAAGAAAGGGAAAGCCCCTCGACCTTCGATCTCCCAAGGCAGTAAGAGACCATTATTTTTTTATAGTGTCGTATATCGTGATTGTATTGGGTATAGTGTTATACACATATATACATTGATTTCCTATATTGCCTAGCGAGTAGTCCTATATCGCAGCTTTGCAGTTGTGTCTGCGGAGAGACTTCATTCTGCTTGGTCCCAGGAACCTGGCGCTGCAGCGTTTGCACACGACCACCTTCCTTACGTGTGTGTCGTGCTGCACAGGTGGTATTTTGTCCTGCATTGGTTGTGCTATTCCTTGTCCTTGTGCTTGTGATTGTGCTTGTGGTGACTGTGTTGTTTGTGTATGTATGCGCGGCCTCTGTGCCAGCCCCAAGTGGTTGTCTGCAAGAAAAGTATCGTATACCTGCATGGCGTCACCGCAGTCCACCTTTCTGTGCATGTACCGCGCGAAATCCGTGCTGCACAGCGTCTCGAGCTGCTGCCTGGGCACGTAGCCACCCAGCAGCGTGTGGTTCAGGTCATACGTCATCTCAGACACTTCCTTCATGTCCACGCGCCCACCGAGGTACCCGTGTATGTTCACACGCTCCTTGTTGTTCCGGTACAGGTCCGGCAGCGCCGTGTCCGAACGATTCTCCTCCGTGTTCTTCACCAGCTCCCGCAGCTCCTGCGGCCCAAGCACCACACTGTGCGACCTGTCCAGCGAGCCCAGCCCGCCAATAACACTATAGTAATCCAGCTTCATAGTTCCCTCACAAGATAAAGATAAAAGTCACAACTTTATCAAGACCTCTGATCCACTTGCCTTGCACACTGTAGAGACAGTAAAAAAAAACCACGAGTCGGTGAACCAGCTACTTATGTGCTCAATATCCCGAAATGCACATACATACATGCATACATACTTACTTACATACTTACATACATACATACTTACATGCACACACAGCCTACACTTCCGCCTTTTTGGGAAACTGTCCAGTTTCAGTGTTGTGTTGTACGTATATCATGTGCGTTACGTGTACAGTGTTTTACGTGTATGTTGATGTAGGATCATGTGATAATACGTGTAATACAATATTTCACATGATCACATGTACGTATATTGTTATATCTCTATTCTCTCAAGTTCCAGCAGAATCCAGCTCTTGTCGGTCCAGATGAACTAGGAATATAGCCAAATTAATTGTGCATTTGATATATTTAATACTAATGTGTAATTGTTATACACTCTTCCACTTCAGACTATCAACCGCGTGAAGGAAGCTAACAATCTGTTTTAAATGTCTAAGGAGGTAGCTGCTGTGATTATCAAGTATTTGGAAGGTGTTGTTGCCGAGAAGGCGGTGGGCGAGGACTACCTGGACTCTGTGAACGTTGCCATCGACTGTATTGCCGAGTCCTTTGAAGTGGAGCGCGGTGATGTTGACTCTGTGCTGAAGCAGAGTGGTATCAGCAAGGGGCTGGAGGAGTGTCTGGAGTGCATGAAGGGTGGCGCTGTTAAGAGCGAGGACGTCAAGGTGAACATTCCTGCCGAGGACGCCGAGACCAAGGCCAAGGCCGAGGCCCTGAAGCTTGAAGGTAACAAGGCCATGGCTGGCAAGGACTTCGAGCTGGCCATCGCCAAGTACTCCGAGGCCATTGAGGTCTTGCCTACCAACGCTATCTACTACGCTAACCGTGCCGCTGCGCACTCCTCTCTGAAGCAGTACGACGAGGCTGTCGTAGACGCTGAGAAAGCCATCGAGATCGACCCTGCTTACTCCAAGGGTTACTCTAGACTTGGTTTTGCCAAGTACGCCCAGAACAAGCCTGAGGAGGCTCTGGAGGCATACAAGAAGGTCATGGACCTTGAAGGCGACAAGGCCACAGACATCATGAAGAGAGACTACGAGACCGCCAAGAAGAAGGTCGAGCAGTCCCTGAACCTGGAGAAGACTCCAGATGCACGCGGTGCCGACAGCGGTGCAGGCGCCGGCGCCGGCGCTGGTGGTGCTGGTGGTTTTGACTTCTCTTCCATGTTGAGCGGCGGTCTGAGCGGCCTGATGAACAACCCACAGATCATGCAAGCTGCCCAGCAGATGATGAGCAACCCACAGGCTCTGCAACAGATGCAATCCATGATGCAAGACCCAAGCATCAGACAAATGGCCGAGCAATTCACTTCTGGTAATGGCACTCCTAACATGGACGACCTGATGAGCAACCCAGCTCTAAGAAACATGGCCAGCAGCATGTTCGGAGGTGCAGGTGCTCCAGGTGCTGACGCTGATGCCCCAGGTGCTGAACCAAAGGGTGAAATCGACGAGAAATAGTCTCAGCTAAGTTTTCATTAGCAGTATTCATTTTTTCCTTTGTTATATTCTAGCATTTCCCCTTGCATAGGCACGTAAAACGGACCCACATACATTTTACTGTAATCTAGTCAATATATATATATAAACAATAAAATTAGTTGATAAAGGTGTAACTCGATATCTCAATTGCATTTGAGTAATACTTAGTTATGCGAGGTTTGGCTCTTAAGCTTCATCTCATCGCAAAAAAGTGAAAAAAAAAAAAATAAATTTGCAGCTCATCGAGCTATCAAGCATGTTTTGAACTTGGCTAAGACTGCATAGATTAGATAACACTACTCAGATAGTTACAAAAATGGCTAAGGGTAAAGGTAAGAACAAGTCTCATGATGAAGGCAGGAGCAACAAATCTGGCGGGTCCAACGGGCACCATACCCGGAGGAATCATCGTCACATGGAAATGAAGTATTGTGGTGGTAGTAAAGACAGTTCATTCCCAGTGAAGCTGGCTATGTGGGATTTTGACCACTGTGATCCCAAGCGATGTAGCGGTAAGAAGCTGGAGAGGCTGGGTCTGATCAAGTCTCTGAGGGTGGGCCAGAAATTCCAAGGTATAGTGGTGTCACCTAATGGTAAGTCAGTAGTATGCCCTGATGACAGAGAGATTGTGGAAGCTCACGGTGCATCAGTAGTGGAGTGCTCTTGGGCACGTCTTGAGGAGGTACCGTTTAACAAAATTGGTGGGAAGCATGAGAGGTTATTGCCATACTTGGTCGCTGCAAACCAGGTTAACTACGGTAGACCCTGGAGACTCAACTGTGTAGAGGCGCTGGCTGCATGTTTTGCTATTGTGGGACGTACTGATCTAGCACACGAACTTTTATCTCATTTTTCCTGGGGTCTTGGATTTTTGGAGCTGAACAAAGACTTGCTGGAGCGTTACCAACAATGTACTGATTCTGAGTCCATCAAAAAGGTTGAAGAGGACTGGCTTCAACAAATTGATCAAGAAGTGCAGGAGAGAAAACTTAAGGCTCAAACTGAGGATGTATGGATGATGGGCAATACAAACCGCGGTAATTCGGGTCTAATGCCCCCATCGGATAGTGAAGAAGAATATGAGGAGGAAGCTGAAGAGGAGGAAGAAGATACCACAACTAGAAAGAATGTGAGGTATGATAATCTGGGTAACATAATTGAAGATAGTGAAGATGATAATAACGAATCAGACTATAGTAATGAGGAATCTTCAGATGAAGCTTCAGATGAAGACTATGAAGATGAGCATGTTGATGAAGTTGTTAATCGTGTTGGCAAATTAGCAATTGAATAGATAAATAGAATTGATAGAAGTATATGTGATTCTAAATGAATTAATAATTTGGTAATGATATTATGGCATAAGAACTAAAATATCTGCAGACGATATGACATGGTTCAAATCGTTGGTGAACACATTAAGGGCTCCTAACTCATATTTACTTACTTTTGAAATATTAATTAGTATATATCCTTATTCCAAACAGTGTTATAAATTGCATCACCAGGCTTTACTATGCAGAATAGACCAATGATATGTTATAACTCGATGTGAGAAGATGGCATTATAATGGCTGATGAAGGTGGATTAGAAACGGGAGCTCATGATGAGCTGAAGGGAACTGAGGAACAAGCTGTCAATTTTGCTCCATCTCCGGATTTCTTATGGCTATGTGAGCAATTGTTTGCTAAAATTGACCATGTTCAGTTTGAGAGAGCTAATAATCTGTTAACTAAACCAGTTACTGCACGATATTATGAAGTTATATCGAATTTTACTACATTATGGAGGACTACTGTAGGGAATAATATTTATCCAGCGCTGAGGCTTATATTGCCCTACCGGGATAGGCGTGTTTTCAATATAAAGGACTATACTCTAATCAAAGCTATTTGTGCTTTTCTTAAGCTACCAAAGGACTCAAGTACTGAAAAGAAATTAATAAATTGGAAGCAAGATGCAGGAAGAAGTGTCAGATTGTCTAAATTCTGTGTTGAGGAGATCAAGAAACGGCGTAGCGAACCGCAGATTGACCGTAATGAGAGGATTACTATCGATGATTTGAACGGCTATCTTGATCAGCTGGCCATTGAAAGAACTGAACAAGGACGAAGCTTTAAAAATCTTGCAAACTCAGACATAATGAATAAATGTTTGACATCAATGACTTTTTTAGAAATGCAATACTTTTTTGATATTCTACTTAAAAACAGACCTCTTGGTGGCCATGAACATAAACTTCTCAACTGCTGGCACCCAGATGCTCAAGACTATCTTAGTGTAGTATCTGATCTTGAGACTGTTGCGAAGCGGTTATGGGATCCAAGCCAGCGTTTAGGCAATCAGGATTTGAAAATAAATATTGGTCTAGCATTTGCTCCGCAGCTGGCTACTAAATTGCATGTATCTTATCAAAAAATTGGCGAGAAACTTGGTTGGGATTTTTTTATTGAAGAAAAGATGGATGGTGAAAGAATCCAAATGCATTATACTAACTTTGGATCAGATATTAAGTTTTACAGTAGAAGAGCTACTGATTATACTTATCTGTATGGTAACAATTTGAAGACAGGAACATTGGCAAATTTCATCAACTTGAACAAAAATGTTAAAGATTGTGTTTTAGACTGTGAGGTAGTAACGTTTGATTCAAATAACAAAATTGTGCTTCCCTTTGGAATGGTTAAGAGCAGTGCAAAAAATATGTTATCTCAAGATGGAATTGATACACAAGGGTTTCACCCTTTGTTAATGGTTTTCGATGTGTTATATCTTAATGGGGCAACTCTAGTAGACTTGCCGTATTATAAGCGACGAGAATATCTAAAACAGATTCTAACACCAACAGCCCATAGGATAGAAATAATCAAGTCTATTAGAGCAAATGATGAGCAAATGATTAAAAAATCTCTTGAGAAAGCGTTATCAGTTGGATCTGAAGGCATAATACTCAAGAGGTACGATTCTAGATATGTAATAGCAAGTAGAAGTGATGATTGGATAAAGATAAAACCTGAATATCTGGAGCAATTTGGTGAGAATATGGATTTGGTATTAATGGGGAGAGATCCGTCCAAAAAGGATTCCTTGATGTTGGGCTTATTGGACTATGAAGAAGTTATTCAAGATAGTCCCATCATGGTTAATTCACAATCATCAGAGGAAAATTCTCAAAGATTCAGAGGTTTTGTATCGCTTTGCATTATCGCGAACGGTATCTCAAATGAAGAATACAAAGAAATCGACAGGAAAACAAAAGGCTTGTGGAATGATAGTGAGAAAATCCCACCTTTGGAATACATGAAATTTGGATCAAAAGTCCCACGCCAGTGGATAGATCCAAAGAAATCATTAATACTGGAAATCAAAGCTAGATCACTAGATAATACTAGAAGTAGTGAGAGAAAATTTGCAGCAGGATGTACATTATTTGGAGGCTATTGTAGGCAAATCCGGGAAGATAAAAACTGGAAGACTTGTTATACACTTCAAGAATTTGAACGTGCAAAAAGCGGTAATAATTGGCGGAAGCGAGGTAGTAGCAAGCCCCAAAAAGTAATATCTAAGAAAAGAAGATATAATATCATCTCCTCTGTAAATAAAGCCCTTGAAGACTTTGCAGAATTGGAACACCGTTCAGACATTTTTGATGGCATGTATTTCTATGTTTTATCAGACTATTTTGATGGCGTGAAAAGAAAGAGAATAAAAAAATCGGAAATTCAGAAAGTTATTGTAGCAAATGGTGGTCAGTTAGTTCAAAATGTTATAACACGCAACTATAATCTTAATGATTTGAGGATTATAAGTAGTAGGAATACAGTTGAGTGCAACTCGTTGATTGTTAGAGGTTATGATATTATTAGTCCGAAATGGGTATTTGATTGCCTGTTGTCTGGTAAAATAATGAAATTGGAACCGAGTCACTGTTTTAACTTTTCGAAGCAACTAATGGATTATGCCTACAAAAGGATTGATCAGTACGGAGATCCATACGAAAGAGATATAAATAAATATGAATGGAGTTCTTTGACTAGTGAAAAGATATGCACAACCGCTAAGCAGCAACCTGATGTACAATTTGATAATTCACTGATGGATGTTCCACATTTCCTCTTTCATGGAAGAATAGTTTTTCTTCTTAGCGATAATAATAATATACAAAAGGAGAGCTTTATGGTAGATGCATATGGAGGGAAAGTAACCAATGAACTAAGCAGCGCCAATTTGGTTATTGTTGTCGGTGCAGTAACCCAGAGACGTATAAATGACATCAGAAAGCAGATTTCCTCTGAAGTTATTAAACAAGATCATCCACCGCGAATACCTGATATGGTGTCCGAAGGATGGCTATACGACTGCATCAAACAAAATACTCAAGTTGCAGAAGACAATTATAGGTTACCATAGGTGGATAGAAAATGCCGATTAATTTATGTAAGTATCTAATGTACATTATATGTAGTTCATTTGAGCACTACGTGATTATTTTAGAAAGCCATGACTAGTTTTCTTCTTCAGATAAATTGCCATTTTCATTTGTGTCTGTAGAGTTCTTTGAACCATGCTTGTGTTTCCTAGATCTTCTCCTCTTTGTAGGCTGTGATTGGTCAGCAGATGTTTCTGTTTGTTGCTCCTTCTTAGTGTTTTCTTTCTTCTTCTTCTTCATACTCAATGGATTTGGCTGTTTTGGGCCAATTTTTCTTTTCTTTGCAACAGTTTGTTCTTTAGATTGTTCCTCTTCTTCATGTTCACCCTTCAAACCTGCATATTTAGGGTCATTTAGGCCTCTAAATAGTTTACTTTCTTCTTCCATTCTGCTTACTTTGGCGCTGGCATCACTCAAAGGTTCCATGATCATTACTGATCTGGAAATATGAAGCAGTGGTACACCAGGCACTTTTCTAAGTAGTCTTCTTATTTCCACATCCTGACAAGCAACAACGTATCTATGCTTGTTTTTGCCTTTCACATCAACAACATTTAGGATACATTCCTTCGGAGAGACTGCTTCACCTGGCATATGCCCACAACGACGTCTCTCAAATTCTTTACCTAAGTCAATGGCGTGTTCATTTTTGGTCTCGTATAGTGCTTGCATACAACATTGTGTAATCATAGGCTTCACTTCTGCTTGCAAAGTCCTCTTTAAAGCTTTAACTAGATCATATTTTGAAGTAGTGCTGTCCATCACAATCTGATCATCGAGTAATACTTGGTATGGCTCACGGAACTTGAATGTATGGTTGTATACCAGCAGTTGCTTTCTGTATGATTTAGCCCTCTTTTGACGCATGATTCTATACTTATATCTCTATTTTATCTACAATATAGTCCAGAATTTGCGAATTTAAAACTTTATAAACTTTTCTAACTCAGTTTATATTCGATGCTCATCGCATTTTTTTATTTTTTCAAAACTCAGAAATTTTTCACTTTTCAACTTCAAGAGTGTTAGCCCTAAAACAAGCGATGAGAAAGCAGTGCAGGTAAGTTTTACAAAGCCATCAATTAGCTTTACATATTGTAGACAGATGGCGAATTAAAAAGGTGAATGAAAATCATATATTTTTTATATACTTTTTTATTAATTGAGTAGCAAAAGAGGCTTACCAGGAGAGTTACATCAAAGAAACTAAATGTAACAGGCTTGCAGAGAAACTGAAAGTTGAGAATTAAGTACCCCAGAACTTTGATAAGTTCTTACCACCACCATTATATACCAAAAGGTTAACGGTTTCAGCAGGCAGATAACTTAAGGTTCCATTAGTAGCATAATTTAAAACTTTTTTCTTGAGAATTTTGGGTGAAATGGCACTGTGTTCATGGTAGAATTGACTTTTATGATCGGGTTGTAAAGACAAATAGTATGCAAGTACACCTGCAACATGTGGTGAAGACATGGATGTGCCTGAGAGGCTTTCAGTTGCATTTTTACTGCCAATGTATGTGGACATTATGTTAACCCCAGGAGCAAATATGTCCACGCATCTCCCGTAATTGGAAAAGAATGCTACATCATCGCTTAAAGTTGAACCTCCCACTGTTATGGGTGACCATGCTGACGCAGGGGAAGAATTACAAGCATCATCACTTTCATTGCCAGCTGCCACTGCGAAGCTGATACCTGCAGCTGCGGCTGCATCCATAGCTCTATTCAAGGCATATGACTTCCATGCTCCTAATGACATATTTCCAGCGGCACCTTTCAAATTGCTCTTGGTTTTTTTAAGATCATTATAAGCCTCGACTGTATATTCTACACCTCTAATAACATCTGACATTGACCCACTTCCATCAGATCTTAATACTTTTACTGCGATCACTTCTGCCTGCTTAGCAATGCCATAATGTTTGGATGCTATTGTGCCTGCACAATGCGTTCCATGACCATTCAAATCGTAATCATTGTCATTCTCGACAATAGTCTTGCCCCAAGAAGCGCGACCTTCAAAATCTTCATGATCCACATAAATTCCAGTATCTATCACAAACGTAACCGTATCCTTACCTCCTCTGTCGTCATAATGGTAAAAGCGCTTACCCAGGATTGGCAACTTCTCACGTTGAGAGATACGTCCCAAACCCCAAGGCACATGTTCCTGCATCTTGTAATTATTGATTCTTACTATAGAGTCATGTTCTACCAACTCAACTAAAGGACTATTAGCAATAAATTTGGCTGTAGTTTCCGTGAAATATCCAATATAACCTGTCATGGATCTTCCGATACTAAATTCATGCTGTAGGCCAATCCCTCTGGTTGAAATATCATTATACTGTGTAGCTTTACCGAAGTCACTATCTTGTAGAAAAATAGAAGAGCTATTAATTTCTTCAATTGCACTTAGATGGCTTTGTATCTCCTTATCGGTAACAAAATCCTTAAAAAGTACAATGTATCTATTGGGTATTATCATATCATTCTTCGCAGAGTCAAAATATATTTTACTACCTGTATTAAAATTGTACTCAATTCCCTTGCCTCGCCATAGATTCAGCAAACGATTTATTAGAGTATAGTCATGAGAAGCCGATTCTCGATGACTCAGATCCACAGGGATAGTGGCTGCATCCACTGAGGTAAAAATCCAAAAGTAATAGACACTAGTTATCAAATAGAAAGAGAACATAATTGCTCTATTCTACTTTGGCTATATCTATCATAGTCCAATACTTTTGTAGTTATGATGACTCAGTTTTCCGTTATATGCCTTTCAACTGTACTGCTTATTGCTCCTCATTGACGTCTAATGGGATGTATCGAGCAGCTCATCTAATATATTACAATATGATTCTTAACAGTAAAAAAAACTATGTAGCTGAAAGTTCCATATATTTAGTCTATAGATCTTGGATATTTTTCTTCAGTAATGTGCAGAACTTGTAATAAGTCCATAGCCAGAACAAAGAGAATGATACGAATCCGATAGTGCAGTTTAGAATCACCCATAAGTCAGGGAATCTTGGTGGAGCTTCAATGAATAAGTCCAGGAAATGGTATGCAGTCATACCAATATATGATGATACTATGATCAATTTCCAAAAGATGCTGTGGGGCAGCAGACTCCTGCGTCTGTAGTTATCACTTACACTACTTATAGATGGGCCCGGTGTAATAAATTTTGGCAGAAATCTTGGAGTAATGAAACTGAAATTACCAATCAGCCAGTTACTTAAGAAGAAGCAAACAAAATATTGTAGATACAACCCTTCCCTCTTCAATAGTGGCCATAATGTAAATAGCGCCACGTTATTTATCCAGCTTACCATAGATAGCACATTCCAATCTCTGGAGGTAAATAAGAGTGTAATTGGAAGTAGTGGGACCAAGATAGTCTTTTCGTGCACTTGGAAACTGAAAAGGTAAAATGACATGGAACATGCTGCCAAAGCGTAAGGTAGCAAGTGCTTCCTTGGATATAATATAATCAAGATCATTGCAGGTGCAAAACCGACCACTGTAAGAATTAAGGAGTACATTCTTAACTGATCATTTGTGAAAAGAACTTTGAATTTAACAATTGTATTGACTACGCACCAAAAGTTAGCCACTTTATCTTCAAAGATACCTCTGGCAAATGGAAAGATTCTCCTAACAGTTTGAGCCAAGCCATCAAGGCCACCAAATATGTAGAAAGGTGAGAACATCGCTGTAAAGGTAACCAATGTGGCGATGGAGATGGAAATAAACCTAGGGATGTTGAACAACTTAGGGAAAAACATTGAGCGGCCAAGTAGGTAAGCAAAAAAAATAGGTGCGTAGTACAATGACATTTGCTTGAAGCATATTGAAAGAACAAAACAGATTGCCGCTGGCGCATAAAATTCATCCAGTAGATTATTAATTGCATAAACTGTGAAACCTAGCATTATCGAATTGTATTGGAAATGCCCATGATCGATTAACATCAGAGAAGGTTGAAATAGAATGGCTGCTGCTGCAATAAATTGGCCAATTGGTGATTGATTTCTACGTCTACCTAACCATTTCGTGAAATACACGACAGCAGGCATGTAGAAGATAGCTTCACTTAAAAGTACTGTAAATCTCATGTAGTTCTTTAAGCCTTGGGTCTCAATACCACGAGAACTGTCTAGTGCAAACCAGTCTGGGTTGCAAAAGGTACCGAGCTTACCAAGTAGATATGAATGGAAAGCAGTCAATGGAGGATAATCTAAACCCCAATACTTTAAATCATAGTAATACCACTTAGATATGGGTAGATGTTGTGTGATTTCCATCCAATGTCTCTGGGCCTCAAAATCTCCATGCATAGGACCATCCTTATAACCGGAGTAGGGACCTAAACCTATAGCACACCTTATAATCATGGCAAACATTATTATTATCCACTCGGTAAGCCATTGGCTGCCAGCAGGCCTAAATGGAAACAAGAAATCATACAGTGGAGACGCATAGAAGGACTCCTCACCTTGCTCACTCTCAAACTTACTGACAGCCTTCTTATCCTTCTTCTCGCTGCTCATCGTATTGGTGCAAAGCTGATCGATCCAAGTTAGTCCTTACTGTTTCTATCGCTATTGTTGTTGCAATCTCGAGCCAAGATATACACCTGGTATCAATCTCTTCCCAGTTGTAACTATGAATTTGATAAAATGTGATGAACTATGGTCGAAACTCGAAGGGTCTTTTGACTCGCTTGAACTTTCGGGACGAAGGCAAGTCCAGAAGACCACTTTTGGGATTTCAGAAGCTATCAACAAGGGATTACTTCAAAATAATAAGCAGGTTACTTGGTTAGAAATAGCATTTTGGTGTGTGTTCCTGGACTTTAGTAATCAGTATTTGTTCTACAGTTAAAGTAAAGACTAGACTAATCGATATCGAGTTGGTCGAAATATAGTTGTTGAGATGATTGCAAGGAAGAAGAATATACTGAAGGTCATAATCCTAGGTGATTCCGGAGTTGGTAAGACATCGTTGATGCACAGATATGTGAACGATAAGTATTCTCAACAGTATAAAGCTACTATCGGTGCTGACTTTTTGACTAAAGAGGTAGTTTTAGATGATGACAAAGTAGTCACAATGCAAGTGTGGGATACAGCAGGGCAAGAACGTTTCCAGTCCCTTGGTGTTGCTTTCTACCGTGGTGCAGACTGTTGTGTACTAGTCTATGATGTGACGAATGCGAAGTCTTTCGAAAATATAAAGTCCTGGAAGGATGAGTTTTTGGTTCATGCTAATATATCCTCACCGGAGTCTTTCCCTTTCGTGATCCTAGGTAACAAAGTAGATATTGAAGACTCTAAGAAAGTGGTGAGTGAGAAAGCAGGTCAGGAACTCGCAAAGTCACTTGGAGATGTACCTCTCTTTTTAACAAGTGCCAAGAGTGCCATAAATGTGGATACCGCTTTTGAAGAAATAGCAAAGAGTGCATTACAACAGAATCAAAACGACGCACATGCATTTGAAGATGATTTCAACGATGCCATTAACATTCAATTAGAAGGCGAAAGTAATTCATGTAGTTGTTGAAATGAATATCATGGTCAAGAATTATCTGATCAATTCGTTTTTTGCACGATGGTACTTTGTACCAGTACATGCACTCGCGGTGTAACTTATATAATAAGTTTTATTTGTATATTAAGAGCGTTTTCTAATCCTAATAATTTTAACTGATTCTTACTTGTCTCCAAGTTGAAAATACACACGTCATATTGCTAGTTATTCATCCATGTAACAAACTTATTGAGGGTTTATAAATGTAGAGTGATTAGTTATAATAATAAACTAAATTCGATATAAATGCTTAATATTCAATAATGCAAAAAAATTATGCAAACTTTGATAATGGTTATGTTTAGCTACTTGAGTTCTGTCATAATGCTACTATTTTTTAAATGATATCTTTTTACCCTTGGTTACAAGTCTCCTCTTTTTGGCAGCCTTTGGACCTTCACCAGTGGAAGAGTACGGATCAAAGACACGTTTTTTGTCCTTCTTTTTAACTTCTCTATTATCACTAGCTAAAATATTGGCTTTACTGTAATCAACAGGCTCTTCAACAATGTCTCCATCATCATGTTTAGCTTTCTGGTCGTTAGAATGAATTTTCTTTTTCTTTAGAACAACAATTTCATCCATATCTTCTTGTTTCTCTGGGATAACCTGAATTTGATCGCTCTTTTTGTTATGAGTTTCTTCAGTTTCTAATGGAGCGTTAGAGTTTGAAGTTTCCAGCACCATATTGATATTTTTGCTTGCCGCAAGAAGAGTAGCCTTAATATATGACAAATACCTATCTTTCAATTCTGATTCTTCAACACTACATGCACTACCATTATGATATTTTACTGCATGTTCAGGGTGTAGCAGGATTTCGCTAAGCACCACTGATGAAGTCATGGCTTGCTTAGACTTAGTTGCCTGAGTGAGTTGATTTTCAATTTCTTTGAAAGCCCCGGTCATTAATTCAATCTTATGTGATGGTAAGAACTGTAATTCATCCTGTGAGACATCTAGTGAGCTTGGTAGTCTGTTGTTGATAGATTTCACTTCTCCCAATTTGATTTCTTCCAGCTTCTTTTTTATCAGGTTGGCAAGAGTTTTTGAATTTCTTCTCACATGATCTGTAACAACACTGCTTACTGACACAACGGAAATAGGGTCAACAGGACCATATGCTACAAGAGATACCAGTAGTTGGTTAGGCATAACATAACGAGGAGATTCATCATCTCGCCTAGCCATCATATCTCTCCACTCATAGAGCTCGCGGATTAGTGGCTCCTTATCAACTGGAATATTATATTGATACATTAAAGTTCTCCAAGGACTTTCTTTTTCAACAGGAGTAAAAATATTGGCCACAGGAATCTTTGGTTTGTACTTTGAGTATTCAAATCTTCTAAGGGCTACATTTCTAGATTCTCTCAAAACTCCAGCTAGTTTCCCAGAAGAAATTAGCCCATTTCTCATCTGATCAAATATGTTTAATAAAAAATGAGTATCTGCACGAGCATATGCCATCATTGCCTTTGAAAGAGGTCTTCTTCTCCAGTCAGCTAGTTGGTACTTTTTCGAGGTTTTGAAATTGGCATATTTTTCCAAAAGGTAAGCCAAGCTATGTTTGGGAAGACCAAGAGCCTTCGACGCATGGAACGTATCAAAAAGACTCACAATGTAAAGCCCCAAGTCTCTCTGTAACCATATTATATCCATAAAGGCACCATGGAATACCTTTGTGATCAAAGGATTTGTAAACACTTCATTAAGCATTTTAAGATCATCTCTTAAAGCTATAGTGTCAACAATATAATCCTGAGTTCTTGTACTGATTTGCATTAGACACACCAAACCGTAGTAAGACCTGAAGTCATGGTGTTCCAAATCTACAGCAATTTCTGAAGATTTCTTTAATTCTTGCATCATATCTTGTAGACTATTGATGTTGTCTACCCAGATAGCATTGGTATCAACCCAGGAAGTTGAGGGAATTGGTTCTTTTTTCTCCAAAATATCGTTATTGTATTCTTGATTTAAAATTTCGTACTCGTATGGTTGTTGGAAATGCTCTGGGATATCCTCTGTTGCTAAAACGAGTTGTGTAGATTCTTCAATAGACTTTAATGCATTGGGCTTCTCGATAAGCAGAGGCTTAAATGGGTGGCTTTCACTGTTGTCAACAGGAGTTTTAAAATTCAGCTGTGGTTTTGAAATCCTTCTGCTAGGATCATTCTCCGCTACATTGACATCGTCAAGAAACTGCATATTCTTTTTGTTATCATTCGTTGAGGATTTCCTATTAAGAATATCTAGCGATCTATCAGCCTTTTCGAATAGAACATCCATGACATTGCTGAATTCTTTGCATACCTCCTCCAGGTTTTCATTGGTACCATCAAGTTTCTCGTTATTGTTATCGATTGATAGTAATATATTGTTCATCACCGATGCCATGCTCTTCATACTCTTTTCTAGTGAGTTTGCCACGCTAGTGTCTATACTCTTATGAAATTCTACATCTTGCGATGCTAGAGCATTAGAGGCTCTGACAGTCTCCATTACTTTTTTCAGCACATTATCTCCACTGTCACTCGACATGATGAATATGGGATATAGAAATTGATTATGGGTACTGATTGTTATCTGTATCAACTATTTTTACCCATGAACATTAGAATTCAGAATCTTTACTATTCTTATGACATTTGATCTCATCGCATCGAGTAAATTGAATAAATTTTCAACTTTACTAGCGATGAGATTAAATCGTGTGAAATACACACCTCTGACCCAGTAAGCAATTATAAAGCAAAGTCAAACTGGAAACGAAAAATATTGCAACAAACAACCAAGTTTCACAATCCACCAAAATAATACTTAATAATTATATTAATTTCATATTCATCTAGGTCTACAACTTACTATTATATATAAGTTCACCTAATAAATCCCGATCCAAACTAGGAAAGCTCATATTATTACTCTGATCATGTGATTAATATACATACTTTTTCTATACATTTTAAATAACTTTAAACTAAATCAATTATTTTTTAAATTTATGGTCGTAAAGGTTATGGTTTCCGAAGTAATTAATTTTGTTAGAAAAGCAGTAATTAGTTTGTTTCAAAATGTAATTTTGGTAAAATGCAGTGGAATCGTTTCGTTAAATGTATATGGGATTATATAGATGAAGGATATATGCTATTATCTAGTATTTGATTCTTTTTATCTTCAGTAATTTGTTTTTTATAGGATGAAGATGTTAACTTTTCGGCAAGCCCATTGGTATTCATTTTAGATTTCTCTTCGATGTAGATATTATGCCTCTCTTCAACAGTGTCGAAGTTTCTTTTCGGTCTGTTCTGAGGTATTGTTTGTGGGATGGGAATATTATTACTAGCTGTTTGATAGTTGCTGTTGTTATTTGAGCAGTTTTTCACAGCATCATTTTGCTGATGTTCATGCAAAGTTTTAGCAGGCATATCTATGTCGTAATTGACTTTTTTTGTTTTGTCTGGGGAAGAGCTATATTTCCCTACAACTTCTATAATTTTATAGTAATATCGTGTCAGAACGTTATAGCCTGCATTTGATATTGACGAATACCCTTGCCGCAGGGAAGGGGCTAAGTCAGATTCTATTGACTCTGGTAGTATAAAAAAATTCTTCTGTACCTCCATTTTGCAGAACGTTATATTGTTATCTCGCGGTATTATTCTATAATTAACTTTTCTCAGAAATTCATTTTCTAGAACATTAAGCTCATTGCATTGAACACCTCCTACTTTCGAATAATGTGTGTTTGTACAAAAAGAATCACAAAGGCCTTTACTTGCAATGGTGGTAGCTGTCAGTAGAAATCTATGTGCAGTTAGAGAGTTGAGATTGAATGCTGGGTAAACGTTAGACAAAAGGTCGATGTAATAAACTGCGGATAAAAGCACAGAATGTTCCAATAGGGAATATTTGGTTAATCTGGTAAAGTAGTTGAATACTGATATATTAGGTGCTATTTTTGAATGAAATCTAGTAAGGCCATATTTTCGTTCGTTTTCCTTAATATTGGAGTCATTGATCTGTATGATAAACTGTAGCATTCGTGCTATTAGAATGACTAGGTCACCTTTCGGGCACTTCAGAAAATCTCTCGGTAGTTTGATAGTTGGTATTTCTTCATCTGTATTGATCTGAGCATCTTGGGGAGTCATAGTTTAATACTCTAATTTCATAACAGTTTGCTATGATATGATACAATAAAATGCTAATAGGAAGACTTCTCTTCCTAGTTTAGCATATGCAACTTCTTGATTAATGGTGTATTGATAGCGTATCCAAACTTCGATAAATATATTGATTTATGAAGATTTGTGATTTTGTATGTGAGGCTAAACCAATAGTACAAAATCTAGCACAATGTCTACCCAGCAAACGAGTCTCTGATGCTTGCAATACAGGTCTTGTTTCAACTGTTCGCTTATATTGAGTAGTATTCTATCAATATCACTATCACTGGTTATTAATCCACTAAGGATGTCTGGTGTAATATAAAGTATAGCAACTACAATTAGTCTAAGCTGGTTTTACGCTTTTCAGTTTAATGTTGAACTGGAATCAAGTTTTGACACGTTTTTGTGCGACGATTTCTGAAAAAAAATTGTTTGAAGCATTTGGTAAAGACAAGGAAATGTCTCAATTAGCTTTGAAATGTAGAATCTATATGAGGCAAGAATTGGAGTCATAAAGGCAGCTGTGCTAGTGACGGCATTATTTAAAAGTCAAGAGAATGGTCGGAGCCGCTGTTGATAGTGGATTGTTAATGTGTAGGGTAGCGATTGTGCTTATTAAAGTATATGGAAGCCATTAGGTGTATATGTATATGTGACCAATTTCGAGTTCGCAATGATCATGTTGTAAAGACATATAGGTGCGGAGCGAGGGTTACTAATGCCGGAAGTTGTCTATAACCTATATATTTGGTGTATTCAGTGTCTTGCATTGCGTACTTGGATTTCCTTCAATTATGCGAGTACAACAGATTTAGTTGAGACTGATTGTTGAGTTTCTGGGAGAAAACTTGCGAAGGCCGGTGACCTCGCGATGAATCGGTTTATATATATAATGACTAGAAAGATATGATTTATATACTGTAGGAAAATAGCATGCTCTCACTATTAATTTAGTAGTATAGCGATTCGAAAATACGGTAGATGGGTGACGTACATCAAAGAAAAGTTGCCACAATGGTGACCACAGAAGAACAGCCACTTATAGGTACAGATGGACAAATCAAACTACGGAAGAAGACGGTTGTCAGGAAACTATATACATGGGAAGAAATACCTGAATGGCAAAAGGATAATGAGCACATTCACACTGGTTACGTGAGGGAGACTAGCAGTGTCATGGAGTGTATCCGCAGTTTGTTCTATCTTCATAATGAAACTGTGAATATCTACTCACATTTGATACCTGCAATTGCTTTCTTCAGTACAATATTCTTTAATAAGTATGTTGTGCCCACATACAGTACTACCACTTTGATAGACTATTTGATTATTGACATATTTTTCCTAGGTGCTTTCTCATGTTTGATCCTAAGTAGCACATTCCATTGCTTAAAGAGCCATTCGTTGAGAGTAGCTGTCTTTGGCAATAAGCTTGATTATCTAGGAATTGTATTTCTCATTGTTGCATCAATGGTAAGCATTTTATATTATGGCTTTCACGGTAATCCATGGTTCTTCGGTATATTTTCTTTAATCACTATGACTTTTGGGGCGGCATGCGCCGTAGTGTCACTCAAAGATACTTTTAGATCGCGGGAATGGAGACCATACAGGGCAGCTCTGTTTGTGATATTTGGTTTATCAGCAGTACTGCCTATTCTAGCTGGACTTTTCAAGTATGGTCCTACTGAAACTTGGACAAGGATACAACTAAAGTGGGTTATCTTAGAAGGTGTATTTTATATATTTGGTGCATTTCTGTACGGAATTAGATTTCCAGAGAAGATGAGTCCCGGAAGTTTTGATCTGTGGGGCCATTCTCATCAGATATTTCACATTTTGGTGGTTGTAGCTGCCCTTTGTCATTTAAAGGCTCTTTTAGGTAGCTATTCTTTAGTCCATTATAGATTTATGATAGATATGTATTGAGGATTAAACAGTATGGAGATTGTTTTATATTTTGTTTTAAAATGATTCAGATTCATGACTTTACATGTATAACTTAGTATGTATAATTTATGTTTAGGAGGGCTAATTGGCCTAACAGTGCACACTTCCACTAATTAACCAACTTTGAAAAAGGTAGCGAGATACAGTTTTAATGGAGTACCGAATTGACAATTTAGTATGTTTGATCTAGTAAAGTAACATAACATTATTGACTATAGAAAATACTTATGAGAAGATAGGAATCTAGTGGTTTACAAGGTTAAAGTAAGAAAATAATAGCACACTGATTTTCAAAGTTTTTTGATTTACTGTATGATCATTTGACCTCAATCAAGATCGACACTAATTTAATCAGTTATTATGCCGGTGAAATTAAAATGGCCATGGTTAGGCATTGCAATACCTAGTTTTTTGATTGCATCCATTGGCTACTGTGCACATTACTTCATTTTATTAAATTTCTTAAGCCTTCGAAAACAGCTGTGGTATCAGTTTTGTCAAACAATGATTTGGCTATCATACTATTTAGCAATATACACACCACCAGGAAAACCTCCAACAAACTTTAAACCATCTAAAAATGAGTGGAAAGTGTATTGCAAAAAGTGCAAGTGTTACAAACCGGAAAGAAGTCATCATTGCAAAACATGTAATCAATGTGTCCTAATGATGGATCATCATTGCCCTTGGACTATGAATTGTGTTGGCTATAACAATTTTCCTCATTTTATAAGATTTTTATTTTGGGTGATTGTTGGCACTACTAGTTTGGCTATATTTTTAACAACTAGAATCCATTCGATATGGGTACACCGGAGCTCGCCAAGTTATCTCTACTATAAATCGGAATTGATATTTCTCACTATTTTAACGCCACTCAATGCTTTCATATTATTAACAATTAGCATTTTAATGATCAGATGTTTATTCAACCAAATATTTAATGGAAGATCTCAAATAGAATCTTGGGAAATGGATAGATTAGAAACTTTAGCTCGAATGAGTAAACTATTACCTATATTAATAGAGAATGTTTGGTATATCTTCCCTAACCTACGAAATGAACATGTTGAGAGCCAGGCTGAAGCCCTGTTAAACAAAAAGAGATTATCGTTGGATGAATTAGTTAATTTTCCTTATGATCTTGGCCCTTTCAGGAACGCAATTCAATTGTTAGGCACCCCGCCTTTATGGTTGTATCCATTTAGCGGGCCACAAGATGATGGTTTACATTTCCAAAAGAATGAGGAGTCCATGATAGAAGATCCTAATTCTTTGAATGATATTATACTTTGTCTCCCTTGGCCTCCAGATTCGACTAAGCACTTAAATTCTACTAGCGAACATACATCAAATGTTCAGATCATCTCAGAAGAAGGTGAACAAGTAATACGAATCCGAACACCAGAAAAAAAGCTCTCCAGATCAGAATGGCTAAATGACTGGGGTGAATCGCTTGAAGATTTTGGAGTCGATGTGGATGTTGAGTAATTTATACATTTGCTCTTTATACTCATTACCCCAGTACTACTTCTTTCTATGATACGGCTTCTTACTTGAAGTTAATCTTTCTGTAAGCATATTTTATTGGTAATGAATATACTAATATCTCGCGTCTTATAAATAATCAACAATTAGCGAGAAAATATAACTGATGTAGGCAGAAAATTACAATACTTACAAAATATAGTTACACGTTATCATTACAATTAGTACTAATATATATATATTTATATGGGTAATGGAATCTATGTTTTATTTATGATCCGATTGATGTTGTATTTTTAATCAATAATAGGGGAGCCATTAATTAAAGGCTTTTCTGTTCTTTCAGTGGCAGAGCCAATTATGGACTTGATACTGCTCGTATTTCTACCCGAATCATCATTATAAGTCTTCTCCGTCTCTTGAACAACAGCTGCAGACTGTCTCACATATCCGTCAATAGTTCCATTCGCAAGAATGTAGTTGAATTTCTCATTTACGTCATCATTCGAATTTCCATCGTAATGTGATAAAACCTTTCTGATCTCTTGAGTTTTCTCTGAAATATTTGCTGCTCTTGATTCATCACTTGCAACAATAGGATACTTTTGAATAGTAGCACGTGAGTATACATCTGAGGATCCGCCTTGTAAAATCAAGTTATATTTCTCTCTGTCGATATCAATATGTAAGTTGGACTTTGAAATACCAGCCAAAGAATAAGTTGAATTATTACCATTGTCCTTGCTATATTCTTGATCAAATTCAATTACTTTCTCTAAAAATGGCACTTCTAAGTTTTCATGCGGAACCCCTTCAGTTGGATTCGATAGAGAGTAAGAAGTGACATAATAGTTCCACGCCTCCTCTGGTGATTTAGCAGTCTTTAAAGTTAGGTCATCAAGAGCAATGTATTGAATTGATGCATGACGTTTCTCTCTTTTATATTCGATTCTAAACATATTTTCTGTGCTTGACATATGTGAACGACATTGAATTCTGTATAGAATCTGGTCCTTAGTGGTAGTTAAGGTATTATTTCTTTGATTTTCAAACAGCAACATTATTTCTGATGTTTTTGAATCAGATATCAAAGTGTGCGCATGCTTCACAAACGATTGGACAACTTTATCAATTGTATAAAGCTTAAATGCACGATTGTTATATGCTTGTCTTATACTCTCTTCAAACCATTGGTGCTCAATATCACCCTCTATCAAGCGCTTGCTCAATGTCAAAAGTTGTTGATAAGCATCTGAGCTATTAAAATCAAGTCCTAGTTCAGATAGTTGAGTGGAAATAAGTCCTAGATCTTTAGCAAAAGTTGTTACCCTTCTAGATTTGATCTCCTTATTGATCTCATCATTAATCTGTTTGACCTCTGATAATCTCTCGTAAAGTGTAACTAAATGCCTAAAGAAGATGTAAATGTTGGTGTTAGCAAACAAGTTATAAATGTTCCTGTTATCCATTGGAGTCTCTTTGTTCGCACTGTCAACCACATCACCAACTAACCATTGTTTCCTGTGTTCGGAGAGACTGCCAGAATCTTCAATAGTACCTACATTTCTATCTGTACCGAGATCTTCCGAAGGGGATTTGCTGCCATCCATCTCTTTATTCATCTTTGTCTTCTGTTGCTTGGTTTTATGTAAGATATCTGACATGTTCAAATCATTGTCAAAAGGTCTCTTCTTTGATGATGATGTGTCTTGCTCAGTTTCACCAATTTCTTCAGCAATCTGATCCATTTTTCCACTACCCTTATCAGAATCATTATTGTTGTCATCACTGAATCCTCTGCGTTCCAAGGCGTCACTGACCTCCTTTAATGGAATTGAGAAAAATTGTGATACAAAAACTCTCAACATATCTTTAATTCTTTCCTTATCTGGGTTAGAGTAAAGGTTAGTATTGATGGTAAAAACAAAACCCAAGGCAATAATATCGAATAATATATCATAATCTGGAAAGTCATAATCAAGTTGGTTTTTTGGTTTAGGGGTAAGCCAATGAATCCTTTTGCTATTCTGGTCAACTTTAATTCCATTTATTTCAGATATTAACTGCTTTGTTGTTAACAATTTCTTATCGGCTTGCTTAAATGTCAGACCTAGGTGATCTAGAGATTTGAAATAAACTTTCTGTTCAAGATCTCTCCATATTTTATTCCATTCACGTTGTGCTCTTCTCCATTCTTCATCTTTTTGCTTCAATCTTCTTAATATAATTGGAACTGATATGGCCGGATAGTTATGCAAAGCATCTATTATTTCAAATCCTCTTTCTTTGTCATAAACTTTCCTAATAACTTTTTTATAAATTGTCATAGAAGTATGGCCAAGACCAGGAGGCAATCTAAACTGTGCCTTTTCTGCATCGGTCATGTTCGCGATCTTATTGGCAATGGTTTCCAAGGTTTGTATTGTTCGCAAATTTGACTCGATGTAATAGTCGTACTCATGTCTTTCTTCCTCTATCTTGAATAAAGTCTCCTCATATTGGTTCTTTCTATGAGCGATAAAACCAGAATCCTCAGACGCCCATACTGGATGTCCGACCCACTCATCATTTAGCACTTCCCAGCACATATCATCTCTTCCAGAACAGGGCATGAATGTATCAGTCTTAGGAAGTTTCTTATAACTAGGACCATAGGCCTCACATAGATCTAAATCTAATTTATGTTTTTCATGCACAATATTTTCTATTCTCTTTGGTTTGTCCTGATAACCGACAAAGACTTTGAACCAGTCAAATAATTCTTTGTTGGCTCCAATATAATATTCAACTTTGTCTACCAATTCATCTACTGTCAGAAGATCTAATGAAAACAAGTTAAGGATCTTTAGGAACTCATTATAAATTTGTTTGTTGCCAATTGATTTTTTAACTCTCTCAAAGAAGTTAGTTTCTTCCATCAGATTTAGACTATTCTCTATAGGTTCCGTAGGCTCAGGAACTACTGGAACGAGACTAGGATCTAAATCTATCTCCGGTCTAACAACTAGCTCACTAGGTGTACCAACATATCCCCCATCAACCATGTGTTGTTGAGCATTACCTTGTTGTTGATAAATTGTTTCCGGGTGATAATTTTGCTCAACAACAGTCGTCCTTAGGTTGGAAACAGGAATGTCATCATTACTGTGGATATTTTGAGAGAGAACTTGTTGCTGGGAATTGTGATCATGAGAATCAGAAATTAGTCGAGAGTGCGCCTGCTTTATAGCTTGCTCCTTTACTGCTTCTGCATTATTCATCATAGAAGGCAAGCTCATAACACCTTTCTGAGTTTCCGGATTGGCTGATTGCTGTGTTTGATCAACAAAAGGCCCATTTGTAGGTGGTGAGAAACTGCCAATTGGAGGGAGGTTCTGTTGTTGATGTTGATTTTGTTGAGTATTGTAAGAAACTCCCCCTTTCACTGGCTCATAATAACCTGTTTGAGCATTCATCCCACTTGCAGCATAGTTTGCAGCCTCAGCATTACCTCCCATCTTATCTGATAAAGACTGATAATGCTGCTGTTGCTGAACCTGGGTTTCTTCAGATCCTGAAGCTGATGAATCTGGTAAGAATTTCTTAAAGTCATCAAGCAAATCAGGTGCATTCTGAAATAATATAGTTACCTGTGCATACACTTCATGAATTGGTTTTTGTTCCCTTTGATATGTCTGAAGAATTTCTAGAAATTGCTTGTAAATATCGGGCTGATCAGCAAACCGAGTCTTAATCTTATTCACATACGTAATTGCTTGGCTAAATTCAACATCAGCAGGCTTCTTTGCAGAACCAAAGTTTTGACCTACATCATGTTGTGTTGGGATGGGTGTTGCCTGAGATTGGAGCTGAGCTTCTTGAGCAATAGCCTGTGTTTGCTGATTATTAGTCTGGATATCTGATGGTGAAGGAGACTTTTGAGGGGCTGTATTTAGTACAGTCGTAGAAGACCCCATTGGTGTAGTTACCTTGATAGGATCATTTGGATTATTTGAGCATTCTATCCTATATCCCTGAGGAAGGAAAGTGTTGAACCCCTGGATCAAGTTGGGATACCCTTTAAATAACGATGATACTCTCTCAATTACACCAGGTGTGTCAATTGTCTGAGACTTGAAATCTTTCATAATATCCAAAAACAAATTATATATGTCTGGCCTTGTATGAAACTGGAATTTAACTTGTTCCAAATATGACAATGCATCCTTAACATTTAGAGGTCTATAAGACATGGGGTCACCCTGTGTCTGCGCCGGTCCTGACACAAGGGGTGACTGAGTTGTAGATGTTTCTGAAGCGCCTGTACTACCTTGGCGTTGATTTTGCAAAATTTCCTGCTGATCTTGTTGAAGAATTTGCTGCTGCTGTGGTTGCTGTTGAGTGTAGATCCTCGGCTGCTGCTGTTGAGGTAGTGGATGAAGCTTTATTTCTGGCTTCTTAGTAGCAGGAGGTAAAGGATTATCAAGACTGGCAACAGAAAATCCTACAGAAGCAGGCGTACTAGAAGAAGTTGTGATAGACTTTGGACCTATTGGATTCATGGAAGTATCTATACGATTATCTTCTGTTTTTAGGGACGAGAAGGATGGTAATATAATTCTCTCATTATTATTATTATTATTACTAGTATTATTGATTGAATTAGATGATTCGGCATTTCCGTCAATCTTCTGATTATCATTAATCCCAACATTACTTGTGGCATTTTGTGTTACATTAACAGTTTCTGCGGCACCACTACCAATGGCATGGTTGACACTTCCTTGTTGGTTGCTCATGATATTGGGTGTTTTGAAATGATGAATTATTACTATTTTTATAGTTAATCTGTCGGTATTAGGAATAGCTAGCTGGGTTTGATATAGTTATCTTGTTGTTACTTATAACAGTGTAACAAAAGAAGAGACTAACGTATCAAAACCTAATGAGCACTCGTTAATTCAACTTGTAATAGTACAACAGTTTCAATTTGATGATATTGTTAGTCTTGAAACACAGTAAGTCAGGAATACACAATCTGACTTCTGGGCAGATAGATATGAAAATGACAGTCTAGTGCTATGCAACAATGGAATGTTTTGACTGTTCTGAAAGTTTGACTTTAAACCAAAGACAATTTGATCTTGAATTAGCTCCTGTCACACCTTTAAGGAAACTCTAGTGTTTCTGCACTTGCAAACTGTGATTTGTTTATTAGTTTATACCTATTATCAATCAAATGTAACTAATCTTTGCTCTGGTATCAATTCCCTTGAATAGATGTTTGTTATAGCTTTATTTATTTCTCTTAATTTTTTTTTTGCTTTCTTTTTTAGCAGGATACTTAATGGAGTATTGTATTTTTTTTTTCAGGAAATGCAATTCTGAGAGACACCAGGAGAGAGTTGGGCCCTAAAATTCTAACAAAACCGAATTGATCAATTCCTTTTTTTTTTTTTTTTTTTTTTTTTTTGGCAATCTTACTCTGAACAGTATTCCCACAAGAAAACTTGAAATACTCTTGCAAGGCTACCCGTGGCTCACTAAGAACATCCGTAGAGATGGATATGGTTACTCTTTCGCCCCTCCTTTCTTTCCTCAATCATTTTTGGGAAGAGCCAAACACAAGACAGGCTAAAATAACAAAAATCACACAGCTAACTGAAAAAGCTGAAAAGCTTCTACGTACTTTTCCTGTCGAATGAAACTTGGGTGGATCGGAAGCGTAAAGACAACCGTTATGCTATCTCAATTGTAGTTGGGCATATTTCTGCTCCTCCCCCCTGGTCGTTGCAAGACACCTTAGCCCAATTTTTGTCTGATATCGTGAAAGTTGTCAACTGCGAGTTAACAATTAATGTTGTATATTCACATGACGCAACTCCCTGTTTATCGTAGAAAAGCCTATAACGCACTATCCATACTGATTTCCTCACTATAAACACTTTTCGATTCAAGTTTATTTGGCGGATACGTCTTCAAAGGAGATTACCTCTCTCGAATTCCGGGTTGACATCACTCTAGCGGCAAACTTTTGATCATTTCTGCAAAAACTAAAGGTAAATGTTGTCAGGATTCATAAATGACTAGTATATTAAAAATGATTCTTGCGTAAACATGGCCTATATCGGGGTTGTAATACATACAAAACATGGGACCCATTCTTAAATAAATGTTGTTCAAACGTGAAACGCAGTACGAAATCAGACTTATAAAAAGAACAGAAGCTTACCCTCTTAAAAAAAGAACCACAACTCTAACTATCCGTGGCCTATTTATACTTCCCCCTCCCCCCTCGTGCCTCTCCAGCAGCACCATATGGGAATATACGTTCGGCGGCAATCTGAGATCCGTTTTTTTGTTTTTCCTCTGGCATTGCTAGTTCGGTCTACTCCGGGCTGGTAGAGACTCATGGAGACTAGAAACTTGCGATAGTAATAGATCTGATATTGCCAAATAAAAGAGCACTGTTAAGCTTGGCCACGTCAATCTCTAAGGCTCTACAATGCTTACTCTATTTACAAGCTTTACCTATTACCTTGAAGATTTTACACGAAGCTGAAAACCTTAATAGCCGCCCATGTAGCCATTCATCCCTCCGCAAGTCCTTTACGAGTCCTTAACGAGTTTCTTTACGAGATCTCTAGGTGATCACCTAGAGATCTTGTGGACGACTCCTAGCACAAAGAAAGCATCAAAATTCAGAGCGATGGGCATTTTATATCCTAACCCTCAGAAATCTCGTGCAAGAGTGCAGGCGGGAATAGTGACTTGTGCATCGCCTACACTTTTTCCATTATATGTTTCTGCGCCCATTTCTTACTAGACAAGCACTAGTATACCAAGGGCCTACCATTCCCCGTTTCGGGTAGTCTTTTGCTGCTGTGTGCACGCTAAATTCTAGGATCGACAGACACTGAAGAAGAGGGTCAGAGCAACTAAGTGTGTGTGAATTGGCGGCTAAATTCTTACTTACGACACTATAACTAGGAAGAACCGTCTGTAATATACTTGAAGGGATCCTATACGTGCATTACAGTGTACATAACTTTATATATAACAGGGTTTTGTTGAAGGGGGCGTTTGGGTGTACTTTCTACGTTATCTTAGTACTTCCAGCAGTTATCACGCCCCGAATATAAATACAGCCAGCTCAATCGCCAAACGGTTAACTTCACTTTCTACTCTTCCTCGAATTTCGCAATTAGGAACTAAAGTGAATAAATCTCCTACTAAAGCGAGTAACAATCCAGCGGGGAGGTTTAAGGAGTTTAAAATGAATACACTATACAGTTTGCTCTTCAATAAATAACAATTCACGTGATCGAACAAGCTATATCCTACCAAGAGATGACAGCAACCCAAAGAAAAAACTTATGGATTGACAAAAGTTGCAGGTCGGAGGAGGGGACAAAATGATAAACTCAGGATTCTCTCTACAGAGAAGTAGTTGTAGCAGTATTGCGGCCGAAGAAAGAGGAAAAAAAAAACAGTAACAGAAAGTCCACGATTGAAAATAACGAAATGACAAAACGCTGATGAAAGTGGAAAAGTATAAGAAGATTAGTGCTTGGGAAGGCAGTACTAAGGCTAAGAAAATCATTTTGTTGAGAAGCTAGTCGAGATATCACTTAACAACAATAACCATATACTAATATTACACAATGAATGCTCCAGATAGATTCGAATTATTCCTGCTAGGTGAAGGTGAATCCAAGCTGAAAATTGACCCGGATACCAAAGCTCCAAATGCTGTAGTAATAACATTTGAGAAAGAAGACCACACATTAGGTAACTTGATCAGAGCAGAACTTCTTAACGACAATAAGGTGCTTTTCGCTGCTTACAAGGTTGAGCATCCATTTTTTGCTAGATTTAAGTTGAGAATCCAAACAGTTGAAGGATACGACCCAAAAGACGCTTTAAGGAATGCTTGTAGCTCCATTATTAATAAACTTGGAGCTCTGAAATCTAACTTCGAAACGGAATGGAACTTGCAAACCTTAGCTGCGGATGACGCCTTTTAAAAATGACTGATTTTGCATTATAAATTTTACCATAAAATTCTAAAATCCAATAACGCAAGCCGTTATGTTTGGAAGAATATGCAATTATAGAGTATATCTGGCCATTAATGAAAGCATTTGGCCTAACTTTATAAGAAAATCACATTTTGTGCAGAGATTTTTCCCTCGCTTTCATATCCTCGGTGAGGCTAGATTTTTCAAAGATTCTTGAATCTGACTATGATTGCACGCGACACGTAAAATACCGATGAGCATCCCAAAATGCTGAATTCCCATTGCGGTTGGAAACCATATAGAACACACCCATTTGTTTGTTATTAGGACATAATCCTGTATAGTAGTAATTGATTTATATCACGAGCATTAATAAGTGTTGAGATTAAAAACTGGTAAATAGGCAATATGACAGTATCAGATGATGAAGATGGTGTTATTCTAAAAAGAAGAAAGCTTTATAATGTGGTAAAAGATGAGAGTGATGATGAAGAGAATCATATAACTGGTCTTAAGTCTAGCATAGTCAAGGCAGAAGAAGGAGATGAAGAAACCAAGGATGCTAAATTAGTGAATACAGATAATGACTCGCCTATCAGCGATGATCTTGAAGAAAATGTAAGCGATGATCTTGAAGAAGACTATAAATGGTGGGAAGAACAAGATAAAGATGACACAATTAAGTGGACCACTTTGGAACACAATGGTGTCCTATTTCCACCTCCATATGAGGCTCTACCATCCCATGTTAAACTTTATTATGAAGGCAACCCGGTGGATTTACCTCTGGAAGCGGAAGAAGTTGCTGGTTTTTTTGCACACTTATTAGAAACTCCTCATGCTCAAAATCCGGTGTTTCAAAAGAACTTTTTTGAGGATTTTAAACATGTTCTCAATGATGCTGGCGGTACTCAAAATGGAATTGAAATAGAAAGCTTTGATAGAATGGACTTTTCTGCCATGCATGATTATTTTGTTCAGCTAAAGGAAGAAAAAAAGAGTATGACTGCGATGCAAAAGAAGGAAATAAGACTCGAGAGGGAGAAATTTGAAGAGAAATATAAGTTTTGTGAACTGGATGGTAGACGAGAACAAGTTGGAAATTTTAAAGTTGAACCACCTGATTTATTTAGAGGAAGAGGTGCTCATCCAAAAACTGGGAAGCTAAAAAGAAGAATAAGACCTGAAGACATAGTGCTAAACCTTGGAGAGGGAGCACCCATTCCTCCCCCTCCTTCCGGTCATCAATGGGGTGAGATACGACATGATAATACTGTACAGTGGCTGGCAATGTGGAGGGAGAACATATTTGGCTCTTTCAAATACGTTCGCTTAGCCGCCAATTCCTCATTGAAGGGCCAAAGTGATTTCAAGAAGTTTGAGAAAGCTAGGGAATTGAAAAAGCACATAGACAGGATTCGTAAAGAGTACCGAAACAATTTCAAGAGCAAACTTATGGTGGAGCGACAAAAGGCTGTCGCAGTGTATCTAATTGACGTCTTTGCTTTAAGAGCTGGTGGTGAAAAATCAGAAGAAGAAGCTGATACAGTAGGATGTTGCTCCTTAAGATATGAGCATATAACCTTGAAACCTCCCAATACAGTCATTTTCGATTTCTTGGGTAAGGATTCAATCAGATTCTATCAAGAGGTACAGGTGGACCCTAAAGTCTTCAAAAATTTGGCTTTATTTAAAAAGCCCCCTAAACAACCCGGCCATCAATTGTTTGACAGATTAGATCCTTCACTTTTAAACAAATTTCTACAGAATTACATGACAGGTTTAACTGCTAAAGTTTTTCGTACTTACAATGCTTCTAAGACCATGCAAGAGCAACTGGATCTTATTCCAAATGAAGGGAGTGTGGCTGAAAAATTACTAAAATATAACGCAGCAAATAGAACGGTTGCAATTCTATGTAACCATCAAAGGACGGTTACTGCAGGCCATGCTAAATCCGTTGCTAAATCCTCTGATAGAATAGAAGAATTCAAATGGCAAAAGGAGAGATTAAAAAAAGGTATTCTACAAATAGAACCAGATAGAATTAAGGATACTCCAAATTATTTTGAGGATATTAACAGTATCGATAAAGAAATAGAGGCTAAAATTCATGAGAGAATTATAGAAAGAGAAATACAAAAATATCATAACAAGTTCAAAAGAGAAAACGATAAACGGAAATTCGAAGGTGAAGAACCGTTGCCTGAGGAGACGCTGAAGGAGTGGCTTGATAACGTTAAACAATTAAAACAACAATATGCTGAAGAATTAGCCACAGGTATTGTTCAGTTAAAAGCTTCCATGAATAGTGTAGAAAAATTAGAAAAAGCGATTGAACGGTTAGATCAGAGAATCTCCACAAGCCAAGTGCAACTCCAGGATAGAGAAGCCAACTCTGAGGTGTCTCTAGGCACATCTAAAATTAACTATATTGATCCCAGATTATCAGTGGTGTTTTGTAAGAAATATGGCGTACCTATAGAAAAAATCTTCACGAAATCTCTAAGGGAGAAATTCAAATGGGCAATTGAATCAGTGGATGAAACCTGGAGATTCTAATATTACTTAGATGCATACAAAGACCCTTGCATTAAAATTAGTTATAAATTAATGATACAAATCATTTAGTTATCTAACACACGAATTATAACAATTACATTAATATGTAGTTAACAACTCACCAAATAACAACCTTTCGTATGTTAACGAAATCAATACTAGATTGATATTGCGGGGCGAATTATAGCTCTAACAGATTCTATAAGAAAGTCTTGCATATTGAATTTTGCACCTATACAACTTCTTTTCTTTTTACATACCTTAGTAAAGGGTGGTAATAACAATTCACCCCATGTCTATATTGATACACTACAATACTATGCTATATCTTTATAATGTATAACCTAATTTACCCGGACCAAAGGTTTCGCGAAACGCCAAACGCGAATTGGAAAATTTAAAAACATATGAAGTAGACACTTTTCGTGCTGAACCCATCATATTGCCCCACTGTTTAGTAATAGTGCAGATCAAGGGCTGATAATTTTCTAACCATGATCTAGTAATAAGCTGCAAGAGATTAAGAAAGGCAAAGCAAAATTATTCTCAGAATTCGGACCATGTATAGACTGAAAGGCCAGAGAAAGTCAGATTTTGGCGCAGCATGTGAGCGAATATGATCTAAAAATATAATCACATATTGATGGAACAGTTTTAGCAGGGAGGGTCATCCATTCTGCTAATAGATGAGGATCGTGGGCTTTTCAAAATGCTGTTCTGGTATATAAATGCTGAGGGAGCTGACCAATAACTCAGATGCAGTAAATACTGTCTTATTATTGTGTGCGTTTTATTCATTGATGGAAGCAAACGAAAGCCTAATTATTTTGGAGATAGTTATATAAGGAGAGCTGAAGACCATTCTAAATAGGCATAGTTATAGGATCACTATTACAAAATAGCATTATAATTATAGTCTTTAAGATTCACCTAAAAAGTTTTGCTATTGAAGGGACAATTCATACTAACATAAGGTTGAAGAATGAAATCTTCACAAGTTACACAGATATTTTTGCTCATAGCATCCTTCCTAGTCTCGTCTGTTGACGCCGTTGTGGTTGCAACACAGCCTTCCCACCACTTGCATATGAGAGGGTTGCCAAAACTGGTGACAACAAGTGAAACACCAACTCCAACTTCTACAGAAGAGCCTAGTACATCCTCAACCTCAGACAACTCAGAGAGCTCTGAAACTGAAGGATCATCCACAGAAATTACAAGCACTTCCGAATCCTCCATTTATTCTGAATCTGTAACAGCATCTAGCACAACAAGCGATACTGATTCAGAAACATCCAGCACGACAAGCTATACTTCCTATACCCCATCAACTACTTCTGTTTCCGTTGGCCCAATATATATTCCAAGTGCACAAAATAACAAGTATGTTTATCATGCTACACATCCATCTGGTACCGTTTTTACCGCCTTTGGTAGTTGTCTAGCATTTATTGCTCTAGTTCTTGTGTTAGTTTGGATAGCATTAACTCTACGGTCTTGGAAAAATGCAAGAAAAGAATACCAAATTAGAGAACGGGAAAATAAATATCAGCTTGATCCTTACTACTTCCAAAATGGTGACAAGGATGATTATTCTAGTAGTGACTCTGATGTTGCAAGTGATATATCTGAAAAGATTCTGAAGAAGAAAGCTTCAAGGATGAGTTTGTATAGCTTAGGAGGTGGCTCGGCGTTTAATCTTTTGAGCTCCGAAAAGCTTGACACTAAACCACCAGCACCACCATCAAACAATCCACGTTTATCTATGTTCATTTCTCCCACTGAAATACTAAAAAACGAGGGTAATACATGGAGTACAGATAGCTCGGCATTCAATTCATTAACTAGCACTCCTCGTGAGCAATCTGTTGCCAATATAATAGTGCCCCAAAATGGTCTCAATAAACTGGGTGACCCACCTTTCACAGGGAAAAACCTAAGTAATATGGACATATCGTCTACACCTGGTGTGGCAATACCAAAACCTAATGGGAATCAAAAAAGAGGTAGACCTCCGAGCGCTCATTTAGATGACCTTCTCGACGGCATCCAATAATCACTGCATTTCTCAACAGGCATTAAAATCATTTTTATTTCTTTTTTCAACATTCTAATACACTTATTTTGCATATGTTCTTTAAAGAGCAACTTCTAAAGGATACATTTATACTTAAAATTTGATAAGGTGCTCACAGTCATGAAATATGCTGTTGTAGTAGTGAAACACATACAAATTAAAGGTATAGCGAGTATACACTAATGACCCTTCCCCATAAAAAATAATAATATAAAATCACTAAGGATATGGTTATCCTCTTATAGATCAATTTGAAGGAAAATCAATAAGCAAAAGTCATTTCCGATCAAGTCAAGATTTGATATTTTTACTATTTATATATAACTATGTACATTAGAGTTTAACAAATAATTTAAAGGATAAATTCCGAATTATGTACAGGTACAGTTTCTACTTTATGTTCAAATTTCACAAGTATCCATAAAGATCGTCATTGTGGGTTTTCGAGTACTGCGGCTTTCTTTAAGTGATAAACTCTCCTAGCAAAGGCATCCATGACTAGTTCGGTTACACTTTTTGCAAATATCGAAGATATACTATTGTATAACCGTGATTTAAATTTAAATTTTAGTAATAACTCAACTGTAGAGGCATCCTTTCTAGTCGGGTGCGTGCTTATTGTCCATTGCGAGGATAAAATATCAAACAAATTGTGTGAAAGTGACTCTGCTCGCACAACGTAAACCTCCTTACCACTCACCTTAGACTTGCAATCAACATCACATACAAATCTTTCATCATATTGTTTGAAACCAACTCTCAAACCTGCCACTTTAGGTTTATTGGAGTCATCGCGCTCGTTTACAAAGGAGTCTTCGCAATATGGTATGAACTCATGATATTTTGACACTTCAGAGACGACATCATATACTTGTGATGGTGTACCTTGGATTATCTTCGGCAGTACATATTTTTGAGTTTTTATTTCATGGAAAGGGTTCAATTGATCAAAAAATCCCCTTGTTCCAAATGGTCTTAATAGCGACCGGTTAAGACATCGTACCCCCACGTAAGACATTGTCCCTCCAACTTAGCAATCTGATGTTATGTATTATTCAAAATGGAGTTATATTAGGCTATAGTCAGCTTGATTAATGAAGGACCATTGCATATAAAGTCGATAGTCATTGCCTCAGCTTTGTAGAAGCTTGAAATCATCCAAATTCCACTTACTTTTTCAAATTGAAGAGATGAGCATGGAAGTGAGAACATACAAGATCATTAATTAAAAATGGTTTACAGCATAGATTAAACAACTCAAGAAACAGTATCAATAATTATTTATAGTGTAAGTTCAAAACTATTGTTTTGCTGCCCGAACAGTAAGTGAACTTTGGCTTTCTGAAGGATGTCTTTTGAGATTAATTGGGAGAAGCTTTCATCAGACAGTGATCTGACAAGCAATATTAGGGAAGGATTGAACGGGTACTTCCAAGAACTTGAGTTACCGAGTTACGTAAGGGCAATTGAGCTAGTAGATTTTGGTTTTGGTAAGATAGCACCCAATATTACACTCCGGGAAATATCAAGTCCGCTTCAGGATTTTTATGACGCTGTAAATGAGGAATATGAAGAAGATAATGAGACATCATCAGAAATGCACGGAAGAGATGGTCAAAACGTCGGTGAAAGTGGAGAAGAGGCGGTAGTAGAAAAGAAAGAAACAGATACCCAATTTCTGATCGAATTTGAATATAAAGGTGATATGTCGCTCACTTTGACGGCAGAGTTGGTGCTAAACTACCCTGTTGAAAGGTTCATGACATTGCCCTTAAAAATTAGTATAAGTAACATTGGTCTTCACTCGCTTTGTCTGGTATCGTACCTAGCTAAACAAGTGTTCATATCCATGTTGTGCGATGTCAGTGACCCGGTTCTAGATGATGTGGATTGTGTTCTTGATCCTAATGGACCTGTACTTTTGGCAAACAAACCATTGGAAAGAATTTCCATCATTAGAAGTATGAAAATAGAAACCGAGATTGGAGATAGATTCAAAGATGATGGCTCAACGCTACGTAGTGTCGGTCAGCTTGAAGAGTTTATAGTTCAGAAATTGAAAGATTTTCTGCGAAAAGAGTTGGCTTGGCCCAGTTGGGTAAATTTAGACTTTAATGATTAATGACTAACCACAGTTTTGCGCAAAACTTGATCCAGGCATGAATGATTTTTATACATTCATTCAATCGTTCCGATGTTTTGAAAGCTCATGAAGATCTTTATAAATTTGGTGTATTAATGTGAAGTTAAATAATGATATATATTCTATGCTATTTAGTGAAATCTGTTCATGCAATTTTCTTATTTGTGTTGGTGAAACCGATACCTTTAACTGTAGCAATAAAATCGTCGCTTCCGATGTCATCTACTGGTTTCAAAAATACTTCGGTACCAAATATTTTTTTAATATCTCGAAGCATTTGGATAAATCTTTCGTCCACCTGTTCTCTTGTTATTCTAAGTCTGCCAATATCTTCTTTTCCAATGACCATATACGTTATAGCAAGTGGTAGTTGATTTCTGTCAACTGCGGCACTCTTTGATATCTCTTCTATAAGTTTGTAGGCTACCTTAGAACCTATCTCTTCTGGTATATCACCAGAGCCACCTATTTCTTCAGCAAAGTAACACCAGCCCTTCTTTTTTGTCTCAGCTACAATTGTAATACCCCAACCTGGACTTTTACCAGAGTTTTCTCCTCTCCAGACATCTGCGGTGATGTTAACTTCACATTTAACATTTTTCAAGACTTGTTTAGCACCATCTATCATTCTATTTACCATCGACGGACTCACACGCGTAGAATATGCAACACCTCTTATAGATGATATCACTGGTCTGTCTAACTCATGCATTGTTATCGGCTGGGCAATTAGAGAATCTACAACTAAGTGAACCTCACCACCACCTTGTGGTGGAGACCCACGTTTCAGTGTATGTAACGCACATTCTCTCACACCAAACTTTTCCATGACAGGCATTAAACCCCATTTTATAGCCTCTATACCAGCATCGTTATGTGAGGCGGTGATACCTTTGAATACTATGGAAAACTTCTTCTTTGAAAATGGCGCCAAATATAGCATGGGCTCCACAAAATATCCTACTGGCTTAGATGGAGGGCATGTATGTGTATAAGGGCCACCAATGATAATACCAGGTCTATAGATGACAGTAGTACCAGTATATGATATTTCTATAACACTACCATTGGTCACAGCTTCCATAAGTCTTAAAAATGACACTTCATGGTCCCTCAAACCGGGATTCAAATCCTGGGAACGTATCTTCTCTATTTTAATTGGCTTACCTGATAAAGTTGCAAAGATAATCCTATGTCTAAAATTCTCAGGTCCCTGGAAAACCACATATTGGGACGACATTGTTTCACTTGGTAAAAACTGAAAAGATTACTTGCCTTTCTAGTTCTAATAGAATAATCTCCTGACAATATGGGTTTGAAAATTTTTGAATAAGACGTTCCTCTCCTGACTATAGATGATCAATTCATACAATTATTCTATACTATGCATTCGAATTTTGCGATGAGCATCTCAAAATTTTTTTCAAAATTTTTCAAAATTTTCACCTTACAAATGAAAGCTGTACGGACTTGTCTGTGAAAATTACTTGAGTTGAGCAAAATATAGCCTGGTAGTTGATTCAAGTCATAGTTATTGAATGAATACCAGAGTAGGCAGAGGTAAATAATTCTTTGAGAAGAATCGAATGAAGTTCGATATAATATAGTCTATACATGATATATGCCTACGGGAGGGGGGGGGGGGAGTTGACTTTCCAAAATGTTTCAGTTATCAACCAGTTACAGAATGTCTATAAAAAAGGGAAAGCCTTCAACCACAAATAAATCCTCATAGTAGAAAGCAAGTAATAATTCCTTCTATAATAAAGATGCGGATAAAGTGCAAATGAATGTCACTATCGCATATGCAATGGAAGTTGCAGGAATACCTAGCTTCGAAGATAAATTTATCAAGGGTTTGTTTGAGCCTTTATCAATTGCTCCTGTCGGTAAAAGCTTGCCGGTATATGTTGCCGCATGGTGAATCTCGTCTACATTTGAATAGTGAAAGAAGTGATAGTCATCTACGTCATCGTCTGTAAAATCTTCATCTGAGTAGTCGTCAATACCATCACCATCTTTATCCTCCTCTGGGTTGATGAAGGAATGATGAACATCTTGTTTCAATTCATCTAGTGGTGTGTCATCCACAGTACCGTCCCAACAATACCTGGCTAAGCACCTTTCACACTCTGATGGCAGTTCTAGATCAAGTGCTTCTTGTTTTCTTTTCATGATGGCACATGCTATGCACCCTATGAACTCTGGGTCGTCGGTAAAATTATTCCTAGTGGCTATCTCAAACCCATTCGATATCATATTAGCCATTTGGTCCCTAGAATAGGAGAGCTTAAAGGCACTTTGATTGCTGTTGAAGGAGTATTCAGAGTTTGGGTAGTACACAACCAATGGTGGTATATATTTTAAGCTTGTCATATTGGTAGCATTGCAACCAAAGAACGTTGGTCTCTTATTTAAACCGAGATTGATGAAAGTATTGGTATCGGGGATATGTGGGAATGCGATTTTCTGTCCTTGCAGAACGAATTGTCTTTCATATGTGTGAACAAGAGAAGATCCATCAGGCCATTGCAGCTTGTTATCTGCCGAATTATCAATAGCAAAGATAATATCCAAGTCACGGTCTCTTTGCAATAACGGGATTAATGGAACATTCTCATCATCTTCACCACCGTCGACCAAGTAAAGGTGTTCGCTGTCAACGATACTAGTACTGAAGTTCTCCATCACGTAGCGTGTATCTTTGAAAGGGTTGGGGTTATAGACTGCTACGTCGTTGAACTCATGAGCCCAACTTTTTAGAAGGTTTGTTGCCCATTTGGTGACGAAATTAGGTAAATGTGTGGAGTTGATTCTTAGTAAAAATTGGTTGAACAAATTTGATGATGTACCCATGATGAATGCTGTATTATCAAAACCTTCGATACATTTTTTGGCCGTGTGAGCCACTGGCTTACCGTTCGTGACATTTGTCCCCAGGTATTTGACGTCTGTGAATGCGTTTAGTGAGGGATCCCACGAGCCCATTTCGAATGGGTTGAACTCGAAGACGGTAGCGTTCAGTGCGATAGCGTTGGAGCCTGGGTAACGGCCGTCGGCCACTGTGATCGGTAGAGGCATGTCACCTGCTTGGAAGATAGGAGAGTCTCTCAGAGAGGACCAAGTGTAATCAATACCACCTCTCTCCAAAGTAGGGAAGAACTTGTAAGATAGGGCCCTGCCCCATACGTCTGCCAGCGATGTGTTGAAGCCGGCCTCCTGTTTAGCCTTCACTGCATTGGTGATGTGGTCCCATCTACGAGCGGTCTTGATGATGTTGAGACCGCCTGGGGACACGATCGAGTCGCTCAGGTCCCATATAGGGTCCTTAGTGATTTTGCCCTGTTTCCTAGCCGTCTTGCGGTCGTAGTTCATGTCCAGGATATCCTGTACCGAGGTCCAGTTATTCCAGGACAACGAGGCGACCAGCCAGTTACCGCCCGAGCAGCCTGTCATGTATGTGGTGCTCTGCAGAATGCCCCCGAGACCGTGATCCATGGCGCCGCGCGTCCTGTTGTCGAATGCAGACAGTATACCTGCACCGGTAAGCATCGACCTGTAGCCACCGCCGGACACTGCGATCCCTATCCTCGGCACCATCCCGGCGTCGAATATGCGATGGAACAGCTGCGTGAAGTTTTGCGAAGAGGACGTGGCGCGCTGCAAGAAGTTATGCAGCGCTTCCTTTGTGCGCACGTCTCTTCTTTGCAGCCACTGAGTCTCGTTCTGGGACAGCCCTGAGGCCTCTCGCACCAGGTTTATATCATCGCTGGGGCAGTACGCCAGCTTCGGGGCGTACTGATCAGCGACGGAGTACCCGCTCGATCCCGAGCACAGCACCAGCACCAGCACCAAGAAGAGAGACGGAAGCATGTTTGTCAGAGCGGATGATCGTTTTCCTTTGAGTTAGAAATATTTGTTATATACAGCTCTTTATATAATTTGGATCATCGCTGAGCCATTTTTTTTTTTATTTTATTTTGTATTTTTTTTCAGTTGCGATCATCACATCACATCACATCACATCACATCGAGTTTTGTGATTTTTTTGCCAAAAAAGAGGTTGATCCCCACAGAGAAGCCCGCACAAAGGACTCGAAAACTCCCAAAGATAATGATTTCCCATGCCTCAAGGGGGGTTTTATGTAGTTAAAAGGAGTAAACCTATATACAGACCAGCATGTACTATCTGGATATTCTTGAACCGGGTTGTTATTATCGCTTGCATGAAATAGCATTGCGAGTAAGTGTATGTGTGTCTGAATCATGTGATATCCCGTACTTCAGTATGTGTACACCCGTATATATGTATATCAGGTGCCGTACCGTGTATCAGTATGTGTAATCATTTGATACGTCAATCATGTGATACACGTACAATTGTATATCACGTGTATTAAATACTTATCAACGGGTAATACATGTGATCAAGTACGTATAGATGTATATATTATCACGTGTTTGTTTTGTATAGAAAGAGCCGTAGAAGGAAGGGAGAAGGGGGAGAAGGAGAGGAGAAAGAGAGAAAAGCCCGTAGTAACGCGTTGTAGGGGATCCATTGCCTTACAGTAGAAAACCCTTTGTGCTCATCGCGCGACTTTTTGGGATTCTGACTTTCGCCAAAAATCAAAAAATCAAAAATCAAAAATCAAAAATCAAAAATCAAAACAAATAACTATAACTATATCTACAAGCTACAAACTACAAGCTACTTTCCTCTACAAATAAAAGACAAGTAAAAACACAATGTCTGGTAAGATGCATGGAGGTAAAGGTAAGTCTGGTGCGAAGGATGGGATGCGTGCGCAGTCTAGTTCTGCGAGGGCTGGGTTACAGTTTCCTGTGGGAAGAATCAAGAGGTATTTGAAGAGGAGCGCCAGCGGTAAGGCGCGTGTGGGGTCTAAGGCTGCTATATATCTGACTGCGGTGTTGGAGTATCTGACTGCGGAAGTGCTAGAGCTGGCTGGTAATGCTGCCAAGGACCTGAAGGTGAAGAGAATCACGCCTAGACATTTGCAACTTGCGATCAGGGGTGACGACGAGCTGGATTCTCTGATCAGAGCCACTATCGCATCCGGTGGTGTGTTGCCACACATCAACAAGGCTCTGCTGTTGAAGGTAGAGATGGGTAAGAAGAACAGAAACTGATTTTTTCCGCTTTCGATCCTATTTTTTTTCTCTCTCTCTTATTGGAAATTACATATTTGTCATACTCTATCGGAATACTGCCCAAAAACCTAACAAAATACAAGTTGTAATATTAATGGAATGTGTATACTCTTTTTTATTTCTATAATTTTAATATAAAATGAACCTAAAACTTAAAATTGAAACATAAGACATCTCATAAATGCTTTTGAAGGAAAGCTACAGCTGGTAATGAAATCGATGGGGGGGGTACAAATCAGCATAGCACTTCAGTGCCCAGCTTCACCTATCTCAGGACTATATCTGTTGTAATCCTATGTTTAGACTGATTTCAACAATATGCCATTGTTGAGAACCTCTTAACTATGTCGTCTATGGGTATGTCCCTATATTTTGTAATGAGCAATGAGGAAATGGCACTCCATTATGAGCCCTGGTGCCTTGGACCATATATAAGAGACGGGTGCGAGTGCTGTTCCGTCGTTCTTCTGTAGTAGTGCCAGAATAGCAGTAACGCTGATGGTAAGAGAAGGCGAAGGTGAAGATGTTGACGGCTATACACAAGCGGGAGTTTCTGATTTTTACTGCCATCACGTATGTGCTGACGATATACTGTGTTATATCGGCTTGTCAGAGCAGTGTGTCCTTCTTGCAGATAGCTCTGAAGCTGTCTGAAGGGTTCAATATACTGATTATAACTGTGTTCACGTTGCTGAACTCGACACTGCTGTGGCAGTTCCTGACGAGCATGCTGTTTGGGGAACTGCGCATTATAGAACATGAGCATATCTTCGAGAGATTGCCTTTCGCAGTGATAAACACTATATTCATGTTTTCCACTTTCAATGAGAAGTACTTCTTCACATTGGCCACATGCGCATTGGTGTTGCTATACATGAAGGTGTTCCATTGGATTTTAAGGGATAGGCTGGACCTGTTGTTGCAAGGAATCAATGAGGATACCAGATGGAAGGATTTGCTAGTGAACCGGTACATTTGTAACTTGCTGTTGCTTGTGGTAATTGACTCTTACGTGATTTCGTTCTGTGTCTCCACGGCTTACAACATTGCAAGTTCGATCTTCACGGCTGGCACCAATTCCATCGTCCTCGGCGGAGGTTCCCCTCTCACACAGAGAGCATTAATCTACATCATGCAAGCCATGGAGTTCACAAACTTGATGATAGACCTAGTTAACTTGATATTGAACACTGGACTACAATTTTACGAATTTCACTTGTCGAGAAAGTTCTCACAGAATAACCCTACATTCAACTCCATATCTGCTGAAGATGCTGACACAGAATCTGAAGACGGTGACTCCCAATTCAATGGGTTAGAAGGTAAATTCATGTATGAGAAACTGATTGATGTTGTAACAAGGTTTTTGCAGACATTGGTTCATGTAGTGATGGCGATGGTACTCAATTTGCCTTTGATGCTAGTGAAGGACATATTCGTCGACGTATGGGTCCTTTATATGAACTCTAAGTCCTTGTTGGCGATCTGGAAAAATAGTAAACAACTGGATACAAAACTCCCAACTATGACTAGTGACGATTTGAATAACGATCCTAACTTCGACAATGTTTGCATTGTCTGTATGGATGAGCTTGTGTCAGAGAACCCTCACCATCATCAAAGTGATGGCAAAAAACCAAAGAAACTACCATGTGGTCATGTTTTACATCTTTCTTGTCTAAAAAATTGGATGGAAAGATCACAAACATGTCCAATTTGTAGATTGCCTGTGTTTGATGAAAATGGTGAGATTCTAGCACCATCTTCCGCCAATGTATCACAGACAAATTTAAACCCTGGTGAAAATCCAGATCAACGAGATGAGGCAGACGACGAATTAGAGGACGACACTTCTATTGCTGATTTACCAATAACAGATAATATCAGTGCTATACCATTGACATCGGATTATCCTTTCTCAATAAGAAATGTTGGTCAAGAAGTCTGTAAAGAGCTTGGAGGAACCTCAGAAGAGATGACACACGATGTGGACGAGGAAATCTTGGAATTTGAAATCGAAGATTCTACAACGGGGAGAGCACTGCCCGCAAGAATGACGATAAAGAAAAGATCTCATACTAATAAAGTCTCTGTTCCTAGTGAATCCATAATAGCAAGCCATCCCGAACAAGACAATAACGAAAAAATGCATAACATGTAAAAATAAAGATAAATATATGTACTTATTATCAATGTTTATTCGTATACACTAACGATATTTGTTGTTTTCTTATATGAAATTTATGTTTAGTTGACCGACAATCACATTTGCTGGTACACCAAACCCAAAGATTGATAAATCAATAACATTCAATACTAAACTGGCATATTATGTATACAGATTAAGTTACATTTAATGAATGTTTTTGTAAGAAATGTACATTATAATTATTAAATGTCTTTGAAGAGACTATCATAAAGATAATCAATTAAAAGAACTACAGATTTAATGTTTTTCGTTGAAGTAGTAAGAAATCGTGGCTGGCAACTAAATTTACAGTTCCGTATTATATAATAAATTAATTAAAGTCAAATACCTAACTCGAAAGTTCCTTCAGGGCCGCTGTGTATGAGAAAATTCCTGAGGTTCGGTATATACTAGCACTAAATAAGGGCAAATCAAAACCCAAGAGTAGACAACAAACATCTCAGGGGCGGTTAGTGTAGTGGTTATCATTCCACCCTTCCAAGGTGGAGACACGGGTTCGATTCTCGTACCGCTCAAATTTTTTTGCCAAAATTTTACAGTAAAATTGAAGGTATCATACTCTGATATTATAAAAGTATATGATTTTTTTTTCTTATCTTTAATCGACATTGAAAATACTTCTGACAATACTATAATTACTGGATTCTAGCTGTGGTATTATGCCCCAACAACATTCACCGAGAATATAATCGCGAAATAAATTTCTAAACAGATAATATATTGAAAAAAATTTAATTATTAATTATTAGTTATTAGCAAAATACAGAAACTTTAAAAAAGATAAATAGGGAAAATAAAATCAAGAATAGTAACTCTTACAGAAATCGAAGTAATTCTCTTTTTTTTTATTTTATTTTAAAATGATTGAAAATAAAAAAAAAAACTGAAGTATTATAGCACAAGGTTAGAAGCAGCTTCTTAGTTGAAGAAAGAAGAGATCTTCTTGGTGAACTTGGAGAAGAAGTTCTTGTTTTCCTTTTCAGACTTCTTGGAGTCCTTCTTGGAGTCCTTCTTAACTTCTTCGACCTTCTTGGCGGCCTTGTCCTTAGCTTCCTCGGTCTTAGCCTTGGCGTCTTCGACAGCTTCAGCGGTCTTTTCCTTAGCTTCTTCGACAGCTTCAGCAGCGTTTTCCTTGGCTTCTTCAACTTGAGCCTTGGCGTTGTCAGCAGCTTCCTCAGAACCTTGCTTTACTTCGTCGACCTTGTCGACCAATTGTTCCTTGGATTCTTCGACCTTGGCGGCGACTTGTTCGTTGGTTTCATCGACCTTCTTACCTAATTCTTGAGCAGACATTGTATTGTATGTTTTTTTTTTAGATTGTTTTGATAGTGTATTTTTAGTATTACTTTTAACTGTGAAAGAAAATAATTATACAAAGAAACTTTTACTTAGGAAGTAAAAAATATAGAATTCCAATTACAGAGTTTGAGAAAAGGCTATAGTTGGCCACAAACTGGGTTCCTATATATATCAGGAAAAAAAAATTTCCTGTTTGTTCATTTTACCTGGCAGTTACTTGTAGTTTCCCATTGGTTCCACAAAAGAATAAAATTTTTTTTGTAATCGATGCTATGCATAACACAAAAATATAGCTCTTTTCTTTAAAGCATTGCAGTGGACCCTTTTTACCAGAAACAGTACAATGGATAGAGGGAATTATGCAGATAATATAGCTAGCTGCGTCAATTACTGTGTTGCTAGGGGTCCACGAACATGGGTTAGCCTAAACGTAAGTGCCCAGAGGTTCGGCAAACCCGGGCTTTGACAATTGTTTACTGTACATATGATAAGTGTGTACTAAGTTTTACCTGCACCAGCTTACGATAGTAAAGTAAGAAGCACACCAAAGAGTGGGGGTGGAAGAGCAACAGCCCTGGATGCAAAGACAGGTGAGTGCTTTCTTGCTACATATTAAAATAGAATAAACTAAAATACTAAAAAAAATGGCATCTCCGTAACATTCGAACAGCTTACACTAACAGAATGTCCAAGGACAACGTTTGTGTGTGGTAACAAGAAATTGCTGGCAGTGTTGCAAGATTCGAAGAACTTGGAAGAACTAAACTACCTCCAGCGAAGCTATCCTGGTCCTTTGCTATGGGGATTCGTATGGATTAAGTTAGCTTTTCTATATTCTTTTCTTTTTTGACTTTTCCACAACTGGATGAAAACAAAACAAAGATGCTAGTAATCGATAAAGTCGTGTCGGATTGATACGGGAGAGAAGATAGAAGATAGAAGGTAGAAGGTAGAAGGTAGAAGGTAGAAGGTAGAAGTAGATACGAATAAGTTATTTCTTTTTCCTATGGATATATGTCTATAATAATTCTATAAAAGTCTCTTGTACTAGGGTATTGTGAATTGAAGTTTAAAAAATTGAAATAAAAAAAAATGCCTCTTAATGATTTGTAGGCTTTGAACTGAAAGGTGAACCTATGGGAATATCGTTACTGTAGAAAATGCTTATACGTACACGTAATTGTGTGGTGGTGAGTTTCTATCCACTAGCGTTGAAGTTGAACTTAGGTTAGACGAAACACTAATGTTTCTGTGATGGTATAGCTCACTCTTTGGTACGTATTTGCTCTGGAGCTTGTTGTAACTGTTGTAACTGTTGTAACTGTTGTAGCTGTTGCTATTCGTGTAATTGTGGCCCTTAGTGTAGTTGTAACTGTGGTATGCGCCTGCGCTTACCTTTTGTTGGTTGTTTGAGTAGATTCTCTTTCTTTGCAAGTACGACCTTTGCAAATCTTCCTTGATTGGTTCCAGCAGTGGTCTTAGATCAAGAATCAAGTCATCCTCGGAGACATTGATGTCCCAGTTTAGCAACTGTAACAGTTGTCTTTCCATTAGGTTGATGTCTTCGAGACTGAACAGACCGTCGGTGTAACGAGCCCAATGGACGTTCTTAGGGGAAGAGTCGTTGTGGCACTTCGAGCTTAGAATTAGACACGCTAGAAATAGACGGTGGATGGTGGATGGTAGACCAGTAGCATCCTTTGGCAGGATTCTCTTCAGCTTGTTCAAGTAGCAGACAGTAGCCAGCAATGTGGGCGTGTAAACGTTTGTGTATCTGACCAGTCTGGTAATGAAGGTCATCAAGCTTGGCAAATGCTCCTTGGAGTGTCTAGATGGCGAGCTTGGAGGCGATGGGTAGTTGCTCTGTGGAAGCACTTTCAGCGTAACATTGGTCAAGTACTTCACTATATCGTCAGTGACTGGCGACTTCATAAGAACATGCAAAGCTTTCTTGTATTCGCTCATGGTTGTAAGTGGTATATGTAATTAGTTTTGAATAGTTGTCTTATCTTTCCTATATGTTTTACAAGAGAGAGAAACATCCATAATTGATATCCTCATCATTGCAATAAAAAGGTCTGGTTATATATATGATCAAAATTGTTATCGATGATGATAGCTTATGGCTTTTCATAGCTGTGATCGCCAAAAGTTAAAGCATTTTAGCGTCTGAGTTAGAGCCACTTCATCCATTTTTAAAATAAAAAGAACACCAATTTCCTTCACTATAGAATTCGTGTAATTGGGTAATTGGGTAATTGGGTAATTGGCAATTGGCGTACTAGTCATTGTAACTTCGATAACTGCAATTATACCAACTTCATCGAACATATGGCTGCCCTCTTTCTGCACCTCTGGCTGCCTGCGTGCGCAATTTCCCCTTCCAGGCAGAACGTCATTTTTCCCCTTCTGCCTACGACACCACGAAACGCCAAAAAATTCTCTGCCTACGCCAGAAAAGAGAAAAAAGCGTCCAGCCTAGAGCGTACTGGGGGGGCCAGTGCAACCACTGTATTCTCTCTCTTATTGGGAACACCATGGCCATGGAGACGGATGAGAGAAGCCAGGAACGAAATTGGTCAAAAGGTGCTTGTAACTTACCCTTTTAGGACAAGTTATTGGTGATTTGATTTGGCGTAATGGGGCATAGCTTTGGTGGATCCTTCCATAAGTGGGCCCACTGCCTCCATTCAACGAGGGTGAGCTGGTCTACCTCAAAGGGAAATATTATTGCGTGCTTATGCTTTTAGGTTTCGGTATTTGGAAGTCTAAAGACAGGAAACCTGAGTCTCTTGGGTTGATCAATTTGATCTGGGCCTCAACAAATGCAGGGGAAGCATTAAGCTCACGTACATAGACGTCTAGTCTTTTCATGGGATCAATGGATAATGCGTAGTTGATCCTTTTGCACACGTAGCTCCACAACCCCAACGTGAATACCTCTAATATAATGTTTAATATGTTATAGAAACCGTACGTGGAGTACGTAGCAAGTAGTATGTCGTTTATCGTAGTGACTATCTCCTGGAAATGTTGCTGTGTTAAGTACAAAGACAATGGCGACACACTGGAATAGCCGTATACATTTCCATCCTGAGTAATACCCCTTGGTACGAATTGCAGCCCATCGGTGTCATGTAATATGGCACCGGGCTCTGATCCAGGCAGCAAGTCGCTGAACATAGGGTACCACCTATTACCCATATCGAACCTCCTCGGTATTCTTACGACGCGGGTCTCCTCAAACAGTCTGGAGTCCTGCGAAGCGTACACGTTCATGAAATGGGTAACACACAAGCTATGGTCCTCATCATGGTCCCTAAATACAGTAGGATTAGTAATATCCGCAAAGTATGACTCTGTCACCTCATGAACATTGAAGAAAACTGGATCCTGAACATCCTCACCTTTCTCATGTGTTCGCCGACTAGAGCGCCCCAGCGACGAGCCTAACGTCCCTTCCTCCAGGATCACATCACTATTAGTATAAAATCTGTTTTCATTATCCTCTAAATCGGTATACATATCTGTTGGCTGCTTCGATAGCGTGCCACTGTTGATGGTGCTAACCATCCCATCTTGCAACGTAGAGCTGTCCATCTTGCCGCCTAACAATACAGTCGGAATAGCTTTAATCCTTGTCGATATACCCGTATATCGAACTGGAGTGGCTTTTTAACTTCTTGCGATGAGCTCTTTTATTCTTGGACCCTTTACACAAGTTGCAAATCCGAATTTTTTTGTCAAATTGCAAGAAAAAAGACTTATAAAAACACAAAGATTGGAAGCAATAGAGCTTTGTATCGATGTAGAAGAAAACAAGAACAGATAAAGTCTTTATTGACCACAACAGAGACAGATGGCTACCCCAGAATTTGAATTTGCTAGCAAGTTTCTCACTCTTGCCACTTTGCAAGAGCCAAAGTTTGCGCAAAATTACCAGAAACCCTTGAAGGACGTTAACTCAATCGGTGTTGCGCTACCTGCTCTCAAGTACAAATACGATCCAACTCGAGTTAGCAAGCAATTACCTTCAGGTGCTGATGCCACCGCTTCTGTAGAGCTAACTTTGAAGAGTATCAGACCACCAAAGTTCACATTCACTGACAAGTTTGGTAGTGATGCCACTGTATTTACCGTTAAGCAAAGAGTGGTCGATGAGGGCCACTGTCGCCACATTCAATCCGTGAAGCTACTACTAAAGGGTAAAGTTCTACATGATAACATGGTTTTGAAGGACTTGGGTGTCTCAAATGCCGCCATAACTGTGATGATCGCCAAGGAAGAAGAAATCAAGTCTACTCCACCAACAATTGAGGCCCGTACTCCAGCCTCTGTACCTTGGAGTGATATACAAGCTCTGTTGAACAATAAGGTTGCTAACGCTGATGAAGCCAAGACAATGTTTGAGCAGTTACAAAAAGGGTATGAACTAGCTCAGCAGAGCTCTACTCCTCAACTTGACTAATCGAGTATAAACATATATCAACGTGAATTTTCTATGTAAAGATAAATAAGAATTTAATATGACGTACCTATCAGAGAGGCTAACCCAAATTATATACTGGACTTCGTCAATATGCTAATGTTCGACAGTAGACATGTTTCATATCTTAACTTGATCATGAATACGTCTCTGTTCTACTGCCTTGACCAGAGTAACCAAGAAGCATTGTAAGATATGTTTCTTTCTGGCTGAAATTATGATTCCGGAGATGCTTATCGTTCCAGAAATTGCTCGTAATAATGCAAAATACTATTTTCGTCATTACTGTTTGTTTGAATGCTGTTTACAAATGCAGTGTTAGTATTTATGATATAATCGTCATCGTCTCTGTTTTGATCATGACCATGCCTGTCGTACCTGGTTGATAAAACAGTGCTGTCCCTCCCGCCAAGATTTCTATTTTGGTATGTCCACAATTGAGACCCCCGCTCTGGTGATCTGGCCCCATTTCTATGTGATGTGATCTTACAAGCCTGCTTGCCCATGTTTGTGGTATCATTCCTTAACGAGGACTTTCTATTGATGCTTAGGGATTGTTTTACAGGCTTTAGTACGCTTCTTGCTCTAGACATCGAACTTGACCTTTTCGGTAAGGAAAATTTCCTGCGTATAGAGTTGCTACTCTTTATTATATTTGGTTTATCTACTGGTGTGTTAGATCTGTTATAAGCTAACATTCTTTCCCAGTCGGACGGTAGACCAATAAAATTACCAGTGTCTGCTTCAAAACCAACATGCACACTATGGATGAAATTAGTCGGAGAAGAAACTCCACTAAGAAGTGGGCATTTGGCAAATATGGTATCTACCCAACCATATAGCTCTTGCTCAGTCTTCAATGCCACATATATACTCTTTGTGTTATTTTTATTGATAGAGTCTGAAGCCACTCCTCCACCATTTACCGACATGGAGGGTCTGGAATTGACTTTCACAATTTCCAAACAAAAGGGCTTGGCCTTGTGTAAGCTCACACATACTATGTTTGTGAGCGGAATACTGACAATGGCACTATCGGTTCTCTTATTGCCTTTGTACAGATCGATATAACAATCATTCAATATCATGTACCGTTTCTGCCACAACAGCGACAGAAACCCATCGTCCTTGTATGAAACCCAGCCTTGTCGCCGAACTACCAGCGGTTGCCCGGGCTTAGCCTTCATCATAGTTGCAATCCTAGGTTAGAGTGCCTCAAGTATTCCAAGCTGAAATTTTAGGTGTTCTCTTTTTATTTCCTGGGAATGCCTCTGATCCTTCTATTTCTGTCATACCCTTTTTCCGACAGTACCAAATGGCACAATAACAATCTCAAGGATCTACCATTACTAGGTTACTATTATTAGCTATCCTTACAATCATTATCGATGATTTATTACTATTTTTCGCCTATATAGGTGGTTTGTTTACACTTGGATCAACATAGTTTCCCGATTGGGTTAAAACACGAATTTTGCAAAATGAGCCAATGAGCTTCACAAAGGTCAAAAATCCACAACTATAATTATAACCACAAGCAAATAGGCATCTCTGTGTTTCACCACTGATACCAGGCCACTTGGATAGGTCTGATGTTGTTTACTAAAGTGCTATATCGCCGGGCTGACCGGTTCGCAAGCGCACGGCAGTGGGTTCGGGAGCTGCGGGTCAGTGACGTTCCAGTTAGTATATACAGAGTAAGGTACGACAGGTCTAGCGGGCCCGGGGGACAGAATGTGAACAAAGTCAGTACTAAATGTACGCTTACTATTCCTGGGATCTCCAGATGTGAGTGGTTCCCTTCTGAGGTTCGGGGTTTGCTCACCAAAGGGGTATGCGTGGCTAATCCTGATGAGTCGAATGCCAAGCAAATTGTAGCAAGCACGCTATCGGGGCGACCCTCCAGTTACTACTATCCTGCTAATGACAAATTTATTGTAAGAGCCGATGAGACACGGTCAAGGGAACAAAATAGAAGACTTTGTCTCGATAAATTGGTCAGAGAAATCCAGGATACATGCCGTTTTCCTGGTGTGGAAAATGAGGCAACAGTATCGAAATGGGATAGCATCAAGAAACAGACAAATAAAATACGACTCGAAGGGAAGCGCCAGGTTTCCGAGAAGAAAAGTGCAAGGAAGAAACCAAGACTCGACCTATACTAACTACGACAATTGTTTTCCGAATATTTACAGAACGAAAGATAAGGATAAATGTTCATTTCCCATACTTGAATATTCTTTAAATTATTGTACCACCTTGTTGCCTAAGTTAAGCAATAGTACCGTAATATGACTTCTTGAGGTTCATGCAATAACTCGTTACTTAAATGATAAATAATACAAATTTTTTTACTAATATCAAGGTATAATTTTGAAATTATGTGAGACTTTCAATTCTATGCCAAAGGGTCGTAATCGTCTTCTTCTTCAGCATCATCGTAATCATTAACCTTTTGTTTCTTATTTTGTGTATCGTCATGATGTTCGTTACTCTCATCGTCTGCACTTCTTTTGCCATTGACGGCAGATAGCTCTCCATGCATAATAATACTACGTTTCTTATGGTAGCTCTCATTCTCAGCAATGGCTTTATTCTGAACCAAACCTCTTTCATCTCTGAAGTCTCTACGCTTACCATGGTACTTTATTATATTTCCTAATATCGTCTTTCCGTATCTTTCCTTAATTGATATAGAATTCAACTCGAAACATTTATTAGTGAGAAGATCAAAAGCACCAGCAAATGCCTTTTTTATATCTCTTAGATTAAAGGATCCTCTACTTATGTTATTCGTAACATCACCGGGATCTTGTATTGCTAAATTGAATGATCCTCTGTTCTGTTCAAGTGATTTCCATGACCTCTTCGCCATATAAATAGGAGAGCCATCTTGCACACCAATAGCAACATCATCGTACCCAAAATTCTTACCGTAAAGTTCAAAAAATTCAATTAACAACACACCTAGATTCTCTAATGGATCGATCTCAGCAGTGATTATTCTAGGATGCATTCTTAAAAATGAATAGACTAGACATATTATACTGAAACCTCCTAGACCACCAGAATGTACGTTATTTAATCTTCTCGAATGCAAAAATTGTTTTACGACTAAAACAAGCTCACGCAAGCCTGGTGTACTAGCCAGCCAATCTCTTATAAGCTTTGCAGCCTCAAGACCATTCAATCTTTCAAATGATATATCCATGTGTGTCCGGGACTCAACCTCCACAAATTTGATAATAGGAACTCTAGCTTTCGCAACAACTTCAATCTCTGTCGCAATTTCTTTTTTCTTTAAGAAGTTGGCCAACTTATACAAGTTGTTTCTGCTCTGCTTATCACCTTGCTTACTATTGACTACACAATCAATATCAGATCCTGGTAAATAAAGATCAGTCGCATACGAACCAAATACGTGCAGGTCAGCATCAGGCCAAAGTTCTTTAACAGCACTTCTGATTGAACCTATTGTTCTATTTCTTGTTTCTATCTCTTCTTTACTAGGAGATATATAGGCAACAAAATCCAGTATTTCATAATTCAACCAATCAGCTAGTTCTTTTTCCTTAGAATAATCCCTATCAATAGTCCATGGATAATCAGTATACTCTTCTTCCTCGGCTTGCGGTTGCTCCTCCTCAGCTTCATCGCCATCCTCTCCACCCGAGCTCTCTGAAAATGCTATGAAATCATCATTCTCATCTATCTGATTATTATCTATAATAGGCATCTCCTTTGGACTATCGTTATGACCATCATAATCGTCAAACCCTTGACTATCACTACTTTCCACAGCAATGACATCAGCAACGTCCTCAACTGTCTTCACATCATCTACAGCAGCTGACATATTCACTTTTATGGTGCTAACAAAAGACTGTAATTAGTATCTAGGATGACCTAACCATCAAAGAACAATGAATTATAGATGCCTAATTTCCGAAGAACTTCTCTAATTATCGAATCTTTTATAACTCGATGACCTCTTCTATGCAAAACTAGTGAATTTTTTCAGTTTCTGCAAGAATTTCAGCCAAGAGCGATGATTTAGAGTGAGTAATATAGAAATAAACATGATATTGATAGTTTTGTACATATAGAAGATGAACAATGTTCAGGATATAAAGTAGATAGAGGTTTATAACTAGAATAGGAATATACATAGTGACTTTTTTCTTTTTTTTTTTTATGAGAATAAATGGTCCATGTCTTTATAGTTTTCAGTTGCTGGAGATATTGAAGATCCGGAGATTGAAATGCTGGAATTGTAGGTCATGTATTCATCTTCAGTAAAGTCGAAACAGGAAAAATTATATTAAAACAGTTTGCTACACTCATGAATATGAAATAACATTTAATCATCCTGGGAAGGGATGCTTTGGTTAGAGTTGTAGCGAAATTATGATTACAAAACATAGGAAATGTTGGTGAAAAGAAGGTAATAGTTTGAAAGTTCTGTTCTTTTTTGTTTTCGACATACAGGTAACCCGATGCATCTGAAGTCGATCACTTATTAATATAACACAAAGAGCTAAAAACAGAATTTTGGTGAAAATGTAGAAACAGCAACCAATATACCAACCTCCTATAAAACAATTGGAAAAAACGGAAAAAAAATGAAACAAACAATTATAACTCAAAAACGAGGAAAAACAGAAGACAATCATTATTCTCCCCAGAGCATTGATCCAACTTCCAACTTCTCTTTTAGTGTTACAAGGTGTTTTTGTTCCGATTCTTGTTATTGATGGATTTCCATGAAACATGGAAAAGTCATTACTCCCTTACTGGAGTGGTTGTATTGTAAAATGCATGGTAAACATGCAACAGTTTATTTTAAGAGGTCTGGAATGTTGTTAACTTGACAAAGCCAACCAATAGGTTGCTTTGTATTCTTTTCTGGATCAATAATTCTATAATTTTCCAACAAGTCAATAATGTAATCCAATGTATAGCCTCTGGAAAGACCAGTTTCGATTGCTTTCCACAAAACCTTTCTCCTAGAGTATCTTTTGTTTACAGCTGCATCGCGTCTCCAACCTGTTGAGTATAATGATTCCATTTCCCTAATGGAAGGTTGCCCATCAATACCTTCAGTATACTCCTTCCAAATCTCCATAACCGAATGAGGAGATTTTATAAATTGAAATGGCTTGTGATACATCACTTTCTTTTTCTTAGGTCCTCTTTTTGAAGAGTATGATTTACGGCCAGGGGATGATGGCATACCTTCCTCTCTATTCTGAGTGGCCTGTTGAGTACCTTGGTTGCCGGCATTTTGACCTGATGTACTATCATTGAAAAGAATATTAGAGGTTAGATTATTCTGTTGATGTCCACTTTGATCGACATATGGGTTTGTATACGGTATCACCGAGTCGCCATCTGTAACATCATTGTATTGCCTATGGTGAATAAATTTCGTCTTTTTCAAAGACATAGGGTCCCTAGGACTTTGTTGTGACTTGTCATTGACATCATTCCTAGAATTCATATCACCAGGATTACGATTTCCGGAATATTTCTTGTCTTGCAAGTCGTGCTCATTAAGAATATCGTCTAGTATTGTGTGAGTGACACTCTGGTTAGAGTTACTAGCTCCAACTGAATTATTATTGTGATTATTGCCTGTGCCACTACTGTTGTTTCCTAACATGTTGGGGTTGTTGAGATGACTAGTAGAGCTACTTCTATTGCTATTATTATTGGTATTTCCTTGGCTATTAACTCCATTGGAGCTACCCGAGGCCACACCACTTGAATTATTATTTGCAAATCCATTGGATCTATTATCATTGTTCTGATTCGAAATACCATTCAATGAAATAGATGTTGAAGATATGCCATGTAGAGAGTGTGATAGCTTATCTCTGACAAACTCAGCATGTCTATACTGATCATTCAGTAGTGTTGTTATCACTGCATTCAGTTCACTTATTTGTTGTTGTTGCGAGGACACTAGAACGTCATACTTCTTGAAATGATGATCCAATCGCCCGCTCAACGCGTGAAACATGTTCTCAAACATCATCATTCTTCGCTCTATGTCATTTATCCTACTTAGTACCATTATATCGTCACCCATACTGGAGTTTCCATTAGGTATATTGCTATTGTTATTGTTGCCACCGTTATTCTTCGAATTGGAACTACTCCCAGTACTCACACTGTCGTGCGTTATAATTGCACCACCAGGTCCACTAATTCCTTCTCTATTCATATGCAGATTTTTAGTGTCAAAAATCGCAAAAATAAATGAATGAAGTTATCAAAGCAGTGCTATAATATCAAAAAAATAAAACTTCTCTCTAAATGTTTTACTTTTGTATTATGATGGTTCTCTATTTCAATAATCGATGATCTGTCCAACACCCAAAATTAGTGGGCTCAAAAACAAAAATGATGGGGGAGCAAAACACGAATATTGGAGAAATGGAATCAACTTTATTCAAAACAAATATAAGTGATCCAAGAGTATTTTTTTAGCTTAGTACTCCTTTCCCCTTTCCCAGCTATCTGTAATCTTATGAGTGGGCCAATACACTCACGATAAAAATATGGGTCAACCACTGATACTTTTATGTCAAATCACAAAAAGACTATTTTATTACCTGAAATTGAGTTCAAATAAATATCAACCCGATATTAAAGGATTTGCAAAGATATATTCACTTCCTTCTGGCTTGAACAATAGATATTTTTTTTTTAATTCCTTTTTATAAAAAAAAAATTCTGTGTAATCCTCTTCCTTAGACTAATCAGTTAGGGATATTGATCCGTGTATAAGAAAGATGTCAACGGGGTTTTCTTTCCTGTCCTCCTTGATATGTATAGAAAACTTCCCTCTTCTAAATTTCCTAATCACAAAAAAAAATTTACCACCAAAAAGTTTTCTTTCATTCACAATATACCCTAGTACTTAGAGAAAACACAACAAATTCACAATGAATTTTTTTTTTCCTTATATTCCTCTCTCCCTTCGTTGTCCTTTGAAATTCCTTGTCCCTACCCTCTGTTTCCTGCTCTCGTGCTTTTTTACCCTCTCTCTGCTGTAAAGTAATGATCAGCAAGAGACTAGAACGCAAATCAGTTTTCTTCCTTATTTCCCTCTACAATATCACAGCTCTGTCTAATTATTGTGTAATCCTTCCCAGATGATATCCTTTCTTTGTCCCACTGGTAATCAGGCAGAGCTACAACAACTCGCAATGAAACTTATCATAATACCCACCTTCAAATAAGATACAGAAATCGACACAGAAAACAGCAGAAACACAGGAACAAGCAAAGCACCGATCTCTTCCACAATCCAAAGCACAGCAGGAGAGAACCCCTCTCTCTGATCCTCCCACCTCATCGCTGTTTGGGCAAAAGCTAATCAGAATTTTTTTTTCAAAGCCAAAAATTTTGATTTATAATATTTATCACCGCAAATTCCACAGTACACGCCGCACAAGATGCCTTTTTTTTTGATTTGATTTTTAACACGATTGTATAATTTCTACCAATCAAGCTGTCCAGAATGAAAGAACTAAACTTGATCAATGTTTACTACTGTGCAAAGCAAGAGGGAGGAGGAAACTGTGAGGGAACAGAACTGTGAGGGTTAAAAACGCATAACTGACAAAGCCGGTTTTTTTTTGTGATTGTGAAATTGTGTAGGCAAAGAATTCTGTGAGATAAATGAAGGGCAAACACACACACACACACACACACACAACAAAATAGGAGCTTCACAAAGGAGAATCGCCTGTCTATTGTTTGATTATAGGAGGCCTTTCACCCTCATTGCGATGCGCAAATTTCCAGTATTACGAAACCACACAAAGTAAATCAGAGAAGCATTCTATGCTTGTTACAAACCACACCCCTCATCTATCCCCGGATTTTTTTATCTCTATCTTACATCGTTGCTTATTTCCTGTAGTGCTTCGTTGGTTAGCTTTGCGATGGTGTAGACCGAGTTGTCGATGTTGCTTCCTTGATAAGTCTCTCTTGCGAGTCGCAATGTGTCGAAGAAACTTATCGTGTCTTGGCCAAAAGAATCAGGATCATGCCCAGACACATGCCTTGACATAGATTTCGTGTTCGACTTAGAATGCGACTGCGAATCCACTTGGGACTCCAGGATTCCTATGTCGTGGGCGTACTCTACCTCTGGCATTTCATGCGCAGCCTTGATGTCTTCGACAATGGCTCTATCCTTAGAGATTGATGACTTATGGGACTTATGGCCCATCCTGGTCTCTGAAAACACAGCATCGTGAAGTGGTTCGCTGTGTTGCTCCGAATAAAAGGTCACTGTGTCGGCCACTAAGTCTAGTTTAAAATTAATGCCTCTGTCCTGCATGCAGTACCTCATCAAATGGACAAGAATTTCATCCCGAGTGGGTGGTACTGAGGGATCGATTTGTAACTTTTGGCGTAAATCTTGTATGGATATGCAGCTATATATTGGAGCAATTTCACTGAACAATTTCCGCTTTTGTATTAAGTAACATACTTGGTCAAACAAACGGGACAATGGAGCCCGTATACACTCGAGTTCTATTAAGCAACTGTGCATTTCTTGGATTTGTAAGCCGACGAACACATCATATATTCTTCGTAGTTTGTCAACAAATATATGATCTGGGGCAATACGCAGTTGCTCATAGTCGAACGGGTTAATATCTGCATTGCCCGACGTTCCAGCCAGTCGTGTCTGGGATCCTCGATGCATAATCATGGCGCATAACACAAAGCCACCCACAATAATTTGCATGAACCTCTCGAACCGAAACTTATTAGTACCTAGCTCCTCCAGGTTCTTGAGGCATTCCCAAAACTCCTCTTTACAACATTCAATATTTTGATAGAACTTGTGTATTGTCACAAACCTTCGCACACAAGTACTTCCAGTGACTTTATTCCCGTCTCCTAGATCATCTTGATCTAGCTCAAATAGTATCAGAAACAAAGCCTTGCTGAAATGCAAAATTAAATTAATATCAGACCTTTGTGCGACAGCTAAAGATTCATTACATTTTTGATCCAGTTGGTTTAAACACATTCTGAATACCTCCCCTTCATTGCATAACAAATGCTGATCTTCAATATAGCGAGCAATATAACACTGTAATATCAGTTGTAATTCATTCAAAGTGTTGATATCTTTCCTTAACGATTCTGAAATGGCATATAAATCCCGCTCTTTATCGAATGTCTTGATCCAGGCCTGCAACACATGTAGCTCTTGTTGTAATAGTAAACCTACTTCTGGAAATGTATGACAAACCCAACTGCCTTGTAATATTTGCAATATAGTAGTCTTGAATGTCATCTTAGCCCACTTACTGGACTCCTCATCATCTGTTATACCGGGGATAAACGTCCTATCGTAGATATTGGGCATGAAATCCATAGTTACATGATGGAACATAGAGCTAAGATCAAGGGAGCAATTCGCCTTCCCGTGCAACTCATTCACTAATTCTACAAAGTTCCTAAAATCAGCAATAATCTCAGTAGATTGTTCATTATCAGGCTCTCCATACATCAATATTTTACACCAACATTCTAGAACTTGCCTATGTATTTTACATCTCATCTCGATCAACTCTTCCTCACTTACTAGCATACTCAAGGTCTTCAAAAACACTTGTCTTGCAGCCACATAGTTCTCATCATTCCATAAACTCAAGCCCTGCTCATAGTTTTGGACCCATTCCTGGCCACCTCGTTGGCCCTCATCGCCTTCAACATCATTCTCCTCATCCTCCATCTCAATTGAGTCCATGTCCTCATCGGACATCATAAAGTCATTGTAGTTATCGCTCTCATCCGTCATAATTACCGAGTCACCACCTTCAGTGTTCTCTTTTCCTTGGCCAAGTAGCCAGACTTTAAGGTCTAAATACTACTTATAATTTCAAATATTTTTTCAGTTCTGTTAAAACAACTTTAATCATGGAGAATTTCAATTAAGAGCAAAAAAAGTCATAGAGAGTCTGAGATCGAGATTATAACAACTAAACCGGTATATTTACCCTATAGGTATATAATGTGACTAGTTTCAACACTGCTTTAGCCACTTCTGAAACCTAGTATGCTCAGCAAGAGCTGAATATAATAAGGAATGCAAAGTGAACTAAGGAAAGTGTGAACTATAGAAAGTGTGAACTATAACAACTATATCCATAGATACATAATGTAGTTTATGAAAGAAAGTGAGTGTTACAAATCATGGTGGTCCAAGATTTCGCCTAGATTTGTTTCTATGGTCCGAGTAATATAGAATGCACCGCAAGTTATTCCAACACTCCGCATCTACAAATTGCGGCGTCAGCAATAACACAATGAACAATGTAACGAATCCAGAATATTATATATGTGAAGCTATAACTTCTATAACTTGGGACTACAAACTAAAGTAGAATACAATGGCTTCGGACTACAAACTCCGAGTGCGATGAGCTCATGACTCACAACTCAGAAAAAAAATAGTATAAATAGCGATGAGGGTCAAGTAGCAGTTGGAGTAGCTCAAAAGTTCCAGGGCCGTCAAGGGCTAGGGCAGAGAATGATTGATCTAGCTACTGTGGTTTTGAAGAGGAATTTCCTCAGCAACAAGAAGAGTGGAAATGTTGCTGAGGGGTCATCTAACGAAACTGTTGTTGCGAATGGTACAGCCATCGGGATGGAAATGGAGCCGGATATTGTATTGAAGAATCTACGGCAGGCAGAAGAAGATACCAATGAAGATCTGGGATTGGCATCCACTGGTTTTCAGAAAGAAGCCCATGTTAGTAATGCAGAGTTTTTCGATTTAAATAAGAAGCCGGGAGCTGAGATAACTGAACAAACTCACGAGAGTCAAAAGAGTCTTATTGAGGTGGATACTGACGATTCCCTCATTTTGGATAATGATCGTGAATTTCCTGATGGTGGATTAAGAGCATGGTCCGTTGTATTCGGTTCTTTTATGGGTTTGATCCCTGTCTTTGGTGTTATCAATTCTCTTGGTGCCATCGAGTCATATATTTCGACACATCAATTGATGAATGTCTCATCATCGACTGTCTCATGGATCTTTTCGATATACTTGACGATTAGTTTTGTTAGCTGCATATTTGCGGGTGGCTATTTTGACAGAAACGGCAGTACCCATCTCATGATCTTGGGGACCCTTTTCTATGTGGGTGGGATTTTTGGACTTGCTGACTGTAAGGATATTTATCAGTTTATTTTATCTTTCTCCGTACTTTCTGGAACGGGTACTGGTATTCTTATGACACCTTTGGTTAGCGCAGTTGCAAGTTGGTTCTTAAGAAGGAGAGCAACAGCGACCAGCATCGCTACGACCGGTGGCTCCGTTGGCGGTATCATATTCCCAATCATGCTGCGTAAACTTTATGTCGAGATTGGATTTAAATGGGCTATCAGAGTCTTAGGTTTCATTTGTCTATCTTGTTTAGTTTGCTCGATTGCGTTGACAAGGGAAAAATCGAAACCAATGGTGGAACCATTCAAGTCTAAGACAGAATTGATCAAATGGTACCTTTCATCCTCATTCAAGCTAAGTTATTTTACAGAAATGAAATTCGTGTTCACTACTCTAGGTGCCTCATTTGCTGAGAGTTCATTAACTACAGCGGCTACATATTTATCATCCTACGCAATCGCAAGAGGAAACTCGGAGAATGTTGCGTATTTAATGCTTACTGCATACAACGCATCAGGTATACTGGGTAGATATGTACCAGGATACATTGCTGACAAGTTTTTAGGGAGATTCAATGTTATGATTATCACTATTTCCATGAGTGCACTTTTATGTCTGGTAATATGGCTGCCTTTTGGTGGATCAACTGGAGCCTTATGGGCCTTCGCATGCACATACGGTTTCTTCACTGGTTCCATCCTGTCGTTAACTCCGGTATGCATTGGCCAGATATCAAAGACAGCCGATTTCGGAAAGAGGTACGCCACTGCATACTTTGTAGAGGCACTATTTAACATCCCTATGCTGCCAATTGGTGGTGCTATTATTGGCGACAGATCTGTGACGCATTACAACCATTTCATCATATACGTGGCCCTACTAATGGCTGCTGGCGCTTTCTGCTACGCTGTGTCAAGATATTTATGTGTAGGTATCCGCATCAAGAAGTTTTAGATATGATACGCATAGGCTCGCCAACTTAACATCGCATTCTAAACGCTATGATGTGCCTTTCAAAAGTATAAAATTTGATATATAACGATATAAAATGTAGGCATACTATGAACTGTATAACCATCGTGTTCATTAATTTTAAGACACATTAGGTAGACCATCCCACCTTTGTGACTGCTTCTCAGCCTTACTATGTAATGCAAGGGTGTAACAACACTATTTCTTCATTAGGAAATTTAATGGAACTCTTCCATAATTTTCAGAAAAAAAACTTCTTTTCTTCGACGCAGATGGCCCGTCTGTGCGAAAAAAAATTATCTGGAAAAAGTTTCAGGATATATAAGAAGTGACAAATTCGTTAATGCTATTACAGGTCATCTTGCTCAAATTTCCTCTTTAGTTTCACTCTTTTTAAACCTATACAAGTAAGCAACAAGAATAACAAAATGGGTATTGATCACACTTCCAAGCAACACAAGAGAGTCAGTCACAGAACTGCTCCAAAGTCTGAAAATGTCTACTTGAAGATGTTGGTCAGATTGTACACTTTCCTAGCTCGTATGTTCTATAATTACACACCTGATCATGGATTGAAGGGGGTTCCGTCCCGCTATATTACAAACTTTGAAATAATCTCAACCGATATTTGAATAATCATTTTTCCAAAACAAATAACTTTCTCCAATTCTGCGAGTGCGAAGAAACTAGTGTGCCAGCTTCATTATAAGCTGATGCATGAATGATTTGCGCGAACTTGGATAATTCATCTTTGAAGATTTATGTCAACTTATTCCTTCTACAGCTAATTTTTTAACTTTAGCTGTAAGGGAGTGTTGGTGATCTAGCGAGCAGAATCTCTTTCTTTTCCAGATGCGATTTATTGCATCACATTGGAAAAGGAAATATTATAAAGAAAGATATACAAAAGGGAGAAAACTGCAAAAAATACAACTTGTTACTTCAAGTGATAGTTGTGTTTCCTGATATCGAGCGCAGCTTGTAGAAACGAGGTTCGTTTCTCGCTGTAGTGTATACTCAGGTTTTTCTACATCACTGAATTTGAGCGTAAGTGCTTATCTTCATTGCTTTTGTTCTTTCTAAGAAATATTCCTTTACCACTGTGGCCCTTCATCCAAAAGTTTAGGTTTACTAACATTAAAAATTTATTGATCAAAAATTCTCCGATATGAGACACTAGTGCTTAGCGTTGAACGAATGACTTCTATTCTAGCTGTTCTATTAAACCATTTTGTGCTGGTGCATCTAATTTGAGCGTTATTTTGATTGGTAGCCAGTTTTACTTACAGGTCGTACTGATGCTCCATTCAACAAGGTTGTCTTGAAGTCTTTGTTCTTGTCCAAGATCAACAGACCACCTGTCTCTATCTCTAGAATTGCTAGAGCTCTAAAGCAAGAAGGTGCTGCTTCCAAGACTGTCGTTGTCGTTGGTACCGTTACCGACGACGCCAGATTGTTTGACTTGCCAAAGACCACTGTTGCTGCTTTGAGATTCACCGCTGGTGCCAGAGCCAGAATCGTCAAGGCTGGTGGTGAATGTATCACTTTGGACCAATTGGCTGTCAGAGCTCCAAAGGGTCAAAACACTTTGATCTTGAGAGGTCCAAGAAACGCCAGAGAAGCCGTCAGACACTTCGGTATGGGTCCACACAAGAACAAGGCCCCAAGAATCATGTCTAAGGGTAGAAAGTTCGAATCTGCCAGAGGTAGAAGAAGATCTAAGGGTTTCAAGGTCTAAGCTAACAAAATTAAATTGACTTATTAAAAAGACTGTATATAACACCGTTATATATAGTTTAGCATTCAATTGTTTTTGTATACAAGCATTAGAGAAAAAAGCCTTATAACCTTTTTTTTATTAACCTCCATATTCAATATGTAACGAACAACCCCAACATATCCACATATGTAATCTGTACACTAGCTAAAATATAGTAATATCTGATGAGTAAGACAACATGAATATTCTATTTGCCTTCGCTGGTAACTCAGCTATGTTGGCTGAAAGTGAACCACCAGCCGGCCACCTGCCGGCCATCCCCCAAAGCTCCTAAACAATTGTGACTTCACTAAGACTAAAACCCAGACACCATGTAAATCTGTACTTTGAAAGTAATACAATCCACATCACTTTCCTGTTTAGGAAATTTCATTAGTGCATGTTAGGACTGGGATGCAAAAAAACGGAAATGATCTGGAAAACCTTGTTCCGTGTAGACCTCTCACACAACGCTGGTCAGTCTGCGTAAATTCTAGCCACCGTCCAGCTCCCTGTGCAAGAGCTAGGCAGAAACTTCCTTCTATCCTTCTAGCAATGGCATGCTAGTTCAGCCCACCCTTTCAGCTTGACGAGGTCCTCGAGGCTGTTTGCTCAGGCAGTGGGCTCCCTCACTGCATCGCCAGAAGGGAGCTCTCGAGCGCAGCTCAGCTGAGGCACTTCCCAGTTTGTCCTCCACAAGGGACCTTTGAGTGTAGCGCACCAGCCCTCCCTGCTGAGGCACTGGAGGGGCAAGACGAAGGTCTCCATTGCATCGCTGCCAGTGCCACAATGGCTCTGCAATTAGTTCGCCATGTTCAATCTGCAAAGATATTAATGAAATAGTTTCGGCGGTATAGTAGTTATATAAGGGTATAGGTACGTTTTTCCAGTTGGATATCATTTGACAGGATCCCAAGAGACTAGATATAAAGATGCCAGGTGTTTCCGTTAGGTACGTACCGTGATTTTACCGCCCGAACAGTGTGAAAGATGCATAGACTTGCTGAGTCAGGAATCTTTAGAACCAAATATGACCAGAAGAGCCAGTGTGGAGAGTATAAAGAATTCCATGAAAATTGATGTAACCAGGTAAAATAGTGGACTAGCAAAAAGTTATGATAGACTTTATAACCTGAACAAATGCTTACGATCCTAGACACACGAATAATTGCAAATAAGACACTGAATTCAACCCCAAAACATTACTGAACATAATTACTAACAATTTTATTACTTTTGATACTACCCTCGAATCACCCAATTTTATCGAATTTATGCATAGTCTAAGTGGGAAAACGCAACGGTGGAGCCAGAGATTGATAACGACTACGTTTAGATGAAACAGTGGAATATTTGGATGAATGAAACGATATTTACAGTGGTGAACTAGTGCATATTGTAGATGATTGGGCATAAACTGTGGTTTTTATTGAAAGCAATTGGAATTTGATACAGAGACGTTGCTGCTCAAGATTTCATCAACGCTTACGCTTCTTTCTTGCAAAGACAAGGTAAGCTAGAGGTTCCAGGTTACGTGGATATCGTCAAGACCTCTGCTGGTAACGAAATGCCACCACAGGACTCTGAAGGTTGGTTCTACAAGCGTGCCGCCTCTGTCGCTAGACACATCTACTTGAGAAAGGAAGTCGGTGTCGGTAAGTTGAACAAGTTGTACGGTAACGCCAAGAGCAGAGGTGCTAGACCATCTCACCACGCTGACGCTTCTGGTTCCATTAACAGAAGAGTCTTGCAAGCTTTGGAAAAGATCGGTGTCGTCGAATTGTCTCCAAAGGGTGGTAGAAGAATCTCTGAGAACGGTCAAAGAGATTTGGACCGTATCGCCGCTCAAACTTTGGAAGAAGAAGAATAAGAGACTTGTCAACTATATTAACAATCATAAAAAATCCTTTGTTTTTTTATCTTATAATTCTTTAGTTCCTATATTACACAACCCCAAACTATTTTTTAAAATATAATAAAAATAAACTCGCATACTGTTTAAAAATAGCTATTATGAACAAATAATATGTAACAAGTCTGAGTCTGGCTTATACCTAATAAGGACAAGAAGGTCGTGTCTCATCAATATGCACTTCAAGGAACTGCAATGTTATCCAACAAACTCGGAGGCTTTCTCGGGTGCCAAATAAATAGGTGATGATATGGGTGCATTCATTCAAAGTGGACCAATGGATAGCCAACTTGTCATGAGACCCAACAGTAATGTACGTAGATAAGTTCTTGCTAGTTGTTCGAGCCTGAGCCTACCCTTGCTTATCGTGTTTCCCATGGTTGTCGTGAGGTGGTAACCTTTCGTGGCTCTCTAAAATGGCTCAGAACCCACGACAAATAAGCTCATCTCAGTGGGCGAGAATGCTACCCCGAGAAGGCACTTACGCATATAAAAGTATAAAGCTTCTTGATATTACTTGCATGACAATTACAGCGACTACCTCCCATAGCTACTCACAAACATAGCTAACGAATTCTAACTATGAGCACTTCTGGAGCTGAAAATGGTGTTGGTGCCAGCCGGGCCCGGAAGTCCACTTGTACAGAAGCTAACGATACCGATAAGGTTGGTGTGAAGACCATAAGCGAAGTCACTGACTTACAGACTATTGAGAGCTCACCGTCAACATGCGAGGAGCCTATGAGCAATAAGGATGTCATAAAGGCTGCTTTCAAGAAATATATTAAATTCATCGGACCAGGACTGCTGGTCAGTGTTGCATATATCGATCCTGGTAACTACTCTACTGCTACATCAGCTGGTGCAGCTAACCAGTTTTCATTGTTATGTGTGGTGCTACTGTCCAACTTCATTGCTATCTTCTTGCAATGCTTGTGTATAAAATTGGGTTCCGTTACTGGTATGGACTTGAGCAGGGCATGTAGAAAACACTTGCCAAGATGGGCGAATTGGACTGTATACTTCTTTGCTGAATGTGCAATTATTGCTACAGATGTCGCTGAGGTTATTGGTACTGCCATCGCATTGAACATTCTTATCAAAGTTCCTCTCCCAGCCGGTGTTTGCATTACATTGGTAGATGTGCTAGCAATTATGGCTACTTATAGACCGGGCGCTTCTTCCATGAAAGTTGTACGTATGTTTGAATTATTTGTGGCATTGTTAGTCGTTGGTGTTTGCATCTGTTTTGCAGTAGAGCTCGCTTATATCCCTAAAAGCACTTCTGCTGCTAAGGTGTTCAGAGGTTTCGTGCCATCTCGTCAAATGCTAGAACATAATGGTGTCTACACAGCTATTTCTATTCTCGGTGCTACTGTGATGCCTCATTCATTGTTCTTGGGATCTGCATTGGTTCAACCAAGACTGTTGGAATATGATGTCAATCATGGTAACTATTCTATGCTGAAGGATGATGAAGATGAGAAAAACAAAGAAACAGCTGTTGATGAAAGATACCAGAACTATAGACCAACCAGATCAGCCATTAAATACTGTATGAAGTTTTCTATGATAGAACTAGGACTGACGCTATTTACACTAGCGCTATTTGTTAATTGTGCTATCCTAATTGTTGCTGGTTCAACATTATATGGTTATCCTGATGCAGCAGATGCTGATTTATACACCATCCATGACCTATTATCGAAAACCTTAGCTCCTATTGCAGGCACTATTTTCATGCTAGCTTTGCTACTGAGTGGTCAATCCGCTGGTATCGTCTGTACCATGGCCGGCCAAATCGTTTGTGAGGGACATATCCATTGGAAATTAAAGCCATGGCAAAGACGGCTAGTCACCAGAGCCATATCCTTGATTCCGTGCTTAGCTATTTCTATTTCTATTGGTAAGGAGGCTCTTTCCAAAGCCTTGAACGCATCTCAAGTTGTACTGTCTATTGTTTTACCCTTCTTAGTTGCGCCATTAATCTACTTCACCTGTAATAAGAAGATTATGGAGACTGAGATTACTGTGAAAGATGCGGAAGAGGATCCTTCTGACAATGATGACATGCAACTGGAGAATGGCCAGACCAGAAAGACTGTCAGTATGGCAAATAATTGGGTTGTCTCCATAATTGCATTTGTAGTTTGGGTATTCTTGTCTGCCTTAAATATTTATGCCATTGTTCAGCTGGGTATTACACATGGAGAAATATCCTAAATCACTTTTTAAGTTCATTATAATTCTCCTAACTTAAAACTATAGTTAATAGCTAGAAAAATACAAAAGTAAAGCTGACTTGCACATATCTCTGTATATACACTGCTTAATTTAACTTTAATAGCAGTAAATTATTTTAAAAATATTACAAAGTTATACAGATGAGGATATATAAAACAAATAATGTAAGACACTGTATACTATAGGAATAATAAATGATAGTGGAATCAAATTTCGACACTACTTTGTAAAAATTTGATATCATTCATGAATCAAAGTGTATTTTCTGAAAAATATCGTAAAGATTTTGTATCAACTACATATTAAGAAGGAGTTGCTAGTCATATAAGACTCTTGCACTAGCTCTCAATAGGTCAAATAAGTGAACTCATAAATTAGAATTCACTCACCGTAGGAATAGCGAAATCCAAATAGATGAAATAAAAGAAAGTGACTGCATGATCGTTCCTCCGGAAAATATATAGAAAAGACGTGATATATCCCCTAAACCGAAATACTACCTATTGTATGGATGATAACCTCTTCTGCTATCATTTGGACGACCGCGGAAACCACCTGGACCACCGGATCTTCTTGAAGAATCTTTGTTACCTCTATCTTGATCATCTGGTGTTGGTGTCGAAGCTTCGTTACTTTGGCTCTTAGTTGAGTTGGCATCAGGGCTACCTTGCGATTGCTGACCCATAGTGGAAGGGTTGAAACCAGGCATCATCATAGCCATTTGCTGCATCTGTTGTTGATACATCTGGTTGTAATCCATACCACCTTGTTGTTGAACCTGTTTATAGTAGTCTTGCATTTTTTGGAAGTACTCTTGCATCTGAGGGTTGTTATTAGCAAACATAGGGTTGTAACCACTCATCATTGGGTTCGAAAACATCATAGGATCCTGGAAGCCGTAACCTGGATATTGACCACTGCTATTACTTCCTGTGCCCATGCCATATTGTGAATTAGAGCTTTGTTGTGCTGGTTGGCGCGCACCACCAGTTTTTTGAAGATGTCTTGGAGCGGCCCTTTTGATTTCTATTTTTCTTCCTTTAAAGTCGATGAATTTATTCTGACAGACCTTATCTACAGCATCTGGTGTATCATATGTAATGAATCCAAATCCTCTAGATCTACCAGTATCTTTATCCAACATCAGCTGCGCATCAATGATAGTACCCCATTGTGCGAAAAATTCTTCGAATTCTTTAGGTCTCACATCTGGACCGATACCACCTACAAAAATCTTACCAGTCTTATCTTGTTCTTCTCTTGGAATGGCTCTTTTAGGATCGATAACTTTACCATCCAAAATATGTTGGGTCTTTACAACTTCATCCACAGAAGATGCGGATTCAAAAGTCAAGAAACCAAAACCACGAGATCTACCAGTGGCTGGATCTTTCATAATCTTCAATTCTTCAACTTTACCATATTTACTAAAATAATCGCGCAGACCATCCTCTGTTGTTTCCCAGTTCAAACCACCAATAAACATTTTACAACTGTCCTTTGACAGGTCAGCTTTGACTGTCCTATCGCCAGTATTGCCGCTCTGTACATTGGTGCCACTATCTACACTAGCATTACTACTCTTTTCCTCTTTACTCTTATCTGGTGACTCTTCTTTAGTCACAGTCTGTAATTGGTTGAGAGTATTTTGCAATGTCTCCCATGGCATCTTAGCAGCATCGTCTTTATTGCTGTCAGGGTTAGCAGAACTGGCTTGTAATGCCGCCAGCTGATCAAGCGCACTTGTGGCAGCCTCAGGAACCTTCTCCTCCGCTTTCACATCATCCTTAGCATCAACTTTGCTCTCATCCTTGGTATCATAGATATCATTAAAATCTTCCTCGTCTGAACTCATTGTAACGTCGTTTTTCCACCTGGTTGATACTTTTCCTAGCTCCAGAGTCAGTCCACAACACTTTCAAGCAAATATATAGAAGTTATAGCAGCCAATGACCCATACCCAGAGCAGCATCAAAGTACAAGAACAGCTTGAAGGTTATGCTATTGTGCTCTTCCCCCCTCCGTCGCTTGTTTTGAAAAAATTCAGAAAAATTTGTGAAAAATTTCAGAAAAATGCGATGAGCTACCATAATAACCATCGAATAAAGTCGATATTAACAAATTCATGATGGCGAATTGAGTAAGTTTTCTGCAACATTAACAACCAGGCACGAATTGACAATGAAGTATCTTTTGTACCTAGTGCAGAGTCACACAAATTTCAGGCTGGCTGAGCTCGAATCTGTTGCAGATTTACATGGTATATCGGTTGATTTGAGCCATCATCGGGAGGATAGTCCCTATCTGATAGTGGAATTGGCCAACGAAGATGAGGCTCGGAAACTAATCGAGAGGTGTATTCTAGCTCGTGGGATCTATGAGTATTGGGGTGAAGGAGAGGATTACGACGAGTTACACAATAGTATACAAAATGGCGATCATTTTAATGAGTTGAAACAACGGTACCAAAATGATACATTTAAGTTCGAATTTGAGTGTTACCGTGGTAATAGCAAGGCTAATAGAGTATCTCAGATTGAGAGTTTTGGGTACCTAGAGTTTAAAGGTAAGATCAACATGAAGAAGCCGCAGCAGGTCTATACGGTGCTGGAAGAATATGTACCTATATCTGACAACGTTTCATCTACAGTTCCGATCAAAATAAGATTTGGAAGATTGATACATTACAGTGATAGAGCTGCAATGGAGAAATATGACTTGAAAAAGAGGCCATATAAAGGCACAACTAGTTTTGAAGCCGAGCTATCTTTGGTAAGTTGTAATATCGCTCAAGTTAAACCAGGAACGATAATGTATGATCCTTTTGCTGGAACAGGATCATTTCTTACTGCAGGGGGACACTACGGTGCACTCGTAGTTGGCTCTGATATAGACGGTAGAATGATCAGAGGTCATGGGGCCGCTCAAAATATATCAGCAAACTTCAAGAAATATAACGAAGCCGATAAGTTCTTAGATGTTCTCACTATGGACTTCACTCACAATGCTTTCAGGAAAAGTTTGAAGATAGATACAATAGTTTGCGATCCACCATATGGTATCAGAGAGAGTATTAAAGTTTTGGGTGCTAGAGATCCAGAAAGATTTGCTGGTAAGGAAAATGTGGAGATAGATGGTGTTAAAGCATACCTGCGAAAGGATTACATACCAAGTAAGAAGCCTTACGCCCTTGATTCTTTGTTAGATGATCTACTACAATACTCCGCTGAAAGATTACCAATTGGAGGAAGACTTGCATTCTGGATGCCTACCGCTAATGATGAAAACATAGAGACCATTATCCCATTGCATGAAAACTTGGAATTGAAATATAATCTTGTTCAAGACTTTAATAAATGGTCAAGAAGACTATTAGTGTACATTAACCGTGGACCCGAGTATCATGGTGTTGATAATGGTGGTATCAAAAGATCACAACATAACTTTAGAGAAAGGTATTTTAAGAACTTCCGCCCAGTTTAGTATTCACAGTTGATCTACATATCTTTAGCATTTATATATCATCCAATTTGCATAATTCATGATTTAATTATTATTGTGACTAGTAAACAAGTAAAGCATTATTCTCCCGAGATACGTCTGGCTCAATATACTTAATAATTTTGGCATTCTTCATCTTGTTATTCATCAAATTCTGCTTCACCCATTCCAATCTACCGTTATCTATCAAATATCTAGCAAATAGACCAATTTTCTCTCTCTGCAATAGTGAGATAGACAATTGTTCTTGATTATCCCCTTCTATCTGGACAATATCATCATCATTCATGCCTGGTCTTCGACCGCTTGTGGCCCAGGAACACATTTTAGACAGGTGACCAAAAAATGTTTTGTAGTTGATCTGAGAATGCTTAGATTCCAAGAACGATTTGATATAGTCGGGGTTTATGTAATCTCTGGCATTACACACATGTCTGCAACACATGGCAATACAAATACCTTGTAATTTAAACTTTCCGTTGGTTTCCTCAATGCAATTTTGTAGACATCTCAATGTTAAATCAGTTGCAACACCACACAAATGTTTGGAAATGGCAAGACAGCCATCATGTTCTTCTATAACCGTAGATAGTTTCAGATCTTTAATATCGAGTTTTAATCTATCAATCGCAATCCTTTGCTTGACTTTCTCAGGGTTTTTACTTAAAGCCATCAAATCATCTTGAAACTTCTTATCAAATTTCATTCTGTTAGATCCTCTATCAATTAACACATATTTTGGCAAATCATCTTGTAGTTGGTAAGGATCATTATTGATTATTGTTTGATTAATGTACCTTGAAAATTCTGCTCTTCCGCAACCAAACTCCATAATCTTACCAGAAGGTATTAATTCAACATCAAACAAGTTCTGTATCAATGACGATTGCTGTTTGGCATGTTTCTTAATTGTATTGGACAATTCTATAAGCCTATTACTCTCCATAAACTCATTCTTCTTGATTTGTTCTTGGGGCTCTTCATACTCATTTAATGCTTCCAGCAGCAATTGTACACTTTCGATTAAGTTAGCATTATTCAATTCATTTTCTACCAGTTCAGCAGGACCTCTGTTCAAATCTTTAATAAAATATGGCTGAGCAGCAGTGGCCTGTGTGATCTTCGCCTTGTTACATATCCTTACATGTTTTTTTAAATTATGCTTCCAAACAGTGTGACTCGGATCCAGAGGACAGGGTACCCTAACTCTCTCTTTATCGTCCTTCACTTCAGCATTACCTTGAGAATGCTCAACACAGTAGTTAGTATTGGCTGCTCGGGACATGCCACATCTTCTTTTCTTTTGTGGGATTATGTACTCGCACCGCAAAATTGTATTATCGGTAGCCATCTTGACACACTTCTATGATTCTTTCCAATTTATTATAGTCCTTTACAACGTTATCAATAACCAGATCAGACAGATATAAAGTAATAGCTATGACAATTGTTAATATACTTCCGTCATTCTCTATGCGATGAGCTCATCGATTTTTTTGCAATTTTTTTGGCACTTATGTCATGTGATACTGTTGTTATGAATAAACTGGCAGTTATTTCCTTGAAGTATAGCCTTTTCTATCTGTGTATTGGCCATTACGATTGAGACCATTGATTTTGAGGTCTACTAAAATAACTACGACTATCTGAATAAATGTCTAGTCAAATTATTGTGGCCTTATACTCGAGTGAGATAAAATAATTTATGTTTTAAATAATATTGGTGTAACATTAGATGGCAAAAACTATAAAAAATATTCATAACTAGGAAACTGCTTGTATTAAATAAAATGCTAAGGTTATCATTTTGATTGAGTAGTACTGAATATGCTACCCAGGGAGTGCAGTCTTTAAACTAAATACTCAAGTAGCAATTAGAGAAACGAGCAAAATTAAACGTCAATACGCAGAAAGGGACATAAATGTCTAGCTGATGGGCGTAAAGATCATGTTGAATGAACAAAAAAAATTATAAGCAGAGTTCATGGTATTGGAAACACCACATGAGAAATTCATGCAATCCACAAGACCAGCAACAGGATAGCTGCGACAGAGCCCTTTAGAGAAGTTGGGACACCTTTGTTTTCCAATGGAATGTCCCTCCTTTCAAATCTCCTGGTTAAGTTTGTGCTGCCGTTTGAGGAGGTGTTACCGCTTGAAGAGGCGCTTGGGACAGCAAAAGTTGGGGAGTATGTTTCAGAATAAGCTGAGGCTCTAGTGGCACCTGGGATGGTGCTGACGACAACTTCGATGTCTTCTGGCAAAGTGTCATTGAAAGATGCTTGAGCCAAAGAAATTTCACGATCTTCCAAATCAAAGACCATGTAAGCATATCTAATGACATCATCACCCAAGATGGCAAAGTCTGAGCCAGTTGGAGCAACATTTATGTAGCACTTACCCTTAATCTTCTTGACCATTTCCTTGTATGGGACACCAATGTTAACACCTCCCAGAGAGAAGTTTAGGATAGTTTTGTCCTTCTTGGATAGACACTTTGGAATACGGATCTTGTTCTGAGTTTGATCGTAAGTACCATTAGTGCTTTCAGCCAAGGCGTTGTATACATCAACTGGCAAGTGAGTGTCAGTGCTACCAGTATCCAGCAAAGCTGGGAACTTCGAAGTTGCGTTCAAAATCTGAGTCACATTACCATCGGTGGCTTCAAAGGACATTCCATTCAAAGTGACCATCAATTCGTTAGGTCTTGGTGTACCGAAGTCTCTGTTGCTGAAGACCAATGGAACGGTAGTTAAGTTACCATCGTAACGGTTGTGGTCAACGGCACCGAATAGGATCGAGCCAAACTTGTCATTGGTTCTGTTCAAGTAGATAGAATATACTACTTTGTTAATCAACTTGTTTAGTTTTAGAGATTCTGGGAAATTCATGTATGGGTTCTTCTTAACACTTGAAGTGTTTGTCAATTGAGCAGTATCGATAGTGATGCTGGATTCTAATTCAGGTAGACCGATACCCAACAGACCGTAACTGTTGTTAGTCAACTCTGCGACAGCAAAAGTGACATTCTCCAAAGTCTGTCCTGCCAATGCCACCTGGTCAGTACCCCAGGTACCTTCAACATATGAACCGTCACCATAAGTGATGAAGAAGTCAGTATCGTTAGACTTGAATGTATTAGATGAAGAAGAGTTAAATGTTTTGAAGTCACTACAATCGAAGGTACGCTCAGCGTATGGGATAGCCTCCGCCTTAGTTGGGTAACCGTTCCTGCCGGGGTCAACACTGGATGGCTGATCTTTCTTCTTTGGCTTCTTACCTCTGTTTGACTTACAGTAAGGGTTCTGAGCACCAAGGACCCAGAAGTCAGAAGAACCAGTGTCCACAAGCAGAGTCATGTTCTGCTTGTCACTACCAATGCTGACTTCAACACCGTAGAAGATTTGTTCGTTGTCAAGTTGCACATTCAAGTAGTCATCGTCAGCCCTCTTAGCCAGAGAGTTATCCGTGATCTTAGTGAATGGCAATCTCAAGTAACCTGCAGCAGCAGCAGTGGTCAATGCTCTGTCAATTCTCATGTCTATATCCGTGAATCGGTGTGTGTCCTCTTTCAGGCCTCAAGAACAGAAGCAATACACAAACCAGATCAAGTTTAAATATAACCTCTTATATATTTGAATTTTTTTGTTGGTAACTGTTGACCCAAGATTTATTTGATCCATGAATCAATAGATCACTAATTAAAGTCACCCATAAGGGTTGTTGGAGAGCATAACGAAATTATTTGTCATTTCGTTGCGATGAGGAGGGGCTGCTCGCTGCAAATCCTGGGTACAAACCTTTTCTTTTCTTCAACCCTCATGCTCTCTGAGCTTCACTGCCTTCCTAAGATCCTGCCTAACCTCCAAACTGACATCTCAGAGAATAGAAAAGAGGCAAGCCTCGTTTACCTTGGCTCAACATGGCTAATATCCGTTATTGGTTGCAGCCTGCTGCGAATATCTTCAATAACAGAACTACTATTAATGGAGGAGCAGTACGGTTTCCTCGACCATCACAACTCCCATCACATAATTTATTACAGAATCCAAAGAAACATACGTAGAAACACCGCTAATTTGTCCTTTCATAGATAATATATGTACAAATGACGTCATTTCAGATCTCTTTTTTCCTCCCTTTTCAACAGTTGTGCATGTTTTTCTGAGAGTTTATGTACATTTTTATCAAATTTGTCCTACATTCTTGTGCATGTGCAGAATACCGTAAATCAAATGACTTACCGTTTGTGATTGGTCATTTGCTCAGAAAGTGATAGTAGTCATAGGGATTGGCATGGTGAGTAGGCTTTGGTCAGCGGGGAAGTAATATATATACAGCATGTGTATGTGATGTGATTTAATCGGGGCTGAACATGTGGGGGGACGAGGGTAGTTTAGAAGATCAGATAAGCGGCCCACAGTCAAAATGTTATTCTTGGTTCCTTTTCTATCGGTTGCCCAGGCCTATGTTGCGCTTGACTTCGAGAAGTCGCATGGAGATGATCTAGTCAAACGTGACGTGCAGGATGTCAAGCTTATCAACAGCCAAAAGGCTATGCTATACAACATACAGCTCTCAGTCGGTACTCCGCCTCAAAATATCACTGCGCAGTTGGACACGGGTTCGTCTGATTTGTGGTTCCCAGACTCTACTAACCCTTACTGTAAGGCGAACAAGAAGCAAGCACCAAAGAGCATTGCCTCCTTAGATGCAGGTACTAGACCTACGTCACCTGCACAGGTTCCCAAATCGTTGAGAAACCTAGACTGTGCTGAGTTCGGGTTGTTCAACTCAAGTGCCTCGACTACTTTCAACTCAAATAAGACAGAGTTTTTCATCAGCTACTTGGACTCATCCTACGCTGAAGGTGTGTGGGCCACGGATAACTTGTACCTCAATGGTTTGAACATCTCTGGACTGAACTTCGGTCTAGCATACTTCTCAAACTCATCCAACTCAGTGCTTGGTGTGGGCCTAACACCTTTGGAGGCCTCTTATGACACAGACATTAAGCAAGATGACTCTCCTAGGTTCCAGTACCCTAATTTCCCACAGATCTTGAAGCAGAAAGGTGCCATCAGTAAAGTCACTTATTCTCTATACTTGAACGACACTAAGTCCAAATATGGTCAAATCCTGTTTGGTGGTGTTGATCACAGCAAGTATGTAGGGCAACTATACACCATACCATTGGTGAACAGCAAGTACCAGAAATCGCCCGGAGTCATTGCTGATTTGGAAGTTACATTGAATGGTTTGGGAATCAGAGATAACACTACCAACACGAACACAACCTTATACACTCAGAAACTGCCAGCACTCTTCGACTCTGGTACTAGTTACTCCTATGTTCCTTACACAATGGCCCAGGTGATTGCCTCACAGGTCAACGGTACTATTGATAATAAGACGGAAGCCATCAGACTGCCAAAATGTCCAAGCAAGAAGGACACCAGAGAGGTTGTATTCAACTTCAACGGTGTAGAGATTGCCATTCCTCTAAAACAATTCTATCAGAAGAAAAGTGGCAAGTGTTACTTGGACTTAATGGTCGCTCCACCAAACAACGGACCAGGTCTACTGCTGGGTGATACTTTCTTGAGACAAGTCTACACTGTGTTTGATCTAGAGGCCCAGGAGTTATCTATCGCAAGAGCTAACTTCAACAGCTCGCTGCCAGCAGATGTAGAAGAGATCAAGAGTACTGTACCAAGCGCAATCAAAGCACCTCAATACTACAACACATTCTCGGCGTACGATAACGCTACTCAGGTGGTTGGTAACATCTTCGATGCCACTGCTACAGCTTCGATGGCTCCAAAGAACCAAAGCAACTCCAGCAACTTATCGAGAAGAGCCTTGAACTACGAAAACAATTCTGCAAGATCTTCAACACTGTCAATCGTCCTAGTACTAGCAGCAATTACAACATTATTTATGTAATATTCTATTTTTATAACCCTGTTCTTCTGTACTACTTTCAATCATGCTCCCATTTCATAGAATAAGATATACAAAACTTAAAGTAACAATATTGCAACGCGTGAACGTGCCCTGGCTGCCTCTTATGGCGTTGGATTTGTCCACATTACATTTCATGACATCAACAACATTTGGTAAAGTAAGTTTGAATAATGTCTCCACTCAGCAACTCTTGTGCTTCGCTGTGTAATTTATCGTCAGCTGGGTGACTTAATTACAAGAACCATTAGCAAATAGGACTGCGTCGTTCATTGAAAGCTCGTTCCACCAAAAGCAATTCTACTGAAAACACGAAACGGTTGGATTAACCCTCTCATCCATTAGCTTTCAAACGTTATCAATGACTGTTCGAAGGTAAATCCCTCAGAAGTCAATCTCTACTGTGCAAAAGCCTACTTTCTTTTCTTTATGGTGACAGTTTTCTTCTTATTGACCCTCTTTGACTCCCCTCCCCCCCCCGGGTTGAACTTGATAGTATCCGTTCTTCTATCCCTTCCTCCCTCTTTTACCGGATTGAGTACTAACTCATGGGTCCATTTTTATTAATGACTTCTCTTAGCCAACACTTAAGCAACTTTGCTTTTTAATCCACGGAGCCATACACTATTGGTCACCCTTCCCCCTTTAATAAATGTTCCAGATCAAGTCATAGCTTGGATCCATCGCACTCCAAATGGTAGCATCGATTAACCTCCCTTTCTCGATGCCCATGAAGAGATTTGCATGCGAAGAGGGCATCCTAGAATGGTGCTCTCGTGTCCTGGACACACATACGCATACAATATTCTAAATGAAATCAAGCCCCCCTTCATTCTCAACGCTAATAACTTCATCTAATCTTGGGTCGAGATTAAAGCCTACATTCGGTTCTTCCAGTATAAAAGGAGATGACTTGCAGTTAGTGGTAGTTGGATAACACTATATCAGCTCCTTTCTTGGTTATTATTTCTAGAAGTAGAACAGATTACAGCGATTTTCATCTGATCTTGCGCAAATTATTATAACTACAAGATTAAAACTATTTGAAAATGGTGAAACCACTTGTTCTGCTATCGTTGCTAGCCTACGCTCAAGCTTATGTGAAGTTGGACTTCACCAAGACCCCAGGCAGTGATTTGGCCAAGAGAGATGTCGTCGACCCTGAAGCCGCTCAATTAACCTTCGACAAGGACCAATACATTGTCGAAGTTGCCGTTGGTACTCCTCCTCAGAAGGTCTTGCTACAAATCGACACCGGTTCTTCTGACTTGTTCGTCATTGAGGAATCTAACCCATACTGTAAGAACAACAAGAACAAGGCTCCAAAGAAGAAGGACTTGGAAAGCCCAGGTGACGATTACCCAAGGACTCCAAACCAAGTTCCAAAGTCTGACAGAACATTAGACTGTAAGAAGTACGGCTTCTACAACCGTAACGAATCTTCTACATTCAATTCTAACGGTACCGACTTGTTCATCACCTATGGTGACAATGGTTTCGTTAGAGGTACCTGGGGTACCGACTCTGTCAGTGTCGGTAACCTGAACTTGAGCAATTTGAGCATTGGTGTTAGTCCAATGACCAACACCAGTACCGGTATCCTAGGTGTTGGTTTGCCAGGAGAAGAATCTACTTTCAACTATTCTTCTAATGTCACTGGTCCAAGCAACTACCAGTACTCCAACTTCCCAATTAGATTAAAGGAGGAAGGTTTGATTGAGAAGATTGCTTACTCTATTTACTTGAATGAGACCGGCTCTAAGTATGGTTCCATTCTTTTCGGTGCTGTTGACCACAGCAAGTACCAAGGTCCTTTGTACACCTTCCCATTGGTTAACTCCAAATACAAGGAAGGCAGTGACCCTTTCCAATTTGAGATCACCATGAATGGTGTAGGTTTGGTTGGTAAGACTGACAACATCACTTTGTATGATCAAAAATTGCCAACTTTGCTTGACTCTGGTAGTACTATTTCTTTGTTGCCAAGGGATGTTGCTGATCTTGTGGCCCAACAAGTCAATGGTACAGTCGATGGTAAGGGTAACTGTATCAAACTTCCAAAATGTCCAAGCAAGAAGGACAACCAAAAGTTGATCTTCAACTTTAGTGGTGCTGAGTTTTCCGTAAATGTGACTGATTTCATGGAAAAGCACAAGGGTAAGTGTTACCTACAATTCTCTGCCCTTGATGGTATTAACTTCGCTCTTCTTGGTGACAACTTCATGAACAATGTCTACACTGTCTTCAACTTGGATGACAAGGAACTTTCATTGGCTCAAGCTAACTACAATTCATCTCTGAAACCAGATATTGAAGAAATCAAGGATACTGTCCCTAGCGCTGTGCTGGCTCCACAATACTACAACACATTCTCAGCTGACCCAACTGCCACTGCAGTCACTGGTAACATCTTTGCACCAGAGGCCACTATGTCCATGGCTGCTCCAGCTAATGCTTCTAGAAACTCTTCATTAAACTCTACTTTCAACTCATCTTCTAACTACTCCAGAGTACAAATGAAGAAAAGAACATACCCAAACAGCAGTTCTTCATTGCAAGCCAACTCTGCCATACTCATTATGATCGCAGCTGCCATCACCGCCATGTTCTTATAGATACGAGGTGGTGTTAATGTCTATGGATAGCTTTATTTAAGTTACTCGTTTTTATAAACTCTAATTTAATTCAATAATTTAACGATCATATTACTTAGTACTAAAACAGTGTTCTTATCTTATCTATAATTTTGCAATTACTTCTTATCATTGGTTGACTATAATTTATATTTGGGTCATTGCTAGTGGGCTTGTTAATTACAGTCACATCATTATATCATTTGCGTATGATTTAAGCACAGAATGAGTCGTGATCATCAATCATCAAGTAAGGGATGATGCCCGTACTTTACTTCAGTCACCTTAGTAAATCCCTATAATTTAAAAGATGGAGAAAGAGTCTAGATTACAACTTGAGGTTTTAGCACGTCCTTTTGTATCCCATATATATAGAAGCACCTTAAATCAGGTTCCAAGCAATCCATAAGATTATCTATGAATTGTTATTGTTGTGGTACTTTTTGAGAATATATCTTAGTGAGTAAATCAAGTATAGAATAAAAGTGTAGGTTCGCTAATCAACATGAAAGCAATTGTAGTAACCTCGTTGCTAGCATTTGCTCAGGCGTATTTGAAGTTGGATTTCGAGAAATCACCTAAAGCCTCAAGTGATTTGGTAAAGAGGGATGACGAATATGTAAATGTTCCCTTAAAGAACGATGGCGATTTGTATTTGGTGCAACTGGCGGTTGGAACGCCACCTCAAAATATCACTGTGCAATTAGATACCGGATCCTCTGACCTATGGTTTCCAAGTGCTGACAATCCATTCTGCAAGGAGAATAAGAAGTATGCACCAAAGGGCAAGGATGTTCAGCCATTAGACGATTCAGGATATCCATCAGCATCTAACCAGGTTCCAAAATCATCGAGGACTTTGAATTGTAAGAAATATGGCGTGTTTAACTCCAGTGAATCATCCACGTTTAAGCGTAATGATTCGGAATTCCTACTTTCCTATGCTGATATGTCCTTTGCTACTGGTAATTGGGGGTCCGATGTAGTCAGTTTCAATGAGTTAAATATTAGCAATGTGAACTTTGCCTTGGGGAGCTTTGCCAACTCTTCGAATGGTGTTCTTGGTGTAGGATTACCAGATGTCGAATCAACATACGATGGTCCTTATGCTGGTAGCAGGAAAAACATCAGCGATTCACATCAATATGCTAATTTCCCAATTACCTTAAAGCAGAACGGAGTAATTGATAAGATTGCATATTCTTTATACTTGAACAGCAGCAAATCTAAGTTTGGTTCTGTTTTATTTGGAGCTGTGGACCATAACCGTTATAACGGTCCACTATATACGCTCCCACTGGCCAATTCTTTGTTCCAGAACTTCACAGACCCTTTCCAATTAGAGATCACAATGAATGGGTTGGGATTACAGGGTAATGATGCAAATATTACTTTGTATGACAAAAAATCTGCAGCTTTACTTGATTCTGGTACTACTTTAACGGTTGTGTCAAAACATATTGGGGATTTAATTGCAGCACAGGTTAATGGTACCATTGCTGGCAAAGACCAATGCATTAGACTACCAAAATGTCCAAGCAAAAAGGAAAATAAGAAGCTGATCTTTAACTTTAGCGGCGCAGAGGTTGCTGTCGATATAAACCAAATGATGAATAAACATAAGGGCAAATGCTACTTGCAGTTTGCAGTTCATGAGGATACAAGTAATGATGCCATAATTTTCGGTGATAACTTCTTAAGAAGCGTGTACCTAGTCTATAATCTCGAGGACAAAGAGATATCTATTGCTCCTGCCAACTTTAACTCATCGTTACCGGAGAACATTGAACCAATAAAAAGTACAGTACCAAGCGCAATCAGAGCGCCACAGTACTACAATACATATTCAGAACATGCTACTGCTACTGCTGTTACTGGAGACATATTCGCGCCAGAAGCTACAATGTCCATGGCACCGATCAATAAGACAAATGGCTCATCAAATCGAACTCTAAACTCATCGCGTTTTGACCTTCAAAAAAGAGTTTATTCAAACCAGGCATCCTTGAAAAATTCATCACTAATTGCGTTCTTTCTAGCATCTCTCTTTGCACTAGCTTTATGAAGTATTATCATATATTGGTACATACAACTCTGAATGCAATTTTTTGTTTTTACATAAGTCTGATAAGCTAGACACCATTACAGTTTCTTGTGTACGGTATTATCACTACTATCTGCAGTATTAAGACAAATCAATAAAATTTGTGCAACTGCCAATTTCATTGCTTAAAATATCTCAAAAAATGTCATTGCCTTTGACTTTATCTAGAGTTTCATCTTAAATGTATAGGCTAGGAGTTAGGCATACTATTCCCGATTATCAAGAATGTCATGGTTTACTCAATCGTGAATGTGGCTTGAGTAAGGTGGTATTTTCTAATTGTGCTTGTACAGCAAGTGCTGCTAATAAAAATGGCCTGAACTTGATTTACACCAGTCGTGATCTTTCACAAAAATTACGTCACTGGTGAATCGCGTGCATATAGAATTAAATTAACTTTCGATATTAGTACAAACTTCAATTTATGACTGATGGTATTGGCTACATACAATTCGAAGCAGGGCTATGACTTCAATTCTTCAGTAGGTTATGTAGTACACATAAACAATTGTGGGGTTGAGGGGGATATAGCACTCAGCAAACATTACGAGACCACTCTCAATTTTGTATTGCGTTGTGAAATGAGCCACTATGAAAGACTGGTGTTTAAAAGGCAGTACATTGGTATTAACAGCCCTTCTTTGTCATGAAGTGGTGCTCTAACATTTACTAAGAACTAAAGATGGTGGCCATGTAGTTTGAAAGTATTCCTCAATGGCTTTTTACAGGTGCACTGTGATGCATGCTGTATCTGATCTTCTGATGCAACTGATAAAAAACAAAGATAGGAGTATTGCTGTTTCCTTTTCCAGCACTCTTCTTCGTAGCTGGGGTTTTAGTCTTATCTCGAACCTCGACTTTTATTCAACATAAAGGCCTATTTCGGTTTCGCAGTTCAATGCAGTGAGATAATAAACTAACTTCTGCACTATCAGGGTTCAAAAAAAAATAAGTCTCATTGTTTATTCACTGTTTGAATTAATAAAAGCTTTTGGGGGTTCATGGCTCAGCCTTTATAGATCAATTCCCGGTCAGTTTCGTGTACATATAAAAAGGGGCCGCAATTGTACTGTTTTTGTTGTAACATCTTGCTGGAGTCTTTTAATCGAATTATATTTCATGTATTGATGAACATCAACACCAACACGATAATATGAAAGAATTATTATACTTTACATTGCTAGCTGGTGCTCAGGCCTATTTGAAGTTGGACTTTACCAGAGTTCCTAGTGCCAGTGTACTTGAGAAAAGAGCTGACGATTTGAGTCCAGTGCCATTGAGAAATGATGTTGATCAATACATCGTTCAACTAGCTGTCGGTACTCCTCCACAGATGGTATCTGTACAACTTGATACCGGCTCTGCTGACTTGTGGTTCAGTGGTGCTGATAATCCTTACTGTAAGACCAACAAGAAGAAAGCACCAAAGAGTAAGGATTTACAACCTGTTGATAACTCTGGCTTTCCAACAAACCCTGACCAAATTGGGAAGAAGGCAAGAAATTTGGACTGTAAGAAGTACGGTTTCTTCAATATGAGTAGCTCATCAACCTTCAAAAACAATGACACAGATATCTTCTTATATTATGAGGACCTGTCCTTTGTTAGAGGTACATGGGGTACTGATGTGGTTAGTTTGGGTGGATTGAATATCTCTGGTGTTAATTTTGCTGTTGCAGAAATATCTAATTCTAGCAGTGGTGTACTGGGAGTCAGCTTACCTTCTGAGGAGAGTACATATTCTATAAATTCTAACGGAACTACGAATGCTACTAATTACCAGTATTCAAATCTGCCTTTACAACTGAAAGAGCAAGGAATCATCGATAAAGTTACTTATTCCATTTACTTAAATGATACAAAGTCCAAGTACGGTTCTATTCTTTTTGGGGCTGTCGATCACAGCAAGTACACTGGAACATTGTATACGCTGCCATTGGTGAACTCGGAATATGATGTGGTCAATAAGCCTTACGAGCTCGATATTACCTTAAATGGTATTGGTTACCAAAGTATGAGTAGTAATATGACTCTTTATGACCAGAAGGTAGCTGCATTAATCGATTCGGGTACGACCATATCCGAATTTCCAGATGAGATTGTTGAAGTGGTAGCAAAACAGATGAATGCTACAGTGGATCCAAATGGTAATGGTATCAGGCTGGCAAAGTGTCCCAGCAAGAAAGACAATGCAAAATTGTTGTTCAACCTTGGAGGTGCCTTAATATATGTTGACATTAAGGAGTTCACAACGAAGGTTAAGGGCAAGTGCTACCTTGAAATCATCCCAAGTGGTGCAGAGTCCGATCTTGTTATTCTTGGTGACAATTTTATGAGGAGCGTGTACACTGTCTTCGATCTGGAAGCTAACGAGGTATCTATTGCTCAAGCAAACTTCAATTCCTCTTTGCCTGCACAGATTGAAGAAATAAAAAGTACTGTCCCAAGTGCTGTAAAAGCACCACAATACTACAACACCTTTTCAGCTATAGCATCAATTTCCTCTGTCACTGGAGACATTTTTGGCCCAGAGGCTACAGCATACATGGCACCTCCAGCGAATGTTTCTAACTCAAGCAACTCGTCCAACAGTTCTGCGGTCAGTTTGGAGAGAAGAAGCTATGATAATGCTGCCACACCTTTGAGATTGAATTCAATTATTTTGATTGGCGTTGCTGCCATATTAGCTACCATTTTTATGTAAGACCCCTTTTGTAGAGGTTGTTCTTACCGAATGAAATACAGTATACAATATGTAACAGTTAGCGTTTGTAAGAGAACTATTAACAATATTCCTTCAGCAATCACTCATCATTAATTCTTGTGTACTGAAGTTGAGATCAATACTAGATAGGTTTTGTGTGCAATTACATGTGTGACCAAGTGCAATAACTTACAACTACTGTGCAAATGAATATCGTACAGTAGAGGCTTTTCAGTAACATTAATACTTGCTGTTTTATAGAGTAGAAGGCACAATAAGTAATCCAAAAACCTCAGAAAGCAGTTCCATTACGCTTCAAGTTTAATAATTAGTGCCCTTTTGAAAACTGGGCTTTGCAAAGGCCAGATGCAAATCCAATATGGAGCAAATACGTACTTTTATGTCAAGTTAGAACAAATATAATTGCATATCGAATAGTGACTAGATAGAGAAGTAAACAAAGAATTTAACATCGAATATTGGTAATACATAGGCATCTCGAGAGTGTCTGACGATTTTATGGGCAATAAAGAAAGAAAACTTTTTTATGTCAAAAAATTCTCGGTTCTCCGATAACAATGAGACATGGGCATCGAGCTACAGGCACGCATAGTTTTCAGTGGATCACCGATTATCTAATAAGAGGGCTTAGTGGGAATATGGCCAAATGAGTTTCTCTTGTTAGTGCGGGTGAACACAGTTCAAATTACCTTATAATTTTAACGTCGAGTGGCCTTAGGTGCGGCGATAGATCACCATCTTACCTGGTTCACCATCACCCTAGAGGGTGCATCATAGAATTACAAAATTTTCACATATTGGACCCTTCGACTTAAACTTATGAAAGTGTGATGACGTAGCTGCAGTTCAAATCTTGCATATTGTCCTCGTTATCAACTACGTTTTTAATGGGCATCAGCGATGAGGGTTCTCTATTGAGTTTCTCGAGGTTGCTATAGTTTGAAATTAGCAAATCTGTGGTACACAATAGTTATCTTAGACATTTTCGGCATCGTGGCTTGTCTGTTATATGAATTATGGAGGAGCTAAAATTGCTAAGTTTTACTTTCTCTTAACTGAATCAGAACTATAAAAAAGCAGCAGCTGTTCTTCCAATTACTCGATATTTGCATGTCCTCATCCCTTGTAAATATTTCTAGGTAACAAGTAAAAGCAATACATAATAGCAGTTACTCAACATGAGATCCATTGTATTAGTTTCACTTTTGGCTTTTACACAAGCTTATCTAAAGCTAGACTTTGAGAAGACTCCCAAGATCAGCGATGAACTAACGAAAAGAGCTGATAATGATAGCTTTATTGCTCCCCTTTTGAATGGAGGCGAGTTGTATACAGTTCAAATCGCAGTAGGCACACCACCTCAAAATTTGACTGTCCAACTGGATACTGGCTCTTCTGATTTGTGGTTTGTCAGCGCAAGTAACCCATACTGTAAGAACAATAAAAAATTCGCTCCAAAAAAACAAGATCTCATGCCAATCACAAGTGATGATGGATTCCCCACTTCGCCCAACCAAGTTCCCAAGGCTTTGAGAAACATTAATTGTAATAAGTATGGGTTCTTCAACGCTAGCGGGTCTTCAACATACAGCAGGAACGACACCAACTTCTCATTGAGCTACGGTGACGAGACATTTGCTAGTGGCCCATGGGGAACTGACACCATTTCCTTAAATGGTGTAAAGGTAGAAAATGTCACATTCGGTTTGGCTAGTTTCTCAAATTCTACTAATCCAGTGTTTGGCATCGGTTTACCTGGAGATGAGAGTACGTACGCTATGTTCTCTGAAGATACTAATGGTACTACGAACACTCAATATTCGAACTTCCCATTACAACTAAAACAACAAGGTAAAATCGATAAGGTTGCGTATTCGATTTATCTAAACTCTACAAAGTCTAAACAAGGTTCGATTTTATTCGGGGCTGTTGACCATAGCAAATACTCAGGCCCTTTATATACATTACCAATTGTGAATAGGTTTGGACATCTAGTTGAAAACCCATATGAACTGGAGGTTACATTAAGTGGTCTTGGTCTCCAGAGAGCAACATCAAATATTACTCTCTTTGATCAATTACTGCCTGCACTCCTGGATACTGGTACAACCTATACATATATGCCAAGCAGCGTTGCGCAATATCTTGCTAATCAAACAAATGGTGTTATTGATAAGAAAACAAGTTTGATCAAGTTGGCTAAATGTCCAAGTAAAAAATCGAATGACACTATCGTCTTCAATTTCAGTGGAGCTCAAATCAAAATAAAAATGGTTGATTTTGTTGAGAAACATAAGGGCAAATGTTACTTGCCATGTGTTTCTCAGGAGAGCAGTTTTTTCCTTCTTGGTGACTCCTTCATGAGACACGTCTACACTGTCTTCGATTTGGACGACAAAGAAATCTCTATTGCGCAGGCCAATTTCAATTCAACAAAAGAGGATATCGAAGAGATATCTAGTACTGTTCCAAGTGCGGTGAAAGCGCCTCAGTACTATAGCTCCTATGTTGATTTCCCAACCGAAATATCAGTGACTGGTGACATATTTGCCCCTCAGGCAACAGAGTTTGTTCCAAAGCCAAATAACACCAATAACAAGACCAATTTCACCCAAGATCTTCTAGACATAGAAAATATGCTTTTGAGGAGGCATTACGAAAACAGAGCTACTACATTGTCAACAAGTCTGCCAATATTTTTGATTGCTTTATCAGCAGTTACTGCCTTGTTTTTGTAACCAATACTTACGTTAATGAATACCTTGTACTTTCTGTATTTTAAATAAAATGTTATTAGTACTGTTTAAAAGTTTGTTAGCAAATATGAGCGTTGTCTTTTTAATATTGCGTGTGACGGCGTTGTTGAAAAGCATGTTTGTTAGTGTTTCAACTCGACAGTTACGAGATGAATTTTGTAAAGTATTATAGATATACAAATATTTATAGACCAGCGTTATACTATTCACACTTCCGTTCTTTTGTACAACATCATGTTTTCAAAGGAATTTGAATTGATGTTGAAGCACGCCTAGATTTTCTAATATTAAACTCAAAAAAAAACACAAAGTTGTCAAAGAAAAAGACTAGTTTCTCACAAAACCCTACGGAATAACACTCTGAGATATTGAAAAAACATTTTTATACTCAAACCAATGAATTGTAGTAATATATAGTTTTATCATTCTAAGATTTAATTTATGCGCAGAATAAATTTTTCGTAAATCATTATTCTCAGTATATCATTGCAGAGGGCCATTATGATTTACACTATTAATTTTCTACGCATTTTTTCTTGCATAAGCTTGTGAGACATTAGTAGATTTTCGATGACTATAGTTGATCATCATTGCGTCTTTGGGAAATAGCATGCCTATTTTCAATGAGAATGATAAGATAAAAGAAAAGGGGGGAGAATTATAGTGGGTTCACCCATTCCGGTAAAAATAACTGCCAATATATTCTGGAACATTGTGTGTTCCTTAGGAAAGATATATAGATAAATGCAGCATATGTGCATTGAGCGTTTTTTATTAAACCCTTACATTGTGCTTGCATAGCTTTTCAAGAACACATTTATCTGCTATAGTTTAATCTAAAGTGCTTTTTAAATCACCTCGCTCACATTCTTAGTGGAATCGATTTATGCAGCCATCGCCCCTTTCTAATCATTGATGTTACACATCTCATATGTCCATTAGCCATTTTTTATTGGGTAAATATTTACTAATCAAGTCTATTGAGATTTTATAGGAGTTGCAGTAAAACTAGCAGTGGATTCATAGTATGAGGGAATTGAAATTTTAGGCTGGTCGTAATTGCATCGTATACATATTTTTGATGCATCACCAATCCACTTTCTCTTCTATCTCTTACCAAGTCGCATTAAAGAAATTACAATTGGACATTATAAACAACACATTCCGGAATGGATATCAAATTTCAAGCGATACATATATAAAGGTCAACTACATCACCTTGTTTTCAATTATTACTTTATGGTAAGTCAATAAGTTAATATTTCAGCTACTTTTGACAAAAGTTCTTGAAATCAATAAATCATCTCGCTATGAAATATACACTGCTACTTAATTTGATATCGTGTGCCCAGGCACTGTTGAAGCTTGATTTTGAGAAAGTTCCAGAGCAGAATCTAGCATTGAACAAGAGAGACGACAAAGGTTTGCAATTGGAGCTCGAAAACGGTGGTCTCTTGTATGCAGTTCAGTTGTCAGTTGGAACACCACCGCAAAATATTACTGTACAGTTGGACACAGGCTCTTCGGATTTGTGGTTCACAAGCGAAGCTAACCCATACTGTAAAAACAATAGAAAACACAGTCCTAAAAAGTCACAAATAGAACCACTAAATGATGCCGATTATCCAACTTCTCCTAATCAAATACCCAAATCTTTAAGAGATATCGACTGTAAGGCGTTTGGGTTTTTCAACACAAGTAAGTCTTCGACTTATAAAAATAATGGTACCAATTTTACACTAAGCTATGCTGACACTACTTTTGCAAGTGGTCCATGGGGAGTTGATACTTTATCTTTCAATGGCGTGAAGGTTGATAACGTCACGTTTGGCTTGGCTGCTTTCTCAAACTCGACTACTCCAGTCTTTGGAATTAGCTTGCCAGCTAGAGAGACAACAAATCAACTTGCTGCCAATGGCTCTAGAATTGGTCCTAACTCTTACGAATATTCTAACTTTCCTATGCTACTTAAGGAGCAAGGTATTGTTAAGAAGATTGCATATTCTGTGTATCTAAATGATACACGCTCCAAATATGGGTCTATTTTATTTGGTGCTGTTGATCAGAGCAAATATATCGGAACATTGTATACCTTACCTTTGGTAAATTCCTTGTACAAACAAGTATCAAAGCCATTTCAATTTGAAATAACACTTAATGGCATTGGATTGCAGACAGCAGACAAGAACTACACCTTATATGACCAGAAATTAGCGACATTGTTAGACACTGGAGTTACAACTTCTGTGTTACCAGCAAAGGTTGCAGCACTTGTTGCATCAAAGGTAAATGGTACGATTGATGATGACAACGGCTTCATTAAGTTAGACAAGTGTCCTAACAAGAAAGAAAAGCGGACCGTGGTCTTTAACTTTGGCGGAGCTGAAATTAGTATTGATATTCGTGACTTGACAAGAAAAATTAAAGGTAAATGCTATTTGCAGATGCAAGCCAGAGATGACATTGAATTTGCAGCATTGGGTGATATTTTCCTAAGGCATGTTTATGTGGTTTACAATTTGGAAGACGAAGAAATTTCGATCGCTAATGCAAACTTTAACTACAGCACTCCTGATATCCAAGAAATTGTTAGCACTGTACCTGGTGCAGTGAAAGCTCCCCAGTATTATAATACATATTCGGTATATCCAACTGCGACTGCGGTTACTGGAGATGTATTTACACCGGAAGCAACCATGTCCATGTCCAACAATTCGGTTGCTCTCCGTAAGAGAACTACATTAAAACCACTGAGATGAAACATGTACAAGAAGATCGAATATTGGTTTAAAAGAATAATGTATGTAGGTTTATACAAAAATTAAAGTATGTACAAAATTAAAATACCAAATGGACTCATAATATATGAAATGTATTAGTTTTTTATTAGAAAGTTTACAATAACAAAGTCATTGCAACTAACACTAAAGTGGTGCTGATTTGTAAAATGCCAGCAGTGTTACTGTAAGCATCTCTCTTAGCGTGGTCATGGCCAGAGTGGTCATCATCGATAATCTTCTTGTCATCAGATGGGACACTAGTGTCAATACTTGAAGTGGAAGAAGACTTGCTCTTCAAGCTCTCTAGAACAGAAGAAGGTGGTTCCATGGAAGCAGTGGCGGTGCTTGCGAAGATGTCGTTGGTGACAGTGCTTGGCAAGTTAGAAGAAGCGAAGGTATTGTAGTATTGTGGAGCCTTGACAGCGCTAGGGACGTCACTTATGATAGCTTCGATTTGCAATGGAGCGGAGTCATTACCGTTGGCTACAGCAAATGAAACTTCCATATCTTCCATGTTGAAGACAGAGTATACGTGTCTCATGAAGATGTCACCAAGCAACATACCGGTCTTACTTAGCTCTTCATGGTAACGAATTTCCAAGTAGCACTTACCCTTACGCTTCTCGACCATGTTCAACAAGGAAACAGGGATCTCTGCACCAGCAAAGTTGAAGATAAGCTCGCTGTTGTCCTTGGCGTTTGGGCATTTCTTCAGCTTGATACCACCTGTCTTAGAGTCAATGGTACCGTTGACTCTCTTAGCGATGACATCGACGACTTGCTTTGGTGCGTAGGCCAAAGTGGTACCGGTGTCTAGCAAGACAGGGATCTTTTCACCCCACAAGGTGACGTTCTTCTTGTCGTCACGGAACCCTAGACCATTCAAGGTGATTTCAGGTCTTGAAGTGGTGGTCTGATTCAAAGTCAAGAGGTTGTTGACCATAGGAACGGTCCACAAGGTGCCTTGGTATTTACTGTGGTCGACACCACCGAACAGGATGACACCTTTCTTGGAGTTAGTGTCGTTCAGGAAAATGGAGTAAGAGACCTTCTTGATGGTCCTGGTACGCTTTAGCGCGATAGGGAAGTTGTCGTACTGGTAGTGTTCCTTGTCGATAAGAGAGCCTGGGGATGGGTCGTCGGTCGTCTCCTCTGCTGGGAAACCGACACCGAGGACACCCATGCTGGCGTTAGCGATGTTGGCCAGCGCAAATGTGATATTAGAGACGTTGTGGTGGTTCAGCTTGAAGGTGTCTGTGCCCCACATACCGGAAGCGTAAGTACCGTCTTCGTACTTGACGAAGAACTCAGAGGAGTCGTTGCTCTTGAAAGAAGAGGACATGGAGCTGTTGAACAGGCCGAAGGCATCACAGTCGAAAGTTCTCAGCTTCTTAGCGACTTGGTCGTTCTCAGTAGCGAAACCAGTGGCGGGCAGCGCCTTGACCTTCTTTGGCGCAAGCTTGGCGTTGCGCTTACAGTACGGGTTGCTAGCGACAGGGAACCACAGGTCGGAGGACCCGGTGTCCAGCTGGACAGTGACGTTCTGTGGCGGAGTACCGACGTGCAGCTGCACGGTGTACATCAGGTCACCGATCTGCTCGATGGGGACGTCCATGGCGTTTGCGACACCGTTGGAGGTGTGTCTCTTGGCCAAGGCGACGTCCTGGGCAGTCTGACGTTCGAAGTCCAGTTGCAAGTAGGCCTGTGCGACAGCAGCGAACAGCAAGAATTTCATCTTTGTATCTTAAAAGCAGTTCTTGTTGGCTATATGAAGTGTTATTACATAGTGCATCTGACAAGAGTATTACTCTCTGCAGCCATACGTTTATATACCAAGGATTTTTGCAGCACCAGGATTCGGGTGCTTCTGTTATATTAGCTCATTTTTTATGAGCTAATATAAATTGTGCCAATATACATGTCAATCATGAGCTAATACAAAGCTAATACAATGAGCTAATATACATTTGTCCCTGGAATATGAGTCTTTTTACATTGGAGGAGGAGGTTATATGTGCTCAGAATCGCGTTGTAGGTGATCCAACGTGGGCATTGTGTTGCGATAGTCTAAGACGATCTTGATGAGTTGTGAGTTCTTGTGTCCAGTTATTGGAAGACATGATGATAGAGCGATTCAGAAACTCTAAGGGTATTATACAGACTATACTGGTTGTTCTCTTGTTATTATACGGAATAAGATACTAGAACTTCGGTTTAACTGAATAGAGATGAGGGCTCCTTTTATACCTTTAGTCTTTGGATAAACTGGTTCTAAGAAGCCCTAACTCAATTGGTTTTCACCTGTAAGATGATAGTCGGTTACCGGCCTATATCTTATCTTATCTTTTATAGGCTATCTTCTGCACCGGTATGAGCGGTATAATGCCTGGCGTCATTGTCGTTTAAGACGCTCATATTCGTGGGCACGGTATGATCATATGATCATCTGTTAGAATAATAATTTCGAGTTACTCCCCCTCTAGAGGGGGGTGTACACACATACACAGAGAGGTGCCAGAGCTGTCAAAGGTTCAGGGATTATAACACTGCATCATCAATACTCTTGCGCGACACACACCAGCCAAAGCATATACACAGGGTACACCTCGGTATACCTCGGTATACCCTGTGTTAGCCCACATCACTCTATACTAACACGGTACTGCCCACCCGGGACTCGCCGGTCGAAATGAAAAAGCTCGGCTGAACGGAGAGTGTGGAGAGTTCCGGAGAGGGGCGAAGCAGAGCAGTAGAGAAGCAGCGCAGTAGAGAAGCAGAGCAGAGAAAGGAGGGGAGGGGAGAGACACCCCTCACTCGAGTACCCCCATCTCCACAGAATACAACGCACACGGGTAATTAACCGGAACCATCCGACCATCCGACCACCCGATCCCCACATGTCGCCAATAAACCGGTGTTCTCCTTGGCTGCGTGCTTCGTACTGCCTTGACTGCGTATTGCCTACTCTATTACCGGTTCAATGGAGGACTCTGCAATCTCCGTTCCATTCATCCGCATCCCCTCCTCCCTTTGTATATAAAGCGACTCGACTCGAGACTTTTCCTTACAACTATTAACTATTAACTAATAACTCACAACTACAACTACAACTACAACTACAACTAACAAACAAACAAACACAACTACAAACACAACTACAAACACAAATACAATGCCTCATATTACTGGAAACAACGAAGCTGATCTGAAAGTGTCTATTCTAGGTGCCGCAGGCGGTATCGGGCAGTCGCTGTCGCTGCTGGTGAAGACGCAATTGCAAGTGCTCGCTGGCTCTGCAGACAAGAACCTGAAGCTAGCACTTTTCGATGTCAACAAGGACGCTGTCAACGGTGTTGGCACAGACTTGTCGCACATTGACACGCAGGTCGAGGTGTCCATGCACAACCCACAGGAAGGTGACGGTATCAACTCGTGTCTGAAAGGCGCTGACATCGTGGTGATCCCTGCCGGTGTGCCAAGAAAGCCAGGTATGACCCGTGACGACCTGTTCAACATCAACGCCAAGATCATCACACAGCTGACCGACTCCATCCTCGAGAACTGTGACTTGACCAGGGTGGTCGTGCTGCTGATCTCCAACCCAGTTAACTCCTTGGTCCCAGTTATGGTCAACAGAATGAGCCAGAAGGTGAACCACAAGAACACAGGCATCGAGAAGAGAGTCTTCGGTGTCACGAACCTGGACCTGGTCAGAGCCTCCACTTTCCTAAGAGAAGTCTCCGAGGACAAGATCGAAAAGATGCCTTACGTGCCAGTCATCGGTGGCCACTCGGGCGAAACAATCATCCCACTGTTCTCCCAGAACCCTCACTCCAAGGCCGTGCCATCTGAGAAACTCGGCCCACTGGTACACAGAGTCCAATACGGTGGTGACGAGGTCGTCAAGGCCAAGAACGGCGCGGGTTCCGCTACTTTGTCCATGGCCCACGCCGGCTTCCAGTGCGTGGTCAAGTTCGCTAAGCTGTTCCTAGGTGGCGAAAAGGAGTTCAAAGGCACTTACTACATCTCCTTGAAAGACTTCAACAACCAACCCATCGCTAAGAACGCCGACGCTTTGCTCCCACTGGTCAACAACGTCCCATTCTTCGCTCTGCCAATGACATTGACCCTGGACGGTGTCCAGTCTGTCGACAGCGACATCATCGAAAACATGAACATCCACGAACGCAAGGAACTACTGCCAATCTGTCTAGACCAACTAGAAAAGAACATCGCTAAGGGCCTAGACTTCTCTGCATAATTTCACCCATCCTACAAAGCTCCCCATCTAGCACACAGGCAAGCTCGAATAGCATTAAAGAAAAAATAATTAAAACAATATTTCACCCCACAAATCGAGCAGGAAAACCAGTATTATATATTCTTATAAATAAAAACTATGTTCTCAAAAAACTTACCAGATTATTTAAGCAAACATGCCACCCTCTAAATAGTTAATATTCTTTCTAACAGCGTTATTTTCTCTTCTTCTTTTTTCTTCCTCTTCTGAATGCCCTTCCCTACAATCGAATACTCTTATACCTCTCGAATACTCAAATCATGTCATACGTGTTTCTTTCTCCCAGGATGAAAAAATAATGCCAAAAGGAAGGATTGTAAACAAGGATTACGATAAAAATAGCTGAAGCCAACAGGGTCTGGCTTACTTCTGTTAGTTTGTAAGGCGGTCAGGAACCATTGGGATCGATCGATTTGGTTTGTGTGTATAGGCAGGAGTACAATTGGTTTAGACCTTGGGCTTTTGCGCGGAGTAACGGGAGAAATCTGTTAACTGGAAGGCAAGTAATATAGCAAAGTAATATTTTTTGGCTGCTCGATTCCAATACTGAGAAAGAGGAATAGTGTGTTCTATATCTACTATTGAACAAGTTAGTAATAAATAAAATGAGCCACGAGGAAGTTCACGACGAGTTTATCGCGGAGGATGTCACTCCGAATAGACCAGATGAGACGCGGGGGGAGAACGGTGCTCCCAGACGCATGCTGGTGCGTGAGCATAGGAAGATAGGGCGTGGTGCTTTTGGTACAGTGGTCCAGGCTTATTTGACTCAGGACGAGCAAACATGGTACGGCCCATTTGCTATCAAGAAGGTACCTGCACAAACAGAGTACAAATCCCGTGAGTTGCAGATTCTTAGGTTGACTGACCACCCAAACATCGTTAAATTGGAATACTTTTTTACACATACTTCTCCAAAGGACAACAAGGTATATCAGCATCTAGCCATGGAATGCTTACCAGAGACTTTGCAAATAGAAATAAATCGATATACTTCTAACAACTTACAGTTGGCCATCAAACATGTCAAGTTATACAGTTACCAGATCGCTAGAGGTATGTTATACTTGCATGCATTGGGTATATGTCACCGTGATATTAAACCATCCAATATCCTAGTTGATCCGAAGACGGGCGTTCTAAAGATATGTGATTTCGGCTCCGCAAAGAGACTTGAACCGAACCAGCCATCTATCAGCTATATTTGCTCTAGATTTTACAGAGCTCCAGAACTTATCCTGGGTTCCACACAATATACCACCCAGGTTGATATTTGGGGTCTGGGATGTGTCATCGGTGAAATGCTAATCGGTAGAGCCATCTTCCAAGGCCAGGATCCACTTCTACAGTTACGGGAGATAGCAAAGCTACTAGGACCACCAGATAAAAAGTTTATTTTTTTCTCCAACCCACGTTACACAGGCCCATTATACTCGACACCTTTGTTCAATGGTACCTCTTTGGAGAGATTTCAAAAATACTTCGGTCATGCAGGACCGGACGGTATTGATTTGCTGATGAAGGTATTGAAATATGAACCAGAGCTAAGATTTTCCCCAAGAAGGATTATGGCTCATCCATTTTTCGATGACTTGAGAAACGAGAAATACTTTTTCCCAAGAGAGCAGACACAACCAGTGTTGTTGCCGGAGTTATTTAATTTCAACGAGTTTGAATTGCAAGTGATAGGTGAACTATTGCAACAAATTAAACCACATTCTGAGGAGCATTGAAATCAATTGAGAGGCAATGGTGAAATTTATTTTATTTCGTATATTTTATTCTTACGGTCTAGTGAGGTTGTCACAGTTGTTTTTTTTTTCTCTTATTGAGTCTCTACTTTATGCTTTTTATCACATATATGAAGTTGAACGACCCAAACACTACTTTTACCTTGCAAATAAATGCAATAGTTTTTTAGTTGTATCTCAAGGTAAGTCTGCTATGTCTCGAAGTTATTAGAGTTTGCTCTGAGCTGGGTACATACTGACACATCAGCATATAATCGTTAACACAGGTTTGATAGATCTTTATATTATGAAACATGTATTCCGTATAAACTGTCTCTTTCACATTGGGAAACTATGAGATAATGTGAGATAGAAGTAAATCTGCTTCTAGGTTTTTATAATGACTACTATTTGATTTTTTTGACTTTACCAGTTTAGTGTATCTGATAATAAAAAACAAAATCATAGTTTAATAGAATAGACCACAGAATAGTAATGCTTGATAAAGTGCTTTTGACAAGATATAATTTCATTTCTAAAAGAATACTTTATGTTCGACAGATTTTTGTACACATAATCGTAATCAGCAAAGGATGCCACAAAACTATTTGTCAGTGTAAATTCTTAATGAACTTGACAAATCTATCAATAAATAGTTTTCCTTATCGATGCCATTTTTTATAGTTTCAGGTTACATAAATGCAAGCATTGCTTGAGTTCTGTTGATAATGTATATAAATCTAATATGAAGTATGTCAGCTGTAATATGTTTGTCTTAACATCAAATCAGTTCAAATTTTAGACGCAGAATTTTATTTCTGAATTTCCTTATTTATAGGATTTATAAACATCTCTTCAGTAGATTTTTTTTTAGCAACTCTTTTATTATGTATTTAGTATACAATATCTAATTCGGTTTCGCCTTGATCTGAAATTGATAATGCCAATGTTGACCTCAAATAAATTCCTTGATTGTTTCCCTATATGATTATTATATCAGTAGTATTACAAAATTTGCATAGGTCCAAGACAAAAAGATGTCATTTATATAATACGATATATTTCTTATTTGACATATCAACATATATATTCCAAAACATAGGTAGCTTTGGCTTAAAATATATTGTAAAAAAACGCTCGCTTCTTGTAATAAATTTTTCATCCACTAATGGATGTAATTTTTATAATATCAATTCCAAGGTATTATATTTAATTACATCTAAAAAATAGGAAAGTTAAATTTACTGATGTTTGTGGGGATGCAATGAAAGAGCAGCTTTGGGAAAATACTAAATTTTATCAAGAGTATTTAGCCAAGTGTCTTGTATGTATTTAGAAGGTACTGAAATACAATAGTTAAAAATTTGTTTCATAGATATCCATATATGAAGATGGTATTGTACTGGATTCAACAACTATTCAATGAAAACATCACTTTCGAATATATAGCTGTTATATTGATCACTACTGATACAGTAAGAATACATTCACCACAGTTCTTGATTAGTAGTAACTTTGCCACTTATATGAATTATCTTTAGAACGATAGAACATTACTTATCGAAGATGCCTATTAAGCTAAAAATGGATACTATAATATAAACAAATGTATTATTTGTTTCTTGTGTTGGATTTTCACACCAAATCTAGCAATTATGAACAATTCTTCATCAAACGTAAAAGAAAGGGCTCAATTTTAACAGAAGTTATCCAGTGCAGACAATCTGGTATACGATATTTTGTGATGTAATTTCAGGACGTGCCTACTGGACTTTTATTCCGCAGTAACAATCATGTATAGTGATTAATAAATGCATGGCACCATCTGAAAGGAAGTTTGCACGGGCTGATGAATCACATATCCAATCAATACTCACACCATTCCTAAAAAGAGAAACACAGTTACTAAAAGAATCATAACCTCTGATTTGTTGGCCTTGATCTTAAAACCAGAACCTTGTAAAACAGAAGCTATTTGAGTGTCCGATGGCCCTCCGGTATGGCTGATGTTAACAGCGGAGCTTGACGGTATTAATAATGCAGTGGTCCCTAAATCGCTGGAGGTCTTTCCTAGCTGTTGCAGCCGTGACTGTGCTGTATGTGTATTCTGGTTATCATTTGTCGAACTCACGGAAGCATCATTCTCAGCGCCGCTTTGAACCGGCATTGATCCAAATGTCGGCGTGTTCTCGGTAGGACGAGCAGAAACATCGGATGGCCTAGATCCCCTAGAGATAACTGGACGTGATGAACTATGAACAACTGAGATTGAAGCAGATGAGGCATGTGGTTTAGACATTTGAGGTAGCATAATACCCACAGATGATACATTTTCGCCATATTTAGAACTGTCCCTCGCAACTTCCTGTGGCACAGAACTCGATGCAGAAGTAGTACTATAAGAAGGCTTGTTTATCGGCCCTGCGAATCCTAAAGTATTTGTGATTATCAATGACACTGAAGGGATAGTATTGCGTCCACTAGAAACTGAAGTTCCATTAACAGAAGATAATCCGTGATTCTCATTACCGTTGGCTGGCGTCTTTGTAGTGACGACCGTGTTTCCAGAATTGCTAGAGATAGTGCTTTGCGAATCCACTGTAGTATAAGGATTCTCCTTGGAAACAACTGAAGTAGGGTGATTCGATTTAACGTCTAACTCAGAATCCACTAACAACCAATCGTTACTGAATATGGTGGTCGTGTATGTAATGGTCTTCCCATCAGAGTCTGTAGTTGTGACATGAGATACTACCTCCGTGATCGTGTGCCCATCTGATATGATCGTCGTCGTGTAGTCGGCTTCTCCAGGTGTGATGGTCGACACAGTCGTTGTGCCAGTACGGGTCACTCCATCCTCGCCTTCAGATGGGAAGTAAGAGATCACAACAGTCTTGCTACTGCCGTCATCCTCAGTAATTGTACTCGTCACGACTGGTGGCTGTGAGTAAGGTGCAGCTGACGTGAACACACCCTCATCTACTTGATCATATGACGCCATCGTGGTGATGTATGTAATGGTCTTCCCATCAGAGTCTGTAGTTGTGACATGAGATACTACCTCCGTGATCGTGTGCCCATCTGATATGATCGTCGTCGTGTAGTCGGCCTCGCCGGCCTCGCCGACTTCACTTGGCTTCAATGGGATCGTAGTGGTAATCGTCGTAGGCTTGCCGTCAGAGTCCTTCGTAGTGATGTGCGAAACAAGGTCGGTCTCAAACTCACCGTTGCCCTTGTCAATCGTCGTCGTGTAATCAGCCTCACTCTCAGGTAAAACATCTTTCATGCTAGAAGATAAATGAGGTGCTTCTGCGTCAATATATTCCCTAGTTGCATTGAACAGTGTGCTGTCAGTAATAATCTCACCCTTATCATTCGTGGTGATGAAGAACGAGATCCAGTCGGTCTCAACATAGTCCGCGGCAGTGGTGGCGGTGATCGTCACAGGTGGCGGACTGTACGTCCTGGTGCTGCTAGTGGTGATCAACCCACCAAACTCGTTGGTGGTCGTCCAGTAGCTGATGACCAGGTACTCAGTCACTTCGTTGCCCAGATCAACAGTCTTGGTCTCGGCAGGAGGTGCAGGCCCGAACGACGTGTGCGGAGCCTCAGGCAAGTTGTAGTCACGCGTAGCATTGAACAGTGTGCTGTCAGTAATAATCTCACCCTTATCATTCGTGGTGATGAAGAACGAGATCCAGTCGGTCTCAACATAGTCCGCGGCAGTGGTGGCGGTGATCGTCACAGGTGGCGGACTGTACGTCCTGGTGCTGCTAGTGGTGATCAACCCACCAAACTCGTTGGTGGTCGTCCAGTAGCTGATGACCAGGTACTCAGTCACTTCGTTGCCCAGATCAACAGTCTTGGTCTCGGCAGGAGGTGCAGGCCCGAACGACGTGTGCGGAGCCTCAGGCAAGTTGTAGTCACGCGTAGCATTGAACAGTGTGCTGTCAGTAATAATCTCACCCTTATCATTCGTGGTGATGAAGAACGAGATCCAGTCGGTCTCAACATAGTCCGCGGCAGTGGTGGCGGTGATCGTCACAGGTGGCGGACTGTACGTCCTGGTGCTGCTAGTGGTGATCAACCCACCAAACTCGTTGGTGGTCGTCCAGTAGCTGATGACCAGGTACTCAGTCACTTCGTTGCCCAGATCAACAGTCTTGGTCTCGGCAGGAGGCGCAGGCCCGAACGACGTGTGAGGAGCCTCAGGCAAGTTGTAGTCACGCGTAGCATTGAACAGTGTGCTGTCAGTAATAATCTCACCCTTATCATTCGTGGTGATGAAGAACGAGATCCAGTCGGTCTCAACATAGTCCGCGGCAGTGGTGGCGGTGATCGTCACAGGTGGCGGACTGTATGTTTTCGTTGCTTCTGTAGTTATCACTGAACCCACTTCATTTGTTGTAGTCCAGTAGCTGATGACCAGGTACTCAGTCACTTCGTTGCCCAGATCAACAGTCTTGGTCTCGGCAGGAGGTGCAGGCCCGAACGACGTGTGCGGAGCCTCAGGCAAGTTGTAGTCACGCGTAGCATTGAACAGTGTGCTGTCAGTAATAATCTCACCCTTATCATTCGTGGTGATGAAGAACGAGATCCAGTCGGTCTCAACATAGTCCGCGGCAGTGGTGGCGGTGATCGTCACAGGTGGCGGACTGTATGTAATTATTTTAGTACTCGTCCCATATGGATGCTCTTTATCATCTTGAGGAACTGGGAAATAATCTAGTACATGATATTCCGTCACTCCATTTCCTAAGTCGACTGTCTCGGTTGTTTCGCGTAGTTGGTTATAAATTGTTGAACTAATCGTTACCGGAGAGGGCTTGTTATCTATTCCAAGTGTTCCTGACACAATGATCTCGATAATTTCAGTGGTATACTCATCAGACTTCGTTGTCGTGGTAGATGAGTATTGAAAGGACTCATAAAAGTATACCGCTAACTCCTTCTTGTATTTGCTAAAGTCTAGACCATCGAAGCCTACAAATGAGTCGATTCTGTCGCCTTTGTAGTATCCAATATTCAGGGCGCTATCACCATGCACTGTCACAGTTTGTGATGGGTTGGAATGCAAAATCCTTACATCGGAATTGTCAGTAGATACACTAATCTCGTCTTCTTTGGTAGCATCATTGTCGTAGAAATAGTAGAACAGGTACTGATGAGCATCGCTTATATCGGTATCTGCTGTGTATTTATAGCCTGTCAGTGTGATGCCGTCTTGCCCCGCTGGCAATGCCACTAGATATTCATAGTTTGTTGGCCTACGAATTGGCCCCATGCTCAGATCCAAAGTGATTGGTGATACAACGGAATACCCAATATACCCCAATGTATGCAACACAGCATTATTTGTGAATGCAAACATATCATTATAAACAGCCAGTATCCCCTCACATGTTATTTCACCAGTTAACTTATCTACGCCATAGGATGGGGTATTCGGGTTAGTTTTTGCTAATCCACTTACTCCAAAGTCCACTCTCCAAATAACTTTATCAAACTGAGATCCTGTCTTACTGCCCGGTGACAGCACTTCAAATTTTCCGGCAATGATCATAAGTGAAACCAACACGTATGGAGGTTTATATATAAATTGATCTAAGGTACTACCAGCAAAACGAATATGTGGGGATTCTCCTTGGTAGTTTGGTATACTATTTTTTATGGTTGGAAGAGTGACACTTACAGTATTGCCCTTATAGACCTGAATCCCACTACTATTTGCATAAATATCAAAAACAAAATTGTTCACAGCATCGGCCTCATCCTCATAGGTGTTTCCGCTACCATCAAATATGAATTTTGACTCATTTTCTAGATCAAATACACCGCCCAATGTAAAGTTAAATTTCCTACTAGCGCCAATAGGAGGAATAATAGTAACTGATGATTTTTCCTGGATAAGAACACCCTCCTTAATGCTGATATGAGCAAAATTCTTTAAAGTTAAACTTGTATTAACTAAAGATAATATTTTATCCCTGGGAATAGTAAATTCCTCGGTGCCCATACCATCCAGTACTATCGTCTTATCTTTATAGAAATTAGGATACACCGTAGCGCATGCCCAGGATAAAATGGCCACAAATGTAGCAAACACACTTAGATACTTCATCAGGGATATGGTTGCTTGTGCCCCAATGTGTCTAGTATGTTCTTAAAAACTGTAATACTTCTTAAAACACCGAATTTGGAACAGTAGGTCAGTTGTTTTATCTTACTTTTTATTCATGTAATGAAAGTCAAAAAGATAAAAGATTCATATTAGAATAATTTGGAATTTGGCGAATACACATAACACTTAAATATGTAAGTGAATGGTGCCCGAATTTCGAAACATCAGTTAAAGGATTTACCGAAGCTAGGCCATTAGCTTTGTTGAGCAATCCAATAATTGACTAAACCATAATATAGGCTAAGACCCTTGCACATAGCAACAGACCCTCCAGTACAGGTTAGGATTTCCCATACAATGAAAACATGGAAAAGAAAAGCAAAGATATCGGGATCCGACTAGTGGTGATAACAACCATGGCTCGCGCTTTGGAACACATTATGAATAGGATTATATCAGAAATAACCCAGTCCCTTCCGAAGAAGCTTGGTGAACAGTTCAACGTATGGCCAGATTAATTAACAGAAGTGCGTACAAGCATTTTCTCTGGTTCACGAAATGCAAGTCGTCCCCTTAGTCACCACAGACTCCGTAAATATGTCTCCTTCTATTCAACTTCGTTAAACTTTGTTAAGCTCGAATAGCTCAATAGTGACCGAATCCTGGAAAGGCCGAGACTCGAGACTCGAGAGATACCGTTAGGACGGCGAGATATCATTGTCTGTTGTAAGTCTCTCTGAAACAGTCGCATGTATAGAAAAGCAAAGAAGCCTCCTTGCGTAATAGATTTAGATGAATAACACCGACCAGACATACCCATTCCCCCCTCAATCAATGTTGCTACAGTGTGTTCCCTGTGCAGTTAAGTGTCCCGAATCGCAGCAGTCTTACCAGACAGGCCCGACCAGCGCTGATTTGCAAACTCCCGAGGATTTACCAAATTTTCACATTCTATGCCTCGGGTGTTCGGCAAGTTGAAGGGAGACGAGGGGGGAAGGGATCGCTAGCAGCTTAGAATATGTCGTAGGGGAGGGAGGGGAATGGCCCCAGTGGGGAAGCCCACGCTGTGGCACTGCGCAAGAGTATGTGCTTCTAGATACGCGTACGCCAAGCTGCTAACGCTCTCTGCTTGCAAGTTGACGACAAATAAGAGCATATGCTCCAAGGGGCTATTGTCTATGTTCACAATGACTCTTCATAACGGAGATAAATTAGCCGAATCGAAAAGCTTCATCCTTGGTATTGGGACGGATTTCGTCACCGTTACGATGTGTGGTCTTGGTCTTGAGTTCTTCTCTGATTAGCTCTCAGCTTTCGGAATGTATTAATTAACTGATAATTAATAGAGTTGTCTTCAATTATATTTCAGAGTAATGACTACAGTGTTGCACGGCCATGGAAATGTTATTTATTTTAGTTTGTGATTTTAGTCATGGCAATGTAATTTAAATTTCTCAGGAATTAATATTAGGACAAAAGGGATGATCGGTGTAGCAAAGTTCCTAGTTATCAGTAGAGATATTCCATAGGCCGCTACGCTATACTACTGTACAGAGACAACGTATAATGAAAATGCGTTATCGATTTGCTAGTACACATAAAATGTTTCATTAATCCCAGCATGAATCTAGCCCCAGATATGTCGTAGACTCAAAAACATCTTGTTTCATTCGTAACACAGTTCTGGTTATGGTATGAAAAAAATTAACTTGGTCACCTTTGGTAAATCCTTTTAATCTACGATGGCTATAGCTTTACGACCGATAGAGGAAGTAATTTATCCCAGTTCTTGGTCATTAATAATAAATCCATTAAATATTTCTTAAAGTGGTTATCATATTGTGAAAAGAGAGGTTTTAATATGTAGATTATGTTTCGCTTTATGAATTAAGATTAAAGTATGAGTAGTATTTGTAACTAAAAAAGAAAATATAGCTCCTACTTTATTTCTTCAGACCCAACAATCCTTAGATAACACAGGTTCTAGCCTGTATACAATTATATGGTGTATTTACGATGATAATGATTGTTCAACTAACTTAGAGAACACAGTCTTTTCAATGTTTAGTTTTCATAAGAGGTGCTTTTTAGTCCTTCCTTGTGTATGTATACTAATTATATCTTTGTATTAAAGTGAGACTAAGAAATTTTTAATTGCCGGCTTTCCGAAATACAGTTGAGAGTACCAACATATCGTTACAGCAGTTACAAAGTGAGGTTGTATGAATATTCATCTTCAATATTTTGTGCAACCCATAGAACAACACAACTTAGCATCACACATGCGTTTGAGACCACATTTTCGATACCCATCCCTAATGTTGGGAATGATATGTAGTCTCTCACAATATACTTTATAATCAAAATTACTAGAGAACCAGAAATGCCACCAGCTAGTAGTGCAAACCCCAGAAACAGCACAGATCTAGCTTGCCATGCCAATTGTGAATCCATGTTCATACCCCCGAACATACCATTGTCACCAGATAAAGCCCCTTGCAAAAGCCTGTTCTTCTCAATCGAGTTTACTATCAGCATACCAAACGTGCTGCAAAGAAACGGGACCCAATCCACAAAAGTAATATGTAAATCTGAAGCATTATTATACTTGGAAAACAGCACCGAGTCTATAAATGCCCAGAACCCTAGGGCATAGAGTACACCTGCCAAGTATACACCAATCGTGCGCATACCATCAAAGGATGGCAAGTGAAAAGGAAACCTAAATAAATGTTGAGGTTCTTCGTCCATATTTGTATTATCTGTATCTGGTTTATTCTACTACGATAAACAGTTCTTGCTTCACTTTTATAGTTTTGTAATGAAGTCCCTTTTATAAGCCTTTCGCTTTCCCTTTTAGAGGTTCGGTGACTCCGGTGAAGAAAGCGAAGAGGATCGAGTGATAAAATAGCTTCGTAAATATTAAAAGATATTGCTTTGATATAACAATTTGCTAAGGAGTATTTATTCGTTTTGATATGATACGTGTATGAGTGCATTGATGTTGTGTACCCCAACTCAGTGCTCAAAAGGAATTGCTAATATCTACACTCTAAGTTTTAGCAAAGTAGCTGAATAGCACTGATTAAGGCAAATATATAACGAGAGCCCTCTGTAAATGTAGAGCAAAATAGAAATGATTACTGTATATTATTAAGAAGTACATGTGCTGAATAGTGAGTGAAAGTTGAAATGGTAAAATACAAAAAATTAGAATAAATTAAAGATGTTGTATGCCTAAATGAATTGTAAACAAGAAAAGTGGCGATGTTATGATTGGGCGTGAAAAACGTCTGTGGTGTAGCTCATAGTTGAAGTTGTGAGAATAGCACGAATTAATCATATCTGCTGTATTTGCTTGGCAGACTTGCTATCGAACGGTTGGAGGGGCCTCCGTATTTTGATCTGCCTCGCGAGTATTTTGGGTCATTCTCGTTTTTAGGTCCCCGGGGGATGAAACTAGAGAGAATTGACTTGGCTCCACTTTCAGCGGCCTCGTTTAAGGTAGCTGGGGGGACAAGACTTTTGATCCATAGTGATGCGAGGAACCATAAACAAATTGCAATTCCGATCATCACGCCAAGAATGCCAAACCACCATGCAATACTGGTGTCCTGCCCTGGAACTTTGACGTTCATACCGAAAAGACCAGTTATTAGGTTCAGTGGTACTAATACAGTACCTATCATAGTCACTTTACCAAGCATTTCTGTGACTTTGTTGTTGGAGTTGAAGGATTCCACTTGAAGTTGTGCTAAGTAGTTGGTATGTGATCTAGAAAAAATCTTTTCATAAGCTGATAAGTTTTGATACATTGTCAGTAAATGATCCTGGATGTCACCTAGATACAGCGCGATATCACCTCTTGGTTGTGTATTCATTTGCAATTTCTGCATATATTTGACATTAGGGTCACTGCTTGAAGTTAGATTTGCTATGTTGACCTCAGACGTCAATGCAGGACCGATACCATTAGCCTCATCTTGACATCTCTTGGCGAACATTTTGATGACATCTGCTTTGCCACTTAGTAATCTCATTAAAGTCATCGTTTTGCGCCTACTTTCACCGATCCTTTGTAACATCGCAGCAAAATCCAAGTCTCTTGCCATAAACACGGAGTCTTCAATTGAGTCCGCTTCTAGCTCTATCGATCTAATAACTGGAGCAAAACTATCGGTAATATCATCAATCAGAGCATAACAAAGCCAGTCAGAGTTCACGTCGACATAATCTCGCAGCTGTCTCACACGTCTTCTAACATTAGCACAATGTGAAATGGGTCCAAAGTGAAATGTCAAAACACCTGATCTAAATACAACCACATATACATTGATTGGCTCTAGGAAATCTTCAGATTCGTTATCATTTTCAAATGTATGGAAACAAACAAAATAGTAGGACTTAAATAACTCCACTTTCTCACGAGTTTCTTGCATTCTAATATCTTCAGCAGTCAAAGGATGGATGCCAAAAGCCTTTGCAAGACATCTCATTTCATCATCAGTAGGATAGCTACAATCTAGCCACCACGTTGGCTCTCCGCCCCTGAAGAGGTCAAAGAATGACTGCCCTGGTGTCACTAAGTTTGCTATATCTGTGGCATGTATCGTTTCTTCCATTTCTGATGAGAAGAAAGAAAATCTGTCAGGAGCTTTAAAACTCCCGTCTCCGTAGAATTGGTTTTCGGGAGTTTGGGTATAAGCTTGGGGTTTTTCTTCGTATGGCTCATCTTCACCTTCAATCTTGTTATTACCAAATGAGACACCTTGGGGTTGGTTAGAATCAGGAGAATTGGATGAGTTACTGTTAAGGGACTCAGATTTGGGAGGAGAGAGGTCTTTTCTTAAATGTTTTGGAGTATATTTGAGAGCTGCTTCTGACATATAAGAATTAGCGGATGATGAAGAGCCAGAGGCTTGAATTCCGTTTGAGCCACTCTTCTGTGCACTCAAGGAAATTTCACATAGCTTTTTCTGTTCGTTGACTTGCTCTGCAAATTCCTCTAGTTCGTCAAAGTCTATGCCATTAACACGGCTATGTAACTGTGGAGGCATAGGGAAGCAAACATCTTCCTCGGTCTCTTGAGACTCTCTGGATGCCTGAGAATTGTCGCTACTAAACGATGCCCTCGTAATCTTACGTTTGAGGTTATCATCATCTACCGACTTGTGGGAAATGCTTCTCGAAACAGCAGCCAAGTTAAGCCTATTTGAAGATGACACAGCAGAATTCACGGAGTTATGCCTTGACATGGTCCTCTTTAGCGGTTTCTTGTCTGTAAGTGAAAATGTATTGGACTGTCTTCGAGTCTTTGTTGGTGGAGAAGCCGAAATTGCTGAGACATTCTTCTTCAACTCACTATTGTCGGTTGTGATTGTCGCAGGTTGGACAACTTCCTGGTGGTTAACTGTGTGGGCCAATCTAGAAGGTCTCGCATTAGAATTTTGTAAAGCTGTAGACCTTAATTTGTGGTGGTCCTTCCCCAGTGGCTCGCAATCAGAGTCTGCCCCTTCAATGTTCATAAAACCAAAATCTTCATTAGCTCTATCATCAAGCATCATATGCCTCGCATTAAGATTGGAACTCCCAGGAGAATCCTGGCCTAACCGCGGAGGAACACTAATGTGCTGCCTGTGGTCATACAACTCATTGTGATCCTCAGTGTTCATGGAAACCATAGACTCTGCCACAGAAGTGTGCGAAAGCTGCGGAGAGTGCGGCTCCGATTCACTAGAAGAAGACATCTTGGCATTTATTCAAGATTTCGTGTTCCTTACCAGCTACTTGATCCTTTGATACCGTCTTATTATTTCTAAACCGTGCCTGTAGTTGTCGTTGTGCCTTTCGCTGTCCTATTGTCCTTTATATATATCTGTTTAGCACCGGCACAAGTTGCATCACAAGGTCCCGCTATAAACCTATTTCATCACTCAAGACTCTTGACTGCCAAATTCCAGCAAATAGCAAGCAACTGTCAGCAAAAGTATGCCAACCTTATCTATGAGCATCCAAACCTCATCGCTGCCAAAAGGTCCCCCCCCCAGCCTCGTGGTGCCCGGTAAGCTGGGGAAAAATTTTATTATGTCGTTTTGTGTGCTATAGCACAATTGTTAGTATACAGCCTATTGCCAAACTATATTCTTGCCAAAGTTGCAGTTCATTATAGGATGTGATTAATATAGTCATTGTCGCAGTAATTTTTACTTTAATTTGTAGTATATTTTTGTGGGCTTTGTTTTTTGCTTTTTTACATTTCTGCTGGTTATTTTGTGGAGTTATATTGCAATTTATTCTTGAAATACGTAAATACATGAAGCCAGCTTAGTAGTTTGGCCAATAACTTGTCTTCGGTTGTGGGCTCTGGGATATACGTGAAGATGACGATGTTGGTGGGGCTGGGAGGTCCTCAAATGTGCTAGACAGCAATTGCGCTAGCGTTCCGGGTGATGGTGCGGCGCTGATGTTGTTTATATGAATCAGGGAGAGTCTGCGCTCTCTGAGAGCTTTGGCGATATCAGATCGTTCTACTATTATCCTTTTGAGGTCATCAGACATCGTTATTGATGTATCGTGATATAGTTATATATATAAAAACATTTTTGGCAGGGAAAATATGTGCAACTCTAACAATATAGAGATGCTTAACTGAAAAAATATGTATATTGGTCCACCTGCTAATAGATATATATAAATTGAAATAAAAAAATGAATTTGGGTATAGGAGCAGGTAGATTAATTTCAACACTACATAATACATACTCAGGTATCAGCTTTGTTTCATAATTTTACGACACCTTTTCCCTCCTCCATTCATCAACTAAACATTAAACGGTGAACTCAATAAAAATTAAATAAACATATATATCTATGTGATGCTCATCTATAAAATAATACACTGAACTGCTATTACCATTAGTAACATGGTGAAAATGCTTTCAATCAACAAAGACTCGCTGGTTCCATTGGCTCCATTCGTCTTCGCCTCGTTTTCTTTTTTGTTACTTGTTTTCCTAGTGATTGGAGTGACAATTTTAGGTCCTTGCCATCTTTGACCATATACATCGAATATTTCGAATTGTACTTGTAAAGTATTAGAATTTAGAAGCTCAAGAATATGACCTCTTTTAACTTGAATTCCAGTCTTGATTGCCTTTGCAGGTATGTCATTTTCAGTTTTGCCACTAATTTCGAGGTTCTCATATTTATCCAGACACAAAACGTTCCTCTTAAGACCAATGGATTGACCTTCCAACTCTTTATGGAGTTGATCACGATTGGGCAAAGCGATTTTCTTATATTTCTCTTGTAAAGTCACAAAATCAGGTAACATTCTTACAGAGCCATCGTGATTAATCTTTACTAGACCATAATTATTAGGCTCTTGACTATACTCATAGACTAACCCTCCACTGAAGACTGTGTACATTTCCTTTGAGTACAAGACTTCAACTTCGCCAAACTGACGGGGAAGAACCCTATTGCAACCAAACTCAGACAGCATCACCGGCTTTGTATAGTTCCTATATGCCTCAATTAGTTTATCATATCCAGATGTCCTAATTGTTTGCTCACCACACCATTGGTACGAGTTGACACCGTAGAAATCCACGGAGTCATAAACCTTATTAGAGTTCGTAGAGCATTCCAGGTATTGAGACAATGAAACCCGATAGTTGAGGTCATCCGCGGCAGAATAACCAACAGGTATTAATCTATCACATGTGATTGCAATATACTCCTTAATATCACCTATTAACTTTTTGACGTAAATAGGAGAGTTAGTTGCTGACTCTTCATCATTAATAACTTCATTACCAGCAAAAAATCCTAAAGTATTATTGTATCCCGAGAACTGTGACACAACTTTAAATACATGTTCAAGATATAATGGATTATATGTCTTCCAAGGTTCATACCGATTGAGATGCTGGTTTGGTAATGGCGAATTCACATCCAAAATGAGATATATACCAGCCATTGACAACATACTCATGCATATATTGTGGTCGAGATCAGGGTTGATCGAATAAACACGTACAGTGTTTATGCCGAGCTCTTGAAACAACACAATATCCCGAGCACATTTCTTGGGATCTGATAGAGGATCCGATTCACCATTAATGCCCGCAGCTCCTCCCGGTTGATAATCCACACCCTTTATAAAGAAAGGCTCACCAGTTACAGAATCAACAAAATGCTTGTTTTGTATAGTTATCGGATTCAAGTAACATTGCCCAACTCCGAGAAAAAGCACCCATAAAATGAAGACTTGCATTGTAGTTGACATCTAATATTAACTACCTTTTTGCCGTTGTTTAAACATACCAGTGCTCAATATTCTGAAATAAGGTCCCCAAAGTAACTGATCAAGCGGCGATACTTTCAGTATTACTGTTCTTCAATGCCTCCCAATCAAACTGCTCTGCTTTTTATGACACAAAAATAGAGTTTTGATCAACCAAACCGACCACCCATCTAGCGTCCTGCTAATACCACCTAATAAATTTCTACCTTAGGCAATAAACCCTAGGAATCTTGCTATATTATCTTACTGGGTGATAGTTAGGACCATATTAACCGGGCATCCGAATCGCCTGCTTTGTGTTCAATCAACCTTGACAGGGTACTAGCTCTCAAGAAACATACTGCTGCGAAGTCTACTCAATCATAGGAGGGTACAAAGCTATTAAGGATCACTTAATATAGCTTGTATCTCAAGTGAATTAAGTTTCCGCACTACGCAACGCTTTCTGCAAAAATTTTCCAGCTTTATGCGATGCTCATCGATTTTTTTTTTCACTTTACAAAAAACTATAGCAATACTTGAAGGTAGTAGTATAACATAACTGTCCATGAATAATATAATAGGTTACCGTGCATACCTCTTCAGTAATACTAACAATGGATACGCTACTTTTCACCCACTTGCTTCTAGCCTCGCCACCTGATGAGTTGGACCGCTTGAAACTACACACTGAACAGGATCAATGCATACATGCTTATGCAAGAAATATCTTAGAAGGTAATTCGCACAATGTTGTCGAGGATATATTGAAAAACGTTGGAACATTCCTTGATGCTGATGGAGATATTTTGGCCGCATTGGATAGCTACACTGATAGGATTATCAGTGAAGACCTAAGCAAAGCTTTGATCCTTGCCATTGCATCATTACAGTTGTTCGCTCAGAACAATTATACTGGTCCCAAAGCTGACCTAAACATCACAAAACTGATCTTCAATATTGATGAAAATGAGATGTTACACAAGAGCTTCATTTCATTGCTCTCTTCAGCTGGTCAAATGGCTTACGAATATATGGATGATCCAATTGCTCTGACTCTCGCTCTGTTGTTATTGGAGAAAATAACTAGCCAGAAGTCCTTGTTCAACTACCAAAATGATGATGAATTACCACCAACGGTTGAAATCAGTGAGGACCAGAGTCCATTTGATTGCATTGCTCATTGGTGGAGAGCCAGAGCTTTATTGGCCCAATTGTCAGTTTTACCGGAAATGTATGGTGTCCAACCAGCAGTAGTGGCATCTATCTATGACAACATAAACTTGGTTAAGAACATAAACTTAAATATAGAAGAAGTTTCAGAGGAGAAACTAAGAAAAAGCTTATATGTGATTTACTATCTTGAAAGCGTTAAATGCTCTCTTATGATTAACACCGAACATCATGCCTTGCCAGCATTAACAAAAGTTAAAAAGTTAACAGATTTTAATTTTGTTCTAACAGGTGCTAGAGCTAAAAGAACCAAATACCAACAGAAGGCCGTATCTGGTCTATTAATTCTTGCGAAATCAAAATTCTTCAGCAACCAGCCAAAAGAAAATATATCAACTCAACCAGATGTGTTACAATTAAATTCAGAAATATTGCTAGAAAAACCCACTTATGAAGATATTGCCAATGAACCCTTAGATGATCAGATATTCAAGAAGCAAAAATTTGAAAACGATGGAATTGTAGAGGATAAATTACTACCTGTAGCCATTAGACAAGAAAATATTCCACTTGAATTACAAGAGATCGATCCGAATGCCCAACCTACACTTTCAGATTATGACAATATCCAACTGTTACTACGACTATACACCTTAAGACAAACCTCTCCGGCTTTTGATCCTCTTGTTGAAGAGGAGCTTGGTGCGCTAGTCGGTAGAATTATTTACCAGGAAGGACCAAAAAACTGGACTATCTTCTCTAGAGCACTATGGGAAAGATCTGTGATTGAAACTACTAAGGCCAAAACTATCGAGAGGGGTATTTTACAGATGCAATCTTTAGTAGAAGAACTAGGGTTGAAAATATCAACCACTTTGTTACCTAAAGCAACTGATCCAGAGTACGAAAGCTCTATGCCAAGATTAAAATACATCCATCAAATTCCATTCATACCAAGATGGGAACTAGATGCCAAATTAGCTGAAAAATATATGTCTCTTGGTGTTTTGAAGTCGGCTGTTGAGATATATGAGCGGTTGGGAATGAGCTGTGAAGCTGCGTTATGTTATGCTGCTGTAGGTGATGAAAAGAAAGCTGAACAAATGTTATTGAACAGAATCGAATCCACACCTAATGATGCCAGGGCCTATTCTATACTTGGTGACATAAGACAAGACCCCTCTCTATGGGAGAAAAGTTGGTCAATCGGTAAATATGTCAACGCCAAAAACTCGTTGGCTAGATATTATTTTAACCCACCACCAAACGCCAATATAGAAAAGAATTACGGTTTAGCTTTGAAACATCTGAATGATTCCTTGAGACAGTACTCATTAAGCTTTGAAACTTGGTATTTCTATGGTTGCATCGCTCTTGAGTGCAATAAAATGGAAATAGCTGCCGAAGCCTTCACTAGATGTACTGCATTAGATCCAACACATGCTATGTCTTGGTCCAACCTGAGTGCTGCCTATGTCCAACAAGGTAAACTAAAGGAAGCACATAGCTGTCTGAAGCAGGCTATATCCAGTGACTCTCAAAAGAACTGGAGGATATGGGAGAATTTCTTGTTAGTGTCTGTTAAATTAGATGAATGGGAGGATGTTTTAGCTGCATGTAAGCAACTGATCGAGATCAAGAAGGATAAGAGTGGGGAACAGGCTATTGATCTACCTGTTGTTGAAAAATTGGTAGAGCTCCTTGTTACATCAGATTACCCGAAACCAAATGAGGAAGGTGAGGTTAAGTTTACATATTTTCAAAGGAGTTGCATGGATTTTATTTGCAATACACTTCCATCCGTTATTACAACTGACGCAAGATGTTGGAAGTTAGCTGCAAGGGTAGAGCTGTGGCGTAAGAGACCTTGGGCTTCCCTAGAATGCGAAGAGAAGGCATATCGTGCTGTCAGCCATAACCCAGACATGGACGTCGACGAGAGAGTATGGAACGAAGTTGTCGAGGTTTGTAGCGATCTAGTTGCTGCGTATGAGTCTCTGGGCGAGATGGAAGGCAAACATGGCGAGGGCAGTTTAGTCTGCAAAGATTGGAAGTATAAATGTAGGTCCACAATCAAGGCATTGATGAGCAGAGGTAAGAGCAGATGGGAGGATACAGACGGCTGGGAGAAGTTACTCGAATTACGTGAACAATTGTAAACCATCTCTTTAACGTATAAATTCAATTAAATGATACATATAGATGTAATATTATATATTATTCTTATAGATCCGAACAGTATACTTTCATAAAATAGAGAAATACCTTTTAAACCACCTTTAAAAGAAAGAATAGGCAATCTATCAAGTTTAGGGACAGAGATTATCGCTGCATATCACCTGGACATGCCACAATACCGTTCAAATCTGTGGGCGAGAGATCTACATTCAACAAACACCCAGGAGGAATCGAAATTGCGCATAACCCAACACATTGAATCACACCAGGTGAGACTAATTCTTATGCATAATTGTAATTTGTAATCTGTAAGACAGGCATTTGCACATACCTACCTCCCACACCTGGCTAAGTGCCAAGGCTGGTTATCTAGCGGACAGGCATCTCTCGTCTTAATCCACTTGTTTATACAGTGTAAATGGAAGGCGTGGTTACACGTACCCCACGCGGCCACACATTCGTTATCTGTATCAGTCATTGCCTTCGGCTGACACTCTATACACGGTTCCATGATGTGGTTCCTACAGATCGCACAGTTATCCACAGCTATGTCCCACGACCAGAAAGCAACAGCAGTCCACTTCTTGATCTGAAACTTCTTCTTGGGAACTTCCTCGGAGTCCACTTCCATCTGGTCCATCTTTGTACAACTGTTTCTAGTCTTCTTGCTCCTATACTACCCCAGATACGAGGACAACCTACCTCAAATCAACCACTCGATGCTGTTATAACTTCAATCGATGAGGTCCCAGAAGGTCCTGAGAAGCAAGAAATTTTATGGCAAAGGGTTTGAAAAATCACGTGACACGTTACTCAATCCCCGAGAAACTCGAAACTGAAGTTCTATGAAGTTTTGCGAAACTTTCTGAATTGAATTGAGTTCAGGCTTGCACCTTATTTGACCAGCGTTTGAGAGATGGGCGCATATTTATTGCTGGTTTCCTTCTCTAGGTGAGGTACGAAGGGAGTGGCTTTTTGTAGTGCGAAGGGGGTTTTTTTGGTCTTTTTTTATATTGAGGATGAGCAGAGAGGAGAGTGTGAGTGGGGCAAACGATGTGTCGTCGTTGTACCCGCCTCCACCGCCATACATCAAGTATTTCACCAGTGAGAATGTGGAGAAGTTGAAGGAGTACAATGAGAGGAGAGAGGAAGGCGAGAGTGCAGAGAATGAGCTGGATTTCCTGATACCACCGCCCATGCCGTCCTCTGGCAGCTACAGGGCGTTCGGGAGTGTGTGGCAGATCAAGGACCATCTCCCAGACTTGGAGACCATGGGCATAACGCAACTGTACAAGAAGACAAGCGAAGGGGAAGCTGAAGTGACAGATTACCAGTACAAGATCAAGGAGCTTAGGAGGCTGTCGTACTCGTTGTTGCTCAATTTCGTGGAGTTAGTAGGCGTGCTAAGTGTGAACCCAGAGTTGTATGAGAGTAAAGTAGAGAATATAAGGACTATCCTGGTGAACATCCACCACTTGTTGAACGAGTACAGGCCCCACCAGTCCCGTGAATCCCTAATAATGCTCCTCGAGGAACAACTGGAACACAAGAAGCAAGAAGTGGCCAATATAGAACTGGTGTGCCAGCAAGTCACCGAAAAACTGAAACAGGTACAGACTTTGCTAAAGGAATCACAGTCGCAGTCGCAGTCGCAGTCGCAGTCGCAGTCGCAGTCGCAGTCGCAGTCGCAATTGCAGTCAGACTCTCAGTAATAAGTAGTAGTACGCATTTATATATATCTATTGTAACATTACGCTCATCAAACAGCTAGTCAGAGAACTTTACAAGCCTATCCTACTTGGTCAGACAATGGACACTCTTCTATATTAATATAATGTGACTCCTACTCCCACAAATAGTACCAGTTATGCTCTTATATTGGCTATAGTCGTTCGCGCAGGGTTATCACTAGGGTAATTGCACAATGCAGGAATTACTAACTGCATTGTTTTTGGCGAAGAATATACCGCACACACAAAACGTATATCACTTTCATAGCTTAGTTAATACATTAGCAATAATTTTTCCTCTAACGAACCGCCGCACGGAGAGAAGAACGGTGAGGGGTAAAGCTGTGAGACTATCTCATTTTTTTCCGTGCTAATATGCAATGCACAGATAATGTCGTAGGGGGCTTCGAGAAATACTTTTATTATTCGAAGTTGGTGAGATCTGAGATAAAAGCGTCTTTTGAATTTCAATTTTTCCAGATTTTTCCACACTACATTTCCGTAGGAGTCGCGTAAAAAATAAAAAAATAAATCAAAGACAATTGAGAGTTGTTCCGTCTACGCTCATTTAACTGGTGTCTCTTCCAACTTGCGATTTTGTGCAATTTTTTTTCAACGAAGGTGGGGTCAAAGGACCCCTCTATGCTAACAGCTTGCCCATACTATTGTGATTGTCATGATAAGGCAAATCATTTTATTTTGGCAGCTCTTATTTGGAGATGAGGAAAGAAGCCAGATGGACTAAAAGACGTCATCTCCAACTGATCTGTTGCGTCAAAAATTTTTTTTTGTCAATTTTTTTTAGTCATATATAACTGTGAAATGGATAAAGATGTAATTTTATAGCTTTCGCCCCATTGTGTGTATTAAATATTTTATAGCAAGTATTGCTGGTATCACGAGTATATAAAATACGGCAAAGGATGAGTTTTAAAATGCAGGAGCTCTCTTCCGCCGAGAGCTCGACGAACTCGCTTTTCTCTATGAAGTCTATATCCAGCATGGATATCAGCAGGAATACTACGCCGAGACCCTCGCCGCTGGGTGCTGCCATGAGTACGAACGACCAGTCGTTCCTGTCGTTGGCGTCCATTAGACGGGAAATGGATCGCGAGTCCAAGAAGGACAAGTTTATTGTCATCCTGGTCGGGTTGCCCGCCTCTGGGAAGTCCTCCATCTCTTCGCATCTGATCCAGTCCCTAAAGAACAACACGGCGACCGCGCATCTAAGGTCTACTGTGTATAACGCCGGCAAAGTGAGGAGGATGCTGTGCAACGGCGAGAAGAAAAAGTCTATACAGATAGCCAACGATCCCTCTGAGGACTTGTTCAACCCTGCTAACGCCGAGAGGAAAGAAGTCTACGCCAAGATAACGTTGGAGAATCTGATTAACGAACTGGACTCGGATATATGCGACTTCGCAATCTTCGACGCCACAAACTCGACTGTGCAGAGAAGAAGCTTTGTGTTCAGGGAGATATACAAGTACAACGACCGCGAGGGCGCTAACTTCAACTTGATACCGATCGTCTTCCAAGTGACGTGCTCAAACCAGGATTTCATCAGATACAACATCCACAACAAGACTTTCAACGAGGATTACTTTGACAAGCCTTACGAAGTCGCCGTCCAGGATTTCTCAAAGAGACTCAAATACTACCACTCTCAGTTTGTGCCCTTCACAGAAACTGAGTTCAACACGATTATTGAGTCCAACTCATCCCAAACAGCTGGGAAACCTAGTCTCTACTATTACAACATCTTGAACGCCGGGTTGGACCCTTCTAAACAATTCCAATTGTCTTACACCAGGGAATCGGAAACGCACTCCATGATCGTCAAAGAAACTTTGAGAGTTATATCCCATTTTGTGACGAACTACTCTGAACTGTATGGCTATAGCTACATTAATAGGGTGAAGAATTTCTTTGGCGAATCCATCAATACAGTAGTCCAAAAACCTAGCTGGGTCGCAAACTATATTCCTGGCAAGCTATCAACTTGGGACTACTCTAACAAATTGAGACACTTGGCTTCATTGAAGAAAATTGTTAACAATGACTACTTCAATGAATTGAACTCCATCATCAACTAAGACGTCCTTCCGCCATTGTAACCATCTACCGCACCCTCAACAGGGTGTAAAACTTTACTCTGCTATAAGCAATCAAATCAAATCTGTTTGTTTGTAGATTATTTCTTCAATCACGAGCTTATGAACAACCACCAATTTTACGCCATTAATGAGAACCACGAATTTTATATTATATATTATTTTTGTTAAATGCATAATATTTTTTATTTATTAAAAGCAAGTAAATAATTCCAGATAATCAGTCCTGATAGTATAGGGACATGGATGAATATTCGATCCTATGTTCCTATATCACAGATCTAATACATCCTTTTCTATAAATATTCCAAAACCCGTCTATAAAATAGCTGTAAACTGATAAAAATCAGTTGTCCTTCAACGCAGGGATAAATCTTGGGTATAAATACCACACTATTGTGAAAGCGACCACCATACTCCAAGACATGAACGGTACGATCTCTTCACCACAGCTGTGGATTATCAAACCAGTTAAATAAGGCAAACCTGCACCACCACATCCTCCGATTGCCACAGCTGTACCCATACCACTGATATGCAGTTTGGGAGGTAGGTTTTGTAAGGCGACAATACTTGCATTGGGGAACAATGGCCCAATAAAAAACCCACCAAAGAACATCGAGACAAACATACAAGCAAAGTAGAAGATCGATGAGTAGTTGAGTAAACCTATGGCAACGAATAAAGAAAAGAACACCACAGATAGCCAACTGTAGGCATTGCTTGCATTATATTCAGTTGAAAATAACCTCTTTGTAACAAACCCTAACAACAATCTTCCTAAAGTGATACCAGACCAAAATGAAGCTGCAACGTAGGACATCCCAATTCTATTATCAGACTTGGTTTTCAAAAGATATGTGAAGAACCAAGAACCCGTCGTAATCTCCGCACCGAGGTACAGAAACATGTAAATAGAGTATAACACCACCACAGGATTTTTCAAGATCTGGAATAAACTTGTCTCATCAACTCCGGTATCAGCAGTTTCATTACCATCACCATCCAGTGTACTCAAGTAATTATATTTGGCTGTTGTCTCAAATTTGAATGCAGGGTATATTAGTACCAACCCAGCTGTACAGCATATCAAAGGAATTAAAAAGAATAAGTTCCAATGTCCCCATTTGACAAAATAGGACACTGTTGGTGGTGTTATCATGGCTGCGGCACCATAAAGTGCATGCAGGATGCCCATCCATTCGTTTTTGTTCTGCGTCAAGTTGCCGATAAGCACGTTTGCTGCTGAGTCCATCACACCCAGACCCAAGCCCAACGGGAAACAACATATCATGTAGATGTAGAAATGGGAAGGTTTCATAGCCATGACCAGAAGCGGTACTATACAAAGCATACACACGATGACCATAGCACCACGCACACCCCCCATCCTGTGCACCTTTTCATTTAGTAATGACGCACAGGTGTACCCAGATAGTTGGATAAGAAAGATATTTGAAACTGTAAATGTAGATATGTTGTAATGCTCAGTTAATGTCGGAAGTAGTGAACCGGTGGTCTGGTCGTTAAGTCCGAAAACAAGAAACATCACCAAACAGAATGCAACTTGATATCTAACCATGGGAAGCTTTTCATAATCTAAATCATATAATAGTATATCATGGCCTTTCCAATTAACCTCACGTACCACAGCTCTGCCTTCCACTTCCTCAATCTCTCGCCTCTCACCATCCTTCATAAAGTATGAAGTAGCACTAGCATCCGCGTTGACCTCATGCAGCCCGCCAAGCTCATACTCTTCCTCGCCTGACACTTTACTCATCTCTCAATCTAAAAGAAGCTCGATAGTCTTTGAATTACTGATCCTGACTTGTGATATGATCAAGCTCATCGACTTTTTATAGGAATCCTCGAAAGGCTTCGCCTTGAAATTTCAACTTTTTCAACTTTGGCAGCGATGAGCCTAGAAAGTCTCAATTGCTATGGGTAGATTGATGGGATGTTATTGGATGAAAACAATTAAACTCTAATTGGAACAGTTGTAAGTAAAGCAACATCTATTAATTGCCAACTGGGGTTGCCCTAAACTCGGTGCATTACATCAGTTGTTGGCTAGTTTATGACCAGGAAGGATCACAGGAATCCGACTGGAAGTTTTCAAGCATTGTAATATTGAGGCTCTATGAATTTCTCTCCCAATAAGAATATGCCTGCTGGTTCGGGTGGTAATGGGCAGGATAGGGTGCTACATAGGACAAGTTCGTCAGCGGGTAAGAATGCAATGAAAGGTGTGTTTAGTCAGCCGCATTTAAGTGGTGCGAACTCTTCTACGCATATGTACATACATGACTCTGCAGTGAGGCCCAAGCTTACAGCAAAGTACTCGTATGGCTCCACTTATGCAGTGGGATCACAATGGTATGATTTCAGTAGCTCTAACCGGGGACCGTCTAATTCTTATGGGTCATCTTACGAAGACAAATTTATTATGGGGAATGCTAATAGGCGGAGGACAGGAACTCCATATCAAGGTAATCAGTTTCACGGAACACATAACCATGCTCATAGTCACTCACAATATTCAAGTAGTCCACACATCTCTTCAAGCAGAAGCAAGAGCTCACAGAAAAGTGACGCCAAGAAGTCAACTATAAAGTTTCATCATAGGACGAATAATGAGATATCAAGCATAGATAAAGTCAACGACCCATCTATGCAAGGGTTGATATGTGCTGGTAAGACACACTTGGGGTATTACAAGTTCTCTACTGTTGATAATTCCATGACTTGTGTGCACGACTTCATCACCTCAAATAATAGGAACACACCAAAGGGTAACTCATGGATATTACCAAATCTCTCAAAAAGGACCAAAGGTGCCAAGATCAGTAACATTGCAGATGTGAAATGTGGATTTCATAATTATAGCAACGTGATTGCCATTTGCAACAACTCAACAGACATCTCATTGTATGATCTCAATAGGACAACACCAGCAGAAGATCCAATGATACAAATACTATCCGGACATACAAGAGCTATAAATAGTTTTGACTTTAATATGTCACAGACAAATTTAATAATTAGTGGAGGACAAGACGGTTGTGTTAAAGTGTGGGATATAAGAAGTGATTCCATGAAAAGACAAGGAAGAAGTGATTTAAATATCAAGACAGCTAATGACTCCATAAGAGATGTAAAATGGATGCCATCTCATAATTTTGCTTCACTACCTAGTTCTGCAGATGGAAAAAGCCTAAATATCAGTAGTCCAGGGTATACATTTGCATCAATACATGATACGGGTGTATTACTGAAATACGATCTTAGACAAACTACACAGGTGGATAAAAAAATCAACGCACATAGCGGGCCTGGCCTTTGCCTCAACTGGCATCCTCATCAGGACTATATAGCAACTGGTGGTCGTGATGGTAAGTGCTCTTTATGGTACGTTGGTGATCGGCGATCCACCGATCAAAGCCCTTATTCGACTACTTTCCTTTCATCTAATGCTACAACCAACACTAGCAGCATTGGTATAGGGTATCCAGGTAATCCAGTTGCCTCGACATTTATTCCCGAGACAACTATAAATACAGGTTCTCCAATAACGAAACTAAAATTCAGACCAAATTACGATAAAATTGCATTGAACTCGTTGATTGCACTTTCCTCAATGGGTGATGAAGCTGAAGTGAATATATATTCTCTCGCTAGAAAATACATTCCAAAACATCTATTAACAACCGGTAAACCTTCACTAGGTTTGGTATGGTGGAATTCAAATTTAATATTCAATGTTGATAGTGCAGGATACATCAACGGTTGGGATATCACAAATGAACCCACTGTACTAGATGAACTCCCTAAGAATATCGTAAGATGGAGAGATGTTGATGGAAGTGGTCTCTTATTTTTGAACCAAGATACTGGTTCTTATGAAGTTTCTGACCAAGACGAGCTAATTGATTTACACACTTTCCAAAAGCAATCATCATCAACTGTAAAGGGAGATACAGCTACCCCAGGGATTGGACTTATGGCTAATATAAAGCGTGGTTTAAGTCACAACAATGTTAGCCATTTTCCGACAGAGAGACCTATTCCAAAACGTTCTGCTTTCTCAAATATTTCCAAGGTACCAATTTCTTCGTCAACTCAATCATCGGTTAATAAGTCATCAACATCATTATCCACCTTGGCTACTCAAGATGAACTGCTGGAAAATAAATTCTTAAAGTCTCCTTTAGTAATACCATTTGAATTGCCAGAGGCTTATCAGTATAGTAGAGAGTCTAAAATAATGGAACTGAATAAGAGAAGCTATATACCAAAAGTCTCATCTGTTAGAGGATCGAACATTGAAGTTTTCAAATTCTTAGCAAGAGAGTTGGAATTCTCTTTCAGACAGGACAAGAATAATGAAGATGATGCTGAATTAAGTAGGCAGCAAAGTGTTAATGAAGAGAATATAAGGTCAGATCTCATGAAAAGATTTGATATCTCAGAAAATGCGACATGGGCAAATATAGTAAAGGATAAATCGAACAAGACCAGAGAAAGAGCTAACTCAATTTCTATTAAACAATCACCAATTGTTCTATCTGATGAAAGCGAAATAAAATCACCAACAATTCAAAAACTGGAATCCGGTGATAATAATGTTAAATATGAATCGAATATTACAAAGGAAATCCAACAGGAGAAAACCAAGAATTTTAATCCAGAATACCGAATCAATCTACTTTTAGAACTCGTCGAATCCAGTAACCACAATGCCTCAGTGTACTCCATCATAGATGACTTACCGAACTTCAAGATATGGATGCTTATCCGTGATTCTCTTCTATGGGATATAAAAATGTATTCTTCTTTTAGTGAAAATGAAACACCGGAAGAGTTAACTGGAGGGCAATTAGAATACCCACTAACTAATACCAGAAAGCAATCATTGGTATCTGACCTCAGCAGACTCGGCACTAGTGAACTAAGTTCTGATTATGCCGAGCATCCACATGCTTATCATGGAAAATCAGACTACTCTAGTGACGCTTCTGAAGGTATAAAATCGCCTGTCTCGAAGCTAGGTGAACAACTCAAAGGTGAAGAATCTAACAAGTTTGTATTAGGACGTAGGCTTTCAAGCATGAGTCCTAAAAGATCACCTGATATACCAAAGTTAGCTGCTGCATTAAAGATTCATAGGCAACGCAATGAGAATAACCGAGAAAGCGAGATTGAGTCCAGCGCAATTGAGGAAGAGGAGGAAGATGAGGAGGAAGATGATGACAAGTTTAATGACGATGAGGATTTCAAAGGCCCTGCTACGACCAAGGACAATACTATCCACAGCATACCGATCCTCAATAAGAGAGAAGCCAGGACTTCATTTATTGACACTTTTATGACTAATGAAAACTCACCAGATGCGTTCCATAATGTTCCATACCTAAATAAAAATCAATCACCAGGGTATGGTTACTCTAGTCCTAAGAATAAGAATGGTCCGTCACACAGTTTTGCCAACACACCCTCAAAGCTAGCGTTCTTGAAGAAATTATCGCCACGGACCATGTCCTCGCATTCGGTTACGCGTGCTCCATCATCGGACTGGCATGTGGAGCACGATCCTACGTTACAGGTCCCGCCACCTGAGAAGAAAGGTGCCCCAGACAACTTACCGCCCTGGAACACGACTAAGCTCTTGCGCCAAATTCATGCGAACGCCTTAGAGATGGGCAACGTGATACTCGCGGTCAACGTACTGATCTTGTTCCAAGACGTCTACAACATCGCCCCGATAAGCATCGTGAAGGAGAGTGTTGTGCATTTCGTGCGCCTACTGCACCAGTACGAACTGTTCGAGATCGCCGCCGCGATACTCAAGTACTGTCCCTGGGACGACCTCCTGGGTCCCGAGGGCGACCAGTCCACCGTGGAGATATTCTGCGAGCGCTGCGGCGAGCTGATCACCAACGAACAGGGCAAAGACCTCCCACACGGATACTGGTACTGCCAGGCCTGCAGCAGAACGAACACCTTGTGCGTGGTGTGCAACACCCCACTGCGCAAACTCACTATGGCCGCACTCAAGTGCGGCCACGAGGGCCACTTCGAGTGCTTCACCCAGTGGTTCATCACAGAAGGCATGTCAGAATGCCCAGCAGGCTGCACCGCAGCACTCCTATAGCCACACGATATATACACCAACGTATACCCATCCTAGCATACCGCTGGGCTTATATAGGTAAAACCCATCCTCATCACGTGAACGTATTATATGATTGCAAATTTTTTCGCAGCCAAAAGTGAAAAATTTGGTGGAACAACTGGGAAGTTGCGATTTTGGCAGGAAAGCTACGAATGGGCAATTGCAAGTCGATGAGCTGTACTGTCGGGCTGGGCGTGTTGGTATATATTGGTTGGTGGCGGGCTGGTGGGTAACAGTTTAGCTGCGGCAAGGAGTGCTCCAAGGATATCCCAACGAAAAAAAGAATAAACGACCGAGTGAAGCCATAATGTCTGTGGATGAAGTTACCAAGAAGTTTGAAGAGACTGTTTCTGTTGATGGACCAAAGACTGTGCTTTCGGATGCCAAGGATTTTGAGGTGAAGCACCCATTGAACACCAAGTGGACGTTGTGGTACACAAAGCCAGCTGTTGATAAATCTGAGTCCTGGTCCGACTTGCTGCGTCCGGTTACATCTTTCCAATCGGTGGAGGAGTTCTGGGCGATTGTTCAGAATATTCCAGAGCCACACGAGCTCCCACTAAAATCAGACTACCATGTGTTCCGTAACGATATCAGACCAGAGTGGGAAGACTCTGCTAACGCTAAAGGTGGTAAGTGGTCCTTCCAAGTCAGAGGCAGAGGTGCAGAGATCGACGAGTTGTGGTTGAGAACATTGCTAGCGGTCATCGGTGAGACCATCGATGAAGAAGACTCCCAGATTAACGGTGTTGTCCTAAACGTTAGAAAAGGTGGTAACAGATTTGCATTGTGGACCAAGTCCTGCGACAAGGAACCTCTATCCAACATCGGTGCCAGATTCAAGCAAGTCTTGAAGCTCGCCGACGAGGACACTCTAGAGTTCTTCCCACACTCCACCGCCAACGATAGACACTCCCAACCAACCATCACTTTGTAAGATAGCTCAACCCAAAAATACCTCTCTGCTTTACAACCTCACATCAACCGCTGCATCAGTTAATTACCATTTTAACATGCACAGTGTGCTCACGCATTTGACACACAAGTATATTAAGAAATTTTTATTAAGTAATATTATAGTTTTTTTTAGAAACGTAGTATAATATTTTGCTCCCATAAGTACTATTTGCGTTTAATCTTATAAAAAAACATAAAAAAACATGACATTCAAAATAAAACAATACAAAATGATTAAACAATCAAACATTATAACGAAGTAAAACAACGAGAAACAATAAACTTAAGAAATATCATACTAACATTCACGAGAAGCCTATTTCTTATCTTCATGGTATATGTATTTTATTGTCTATAGATATGCAATGATGGAACTAAAAAAAAATCATATGAACGTACTACAATTAAATCTATCAATTAATCGTAACAAATTAATCATATTGGTGTAACTTTTAATGAAAAAGAGCTGAACCATTAGACTAAACGTGAAGGCAGGTAAAATGATAATCTCATTAACCCAATATGCTCAAAGAATTAAAATCAAGTGTGTTTAATAGAAAAGTTGTGGTTGGGGGGACGATGAAAAGCGAACATCAAATTCGTCTCTGGCCAAATAGTTCTATTCAATTTGCTTGATCGTCTCTGTCATTGTTGCCATTACTATCTTGATCATTTTCTGTTTGGTTTGTGGAACCTTCAATCGGTTCATTTGAAGTTGAAGCGCCCTGGTTGAAACTTGCTTCTGAATTTATAGGGAAAGTGACAACATTACCAGTTGGGTTTCTATAACTACCCACACCACTAGCAAACAGTTCACCAGCTTGCTGTCTCTCTGTCTCTTGTCTTTGTCTTCTTTCCTTCAATGCACGAGCTATGGTATCCCTTAATCTTGAGCCAGACGTACCATTACCAGACTGGTTATCGTTAGCATGCTCTGCATTGGATGAACCTGTAAAAGCTTGATTGGCATTGGATCTCCCTGAAGGTCTCAAACGATCTGCAAACCTGCTCATAGCATTGAAAAAGGAACGTCTAGGAGAGGTGACACGGTCTGGGTTAGCTGTGGATTGATCGACCTCGTTAGACCCCGCCGTACTAGAGCCAGAGGCATCATTATTTTCGGAACTAGAATTGCTTCTACTATTTGGAGCATCATCAACTGTACCTGCACTGCCGGATGTGCTGAAAATTTGATCAAACAGTGATCTAAGTCTGCTGTTTTGCTCTGGTGGACCTTGCTCACCATTAGCTAAGCCCGGGTTTATGAATGTGATAGGTAACCATTGTATTTGCATCGGTGTTCTAAATGTGAGTGGACGTGGTGGTTGTGCACCATTTGCGTTTTGGGCTGGATCAGTTGTACCCAGCCCTGGCGATGGAGGAAATGGAATGCTATTTCCTAACGCTTGAGTGTTCACATTTTGACTTCCTTGGGGTGCTTCACCTGGATTCATTGGCCTCAAAAAAATTATGCTTGTTCTAGAAACAGTTACATTATTATTGTTTGGGGAGTTTGTGGTGGAGTTTGTGGAATTGGCGTCATTAAGTTCACCCGTTTGTAAATTAACACCACCTTGCGTTGAGTTTTCCGTAGCTTGTGAAATATTATTCTGATTAGCAGCTCCATCCGAAGTAGCATCACTATTGACACCCACCTGTCCATTTGCCTCGTTTGGGTTATTATTATTCTGACCTTCTGTGGCATTGCCTTGACCTGTTGTATTATATAGCATACGACGGATAGCTTCAAATGCTTCCATATTACTTGTATTTTCGTTATTTTCCCTTTGCTCTTCTTCTTCAGTCTGCTCGGCAATTTTTTTTCTACAAAGTGGACATGAGTTTTCTAACCTAGTCCATTCATAAAGACAGCTTCTGCCAAAAATATGTCCACAAGGTATTTTTACTGGTGAATGTAAGTACTCCGGGTTTTGTTCTTGAGTGGCTTGCGCTTGATCTTGTCCTTCAGTATTCTCAATAAAGGCATTATGGGTACTTTCATGGCTTTGAGAACTATCTGATTCCGACTGGGGATTCAATATTGAAGATATAGTTGTACGTTCATTATTATTGTCACTTATTCCTGTCGCAGCCATCAATGAAGAGGGTGTATTAGAGCCAGTTCTCGGTAATTTGCCTTCCCCTGTAATATCATCCATACTATCCTCATTACTATTCGATTCGTGTTTTCTTTTCTTAGAGTTTTCTGCTGTATCTTCCGGTTCATCCACAAATTTATCATAGCATATACTACAAGTTGTCTCAGTCTTGTCTGGCAACTCTTCAATCTTTATCACCGGTAGTTCTTTGAATGCCTCATTAGTAATGCCTTTCGGTCTATTCAACATATTCTGAAATCTCCGCATAGCAAGCTCTGCAGCAATTGTGATAAATGAATTTAGTCTATCGGGAGATGTCAAAGGCACATCTTGAAATGATAATATTAGATCAGGACTATCTACGGCATTACCAAACGGCATGGCAGCCGGTAGGCCATTAACACCTGCTGGTAAAGGAAGTGTATTACTCCCTTGAACATGAGCCTGACTACCATTACCACCATCTTGAGTAGCCGCAGGGTCGACAGTACCATTACTGGCGTCTGCAAGACCCTGTGGTGTGAAGTATTGGTACTGAATACGAACCGTTACATTACTTCTTGGAACATTATTGTCACTATTTTCAGTGTTGCCAGCAGTAGCATTTCTACCATCGTCGTTATTGGACCGACTACCGTCATTAGGCGGGCTATTATCTTGCTGCTGTTGGTTCTCCATTTTTCAATATCACAAAGTTTCTATTATTTTTTTTTAATGTTTAACAGATCTGCCACACTTATTCTTACACAATATCGCTTACGCATAAGCACAGGTATATGCTCTTGACTATCTAATAATTCTTTTTGAGCAAGCAGTAATGCAATCTTATCATAAACACTAAAAAATCCTTTCTGGACTCCGAAAATGCTTTTGCAGTTGTCAACTTCGAGACCTCGGCACCTTTTTTAAAATACCAGGAATTTGTACGTTAGGGCCTGACCTGGACTCAACTACTAACTATTCAACGCTCTGGAAAGCAGAAATAACCGCTAAATACAACAGGATCAAGATAAAAACTACTACCTTCAAGTTGCAAATGAAGCTGCATTTGCACAGCCCAAGCTGATTTGAAATTCAAAATCATAAAATACGTACAAATTACGTAAATTTGATATTACGAGAGTAATAGCTATGTCACGTGAAACCAGAACTTATTAGTTGTAACCTAAATATAACATATGTATAGATTTGTAGATTATATATAAAACAACAGATGAATATGATTTGAGCCTTCCTACATACCAGCATACCAAGTTAATAGTACAGTATAGTTTGTGCCGCATTCACTCCTTGTAGGCCAAACTAACATCTTATAATAGCATGGAGAGTAGGATGTTAAACACCATGATGACAGAGATGGCGGACACGGGTACTTCGTGAGCAAAACCGGCATTCTTCTTGGCTCTAGTTGATGACGAAGAATTGCCTGCTGCAGATGCCGTGTTTGTGTTTCTGCTTGTCCTAGAAGAAGTCATTGTGGTTTTGGAACCCGCCGATCCAGTGCTGTTTGTAGAGTTGTACCCAGAGAATATATTGCCTGTAGTGGCATAAGAAGATGGGAACTCAGTGAAACTTGCAGAGTAACCAGGTGCCTTTACAGCACTTGGAACATTCTTAACAATGGCTTCAATATTTTCTGCTCCGCCGTTGAAGTTTGCCTGTGCGATAGATATCTCCATGTCTTCAAGATCATAAACGATGTATGCATTTCTTAGAAAGTTGTCACCCAGTAGGATTCCTGGCTCACCTTGTGGCATAAATGTAACATAACAATTATCATCGTCACTTTTTTCGATAAATTCAGTATACTTGATGGAGATAAAAGCACCACCGAAGTTAAAAACAAGTTGAGTATTGTCGTTCTTAGCTGGACAGTTCTTCAGCTCGATGAATCCGGTCTGTGGATCAACAATACCCTTTAGTTGCTTTGCAACTAGACTATGAAGATCAATTGGAAGGTAGGACACTGTGGTACCAGAATCTAACAAAGCTGGCATCTTTTGGTTATAAATTGTAAATTGTCCCTGCGAGTTCTTCAAACCCATACCATCCAAAGTTATCTCTAGCTGAGTTGTGTCATTGATACCTTCAACATATAGAGAGTTGACTAAAGGTAGCGTACTCAATGAACCCGTGTATTTACTGTGATCAACGGCACCAAATAAAATTTGACCATTAGTAGCATTGGTGTCATTCAAGAACAGAGAATACGCAACTTTCTCAATGACATTTTTTTGTTTCAGTATTTGTGGGAAATTTGCATATGTTGGTTTGCTAATATTGTCGATATCAGCATCACTAGCATTAACTGGTAGGTAATCACTGACATTGAAGTTGTCACTCAATGCAGGATTGTAGGACTCCAGTGCAGGTAAACCTACACCTAACACACCTGTGCTACTATTAGAAAAGTTTGCTACCGCAAAGAATACATCTGCTATGCTCAAGTTACCTAGACGAACGTCATCAGTACCCCACAAACCAGATGCATAACTGTTGTCACCATAACTTGTGAAGAAAGGAGTGGAGTTGGATTTGAAGGAAGAAGATTTCTCGAGATCAAATAATGACAGTGATTGACAATCAAGTGTTTTAGCAGCAGCCGGAATTTCGGAGGCAGCTGTTGGGTAAAATTGTTCCGCATCTCCACTATCGTCTCCATCATCTCCACCATCAGAGTCAGTGGCTGAGGAAGGGGAAGCCGATGCAACGGAACTTGCACGCTTGGCAAACCTGTTGCTTCCTAGCGCGTCTAGATTCCTGGACTTATTGTCAGAGTTCTTACAGTAACCGTTATTAGAGCCAATCACCCACATATCTGAAGAACCAGTATCTAATAGCAAAGACACATTTTGTGGTGGTGTACCAACCTCTAAGTTAATAGAGTAGTAGTTTTCTTGAGCAACAAGTGGGAATGCTACGGAATCATCACTAGCTCTTTTTCTTAGCTGTCTAGCAGCAGAGTGTGTCAATGGAAGTTCTTCATCTATATCGGCTCTATGCTTTTCAAAGTCTAACTTCAAATACTTTTCAGCAGCAACTGCATTAACACAACCTGCCACCAGAGCAACGTTTTTCAATTTCATCTTATCACAGCTCACAGTTTTATATTTCTGGTATGGGGCTTGAATAAACTTCCTGGGTTCGCTGCAAGAGCAAACTTCTTTACTGATGGTTGGAGAATTGCCTTTTTATATATACGCGTAAGGGTTCTGGGTGTTTTAATTGAGAAACGGCACTTGTGAGGAAATCATTGATTATATCACCATGGTATTTTGCAGAAAAAAGCAATCATAAAGGGGGATTTACCCAATGTCCACACCAAGAGTGACCTGCACAGTTGCAGTTTGTACTTTTCAATTTCGTCAGAATCATGGATCACCAAGCAATGATTATCACTGCACTCACCAGCCAAAGATCACGTAGATCAGATAAAAAAAAAGTAATCAAATCACCAAGCGGTCACGTATGCGTGTAACTACACCAGCCACTTGCAACGTAGTCAAAGCCCACAACTTTTGCTTAACTCTCGTTTCTAATTTCTCAACCATGGAGTGTCGGCTTCTTATCCTGATATGTGAATATCCTTATCACAATGAAGGGGAGAAGAGGGATGCACAACAGTTACGATTTTAGAACCCCTCATCAATCTAAACCTAAAGAAAACATAAGCGAGGCAGTAGCTATAGAACCCACTCTTACAAACCCCCCTTCAACTCCAATTTTAGTGATCAATATCTATCAAATCTTGCTTTCTGCAAGTAAAAAGGGGAGGGAGATAAGACTAGCCAAGAACAAGTGGCACTTAACGATTACAACTGGCTAATATCACTTATTCACTGTATTGATAGCTACCAGCTCACTCTTCGTTGCTAAACTACTATACTTTCTCTATTTTGATATCCATCGCGATGAGATGAGCCATTATACGCGTCGGGTATCAAATCACTATAAACGTATACATTTTCCCATAATTTTTTCAAAATTCTGAGGGAGTTTATCTAAACAAGTAGTATAAGGCCTAATGAGCACTCAAAATTGGACTCATTTCGGTCATTTTCGGAGTTGTTACTGTAGTGCTAAAGATCAGAACCCGTCAGGATAAACAATTAAATAATTGTTACCTTTTTGAGCCCGCTCTTTGTGCTTTTTCCAGATAAAATTTGTTAATTTAGTAACTATTACGCAATCTCACAACACAGTTTTGGGTCCACTGTAACAACCTTATTAGTGAAACATTCATACTGGAAAGCACATACTTATTTTTTATTAGAAAGAAAGAGGTCTTACGGGAAACAGGATGTCTAGTCAGAACAGTGCTCAGGACTCAAAGAACGACAACACCTCTGCACCAAGCGGTTCTGGTGGCCCACCTAGCAAGAGTGCTATTCAACAGAAACAGATACAGGAGCTAACAGCCCGGTTCAAGCAACTGGTGACAGAGGCCAAGAAAGTTGGTGAAACCACTCCAAGAGGTAAAGAACTTTTACTCCAAGCTGCTAAATTGAAGGCTGTATATGAAAACTACACAAGGAGACAACAAGCGTTAGCCAGAGCGCAACAACTGCAACAACAAGGTTCCAATACCAATGCCGCCGCATCTTCTGGTTCTAGCACAACAGGTACCACTGGAACTGCGAACTCAAGTGGTAGCGCCTCTACATCGGGTAATAATAGTAGTAACAGCAGCGCACAATTGGCTAATATCATTAAACAAGTACTTACACCAGAACAAAACCAGCAATACGAACAACTACTGCAAAATTTCCAAGTCAGAGCAAGCGCAATAAAGGACAAACACACTTTCATTAAGCAAAACATTGACCGGCTGGTAGTTGAAATTAACAAACAAACGGATGAGGAAGCCAAAAAACAATTAAACGAAAAGAAAACTGAACTGCTGAGAAATATTAAGGCAATCAGATTGGAACACCAAGCTCTACAACAAGAATTACAAAATGGTAAAAAGAATTTTTATCTAGAATGCGCAAGACAAAATCCGGCTTTACAACGTTTATTACAGAGAAGCACCCAACAACAGAGAATGATGCAACAGAAGAAACAACCACAACCAGCTCAGCCTCAAGTTCAGTCACAAGCTATGCCAGGAGCACAATCACAAGCCAATGCTAACGGACAAGCAGCCATACCCCAAAGTGTTGGTGAAGCACCACCTACTAATATGGGACAGCAGCAGATGCCTACAACTGCAACTGGTGCGAATATAAGCACTCCTTCAGGTCAACAACCTGTGCAAGGTAACACACAAGATCCAAAAACACAGATAAAAACTGAAGTTGGCACACCAGCGCCTGGGTCTCAAAAGGGTGGAAGACCTGCACAACCACAACAAACGCCATCTGGCAGAGGCCAAACAGCAAGTCAACAATCACCTGTCACAGGTGTCAATGCTGCAGCTTCATCAGCAGGCTCTAGCACAGTGACAAAATCATCAATTTTCAAGCCTTCAGACCCTACAGTACCCATTGCTGATACTGTGTCAGTCAAACCACCTGAGCCTATAGCATTCAGATCAAACAGACCAACGATATCAGATGGTTCGGCCATGAATGCTGCTGCTCTTAATACTCCTGTTATGACAACCCTACCGCCATATGAGATTGATACGGACAGAGTGATGTCGAAGCGTAAGCTACGGGAATTGGTGAAGTCTATCGGCATTGACGAAGGTGATGGTGAGACAGTGATAGATGGTGACGTTGAAGAGCTATTACTTGACCTCGCTGATGACTTTGTTACCAATGTGACTGGATTCGCATGCAGATTAGCCAAGCACAGAAAGTCAGATAACCTGGAGCCAACAGATATACAACTTCACTTAGAAAGAAACTGGAACATTAGAATTCCGGGATACTCTGCAGATGAGATCAGAAGTGTACATAAGTGGAATGCTTCACCGGCATATGCTCAAAAACTGACCAGCATAAATGCTGACAAGCAGGCAATCTCCACAGCATCTGCAAACGCTGTATCCAACAAGAAGAAGCCGGCAAACTTTCAAAAATGAAATTAATATACATTATAAATATCATTAAACACTGAAATCCATCATAACGTTTACTATAATAAATATTTTGCAAAGTACTGTATAGCTAAAGCAGTGGCGAGTCAAATCCCCCAGCGAAGGATCCATGGAGGTGCAATAGAGCTCTTACTCAATCAAGTTTAGTTCAAGAGATATTCAAGTAACGGTATTCAAAAATTTGTAAATTAGAACAGGAAGAAAACAAAATTCAATATTACTATTTACTGCGTCAATGAAACTCTATAAAAGGGAATTAAATGTAATGTGCGTATTAAAGGTATGTGGTACTGGAAAATAAATAGAAAGAGGAAAAAACAAAACAACGTCAGGATATGAGATGCGGTCTAATGAAATTCCAAATAATTATTTGGAAAAATTTGAGATGCAAACAAAAAATATTTGAAACTGTAAAAGAATTAACAAGCAAGATCTTCTGTCTCAGAAAGAAATTCCTTGTTGAATGATCAACGTGAAGTCTAAAAAAAGTCTCGGTATTTTTGTGTATTTTTGATCTTTCTGGACATTTAACATTAGTGATGATGATGTTTAAGAAACCTAGAATACGAATACATTGAAACATGAAGGTGGTGTTAGCAAACAGCAAATAGAAACGAACCTTAATCATTGGCTTTAGATTAGAGGGTTTCTTGGTTAACGGGAAAGGTTCGAAAACATCATTATTGAACTCAAAAACTAGGAATAAGGAAAATTAAAACGAATAATTAAGACGAAGGAACTGCGGTAAGTTGGGTATAAAGACAAAAAAACGAAAGCAAGTTTAAAATTTAGCGCTCGCATTAAGCCCATCTACCCAAAAGTGCCATAAGACCGGCACCCAGAGCCATAACGAAATAAGCAGCCAACATATTCCTCAAACCGTGTTCACCCTTGAATTGGTTAGTGAACAAGAATTCATGAGCCATCAGCTCAACTAGACCAGCGTAGACCAAAATACCAGCAGAGATAGCATCAAAGACACCGTTAACGATCAAAGATCTTCTAGAACCAGGAACAAAACTGTGTCTGACACCGATACCGATAGCGATAGCGATTGGAGTGGTGATAGTGTAACCAAAACCTAGCAAGTATGGCAACCATCTCTTACTATGTGGCCAGTAACACTCAGTGATTCTGGCACCCAGACCCATACCTTCAAACATTTGGTGGAAGACAATGACAACGAAAAGAGTCTTGAATTCATCACCGGAGACAGAAAGGGATAGACCAACGAAGACAGAGTGGAACAAGATACCGAATTCCAAGATGAACAAAGAGGTCAACTGGTTCAAGTATTGCTCCTTTTGCTGGTCGTTAGCCTTAGATCCAATTTGAGTGATGTCCTGGTGGACTTCATCGTGAGAGAAGTGGTTGTGACCTGGCATGTGCTCCAATGGGTCAACGGTAGTGTTGTGAACATGACCCACCAGAGAGTCATTCTCATTGCTGTCGTTGCGGACCTTCTGTTGGGCCACGTTGAAAGCAGGACGTTTCTGAGACTCAATGTCGTCAGAGCCGTCGTCGTAGTTGTAGTTGTTGTTCTTGACAACATCACCGTACTTGTCATCCATGGCGACGTGGCTGTGGGAGTGAGTGGAGGAGCTACCGTCCTCGTCAACCATATCGTCCTCAACGCCGTGCATGTGAGTTTGTCCAAAAGTGGTTGGCATATTGTGGGAGTGGTTGTGGCCGCCGCCCATGGTCTTGCCGACGTAGTGGTGGGAGACAATCTCGATCAGGAACAAAGCGAACAGTGCCATCAGACAGATACCGAAGGCCCATGGGTAGTTAGCAAAAGTGCCGCCCAGACATGGGTTACCCAAGCTGTCCGAGGCAGGCTCCAACAAGTGGATGAAAGCAGTAGCGACGATAACACCAGAACCGAAGAACTTGGCGATAAAGAACACCCACGAGGGCAAGTTGATAAAGGAGTAGCGGGAGGCCAGCAGCGGGAAGTACACACCGATGGCAGAGGAGATCAGGACCATGAACACCGAAAGAATTCTCAGGTTCGTGTGACCGTTGAAGTCGTTGTCAACAGCACAGGCCGGTGGTGGACCATCGTCATCGTCTCTCTTGAACAATAGCTGCACAATATCCATGATTATAATTTTGTAGCGTCTGTTTTTTATTTTATATTGCTTTTAATTGTAGCTTATGCGTTGTCGCGCCTGTTCTGTGTGCTCAGTGGTGCTTGAGTGGTCCAAATCCCCAGCCAAGCTAATAACATACCACCTTTATATACTAATGTTTTTAAAATTCCGTTATCGTGTCCATCACAAAGTAACCGTTACAGTACCCTTTGGCCTGCACTCCCACAGTCCTTATCAGAAATACTCTTATCATGGACAGATAACCTTCCGGGTTGTAGCAAATCCATTGTCAAATTGCCAAATGGCTTTCCCACTACCCCCACCACACAGAAACTCCCCTAGGGCAGCACTTTCCTTATCCATTCAGGTTCCAAAAAATAACCCTCCGGGTACATTCCAAACAAATTTTTTCAGTTTCCCTTCAACTTGCTTTCGACTTGCTTTCAGCTTGCTTTCAACTCCTCAGTTTTTTCAGTTTTTCCGTTTTTGAATGTTTCCCCCCCACATATGAGATTGCATTCTGCGGGATATTCTAACAATAAAGCTGCTGCTTATCAATTTGACACCTTGAAGGTTATTCCCTTCACCCCTGCGTCCGTATCTTAGCATTAAAAGGAAGATAGCTGTGCCTGTCACCCTCTTCGCTTCGCTTCTTTCCTGTCTTACCCGAAAGGGGAAATGTTTTCGATATTCTCTACTCAGACAAACGTGCAAGACGGTTGCGTTTCTTTTTCTTGTGTTCCTTCTGTGCTGGATGTTCTCACCGACACCGAGGAAAAATGGCAAATTGAAAATTAAAAATGGAAGATGTAATCTGAGTCATGCGGGCTTTACACTCAGAATCTGACGTGTCCTTGTCATCGAACTCTCCTGAGATCTTTCTGTTCGCTTCTTTCTGAGAAGCATTCTTTTTTTTCTTCTTTCTCGGTGAGAAACATCCTTCTTTTTCTTCTTTCTCGGTGAGAAACATATTTCTGTTCGCTTCTTTCTCTTCTTTCTCGGAGAAACATTTTCCCTCAGAAACAATTCTCGAAGATTTAAACAAAATTTAGTACATAGTCGTATACAGGAATAATGTATCTTGGCTATTTTCAGAAATATGTAAATCATGCTCCGCCCCTTCTTCTATGCCCCCCCGTTTCTCCGAGGATCAATTGTCTGTTCAACTTGTCTCTGCTCAACTGTCTATTGGGCCAATTGCCTCTCCATGCGGGTGATGAGCTGGCCCTGACTGTCTCGGCGTATGCTCTCCTTGACAGGGCTGCCTTCTTCCTTTCTGGGCCTGCCGCGCTTTCTGGGCGAGCGCTTGATCACAACGTTCGCGTACTTCTTGCCTCCGATGCAGATCATCCGACTCCGGTGTACCGCCAGCGCATCCTCACGGTTGAACATCTTGCCACAGGGGCACGCGTAGCTCTTCTCCTGGTGCGTCTTCTTGTGCCGTACCAGATCGTGGTTCCGAACAAAGGCCTTGTCGCAGCCATCATAGTCGCACCTGTAGGGCCTGTCCTCCAGGTGCGTCTGAATATGCGACCGGATGTTGTACCGACGCTTGAACGTCTTCCCACACTGCGGATACAAACACTCGTACATCCGGTCGGGAAGCTCCTTGACATAGACATCAATGCTCCCGCGCGGAAGCGTCGTCAGCTTCCTCGTAATCTTCGTAGGACTGCTGAGAATCTCGTCTTCGTCGCTCGCCTCGTCAGTGTCAAGGTAGCTGCGGCCCAATGTCAGCCGGACTGGCGACCCCGGCTGCGACATCTTCACATGCCGGCTCTTCAGCACAGGTGAGACATTCAACGAACTCGCACCGCTGTACCGAACGGGACTGGACATCTCCGGCGGTAACAGCGTGGTCTCAGTGCGCTCCAGCTGAAACTGGCCCTGCGAGTACTCGTCTCCCGCTCCGCCTACTTCAGGCGCCAGCTCTTCCGGGGACAGCGAGGGATTTACCGGGTATTCCAACAGAAGATCCTCCGCCGATCCCAGCTTATCAAACCCATCGTTGGCACGGGTTGGCCCCGCTGATAGTCCGACAGAAGGCCCAGAGTACCCTCGGGCTTGCCCATTGCCTTGCTTCGCAGGCGTAGCACTCGTGGACCCGGGAATCGTGGGCAGTATATCCATTGGCGGTGGCTTCAACGAAAATCCCGCATCGGCACCACTGTGTATCCCAAGCCCTATCACTGGAGACATTGTCACAGACTCAGGCGAGATCGTCACATTGTCAAACTTCCCCGCGCCATTGTTCGGCTGAGGTGTCAATAACGTCGACGGCGTATACGTCATCGAGCTCACTCGAGACTTGGGCGTGTACGGAACTGCCCGGTGCGCAGCCTTCTTAATATTCAGCTTGTTGCTGCTCTGTGGGGACAGCACCGATAAGTGCTGGCCGCCGTTCACAGCACCATTACTAACTACATCCTCGAAATCTAGCTTCACTCGTACGTTCGTCCCGTACTTCCCGTTCGTCCCGTACTTCCCACGCTTCACTGGCGAGCCATTGTGCTTGTTGTCCCGACAATGGCTACTAGATCCAGATCCAGATCCACCAGCATTTTCACCACTATCACCACTATCAGCACGATCAGCACGATCAACACCATCGGCCATTAGGTAATCCATGTAGTTGCCTTTATCCGCTCCAGCATCGCTCAGCGCAGGCGATAAGGAGTAGTCCGCCCTCGATGCGCGCTGTTTTTGCTGCTGCAGCACGCGCTGCAGTTGCTCCTGCTGCTCAACAGTTTTATCAAGCTTCTGAACTACCTGGGCATTGAGCTCCTGCTGTATACGTAGCGCCTCCCGCAGCTCCTCCTGCTGCTTCCACAGAGCCTCGCCCAGCGGAGACGATAACAGATCAAGCGACGCCCTATCATTAAACAGTTGCGGCTGCGGCTGTATTTGTGCTTGTTGCTGTGATTGCGAGTGCGATAACGTTTGCGAGTGCGACTGCGATTGTGGCTGTATATGTGCTCCCTTATCGTTATTGGTTCCACAAATATCTGCTATCTCTAGATCCTCTACTTCTGCCACCTTACCTACATGCCCAGCATCTCCTCCATCGTTCAAAAAATTATCCAGAATATAAGTATCAAAATCATTGCTCATCACACCGAGATCGGGCTCACCACTTTCAAAATCGCCCAGATCAAAATTGAGCCCAATATCGTCGCCTCCAAATATATTGAAACTCCTGCCCTCTTTCAAAAAATCCTCCTGGCTGTCAACCTTCGTGCCCCAGTCGCCGTCCATTGTATATGTATTACTGAAACTCGAAACCCAATAGACAAAAAAAAAATCAACAACTTCTCTAGTCTGTAAGTGAAAGAAATACCAGCTTCCTTAGTTATACCGTCTCTTGGGCGTCTGGTGTGGTTAAAGAGCCTATGTACATCGCCTGGGAACTAACGCTCTCATTGCAATTCAAATATATATAAACAATTTCTCAAGATCGTCCTATGCCTCCTTCTCCTTCTCCTTCTCCTTCGCCCTCTCCCTCTCCCCCCTGCAATCAAGCCTATATGGAAAACAAAGCACTGCTCACCACTAGTCCTATCGACTTGTTCCAGTATCAACATCCATTTTTTTTTTTCAGTGCTTTTTCTCGGCTCGCGTGTTTACGTCTTTCCTAATTGAGTTAAATCATCAATTTTTTTCTGCTCCATACCGGCCAATACAAAACAACAAAGTGAGAGCTGCAAGGAGGATCTATCTGTATGGGGGGGGGGACCTTTTACCTTATCAGAGCAAGTGTTCTATTTGCTAAATAGCTGCTTGATTCTGCAAGCACAATGTAACGGATCCGGACATCTGGCCTTTCACTGAATCTCCCTCACCTATTTCATTTCATTATTGAGCCTTTTTTTTTTTCTCTACCCCCCTTCACCTGCATCAAGAAAAGCAGTTGCAAAAATTTCATGATCACATCCCCACTACAAGGATCACCCACATCACCTTACTGTATCTTATTACAGTTATACAACAGAAATTGGCGATCATCTGATTTACACGTTGCCAGCGATTTGAACAGTGACTCTCTTTGTCTCTATGTATGTCTTTCTTGGCTTTCTCTTGCTCAACGTATAATCTGCAGTGTGCATTTCAACCAACTGCCATAAATTTAAATTTTGAGTAATCATCAGATGCTAACATACTTTTTGAAAACTGGCACCAGAAAAGATTAAGCATGTCTTACCTGAAGAGGAAAGTTTATGGGTCAGGGAAGGATAAAGACCTCATATCGCTGGACTCAATCCCCTTCACCGAGAAGTTACTCAACCCATTGACCGAGGAAAACCAGTTCAAACAACAGGTTTTCGAAGTAATTAGAGAGTTGAAGCTATGGGACCACGAATGCTCAGATATTAACAAGTTCAAACTAAGAAAGATCAAAGGCGCACTTACCAATATCATCTACGAGGCCATATACGATGACTCGTCATCTTTGCTTCTAAGAGTGTTCGGTGCAAAACTAGAAGCCATTGTCGCAAGGTCTTACGAGATTAAAGTCCTACAAAGACTCCGGGAATCACAACTAAGGGGCCCAGTGATATTGGGTTGCTTCGCCAATGGCAGATTCGAAGCATACGTAAGGGGATCAGCCTCAGTGGCTCGAAATGACCTCGCTGACCCTTGGGTCATGCAAAATATTGCCATGCGCATGAACAAGTTACACACAGAGGTAGAACTCACCAGTGATGAGCAATACCTGTACGGTTCTTGCTTCCAAAAATTATCCGACTGGTTCTCCATATTAGAGACCGTCGGCGAACAATGGATCTCTGATAAGAAAAATCTGGAGAAGTACTTGCATGTTAACGATTGGCAGTTTTTCAAAGATTCTGTCGCAACTTATAGAGACTGGTGTTTTGCAAACACTCATTACAGTTCACAAGACAACTTCGTCTTCTGCCACAACGATTTACAACACGGAAACGTGCTTTTGATAGACAAGGATAACGAAAAGAACAAAAACCTAATGCTTATAGACTTTGAGTATGCCGGACCAAACCCAGTAGCCTTCGATATATCTAACCACATGAGTGAATGGATGCACGACTACGACAGATTGGACTCTTACAAGTCAGATTACGACAGGTACCCTTCAAAGGACAAAATCGACGAATTCATAGATTGCTACCTACACCACTCACACACACCTAGAACCATGCTCGACAAGCAGAAACTAAAACATGATATAGAGCTTTGGAGACCCTGCGCTCAACTATTTTGGTCTGTGTGGGCCATCCTGCAGAGTGGCACAATTAATACCACTACTGTCAATTCTCGAGACGCCACTCCGGAAGTTAACGGGAAATTTAATGACGAACCAGAATTTCAATACCTCCTCTTTTGCAAAGAAAAATTATCCTGTTTCTGGGGTGATCTGATACAATTTAACTTGGTCGACAAGAACGATAACCGCTTAATCGCAGAGTCTGTTAATTATCTACCGCTTTAATATACATAATCGCATTTTATACAACTTTTTTGGCATTACTATCTTAGTTACCTAGTCCATTATACGAGCTAAAAATCACTTATATTTTTTAGCAAATACAAAAAGCATAGCAATAACGTGATCTAGATCACAATATATATTTATTATTTACTTGAAATAGAATGACGAATTCATCTGGGAAAGAATATTTAAATTATAAATAGTGTCTTATCGACTTTGAATACCGAGTTGCAGAAAAATTGATGAATATTTGTAATTGTTCTCTGTTTCAGCGTGCTTTTTTTTGGTTTGTTTGTTTTTTACTCCTTGTCTTGTAAAGTCCCCTTCAAAAATGATGAATTAAATTACCATAATAACATCTTCTTTGGATCCTCAATCAATTCCTTGACTGTCTTCAAGAATGTGACTGCTTCTCTACCATCTAGCAATCTGTGGTCGTAAGTTAGAGCTAGATACATCATTGGTCTAGAGACAATTTGGCCGTTAACAGTAACTGGTCTCTCCTTCACACCATGCAGACCCAACACAGCGGTTTGTGGCATGTTGATAATTGGTGTACCGTACAAAGAACCGAAAACACCACCGTTGGATATGGTAAAAGTACCACCAGCCATATCTTCTAAAGTCAACTTACCATCTCTGGCCTTTTGACCCAATCTGACGATCTCTTGTTCAATCTCTATCACGGATAGAGACTCTGCATTACGGACAACTGGGGTAACCAAACCCTTAGGAGTGGCAACAGCAATCGAGATATCTGTGTAGTCACGGTATACAATTTGGTCACCTTCAATGGCACCGTTAACAGCTGGAATATCCTTGGCAGCCAGTGTACAAGCCTTAGAGAATAGACCCATGAAGCCAAACTTGGTACCGGTCTTCTTGATGATTTCATCCTTATATAGCTTTCTCATTTCCATCAATGCGGACATATCGACTTCGTTGAATGTGGTTAGAGATGCTGCGGTGTTTTGAGATTCCTTTAATCTTTCAGCAATTCTCATTCTCATACGGTTCATCTTCACTCTGTTCTCATTACGGGAGAAGGCTGCAGTGGATGGGGCTTGTTGTGCAGCGTTGGATGCCTCTTGCTTTGGAGATTCTGGCTTCTTCACTGGAGCTGATTTTTTCTCCGCAGCTGGTGCAGCTGGCTTAGCTTGCTCTGCTGGTTTCGATTCCTCAGCAGGTTTCGATTCTTCGGCAGCAGGCTTGGCTCCACCATCAGCTGGTGCACCACCTTCTTCAATCTGTGCCAGCTCGTCACCAACAGTGACAGTGTCCTCTGGTTCGAAATTTAGCTTGGTGACTGTACCAGATACTGGCGAGTTAACCTCGATATCAATCTTATCGGTCTCAATGGTGGCCAAAAGCTCATCTTGCTCAACAAACTCACCGACTTTCTTTGTGAACTCCTTCAAAGAACCCTCAGTCAGGGACTCTGCCATGGAGGGCACCTTAACAGACGTAGACGCCCAACGGTACTGCGACAAGTACGCAGGAACAACCTTCTGCACCGGCAATTTCCATGCAGCCACATGGCGTGGTGTAATGTATCTTTTTGCGCAAACAGCCGACCTCGACAACATTGTTTCGTTCTGTAGTAGTTTTCCTCTCCCAAGTACAATAAAGCACACCTTTTCTTAATCGTGTATTTTTGGTGCTACTATTTTCTCCTTCCACCAAGGCGGTACCAAATACGATTGCAATGCGCTTTGCTCTTATATATAACGCCCATCTCCCCTCCCACACACAATTCGCCTTCACAGGATTTGGATTAGTGCGAGTGGGAGGCCGAAAAGGCCTCCCCCCGTATCTCCCCGTAGCTCCCCGTAGCTCCCCGTCGCTCCCCGTCCTCACGCACAGCGAACCGCGATCTCGGAGTCCCTCTCCTCCTTTCTCTCTTAACTGCCTTTGCTCGGTGCGGGATTATCTGCGTAATCACCAATTCTCGCCTTCTGATTCGCTCTTTCACCAACTAACGGCTTGCCCTCCCTCAAGCGATGAGAAAAAGGGTAAAACGGTGCTGAGAGAGAGGAGATTAAGTGTGGTGTAGGGAGGTTAGAAATGCTGGGTTTACAAAACATCCGTACATCACAATATATACGTTATCGCTACATATCGTGATACGTGAGAGCCGTTGCCCACCACTGATAAATTAGATAAACAAATCGTATACCAATACATAACCAATTGTAAACAAACGTACATAGGTATATAAACAACACGTAGCACACGATATATCTCCATGTACTTCGATTTTTTTTTGTCTTTCATTGGCTAACAGACAAAGGCCGAAGAATAAGGCTGTGCCTCTTCTCTGATGCAAATGTTACTTTTCCGCATTCCCCGCGAGATCTCTGTGGAGCACACACAACAAACTTTCCCGGTTGTCCAGAGGGATTGTAGGGGTAGGGGAACAAAAGCTATCAAAAATAATATGATAAATGGCTTTCCGTTGTCTCTCTCTGCGGACGTACTCCGTAGTTTTGCGTTTAATTGTCGCTAAACGTTACCCGGCTTTTTGTTTTTTTTTGATTTTGCTTTGTTTTTGTTTTTGTGTCAGGGCTTTCCTCTCCAACACCACACAACCAACAAAGTTTTCTTTTTTTTTTTTTTCTCATTCTTCCTTCCTCAACAGTTTGGGCGGCACTTTTCTGGCAGACTATAAATACCACACACTTCTCGGCCTCAGATCTCGTCCTCTTTCTTTCTCTTTATCTTCGGCGGCTAATTTTTTTAATACCCGTTTCTGCTGTTATTGCTATAAGAAGTAGTTCATTCAAAGTACAGGTGTTTGAAACAACATAAAGGATTGGTTTGTGAGCACAGTTCTTTATTTTTTTCTTTGAGGGTAAGTATCTTTTTACTTAGTTTTTTTTTTGATATTTTTAACTGGAAGAATAACAAAAGGACAACCTTTAAACTCTATTAACAAATGTCTCATACATCTGACCATGAACTGGAAGATGGGTTGGAGAAGTTGAAAGAACAGATGAAAGACGTGCCGGAGGGATCAGAATCAGTGACGGATGTGCTCGCCACTAAGGACAACACGGACGAGCTGCCGATGTTCATGGCCTCGAACTCTTACGAGTCCATGATGAGAGCCACCAATAACTCCAAGGATATCAACTTCACCATGGACCTGAGCGAGAACTTGCTCATGGAGTGCAGAAGGTTGCAAGCGATGAACGAGAAGTTTAAGAAGAAGATCGAGCAGCTGAAACAAGAGAACCATGATCTCGTAGAAGACCAACAGAAACACACTACAGGCACAGAGAAGTTGCAACAGGAACTAGACGACTTGAAACATCTCAATTGGGACCTAGAGGCTAACTTGGACAGTTGCAACAACGCACTTCGATTGATAAGAAACGAAAAGAACGATCTTGACGAGAATTACAAAACTACAAGAGAACAACTGGATGCCATAAGAACCGAGTCCGAAGTATTGAAACTGGAAAACCAAAAATTACAATCACAACTAAGTTCCCACGTCGCAAATATTGACCAAGAATCAAAATCCATGAGACAAAGATTATCAAATCTTAACGATGAAAACGATGAATTGAGTTCGAAAGTTAATTCTTTAGAAACTTCTTTGTCAACTTTGAAAAATGGGTTGCTGAGATTCTTGAAGAAGCAAAAATTGGTAGAAGAGGACACAAGTGACCTTGAAGATGATTTCTTTGATACTAGGTCAATAGATACCATGGCAACTGAGATCAATAACGATTTGCCAATTGAAAAATTGGAAACAATGGCTCAAAGTCACAATTGCAAATTGATACCCATTGATCAAGACACCGAGAGTTACAAACTGAACTCGTTACCCTTGGAATCTATAATAAACAAAATCAATGATTCTGAAGATTTTGAAGTCATTTCTAGAAAAGAATTAGAGACTTTAAGAGAACAAGTCAAAAATCCAGAGATCACTATCGAAAGAGTTAAGGACTCGCTATCAAGTGATAACAAAGATCAACAGATCAAGTTGATGAAATGGATTGCTCAGTTGAATAGTCGAATTATTTTAACAGAAGATAAATACAACGAGATGAATAATAGAATCTTTAACCCCAACAGAGCTCAGCTATCGGAGACTGCTGAGAAGATAGGTCTTAATGTCATTGAGAAGAATGATCTGGAAAATCTAAAGGAAAAGGCTCTGAACCCATCTGTAGATTTAATCAAGATCTTCGCGAGGAATAATAATATGACCGCCATTCCAACCGAGCGTTATGAAATGCTAGAATCCAGTTATAACACACCCACAAAAGAATTTTTAGAAGAAAGAGCCAATGATCTGAATCATACATTGATTGACAAGAAATCCTTAAATGATATGAGAGAATCGATTGAAAACCCAGATATATCCTTTATCAAAGAAGCTGCAAAGAAGTTTAATGAAAAGATAATATCTACAGCAGAATATGAAGAGATGATGAGATGCTTGGAGAACCCCTCTTTAGAGTTCTTAACCTCTAAAGCAGAACAAATGAAACAGAAAATAATACCTGCCGAAGTCTTCGAAGATCTTGAAAATACAAGTAAACATCCAAGCATGGAATTCTTAAATCAAAAGGCATTTGAAGCTGGCTATAAAGTTGTATCTGTATCGGATTATGACCAACTCAAGAGATCTGTGGAACAACCCTCATTAGATTTTATCACGGAGAAAGCCGAGGATTACGATCAAAGATTAATCTCTTCTGATGAATTCGAAGAATTGATGCAAATTTCTCAAGACCCACCTATCGATTTCTTATCAGCTAGAGCAAGTGCCAAGGGGTATGAAATGCTAAAGACTAAACAATACGATGATCTATTAAGAAAGACTAACGAACCTACAGCAAAAGAATTAGCTGCTATCGCCTCCGGTGTAGGATATGTGGCAATCCCAGATTCAGAGTATTTAACACTAAAAGAAATTTCAGAAAATCCTTCAATGGGCATATTAAGAGAAAAAGCCGAAGCATATAACCATGTTGTTATCGATAAAAATGAATACGAAGATATGAAAATGAAATCCAATGACAAAAATGCAGCCATTGAAAACATTGCCTCCTTTGGTTTCAAAGCAGTTCCATTATCTGAGTATAACGAATTGATCGATTCAACGTTAGAGAATTCGTCATTGGAAGATCTAAGAAAACGTCTTGATAGTGAAGGGTATGTGATGGTTGAAAGAGATATTTACAATAAACTATCTTTACCCGTATTTGAAAGAGGATCATTGGATGATACCATGAAACTATGTGAAAAATTCTCTCTACGTGCAGTTTCAAAAGAAGAGTTTGAAGAATTAGAGAAAAGTGCCTCCTCACCAGTACTATCTATTGATGAATTGATTGAACGTGTGAAATCTCATGGTTTCATGGTTCATTCATTAGAAGAACACAAAGAATTACAGAAAAAATTCGAGGAACCAGATATAAACTACTTGATCGAAAAGGCTCAGAAGTACAATGTTGTGTTGATTGATTCTAATGAAAACTCTAGAAACGAAGAACTTATAAAGAATACACCATTAAGCTTCGTTAGAGAAAAAGCAGCTTTACATGATTGTAGTATCATTGAAACTAAGAAATTAGAAGAAATGCAAACACAAATAGAACAACCTACTATCGAGATGCTAAAGGAAACAGCTGAAAAGATCGATTGTATTGTAATGACCTCTGAGGAGAAAACTAAGCTAGACGAGCACATGGCAAAGCCTCCATTGGATTACTTGAAAGAAAAGGCCAGAAGACAAAGAAAAGAGCTTGTGGATCTTGTTGAATTTAGAGAGCTGATTAGAAAAACTACTAATCCTACAGGTGATGAGATCAAACAGTACGCTAACTCATTACAATCTGTTGTTTTATTAAATGATGAATATAACGATTTACAAAAACAGATTGAATATCCAACTTTAGATTACCTAGTTTCGTCATTGGAGAAGTTCAATTATGTGGCAATTCCAAAGGAAGAATATGAACATAGTGTGGATAGATATAACAACCCATCTAATGATTATTTATCCGAGAAATTAGCTGATAATGGTATGATTATGGTCAACAATAATGAATATCAAAATTTGTTATTATCCGTTGATAACCCTGAGTTAGCATATTTGGAAGAAAAAGCTAAGGCATTCAGGAAAATTGTAATAGATAAGGAAGAGTTCCAGTATAAACTTGATATTTTTGAAAATCCATCCTTAGAGTTTTTAGAGTCAAAGGCAAATAATATCAACAAACAAATAATCGACAAAGATGAACTAAATGATTTGAGAGATAAACTAAGAAACCCTACAGAAGACTATCTAATTGAGCATGCTGAGCTTCAAAATAAAACTTTGGTTGACAAAACAGACTATCAATGTAAATTGAGACAATTAGAAAATCCAACCATTGATTTCTTAAGAAACATGGCAAGAAAGGAGTCTATGGTTTTGATGGCAAAGAATGAAGCAGAAACAATGCAAGCAATGCTTTCGCAACCTGATTTGGATTATTTGAAAGCCAGTGCAAAAGAACTTGGTTATGAAATAGTGGAATTGGCTCGGTACAGAGAACTTGTCAATAACTCAGAAACACCTTCATTCGAATTCTTACAATCTAAGATCCATAGCATGAACTATGTTATTGTTCGTCAAGAGAAATGGGAGAGTGTCAAGCAAAAGGCTGAAAATCCAACAGAAGAAGAATTGAAATCCTATGCTCATAACTACAATCTGAAAGTTTTTACCAGTGATGAATTGAATGATTTCATTGCTCAGATCAAACTTCAAGAAAGAAACAATACATCTCCTTCTTCCAAAGTTAAAGCCAGCAAACAATATTTTGAACAACTCATTAAGGAACAGAAACAACAACCGGGTAAAATCAAAGAACATGCTCAGGCATTGGGTTTCGTTACACTACCTACTGATGAATACGAAAATTTGATCAAGAATCAAAAGGACTCTGCATTAAAGAAAGAGGAAATTTATCGTGCTGCAAGAGAGATGAATATGACCGTAATTGACAAAGAATCATACTCCAAATTTATTCAACAGAGATCATCACCTGTGAAACTGACTTATGAAGAATTACAAAGTCTAGCAACTAAAATGGATATGGATTTGATAAAGAGAACACCTGATCTAAGAAGCAATTCTAGTGGTACAAGACTAAACTTTGTTGAGAAGGAGGAATCCGCTGAAGATAGTAGTAGTAGTAGTACAGGAGAAAAATCGGAGAACCTTACTCAAAATAAATCACCATTCTTGACTTCAAATACTTCTTCATTGACTTTAGAGGAACTTACAAATAAAGCCAAAGAACTCGGTTATATCTTGTCTCCTATGAGAAAAAGTGCATCACCATTATCTGATATACCAGATTTGACTTCAGAGAGCACTGCCACAAACTCCACTTTAACTAATACTCATGAAAACCACTCATCACTAGACCTCTCAAAAATTACACAAGACAATCATAAAGCACAGAGCAAAACTATACCTAATAAACTTGATATTAATACCGTGCAGGAGTTACTGAAGGAGACAGAATACGAACTGATTAACAAAAAGCAGTTAAAGGAGTTGAAGTCTGTTAGGAAGCCATCAAAACCAACAAAACCAACAGAAAAAGAACTACAAAAAATAGCTTCAACACTTGGTTTATCCCTGCTGACACAAGAGCAATTGAAAGACCTTGAAGATCCTGCAAAGCTCTCTGATGATGACCTGAAGAAAGAAGCCTCCAAGAGAAGTTTGATAGTCCTTTCTCTAAAGTCATACAAAGCATTGTTATCGAAGGAAAGACAGGCAAGCAAACCAATACCAAAGATAACACGTCTAGAAATTGTCAAAAAGGCACCAGTTCATGGCTTAATCGCCATAGATCAAAGAGAGTATAATAGCTTAAAGACTGACAACAAGAAAATAGATATTGGTAAGGTTGACGAAAACATGTTACGCACGAGAGCTAAAGAATTGGGTCTAGTTGTCATGGACAAGAATGATGCCTCACATATGGAAAGGGTATCAAAGCCAAAGACAAAGCTAGAGCTAATCAAATTACTTCAAATACGTTACAATTTGGTAGCTATACCAAGAGCAGAATATTCGAAATTGAAGTCACAAATTACAAACGCAAAATCAACGGAGTCACCATCGTCAACAGCTGAAATCGAGACCAATGCTAAATCTTCTAATATAACTGATGTTGAACAAATGAAGCAAGAATTAAGTAGCCAGGGATTCCTAGTGGTTCCATCTACATGTTTCATTTCTACAGCTTATGCCAAGACCCCAACCACGAAGAAGGTTGTTGTTCTGCCTAGAATGTACTATATGACACTATTGGCTCGCAGTAACCCAAGACCAATCAAAAGAACAACATTGTCATCTCGCAACAACACAAGCAATCTCGATTCCACACTGGTATCTGAAGCTAGTGAATTACCTTTGAAAAGTAAAACTGCACCTTCAAGTCCAGCATCTGAAGTGCCTCCAAATACAATTTCATCAGCGCTATACGGTGGAACTTCATTTAATGAGAGTAGTACTGTAAAATCAGAGAGCACTCCACTTTCATTTTCCCCAACTCAATCACCATTACACACACCATCGAAACGTACAGCAAAGAAACCGCCAATGAACCGTTCTACATCTGTTGACACATTAGGCACTTTGAATTCTATTGCTTCTATGAACGAAAAGACAATGATACCCGCATTGACTCAGACAGTTATCGGTGAATATTTGTACAAATACTACCCAAAACTAGGACATATCGGTGGTGAAGGTAGACACAGAAGATATTTCTGGATCCATCCATACAGTATGACTCTATACTGGTCCGAAACCAATCCAGTGATGGAAAATGCTGCTCAGAGTAAGACTAAAGGTGTTTCTATTTTGAACGTTTCTGTAATTCCTGACAATAGCAGTCACCCAAGTGGTCTATATTACAAGAGTATAGTAGTTACCACTGATGACAGAAATGTCATTTTTACATGCCCAACTAGAGAACGTCATATGGTGTGGTATAATTCTTTGCGCTACTTACTTCAAAGAAGCATCGATGGTATTCCTTATGATGAGATTGTTGAAGATTCTGATAATGATATGTACGCCGGTAAAGTCTTCCCTCTAGGAAGACAAGGACAACATGTACCTGGCCGCCTAGGTACAAGGACTACTATGAGATCTCCATCTATCTCTTCGTTGAGAGATAGGGTGAAAAAATAAAGATATGAGAGTTTACTTATGCGAAAAGGTATAAAATTATTAGTTATTAATATAAGTCGATGACGAGGGCCTGACCATATTTAGATTGGCAAAGTGTACTTTACCACTATATCCAAATTTGTACTATTTAATTTTCATATCATCATGTATACACTAAGTACCACGAACATGCGGACTCTTGATAATAATATATCAAAATTCAAAAATTCGAATAACAACTGTATATATATTTCAAAAATACATTAACAACGCTCATAACATAAAACTTGTACTATATTAATAATAATAGTTATAATAAATATTAAAGTGGGTAATAAATATAAATAACCACACGATCAGACTAAAGAACGGTTTCAAATATTTTTTCAGTTTTTGCTCCATAACTTTTATGAAACAACAAAAGAAAGGGAAGCCATTCAAACACTACCAGAGGAGAATGAATGTGTGTGGAATTGTCACTAATGATGGGCAATAGCTTTTCAAAACAATAAAAGTCAATGTCAAACAAAATGGAAGTAAAAGTACCTTGCACTACTCTTGAATATGACTGAAAAAACCTCTTATAGGAAAGAGACTTAAAATACAATTGGAAATGGATCAAATACCATTATGTTTATCGGAAAAGACAAAAAAATAACAAAAACTAACAAAAAAAGAATGAGTAAATGATAATAAAATTAAAATTTGGCGGAGTTCCACAGAAGAGTTCGATTTTTCTAATCACGACTTCAGATTAGAACTGATAATCAGCACATTACCAGGTCATCTTTTGAAGTTTCTTAATGTTTGCATGTAAGTTTTTCTGCTTTATCTGTACTTCTGTTAATTTTCTTTCTGATGCATCACTTCCATCAGGGTTTGCAGTATAGGTGCCTGCTTTTTTATAAATTTGAATATCTCTGTCGTCACCATGTTTGAAGCAACATCTCTTACCGTATGGGCAGTAACCAAGCTTATCCCAGTTAATGCATGGCTTTGTTCTGAAATTATTTGAGGTCTTTTTCAATTTCAGTTCTTGAAGGCCATGAGCAAATTGACACTTGTTCCCATACTTACAGAAGCCCTTGGTGGTAAAAGTCTCACATAATTCTGTCTTGTACAAACCCTTATTAATCTGTTGTTGTTGTTGTTGTTGCTGATGCTCTTTCACCTTAGGCTCGCTGTTGATCTGCTTAGTAGGGTCCACAGTAGTTTTTTGGATGTGGAACTTCTTGCGGTTTATACTTTCAATAGGCATGTCGTCAATACTCAGGTCCTGCATCTTCTGTAGATTTTCGGAAGTTAGTGGAAGCGCATTAGCCTGGTAATGATGCTTTATGTCAACTTCTAGGTTAGACTTACGTGAAACTTGCTTGTCTTGCAAAAATGGGTTGATTTTATGTGTCTTGGCAGGCTTTGCAGAGATTTCATTGTTAAAGATATTAGTGTAGTTCAATGGTGTTACATTGGCCTGTGAGTTCACGAATTCCTGGTTAGCATAGTTTGTCTGTACATTGCTATCAAGGAATGTTGGCTGCTGCTGTTGAAGTTGCAGTTGCTGCTGTAGCTGCTGTTGTTGCAATAGTTGCTGCTGCTGTTGTTGCTGCTGTTGCTGTTGCTGTAATTGCTGTTGTTGCCTGAAGTATAAACTCTCATTGTTTATAGACTTACCATAAATATATTGAGATTCGTTCAGGCTGTTCAGGTTGTTAAACAGGGCATTGTTAGCTGCTGCACCATACACTGCAGGACTGTTACCGACCAGATGTGTGTTAAATTTCGAGTACATCATGCCTGGTGATGTAGATATATCCTGTATACTAACATCACTAGAGCTGCTGCTTGGGTTGGCCTGGTCGTCGAGCTCTAAGGAGGGCACGCTCTTGATCCCAGACGCACCAACATACCCGGAGTTCCTCTTCGAAGGTTCTTCGTTCAACAAAGTCTTCAAGTAGTACTCCTCAATTTCTTTGATCCGGGCCTCGTAGTCATCGGCCTCGGGCTGGATCTCCACATTCTGCACCTCAGATGCACCACCATTCCCATACATGTTGGCATGGGCCATCTTCAGGTACTGGTGCTGTCCATGTCTCTCCGAGAAGACACTCTCGCTGAACTCCGTATAAATATCACTCATCGCTACACTTGGTTGATACTTATGCTTGTGCTAAGTCCTGGCAAGACAAGGTTCGAAATACTACAAAGTTTCGAGCACAAAACCCCCCATATATATATATGAGCTCATCACCTATATTTTACTACACCCAGCTTTTACACAATTTCCGATTATTTGGGTGCACAAAGCTCACAATCATGACCTACGTGGGTGCACTACCCATGATAAGGGCTCTAGGCTGTCCACCATCTCACAACCATCAAAGTTGCTACCTCGCAACCACACCATCTTAGCATTGCACTATTCCCCCATCCGCAAGCCCATTGCTAATCAAGGCAAAGAGCACCCTGACCCTGGGCACCACTTCACCCAGCCGATAACGCATCGCTGAGCATATAACCACCTCACATATATGCTCTTGGAGGTGAATCGCAGATCGCATGGGCACTTCCCATCGCAGGGCAGAAGTCTTTAGCTCATCGACTTGTTCCCTGGCTCTTTCAACTCGGGGGGGTTGTATAGGTCATGTGATTTTGCCCGCTTATCGCCAAAAAATTTTTCAGCTGAAATCGCATAGAAAGTAGTTATAGTGGTAAGTAGGAAGTAGTTGTAGTTTGATGTGTATGGCCCAAGCAGGAGGAACTGTGTGCGGGACGATGGATTACAAAGAGGAGCAAGAGCAGGAGCTGGAAGTTCTGCGGTCTATATACCCGGATGAGCTCGAAGTGGTGAAGGAGTACCCTGGGGTGAAGTTTGAGTTGCAGTTGAAGCTGGAGTTGCAGGAGCTGATAGACACGTCGCATTTGTCTAAGGACCACACTTTGCACTGTACGTTTCAGCTGCCAGAGGAGTACCCTGATGTGAACCCTGTGATCAGCATAGAAGTCGAAGAGACGTTGCTTAACAGCGACGATGAAGGGGAAGGAGAGGACGAGGACGAGGACGAGCAACAGTACGATGAGCACGGTAACAGGCTGATGAGCAAGTACGAGAATATCCCCGACACGATCTCCATTGCTGACTACGTGAGCGGTCCGCTGGTCGCGGAGCTGGAAGAGCAGATCGAGACGGACATGCTCTCCGGTATGCAGATGTGTTTCGCGCTGATATCCTCCATCAAGGAGAAAGCCGAGCACTACTTCCTGGAGCAACTGACCTTGAAGCAGAAACAGCACGACCAGGAGCTGCAGGAGCGTGAGAAAGAAGAGCAGGCCAAGTTCCACGGTACAAAAGTCACTAGAGAGTCCTTCCTCGGCTGGAGAACCAAGTTCAGACAGGAGCACGGCTTGGATAAGCGTGATGAGGAGAGAAGATTGCAAGCACACCATGGCAGACTCACGGGTAAACAGATGTTCGAGCAAGGTATCGAAGGTACTCTGGATGACATCGACGACACGGATGTCCAGGAGGTCGCTACTAAATTGCAAGACGATTTGTAGGTCTAGTTCAGCCATATATACAAATGTCTGCCCCCATAAATACAAGAACAATTAGCATCGTACTCATAGTTTCACGCAACTATTGCATTTCCTTTGTACATTCTCAATATTACTTATTTACTTTACATACCAATACAAAAAGATTTTAAACAGAGATATAGGGATTTTCTGGACCACTTTTGAAGCAATTTAAAATGTGAGTAAAGGCACAGAATCGATTAGGCAACACGGTATGTTATGCACAGTAGTCTCGAAAATCCTGTTCCAAGACATAAACCATCTGGAAGCCTGCCGTTTCTCTCTTAACGACTTTATACCGATTCGATTAATATATTCCCGTAATGCTAGCAGATCTATATCAAAGACTTCGAGCTAGCAAACAGATCTGAAAACGCATCCTTCTTTGCAGGCTTCTTGACTTCCTCTACTGGTGTCTTTGAAGGGCCAAACAAATCCATTAGATCGTCGTTGGCTGCAGCAGTAGCTGCCGCTGGCTTGGTGGTTGAAGCATTGGCAGTTGTTGCGGCTGGCTTGGAAGAGCCAGGGGCAACTTCACTTTGGAAGTCCCCAAACTCATCCTCTTCATCTTCGTCATCGACTTCACCGATGGTAGCTGATTTGCTAGGCAACCTGCTGTCAGATGGGTATAAGGACTTGGTGCTGGTGTTTGTTGTACCCTTAGGCTCTAAGTCATCGAAGCTGATCAAATCTGGCACATTAGCAGCTTCTTCTTCTTCCTTCTTCTTTTGGTAATAATCTCTTCGTTGTTGTTCTTTGTTTCTGATTTGTTCTCTTAGTATCTCTCTTCTTTGCTTTCTTTGCTGATCGGCATGGGATGGGCGTCTGCGAGGTCTGTTGTCCACTGGAATGTCGTCGTCGTCGTCGTCATCGAAATCGAGGTCTTCGCCGTAGTCGAAGTTGTTGCTGCCTCTCATAGAGGATGAACCATATGTTGATACCGATGCCATGGCATCGGCGTTGTACAGCATGTCAGACTCCCCTTGCTGTTTGATCTTCAGAGCATTCTTCTTGTTCTTCAGTCTCTCCTGTTTCAAGAACTTGGAGTCCTCGATGAACTGCATGATCAACTCACCTTTCTTCCTGATACCACGCTCGTGCACTTCCATCTTACCGTCGTTGGAGAACTTGATCTTGAAGTTCAGCACTTCTTTGCTGATCAGATGCTTGTGGGTCAGCAGACAGGACCGCACCTGGTTGATCTCGTCCCCGTCGTCTACATTCATCAGCAGGTACTCGATCACAACAAGACACTTCAGCACCACACGCCACTCAGACCCATAGTTCACATAGTCCTTACGGGCCTTCTCATACAGGTTCTTGGGCCGCTGCGCAATGTGGTCGATCAACCGCTTCAGGATATACTCCGTGATCAGATACAGCGGCACCTGGTACCTGTTCCGCAACACCTTGGCCAGGTGCTTCGGCGTAGGTCCCCAGGAGTCCGTGTTGGTCGCACGCCTCACATCCACCTGATAAGGCTCATACTGCACTATAACGTTCTGCGCAAACCGCGCAGCATTCCTCAGATCATGGATACCCAAGTTCTGGATCTTCTTAGACAGCGAATCCATCGTACACTGCTTTTTGGCCTCTTCACAAGTTGCTCCTTTTCAACAAGTTGGTCCCAAAGCTGGCTTCTTATAAGGGCCCTCTTCGCCCGTTTTGAAAAATTTTTCAAAATTTGGAAGCAAACTGTAGGAATAGAATAGTTATAAGTTTATTCAGTTATATAGTTTTTATAGGAGCTATATGAGAGATTACTTACAATTCACCAGACTTGGAGACGATGATTCTGGCTCTGGTGGCACCGGAGGAAGAACCCATGGACTCGACCTTCTTGACGACGTCGTAACCTTCGGAGACTTCACCGAAGACTACGTGCTTGCCGTCCAACCATGGGCATGGCACGGTGGTGATGAAGAATTGGGAGCCGTTGGTGTTTGGACCGGCGTTGGCCATGGACAATAGACCAGGTCTTTCATGTCTCTTGACAAAGTTCTCGTCTGGGAACTTACCACCGTAGATGGACTTACCACCGGTACCGTTACCAGCAGTGAAGTCACCACCTTGCAACATGAAGTCTGGGATGACTCTGTGGAATGGGGAGCCGGCGTAGCCGAAACCCTTCTCACCAGTACATAGAGCTCTGAAGTTAGCAGCGGTCTTTGGGACGACGTCGTCGTACAATTGGAAGACAACTCTACCTAGAGGTTGGCCATCAGCTTCAATATCGAAATAAACCTTGGACATATTGTATTTAATGTGTATGTGTGGTGGTGTTTTATCTACTCAATTGACCCAAAAGAACTAAAGCACACAACCCAACTCCCAATTGGACCACCCATATTTATAGTAAAACTTCGACCGCAACCCTCTGTAAACCCCCCCTCTTCCCAATTGGAAGGGGTTTCCAAAGTGGCAAATTCTAGAATTGCAATCGATGCTTGGTCTGGTGAGCCCTAGTACTTTTGCTTGTGTGCTTGTGTGCTTGTGTGCTTGTGTGCTTGCCAGTGATGAGGACTTGCGATGACGAATTGTAACTGGGCCAGTGATAACTTGCGACTGGGGAAATGACGTAGGAACAATGGACACAATGGTTCCTCCCCCCATCCAATAGCTATATCAACAGCTATATGTGCTCCCTTCCATCCCAGGTGCGCTGTTCCAGTCGCTGGGCTTCTATAGGAGACACCATCCATGGGGGAGAAGAGACTACCAACGTGCGCAAATGGAGCTGAGCCAAATCTACTGTCGAGGTAGAACGGCAGTCCACTGAATCACCGCTATTGATGGTACCACTGGGCTTCAATGTAGATGAATATGTAACTTGTAACACTAGTCAATGCTGTTATGTGTAAAACAGAGTTGAGAAGCAGACCTTGTGTAATAAAGTGTGGAATGCAATGAAGCACTAGTCCACCAATGTATTGGGATGGTGGGAAAAAGCATTCAGTAATGTACATAACTTGGGTATGCAAGGAACTGGTATGCCCAGTGAACAGAGTAGACATGGTTGGTGGTATACAAGGTACAGTATCCGCAGTAGAAGCATCTTCTTGCTTTTAGAGACAGTACATATACAATTTGGTGCTACTCAGCGTATGGGGAGTACAATGGAATATCACACACTCAAGCATAAAGTGGGCCACTATGCCCAAAATATAATTTAATGTCTAGTAGTGTTCCGGAGTAGTTTAATAATAATAAATGATGTTAAATATATGTGACTGAATTTTATATTTTGGGACAGTAATCCAACTTATGGTATGTGAATGTGTATTACGGGTTGGCACTGTTGTCCATAGGGTAATATAGTATTATATTATACAATATAGTATGCAATTTCACAGTAACATATACAAATCTACAGTAAGAGACGAGAGAGCGGTGTATATAGCTGGTGAACAAAATGATGCAGAGAGTGTATATAGTACAAAACTAGCTCAGGAATGGGATTCTATAATATGCAGTGGAACATTGTGAAATACCGTGTAAAACAAAAGTTTCATATAAGAGGAGTATATATTTTGATATAAAATACAATGCACTGCTATGAGCTATACAAGAGAATCTTGTATAGGGATATAAAAATGGAATATAATACAATTTAGAGCTGAATAAGCTAGCACACAATATAATACTTTAAAGTAAAATATCAAAATATACATTACAATTCAATACAGTATGCTAAACTATACTGTAATACAATAAAATACTTTACAATATAGTATAGTAGAATATAATATAATACAGTATACTATAATATAATATAGTACAATACAATACAATACAATACAATACAATACAGCATACTATACTATACAGTATACTACAGTATGCTATAATAAAATACAAAATAATATAATATAATACAATACAGTATACAATAATACAATACAGAATAATATAATACAATACAGAATACAATACAGAATAATATAATACAATACAGAATACAATACAATAGAATACAATACACTACAATACAATACAATACAATACACTACAATACAATACAATACAGAATACTATAATATAATACAATACAGTATACTATAATACAGCATGCTATACAACGCTGTTGGGTGTTACCCGCAAGGCCGTATACTATTACATTTTACTGAAACTGCCAAAACTGAAAAATTTGGCGGAAAGCGATGCGATGAGCTTTATAAAGTAGCAATGACTGTGTACTTCTGAACTTTTGTAGTTGGTTCCATGTCGGGGGGAAGGGAACCAAAGATAATGTTGAGCGGTCCTGTGGTGGTTAAGCAGCGCGGAGTTCCGCAGCATGTGTCGCGCGAGGAGATGCTGGCGTTCCTGGACAAGTTTGTGCAGCAGAAGGAGGATGCCACCGGTGGCTCGCTGGCGCTGTTGAAGCGTATCCAGCGTGACTTCAAGGGCCTGCCGCCTCAGACAGAGTAATATATAGTTACATAACCTTTCTAATACATTGAATTTACAATAGATCATCTCACGTGTATGTCACTGCAAGACTGACTCATTTCTTTCACCACCAAAAAATTTGTGTTCATATATAACTGATCGCCATTACTGCAGACACATCGAAGCTATCATTAAGAGTACTTAAGTTATTACAAGTAGCGTTGACAAGTACAGCTGTAAGTTACAGAAAAACAAATATAGACGAAAAACTACTAGACATGAAGACTGCTGGTGTATTAGGTGCTACTGGTTCCGTGGGCCAAAGATTTATCCTGCTGTTGGCTGACCACCCGGACTTTGAGCTGAAGGTGTTGGGTGCTTCTCCAAGGTCTGCCGGCAAGAAGTACGTCGATGCTGTCAACTGGAAGCAGACTGACCTGCTGCCTGAGTCCGCCAAGGACATCGTTGTCGTCGAGTGTAAAGCAGAGGAGTTCAAGGACTGTGACGTCGTCTTCTCCGGTCTAGACGCAGACTACGCTGGCCCTATCGAGAAGGAGTTCATGGAGGCTGGTCTTGCCGTCATCTCCAACGCCAAGAACTACAGAAGAGAGGAAGACGTCCCACTGGTGGTCCCTATCGTGAACCCAGAACACTTGGACATCGTCGCACAAAAGAAGAAGCAGAACCCAAAGGCCGGTTTCATCATCTGTATCTCTAACTGTTCCACCGCCGGTCTGGTCGCCCCACTAAAGCCTCTGGTTGAAAAGTACGGCCCAATTGATGCTTTGACCACTACCACTTTGCAAGCCATCTCCGGTGCCGGTTTCTCCCCAGGTGTGCCAGGTATCGACATCCTAGACAACATCATCCCATACATCGGAGGTGAAGAAGACAAGATGGAATGGGAAACTAAGAAAATCTTGGGTAAGTTGTCCCCAGACAATTCCACCGTCGAACTGATCTCCGAGGATGATCTAAAGGTCTCCGCTCAATGTAACAGAGTCGCCGTTTCCGACGGTCACACCGAGTGCATCTCCTTCAGATTCAAGAACAGAAACGTCCCATCCGTCGAAGAGTTGAAGAAGACCTTGTCTGACTACGTCTGTGACGCTTACAAGTTGGGCTGTCATTCCGCCCCAAAGCAAACTATCCACGTCCTAGAGCAAAACGACAGACCTCAACCAAGACTAGACAGAAACAGAGACAACGGTTACGGTGTCTCCGTCGGTAGAGTCAGAGCCGACCCAGTCCTGGACTTCAAGATGGTCGTCCTGTCCCACAACACCATCATCGGTGCTGCCGGTTCAGGTATCTTGATCGCTGAAATCCTGTTGGCTAAGAACTTGATTTAAGAAATAGACCCGTAATGAACTTCGCATTTTTTTCCGTCTATTTTCCCTTCCAATTTCTTCCCAAATCAGATAATGTATACTCAGCATGAGCAATGAACACATAATACAATTTATATAACTTCCCCATAGTACATAATCACACCAAATCGAAAGTACAATTATACAGTCTTTTCCCTGCCTATATGCCAAATAGAAACTATACTGGCAACACTACACGTTCCTCCGCTTATACTCATCACTTATGACGTCACATAAACTTTTCCAGCTTTCCAACGTTAGCAAAGAGTCAAAAGGCTGTCAATCAATTGGGACTTGAAGCCGATGAAGTTACTCTTAAGAAGCCATATATTGAGTTGGACACAGGTTTCAGAATCCTCAATTCAGCCTCTGAGCAGTTGAACCGCTGTTGCCCTTTTTAGTTTGTGCTTCGAATAGGAAAATTGCCCTTGTTCTTCATTTTGAGACAGTTGCATATTGCAAAAATTAGAGTGTGGTTACCGCCTTCTGCTAGCTTTAAATCTTAACATATGGATAACGGTAAGGGGCAGTTCTTGGGGCCATTGGTGGATTCACCTGAGAAATTTGGGTTTCAACGTCGGAGCCATGGACCCAGACAGATGCCCAAGTTTCTCATTGCCCAGCAGCCCCAATTGAGGACAAAGCCCTTCAAGCAGGACTCATGGGACAAGAGTAATCAGCAGAAGATGTTGCAATTGGAAGAATCTATTGATGACTTGACAGATTTATACGAAAGACTAAGGAAGATGAGGGAAATGGAGAGGAAAATGATGGAAAACAAAGGTCTTGTAGATAAAGCAGACCATGCCAAGGATCTGAACGATGCAATTGTTTTCCAAGGTACATGTCTAGATATGTGCCCCATTTTTGAGAGATCGCGACGTAATGTTGAATACACGGTTTACAGTTACGAGAAGTTAAGTCCGGACGATAAAAAGGCGGCTCGATCAAAGGCCTTGAAAGTGTTTGCAAGACCTGCTGCCGCTGCTGCACCTCCTTTACCTTCAGATGTTAGACCACCCCATATTCTGGTTAAGACATTGGACTATATTGTGGATAACTTACTTGACACTTTACCCGAGAGTGAAGGTTTTCTGTGGGATAGAATGCGGTCAATCCGTCAAGATTTCACATATCAAAATTACTGTGGTCCTGAAGCAGTCGATTGTAACGAAAGAATTGTACGTATTCATCTTTTGATCTTGCATGTCATGGCCAAGTCAAAGGTAAAATACTCCATGCAACAAGAGCTGGAACAACTGCATAAATCCTTAATTACCTTATCAGAAATATACGATGATGTACGTGCCGCTGGCGGAACGTGTCCAAATGAAGCTGAATTTAGAGCATATGCCTTACTGAGTAAAATAAGAGATCCTCAGTATGACAAAACTATCCAAGATCTACCTGACTACATATTCCAAGATGATTTGGTACAGTTAGCAATCTCTTTTAGAACTATCATATCAAACTCCGGATTTATTGAAAGAGGTTTCATTAAAACTGAAAATTGCTTGAACTATTATCAGCGGTTTTTCAAGCTTATTAAAAGTGACAGCATTCCTTTTCTGATGGCTTCTTTTCTAGAGACATATTTAGGGGAAGTTAGATTTTATGGCATGAAAGCCTTGTCTCATTCACTAAACAAAAAGCACAAACCGCTCGATTTTAAATATGTGGAGGATATGTTTCTATTCAATGATAGGGAAGAACTACTCTACTTTTGTGAATATTATTCAATTACGATTACTGATGATGGCGTTGATCTAAAGACATTACCTCATCATTCACACAAAATCCCAGAAAAAAAGCCGTTGAATCAAAGCTATTTGCAATGTGTCGAGGAGAAACTACAACTCTCAAGTAAAATCTCAATTGTGAATTCAGGTAAACCGAACTCTGGCGAATTCTTTGGCAATGCAATTCCTCAATCTAAAGTCAAAAACTTATCTGTATTGAAAGCAGCAGTACAGCAACCAACAAATCCCACAAAGCCTCAGAATCCTTTCACTTTTGGCAAACCGGAAAAGAGAAAGGATAACAGTCCACTTCAAGTGAAAACGCCGGCCCTCTTAAAGCCTACATCAGCAACTCTCAAGATTGAGAAAAAAGGTAATCCCCTTGTTTCTCAAACAATGTCATCAGATGTTTCTACGCTACCAACCACATCTTCAGTATTCCAGCGCACGGAATCTAGAAGTCCATCTAAAGATATTGAATTATCTAAGATAGAGCCACACCAAGTTCCGATGAAAGCAAATTTTGAATTCAATCAATCAAAAACTACAAATTCCAATAAGAATACGTTGAATCCGCAGACCACTGCTAAATTAAAAAACATACCAAAGGAACCTGAAAAATCAAACAGTGGTAAGATATCTATTAGTAAAGTTCAAAAAGAGTCGCTTATTTTGGATATCTATAATCAAGTGAAAAATGAGGTCATACATAAGAATGTGTCAAATATTGTTGAGGTCTCTCTGAAACAAAGAAGTCACAAAAGCCAGATTATTTCAGATTTCTCTGGTGACCTTTTTCGTGCATTTATTCATGAACAGTTGTACATGATTTATCTTCAAAGCCATGCTGACATTTTGTTAGAAAAATCAATGGGTAAAAAATACCTATTGACATGGTTATCAAAAACAAAAAAGAAAATAAATAAAAAGAAAGAAATAAAACAAAGATCTGAAAGTATACGAATCGTTAGCAAACAGTTAGGAATACCAAACTACTCAATTGTCCCGAATGAAGTCAATTCATCTTTCGTCAATAAGACTTCAAATGTATCATTTCAATCTAAAGGCAGAGACTTCTCACCTTTACAACTCGAAAAATGTAATGTTTCTCACTCAATGGTTAAGCAGATGAAATTCTGGCAGCCAATGGACATAAAATCTCTCTACTTTCAAAAAGTACTGAAAAAGATTCCCCCCAGCCAAAATATCAGCATTCTGGTTATTTTAGATAACCAAAATACAATACCAAATAATTGGGTATTGGAAAAATTCTCAATTAAGGATTCCAAAAAATCCACAATATCTGTGGATGATAAGAATTTAAATATTATTCCTTATAGTTTAAATTCTAAGGATGAAGATATTAAAGATACCTGTTTAATTGCTTTCAACACAGGTGTTACTGACTTTGATATTTTTGATTTGGAAATGAAATTGAAATCAGATGGAGAGGTGCTGGTTAAAATGATTAGCGATATTGCTGCAAAGGCCAATATTAAGTTCACCATTTTAGTATTGTATTGGGATTCTCAAGAAACACCATTCTCCGAAGATTTGATCTCTCAATATTTAAAATTGAAGCGAATCACTAAGCATTTCAGCAGTTTATTGCAAGACATAATAATTGTGAACATAGGAGGCAAGGACCCCCATAAAGCTTTGGAATATTCTATTGAGACATGTGGGGATTTGTTTACCTATAAATTGACTGGGCGTGGTGAATACTACCAGAGGTTAAAGGTTGAAAAAAGAGTCGCATCTTCAGATGTTGATACGATAAATTCTCAGCGTATTGATGCCAAACTAAAAAGAGTCTTGGAACTCGAAGAGAAGAGGTATCTTCAACAAATAGAGGAAACTAAGAAGAGAAAACAGAACACATATGCACATTTGGAGTCTCATATTCTGGCTTCCCCGAAGAGACTAAAAGCGAAATTGCCTGTTTTATCATCAGCTTCGGGAGAGAGAAAGTACCGTACACCTATGACTCTCAAGAGACGTATAGTTTCAACCACACCTGGTGATTATCCTTCGACCCCTACTGTTATACCTCCATCTAATCAAGGGAACGCTAAGAGACAGAAGCAGATTATTCTTAGTACACCTATTCAGAAGAAAAGGCCAGCATCTCTGCATGTAATGCCTTCATCGTCATCAACAGATAAAACACCTGTTATCACAGTCATTGGAAATGGGAATTTAGACGAGAACATTCACGATAGTGTCTTGTATAGAACCCCAATGAACGGCAGTACCATCAACTCCAATGATCAAAGTGGTATAGAGACACCATCCAACTTATCTAATCTGGAAGAATTGAAAAATCTAATATCTTCAGTTAAGAAAAAGTTTAAATAAATACCTGAGCAGTCCACTTTTGAACTGATAGCTGAAATTAATTAGTGGCCATTGCAAATGTTGACAGCGTTTCAACGTACTACCACGTAATGGCATGATAACTGTACTATATACTTGATCTTTCTTGTAATCTTATTTGGCATTAGTTTGCATTCTGTCAATATATATAAGTTATAATAGCATTTAATTTACTGTCATTATTCAGTTACTGGCAAACGTGTTTAGTCGCACGAATATCTTGCTCATCGCAACAACTTACAGAGGTTAGCATAGGTGCATCTTATAAGTAGTTTCCTATCCTTTGCTGTAGGTTTCTGATGGATAACTGAAGCACTGACCGATACAAAGAGTGCTATTTGAACATATATAAAGGATGAAATGGGTGAGGAACGAAGCAATCTATTCCCTGGTCGAAACAACATCGAAGTTGTTATCTCCGATGATGACCTTGATGATGACTATATAGATGACGGTGATGGTATATCCATCAAACCTGCAAATTCTATTGATACTGGTGTTTTAAGAAGTATAATAGAGGAAGAAGGCTGGTACGATACCGGTCGGTATTACGATGAAGTCCGGAATCATCGTTTTTATGTTACTGAGAGGTATATGGACAAGAGGAAAATAGGGCTGGCTGATATGCTCAACAGTTCTAGTATACTGTCTCTGAACTATGATAACCACTCGATGAATGATTTTGAAAGATATGATAAGAAAGTAAGGAAGGAAGCTGAACTTAGAGATGTTTTAGAGGATATATTAAAAAAGCAGAATAATGATGGATTGCAAGTGGTCGAGGATTCTATTTTACATGAAAAATACACAAGTCCTAACACTGAGACTAATAATAAGAAGAACAGCTGTGCTAGGCTACGTTTAAATGTATTGAAATCAGCATTTCAAGGAGCCTATTCCAAGTCAGCCAATCCTTCCAGATCAAAGAATGCTCATACGAATAATGACATCAGAAATAACTTCGACAATATGTCGTCACGAACCTATGTTATCGATAACGCAAGTGATGGAAATGTTGCTATTGATGAAAACATAGACTATGAAACAATGAAACGTAGTGTCAGCATCGATGGAAATGTTCATTCAAACTTTTACGATTCAGATCAGGAGAAGAAAGGCAAGCGCTATATCCATGAAAAGATCAATAAATATCTACATGATAGTACAAGAAGGCGAAATCAATTGCAGAGAAACTTAAAAGTGAGGCATATTCAAATGCTAGCGATAAGTGCATGTTTGAGTGCAGGGATTTTCATGACTTCAGGTAAAGCATTTTCAATTGCAGGCCCTTTTGGATGTTTATTGGGGTTCATAATAACTGGTACAGTTGTAATTGCTACTATGATGTCCTTTGCTGAGCTTGCCACATTAATTCCTGTTTCTTCAGGATTTTCTGGGTTAGCGTCAAGGTTTGTCGAGGACGCTTTTGGATTTGCTTTAGGTTGGACCTACTGGTTTTCATCAATGGTTGCGTTACCTGCACAAGTTGTTTCAAGTACTTTTTACTTCAGTCACTATGATCACCTGAAACTCACTAGAGGTGGTACAGCTGGATTCGTTACACTATTCTCCTTATTTCCTTTAGTACTGAATTTGTTTGATGTCAGGTTTTTGGGAGAATTTGTTTACATTGTTGGTCTATCAAAAGTCCTGATAACGATTATGATTGTTATTGTAATGCTTGTTCTTAATGCTGGTCATGGGTTTGACGTACACGGTAGAGTCAGTTTTCGTTATTGGGATGCGGAGAAATCTAGAAACTTGAAGGATATCACTTATGGTTTATTTAGGCCGACATTTGATTTATCTGACGCTGGCCTAGGTAGTATAAACGGTATTGGTGGAAACAGAGGCCGTTTCATTGCGGTTGTTTCAGTAATGCTTGTTTCTACATTTGCTTTTAGTGGAGTAGAAATGACCTTTGTAGCTAGTGGAGAAGCCAAGAATCCCAGAAAGACTATACCTTCAGCAATGAAAAGGACATTCATTTTCATTTTCACGATATACTTCTTTTTGATATTCTCGGTCAGTATAAATATTTATACTGGTGATCCAAGATTGTTATCGTACTATACAGGAGCATTAGAAAGTAGATATCATAATATTGAGAATAAGGTTTCTAATGAATGGCAAGTTAGTTATAGGTGCGAGGAAGTTCTTCATGGAGTGAATCCTGGAGATGTTCAGGCTGGGTTTTCCAGTCCTTGGGTTTTGGCTTTGGAAAATTTTGGTTTTTGTTCGTTTGCAGCTGGTTTTAATGCTGTTTTAATTTTCTTTACATCGTCTGCTACAGCTTCTTCATTATATGCTTCTTCCAGAACTTTGTATGCTATGTCTATTCAAAGAAAAGCGCCAGCAGTGTTTAGATTGTGTGATAGAAGAGGCGTTCCTTATGTTGCCATCGGGTTCTCAAGTTTGTTTGCCATTGTAGCATACCTGGCTGTGGATGACGCTGCTATATCCAACTTTGATGTGTTGATGAATATTTCAAGTGCAGCCACGTCAATCATTTGGCTCGGATTGAACGTCGCCTTCTTAAGATTTTACTATGCCTTGAAGAAACGGAGGGACATAATATCAAGAGACGATGTGTTCTACCCCTACAGATCACCGTTCCAGCCTTACCTGTCCATGTTTGGTCTGTTGGGGTGTTCCATCTTTGTTCTGTTTATGGGTTTCATAAACTTCATACATGGATACTGGAACACCAAGTCCTTCTTCTCATCCTACGGTGGGTTGATCCTCTTTGGAGTCTGCTACTTGGGCTACAAGTTAATCAGTACATCTAAGATACAGAGACTGGATCAACTAGACCTGGACACCGGCCGTCGTGAAATTGACCGGATCCTTTGGACGGAACACCGCCAGTACAGAGGACCTTACTCCGAAAGACTAAAGAAGCTGTACAACTGGCTAATCTGATGCGTAGATGCTCTTGAAAAGCGCAAACCCCCTGAATTTCAAGTACTAATACGATTGTATATATACTTACATAGCATTGGTCCGTACCTCTATTGATAATATTCTAATTCCAAGTTGATAGTGTGTCTATTATAATTAAATGGAATCGACTGGGCCCTTCTACGGGATTTTCTAAGAAATGGTGTGTATAAAAAGAATAAAAATTTTGCGATGAGCTTTGATAAAAAATACAAAATAAAGTGAAGCTCATCGCATAATATATAGGTCTAGTTCATTGATTTAATATTTGACTTTAGTCTCTGGCGGAGCACAGATAAGTGGCAATTTGTTGGTGTAACAGGAGGTTGTGTGTATTGGTCAAAGGATGGAAGCTGTAATTGTTCAGGCCAAAGAGGCGCTTGGGGAGAATGATTGCAAGAAGGCGTTGAAACTGTTAAAGTTGTACAAGTCACAGGTTGACAATGGTAGTTGCTCGGATCCTGAGCTATACAAAGTGTTTGCCGATGCATATTTAGAGGATGGTCAGCTAGACAAGGCGTATCCGTGCCTGGTGAAGTCTTGTGAGCTCGATCCTCAAGGGACCAAGACCGGCACTGACCAATTCTTCACACTGGGGCAAGTTGTTGGTGGTCCTGACGGTATACAACTTATCAGCCAGGGTATTGAGAATGTCTCCAACGAAGGAGGCGATAACTTGAACGGTGAGCAAGTGAACAAGATAGTTGGTGGTCTGCTTTCAATGATTGAAATTTGGATGACAGATCTTTGTATGGAACCTGAAGCTGAGTCTCAATGTGAGGAACTTATCAATAAAGCTCTTGAAATAACTGAAAGAGGTAGTCCAGATGTGTTGGCTACATTGGGTTCTATTAGAATCTCTCAGCAAAAGTTTAATGAAGCGTGTGAAGCTTTCAGTCTAGCCTGGGAACTGTTTGAGAAGAAGAAAGACGAAATTAGTAACAACTTGGACTCTGAAAGCTCGGGGGCTAATGAACTTGTAGAACTTTTGCAACCATTACTTTCACTAGCAAAAATGTGCATTGAGGTAGGGTTATATGAAATCGCTCTAAAAGTTATCGGTGCTGTCAGAGATATTGATGAGGACAACATAGAAGGATACTATTTAGAAGGTTTCACAACTTACATGATAGCTAAAGTTGGTACATTCCAGCAGCAGAATCCAACTGTTGAGATGAAACCTGAAACAATTTATGAGTTTAACCAGCACATTCAAGAGATAGCATTAAACCTCGAAGATGAGGTAGTCAATGGTCTAATACAAGATGCTCGTATATCTCTATCTTTTGCAGTAAAAATTGGTGAAGCTAGCGATCCAAATGATGAAGTTGTTAGTGAGATTGTTGCTGGTGCAAATAGCGTATTGCAGGAAATAGGCGGAGAAGTCGATGCTAAAATACTGATGAAGATCAAGAAAGGTGAACCTCTGGAGGACATCGAAGCTAACCTTGATGATGAATTTGAAAGTGACAACGATATATGAAGTCGGAGCAGGGAACCATAAGAACAACATCTCTTTACTATAGTCAAGAGCCAAAATAGCGCATAAATGCTTTTGTTATATCAGTTAGAGGTATATTTTAATAAAGCAGATATTTTGTAGATTATTTAAACAAGTATTTTAATATATCGTTAACGTTAAGGAAAGTATTTAATAGTAACTAAGAGAGTGTTTTGAGAGAAAAATATGGAAGTAACACCCCACATAAGAGATTTTGATGCCTCTATTGAAAGCTAGAGAGTAAATTGAGGCTTCTGGATAATACCAAAATCATTGTGAGGTATATTTTTTGTTATTGGTGAATAAAATGCAATTGTTGATAGATAATCTATTTGATCATCTAAAGTTTTGAATATATGCACGATAGAATAAGATGAATAAATGATATAGATGTTAACTTACAGATATGTTAAGCTTGCTATCCATATCAGATTCAAGCTGATCTATATCCTCCCATTCGTCCTCATCGTCATCTTTTTTACCAGCTTTGGCATCCTGTTCCGGTTCTGCCTGTAAGCCATGAGTTAGCATCTCTGTCAAATAGAAAGGTCGCACAGAGTCACTTTCCTCAGAGTCTAGATATGAAACGAACTCTTCCGGTACAAGTCCCGTTTTTGTCTGTGTATCGTTCTGCGCCACTAACCACCCTTGGCAGTGTCTATAGCTTATAAATATTACATCGCCTTCTTTTAGTCCCAGCTCGTTGTCATTCTCGGGCTCAAAATCATACAATGCAACTGCTTTCTGATTAACAACGTAGTCCTGAGGCATCACCACACTAGCTCTCTTGTCTGTATGATTTCCATCTATGTCTTCTCCATCCTCGGCATCGCTCCCCGCATAGTTGTCATGTTCTTGTACAGCTTCCCCCGGCACTTCTTCCTCCAGATACCCATAATGCAGCGCATTGGATTCATCATACGCATAGTCCTTGATCGATATATAGCTGTGCAGATCATCCACCACCTCCACTGCCTCCCCTTCGGGACCTGGATTCACAGCGTCACCATGCGTTGAATCTGTATTCTCCACCATTCTCTGCGCTTCAAATTAACTTTTATCAATGTATACTTCAAATAACTATCCAGCCTACCTACTCTGACCGTATAGCTGCCTTGTAAACCCCTGTTACCGACCAGTACTTGCTTCCACAACCTTCATGTATAGTCTATTCCAACTTTTTTTTTTCAGTTGGACAGCCCTCTTGAGCCAAATTTTGCGATGAGCTCCTTCGAATCTGGAAAGTTATAAATAGGAACAGGTGAAGCTGGTTAGTCTAGTGCTTCCGAACTACATAAGTAAGATACTAGTAAGACAATGACAACTGCGCATAGGCCACAGCTGGAGGCTCGTAACGGTGCGAAAGGTGCGCTGGTTCCTACGGGCACAGAGCATGCTCGTTTGCTTCCGGGACACACGGAGTTGAAGGCCAGGAAGCCCAAGAATAAGACTACCTCTCAGATACAGACTAGTTCAGATGCAGGTTCTGTTGATGATAGTACTAGTGCTGGTACAAATATTGGTACTGGAAGTGCGACTCTCGGACCGAGTCAGGTACAGAAGATGATACAACCGCTTGAGGTCGAGGATAAGAAGGATATCAAACTGGTGAAGAAAGAAGACGATAGTGTGTCCTGGGGGAAGACCGCATTTAGCCGAAGGAAGAAAGTGGTGAAGCCTGAGAAGTTTACTAACGATACCGTGAGGTCACAGAAGCACAAGGAGTTCTTGAACAGGTTCGTCAAGTAGTTTTAGATAACAATGCGATTTACTGGGATACACTTTGAGTTGTTACTTACAGAAATTATAGTCTCTATTTATCCTTTTTCTTGAAAAGGTTGAATTTACTGCGTTTCTTCTTCTTAGGACTGGACGGCTCCTGGGGTTTTTCAGGTGTCAGTTGCTGTTTGGACTGGTCGGGATGGATCGGAACTCTCTGCACATGCGTTGGCCTCTCAATAGTAGGGGCAATGTCCTGGAATAAGAACTCCGGTGGCCTGTCATTTACCTTCTTGTCGTCGTTAAGGTGAAGCTCTTCCCTTGGGGCATCCAACTTCTCTATACTTCTCATAAATGATCTGGGCGTGAAAATACCGTCACTACCAATGAAGACATCCTTATTCTTCAGTAAGGACTGATCATATGCAGATTTTATTTCATTATAGGTAATACCACCAGCCATGTAAAAGAAGAAACGTTGGCGTGGAGACCTGTCGACAGGCTCATTTCTCTTGGTCCAGTTAGCTCTGTGCCGCGTTTTTCTCAGCGAAGTAGAATTCTGTGTGGCCAAATGTGGACCTTCTCCTAACTCTTCCTCATCAAGAAGTTCGATAGGCTTGTCCTTCACATATGGGAAGGACTCTTCATCTAGCAGTAACGGATTTGTGATGATCTTAGATAAGATGTTACCGACAGCGGGAATATACCTAGAAGTGTCAAACACATTAGGGTCGTCTATAATTGTGTCGCTAAACCAAACTTTCTTGAATGGTTTGGTCTTAGGATCTTCTTTGATGATGTTAATGCCCAGCATGCCAATGTTCTTGAAAAGGATCATAAAGCTATGGAAGAATTCATGCTCCTCGTTTACACCGATAAACGTTAACAACTTGATAAAATCAAGCTCTATCAAACCACCCCTGAATATAGCATATAATATAATACAACGGATCTTGTCCAAAGTGTCGGGTTCTTTCCTAGCTAATACCTCTATAAGTTCATCTGTTAAATGTTTGCACTTATGCCCTTGAGCATCTAGACCGAAACCGGCGATGTTTTGCTCAATATGCGCCCATTCGGCAAGTTTCCGCTGGGAATTGATCTGCAACAATTCGGTGACCAGCTCCTTGTGCGCTGCATATCTTCTTCTCTCTTCGTCAAACCCACTTAGGTGTGCAAGGATCAGACCCAAATCAGCAGCATTCTTGGCCTTCGACCTGTCTACCAGTTTGGGGTTCTGGGCAATCAGTTCATTAATTTTACCGTCTACATATTTAAGCACATCGGTGATATGTTGATGCTTTGTCTGCGCCCAGTCTTCATCATATATGTCAAGCAGCGGTGTCTTCTTTACCTGTTTCTCCCCGGCTTCATTTTCAACTTCGTACGTGTATATGTCGTCAGAGGCAGTGATGTTATCCGAAAGGTCATAAGCCATTGCCTGGTATGTAAACTCGTGTAAGAATGGTGCAAACATGTCCACTGTTCTGTCTGCGATTACCATAACTGACCTTGGTCTCGAGTTATCTGTAAAGAAATCCTCGTTGTTTCTGGCGTGATCATCTAGAGACTCCTGGAAATCGGTGGCGATCCTTCTGCAGAGACCAGTGTTGTAATATCTGACAATTGGGTACTCTCCCGTCATGACACACATGGTCAGTAATGCTCGTACCGTTCTCTCGACCACATCGTCAATCAGGTCCCTACAATTGGGGTTAAACAATAGCTGCAAGGGCTTGTCTATATCATACGCCTGAAAGTACTGCGATTCCTTAACCATGAAGTTCATATTAAGCATCTTCACAGACCTGGTGAACTGGGTGACAAATCGCTTGCTCCTGTAAAACTCGGACAAAGTCCCGCCAATACCAACGAGAAAGAGCACATGGGCGTTCTTATACTTGGGGGGCCTGTTCTGGAAGTCCACATCCATGCAATTGATGTTGAACTGCGTCGCTTTCAACATGTACACAGCGGACACTCCAGGCTGCCCCTTCCGCGACTTGGAATCAATGAAATCCACAGAAGTCACATGGCTCAACAGCTCCCGCTCAGTCAGGTTCAGCATATCAAAGAACCGCTTCACCTCCGCATCAATAACAAGAAACTTCAGCCCATGATCAGTCTCTATAGAGTCTATCGTGCTCAACACATACTCCCGCTGCAACCTGATCAAATTAGACATCGCCAAAAGAAAAACCTCGTCTTCAGCCCACACACACACCAATTACTAGACACTAGGCTCCAGTCCTGCCATTATCCAGCCATTTACAGCCAACATTGACATGTTTATACTACTTATTAGCCTGCAATTTCGAGGTTTGGCAGAGTTAAAGGGGAACGGCGAGGAAGTACCGCCGCACGTCACTGAAAATTTTTGCGATGAGCTCATCGCTAAAATTGCAATAGTAGTTGGAACTTGTGGTATTACTTGTAGGTTTCTGGGGTGGTACTTTTTACTTTGCTTCCATTATTCTGGCTTTGATTCTGGAAGTGGAAACGGACCAGAAGAGGAGTATAATTTTTTTGCGAATGTTTGTGCATCCATTGAACGTTGCGATCAGTGATTCGCAGAACAAGTACCAGTATGTGGTTTGCAAGCACACTATCAGCGTGTTTGCTGGTGAGAAGCTGGTGGGCTACTGGGTAGACACGGATCAGCGGGACTCGCACAATTCCTACAAGAAGTTGAAGAGCAATGCCGGTGATGCGAAGCCGAAGGGCAGCCAAGGTATTGGTGCTCCAGCGGTGTACTCGTACATCAGGAACTTAAGGCTGACCTCTGATGAAGGGAAGCTTATTGCATGCGTGGACTCTGATAAGTCGGTTGTGATATTTAAGATCGATACCTCAGCTGAAGATCCGGAGAAGTTCCTGCAAGTGATGAAGAGACAGCAGTTTCCAAAGAGACCCAATGCGCTGGCATTGGCCGATGAAGACACTACTATCATAGTCGCAGACAAGTTTGGTGACGTTTATAAGCTAAAAATCGACGAGGAGCCAATACGAAAGATCGATGACCAGAGCGAGCCTATCCTGGGTCACGTCTCAATGCTGACGGATGTGGCAGTTGCAAAGGATGCTAACAACAAGAGCTATATTATCACTACTGACAGAGACGAGCATATCAAGATTTCGCATTATCCACAGACTTTTATTGTCGACAAATGGCTGTTCGGCCACAAGGAGTTCGTCTCGTCGGTGGACCTTCCAAAATGGCAAACGAAGTTCTTATTTAGTGCTGGTGGTGACAAGGAGATATTTGCATGGAACTGGCAATCAGGTGAGTTGCTGTCACAGTACTCCTTTGAGGACGCGGTGAAGCCTTTCATCAATGATCAGCATTTGGCTCCAGCAAGATTTCAGAATGAAGAGAACAATGTCATCGAGTATGCCGTTGCTTCCATCAAGTCATGCGGTCAACAGCCATATGTTGCCTTCTTTGTAGAAGCCACACCTGTGCTGTTTATCTTACACTGTAATACCGAAACTGGTGAGTTGTCCCTAGCACAACAAGTGGAATTCAAGCATAACGTTGTATCTATTTCGAGCAATGGTAAGAGTGAATACCTTGTTACTTTTGATAACAGGGATGAAAATGCAGAACAATTAATTGCGTTCCTAACGTATTCTGGTGACTCCAATAAACCATTTTCTGTGGACGAGAACTTGAATAAACTAAACTCGTCATGGATAAGCACATTCAAGCAAAAGGATGAACTACTTGCAGACGCAGACTCGGTTTATCCTTTATATAACATCGCATCCTTGAAGAAGCATGGTGAACATTTCTCATGAGTCGCTATTGGGTACGTAATTCTACATCTCATAAAAGTACTCATCTTAATAGCATTGTTGATAATAAAATTGTATAATAGAAAAATAAAGCTCTCATCGGTTGAGATATTTTTGGCAATCATTAAATCTATTTCATTCAATATATGGTTATGTACTTATTTGAATGCTGAAAATTGAATACTTGTTCTCTTCAAATTAGCATTGACGATTGGTTCCGTTTCTTTTATGCACATCTTCAATCTCTCGGCATTGTTTTGGAAACAGTTCTGCAATGTTGCGCCCAATGTAGATTCAGTATCCTTATCAAGCAGCCTTCCTAGGACTCTTTGGAAGAATTGGATATCCACGGTAACTTGTAGCAGGCCATCTGCTGATATATTACCAATAAATGGCTTGAAAGACTCGAAGAGATATCTAGCGATGAAGATGTGACTCTCTCGTAGTATTCTATCAATTAACTGAGGACCATCCCGGGAACACTCACTGTGGACAGACACTAGTACCATCAAAGATTCAATGATGTAATCACCAGCTCTAAACGAAGTAGAAGTGTAAGTAGCCCAATCGATCTCATTAAACTTCGATTCAAGGGTGTCACGTAGGCTAATCTTCAGGTCAGATAAATAGTTACCGAAAATAGATTGTTCCATCTTTGCAAGTAAATTGAATAACTCCAAATTCTTTGTCTTTAGATTCCATTCAAAACAGTCATCAAAGAACTGTAGAATATCGGGAAAAGTGCTCTCTCTAATACATTGCAAATTAGTCAATGTGAGAATTGTGTGTGGATTCCTTGGATTGTCCTTATCTTTTGCTGCATTCTTCAATATTGATTCCAAAACGGCTTCCATAGATATAATTTGTTGAATTTCAATGCCTGTTAGCACCTTCTTGGAAGGATATTCGATTATTGATACACCACCAATAGTTGGCAACTTCTCGAATGAAAAAACAATATCTCTGATAGTTTTGATTGATAATTCCTGGAAAGACTTGATGATAGTAGGAAACTGAGTAATAGCATACTCATAATTGGAGTCATTCAGATCATCTTTTCTAGCGTTTACAAACTCATATTTTTCCCAGTTTTCTAATTTATGGAAATTTGCAATATCTCTTAACTTCGTTGAAGAAATTGCACTAACCGAACGACCAATAATTATCGAAGCAAGTTTCTTAGGTATTTCAATTGATTTTGGTGTTATTTTAAGCTGAGCCAAATCACTACTAAACCTCAAAATCGGTTCAATGATCAGAGGAAGGTATCTTAAGCAACTCAGGCCATTTGCGTTAGGGGGGATAAATCCGTAGTTGGAAGGAAGGCCAATTTCTTTTTCCCATGTCATATCATCCATTGAAACATCCTCAGATGTGAATTGGGAAAGGCTGCTTTGGGATGATTGGAATAGTATAAAGATTCTGTCCGCAATCATTTTAACAAAGCTCTCACCTTTTAGTCTTATTCCTTTGACTTCATCATCAGACAAATGAATTTGTTTTTGATATTTCTCACAAGCATTGAAGTCACCTACCAGTAAAATATTCTCCTTTCTCTTTTCATTTATCAAGATAGTTTGATATGAACCATCTAAAAACTTTTCAGTATGTTCCCATAATTGGATAAACCTAGCAGATAATTCATTCAGCTGTTGTGCATATTTGAGGATAAGTAACCACATCTCTATCACAATAATGGAGTCAGTTAGACCTTGGGAGATGATTGTTCCATCACCAAAGGTGGGTGCAGAACTTATCATGGTATTAGAATTGTTATTTGAGTCACCAGATTCTCCCTTTTTCATAAATGCACCATGGCTGAATAGTTTATCTATATTTGTATAGTGCTCCAACTCCACAGCATCGGTATCTCTTTCGGTTTCAGCAGCGTGCGAAACCTGGTTTCTAATTATGTTTTGCTGTGCATTGGTGATTTTAAGAATCATATTCTGAGCGGTGTCTCTAAGTTTTGTCTCGAGATAATCGATTCTGGATTCTATCCACTTGATAATGGGGTTTTCATCAATATTTAGGTCTAGCAATCTAGATATATTGGGCAGAAACATCTCGGGTGTTTCAATACTAATGTCAATCTCACTGCTTTGTTTACCAGCTATCTTGTTGGCATTACCAATAACAGATGGTGTGGTAATTAGTCTCCACAATTGACTCTTATATATTTCAACTATCGATTGGCAAGCGGACCATATAACCTCTATTACCTTTGGAGTTTTGTTGATGTTGCTCTCCTCCTCGTTATCATGAAACTCAGCAACGACCTTGTTTTCGAAGTATTGCACTAGCTTATCGTATTGCTCCTTACCTTTCAAGTAGTCTGTTATCAATTTGTTGTAATTGTTTTGTATTAGGTGTGATTTTAATTGTTTTGGCAGATTTATGAAGAATTTGTTCTCCTCAATAAATCTCTTGGTTAGTTTGAAGTTGTTAATCTTCTTCTCATAATTGATAACAGGGTTCAACTTCTGTGTGGTGAATCTTATCGTCTCGTCCAGTTCTTCTTTCAGTTTCTCTACTTTCATTATATTTTGATTTTCTTGTTCACCACCTTCCGAAAAGTTAGAGTATATTTGATCCAGGCGGCTCTTGATCTTGACGTACTTTGTAAAATTGGTCTGCACCAAGTGCTGCAAGTCGCCCGCTTGCGTTTGTAGCTCTCTGTCCAACCTGTCCAAGTACTGGCTCAACTCGTCGAAGGAGTCCCTGTTATGCATCCCACGCAGAAACTGGATCGCGTCGAAGTTTTTGCTATTGACCAGATACTGCGGTGCTTGCTCGGGGTTCATCCTCAACTGCCGCATCTTCTCCAGCACCAGTTGGCCATCCAGGGGATCGTTCACCGTAGACGCATCTATGCCGCCTTGCAACCCACGGCTGCCTTGGCTCGCGCCTTTCTGCTGCGCTATCAGGTCAGACAGCAACGCATAGGGCCTCTCCTCCAACATCTTGCCGCTGTCCTGCCACGCACCCAGGTCATACTGTATCGTCGACACACGCTGCCAGTCGTTGTCGACACTGTCCGCAGGGTTCAGCTCGTTCAAGTTGTACATCTCGAGCAGCTTGTGCTCGTCCACTTGGAATGCCATTCTCTATGTCTGTGCTCTATGCAATTCCTAGGGCCAAATTCGACGGGGGAAACGCTCAACTGTTCAGAATAAGCAGCAGAGTCTAGTTAGCGCCTTCACTTAACCGTCCAGCGACTGCCTTGCTGTGTTATTCGTGCTGATCCGAGCTGATCCGAGCCCAGAATGAAAGTCCCCTTTGTCTTTTGTCACTTCGCTCCAAGAAACCAAAAAATCTGTGAATTTGAGAGCTTTGAAGTGTTATAAAGAGCACAGTGAGGAATTACAGGTACTTAGCATCAGAGCCAAGTACGTAGCAGAGGCAGTTACAAAGATGGATGTGGACAAGGATGTGGACATGAAGGAGGACGAAGTGCTGGACGAGTTCGACGACAACGAGGACGAGATGCCGGTGGACAACGCTGCGCTGTTTGGGCGGGCAGAGGCTGCGGCAGGTACAGGTGGAGATGCTGGTGCTGGTGCTGGTGCAGATGCAGAGCCCAGCGAGGGCAACGCGGGCAACGCGGAGGAGAAGGCGTATATAGACGATGGCACTGGCAAGCTGTTCCAGCTGCCGGAGTTCACGAGGAAAGACAAGACTCTCGGGGAAGTGCTGGACATGATGAAGGAGAACCCGCCGATCATACCTGATGCGGTGATAGACTACTACCTGACGAAGAACGGGTTCGAGTGCGCAGACATCAGGGTGAAGCGCCTGCTCGCGCTGGCGACGCAGAAGTTCGTCAGCGACATAGCCAGCGACGCATACGAGTACTCGCGGATACGGTCGAACGTCGCGGTGCAGAACGCCAACAACGGGCAAACCAAGGCCAGACAGCTGATGAACGGCCAGCAGAGCCAGCTCACGCAGCAGCAGCAGCAGCAGATGGAGAAGAACAGCGCCTCCAAAGTGGTGCTCACGGTGAATGACCTCAGCAGCGCAGTGGCAGAGTACGGCCTCAACATCGGACGGCCCGACTTCTACAGGTAGCCTCCCAGGCACCTATATATATATAGCCTTTATAACCCACCGAGGGGCATTATAGATGCCATAATATACCAATAAAAGACCAATAAATACCAATAAATGCCATTGAATACCATTAAATACCATCGATGAGCATCTTGTATAGAGTGAGAAACCCTAGGGTTTTGTTTAGGGTTCCCCTAGGGTTCAAGTTCCCTTCAGCTCAAAGGAATGTTGGCTATAATAGTTGTATTGAGCATTAAATAGTTGTACTGACTGTAATTGTACTGGTCTGGGTGCATTGGCTAAGCGGGCGTTGAGAGATGGCTATTGATTACTCTAAGTGGGACAAGATCGAGCTGAGTGACGACTCTGATGTGGAGGTGCATCCGAATGTGGACAAGAAGTCGTTCATCAAGTGGAAGCAGCAGAGCATCCACGAGCAGCGGTTCAAGCGGAACCAGGACATCAAGAACCTGGAGGCGCAGGTGGGCATGTACTCGTTCCTGAACAAGAGGGTGGACAAGCTGCTGGGGTCTCTGGCGGATGAGGACCTTGCTGAGCAAGACAAGGTTACCAAGTTTCTGAATGAGAACTTTGACAAGAACGAGAAGTCTGTTGGGGAGAACGTCGACCCGCAGATTGCCACTTACAATGAGATGGTGGAGGACCTCTTCGATCAGTTGAGAAGAGACGCCATCAAGGATGGGCAGGATCCACGCAACGGGGCAGTCCTGAGGGAGCTGATGCTGAAGCACAGAAAGAAGATCGACGACGTCACGAAGGAGGCTAACGAGAAGTTGAAGCAGTTATACAAGGAGAAGCAGGCACACATCTCTAGCGATGACATCCATACCGGGTTTGACAGCAGTTTCATGAACAAATACAAGAAGGAGGAAGAAAGGAAAGCCAGGGAGCTGGAGAAATCTGCTGAAAAGGCTGGTGTTACAAGGACTAGCGAGACTGCGTTACCTCCAAAATCCATCGCAGAGGCTTCCACAGGTACTCAGATCATCAACGAAGAAGCTCAAGAATCACAACAGGCTGTTCAAACACAATCCACTACAGATGACGAAGATATGTTACACTTGTTCCCTGAAACTGAACAGTTCTCAAAGATTCCAACTGGTGACTACAAGAAGTCAGCCAGTTTCTTGATGGAAAACTACCAAATTATTACTGAGCAACAGAAGGATGCTCTAATGATGAAAGCCTTTGAATCACAACTAAAGCATGACGAAAAGAGGACTTACCAAATTCTTCACCAAGCAGAAATACTAGCTTTTATTGATTCCATTTACAATGTGCAAAGAAGTCCAACATTGGACGTCCAACGCTTGAAGAACTCTATTGAAGTATTCTTCAAGAGAGTATTCCTAGAGTCTAGAATCGAAGCTGCTAAAGCACAATTTTTGGATTCTGTGAATACAAAGTTTGAACATGTCAAGAAGAGGTGTGTTATCCTAGAAGAAGAAGAAAGAAATAATGAAGGGCAAGGAGTTGAGACTATTCAGTTAAAGACGGTTGATGAATCTACACAAATCGAGTTTGAGCTTCCAGATTTTGAATCGTCTGATCCAAATGAGATTGAAAGAGTGAAGATATTTGGCCAACTTCCAAAGAACTTACAAGAGGCCTTGAAGACCAAAGATTTGGATACCGTTAATGAAGCCTTTGCTGATTTACCAATTGACATTGCAGAACATGCCTTAGATCTTCTCGGTGAAGCAGAGATCATAAAGGTTGCTGCTCTGCTAGAGAATGAAGAGGAGTTCAAGCATCTGCAGGAGGAATACAAGAACGAGCATGCCATGGAGAGCTTAAATATCGAGGAAGAGGCTAAAAGTAATGATGTTGCAGAAGAAGACGAGCCTCAGAACACTGCTGATATTGTCGACTAATTGTAATGGGTCCCCGGGTCTGTCGTGCTAGAGTTGCAGTCAATTTACTTGTCCAATTTCATATCAGTACTGATATACATATAATTGTTATCTATCTCATATAGTGTTGAGTTTTTGCGAAAATAATAGATTTAAGTAACAAGTAAAACTAATATTACTGTCTAAACCAATATTAAAGAGAAACAAGTACTGAGTAAAACATATAAATACAAGGGTATGCTTTTAGGAATTAATCTATAAAGTAAGTTATTGGAAAAAATAATCTCATTGTCTCCTGGAGATGAATGAAGTAGTGAGTAGATACTTTTGAATAGAGATGTTAGATAGAATGTATGGATAAAACAATATGTGGTAGCAATAAAAAAAAAATCGAATAAACAAAAAAATGTAAGTGAAATAAAGGCTGGTGTAGGCATTCTATGAAGAAAAATATGGGTCAGGAAAAAAAAATACGTTAAAAAGTTTACCATTATGAGCGATACTGAGTGTACAGTAATATAGTTAGTAAAAAAAAGGAAATAGATGAAAAGATAAAAACAAAATGAATTAGGATTTCAAGCTCATTAGCAAATAGGCCGCGCTTTTATCCTCAGCGGGTTTTGTCGGCGTAATTCTTGGGTCATTAGAGTGTAAAGACTCATGTTTAATTGAGTCATCAGATTGTGGAGACGGTGAGTTGTTAACCAGGTTAACAGATGACGAGATAGCGCTGCTTCTTCGCAAGGATGCTGCGCCAATCGATGCCCAATCTTCTTCATCCGTTTCGGAATGGTGGTCGTTTAGGACATTGTCCACTGTAGCGATATCATAGTGATTTATTTTGAAGTGATCCTGTGGTTGTTTGTTTATACTATTGGTAGAGTGGGCCAGCCCTGGATTTTTAGCAATCCATCTATAGTTTTTGTTTGGGAACAGGGTTGATCTAATGCTTGACTCCTTTGAAGAGGACAAACGTGACGCTCTTCTAGAGGTGGGTTCGCTGTTTGGCGTAGTGTCCAGGTCTATCTTGCCGTTGCCCGTGTTGTTTCCCGTTGGTACGGCGGCCCCTGGCCCCGAAACGGAAGTTTGGTAGGCAATTGCCGAAGTGGAGTTATTGTTGTGGCGGAACACCGAGGTTGCGTCCTGGTGCGTCTGGGCAGCAGAGGGTTTGATCACGAAGGGCGAGTGGGCTTTCACGCTCGACCTCCGCCTGCCCTTGATTATGGGTCTCACCTTCTGTGCTAGCAACTCGAACTCGAGGCTTGTTTCCGGAGAGTGCTCTGCCATCAGCACGGTGGACCTTCTGCGCTCGGGGTTCAAGAACGTCGTCGCTGTGGGTTTGTGTTGCTTGTGGTCTGATAGGAGCAGGTCGGCGTGTGGGTCCTCGTCGTCATCGGAGTCCACTGCGTTCTCGTCGAGGTACACTGTAGCTCTCGGCTGTGCAGGCTGTGCGTGTTGTGCCTTTGGCGATACATTTGCAGAGTTTATGTTTGTAGTTTCTGAGTGTTTTGCGGGTGCCGGTGCGGCGCCAGGGGTAACGGCGGTGGCAGCTGCTGTTCCTGTGGTTCCAGTGGTTCCAGTGGTTCCTGTGGTGGCGAGTTTCTTGCTGTTGCGGCGGCGCTGGGACTCCTGGGACACGATATCCTTGACCTTAGCGTTGCTTATGTTTGTCTCCCTGAGCACCAGGTCGAAGTCCTGGTCCGGGAGCACGGGCTTCACGGTCCACTGGCCCCACCCGATCTTCTCGAACACGACGCTGTTGCGGCGGTCCCCCGCGTCCATGGCCCCCATGATCAGCCGCCGCTGCTTCGAGGACGACAGCTTGCTGAAGTCCGGGATCTGGTCCGTGAGCGCGTGCGTGATGTGTCTTATCGCGAGCGGGCCCGACCGCGCCAGCAGCTCCGACAGCAGCTGCGGCGTCACCATCGCCGCAGCAACAACAGCCTCCGGCGACGACGTCGACAGCGGCTTGTCAGTGGTCATTTTTCTTGTAGTTCTCTCTTCTTAACACTTCTTCCTGTTCCTGTTAACCCTTTCTCCCTCCCTCCCCCTTCCAAACCAAGGGAATTAGTACCCGGATTAATAACTTGTACCTAATCCCAGCCCGATTATGCTATAGAGTGTCTGGTGTTCCTGGAAATGGTTAGAATTAACGTGTCTGGTGATGTACGTGAAGGTAACGTGACATCCACGTACATCAGTATCCATCAGCTGACTCGTCGTGTGATGAGATCTCATATACATATATACGGCAGTCATCTGACTGCCGTATAGAATATACATTATATCCCTCATCACGTAACCACATGATCACGTATATCGGTACCTGAAAATTTTTCTGCTTTTCTGCTTTGAGAGAAGAGCAATTGCAGCTTTTGGTGAAAAAATTTTGACAAAATAATTGAAATAGTTAAAACTTTTTAATTTCAACTATAACTTGGAGTGGTACTTGAATTTGAACTTTAAACTTGCTACTCAGACTAGAATTCTAAAACAAAGAAATAAGAGCAAGAGACACAGATGTCCAATCCATTTGATCTTCTAGGTAACGACGTTGAGGACCCACAGGCCGCTATTCCTCTGGCCACCAAGGAAGTTGTGAAGAAGAGCACTTCCTCCAAGAAGGCGGATGTTCCACCACCAAGTGCCGACCCAGCCAAGGCTAGAAAGAACAAGGGCAAGTTGAGTGGCAACGAGGGTGCTATCAGAGACAAGAAGGCTGGCCGTGACAACAACAGGGCCCGCGACGTTGGCTCCTCTGCCACTGCCAGAAGAAACAACGACAGAAAGATGACCGACCGTCACTCCAGAACCGGCAAGACCGACTCCCAGAAGAAGATCAACCAGGCCTGGGGTGACAACGACCGCGAGTTGACTGTCGAGGAGCAAGCCAAGCGCGACGCCGAGTCCGAGTTGGCCGAGGACGCCGAGGCCCCAGAGACCCAGCCAGCCGGCCCACAGAAGATGTCCCTTGCCGACTACATGAACCAGGTCGACAACAACGACTTGAACAAGGTCCCAGAGGCCAGAAAGGTCGAGGAGACTTTGCAAGCCGAGGCAAAGAGCGACGTCCCAGACTACGCCCCAGCCACCAAGACCAAGGCCGTCAAGTCCAAGCAATTGAAGACCAAGGAGTTCTTGCAATTCGACGCCACCTTCTCTGACAACAACAGAGACAACAGAGACAGCAACAGAAGAGGCGGTTTCAGAGGTAACTCCCGTGGTGGCCGTGGTGGTAACCGTGGCGGTAACCGTGGTGGTAAGAGCAACAGCTCCCGTGGTGGTAAGAACACCGCTGAAGTCAACAAGAAGATCGACACTTCTTCCTTGCCATCTTTGATCTAAACAACTAATAGGTGAAACATATCTATAAGAAAAAAAAGAATTGCTCTTTTTTTTCTATCTTTCCTTTCCCCTCTAATCGAAATAAAGAAATATTTAAAATGAAAAGTATGAATACCAATCTGCGTTTGCAATCATTTCTATGACCAAATAAAGTCAATCCCTATACTCAACCAAAATTCTTTGCAATCTAAACCATCTCCACTACGAAATTCAAAGTTCATGTGAGAGAAGCGTACGCTTTCTCCTCATTCCTGTCAATGCCACTTTTATTTATTGGTGCCTGAACTGATTTGATTGTAGAAAATAATTAGTTGTTGTTTTGTTACTTGCTTGCATTTAATGATTCCTCTTAGATTGTGTTTCCCCTTTTTATTTTTATTGTTCCTTTTCTTCGAAGCTTACGTTGTTACAATTCAATTCAAGAAAACTATAAATAGTGTTGTCATTTCTGCTATCATGAAATATAAGTTTAGAGAAGAGCCACATCATTTGCTAAACCCATATGTGTGGTTCTCTTTATCTTTTATTTTTTTCATCTGATGTCAGAATATTTCAAGTCAATGACCCATTCATTCCATCTCCCATAACTATATTTACCATTTCTATCTCCTGCTTCAATTTTTTAAAAAATTGTCATTTTGTTTATTCAAGTTTTTTCTTAAAATTTGTCGATGATTATATTTCGCATGGCCCATATATCCTTTTTAAATCCATAACGAATTCTAAAAAATTTCTAAAAAAAGTTTCTCTTTTGTAGCTCAGATTGCTTGGATGTTCTGTTGCCAATGTCAATTGCTTCAGATGAGAAATGTATCATAAACATAAATTATGAATATATATAATAATATTATCTTGTCAAGAAAATTTTTATTTTAGTCTTGTTTCAGGAACAAAATGTCGCCCAAAAAATAAACCATTGGAGTTTGCAATGGTGTATACCACACTAAGCTGCTGGGTTTTATTTTCAAATGTTCTAATATACAAGTAAACAATAATTATCTATATCTAGAGAGTCTTTGGTACGAGAAGCGGCTAGTCCTCGATTTGGAGGTACAGTTCACCGACCCTGCCTAGGAATAACTTGATGGCGTGTCTCAACTCTGTTGGTACACTCTTGTCCAGGATCTGGATGATGAAACCATACATTGGAGCACAGAACTTCTTGAAATCGTCGTCATCAAATTCGTAGTATCCTTGTAGAATCTCAACAATGACTGGCCTCCATGAAATAATGCTACGCTCCATAGTTCTATCATCTAATGTAACATAGCCCTGAACAACGCCAGTGCATATCTTGATCAATCTGCTAGCTAGTTCATCTTTCTTGTTGTCATCATTTAGGTACAACTTAAACATGATGTCAATCAGCACCGCGGCAGCACTGGTTTCTTGTTTTAGCAAGTTTGGAATCTTGTCAACCACTCTTGCTTCAACTAATCTCGTTCTTAGACCGTAGTCTGCATTGAAGTCTCGTGAAAATTCGTACGATTTCTCCAATAACTTGGTGATTTGGATATATTGCTTGTATGGAATATGGTGTTCTAGCTCCTCATTCTGGAATAGTTCACTTAGAAGTTCAATCATTAGTAATTGCAGAACACATTTCACAACGATGGAATTCTTAATACTGATCTTTGGACGAAGATCTTCAAATGTCTTAGCAGAACGCACCGCAGATGGGCTAGTAGTACCATCTTCTTTCTTAACCGAGTCCATGGTTTCGTTACCTACATCTTCACTTGATTCCTCCTGTTGTGCTCTCTGCACTGTTTCATGAACATTACCGTCATCTGCAGCATTTTTAGGATCGTTTGTCTTTGAAGAGTTTTGTCTACCTTGATGTAGAGGATCATATTCAAACAGTTCACTAGCGGTAGTTAATTCGAATAGCTTTTCAAAAACATTTCCGATTTGTTCCCAGTGCTTTTCATTGAATTTAGACACATTTTGCAGAATTAATTGCTGTAGACATGATCTACCAATTCTAGCAATAGTATCATTTTCTTGGCATATGCAGGAAACTAGAAGGTCTAAGAAACCTTCTAACATGTTGTTTAACGAATCAAAGTAATGGGTAAACAATGCAATTAAATTTCTCAATGCCTGAATCAAGGTGGTCGATAGCCAAACACTCAGGTCATCATGGCTGTTGAACTGATTAACTTCCCAATGCTTGGACAACACACCGAAGATGGGGAATAACAATTTCTTACAAATATTTTCCCAGAACTGCTCATCGAATTGGTTACCATATGCCACAAGTGAATCAAACATGTAGTTTAACGCTCTAGATCTTACTTCTAAGTCTTCTGCTGTCATTATTGTAGTATTGAAACAATATAACAGCGGGAACCAGATATCTTGGAAAATATCTTTTCCTTGTAGTAGGTTCTTTTCCTTACTTTCGCCATTTTCATCGAAGCATATTTTTGCAATTCTCTGAGTTATTTTCCTTAGTGATTCCAGGGCATGTAGAGCTTGTTTTTGGAACTTTTTGTTCTTTGTAATCTCCCTGAATACACCAACTAATTCGGCAAATGAATCCTCTTGAACAAAAATACTCTCAAAATGAGCATCAACGATATCATCGCTAATCAAAGATTGTGTTTTAACTACAAGCGATTCGTTACCAGATTGGGCGGTATATTGCAAAGATTCTAGAATAGTCTTCCAACCAGATTTGATCTTACTAGATTTGGTTAAAATAAAATTTCTGAAGCATGCGATAATCATCTCTTGAACCTCGACATTACCAGAATTTTGGATAGTGTATTCAAATGGCTTTAAGAAATCATGTTGGAACTCAAAACCAGACAATTCTTCGATATCTAAAAATCTCATTGATAGTTGACGTAGCGAATCAACAGCAAAGAAAACAACAGCAAGGTTTGGGTTCGTGGCTATTCTGTTGAAAGCATTTCCCATCACAGCCCATACTGGAGACCATTCTAATTTGATACGGTCCATATTGTAATAACATACATCCACCATTTTTTGTAGAGAAAACATTCTAGGAGTAGATGCATACTGGGAAGATTCAATTTCTTCTAGAGACACCTCAGTAAGAGCCTTAATAAAATCAATGATAGCATTACCTGATAATTCAGCACTCTTGGTGAAAATATTATCCATTAAAACGACAAGTTGACTAGAAGAAATAAATTTTGATATCTCTGGAGAAAGTTGCTGGTTGTGATGCTTTTCTTGGGCTAACTCCATTGGAGTGGCTTTCTTACTCCATATGTCAAATATGTATGACGTGTTTGCAGACCTCGTTGACTCATAAGAAGGACGTGGGTTAGCAACACGAGCTTGAGCAACATCAGGAACAGTATTGCGGTCAATACCTTTGGAAATCAACTGCAATCTTTCAATTTGTGATACAACAAGCAAAACATCTTTCCAGGATTTCTTGAAAAAGTTACCATCTGATAGAGCAACTTCTAAAAGAACGATCATGGCATTGACATTCTTAATTTTTATCTCTTCTAGATTTTGTAGATTACAAAATTGGACCAAGGCTCCGATAAAGGATGTGCGTGCATCATCGATACCAAATATTGAGGCAATCTTGATAGATGTTTTGATACCCTCAAGACACTTTTCAGTTGTCTCAAGATCATCGTAGTCTTTAAAAGGAGGAGTTAGTGCTGCCAAAAACGACATCCACAATGTTACAAATATGGATTTAACATGCTCAACATGAGAGGCAGCATAAAATACATCCCCATTCTTACCCTTAGTCTTGTTTAAATTCTTGAAAACCAGTTCTGTTTTGGAGGAGATTTCTTTGGAAACTTGCATGTATGCTTCTCTCGCCAAATCTCTGCTGCTGAAGAAATTAAAAGCGGAAGGTGTTGGAGGTGCGGTCATGGTTGTTTCATCGTTCAACATAGCTTGGTGTTGTTCAGATAATAACTTGATTTCATTGTTTGCAATCTCATTGAATAGATTAACCATAAACTCTTTTGGAAGATCATTACCATTGTCAATGCCTTCATTATTCTCCAAAAACTCCTGTAGAGTCATCTTATTTTTAATTTGTGACGAGTGTAAGTCTGTGTTTAACATGATTAGAGAATAAGATAATACATAAGCAGTATCAGCTTTCGAAAAAACACCGGGGTTTTGATCAACAAAACGTTCTGCGAACTTAAGCATGAATCTGTCAATTTTTTGACCTTCACCAGGAAGCCTAAACTTCTGTAAGAAGTCACGTAGTGCATCGACAATCGATTGGCCAGTAAAATCAAATTGGTCCACAAAAGCATGCATTACTGCGATATTCTTCTCATCACCTTCACCTAGATAATCTCCTACCATGGCTAAATCTAATCCATCGGTTTCCAATAGCCACTTAGCTATACTCTCTGGAGATTCGTCATTAATAAAACCGTTTTGGAGCAAAAGAGGAATAGCTCTCTTAGGTTTCAAATTGAAAGCATTAACACAATTTGAAAGCTTGGTTTTACGAATTTTCAAATTTTCGAATTGTGTTGGATCATCCGCCTCGAGCTGTTTGTTCAATGATTGTGCTTCAGAGTCTTCGCCAACACTCTCGTCTATTCTAGTCATTGAAGATCTTCCAGCGTTAGACAAACTAGTGTTAGATTCTGATCTGTTCATATCTGAAAATGATGATATTTGACCTTGTAATCCACTATTTGAATTTAGTGCCTTGTGGGCCCATAGACTCAATGATCTCAAAACGGCAACAACACAATTCAAGGATGTCATTTTTAGTGCATATTCTAATGGGAATGGCAGCGGTGTTTGAGAAGAGTCTGGACCAGATGATAAAGTAGATGTGGTCAGTAGTGGGAATTGATCAAAATTATAAGTAGCCAAAGGTTTTGACAGTTGATCTTCATAGTATGATCTCTGGGTTTGTGAGATCTCTACTCTTGTTAGAGCTAGCTTTGATAAGTAGTCAACAAGCATTTCAGTAATATTAGGCATGCCTGGATCACAATCATAATTTAAATAAAATTCGATTAATGCACGAGGGTCGGTACATAATCTTTGAATTATGTGCAAGAAATATCTCTTCTGTTGTGCCGTTGAAGTTTTTAACTCTGTAATTGGGAAGTAAATCTCAGTTAAGAATACAGGTATTTCTCTCTTGAAATCAGCTCTCAAATTGGCAATCATCAGCCACATAATCTCCAATGTGGTTTCAAAGACAGCAGATAAAGGAGAAGCTGCATTACGCGATAGCGATAGACATAGGTATTGTCTTATAGAATCTAGCAATGTGACTTTCTCCTTACCTGGGAGGTATATGTGATGTGAAAGGAAAACGTCGATGTGATCTCTTAGCATTGAATAAATCAATTGTAGTGACAATAGCTTGGATCTAACGGCGTGGGATCTCATATCTAGTTCAGCGTCCAATGGTTTGGCACATATTTTGGCCATGGTACGGAACACCAAGAAAGCGTCCTTAATGTTCAGCTCCTGGTTGGTTTGAGCTTCCTCCCCTACTGTTTCATTTACCTCTTTGTCGTTGTCGTCTCCGTTGTTCTCTCCCGAGACTAGTTTCTTATCGGTTTCCTTATCTATATTTTCCAAGTTCGCTAGTGTTAGCGGAGGGGCTGGCGACTTTGAGTCGTCCCAGTTAGAAACGTTTAGTGCGGAGGACGAAGGGTCGATGTGTTTGACCTCGATCTTATCAAACACTGCGCCTACCAGCTGGGTCAGAGTAGCCTGGGCGATACCTTGGTTGGAAGGGTTCAAAGAGAAGATGAAAATGTTGTATATTGTTCTGATTGCTTTCAGCAAGGAGGCACCGTGGCAGTTTGAGTGTGCGTCCTCGACCAGTATGCAACCTGACAGGGCTCTCACAATCTGCAGCTCTACTCTCTCGTCTGTGCTCTCGCCTTGGAAGCAGTCGGCGATGGTGTCGATGGCGGCGTCTATCAGTTTCTGCTTGGGCGGCGGGGTGACGCCCTCCTGCTGCGCAGTGGTCTGGTCGTTGGAGGCGTTGGAGTCTGGCGGGTTCACAAGCACGGTCTCGTCCAGCGCGTGGAAGGAGAACAGCTTGGACAGCCCGTCCAGCGCCTTCGACTGGATCCTGGATGACCCCGTCCTGCACGTCGACCTCAACGCTTCGAACACGAGTATCGAGTCAATTGGGTTCGTGGCTCCCGTCTCCTTCAGCTTGTCCAGCGCCCGCTCGATAGACTTCTGCACATTGGGGTATTTCTTGATGTCTCTCTCCTGCAGGATAGTCTCCAATATCGTCTTCGACAGCGGCGACGACGACTGCACATTCACAGAACCAGCCGACACAGACGACGGATTCCTAGAGTGCATCTTGCCAGTACCCAGACGCGATACGTCTCCATCCTGTTCTTCTTGTATTTCCTCATGTACTTGTTCTTGTTCCTGTTGTTGTTCTTGTTCTTGTACTTCTCCGTCACCGTTAGCATCGGCAGCGACAACATCCGGCTCCGCAGAGACACCGGGCGCTACCACGGGATCCTCTATATCAGCCATTGCTTGTGGGTTGCTGGTTAGTGCTCGAGTCCTGGTATGATAAAAGGTTGGCTCTCTTTATGAGTGGGGATCGACAAGAACTGCACACGAATTACTTGTTCAGATGCGAAAGGGCTGAATGAACGGAGGATTTCCGCAAAAAAAAAATTTGGGAAAGCTACCAAGAAAAAAAGAGGTCCTACCCGGATTCGAACCGGGGTTGTTCGGATCAAAACCGAAAGTGATAACCACTACACTATAGAACCATAAGAAGTTCTTGGTGTCTGAACTGGAGACTAGCGGTTTTGCCCCTTGGTTTGGATATGGCTCTATCACCGGGTACGCGGCGTTAAAGTGGAATCATACCGATGAAAGCACTTGTGTCGATAACTGCATATAATAGCTCACTTATACCACTAGTTGCTATCTTGGAATGCACAGGAATGTCGAGCATTGAAGTGTATAGCTGTACTCTGTGCTTTATCTGGCAATTCAGCCTGGCTTGTAGAGTGTTCTAGAAGTTTCTTTGCACGTCTTAGGGGTTACAAGGGGGTGCCCCCACCTTAAAAGTATATAAACTACTGCGTACTTTCCAACTTTCCTGGTTGTACAACACTACACCAAGAACAATAACAACACTAACGATACTAACAATACTACAACTACACAATGAGTTTCTACCAACCTTCGCTGTCGCTATATGATGTGCTAGATGCACTACAGGCACCACGCCAACGCCAGCCACGGGCCTACGGCTCCTATGGCTCCTATGCCCCCTATGGCACTTATGGCACGCATGGCACGCATGGCTCTTCCTACCCCTACGGTCAGCGCCACCCATTGCACCACGTAAGGAGCACCCCGTACTACAGGTTTGGCAACCCTTACTACTACAGTCCCGAGTACTACGAAGACGAGGACGAGGACGAAGGTGATGACGTGCAGGACGGTGACGAGGACGTCGAGATGGGCGAGAAGCCCTCTTACTACCACGATAACTCAGGCAAAGCCGCTAGGAATGCGCAGGAGCACGAACAACAGTACCAGGCTGACAACGGCCTTGTGGACATCCTGAACGCGTTGCTGGGTGGATACCCACCAATGGGCAGCACAGTGCAGCTAGGGCCACAAGGGCAACAGCAAAGGCAGCAACAACAACAGCAACAAGAGGAGCCAGAAGTCGAGGAGCCACAGGAACCTAAACAGAAGCCTGCCGCAGTGCAACAACCAGAGCCACAAGCTCAGGAAACTCCACAAGAAAGCAAGCCACATAGCGAGTCGAAACCTGCGCAGCAACCAAAGTTGAAGAAAAGAGCCTCGTCTTCTGCGTTCGTGCACCAACAGGCTCCATCCCCTGTCCCTGATCCTTTGCAGATCTCCAAGCCGGAGACCCGACTAGACCTCCCATTCTCCCCCGAGGTCAACCTGTATGACACCGAGGACACATACCATGTTGTGTTGGCCTTGCCAGGTGCCTGTTCCAAGGCATTCCGCATCGACTACCACCCATCCTCTCACGAGTTGCTCATCAAGGGTAATATCGAGGACAAGATCGGAATCGATGAGAAGTACCTAAAGATCACCGAGCTGAAATACGGTGCCTTTGAGAGAACCGTGAAGTTCCCTGTGCTACCACGTATCAAGGACGAGAGCATCAAGGCCAGTTACTCGAACGGCCTGTTGCACATCAAGGTCCCAAAGATCCTCGACGGCACCGAGAAACCAGCTCCAAAGAAGAGAATCACCATCGAGGATGTCCCAGATGAAGAGCTCGAGTTCGAAGAGAACCCAAACCCTGTCCAGGCATGAAAGACCCAAATGGCATACAGCACTGCCACAGCACTGCCACAGCACATTAGTAAATAGATCAAAAAAGACCATAAAAAGAAATCTCTCAAATATATAAATGTATAGACTATATACAGCAACGAAGTACTCACGAATAGAACAATGGCTTACCAAACGTGCATGAGAAACTTGCCAATACTATATACACTACTTGGCAGTTGGCATGGTATGTTATATTATCATGTGACATATACGTATTTTGTGATTGAAAATTTTTCCCAAATTTGGCAAAGAATCGATGAGCTTCACTAGTTGGTAGTAGTTATAGTCCCAGTTAGCTATTCGATATTTATCTGGGTTTGCGTTGATCTGAGGTTTGCATACATCAAGCATTGAGGATAGCAAAAGCCGCTAGCACTTACTGATCAATTGAGAGCCATGTCTGATCCTAACCAACAGCAGCAGCAGCAACAGCAGCAACAGCAACAGCAACAAGGTAACTACCAACAGTACTACCAAAACTATGGTCAACAAAACTTCCAGCCACAACAGGGCTACCAGCAGTACCAGCAGTTTCAAAACTACCAGCCACAACAGGGCTACCAGCAATACCAAAACTATCAGCAAGGTGGCTACCAGAACTACCAACAAGGCGGATACCAGAACTATCAACAAGGTGGATACCAGGGTGGTCGTGGTGGATACCAAGGTGGCCGTGGCCGTGGTGGTTACAAGAACTACAACAATAGAAACAACTACAACAACCAAAACAGCGGATACCAAAACTACCAACAACAGCAACAACCTGCTCAAGGTATGACCTTAGACAGTTTCCAACAACAACAAGAGCAAAAGAGTGAGCCAGCTCCAAAGCCAAAGAAGACTCTAAAGTTGGTGTCAAGCTCTGGTATCAAGTTGGCTAATGCTACTAAGAAGGAAGAACCAAAGACTGAAGAACCAAAGAAGGAAGAAAATAAACAAGAAGAGCCAGCCAAGGAAGCTAAGAAGGATGAAGAAACCAAGAAGGAAGAAACTACCTCCACCGAATCCAAGCCAGAAGCTACTGAGGATGTCTCTAAGAAGATGGAAAAGCTTGATGTCAAAGATACAAAGGAAAAGGAAGCTACTCCATCCCAAGAGGTTAGCAGTGCGGACGCCTTGATCAAGGAACAAGAAGATGAAGTCGATGAAGAGATTGTTAACGATATGTTTGGTGGTAAGGATCATGTCTCCATTATTTTTATGGGTCACGTCGATGCCGGTAAATCTACCATGGGTGGTAACTTATTGTACTTGACTGGTTCCGTGGATAAGAGAACCATTGAAAAATACGAAAGAGAAGCCAAGGACGCTGGTAGACAAGGTTGGTACTTGTCCTGGGTTATGGACACTAACAAGGAAGAAAGAAATGATGGTAAGACCATTGAAGTCGGTAAGGCTTACTTCGAAACCGAAAAGAGACGTTACACCATCTTGGATGCTCCAGGTCACAAAATGTATGTTTCTGAAATGATCGGTGGTGCCTCTCAAGCTGATGTCGGTATTCTAGTTATTTCTGCAAGAAAGGGTGAATATGAAACCGGTTTTGAAAAGGGTGGTCAAACCCGTGAGCATGCTTTGTTGGCTAAGACCCAAGGTGTTAACAAGATGATTGTTGTTATTAACAAAATGGATGACCCAACTGTCAACTGGTCTCAAGAACGTTACGACCAATGTGTCAGCAACTTGAGCAACTATTTGAAGGCAATTGGCTACAATGTTAAGCAAGATGTTGTTTTCATGCCTGTTTCTGGTTACAGTGGTGCTGGTCTAAAGGAACGTGTCAAGAAGGAAGAATGTCCATGGTACGATGGTCCAGCTCTATTGGAATACCTGGACGAGATGAAGCATGTCGACCGTCACGTCAATGCTCCATTTATGCTACCTATTGCTTCTAAGATGAAGGATCTAGGTACCGTTGTAGAAGGTAAGATTGAATCAGGTCACATCAAGAAGGGTCAATCCACACTACTAATGCCTAACAAGATACCAGTTGAAATTCAAAATATTTACAACGAAACTGAAAATGAAGTTGATATGGCTGTTTGTGGTGAACAAGTTAAGCTGAGAATCAAGGGTATCGAAGAAGAAGATATCTCTGCTGGTTTCGTATTAACCTCCCCAAAGAACCCAATCAAGAACGTCACCAGATTTGTTGCTCAAATCGCCATTGTTGAATTGAAGTCTATCATGTCTGCTGGTTTCTCCTGTGTTATGCACGTCCATACTGCCATTGAGGAAGTCCACATCACTAGACTATTGCACAAATTAGAAAGAGGTACTAACCGTAAGTCTAAGAAACCACCTGCATTTGCCAAGAAGGGTATGAAGATTATTGCATTGCTGGAAACTGAAGCTCCAGTCTGTGTTGAAACCTACGACGACTACCCACAATTGGGTAGATTCACATTGAGAGATCAAGGTACTACCATTGCTATTGGTAAGATCGTTAAGATTCTTGAGTAAACGGCGTTACATCAGATAGAGTAACTTTGTTTGTTTTAGAAATTTATCTTAATAATTAAGTGTGACTTCTGCGGGTAATGAAGTCATGGAACCAATCAGTAGTTTTCGTAATCAGTATGAACACCATATAACATCTAATCATAGTTTTCTGTACAGTATTTTGTTTATTTCCAATGCAATTTCGAAATAGCTTTCATTTTGAATATATTTTATTTATATATTTGACCGCATGCCAAAGAAATACCACTTATCATATCAATTATCATATCAATTAAAAAGCATTTTCAAATTCAGATTCGTAACTCATTAAATATATCGATTAAGTTTTCCACACCCAATATGACATTCTCATCGTAGTCGTCTGTATCTGTAAACTGTGAGTGAGCAAAGTCTATAAAAGTCATCGAGCTCAGTTTCTTATTTCGGGGCTCCACCTTCTCGTTCATAATCGTTGGATTGGGCAGCTCATCGTCATCTCTCGTATCTATAACCATGCTGGCTTGTGTAGTTTGTTGTACAAACCCGCCAGCGAGCTCGTCGTCTTCCTCGTCAGTATCTATGAGTTCAACTTCGTAGTCGTGTACCAGCTCATCAACATCATCGAGCTCTTCCCATGCTGCAGGGTCACTCTCATATACGAATAGCAAGCTACTAGATATAAATCTCGCCTTTGTGTCAAGTAGAGTGTTGTAGAACAATTGCAACCGCTGCCAGAAAGTGTCGTAAAGTTGCTTTTTCCGTGGCTTAGACAGCCTTTCATTATTAAAGAACAGTTCAATGGCCTCGCTGATATCATCCTTAGTTCTAGTTCTTCCGTAGAACTTGTTCACCGACAGGTATTCCACACCATGGTGAGTCTCCACATCGTAGTGTGCCTCATCTAGTGCGGTACAGCTAGCTTTCCCCCGTTCTATCTTCATCCCGCATATCCGAAACGCCAGAGACCCCGACGTCGTGGTCCTGCTCACCTCCTGCAACCGCTGCCTCTTCTCCAGCGGAGCATCCTCATCGTAGAGCACAGACCCCAGCTTAATATCCATCACGTTCGGTCTCGAGTACCCATGCAGCAGGTTGTTCAACACAATATACTTGCTCCCAGCGGGTGTATTGCCGGAAGCCCCGGGCTTCCTGACATCGCCTTGCTCCAGCACGCCCATGAAGCAGGGCATCCACAGGTGCAGCGGCACATCCTGCGCAGCTCCAGGCTCGTCAACCCTCCGCCGCTGCACCTCCATATAGAACGCAGCTTCCTTCGCATGGTACGGCTTGAACACCAGCGCACCTTCGCCCTCTGTGAGCAACCCGTCGTGCCCAGCAGCCCTGTGTTGAAACGCACGCATCCTCGACGCAAATAGCCAATACTGCCTGGGCCCCTGCTCCTCTCCCCCTCTGTGCAACTACAAAACTAGCACAGGAGAGACAGATATATGCCACTTCCGATGAGTTTTGGCAGAGCATAAGCCGGTATACTAGTAGCGCTGTACGGACATGTGTTTACCCGGCTATCTCCCTGCACACACCTCCCAGCGGGAGCCAGTACTTGATAGCCTGAGCCTTCTGAGTATGAGCCCTTGGAACCTCTGCCCGGGAGCGAAGCCAGTCTCATAGCATGGATATATTTAGTTTCCCAGTTCTCTGACCAAAAGGTCAATACCGGATGATCCAGAGTAAGGCTAAAACAACAATCACGACTCTTGTCACTCCCTCTCTCTGGTAGAAAATTTTTCTTCTCTAGGCTGGACGGGCTCAGGCTAGGGAACTGGTACCCTCTAATGGAGTCCTAATGTAAGCCTAATGTAAGCCTAATGGACCTCTCTAATGGAGGCCTAATGGTAAGCTTCGAAGGCTACGCTCAAGGGCTACGCTCACTCCATTAAGCTGAAACTGTAAGTGGCTTTTCTCCTTAACATACAAACCACGTAAGTAAATAAAAACAAAAAGATGGATGCTGCAGGGTTGAAGTTGAAGTCTGCTAAGGACTCGCTGGTGTCAGCGTTGTTCGAGTTGTCCAAGTCCGCTAACAATACTGCTTCTGCCATTGTTGATTTCTACAATACCATTGGCGAGGATGATGAAGAGAGGCTAGAGGCGTTCACCACGCTGACCGAGTCTTTGCAGACCCTGACGTCTGCGTCGAACCAGCTGCATGGTATAAGCTCTGATCTTGTCAACCCCATGGACGAGGATGCGTCCTCTTTGCTGATGGGCAAAGGTAAGAAGTCCAAGTCCGGCGACGATGATGCCGATGGTGCCGACGACCAGCCACCTCAGAAGAAGAAGCCCGTCCGTGACCCTAACGCCCCAAAGAAGCCGTTGACCGTCTTCTTTGCGTACTCTGCGTATGTGCGCCAGGAGCTGCGTGACGCTAGAGCACAAGCCGGCTTGCCCCCTCTGTCATCCACCGAGATCACCCAGGAGATCTCCAAGAAGTGGAAGAACCTCAGCGACGAGGAGAAGGAGAAGTGGAAGCAGGCCTATAACGTCGAGCTCGAGAACTACCAGGTCGAGAAGCAAAAGTACTTGGAGGCCAAGAAGAACGGCACTCTGCCTGAGTTCATGGACCCAAGCACCAACCACGCCCCAGTGCCATTGCCCGCCAACTTGCAAAAGAGATCAATCGATGAGATCTACGGCGGTAGCGATGGCCACAAGGTCTCCAGCAGCGGTAACGGTGAGAACACCGGCTCCAGCGAAAAGAAGAAGAAGAAGAAGAAGAAGGATAAGAAGAAGGATAAGAACAGAGACGCCAACAGAGACAATAACTAAGCCAAAACAGCGTGCTGATCTCATTACTCATTCTTTATCAAGAATCGCCCTTCATAATATTTCTTTCTCTATCAGTGAACTACCACCGTTCCTGATCTTGTATTATTTTTCTTTCTCATTTCTAAGAATGCTTTGATGTATTCACCCACTTCATATATGATTTCATTGGTTTTAGACTAATGATCTCGTATGCAAAACTGTATTTTTGCAATCCACGACCTGGATTTTTAAACATAGAGACACATAAATTTGGAGACATTCATATAAACGATATACATCAGTGTAAGACGATTTGTATTATATAAAGTTATAGTAATCTTAATATCCAGTCATACTTATATCCCAATCGTGCTTGTATCCATAGCCGTGATACGGGCATCGCGAATATATGTAAGTTTTTATTCATTTTTAGTATTTACAGCTATTTGAATGACTACTTTCCGTCGTCAAATAGATGGCTATCTGCGCCTTTGTCCATTAGCAAATGTATGTGCTCGAACAATGTTAATTACAAGAGTTTCATCAATTCCTCGGTGATGTTGACCTTCTTCACAGGCGCATCTTCAGGTCTCTTCCACTCCTCTGGGAATTCAATTGTCCTTAGACGCCTCGAGTGCTTCTTCCGCAGATTCTTAGCAATGGTGTGTCTTGTGTCCAAGGGGATATCACTGAAGTCGTCTTTGCTTAAGTCCTTGGCCTCTTGCAGTAGCCTCTTCAGGATATCTCCCAAGTACTTGGCATTCTGCTGTGCTTCTGGGAACTTGTCGCTGGACATCTTGAACAGGTCTGTCTCGTGGTCGTAGCGAGTCCTTGCCAGTACCCTGAACTTGTGCAGTGCGCGAGGCTCCAAACCAAGTGACTCAGTCTTTAAGCTCAGGACTACTTTCCTCGAGTTAGGGTGCTCTTCACCCACATACGTGAAGTACTTGTAAGTCACCACATCTGACGCTGACGGAGGCTTGTACTCCTGCCTGTACTTAGCGAGCAAAGGCAGCTCGTACGCAGCCAGTCTGTTGTAAAACCGCTGCTCACGGTGCTGATCCACCAGATCCAGCGCCTGCGAGGGCAACTCATCGAACTGAAACCTGCTAAACCCACCGACGACATCCCGAGCCTTGGCCCCAGCACCAGGTCCAGCTCCAGCACCAATCTCCATAGCACCTTTCTCACCGTACTTGTACAGCTTCCTGATATGCGCCTCGGGAACACCAGTGTACTCCGACGTGCCCAGCAGCGCCTCTAACTCCTCGGGACTCTGCTTGTACTCCTTCCCCATCTTCGCAACACGCTCCCAGTACAGAGATATCACAGTCTCGGGCTTCAACCCTTTCCACTTAGCAGGTTCCCGGTACAACCCTGCAACAGCACCAGCAGCTCCAGCAGCACCAGAACCAGCGGCACCAGCCGCGGTACCTATACTCCGAATAATACGCAACATCTACTCAATCTGTCCAGCTTGTACTGCCTTCCCAAAGCCAGACCCCCCAGTCGCAACTAGTACTATAGCTCTTATAACTTCTTATTCGATGCAAATTCCAAGCAAGACCAGAAGTATATCACTTACCACGTAGAATCTGCTCGGTGAACAACACGACTCTGGCGAAGTGAGCAAGTATTATAAGAGCTGGGCGGGTTCTGGTGGCTATTTGGGCGTGGTGAATGGGCTAAAGAGGGTATAAGACAGCAATGCCGAGGAGTTCTAGGCGAGGTAAGAAGCGGGAGCCACCTGCGTGGAAGAAAGCTGCTGGTGGAAAGGCGCCGGAGGGCGGAAAAGGTGGGAAAGGCGGGAAAGGCGGGAAAGGTGCGCCGCGTGTGGCCATGGGCAAAGGTGTGGATGTCGGTCGCGACCGCGAGGAGGAGCGGCGGGTACTGGCGCTGAGCAGCACGCCCTCGACGGTGCTGAACAGAATTCTAAGCGTACTGGACCTCACGTTTGAGCGGGACATAGGGATGCTGAACGGCAATTGCGTGCGGAAGGTACCTGACTATGGTACGCTGGTGAAGCTGCGGGATGAGCTTCAGAAGCTCCACCACCTGTTTGAGCACATATCGCAGTCCGATCAGGCCAGTATAGACCTTGTACGGCAGATCAGGGAGAAGCGCAAGCAGGTGCGGATCAAAGAGGAGGAAGAGCAGGAACAACAGCAGAAACACAAACTCAAATTGAAGCTGAAGCTGAAGGATGTCACGAAAAAGGACGCCAGTGCCACAGATGACAAACCAGAACTTACTGAGGAGAGTGCAAAAGCTGAAAGTCCCGAGGCCAAGGAAGGTCCCGTGGAGGCAGAAGAAGACACACTAAGTAGGCCAAAACCCGACGACGTTGAAACAGTAGAGATAAATACACAAGTTGAAGAAACGAAGGTAGAGTCTGGGAAGGATGAAGTAGAGCCATCAGAGGAGAAAGACGCCGAAGTGAAGGACCCTGAAGCCACTGATGAAACTAAAGCAGAGGAACAGATAGACGAGACAGAGAAGCCTGACACGGTTCTGAAACGAACACATTCAGAAATATCAAGCGATGTTGAAAATGTTGGTGAACTGAAAGTCGAGGATGGACAGGAAGAGCCAGTTGAAGGGGAAGCACCTCCAAAGAAGATAAAACTAAACCTTACAGAAGAAACGAATGATGCACAATTTGGCAAACCGGAAGAAAACGAAGGCACAGAAGTGTCAAAGGATGTTGATATAGATAAGATGGAAAACGATCCAACTGTTAAGAACCCTAAGTCCGAGTTTGTAGTGTCGCAAACACTTCCTCTTGCGGCAAAAGCATTAGGTCTGTTCAATGAAGAAGGGCTTGAATGTACAGGTGAGGAGTTCTTGAAGAAGAAGTATAGTGTTGCCAGTTACCCAACAACTGATCTGTCAGATAAACTACCTGGTGAACTGCCCGATATGGACTTCTCATGCCCTAAACCTACAAATCAAATCCAGTTCAATACTTTCTTAGCATCAGTTGAAAAGTTTTATAGAGAATTCTCGGATAATGATATCGGATTCCTAGAAGGTAAGTATATTCTACCACAGAACCTTCAAGTCGATAGCACTTATGACCCGGAAGTTACACCTTATATTATACCAAAGCTTGGACAACTATACACTGAGATATGGGCAAAGGAAGATCAGGAGAAAAATATTGGCAACACATCACCTCCATCAGTTACTGATCCTTCAAGTATTTTACCCAAAAAAGGGGCCGCCAACATTAATGATACCATATTAGAGACCGAGGACGTGTCGTGCGGGCCTCTAGTTTCAAGACTAATTTCAGCTATAATGAAAGAAAGTACACAGAATATAGATTCTAACATGGAATCCGGCACACCTGGTCACGGTCTTGACGAGATCAAAAGCGAACCGGACCATGGCCTACCAGCTGACGACAAGGACATCTCAAAGGATAATGACAATGCTTACTCTGTAGAGGGAAACTCTAGCTTAGCTGCAAATGCGGACTCTGTGATGACCAATGGTGACACAGTGGATAACGATGACCATAATAGTTGGGATGTCAACCCTCTTTCACGCAGCACAACGAGTACGTTGCCTGCAGGAAACGGATGGAAAATCGAAAATGTCAACATAGATTATCCAACGTTTGAAGAGAGATTGAAAAGAGAGTTGAAATACGTGGGTATATATATGAACTTGCCCAAAGACGAGAACAACCCAAATGGAGAAGATCCAGATTGGTTAAACGGTAGAGAAGACGATGAAGTCAGCGCGGAGCTGCGTCAACTTCAGGCCACTCTAAAACAAGTCACAAAGCGCAACCAGTTGCGAAAGAAGAATCTGATACCACTCGTAGAGAGGCAACTGGCATGGCAAGAGTACTCATCCATCCTAGATGACTTGAACAAACAACTAGACCAAGCATACATCAAACGTATCAGAGTACCGAAGAAGAGACGGAAACACCATGGCAGTGCCACTTCAGGCTCCGCATCGCAACTGGCTCAGCAGAAGGCTGCCAACTCCAGCTTGAAAGCATTGTTGGACAAGAGACAGAGATGGATTACAAAGATAGGACCCTTGTTCGACAGCCCCGACCTGATGCTCAGAATCCCCAAGGACAGCGTGTTCCCCAACCTGGACGCTCAGGACGACGACGACGACGACATCGACGTGTTCGCGCAGAACAACATGAACAAAGAAGAAGGACTGGAAGACTAGCTAGCACAGCCTACATAAGCACCAATACATCATTATATATCAATGATAAAAAACGACTATACTAACAGCACCAACCTTTCACTATACACATAATACAGTTTCTTAGTAGTAAATATCACATACAACGACATATATTTCCCCTGTTGTGGAGCGTTCAAGACGCAGAAAAGCCCTTTGACAGGTAGAAGACACTAGATCTGTTATAACTACTCTCCCCCTCACCCTCTTCAACTACAATAGTGGCTGCCATTGCAATTCGAAGACGCCTTGAGAGTATTAGAAGTGAGGATACATTCGACTTGTGGATATAAAAGAAGTTACTGTTTTCCCTTATCTGAGCACCGAGCAATTTAGTGCATTTGTTGCGGGATCAAAGTTTCACGTTAATTTTGGATATACCTGGATAGTAATTTTGGAGTAATAGAAGTTTTAAATCTGGTAACGTTAAGATAAAAAAGTCACGATGTCTAGAGCCAAGAGAATTATGAAAGAGCTGCAAGCGGTCAAGGATGACCCTGAGGCCAACATCAGTCTGGAGTTCGTCAGCGAGTCTGACATCCACCATTTGAAAGGTTCGTTTCTAGGTCCACCGGGGACACCATACGAGGGTGGTAAGTTCATTGTGGACATCGAGGTGCCCATGGAGTACCCGTTCAAGCCTCCAAAGATGAAGTTCGACAGCAAGGTGTACCACCCAAACATCTCGTCGGTCACAGGCGCCATCTGTCTGGACATCTTGAAGAACGCATGGTCCCCAGTGATCACATTGAAGTCGGCGCTGATCTCGCTACAGGCACTGCTGCAGTCCCCGGAGCCCAACGACCCACAAGACGCAGAAGTCGCCCAACACTACCTACGAGATAGGCAATCCTTCGACAAGACCGCCGCACTCTGGACAAAGCTGTACGCATCCGCCGAGGGCTCAGGCGACAGCGTGGACGAAGCACAACTCTACGGTATCGACCCAGAGATCGTCAAGGAGTTCGAGTCCCAGGGATTCGAGAAGAACAAGATCGTCGAGGCCCTCAGACGCCTCGGAGTCAAGTCCCTCGACCCTAACGACAACGCCACAGTCAACAAGATCATCGAGGAACTGTTGAAGTAGATATATAGATTAAGTACCACTACCAAGAACTTCAACAATACCAACTCCCATATAGCTCATCATCACCTAACACGCCCATTATTAGCTAAACATAGCAGAAGTGAGGGGGGCACCAGTTTCACTCAGAAACGCTCGCACAAATCCTTCACTTTCACTTTCCCCGTCCCCCCACCCAAATAATCGGATTTCAATATGCGACATCGCTGCCCCTCATCGCACTCCTTCCTTACCACAGCTAATAGTCCAAGTATATAAAAGGAACAGGACCGTAGTGCTTCTGGGTACCTCTGCAGTGGTGCATCTCAGCGGACTTGAGACTACACTACTGCAATTGGCGATGTCGTGTGCTCAGTCGTATATCCACCTGATACCTTCCAATGTGAAGGAGGCCGCTGCGAAGTCGCTTCGGGCTGCGGGGCGTGCTGGCGGTGCTGGTCGTGTTGGCAGTGCTGGTAGTGGCAGTGGCACTGGTGTGCAGAAGTCAGTTTCTTTGAAGATACATTTGGAGAAGTTCCCCAGTTCGATCGGGCATGCCACTTCGCGGGTGAACCGGCTGCACAATGAGGACTCGTACTCGATCAACATGCTGCGGATGCCCTCCCGCACGGAGCAGTTGCTGGCGTATAAGAATAAGGACTTGCTGAGCAAGAACAGCAGGTCTGTGCTGAATGTGTCGATATTTGACGGTCATGGCGGTGAAGGCAGGGTGTCGAAACTTCTTGCGCGGGAGTTTTACAAGGATATTGTTGCGGGCTACCCCAGTGAGCAAGATTTCTTTCATCTGCTGGACAGATACAGGAAATTGATCGGTGGGAAGTACTGGAACGACCTATACCAGAGCAGAGAGCAGTTCTACGACAAGTTCATAAAGAATTGTAACACCAAGCAGGAGCTTGTGTTATTCGGCGCAGACCAGAAGGGTTCGCGGATGATTTTTGACAAATGGGGGAACATCATAGATAAAACGAGCCTGTTAACAGATCTCGAAAGATTACGTCTGTATTACTCTTTCCTTAAGTTCGATCTAGAGAAATGCTGTGGGTTCGATGATATGGAATCCTTACCTGAGAATTTTTCCGCAGAGGAGCATTTAAAAAGGTACTCAGGTGGATCTACTGCATCCTCTATCTTCCTGTCGTCTTATAATAACAACTTGAAGACAGACGACTCATTTTTCATCTATCCTAATGGCCTCTTTAAGCTCGTAGTCACCCAAGTAGGCGACACCAAGATTATTATATGTGACAAGAACGGAATCGCACACCCATTGACAAGGTTGCATCATCCAACATCCTCTAGAGAATCCAAGAGACTAAATATGGATGTTAAGAAAGAAGAAGAAGAGGCAGATTCTTTTGGTGAAAAGAGGTTTTTAAACAAGTTTGCGAATACTAGATCGTTCGGTGATCTGGTCGGTAAGAAAGAGGGTCTCTCTAGTGAACCAGATATTTATTCCTATTTGGTCGGAAACACAGAACAGTTGCCGCACTCTGAAAGATCGAAACTGCAATTTGGTGGAGATGAATGCTTCATTTGCATGGTTACCGATGGAGTCTCCGATATTCTCTCGGATCAAGAGATTGTAGATTTAATCACTTCGACCGTCAATATGAGAGGCCTAAAGACGGCCAATCCACAATACTTGGCAGAGGAAGTGGTGAAATTTATAGAGGCAGTCGGCGACAGACACGCTGATAATGCGACATGCATTATCTTAAGGCTTCCGAACTGGGGAAGCTGGCCCACAATCGATCGGACTGGTGCGGAGAGAGAAGAAAAGCTAATGGGATCTTCAAAGGGAGAAAGAGCGTAGTACTCTTACTTTCGAACTTTATTGAAATCATATTCCGGTATTTGTCAAAGTTCTCCAAGAAAAAACATAGTAACGACCTCAACAGTTGTATTAATTTAGAAGCCAATATTCATATTAATTAAATCATATTCCTAGTGTTTTGCTAATTCAATCCCCGATATCATTACTACTTTTGTATCCTATTAGTATGGTTTTTTTTATTTTCCTTCATTTTATTTTGTTTTATAGATTCCGGGGATTTTGTTATGTTATAAATCCTGCCACTTTATATGGCTAAATAACTATCTAACGCAAAGTATTGAACAGAATGCAACATCTCGTTATTTTTCCATAGACTCTTGGAGAGAATATTATCCAAAATTTGTCTGCTGAACTTCATTTCAGCCATCATCAATTGATCGTCAAGTAGTTTTTCAAAATCCGACTCATCACTTTCTCAGAGCGAATAACCCAATTTTGCTTTCAATTGCCAAAAATAAAAACTAAGAATACAGGCTCGATAACGCTGTTGAGCTATTATTACAATAAACCCGTTAGCAATTAAGTAAATATTACAAACTTCAGTTGTTACAGTTTTTTTATTTTGAAAATCCCTGATAGTATAGACATTATCTGGTTACTAATTGATTCCAATTATTCTAAATTTGAGAAATACTTTAAGCTCGCATAGTTGAAAAAACAGCCTGAAAGAGTGTGCTGAACTATTTGACTTCTGTTATAAATTGAGCTGCAGTTGCTAGATATTCTAAAACTTTATGAAGATATAACAGTTGAGACAAGCATCAAAATTCAAAGGAGATGATACCAAGTAAATACAAACTGGCCCCTCCAGATGACTTACACCCGTATTCCGAATCGGAGAGAGCTAAGCATAAGATATACCCAGATTTTGATCCATGGAAGCATACTAAAGAAGAAGATGAGATATTATTAAATTTTGTTTCTAAGGGTTATTATTCTACCTCAAAGGTCAATTTTGAGAGTATATCGGCGAGATCTTCCTTACAGGACTCATTACCAAAACTATCCTCAACACTGTCTGAGAAATTTTCTGAAGTAGTTCGTATCCGTGAAAGAGAGATCAATACGATCAAAGGCAATTCAAAAGATGGCATGGCTGCCTCGAAGTTTACTGATCTATGTGGACCTGACTTCAAATTGCCATCAAGACTCACTTTGACTGATCACAGAAAAGAACTGTGGTTACAAGAACTAAGTTCCCCATATACACCACTACACAAGATTACAAGCTTCATACCACATGGTTTGAAGAGGAGACAAGTATTAGAACAATGCTACATCAAGCAAATACCATTAAAAAGAGCAGTCTGGCTCATCAAATGTTGCTACTCGATAGAGTGGAAAACAGGAATTGCAAAATACGCTAATAGTCCTCAGGAAAAAGATAAATTCAATGCCCATCTTCTCAAAGAATGGACTGATAACTTCGTTCATATTCTGGAGAAATTGATCTTTGAAATGACTCAACATTACAATGATTCCGTCAAATTAGAGGCATGGAAAACCGAAGTTTCGTACTTCCTCAAATTGGTTGGCAATTGCTATACACTAGAACTTATAGACAAAAACACTTTTCATTTCTGGATATTACAATTTGTATCTAAAGTGGAGAACTTTGAATACCTACCTCTACCGCTACATATCTTGGAATTGTTTTGGAGTGGCATCTGCAATACTAATTCTACTAAAGTCAATGAATCCGAAAGCAATCCTTTGTACATGGTTACGAAGTTGACTGATATTCTACTGAATCAGTACTATATCATATTGCATAGCAAATCAATGATTAATGATGACAAATATATTATTAACGACATTAAGAAGAATAACAGTATCAAAGAATCTTTGCTGGCAAGCATTCAAAAGTTGATTTGTATTCTTTTCAAACAGCAATCTTTGGAGGTTTTTCTATTCCCGCCAACGAGTTGGGAGAAATACAAGCCTTGTTTGATTCAAATTACTAGCGCGCTGTACCGTAAGTCAGATGAAGTAGCCGAGATTAAAAGGAAACTTGAGCTCATAAGCTACCGAAATGAGACACTAAAATACACACCTCCGATATCTGAGAATAAAGTTAAAGATGATTTGATACTAACGACATTTACAGAAAATTCAGGTTCTATAACAGTGGTCGAGTTAAGCCAAGTTGACACAGGACTTACCGGAGCTCTAGACGATAATGCTACTGATTTTGACTGGACAAGTTATTCAGATCAAGAAATATCAACAAAAATACAAATAATTCAAATAATACTATGGGCTATTCACCCTTCAAGGCACTCCCACTATGAAGCTGGGCAGCTAGCTGCGAAACTTTTGCTACTAAAGATAAATACTATGGATGGATTCCCAGAATACGAAATTGAGGATGAGATATGGTCACTTGTATTTAAACTGGCAAAACTGTCGGATAAAAGCAAAGCCTTGCCTGCCGTTTTAGAGGCTTTATACTCACTACTGAACACACTTATAGTATATGGCTTGATCAAAGTATCCACATACATAAGGAAGTTGATTAGTTCTGGTATTCTTTATCTGACGGAATCAAATGACAAATACATACATTGCCGCCTATTGATTAATCTCAAGATGTCACCTTTAATGAAAAGTCAGTATAATATGGTCCTTAAAAATGTTATGGATCAGGATCCAGAATACTACAATAACTACAACTTTGATCAGATAGTTTCTATTGTCGAAGATCTTAAGGTCAAATTACCCAACGGTGACGCTATTGAATATAGCAATTACCCAATGAGTGTTAAGATATCACTAGGAGAATGGTATCTAACATATCTATGCAATGGTAAGCTAGTCAATGAAACAAGAGAATCTTTAACAGAAAAGTATGTTTTGTTTGCACACCAATTAAACACTAATCACCTTTACTTCAAATGGATTGAGTTCATTGTATATCATCAATTGATAGAAGATATTGAGACGCTAGAGTACTTGATGGAGGTGTTGTTACGGTATAAGAAACTCTTCTCTCAATATATTAACGATCATGTGCTATTCATTAAAACCTTCATTTTCATTATTAGAAGAATCTTGAAAGAAAGAGATTCCATTGCTTATTCTCTAACTTCATTCATGGATTTTTGGAAGTTCATCATGAAAAGCTACAGTCTAGAAATTAGAGCAGACACAGATTTGAGGTCAGAGATGTCTGCTGTTTATGAGGAAGAGAAGGCAAAGAAAGAGATTACTGAAGGTGAAAAAGATTCCTGGATGGGACTTTATCAAAACATTCATCCAGACTCCACATCATTAGATCAGAATCATACAGGTTTTTCTGAGTTGTTTTTGACCAACTTGAAGACATTCTTGAGCTCAAAACAGGACAAGCAAGCCAAAAAGAAGGCTAGGTATAATTTGTTGTTATTGATGCAGGCAAAGAATAGGGATTATTCTAAATTTATTTCAATTTATTTGAAGAGGAAGGACTTTAAGACATCGGATCTAGTTAATTTACTATCTTCTAAATTACTGACACTTGATCAGATCAAGAACACGTATGGCTTAAAATATGTCCTTGAATTATTTGATATAGAATCTGAAAGTAACTGCGTGTTTTATGAGTACCAAAAGAGATGTTACATCGAGCTTAACTACAAATCAGTTCTTTCTGAGTATAACGTTGTGAGTCATCACGAAATGAACAGGTTTATCTTTAAAATTGTCAACCATAGTACATCTGCAAAACTAAAGGAGACAGCATCAGCATTGTTAACCAAGAACCTAGAGGCAAATAAGGACAAGGCTATTCAATTGTTCTATCAGCTGGTCTACTACCAAAATAACCTGGAGTTCTTAAGTAGTGAAGAGTTACAAGAGTTTGCCGTAAACAATTCACCACAGAAGCTATACTCGTATCTAGACTTTACCAATCTATGGCTCTTCCAGTCATTTACGAAGTTCTATATTCACGAGACCTTCCAAAACACTAACGAGGACAAGGTCAAAGTTGGGGATGTAATCTTTTCGATTATAGAGACCACCAAATACAACGTCTTGTGTGCTAAGATATTTGAAGATATCAGAGACCATCGTGTTACAGACTTAGTAATTGAGTTATTTGAGCAAGATTTCTTTAAGAAGATCATTAGTGGGGAAGAGTTCAAGGCGGAGTTCTTGCAAATGCTCATCGAGATTATCAACCACTTATCGATGCATAAGGGCAAGACTAACGATCGGAGTGGTGAGCAATCGCACACATCGTATGAGCTCTGTGTGCAAGTGATGGCGCACTTCCAACAGCTCTCAGACTCCGAGCTTTCTGCGAAGGAAATAGAGCTCGATGTATTCATGAAGATATTCACTGTGCACCAGAACAGTGTATTCCAGGAAATACTGAGGGACACCGAGTCTTCCAGTGCCATGATCGAGAGCCTGTTCGCGTTGTTTGAGCGTGTGAACTTCAGTCTGCGCCTGAAACTGATGTTCTATGAGGTCCTTTCCTCGTTGAAGTCGTACTGCACTTACGAGGCCGGTATCAGTGACGAGCAGTCCCGCACGAAGCTCATGCACAAGCTCATGTGCCTCCCACCATTCCAAGTGTCCTCTTTCTTCCCCGAGGAGGACGACACCGACTGCACACGCGACCCGGCGTTGTCCCTGGGTCTCGACCTAGGCACTGCGAGTGCCAACTCCACATCCAGCACCACACCGAGCGAAGGCACACACAAGAAGCGGTGCGCCATCTGGGACAAGCGCCTCCACAAGTACACGGGCGAGCTGCAGCGCAAGCCCTACTACTGCATCAAGAACTACCAGGACACGGAGGACATAAACAACTGCTCCTTAAACCTCAGCCTCTTCGACGCCCGCTACGAGCGCAATAACCCAAGGTGAGTCGGGGATTGTGGATAACCATCAGATAGTGGGATAACCAGCAGATAGTGGGATAACCAGCAGATAGTGGGATAACCAGCAGATAGTGGGACAACGGGATAACCAGCGGATAACCAGCAGATAGTGGGATAACTGGATAGCGGGGTAACCAGCGGATAAGTAAAGGACTCCAGCTGGGGCGTGGTATTATCGTACCCTTGTACGACAACACACTACCGTTCTACACGATTTGTCTCGATTGCCACCACTTAGCAACCGAAATGCTTAGAAAGTGCCGCACGGATGGGCCAAGGGGGGTTGCAGCACTGAAATTTCTTGTTTTTGTGAAAAGAGCAGCGCATTATGAACTGAAAAAATATTTATTTTGGCTGGTGGGTATAGTGAATAGTTGAAATGGAGCCATACATCCAGGTAAGTTGAGTGTGGCGATGAGCGTTGACGAGTTTCAAGAGCGGCGGGTGGAGGAGAGTGCGGACTATGAGGTTCTTGCGCAGCGGCGGCGGTTCCTGGAACGGAAGCTGGTGGAGCAGCAGTACTTGCAGAAGCAGTTGCAGGTTCTGTACAACCTGCTGGACAAGACGCGGAACTACCAGGAGTTTACGGACACGCTGATGAATAACCAGAACCTGCTGCGGGAGGTGTTTACGCTGGAGGGCCATTTGCGGCGGTCTGTGGCGCAGGTGGACGGGCAGCCGGATATCGACTGGAGCAAGTACGGGGTGGACCTAGCGGAGTATATAGCCAGCGACTCCAGGCTGCTGGCGTTGTACACAGACGGTTGCTTGTGAGGGCTGTCTCTCTCACGCTTACATATATTCCTCCCCTTACAGAAACAACTTTTGCATCCCCTTCCACAAACCAAATACCAAGGTAAGAGAGAAAGAGAAAGAATTTTGAGGCACTTCCACGGATAGAGATGGCTTAACTTGTAATGGCATAAAAGTATTTTTCAGTCCAGAGCGTGTGTGTTTTCCATTCATTAGTGGATGGTTTTTATTTTCTTTTCTTCATTTCAGTTATGATTATATTATATTTTTTTTCCACATTCAGATGTTCTTTATTAATGTTTTGTTACGCTTTTTGTTTTATTTCCATTTCATTTCATCATGTTTACTATATCATTTTCCTATTGTTATCACCAAACTCCCTCCTCATTTCCCAGTTAAAGGTATGCAGCTCCACACAGAAGAGAACTCACTCATGCAAATAGTTTAAAAGTGGTGCCAACCTTCAACACCAAGCCATATTTTTTAACGTCTCTGTTTTTCTATATAAGAAACCCATCTGTGACTTTATACATGTTTATACCGGAAAATTCAATATCAAAGATTACTTAAAAATATAGAAATCGATATTATAGCAAAGCAAGACCCTTTGGCTTTGATATTTTATTTCACATGTTAACAATAGTGATCTACATGATTTTCGAACTGTGGGACTCACTTTTAGTTCCAGAAAGTTGCTATAGTCACTTCCTTCTGGACTCCGAGCCTGGTGAAAGTGGAAAATTACTTAAATGATGAGTTAATTGCCCCTAACTGCAGAATGCACTTTGACAAAGATATGTAAATAAGAACATACCCGAATATTATCTCGACAACATGCTTCTTTTCCGTACCGCTAGATGCCAAGTACCAACATTAGGCCGTTTTGCCACACACCCAAGAATTGCCCCATCGATTGCGATGAGGTTCCAGTCCAGTGGCGGATATGCTTCTATTAAGCAGGTCAAGACGCTAGAAGAAGTCCAGAAGCTGATGAAGGACTCTAACTTGTCGGTCATCGACTTCTACGCCACCTGGTGTGGTCCATGTAAGGCTATGGTGCCATTCTTGTCCAAGTTTGTGGACCAGTACAAAGACGTCAAGTTCTACAAGGTCGACGTCGATGAAAGTCCCGATGTTGCTGAATACTATGGTGTATCGGCAATGCCAACTTTTGTGTTCACTAAGGATGATGACATCTTGCATAAGATAAGAGGTGCAAACCCTAAAGGGTTGGCCAAAGCCATCGAAGAGTTTAAATGATATTGCATACAAAATATATGCAGTAATGCCATTTTTCCTATATATTCTAGCACATTATCCCTGACTAATGAAGTATATATAATTTATCTCTGCATGAATAACACTTGTCTGGTGTATAAAACCCAAAAAAAATTATACAATTCTTTTAAGAACTATTCATAAACTTTAAAGTATACATATATATATATAATACAACAAAAAAAATTGTCTTCCTAACTAAAGAAATACTCGTAACACTCGTCTAGATCTCATATATTCACCTCAGAAAGAGGTGATACTGCGCACACTTTAATTCGATATTTGTGCAATAGAAATCTCCATCGTCTGTTGACGTTATTGACCAACAGATTAGGTCCTTGACATCCTTCGACCAAAATTTACCTGTTGTTTTGCTAGAAAACCTGCCGCTTATGTAAATAATACAACTTTGTCGCCCAATAATAATAAACAACAAATATTAAAATATTATTGTCTTCTGTTCGGTTTATGAAATTGGTTGGATCTTTCCATTTGAATTGACTTCTGTAGTGGTCTTAATGTATTTCCAGATTCTGGCTTTACAGTCACCACTCCCTGTTGCAAATATGTGATAGTTTGGTCCCAATGGATGTCCATGGTTTACTGCAACAGATATAACAGAGTTACGATGGCCCTGTAACATTAATAATGGGTTTCCGGAAACCTTGTCCCAAAACAAGACACCTCTATCCTTAGAACCAGACAAAATATATTCATCGTCTTCTGTGGTAGCAACTGAAAGAACGAAATCCTTATGACCAGTATATGTGACTTCACAAGTTCCAGAGGTAGGCTTACCGTCAGCATTATTGTGGTTTACATTACGCAAGTTCCAAAGCTTTACGGAACGGTCCAATGAACCAGAAACAACACCATTACCATCCCTAGTGAAGACGACGCTATATACTGAATCTTTATGACCAGTACCCAACTCGTTTTCAGAATCTAGTCTCTCTACTAAAAAGCCTGTATCAGAGTCCCAAACTCTGACAGCTCTGTCTAAAGAACCAGCTGCTATGAACTTACCATCTCCAGGAGATACTGCAACAGTAGTTACACCATCCTCTATGGATAGAGTTAAGGTGCATTGGCCAGTTTTCAAGTCCCATATCCTTACAGTTCTATCACCGGATCCTGAAACTAGTTTATCTCCTGAAGGGAAATAATCTAAAGAGTAGATATCTTGCTCGTGGCCCTTTAAGACCATTACAATCTTCTTTTGTTCTATATCCCAAATTCTTATTAACTTATCTTCAGCACCAGTTGCTAAAAATTTGCCATCAGGTGAGAAACAAACAGATCTGATGTATAAGTCGGTGGTTGCGCCGGCTGATGTCTCAGCTTCGGCATTGTCATTACCATCAGCCTTGTCAGTATGAGCATTTTCGTCAGAAAATCTAGCTACTAGCTCACCGTCGGATACACGATAAATTTGAGTTGTCTTATTACAACCTGTGGCCAAAAACTCCCCATCATTACTAAACTTTACACAACATACCACACTAGTATGTTCTAGAGTCTTATGTAAGTCTAAGTCAATCGAGCGTGGTAGAGCTGGGTTAAACAAAACATAATAATCATTAGTTTGCTTTTTCATATTTTCAGGAACAGAGGAAGCATCTAAATCTAATAAAAATGGTGGAATGGGCTTCACATGGTCTGCCCTTTGTTCTAGTGGTACTAGATAGTTGTTGGATTCATCTGATTTATCCGCAGTATCTTGTTTTTTTCCCGCTGTTTCTTGCACTGTTTGGGTAGCCTTTTCGTCCACTTTCTCGTTTATTTCTGGCCTATTGCTATCTAAAGCGGAAGATGTTTGACCAGGTGATTGTGTCGCATCAGCATTAGATGTTGTGACCTCTGAAACAGTTGTCCCAGGTGCTTGTGATTCCTGAAGAGGTGATTTTATTTTCTCAGATAGAATGGGTGCTGCATTTGCTGCTGTGTTTACTGGAGAAGTTTGATTCAATATAGCTGGTTGTTTGTTAGCTGGAGATTTTGCAATTGTTGGAGCTGTAGCAACTTCAACCTGATTAGCTGAACTTGGAGTGGCTTGGATTCCAGGTGTAGCTACAGATGGTGTCTGAACTTTTGGGGTATTCGCAGCTACAGTAGCGCTTTGTAAAGTAGGTGTTTGAGTTATTTGAGTAGCAGATTGGGGAGCTTCGTGCTTAATTTGTGGTGTCTCAACCTGCGGCTGCTGAAATGTTGGTAATTGTGTTGCTGGCATAGTAACAGGTTGAGTCGCCAATGCTGTAGGTTGCATCTTGGAAGAAGAAGCTAATGCAGGAGTAGGTGGATGAGTTGAGTGTTGGGAATTAACAGTTGGTGTGCTTGTCAGGTTGCCAACAGCAGGAGCCATCCGGTGCCTTTGTTGCACGTGATCGGCTTGGCTTGCCGCTATAGCATTGTAAGGTTGGGGAAGAGTAGATTGGCCACCAGCTGGTAGCCCACCATTAGTTTCAATAGTAGCTGCTTGTACTGGGCGATAGAGCTGGTAAGCACCGTTTTGGTCGACCTGGACATGACCCTGGCCAGTTGGTGACGCCTGAAGTTGTTGCTGGTGAAGCTGTTGTTGTTGTTGTTGTTGTTGTTGTTGTTGTTGCTGCTGTTGTTGTTGTTGTTGCTGTTGTTGTTGTTGCTGCTGTTGCTGTTGTTGTTGTTGTTGTTGTTGTTGTTGTTGTTGCTGTTGTTGTTGAGCACTCAAGGTTGCCAATTGACGATCTCTAGTGTCCAGTTCAATTTTTAACCTCTCGATTTCTTCATCGTAGGCATCTTTCATCTTTCTATGCGACATCTCTAGTTCATACACAGTGTTTCTTATCTGCTGCATTTCAGCCAATTGTTGTTTAATCTTGTAATCGTAGTCCTTCTGGTGCAGTCTGTAGGAGTTTGCCTCATGGGAAAGCTGGGCAAACTCCTGTCTTATGCCCTCCAGGAGATCATTCAGCTTACCTAGTGAAGCGTTAGCGGTCATTGGTTTCTCTAAGTTCAAACAAGTTTATCAGTATTCTCAAAAAGCCATCTACCGGAGAAGGGGGGGAGTTCAAATATGTTCCTATCAAAATTGTTTCACTGGGGATGCGTAATTGACAGTAAGCAGTATTTGCTATAGGACGATGTGGTGGTAATCAATTGCGGAAGGGTACTTGTACTAGAACACCATAGCGGTTTCTATTTGCAAGTTGTTATGGTTGTTGTCAAGTTTCCAAACTTTGCTGAAAGGACTTCCAATTGCTCGGGAACCATTTTTTGGCAGAAAAACGCACTGACGTTATGAGTGATGAATATAAGGTTCAAGAAGAGCTGTAAGTTTGTGGGACTTCAGCAGTTGGCTCACGGATTGGCAGTAAAGTACGTCAAGAGGCAAGGCTAAAATTACAAGGTTGATGGATCCACTAAGTGAGTATAAAAAGTCTGTGCAGAAGCGGTTGGATGCTGCTGATCTCCTGGTGGAGCGGGTAGTGCAGGAGAACACTCTGTTGCGGCAGAAGCTGGATTCTCGAGATGTGGAGCTGGAGAGTGTGAAGGAGCAATTGGCTGTGTTGCGTAGCAAGCGGGATGAACTCGATGAGAGATCCCAGAAGGATAAGGAGACTATAGAGATTATCAAGGATCTGTTTGAGCACTTGTGTGGGGTACGTGTGCACCGCACGTATGAGGACGATACTGGTCTGTGGTTTGATACTAGCCAGGGGTCCAAGAATGGCATTATGGATTACAAGCTAGGGTTTGTGAAATCTCAAGCTGAGAACACCACGGAAGTTGATACGGAGGTGATATACGTGCCGTTGTTGAAACAGCGTACTGCAGAGGAGTTGCAAGAGTTACAGAAGAAACTGCCGGACTATCTGTTCGAGACATTGAGTTTCCCACTCCGATCCTTGAACCAGTTCTACATCAAAATGTCAAAATCCCTGAACAAGAAAGTTTAAAAGATGTTTCAACTGTTTATCTTTTTGACTGACTTGTTTTTTCTTTGTTGTTAGTTGCATTAAGTTGTGTAATCGTTCATTACCAGTTGCAATTTATTCCGGAGTAAATCAAAATTTATTATTTTGATAAAAATGCACTTATTATTCATTTTCTATTCTACAAAATTTATATATGACTTAATATTAGTTCTTTAGTACTATGCGACCTTCACTGTCGACAACTAGCGATTTCAGCAATTTCTTCTTGTCGTCCTTGTCCTTATAGGATTTCAAAATCTTGTACAAGTTGTCACCTTTCTTGAAATTTGGCAAAGATTTCTTGACCTCTTTCTTGGTTTCCTTTTCGGCTGGTTTCTTCTCTTCTGTCACAGTAGTTTGTTTCTGTTTCTTCTGGTTTTGGTTTTGGTTTTGATTTTGATTCTGATTCTTTTTACCCTTGTATAAAGCCTTCTGGTACTTCTCATCCTCACTGATACACTGAGTATGTTGCTTGTAACTCACACCGTCGTCAAATGTCTTTGAACAGTCAATGCATGTGTAGTAAGCATTGGGGCAACGGTAGTAATGCTTCTCGGTGTTCTTCTTGGGAACGGTATCGTTGCAAACTTCACAGTTAAAGGTAACCATCCTCAAAGTATTGATTGTATAGAATGTCTTGGTTTGTATATAACGGGAAGACAATCAACTACTAAGACTAAAGACTAACTCAGCTTATATAAGTGAAATTTTTCAGCTCATCGCAAAATTGCTGAAAAAATGCTTTGAAAGAGAAAAAAAAATATTAAAAACACATAAATAAGAATGAGGGAAACCATTCTCAAATTGCACATGTAGACCTAATGGTTTGTTCAACATGCTATGTTCGTTAGATTACGTGTACCAGGTAGATATCACCTATTTACCCTTTATGATATCGAATTTGATCTCGGTGATCGAGACTTCCTCGCCTTGGTTGTCGTCATAGTCGTACCACTCGTCCTCGCCTTCTTCGATAATGCATTCCATCTTGCCCTGTTGTAGCTCGACGACAAATGTGATGTTCTGAGGATTGAACTTGGAGATATCACAGCCACGGCAGTCTAGCTGCAATAGCAAACCGGCATTGCCACTAACATTCTTGATACCGTGCTTCTTTCTCGATGTGGTGATTGAGCCACTGTCGTAACTTTCAGCTTCACTGTTCCATAGTGCTTCTTCAAAATGCGACAAGTTGATAGACATTTCATTGCCACAGAACTTACACTTCATAGTAAAGGAGGTTTCTCCTCTGCTGCCAGCCATCTCATGTTTCTCATAGGCATTGATGAATACTGGTGACCCATGGGCCTCTCTACAATGCGTGCATGTAATGTCAAAGGAATATTCAGCAATAGATTGCTCTGTGTCCCTTGGATAAACTCTGACAATGTTCTCAGAGAGAGTTCCACTCATAGAAAGGTACAACATGATCTCTAGGTCAGTGATTTGAGGGCAATCGTCTATATGTCGCTTGCATTCTATATTTTGTAGTATTCAATTTATAAGTTTAGTATGCTTGAATAGATTTCAATCGCTCTTTCGACAAATCGACTTTCCCTTAACATTTAGCATCCAGTCCGCATGGATCCACTCCCAAAACATAAAAAATTGGAATTTCCAGAAAACATTCGTTACAAAGATGCCAATAAAATAATGTTAAGAAATATAAATATGTAATGGTAGCTATAGATTCTATCAAACATCTAATTCTAATAGTACTTTTAATGTCTCCCTTGCCGTGGTTCTATTGGCCAGGATATTTCTAACTTTTTGAAACAAGATCATGTTGGTGTCAAATTCTGTGTCGTTCTTATAACTGATAGCAACATCATGTGCGCGATTGATAATATGTGTGTCAATACCTGCCAATTTCGCAACATTCAGCCCATAACTGCTATCTGTGACCCCGGCTTTCAATTGATACAGAAAGACCACTGTAGTCCAATTTTCATTTTCGTTTTTATGCTGCACGTAATTCATATGATAGCTCTTCAACAATGGTGATTTTACAGTCGTAACTATAGTGAAATGTGTAGTAAACAAGATGAAAGGGCACTGTTCTTCTTCAACAAAATATTTAATCAAGGCCCATGCAATGGCATTCCCATCTCTGGTGCTTGTTCCCCTACCGACTTCATCTAGTAGAAGAAGAGTCTTTGAAGTACAGGAATTTATTATCTCCACTGTCTCAGATAGTTCAACTTTGAATGTAGATTGTCCCTGTAATATATTATCTTGCGACCCAATTCTTGTCAAAACATTATCAAATACACTCAATTTAAGTGATTCAGCAGGAACATAGGAACCAATTTGAGCCATAATTACCATCAGAGCAATTTGCCTTATGTACGACGATTTACCACCCATATTAGGTCCTGTAATAACAAGTACACGGCCACTATCTTTTTCCATCTCAATATCATTAGGAACATAATCCACCCCAAGCGATTCTATAATAGGGTTCCGCGCTTGCTTGGCTATTATCAATTGCTCATTGCTATCTGTGAAAACTGGCCTTGTGTACCCAACATTACAAGACACAGCTGCTAGAGATAATAAACAATCATACTCCGCGAGATTCATTATGAATGTTTTCACTTCATTATAATATGAAGCAATTCTATTCAGAAATTGGTCATATTCCTTAGAGATTTCATTGTATAAGAGATCATTCTGATATTCTAGTAACTCCACCAATTCTTTCGTCCGTGGGGTAAGAAATCTGCTTATCATTTTCGTGTTATTGACTTTGACCCAATCAGATGGGATACCTTTGACCTGTGTATTACGAACCTCAATTAAGAAATCAACTTCATCCTTATAAGCAAGGTGCGGCCTTTTTAAGATTTTTTTAATATTTTGAAGTTCATCATGCAATTGTGCCTTAACAGAATCGATGTCTCGTTGCATTTTGATTATATTTTCTGAATTATCATAATTGTTCAAATGAAAGAACCCCAAGAGCTGTTTCTTTTGGTCCTTTTCCATAACAGCGGAAACATTAATCATTAAAAGCAATTGCGGAATCACACTACTTAAAGAAAACTCAAACATTTGAGTCATGATTGAGGCTAATTTTGTAGATTTTGTTTTAATCGCTCCAGAGTTACTATTGATTTCTACCTCGATATAGTCTTTGTGAGCTTCGAAGTGTTTAATTACGCCTGTCAACTGCTTTAGAAGAAAGTACACTTCTCGTTGAGAAGTCTTGCCAAATGATACTCTATTAATCGTACGTAATAAGTCAGGTATACCTTTCATCATTTGATTTAGTGATTCAAAGAAAATCGAATTTGCAGATTCTAGAATACAATCGATTGCATTGAGTCTATCTACAATAGCGTCTTTTGATAGTAAAGGCCTTAGCAACCATTCTTTCAATAAACGTTTACCAAACGGTGTCCTTGTATGATCAAGTATCCAAAATAAGGTTCCTTTACTGTCATCGTTCGAGATCAAATCGAGATTATTAATTGTTTGAGCTTGTAACTGAATTGAAATTTTTTGTGAAAAATGCCTATAATTGCTACCTATATTAAGGAGTTTCTCATTAGAGTACTCCTTAAGATAACGATATAAAATATGCCACAGCTCAATTAACCTATTGTTTAGAAGCTCCTTTTTGGGTATGTTCAAATCTTCAGCTAGTATATCATAATTTTTCTGACAAAGCTGTAAGTCAAGAAATCTCTTTTTTAGCTTTATTGGAAAACTATCAACAACTGGGGAGACTATTTCGCTAGGATTCAAATACTTCATCCTTGTTTCAACTTTAGAGAAGTTGTCCTTTGATTCTTCAAAACTATCATAGATAACTTCACCATTTGACAACTGGATGGACCATAAGTAATATTTATAGATAGAATCAGAGACCTCAATATCTAACGCCCATATACTATTATTTGTGCCAAGTATGTTTTCATGATTTACTTCAAATTCACAGTTTGTTGCGTATGTCGCTTTAGAATATGTACCAGTAATTTTTCTTTCAAATACCGAAGTTTTGGCCTTGCTATTATCAAATTTTTTAGTGGTGGCAGTTTCACTTTGTTCCACAACAGCTACTTTCAAACCGCTTCTCACTAGTCTCTCTAAATGTACCTTCAATCTCACATCAGGAAATGAGCAGTAGGCAAATTGTTTATATTTACTGTCATTAGGATTTGAGTCATCAATAGTAACTTTTCCTGGAATTAGTTGAAGGTGTAAAATCGTACTTGCAATGATAGCGTCCTGCGCGAAGATCTTATATTTATACCCAACCCTAATAACCAATACTTTATCCATGTTACCTAGTTTCAAATCTTTCACTTGGCGGTCTAATGGTGTCAATTGGTCACTTTTCTTTCTCTTCTTCTTTATATTATGCTCATCAGCTTCACTTTGTTCAGCAATTTCATCTGATTCATCTATAAGGGAACCTTTTATCCTGCCCAGTTTTCTTTTATTCATGATATCCTTAAGCTTCTCATTAAAGGCACTTACATCCACAGAGTTTGTAATATCCTTAGATGCGTTTAAGATTTTCTGTTTTTGTAATAATCGTGAATCGTTAAGATCAGGTACTTTACTGACAGTTGGATGCTCTTCACCATCTATTGGTTCTAGAACTGGCGTCTCTTGCTGTTGCTCCTCATCGTTCTCCGAATCCAAAGTCAAGTCCAGCACCTCATCCACTTCAGCTTCTTTCTCAACTTCCTTCACTTGGTCAACTTTCTCCTTGTTGACTGCGGAAACCTTTTTAAAAAACCTGCTAATAGATGCTTGCTTCATTTTATCATATGCTGCATCGCTATCCAAATTCTTCGTCTAACTAAATACAACTCCAAATGAATACAACGGTATGCCAATAAGTCTTCAAGACTTTAAACCACAATTGGTCAACAGGCCAATAATAAATCCTTAAAATCATGAAATACTGTAATGCATCAAGACTTTCCCATATATGAGCATCTCAAAGAGGAACCTTATTACTATGGAAAGCTAATATCACAACATACGCTGTATATTTTTTCAAACTTTTTTTTCTCTTCGAGTGCCAAACTTGGCAATGGAAACAACAAAGTTCAGATTCTCAGACAGATACAAGTTCGAACATCAGTTTGCCACTTTTGGTGTATTAGAATAGATAATGTTTGAAGCCTGAAGCTTGAAACAATAAGAGCTCAATTACCCAATTACAATACTATACTTTTCCGCTTGCTTTCTGAGTTTTTTGTTTAAGATATAGCGAAACGAACGAGCGAAGCAATTTTTGATAACCCCACCTTCCTCTTCAATAAGATCTATAAAGCAGTTTGCTGAAGAGAAGTGTTTTGATATAAGAAGCAAAAACATTCAAAATAAGAAACACGAAATTTGTAAGGGTAACGTTATCTGAATAATAAGCTATACGAATTCATTTCCTTCTCTTTGAACCCGAGTTTTAATAGAGAATTAGAATTGATTCCTGCACCCTTTACCGTTTACAAAACAGGACCGTACATATAATTACTGAAGTCTATGCCCTCTGGCCCCACTGACGAATCGAAGCTAGGGACCAAGAAAGACAGTTCTGACATAATTAATAGTGGCAACAACAGGAGCAAACACAGGACTGCGATTACTCGCGTTGTTCAAATCCTTGTAAATCTAAGTGAAATAAATTTTGAAATATCCAAAAGAGACATATTTGAAATCTTAGAATACTCTGCAGCCGAAGTAGAAATAGAATATCTGAAGAGACTTTTAGTACAGGCAGAGAACATTGACGGTAATCCAAAAGAGTTATACAATCTTCTCTATCATTCCATCAAGCGTCTATCTAAGAAAGACGAAAGTTACGTTTCACTAATTAGAAAAGCAGTTTTTGAAAACACCGAATTTATTCAAGATTACAAAATAAAAAAGTTAGATCATTACCTGCAAGATCATTTAAACACTGAACCTGATTTACTAGATTGCATTGATATAGAAAAATACATCAAAAGCTTAACAATAAACATCGAAGAAATGAACTACCAAGAATCATTACAAAGTGTACTATCGGCAGATAATCCCCCTGACAATTACATAGAGCAAATAAGAGACATTGTCTTTTCCCTTGAAGGTGAGAGTCTCAATGATTGTGTGGCATTACTTTTATCGGAAATTCTTTCCCCAGGATCTCAAAATCTGCAAAATGCTAGTAAGACAGATATCGAAAGTGGTAATGCTTCACCATGGTTTACTCCATACGCTGTCGATGCTGCAACTCATATAGGCCATCAATTACACGAAACATTGTATGCAATGAAAAAAGATGCTACCAATTGGAATCGTATATTCAATTTGATGTCCACAAAATATTTTTTGAGCACTCCTGTACATGCGTCATTAGCTTCTCTAAGTTCTTTATTTGCAATACTAGACTCAGGTAGCATAATTGATGAGTTTTTCAGCTGTGACTGGCATGTATCTGTGAAACTTCAATTAGTGGTATTGCTTCATAAATGGTCTGTTTCTGAAGGCTGTTTTGATATTCTAAACTCTCAAAATATAAGAAAAGTGTCAAATAAAATTGAAAATACAAAGATGTCCATGCTGTACTTGATGTGTGTTTCTAGTCTGGACCTAGAGCTATTTTTACAAAGAGATGAACTTGTAGATAACCCAATGTTACCCGTTTTTCAGGAATGCTTTTTTCAAGACTTCAACGCAGCTCCCGAATATCTAGCATTAGCACTAATCAACAATATGAAACATTTTAGTCTTTTAATTGAAAACACGACAACAGTAGATGAAATACTAATTGCATTAGTTGTTCAAACATTCGAAAAGTCCTTTCAATCAGTAACTGATATAATTAGAGCGTTAGGAAACGACAATAAGCTGCTTTTGGAAGTTTGCACTGCAATTATTAATACCAACAAATTCAGGTTAATTGAATTTGCAAAGGTTTTAAAGGATGAAGGAAAATTGGAGTTTGTCATTGATCATACGCCTTTTGAGGACATATTTAAGTTTTTACCTAGAGCTATTCGTGTGGGCTGGAATGGATTTGAAGATTATATACATAAGCATCTTGATTCTAACAATTCACATTCCGCTATATCCTATCTAGATGCTCAAATCAAGATTCCTGACAATGATATGCCACTAAAAAAGTCTCAAAGTTTTGACTTAAAATCACTGCATACTCTTATTAACTTCTTACGCACAATCCCTCTGAATGCTAATGACCAATTGATGTTCGAAAAGCTACAATTTGCCCTTCTAATAGCTGTCCCAAGATTATTAAACTTTGGATATGACCATGATAACGTCATCTTAGCTAGCGAAGATACTGGTCCTGTGGAGAGCGATATTGAAAAGGAGATGCAAATGCAACTGCAAAAAATGTATAGTGGTGAAATTGCGATCAAAGATGTTATCGACCTTTTAATCAAGTTAAGAGATAGCAACTCCTCACACGACCAAGATCTATTTGCTTGCATTACCCATGCTGTTCTATCAGAATCAAATTTCTACAAGGATTATCCATTAGATGCTTTAGCTACCACCTCTGTTCTATTCGGTTCTATGATTTTATTCCAATTATTACGTGGGTTTGTGCTTGACGTTGCTTTCAAGATTATTATGAACTTTGCTAAGGAGGGTGTCGAATCTAAAATGTTTAAGTTTGCTGTGCAAGCTATTTACGCATTTAGAATTAGATTACCAGATTTTCCTCAATACTGCAAAGATTTATTACAAGAGGTTCCTGATTTGAAAACCCAACCTCAAGTGTATCAATCGTTGTCAGAAGCTGCACATGGAATTGATGTTGCAAAAAATCAAAGCACACCAATTACAAAACAGCCCCTTGAACTCTATCCAATGAAATTTTTTGTTATTGATGAACTGAAATATCAATTTCAACAAGATACTCCTCCTAAAGATGTTACAGAAAAGGTTCTTTTCATTCTGAATAATATTTCTACAGAAAACTTAAAGAATAAAGTTTTGGATCTTAAATCTGTTTTAACCTCAAATTATTACGCATGGTTTTCTAATTACTTAGTAAATCAAAGAGCAAAAACAGAACCAAACTACCAAAATCTATATAAAGATGTGCTTGTTAATGTTGAATCAGAATCACTCCACCAGTATGTTATCAATATGACATTAAAGCAGCTGTTTTTGCTAATGTCCATAAAAGATGTTAAAGCTATCGATAAGAAGCATTTGAAAAATCTGGCTGCATGGCTAGGTTGCATCACTATTGGAGTTGATAAACCAATCAAGCATAGAAATATTGCATTCAGAGAGCTTCTTCTTGATGCACACAAGGAAAACAGACTGGAAATTGTTGTGCCATTTACAACAAAAATTATACAACATGCAGCAAATTCGAAGATTTTCAAGCCACCAAACCCTTGGACTATTGGAATATTGAGAACACTGAAAGAGTTGAACGAAAAAGCAAACTGGAAGCTAAGTTTGACATTTGAGGTCGAAGTGCTATTCAAGGCTTTAGATATACCAATGGACAGCTTAGATTCCACAAATTATCTTGATTCAACTGATATTATTGAAAACCTGTCAGGGAATATTGGCTCTGTAACTTTGGAACAACAACAAGTTGAACATCAAAGGCAAATGTTAATGATGCAACAACATCAACAACAACTTCTGATTTATCAGCAAAGACAGCAACACATTTTGAACAACAACCCAAGTTCTAAAGAACAGGGAAATTACATGGAGGCCCAGAATCAAACAAATGACGGCCCATTCGTATCATTATCAGGCTCAACATTATTCACCACACGTCCCGAAATTAAACGTGTATTCCAAATTGCTTTAGCAAAAGCAGTGAGAGAAGTATTGGGCCCAGTAGTTGAAAAATCTGCGAATATTGCTGTTATAACTACAACTAAAATTGTGTCCAAAGATTTTGCCACCGAGCCTGATGAGAATAAACTAAAGGCAGCTGCAATCACGATGGTTCGTCAACTGGCAAAGAGTTTATCAAGGGCAACAGCCTATGATCCGTTGAAAGAAAGCTTACGTTCAACCACTCAGTCACTGCTTCCTAACATGATGGGGTTGTCTAGTAATCCGCTAGAGGAACTAGATACCGCCATAAATGACAACATCGGCTTAGCGTTGAATTTAGTCGAATTAGCTGCGGTTGATAAAGCTGTACAAGAGCTTCGTGAACAATTGATACAGGCCATAGCCATACGCCGCTATCATAAAGAAAGGAGATCGGACCAACCATTTATAACTCCCAACACTAATCCATACTCACTTGCGTTACCCGATCCGCTAGGTATCAAAAATAATGGTGTAACCCCACAACAATTCAAGCTGTACGAAGAATTTGGCAACTTCTTTCCTGATAATCATGCGATGACTATAGCCAACCAAAATCAGTCGGTTAACACACCACAATCTATTCCTGCAGAACCTGTTCAAAATATCCCACAAAACATTCAAACTACTGCGAACAGACAACCTTTGGGTCCCGCCCAAGCTCAAATGCCAATAAGAAATCCACATCTTGTTAATAATGTCCAATCAGAACTAGAACAAAACCACAGGATCCTGGTGCATTTAATGGATTCCTTAGTTGCATTAATCAAAGAAAATGCCGATAAGAATTCACTAAAAGAATTAGGGGAGAAGAACCAGATAGATGGAATTATCTTCCAAATTTTGACATTCATTGCAAAGAGCGTCCAGAAAGATCAACTGGCATTGAAAGTCTCTCAAGCTGTAGTCAATAGCTTGTTTGCGACTAGTGAAAGCCCTCTTTGTAGAGAGGTATTATCTTTGCTACTAGAAAAACTCTGCTCTCTTTCATTGGTAGCTAGGAAAGATGTTGTATGGTGGTTAGTATATGCATTAGATAGCAGGAAGTTTAACCTGGCTGTCATTAAGTCGCTGATTGAAGTTAATCTAATTGATCCCTATGAATTAGACAACGTCTTGGTGAAAGCGATGGCTTCTGGAATGGAGAACTCCGTGGATTTCACTATAAAGCTGATAGAAGAAAGCATTTTATCTGAAGATCCTATTCTTATGAGAATGGATTTGATAAACTCCGTTATTTACCTATCAAAATTAAATTCTAAAGACTCTCAAGAATTTATCTCTAAGTATGAAAATAAAGCGATTCTCCCAATTAAGGAAGACATTGAAATCACCAAGAAGGAGCACTATTTCTTGATTTTTACAGAATGGGTGAAACTTCTACAAAGGGTTGAATCTGATGATGCCATTACTTTGGCCTTCATCTCTCAAATGATGGATGCAGGAATTTTATCTGAAAGTGATAATGTCATAGTATTTTTCAAATCAGCCTTAGAGTTGTCAATTTACTCATTTAAGAAGAGTGACCCAACTGGAGATGTATTTGTATCTATTGATGCGTTAAGCAAGATGATTATCAAACTGCTAATCCATCAGAATTGGAATGATTGCTCTAGAGGGGACTATTTCAATATGATTCTTTCAGTGATATTGCTAGTGTTTGCTAAAGATCATGGTGAAACTAACACAACCTTCAATGAAAGACCTTACTTCAGATTATTATCTAATTTATTGTACGAATGGTCACAGATTAGAACCCACAAATTTGTTAATGTTAAAAATTCTGACAATCGTAAAGACCTACAACAATTTGATGCTGAATTTTATAACACTTTTGCCCTATATCTACATTCATTACAGCCATTTGCTTTTACTGGCTTTTCATTTGCATGGGTGACTTTGTTGTCTCATAGGATGTTCTTACCAGAAATGTTGAGACTTTCTGATAAAAAGGGTTGGAAAAATTTAATGATTTTAATGATGGATTTGTTCTTATTTCTGGACAAGTATACCAAAAAGAATTCTGTTTCGGATGCTGTATCAGTCATTTATAAAGGGGCACTCCGTATAATGCTGGCAATATCAAATGACTATCCTGAATTTTTGATCGAGAATCATTACGAATTAATGAACGCCTTGCCGCAAACGTATTTCCAACTAAAGAATGTCATCTTATCAGCCATTCCTCGTGGCATCTCCATCCCTAATCCGTTTGATCAGAATGTTCATATGAAGGATATGCCAGAATGTCAAACTGTTCCAAATGTTTACTACGACCCTGTAGCTGACTTGAGGAACTTAAAGAAGCCTGTTGACAACTATCTCCGTATCCCTTCGAGTTCCTTGTTGAGGACTGTTGTAAATGGTTTATACTCTGATGAAAAACACAGGAAAAATTGCCTTGGTTACGAGGCAGTATCAGTTAACCAAAAGCTAATTAGGGCTATTGTCCTTCACACTGGTATCGAGGCTGGCTTGGAGAATGAAAAAACTTCATCGAATGCCATCTTCAACACAAAATCGTCTTACTATACTCTATTATTTGAGATTATCAAGGAAGGTAAAGCTGAAATCAAATATCAAATGATACAATCCATTATTGAACAATTAAGATATCCTAACATCCACACGTATTGGTTTAGTTTTGTAATCAAGGAAATGTTCATCTCGAAGGAATGGGATGATCAATTGGATATTGTGAGGGAACTCATCCTAAGAGTACTATTAGAAAGACTAATTGTCAACAAACCTCACACCTGGGGTGTAACCATGATGATGCACACTTTGATTACGAACAAAGACGTTGAAATATTGGAACTTGAGTGCGTGAAATCCCAATCGGAGGTCCAGCTCATCTTCAAGCAACTTATTAAACACGCAAATGCAATGTCAGTTGCCACCCCACTTAATGATGTGGACTTGAATTCACAAACTCAACCACAACCAATTAATGCTTAAATAGTTGAATGTAATTATTCTAAATAGAAATAGATCTTGTCGATAAACAATATTATAAAGAATCGCCATTATATTCACTGCCAAACATAAAAGAATTTGACATATCAAATGTCAGTAAAGAAAAGACTTTAAGACCATGCTGCTCGCAGCAACACAGATCATCTAACGCAGCTGCCAAAAGCGTCCTCATAACCATTATGGCTTGTCAAGAACTTATTCCGGTATTGACTACAAGTCTGAGAGCTTCCATCATCGATACCAAATATTCACCGTCAAACTCGATCATTTCGGGTTTTTAGTTTTAAATCATTCCTGCTCCACCAAATTTCAATAATAAGTCACAACTGATGGCCTAAAAAATTAGAAATGTTTATGGTTAATATAGTAACTTACAATTACCACCAGCATCAGGTGTTAACTGAAATTTGAAAGCTTTTTGTAACAAGAGAGAAGAATTGGCCTGAAATGTGGTTCTTCAAAAAGGCTGCTGAACCGGAGGATTCGCTTATGGGCACCGAACACAAATCCAATAAACCCCCCAATACAGCCTTTAGACAACAGAGATTGAAATCATGGCAGCCAATACTATCACCGCAGAGTGTACTTCCATTGCTAATATTCTATGCTTGCATATTCACACCAATTGGCGTAGGTCTAATATTGAGTGCCAAAGGTGTTCAGGACCTCACAATTGACTATAGCCACTGCTCGACCAAGGCAAACACAGGCGATTTTACAGATATACCGAAAAAGTATGTTCATCACAACTTTAAACACAAGGTAGCTAGCAAGGCCAGATGGAAGTTAGAGAATGAAGATGACGAATCCAAGTGTATTCTTGAATTCGAGATACCGGATGATATCAAGGATTCTGTTTATATATACTACAAATTAACCAATTTCTACCAGAACCATAGAAGATATGTTGAGTCATTTGACTATAAGCAGCTCCTGGGGAAGGCCTTATCCAAAGATGAATTAACCACGGCTTGTAGACCTCTTCGCGCGGAGGGTGATAAGATAGTTTACCCTTGTGGTATGATTGCAAATTCTATGTTCAATGATACCTTTGACCAACAATTGAAGGCAGTTGGTGACTCTAACTCAGACTATGAGCTTACAAACAAAAAAATATCATGGAGCATCGATAGAAAAAGGTTCAAGAAAACTACATACAATGCTTCTCAAATTATACCACCTCCTAATTGGCGTGAGAGATTTCCTGATGGATACACTGAGGATAATATTCCTAATATACATGAGTGGGAGGAATTTCAAGTCTGGATGCGTACTGCAGCTTTACCGAAGTTTTATAAACTCGCTTTAAAAAATGAAACGGCACCATTGCCGAAAGGTACATACAGCATGGCTATTGGCTTACATTATCCCATATCGTACTTTGGAGGATCAAAGTCCTTTGTACTAACAACAAATAGTGTCATTGGTGGCAGAAATATGTCCCTTGGTGTTGTTTACTTAATCGTTTCTTGTTTGTCAGGCTTATTGGCATTAATCTTTATTATCAAATTATTCTTTCAGCCTAGAGCAATGGGTGACCACGCATTTTTGAAATTTGATGAAGAGACTGATTCTAGAGATAATAACGACTTGGCACTGCGGGAGATTCTGTAGTAATTCAACAGGATCATATTTTTACTGGAGAATTCTATCCTAATTCTTTTCGTCTTAGTATCTGGCTCAGCCTACAGAGTCATTGTGCTAGAAAAAGCAGCTTAATTCTCAGGTCATGAAGTCTTTCGTGAATGCTATGCACAGTTATATATATATCTGTTCTTTATAAAAATGATGTATTTGAGGAATATTTTCTTGTTCCCATAAATCTCTTTGGAACTTAAACCAGCCCGGCAAGTCGTTTTCTTTGGGAATTTTGAGACAGACTGTCTCTATATCATCATTACCGTCTTGTGACTTATAATACTCATATTGGCCCTGCTCCTTTTGAGTGAAAGCGAGTCTATAACGGTGACCAAATATACCCAGATCTGATGAAGATGTTGACGTATCACTTATTAATATGTTATTTACCCTTGGGATGTCTTTAATTCTATTTTTTCTTTCAGCTTCCTCAACAATATGTAGCTGTCTCTCTGGTACCTCTGGTTCGTCGCAAAGTAAGTCTTCATCAACTAGTTCAACGGGATTCGACTTGTGTTCGACGCACGGGAGTTGCTGCTCTTCACTAACAATTGTGTCTATTTGTTGTTCATCCAAACTGCGCTCTTCGATTGTTTGTTCTATTTTGATTTGAATCATTTCAAGAAAAGTTTCAGCAAAGTATCCTCTATTCTTTCCAGCAAATAATCTATATTCATTAATAATTGAACTTATATTCCATTTTTGTATTTTCCGCAGGATGCCAATTACCAAAGAAGTTTTGTCCACAAGCAGTGTATTGTAGTTCTTTCTATCTAGTAACTTTTCAAAAATTCTTTGCAGGCTCTTACTTTTTATTAGCATGAGATCATCACTATCAGAGAAATGATATGCCATCTTCTGGGGAGAAATTACCTTGTTCATTCCTATAGTTAAACTTGTCCCGCTATGAATGGATTCTCCATCTTCCCCTAGGGATTCTCTAGATTGTGTATCTTCATCTGAATGCATTTTTTGGTAAGAGTGTGGGGATACAAGGCTTAAATCATTCTTCAAAGGCGAGCCCACAGTGGAAAAATCTGCTGTTCTAATTGCAGTCCATTCAATTGATGATCTAGTGAAAAATTCCTTAAAGAATTTTGATGGCTCCGTACCACCAACAAATATTACTGTCTTTAAGTTCAAACCCTCTAAGAATGACAAGTTTAATGTTTCCACTTTCGAACACCTATATATGCCCTCTTCGGCAATACCAAAGCTAGCTGGTGGAACAAGCATGATTGTCTATTAATTAATAATAACTATCCGTTTTATTCGTTGCCAACAAACTCCTTACCCCCAATATCTAGTTACCTCTCTTTTAAGGACTCGATTTAATAATGATCGCCCTAAGGAGACTTGCTTTTTTCAAATTGCACGCTATGGGTAAGCAACCGTCACTGTTGTAACATGGATCTGCTTCCTTAAAACGCTCACACAATCAAGAAAACCGAACTACTATCTCATAATCAGTTGATAGAAGCTAGATCGAAGTGACTATTATGATTTCATTTTGATTGTGAGCCCATCAAATCCTACAGTTCATCACTGATTTCTTTCTATAATGTCGTACAATGTAATATTACATTTGCGAAAGAATAGATATTAATTGGAATCATTAAATATTTACAAACTGAAGTCTGTGATAGACATAACTAATATTCGAGATAATAAAAATAACCTTTGAAATTAGCGGGTCATCAAGAATGCATGCCATTAATGTAATAGAGTGATTTTTGACAGTTCTGGTTCCCTTTCGACAATTCTTCTTTATGCATATCCAGCTATTGAGGATCCTATTTATGATGTTCCAGACCCTCTTTTAACAGTTTATTTAACTCACTATCTCTTGTAGACCTTAGTTGATCGAATGAGCCACTTTCGACAACTCTACCATCCTCGATAACGATGACTCTAGAACTATGACGAATGGTCGACAATCTGTGTGCAATGGAAATGGTAGTCATCCCAGCCTCTTGTCTCCTCTGTAGTTCCTTATTTATGATATCCTCGCTTTTTGTATCTAATGCACTAGTTGCTTCATCCAGGATCAAGATATCTGGATTTTGCAGGAACACTCTCGCAAGGGCTATACGCTGTCTTTGCCCCCCAGACAATTGAGCACCTCTAGGACCTACCAAGGTATCTAGTCCCATGTGAGACTCTTTAATAAATTGATCACAATTGGCTGCTTTTAACGCCATGTTTAGGTCAGTTAAGGATTTGTCATGAAGCCCGTAGGTAATATTATCCAGTATAGTACCATTGAAAAGTAATGGCTCCTGTTGAACAACACCTAGCATACGACGGTATTTTCTTAAATTAAACGCTGATATATCATAGTTACCAATGCTAATATTCCCTGACCCAGTCCTATAATAACGTAGTAGCAATGAACTGATAGTAGACTTACCACAACCCGAACCACCTACAAAACAAACATGTTCACCGGGATGTATTTGAAAGTTCATCTCTGACAGTACCGATTTTCCATTCGAATACGCAAATGACACATTGTTGAATGTGATAGGTAACCCCTTCAAAGTTTTTGGAGGAGAGATACCTTTTGTTGGAGAGATTTTAGTTTTCATATTTTGTAATTCCAATACACGTTCTGCAGCACCACAACCTTTCATTAGCTCCGAATAAAATCCAGTTAACCCAAACACTGATGAACCCGTATAAACACCATACATCATGAAACTAGACAGCTCGCCAAGGGTAATCGAACTATCTGCCGTCCCCACGAGAAGTAGGCCTATCATAGCAATATTACCAATTAGACCTGTGCTTCCAAAAAACAAAGCAGAGGCCACTGCTTCTTTCACTCCAATGTTGAAAACACTCCTAACCTCATTCGAATATCTTTGTAGTTCTTTCCTTTCACCTGCATACGCTTGCACAGTTTTTAGGGAGTTCAATTGTTCCTCACTTGTTTTTGATAGTTGACCCACTTTATCCTGTAATTGCCTGGATATTTTCTTGATCTTGCCACCATATAGCATGGCCAGAATTCCCAGAGGTGGTACCATCATTGTCATTACAGTAGTTAGTTTCAATGATATATATGTCATCATACCAATGCCTACAACACCTTGTAACGTTGCTCTACAACCGTCAGACAAATTGGAAGTTACACTTTTTGAGACAATTGATGCATCAGATGAGAGTCGGGAGATCAAGTCGCCCACTCTATGTTTATCTAAAAAGGTAGCATCCTGTGAAAGCATGGATTTCATTGTCTTTGTCCTCAATCGAGCAACTAACTTCTCACCTGTAATCTTTAGTATAATTATTCGACCCGAATTTGCAATGGCTCCAACAACAAAAACCGATCCCAGTGCCAGCAGAAACTGATTCCTAGTCAAGCCATAAATAGGCGCATCTGGCGTGGATGCATGATCTATCAACGTTCCAATCACAGAAGGAAGACTCATACTAACTGCACTTGAAACCGCTATAAGCCCTACAGCTCCTGCTATGTACTTTCTCTCCGGCTTAGCTAATCGCAATAACTGCTTCACTTGAGTCCATGTCTGTGTCTTCTTTAGATCGGTTTTTGTGGAGGAATTCCTATGTATAACAGGCCTGTATAAAAATAATCTCGATCCTCTAGCAAACATCTTATATCCAATCAAGTCCCATGTAAACTTCGGATTTCTGTAATTCCTTACCAGTCTGTATAGAAGCTGCCGTTTTTATTTTGTCCTTTGAAATCTCGAAGAATACGGTGACACCGAGTCTTTATGTAAATCCAATAGGCCTCTTATCTTATCCACTTCCACCCTCTGTTTTAAACCAGATCAAAGCATTTCATCAATCTTGTGCAGCATTGATCTACTGTATAACATGCACTAGCTTTGCTTCGCAACTCGTTCACGGGCTTTCGTTAAGCCCATCAAATGCCCAGGCTCTCACGAAACGATGGATTATTTTCAGAATTCGTGAAGCCTTTTAAAGATTAGAAAAGGCAGTGCCTGGATTGGCAAATAACACATAGGCACAAATAAGTGGTCAATAATACGCAACATGCATGAAAGTAACGGAAATGAATGTCAAAAGTGTTATATCAGATGATTGAAACGCTGACACAGAACAACAAAACCTGAATCTGTATTAGCGCCATATCGAACTTGCTTTCTGTTGGAATATCAATTCCATTAAACTTAAGTGATATATGGATCCTAGATTGCACTGACTGATTGATAATAACATATATTGCACTGGAGCCACTACAAATGAGTTCGTGACTATAGGAAATGCATCTGATTGGGCATTTCGCATCCAATAGTTACATTTTCAAATTCTGCTCAGGGCACAGGAGTTTGAACAGCGATTCGCTAAATAAGATACAAAATAATTTAAGCAGCATTTGATAATCTACAATTAATATGCAAAAATCACCAATTGCTCGATGGGCAGCACAAAAGCTAGCGTATAGCCAATCAAAATGGTAATTAGGTGCCGCACTTTCAAGAAAATACTGCAATTCTCCCATGGTAATACTCATGCTTCAAATAAACTAAGAAAACTGTTCTTAATTTTTGTGTTGCATTAGATTTACTGTACATGACAGGAACATCTAAGCGATTTTGCCTTATAATGGATAATGCGTGTTTTCAGGACGTAATATTGCCTAATCGGTTAAGGCTAATATAGAGACCTTAGTGATTCATTTGTATCCAAGTCAGTACAAATATTGGCTGTACTACTAACATACGATTATGTGCTGATCACTATCGAATGCCAAAATGAAACTAAAATAGATAGTGAGGTTTGATAAACAATCGTATATTATACTTTACCGTTTCTAGGTAAATATACGTGTTTTATGATTATATTATAATAGTCGTACCAATGAATAAATATGGATTGCAAGTTATAATGCTGACTGGAGTTAACAGCATTGTGCTGATATGATTTGGATATTGAAGTATTTTTAATTGAGAGGTAAGATATGGAACTGTTCATTTTGATCTTATATTTATCAGAACACTTTGATTGCAAGCTTTCTCATACTGTTGGAAGGTCACTCTTTCTTTTGACGCTGAGGTGATGAGGCCGCAGGAGTACCTTGGGGATAAGCAATCAGTATGTGTATTTGTGGGGGCGATGGCGAGAGGCCACGACTCCTTTGCTGATGAATATGTAGATGACAAAATAGCTATATCTAACTACCCGCTCTCCGCCTCCGTCGCCTGCTCCAAGTTCTGTCATGGCGCTGAGGACGCATGGGCCATTATATAATTTACAAACCCACACCGAGGACTCGCAAAATTAAACTGTTGCGAAAAGCAGATAGTTTGGATTGCAAAGTAAGCGAAATTTAAAGAATTGTTTTGTATTGAATTGTACGGGGAGAAAACTATAAAAGAGTAAGGAGGAACTATAGCTAGTCACGATTGTTTAGATCTTTCGATCTCTTGCGCCTATTTGCAAACTGTATGTTCTAAGTTAGTATTTACTACAGAGGTTGAATTGGTTTCACTCAATTTAGAAAACATACCCAAATTTGAACTTGATTGGTGGTGATCCCACATTGAACCGCCAACTGATGTTTTTCACATCTAGTCAGGTACCGTTTCTTGGAAAATGTTTCAACTAATTGTAGCTTGGCCTTTGCTGGTAGAGGCTTCCTAGTTGTATATGTTTTATTTTTTCTTTGACAATACAGCAGGTATTGAGAAGCACTTCTGCGAAGTGCTTCTCTAGTCTGTTTGGGTAAATCTATGTTGTTGATCAACTTATTGTCGGTGTTAGTAGTGCTTATCTCAATATTTGAAATGATAATATTATCGTAAACTTACCGTGTTGTAATCCCATGTTTCTTCTTCCAATAGAGTATTAGAATTAACCGATTGCAATATCTGTAAACAGATATTGCGTAGATCTTGTATTGGGTCTACTGTCATCATATTATTGATTTGTCTAAAGATTTTGAATAGTAATGACACAAGTTATAACAAGAAGAAAATTTAAAGGAAAAATTGCAAGAGATTAATAACCAACTTATATCATTGTGTTCCAGTTTACCCAAAAGACAGTCGCTCCCGGGGCCGTCGTCCGATATCCTAAGGTTCCTATCGAGAAACAACTTGGACCCACAAGAGATAGGGTTGATCAAGACAACCTATCGACTGTCTACTCTTCTGTCAAAACTACGGGAGCATGAGATCGTATTCAATGTGGTTACCAAAGACCATCTGCTTAAAAAAGGCGTCCCCAATCACTATGCCGCTTCCTATCGAGGCCACCGCTTCACAAGGGAAAACGTACAGATACTAGAGACCTGGTACCGCAACCATATCGACAACCCATACCTCGACCACAACAGCCAGCAATATCTAGCACAGAAGACAAACCTCTCAAAAATACAGATCAAAAACTGGGTAGCAAACAGAAGAAGAAAACAAATTTGTAAAGAAAAGGGCCCACACTGTTCATTTTGATTTTCCGGGACAATCAAAACCTTACCAAAGTCTATATATTGTTTCGGATCTCAATTAGAATAGTAACTATTACATAGATCAAGGAGTACGTTGAGTGAAGAGCAAAAGAATGAAACTAGATATCAAACCCTTGAGGACAAGTTTGTATAACGATAAACATCCAAAAAAATAAAACACAAGCGCGACCCCGGTGAGGATTGAACTCACGATCTTGCGATTAACAGTCGCACGCCTTAACCAGCTTGGCCACGGAGTCATTAAATACGGATGTCCAAAGAAGACCATGTTAACCCATTACTATAATGTGAATACATTATTGAAATCATGCCTTCTTTTATCACAAAAATGGTTATACAAAAAAACGACTTAAAAGGTCAATATTTACATAACTTGAGAAATTCCACCCAGTAATCATCCACAAATATTGAGTTTCATTTAGGTGCCACACTAACCTTACGACGTTAAAGTTTTCCAGTAAGGCATAACCATTATCGACGTCAATATTAGAACAGATGTTAAATTCTATATGATATAACTTCACTATTAAGGTAGCCAAAGAGTTCTCAAGATACAATCCTAGAGTTTAATCAAAATTTGTTACCTTCCAAGATCAACATAAGAGAATTACTCCTATTATTAGTTCTGTAAGGCTCAAATATGATATTGAGGCTTTTAAAAATGTAGATCCTCCATTATGTGTTAGAGAACTAATTAAGTTAAACGTGTCATTTAATGTTTGAATTCCAAGATTTGAATTTTCATTATTGGTGTCTACTCTTGAATAGAAATCTGTGAAAGTGGGTAGATTGATACTATGAATATGATAATGATGATGACATGAACCACAACAATTAGTCGTGTATATATTATCCTGATCATCAGCCATACCTATAACGTATGAAAACAAAGTTGATACATCTGAGAACCACTTAATAGTAATCAAATTTGAGCTGCCATCATTTTTGTCCACAGCCGGTGGAGTGTTCCAGTTAAGTTCTTCTGCTGTGACATTTATAACATGCACTAAGTTCCTCGTGATGTTGATTAGTGTAGGAACTGAAATTCCAGACGCTGGTGTACTTTCAGAGATTGCAGTCTGTGTGCTTGTATCGTCTCCATAGAGTATTGATCTGCTGTCGGTTTTATTATTTAGTTGAGTTATTTCAAACACATCATTAGTAAAATAACTCGAATTAACTGGGTTACTCGCGATTGAGGAACGGCTTAAGTTAGATGATTCTAGAGTATCCGATCCAATGCTCAAATTATCCATTGATGATGAGTAGTGTGAATATTCAGACACAAATTGTGGTGAGTGATTGCCTATGGCACCCATCTTTGTAAACAATGGAGAGTTAGTGAACTGTGACCTTAATTCCGGTAACTTTGACATAAACTTATGTGCAGTAGGAATTCCATCAATGCTTTCAGTTGAGTTCAAGTAACTATATTTAGATTTTGGCTGTGATCTTTGTATTTGGGAAAAATTTGGATGGGGAGTTGCATGCCTGACAATACTGTAATTCGTGGAAGATCTATCACTCATGTCTTTCAGTTTAGAAGCAAGAACTTTTGATGATGTAGATGATTGTTGCTCGCTAAATGAAAGTTTCTGTTTTTCAGATGCATAATCCCGCGATTGGTGCAGCTTCATGGATGAAGAAAAAGAGGATCGAAGAATGTGATCTAAGTATAGCGAGCTAGATTTATATGAAGAATTTAATGATCGATCAACACTAGAGGCGAAAAAATATGGCGATGATAGTTGCTTCTGATGTGTTTTATTTTCTTGTTGTGGGCTCAAGGAAGTAACTAATGGATCAACTGTGGTTTCCATATATATCCATGATGTCGGTGTTGCTGGTTCTCTATCAGAGAGATTTGAAGGAAAGAAGCTTGAATTTCGTTTAGAATATGGGCGCTGGGTGTCATTAGACGGCAGATTAACCGAAAACTGAGCTAAATGAGACCTGCTCATCCCATTTATATCTACTATGAAATCTCCAAGCTGTTTAGAAGCAGGTTCTGGTTTGTCCTCGAGATCCCAAGTTCCTATCCTAGGTCCGAAAGGTGCTTCAAATCTGCTAGACATTATCTTTGATGTTGTCACTGATGGCATTGGAATCGATGAAAATGTGCTCGAAGAGCTTAGCCTTAGCCCAGATGAGATAGAGCTTGAAGGTAAAACTGATGATAATTTTTTGATTATCATAGAGCTATAAGAATGACATATGTTTGATATGGGATCGTAATAACCGTCTGTACATATCGTTGCACCCACACTACTGGTACATGGTACAAGCACATGATATATCGTTTTTGTATATGGTAACTGAACTGGATGGCTTGACACAACTTCATAGTCTACTGTTTTTGTTATTGTTCTAGGAAAATTCCCACATGTTGTTTGAAAGCTAACTTCTCCTGGGCAACCCCCATCAATATCTCGAAGGAAGAAAAAATAATCCTGGAAGTCTATGACGGGGCTACTATCAAATTCTGTTTTGAAAGAAAAATTAAAAATTGCTTGATAGTCCCGGTTGTTGTAGAAAATCCGTATGGGATAGTATGTATTCATGTCAAGGTACACAGTAAGCGTTTTCTTTTCCCAGTTTATACCCCATAGACTGAAAGCTTGATAATTACCAAAATTATCTGCACTACTCTCTTGTCTGCAACAGTCGAAGGCATTGCCGGCACCAAAATTAAGATATATTAGATCATCACCATGCAGAGAGAATATATGGTTGCCTGAAATCTTTGGCTTAAAATAGCCAAACAATATCATAGTAAAATTGGACAAAGTAATATTGGACTTAAAGTTATATGCCGGTGGCAGTTGGCCTTTCTGTGGCATACAACCCCATGGTGGGACGAAATTGAAATTTAAAATACCAGATACCCCATCAGATCTACCGATCAACGTTTTTGATTTATATCCAACCCTTGGATAGTTTATGTCTTTATATGAGGAGTCAAAGCATTCATATGTACCCAAAAGGTTGGGGTCATATAGCTGATCCAGTTTTCCTGGATTTTGTGGATCTGGATGTCTCGGATTCACATAATTGTAACTATACAGTTCCATCTTCAATCCAGGTAAATGGCCACTATATTTATTTGAACATCCTAAGGGATAATTATTTGGAATGTTAGAATCCCTAACAATACTTATATCTCCTTCTGTGCTAATAAAACCTTCGCACACAACCGCTAAGGAGTGTAATATTGCATAAATCAACGCCCATGACATCCTTAGACCAAATGTTTGCCTGTTATTATAATAGATTAGAAAATATTTACTGGGACCTAGTTTTGATGCTAATTGTTCCAATTCACATCAATATACATAAGACTCTATATATATGTATTTTAATTGAATGAAAAATTTACTTTCATTTGACTCTCTACACTTGAATACAGCCGGCTTCAAATAGAGGTTGAAAACCTCTACTTATCTATTAGGACTATTTTGGTGAAGACAAGGAATATGGTGTAACTATATTAGACTAATATGACATTTTGATAAATATAGTCTTCATTTATGTAACGAATATTTGTTCGATTCTATTTTTTCACTGTTCCTTTAACCAGGGATAACATAAATAATTTCATTTCACCTCTACCGTTCTGTTATCCATAAAATGCTTATTTGCAAGTACAGAATGCTAATTATTCAGTATTTAAGGATGATCTATGTTTTGCAATAATCTACTGAGATTATTACTGTCAAATTCCCACTATTACGTTGACTATTTAATTCAAGTTGAAAAAGAATATTTAGTGACATATTACTTTCTTATGACTGCTATCTGATGTAATGTTGACGATTATATCACAGTCCAATCATCAAATTTATTCTTTAGCCAAATAATCAGGTTGAATTAAAAGTATTTGCTATTAAATAGGTAGATAGATAGAGAGAAGTAAAATTGATATATCTGCTCATCAATAGACAGCACTATAATGAATTTGAACTATCACACTTTTCATAATCTAATAGGTATGGAAGTATACAATTCTATCTTACTCAAAAGAATTGAAAAAATGAATTCTATAAGACATTCTGAGTATGGGGGAGGCTTTGTGACCAACTTATCTTTGTATACAAGTACTCATGCAAACAGTAGTACGCTGTTAAATTAGGTGAACTGCATACAGAAGCTCATTTCAGTAATTCCGTGAATCTGCTGCTAAGAAAAACCTGGATATACCTTTAGTACCTTGACTATAATACTGAAGAGAATGATTTTAAAACAGTCTCCTCGTGGTATTAAATATATAACCACATCTTTTAGGGTCCTAAAATTAGTGCTGAATGAATTCTTTCTTCCTTTTTTGAATCATGACATTTCATTTTATTTCACCTGATTTTGAGGTTTTTTGCAATACCAGATATTAAATTTAATTAGATTCCAAAGAGGGAAAATGAATTACCGGTGGCTACGTATTTTATTCAATTATACCATAATCAATCAATAGCCACAATTTTTGTCGATTGAAATTAACTATGATGCGTACCGTTTGCAAGCTTTAGTATTGTAAAACAATACCAAATTATTCGCAAAATAATTACTGATCATGTGCAGAAGTTGCGACAACCAGGTGGAGTAAGAACATTCTGTATCAATTATCAAATATGACTTTTTGGAAGTGTTATTATATTTTCAACGTTGATGGAAGTAAATTTATATTAGGATTTATATTTGTTTCATGCTATGTCTTCTATTTTCAAGCTCTAGGATAGAAATTCCTTTGAAATACCGCTTTTGTTAACAGGGTTAACCAGCAAATTAATGCCATTCAAATGTAATACTCTGAAATGAAATTGCCCATTCGTTACTTCGTAACCTCTTTTTCAGCAGTCACCCCTGATGTAACAGCCCTATTTTAAAAGTAATTATCATAGAAACTAAAACCTTATGGCAATTTCTATAACTGGATACAAAAACGAAATTCTTATTTATGCGGATAATTAAAGTACGAATTATCTTTTCAAATACAAGTCTAACCATTACCGTACTATATTCAAGAATATATTCAAAAGACAGAAATAAACTCATAAAAACTATACTAGAATTAGCACCAACTCCAATATATAATAAGGGGAGCGTTGGAATCTTCTTAATCTCAACCAATTAACATAAATTTTTACTCGAGAAACTCTTTTTTATATACAGAACTTGCCGAACATCCGACTTATATCTCCAAATAGTGAAATTTGTACCAATAAGTATCTCCAAGGGCTTGCTCTACACTAAATGCACAATAAGTATCTGATATATTTAACCATAATAAAAAGCTTGAAAACGAAACTGATTACACCATATGTAAATGTTGATAGTATGCAATTGCTGTTGGTTTAAAGAAGCGAGTGGTTAACAACCTTAGAAAAAATACAATATTTTGGTTAAACCTTAATATCTAAGTTGCTTATTCAACTTCCAAATAATTGTTCAACATAAAATTTTATTCCAGAACCTCAACATATATAACTCTATAGAACTACTTGGAATTATAATCCTTTCTTTTAGTTTTTTTTTCTTCTTTCATTAGTATAATAAAATTTTGTAGATACCTTCTCTAAAAGTAATTATACGGTTTTATCATAGAATCATGAATCATCGTTAAGTATTTATATCCAACGTGAATAGCTTATTCCCCCCTAGAAATTAAGTTAGACAATCTTGAATCACTTTCTCTCCTGGTATATTAGTAGGTAGCTCACATATGCTTAGTCTGTAGTGCGCTCAATAATAATAAAAAAAGAACATACGATCCTATTAGGGTTTACCACAACATTAGCTAGTACATCTTAAGAAACATTTACAGATAAATAACAATTGGAATACCCATCTTATGTGACCCTACACATGCTAGTTTATCTAACCTCGAAAATATCATAAGAGAACGTTTTCAGTTACTGATTCCTTATTGGTCATTTTGCCGTTGCGACGAAAAAAAAACAACAAATTTGCTGCAAACTCATCCGTCGCAATACTAAGGAGACGGTAAATCAGTACATAGAGAAGTCAAACCTACCACAGTACAAGAATCGATTCTGTGATATGTTATTATTTTTGCTGTATTTGGTAACCAGCTGTGATCACAAAAACCTGGAAGTAGAGCATTTTAGAGATTAAATCAAGCTACTGATTGACCACTAGCAAATGGAGAGAGTATCTTTCAACTAAAGGGTTTTACATAACAAGATATTGTTAGAATAACGAGTCTCTTCGTTGAACTAACGCTAAGAATAAGTTAAGGGTCTCATTTTAAGTAAATATTACTACTCGAACTGCTATCATCTAGACCTTGTCTATACGAGATGAAACAATCGAAAAATGACCCACAGCAAAAAGAAAAAAACACAGAGACAATGAAATGAATAGAGAAACTCAAATGCAGATCAACTGCCCACGCTAATAGTGGATAAGATAGACAACTAGTTTCACCATAGAATCATTGAATCGACTACATGCTAGATCAAGCCAATTGGGTTGAATGTATTTTGACCTTGTCAGATTACATTTGCATACAGCTTTGCTACTTGGTCTTTACTTCGGTTTTTTGATCCGGTCTCCATCTTATTTTCTCCCGGTATCAATCAAAAAAAATACAAACACTTTTATAATCCACACATAAAGTAGCACCGAAGCTCTAAAAGAGCCATGGTAACGTTCGGTTTTTATTCCGCGACCGAAATGCGTTCTTCAAGGCATGCGGAATATATCAGCCGTTCTAACACACAGACAATATGTTTGATGGACCAATCATAGTCCTTGGAATGCGAGAATACAATCTTGGTTGCTAAATAGTTCTCTTACACTTTAGACCTATGATTGGTAGCCTAGTCTGCCTGCCAACCCCCCCACACAAATTTTAATAAGCCATTTTCTACAACTTTCCGAATCCACTCTGCAAACAGGAAGTAACGTCCCCGATCAGAATGGAACAACGGAACTCGGAAAATAGAGTACCCGGGAGGATCTCTTCGTGCTAGAAAGTGCACATCCCTTGAATTCCCGCAAATCCCAGAGAATATTTCGTACACTTCAAAAAATAAAGGGCTTCGGGAATTTTTCTCATATGGCCTCAACTTTTTCTCTACGACACACACTATAGCAGAGAGGATACAGTTGCAAGAAGAAAGTATGTTGTGGGTTGGGAAGGGGGGTGGGAACAAGATATCGACGGTGCCGTTAACTTCCCAGTCAAAATAAAAATTAGTAAGACGAATTAGCATGATATAATCGCGAGATCCCGTACTTTTGCAGAGAACCTCATGCAACCATGTATCAGCCGAGTAATGTTATAAACAGCGCGGAACCATCGAGATGACCACAGAGATCCTTCACTGCATTGTGTGCTGGGTAGAGCAATATACCAGCAACCGAAACAGAAAAAAGGGAGGGCTGTGGTGTAAGGGTGAACAGGGAGTTTTGTGTTGTCTAAGCAAAAGCTCTGATCCCGAGCAACAACCGAGGAATATGTAAGCAAGTCTTTAAGAACTATGCCTACTAGTAAAATTTTCAGTTCTTGACTGCTTATGTTCTGCATAACCAAAGGAATGAATGGGATATTCTGACAGCAAAGTGTTATGAACCTTATAGATATTTTATCGAAAGCCAACCATGGATAAGAATAGCACAAGATTTACTTGAAGTTGAAAGCCCCTCGCTTTAGACCTCAATTGAATATGTTCACAGAAAACATACAGTTTAACTGCCAAGTCCCTGAACTACAAAAAGCTGAAGATTAAAGTTGGTTTCTACAGTATTTTTTTACTGTATTCAACTTTTTTAGATTCACTTGAAAGAGTTCAATTAATTGAAAAAACCATTCCTCAAATCAAACTTTCAGTAGTCAGAGTTTTTTTTTTTATATAATCTCCCTTCCTTTCAAAATTGAATATCTGGTTTTATGGATATGGTTTGTTTTACAACATCTAAAGGTGAGTACCTTTTTATAATACAAGCTACTCAAAAAGGTTACGAAAAATTTAAAAATATTGACAAATTACCAAACAATCTATATTAAGTGAGAGTATAATATTACAGATAGTTTACTTTTTGAACTAAGTCCTAATGAAATACAAAGAGGTTTTTAAGGCCTTTATTTTGGCCCTGACATGGACCAATGCCGTAGCTAAAACCTATGAGAATCAGGAAGTTGTTCTGGATAGCACCTCTTCTGGCTCTCCTACTTTTGAGGATGATGAACTCATGGTGTTAAATAACGCTAAAGTTACTCTAAAAAACTACTCCTCAATTAAATTACCTGCTGGTATATCGTTGACTGGTGGCTCTACACTAACAATAATAACACCTGGTGGCCAAAGTGTCAGGAATGAGCTGTTGATTAATGGTAAGGTCAAAATTGATAGTGGGTCGAGTTTTGTTTATGATGGTAGCAAATTAACTTATGCTAGTGGACCAGATGCCGTAACCAATTATAACTTTGACATTAATACCGGGGCTGATGGTGTTTATGTTTCTTCAGATAGCAGCATGATAATAACATTGCCGGCATTATTGAAAGGTGTTGCAACTACTAATACTGCCCGTATTCACATTGGTGGTACGTATCAAGCACCAAACAATTCTCCTATTCAAATATTAGGAAAATTACAAGTACTATCTACAGGAGCGAAATCATCAACCTACTTCACTGATCGTCTGTGGTATCTGGATCTAGGCCCAGACAAAATTGATAATACTGGTACGTTTTCTATGCCCAATAATATGTCTGGTGATATAGACTGTGAGTGTTTAATTGCTGTCTACGGTGATATATTCAAGGGTACTAATAATGCTGTTTTACATACTTTAGGATACACCGGATTTGTTGTGGTTACACCGATAACCATTGACCTAAGTAAGGGGCCTTATAAAGGTACTTCTGATTTTATTTATAACTTGGTTCTTCCTAGTGGTCAGGATGGTTTTAAAATTGATGGTTATCTATATCATTACGACCCCAACGCTCCTGCAGCTCGTACAATTGGGTTGCTATATCTTTATGATGCTGGAGATAATGTAGCGTTAACTTCAGGTATTAATGGTATCCAAATTAGACATACGAATCCAGTTAAAACAATAACAATGAAAGTTGACCCAAGCTTAAACGCTGGTTATTTTAAGGGCAAAAGAATTGATGAAATTCCCTACAGATATCCAGTACATAATTACGCCAATGTTCTAGAAATGATTTTATTTGAACCAATCACTTATACTACTATAACAACTACCAATATCAATGAATATACCACCGAAATAATTGAGCTGATAGCAACTGCAAAGCCTCGTGGCTTTCCTTTTAATGAGAATACTCAAACAACCATAACAACTACAATTTATAATCAACTTCGAGAAGAGACAAAAATTATTGACCTGGGGAATGGTGTGACTGAATATCAAGTATTGGATTATTATCTTTCTTCACTAAATGACATAAATCATCCATTTGGAACAAGTACTAAAATCGTCACTTACAGCCCACCTCCCCCATCAGTAACTGCAACTACAACAGATTATTACATAGAATCCTACTGGATATCCTTCTTTATCACTACCGATGATCAGCATAGGATAATAACCAGTAGTCAAACAGTTTCAACATTAAGGTTAGAGAATGATTACACCACCACCGTAGATTTAGGAAATGGTGTATTCGAAACTGATCTGATATCTCATATAACTGAAAGAGACGAAAATGGCGAGCCTACAAACACTGTTAGAACCACTATCAAGTTGACTTTTGGTCCGGCACCTCCTGCAATTACAAAAACTGTGGATTTAGGCAACGAAGTGACTGAGTATTTGGTTATCAGCTACTGGACGACCACCAATGAATTTGGGGGTCTGATCACGACAAACTCGACGGCCACCTACAGTCCTCCACCGGTGACTGTGACAGCCACCACTGCGTCGGACTACATTGAGTCGGACTGGATCTCGTTCTTCATCACTGTTGATGAGAAGGGCGATATTGTTACGAGCAGCACTCTGTTCAATGCGACTCGTGACTACAACTTGCCTGAGGCCCCACACACTTCGTTTGGCCCTGCGCCCCCAGTGGAGACGCACACTGTTGTTCTTGAGAACAACATGACGAACTACGAGGTTGTATCTTACTGGACCACCACCAACGAGTTTGGAGGGTTGATCACGACGAGCAGCACCAGCACGTACAGCGCTCCACCTTTGACAGTGACGGCCACTACTGCGTCTGACTACATCGAGTCGGACTGGATCTCGTTCTTCATCACTGTTGATGAGAAGGGCGATATTGTTACGAGCAGCACTCTGTTCAATGCGACTCGTGACTACAACTTGCCTGAGGCCCCACACACTTCGTTTGGCCCTGCGCCCCCAGTGGAGACGCACACTGTTGTTCTTGAGAACAACATGACGAACTACGAGGTTGTATCTTACTGGACCACCACCAACGAGTTTGGAGGGTTGATCACGACGAGCAGCACCAGCACGTACAGCGCTCCACCTTTGACAGTGACGGCCACTACTGCGTCTGACTACATCGAGTCGGACTGGATCTCGTTCTTCATCACTGTTGATGAGAAGGGCGATATTGTTACGAGCAGCACTCTGTTCAATGCGACTCGTGACTACAACTTGCCTGAGGCCCCACACACTTCGTTTGGCCCTGCGCCCCCAGTGGAGACGCACACTGTTGTTCTTGAGAACAACATGACGAACTACGAGGTTGTATCTTACTGGACCACCACCAACGAGTTTGGAGGGTTGATCACGACGAGCAGCACCAGCACGTACAGCGCTCCACCTTTGACAGTGACGGCCACTACTGCGTCTGACTACATCGAGTCGGACTGGATCTCGTTCTTCATCACTGTTGATGAGAAGGGAGACATTGTTACCAGCAGTACTCTATTTAATGCTACACGGGAATATGTCGATGCTGAAGCACTGTTCATGTTATCCGACGATTCTTCACAAGCTTCAAATAATGAAGCTGACTACACCACGACGATCGACAAGGGCAACGGCGAGTTCGAGACCGATGTTGTTTCGCACATCACCACCAAGGACTCCGACGGCAAGCCTACCACGATTGTGACCACGATTCCATGGAAGCCAAGCGAAGAAGCTGACTACACCACGACGATCGACAAGGGCAACGGCGAGTTCGAGACCGATGTTGTTTCGCACATCACCACCAAGGACTCCGACGGCAAGCCTACCACGATTGTGACCACGATTCCATGGAAGCCAAGCGAAGAAGCTGACTACACCACGACGATCGACAAGGGCAACGGCGAGTTCGAGACCGATGTTGTTTCGCACATCACCACCAAGGACTCCGACGGCAAGCCTACCACGATTGTGACCACGATTCCATGGAAGCCAAGCGAAGAAGCTGACTACACCACGACGATCGACAAGGGCAACGGCGAGTTCGAGACCGATGTTGTTTCGCACATCACCACCAAGGACTCCGACGGCAAGCCTACCACGATTGTGACCACGATTCCATGGAAGCCAAGCGAAGAAGCTGACTACACCACGACGATCGACAAGGGCAACGGCGAGTTCGAGACCGATGTTGTTTCGCACATCACCACCAAGGACTCCGACGGCAAGCCTACCACGATTGTGACCACGATTCCATGGAAGCCAAGCGAAGAAGCTGACTACACCACGACGATCGACAAGGGCAACGGCGAGTTCGAGACCGATGTTGTTTCGCACATCACCACCAAGGACTCTGACGGCAAGCCTACCACGATCACCACCACCATCCCATTGAAGCCAAGTGATGCCGGCGAGGCCGACTACACCACGACGATCGACAAGGGCAACGGTGACTTCGAGACAGACCTTGTTTCGCACATCACGACCAAGGACTCTGACGGCAAGCCTACCACGATCACCACCACCATCCCATTGAAGCCAAGTGATGCCGGCGAGGCCGACTACACCACCACCATTACTTCCGACGGTCACACCATCACAGAAGTAGTCTCCCACATCACCACCACTGATTCAGACGGTAACACTGTTACATACACCACCACGATGGCCTCCTTCGATCAGGTAGACGACGGCGTGTACACGTCAGCTCCACCTTACTCACAGCCACCAGTTGTGACGACGACTGTGACGGAGGACGACGGTAGTAGCAAGACAGTTGTGATCTCTTACTCGCCATCTGAGGGCGAGGATGGGGTTACCCGTACAGGTACGACCACTATCTCCACCATCACTGCTAGCGGCGAGGCCGACTACACGACGACGATCGACAAGGGCAACGGTGACTTCGAGACAGACCTTGTTTCGCACATCACGACCAAGGACTCTGACGGCAAGCCTACCACGATCACCACCACCATCCCATTGAAGCCAAGTGATGCCGGCGAGGCCGACTACACGACGACGATCGACAAGGGCAACGGTGACTTCGAGACAGACCTTGTTTCGCACATCACGACCAAGGACTCTGACGGCAAGCCTACCACGATCATAAGAACTGTGACTCTAACAGAAGAACCAGATTACACATCTGTGTTTGTTTCTGATGGTCATACGATTACAGCTGTTGTTTCTCATGTTACAACGACCAATGATATCGGTCAGACGGTCACCACTACTGTGACCGTTATGTCATATGATCAAGTAGGTGAGGGTGTATACACTTCTGCTCTTGCTTACTCTGAGCCCCCAGTAACTACGACAACTGTGAGTGCAGACACTGCTACTGCCACTGTTGTAATGTCGTACTTCCCATCTATTGGCGACGATGGAGTCACCAGGACAGGAACAACTACCATTTCCACTGTCTCTGTCGGAGGTGAAGCCGACTACACTACAACAGTCGACAGGGGCAATGGCAGTATCGAAACTGATGTCATTTCGCATATCACCACTACCGACTCCAATGGTAATCCTACAACAATAACCACCACGATCACCAATGCACCTGCACCTTCGATTTCTAAAGCAAATGTGGGGTCTGATTACACCACCACTGTGGTTTCGGACGGTCACACGTTCACCGAGGTTGTATCCCATAGCACAGGTACTGATGAGCACGGTCACACAATAGTTTCCACAGTAACGCAAACCGTGGGTGTCCAGAGTCATGGAAGCACTGTCTCAAGTGCAGCACCAGTCTCAACAGTATCCGGTGCAGGATCTAATGCTCCTGGAACAGCAGGTGTAGGTGGTATTGTTAACTCTCAGAAACCTCAGTCAGGAAATGTGGCTGGCCAAGGGTCGGGCAACGAAAAGCCAACACAAGCTGCTGGCACAGCCGGTGGTAGTGGCTCTGGCTCTGGCTCTGGCTCTGGCTCTGGGCCAGTTCACCAATCGGTAGGCAATATTGTACCATCTGGATCTCCATCTGTTCAGAGTCCAATGGACACTGCATCTCCAGTCAGTGGTATTCATAGTAGCCAAACTCCTCACTCTGTACCTTCACAAGCTCAACAACAAGGACAAGGACAAGGACAAGCACCATCATCACGTCAACAGGCAGCCACGACTGTTCTATCACCTTCTGGTTCCTCTGGTAACAACAACGGCAGTAGATTCAGTAGCACACAAACAGCTTCTGCTTTACCAGGTTCCGCTGCGACAATAAAGGCTACCTCTAACACTGCAATACTCGTGCTGATCATTCTATTTTTCTTAGGATTGACCTAGCCAATTTGTGACGATAATGGAATAACAAATATTAATCAGATATCTATTTAAAGCTCATCCTTCATACTATTAAATACAACAGTGACTATAAGAAATGAATAAGATCATAATAGTAAATAGAAGAGGATATTGATTTGAGCTAATTGGTTATCTTTTAAATGTATTTATTGCCTGTATCGCTAATACTGTCCCGAATGTGTCGTTTAATTTAATAACTTCAAAGTTGTCCAACTGTTATTCGTAATAGTGATATTTGCCAATTAGTCTATGAATGAAATATAAGAGTATTATTAATTATTAAAATCAAATTTCAAAACTGAAAATGTCAAAGAAGATATGGAAAGCATTCATGTCTGGTAATTACTAGTACTCTCATTCCCAGTTTTTAAAATCCTGCAAAAGCTTTTCTCTCATTAAGTAATGACTATGTAACTAGTAAAAATATATTTGCAAACTTATCGATATCGAAAAAGAACAAATGCTAAACTGCACATAGTTGGTCATCCTTTTAAAAGTAGCATCATCCTTCATATTCAGAATACAATTTTTTTTATAATTACATGTTATCATCCGTCCCAATAATGCTCCTTACTGGTAATTTTTTTTTTGGGTATAACCAATCTTAGTGACCAATATATAACGTCATAAACTTACAATTATTTAGTGATTAATTCATACTACCTATGTGAGAGAAAGCAAGATCTCACGCGTTTGAAGGTTTGGAGCGCAAATTTGAGAATATATTCTAAGGCCTTGCATTCCCATACATTAGTGACAATTTTACAAATTCTAAAAGTTGCTACTACCACACAGGTGAATGGGTATATTGATCCTATCATTTAAATTGCAATCTTTAATATATTTGGTCCAATTACTACTGCTACACTAACCAAATTTCTCTTTATGTTATTCATTTAAGATGCAAAATCTACAATTTTAATTAGCTGAAATGAATTTCAACCAGAAAAAGTTACCGGAGACTTTTTAACTTCTTGCAATTTTATTTCTGGCTAACAAAAAGAAAATTACCAATAGATTTGACTCACCAGTTTTACACACGGATACAATCTATTTATATTCATATACTTGACTAGAAAAATTCCGGAGGAATCAATCTTAAAAACTTGGTCAAATCTCCATATTACAAACCTCCCAGCAGAAACTTAGCAATATCAATGTCCTTTCCGTGTCAATTGTATGTTCTAACTGCAGATTTCCCTATTTATCTTTCATCGAGCACTTGTCATTTCATTATCAGAAAGCCCTTTAATGTTGTGTCCTAAACCTTTAACGCGGGTACCACTCATTTGATAACACATTATATCACCATAAGTTTGATGTTACTTTATTTAATTTACATGATATGAAACTCTACATTGTTGATGCCTATGTGAGCATTTACAATTACATTTATCGTTATAAAATTCAGTGAGTATTCTGACAGAAAAGATGCAGGACCAAAACTCTAATAGCATTCCATCAGAATATCAACAAGGGATACATAACACACCCTATTTTAGTTTGAAAGTAATCAACAGATCTGCTATCAGTTAAACATTTTCTACTATGCACAGTACGTAATTTTATTATGCTTTTTCTTTTCAAACCAAATGTAATAGTCAGAAACTAATGGGTTAACAGTCTCAAATATATAGTAAAACATTATTTAATAAACCATGCTAATATTATTAGCACTCAGTTTGATATTATATAGTATTCGAGAACATTAATTTCATTAATCGATAAATGCAAAGTTTAGAATGCTTTTATCAAAATAGCCATTCAAATTTTTGGTTAAGTAGACAAACCAGATACAGATGATTTTCCATAAATTGAAAAATAAAATCAACACAATAAACATCCAACACTATTGTGAGTAATATATTGAATTTACATCATATCTTGTTAGAATATATGACCGTCTTATTTCTTTAACTATAAATGAATAGAATATATTCCAATAAAGATCATATACACTGTATGATCCAGTAGCTTTGTAAACACACATTATTTTTAACAGTCAGATTAGCTGCTGCTCGTTAACTAATTTAAGAATAATATAATCAAAGACTTTAACCATACCTACAATTTCAAAAGATTTATTTGTTTTGCATACTTTACTTCAGTCTTTCTTAACTCAAACTCAAATTAGTCTTACACACTGATCAACAAATAGATTATAACACAAAATCATGATATATAGAGCACCACGACTACAACTCTCATGAGTACACCAAATTCATCACCAACATCTATTAGTTCATCATATTCTGCTGCGTCTTCTGGTTCTTCTTCCACTTCTGGTTCCTCTTCCTCATTATATGTGTCAGCTTTGTCTTCTGTTTCAGCTTCGAGTAGTCCCTACTCACATACTAGTTCAGTAGTTGCAAGCAACTCATCCTCATTCCCTACATTAATGAGTACTGTCAGCTCAACAGAAAGCGTTACATCTCATCAAGAGGCTTCTTTGAGCTCTTCAGTTACCATATCGAGTTCTTCTGTGGCTTTGACATCAAAACAAACCAGTTCTCAGAATTCTGCTTTTGCAAACAAGACAGTATCAATTCCTTCACCATCAACCAGTATATTCACTGACACTGTCGGTAAAACTATAACTAAGGTTATCACATATTGCTCAGAAACCGACAATCAAGGTAATGTAGGTACCAGGACTTCAAGTTACACTATTGACGCTTCAAATGCAAATCTTGACGCTACAGGATCTTTAGTTGTATCACGTGAAACTACAACAAAGTCACGGCGTCAAGATGCTAGTGAGGCCATCACAGGCAAATCTCATTCCCTAACATCTTCTGTTTCTGTAGTTGAGCTACATTCGAGCGCTGTAATTTCTCAATATGCAGGTTCTGCTGCCAATTTAAGTTGTTTGAGTAGAATTGGAGCTTTAGCTACCTTGTTAGCTTTATTGTTGCTAAGCTAATGAACAAAATATTTCAGTACTATACCTCATTTTCTTTCCGATTGTATCAAATCACCAAAATCGAAGCATCGCAAATCCTTTTCATCTTCTATGTGTTGTGTAAACATATAAATACTTTGATTTTCACCTTTTCGGTGAATTAGAATTGCTGACAGCTATATAATGTTATTTCCCTTTGATATAGCAGTGAATTGTATGGATTGTATTTGTTCTTTTATTTCAGTAGAAACCTACAAAATATCCCATGAATTACCCTGACATACTATGGTTTTTAGAGCAGACGATTACCAAACAGGACTGTAAAGATTAGTAGATAAGTTAGTGTCTGGGTAACTCCCACTTTCTTCCTCCACAACTGCTATATGTTAACTTCCATTACATAAATGTTAAATATCAATGCTTTGTGATAAGCCTATTATCAACCGTAAAAGAGCAGTATATGAGATTTATTTTCTTGCAAAAAGCCTTTGTTGAATTAGATGGTTATGCATGGTTCAAAATACTTAGGTGGCTAAAAAATATTTACAGGCTTCCTGTTACTACTTTTAAAATACTGGCTGTAGTTTTGTCGTAGTCATGATATATCATACTCATTTAACTTCAACGCTTCCATAGAAATACTCATCACTATTTAGTATCAAAGAAGTGTTACAACGGACACAGATGTTCATTTGGCAAAGATCAACATTGAGTTTGACAATCGTACCAATTGTAATTAGACCGAACAATCCTTACATTAATTCACCTTCAAGTTCAGTAAATCTGAAAACCGGTTACCTGAACCATTGTATTTGTTAGTGGTTTACGTATTCTCACCTCTATTTTTAGTCGCTTTTGTAGCTTCATGTTGAACCCATACTTCAATGAATATAGTCAAACCATAGCTTGCTAGTTATGATGAATTCTTTCCAGTTTTAAAATTCATATGAGTATGAGAATCATTTTACTTATCTATCTGTAGCGAAACCACACAGAGAATAAAATACAAGCCTATTTCTTTGGAAATTGAAAACGATACATGTGTGAAACTATACCTCTACTACTGATAAACTCCTACAAGATGCAATAAAAATTTCAGAAATACACCAAAAATTGGAAATGACAGTGTACAGACATATAGGCCATAGCATATATATAGTTATACTTGGAGACTATCACACGAGCAAAGAATATTGCCAGTATCGGTAGGATTAAAGTTGTTTTAAAACTTTAGAAACTGCCAATATATAAACCTTAAAATGCACTTTATTTTGTTGGTCTTGTAATCCATCCGCATATTAAGGTATGTGCAAAATACAAACATATAACAAAGAATTCTGTTTCCCTTTATTTGCGAATTACTGAAAGCTAGGTGCAAATCAGATCTGTGATATATCTGCATTCCAAAATCTATTCTTTCGACGAATTTTGAGGTTGCTACCATTTAAAATAATCGTCGCCATTATGTATTATTCATAAATTAGCAACAGAAAGTACTGAGTATTTTTTACTAAAAAGAATCTTAAAATAACAAGGAAAACATATGACTTTGTGTCTAAAAAGCTAAATTCATTCACCTTTTCTCATGAAGTTTTATTAAAAATGTCGCTTGTAAAAGCTTCATGTGTGGGGTTGAATAATGTCTAAAACCAGTGAATGACGTTCACAAATATATAGAAATTGTTTTATTTCACACAACTTAGGACTTACCAAAACATATCAACTATCTGTGCAATATTAAATCTATAGTTGGAGAGACCAAGTGTTCAGTGAAGATCCAAATATATAGCTTCAATAATACGAATGAAATGGTAGAGTCGTTTTTCTTAACCACTAAGTCTATAAATACCATTGATCTTACGAAATTCATTCATTCTATACTGTCCAACGTATGCTTAATGCTTGAATTTCATCTAGGGGAAGACTTTCTCCCTACACCCAGCCCAATTAGTATCACTTTATTCGAGTAGCCTCATTAGTTTATGAGTTATTAGACATCAGCAATGGAGAAATTACTGCCAATCTCCAAACTGTTTCAATAACTAGCCCTGCTTATTGAGGGACACAGCAAAGTGCTGGATCTATTGCTTTAATCATTAAGCAACAACAAATCTACATATGGCATAGTAGCTAATCTAGTGCACTAAAATTAATTATATCAACTAGGAGCCAAGCTAAAGGATAAATTTTCCTTACATTGACCTGAGTGGTTGGGCAAGGCGATCTATACCTCTGAGGGTCTTATCATTACAATCATCTCATGTGGTAATTAAAGTCTGAACTCTTAATTTTTATTGTTTTAAGTTCTTTGGCCACAATTTGAATATGATACCTGGATACACAGATAGTATAGACGGACTTAGAACATATGATGAACCTGTTTGTTTTTCAATATATTAAATGAAATACCGGTGCTGTCCACACCACGGTAAACAACATAGAAACTAATGTTTGTCCACAAATAAACGTTTAGTTTACAAGTATGTGTCATCATGGCTAAGGCTTAATATTTTACATTAACTATCAAAGGTCGGGATAATAATGGTGGACCCCTTATTTCCTGTATACAAGGTGAATGAACCTTGGCATACCATGACTATTCCTTGCTCTTATGTGATATGTTGCTACCATGTGTTTTATAAAGCCAAATATCTTACCACAATTTGCAGTAACAACTGAGTAGAGTTGTTGGTCAATAATGTCCATCTAATGCAAACACTTAAAACAACCATTCAATAGGTAGGTTCGAATACACCAGCTTCTGTATAGCCTTATTTTTTCCGTCCCATTTTAATTAGTAAAAAGATGAATCAATAGACAAGACCAAAATAATCTAAACTCAAGAAATTCTTCAATAACAGTCCCTTTTCAATGCGTCAGACCAGTTACCCTTTCATGTATTGATGATGCCATTAATCTCTCTATAAGATTTATAATACTATTCACTAATATCATTTTTCTCTATACTTCGACTGATTATCATCCGTAGGCTACTTATTAGTGTTCATACTATGTTTTTCCTACTATTTGTTGTGCTTCCTTCAACTCTATTGCACTTCCAATATTACCTAAAGTTAGCTGGAGGACTGCCAGTAACCCATGACCATTCTATCTCATACCATTTTCGGTGTATTTATTTGTGCCACCATAATACTATATTGATTGGTCAAATTGAGAGTGATTCCTCTGGAGTCACCAAGGTACTATCTAAATGGATAACAAGAGAATACTGAACAGAATAGAATCTTATTTTTCTTTTCAACATCAATGATGTCTAGAATAGCAGAATAAATAATAGCCGGGTAAAAGTATTTCAGATAAATCACCTCGGATGAAAGTAATACGACGAGAAGAATATAAAAGAGTCCCCTGCTGCATCGTTACATCAAGATCAGTATTTGCATACTGTTACACTAAAAAATGACTGCCTTCAATTGATTAGTACGAGGAGGAAGAACTATATACTAATATCACTATGTAAATAATATTACTCTCTATCAATGTATATAATTGATAAGCTAACACATGCAAATAGCTTCCATTTTTGCAATGTAGCAGTATACAAGGGACAGGTTTGCTAACTTATAGGAAAACCAACAAGGCAAAATAATACTAATATTACTAGACAAACATGGAGTTCTTTTCTCATAAGATTAATAATATTAAGTGGATTAGGATAATAGGGTGGCATAAATCTACAATGTAGTCACAAAGTCACTCATTAAGCCAATTTCTTGCTTGTTAGCTGTATATAACTGCAATACGCTAATAACGATTAAAGGGGTTACTCAACTGCTTTGCCCAAACTACTGTATATGAATTTTTACTAGGCTGTAGAAAGAAATAGTAAATAAGGAAATTAGAATATAGAAGGATACTTGAAAGAGATACCCCTTTTGGGATTTACCTGAAACAACGACAACTACTAAAACATTGATATTGCTAAATAATCTTTCGTTATTAAACAATTACAGAGTTTTCTTTGAACGATAATCAGTAGTTTGTATTTTTCAAACCCATGCAGTTCTCCTAAAGCCCGATAGTTATTTTTCTATGCGCTGCTTACAGAATACTTCTCAGAAATCAAATATACAGACAGGAACATAATGCTGCCCTTATGATTATAGAGACCTTGCTTAGTACTATCCTATTATACCCAATCTTGGTTTGAACAAATTGTGTGACGAGATTATTTGAAGAGAAATAATAGCTCTCAACTCAAGGGAGTGCCAAGGAGTACACAAGCAAAAATATAACAACTGTTGATATAGTTATGCTAAACAACTGATTTATTTATTGCCTTCTCTGTAAAGATTACTGATACACTAGATGAGGGTCCCTGTCTTTACGTAATAACCATTTCTCTGTAGTATATGCGTAGTACAGAAAATTCTAAATGCACAACACTTGAGTAGTTCGTTCTTCGAATCTGGTGGAGCTAGTACATTGAAACAGTTGCAGACGTGCTTACCAACTCGGCACTTAATGCCCAGTTGAAGACTTACTCTGAGCAAACAGGAAAGCAAAATGGCAAAATACCCGTATGCTAGGGATTGTTCTGGAATTCTAAGAACCAACCCCCCACCGCTCACGCAACCCTTACTCAGCTTACTTACTCGTTCCACTCAACTCCCGCGATACCAAGACAACCACAGAAAAGAAGTCAGGAATACACCCATACACCACCGGTAATTTGGTCAGGACTTCCATCCCTGAAAAAAATGACTTCATCCGCTTCTTTCTTTTTTTGAAAGCAATTCTGCACAGACAAACCCGGACCGCACTATATCTCTTGGTAAAGCGGAAGGAACTCTTTTGCAATTTGACGGAAATAAGAAATGAAACCTTTGTCAGAGACCGTAGAAGCAAAATATCCCACGATCTTTTGCACAACCCACAGAACATGCTGCTGCAAGCGAACGAACTGTGATTTGCCTTCTAATCTCGCGCATCGAAAATCACGACCGGGAAAACCAAGATCGGGCATAAATATTGATCGGGAAAATCAAGATCGGGCATAA